CGGGAAAATTACAGAAGTCTTATCAAACTTGGAACATAATCACAGCCCACCCGAGTTCTATAAATTTGGTGACGAATATATTAAAATATAGGCTATTTTCCTTTCATTTGCTTCTGTATCTATTAAGGTTGTGACTGAACCCAAACGTGGAAGTGGCAAACACACAAACTATATGTAAAGTTGCGATAGGCAATCGTTATCTTTAATTCCAATAAATAAGGGCGTTTTTGAGTGCATCTTCCCTTTGCGACATCTAGCGTCAAGTACTCGCTAGATATATTTTTTGTGTGTTTGAAACTAAATACGTCACAAATACACTTTACGTCATTTGCATAATGAAATCCAATGTCCAGACGAAGGCAGATTTTTAATTAATGCCATTAATATTTTAGTTTAAATAGTGTGTAGTAATTAATGCAAAAATCAAAATAAGTCAAATTAAACAGGTGTCGAAAGTTAGACCTTTGTAGTCTAGTAAATAAGTGCTTCTTTGTTCAACATTTTTCAGCAGGTCTCGGAAAACTATGAATTTCAGATTCCCAATTAGATGATATTAAAAAAAATTAAGTTTCGCTCCAAGAAATTGCAACAGTTATAAAAAAATTTCTTAAAAAAACAAACCCCACCTGAGTTTGGTTTTTTGCAAAATTTTTTCAAATTTTTTTTAAATCTAAAAGAGAAGTTAATAAGAGGAGGAAATTTTTCAACATTGGTCTCCGGACTCCCGGGACTGGAGTAGAAATGTTGGTGACATTTACAATTTACCGACCTACCGGTACTCTCGCTTGCGCCATCCAGCTACGCACACTGTGGTTACTTTAACAATAAAATGTTTGTAAACATAGGTATTTAGTATGAAAATTAGAGATTATAAAATTCTGACGCTTACAGGATAAGACACAATCATCCGGGCAAGAAATATTATTGCGATTTTCAATAACATGCAATATTTTTTTAATTAATAATCAATTAAATAATTAACAATTAAACAATTTTTTCTACATGTGAACATTGCAAGTTCGATAAAATTATTAAACTATAAATTAATCCTTAAAAGGAGCTATTATTGGGAGCCTTTTATGAAGCAAATGATAATTAAAAAATATTGTTTCGCAAAAACATATTGCTAAAATATGTATTTGTTAATTAACATTTTTTTCAATTTATAATTAATCTTAAGGAATCATCGTTTGCATCATCATCTTGCTTTTCGAAATTAAGATAATAAAATGTTTTATTTAGTTTAGTCATTTAATAAACAGTATGTTCTATAAAATTAATTTCTATATAATATTTTTTCTTACTCTATATAATGTAAGGTAGTAGATTAAGATTTATTTTATGGGTGGCGGGCAATTGACGTGAGGTTGTTGGTCATTGATGAATAAACACTTATAGATACTAGCCGCGTTTCCTTGTTCTCTCCCTGTTTACTATACATTACATTGGCGACGATACATTTTTTATCGTAAATTATTCCTTGTTAAGTATAATAAGCATTATAGAACAATGTCGATCGGAAAGGTGAACGACTTCGATGTGAAAACCGGGGTGTGGTCGTTGTATATGGATAGACTTGAAATGCATTTTTTTTATGCGAAAAGTTGTCAAACGAGCAGACGGTTCACCTGATGTTAAGTTAATACTGCCGCCCATGGACATCTGCCACACCCGAGGGTTACAGAGGCGATGACAACCTTTTGAAAATTGGGCTCCGGCTACCTCACTCACCAAACGAAACGCGAAAGTATTTGTCATACTTTCACTTTACGCCGGTCTTCTGTGAGTTCGTGGTACTTACCCGGACGGGCCTGCCCATTCGTGCAACAGCCGAGGCTGCTGCGTGGCCCTACCACCGTAAATAAAGTAATTTTACGGCGAATAATGTAAATAATGATCTCAAGTTACCCACAGTTATAGCGGTAAAGGGCGATGAAGCGTACGAGTGGCTAGCCCCGTGAAACCGCCGGAATTAAAATACGACGCCGCCATTGGTATTTTACAAAATCATTTACAACCGGCACCATCACCGTTGGCAGAGAGGTTTCGCTTTAGAGGAGACAAGTTGCTAACGAAAATATAGCACATTACGTGGCAGAGTCGAAAAGGTTAACACGCAATTGTGAGCTGGGCGTCACCCTTAATGAAAATCTGCGGGATCAGTTTGTTTGCGGATTAAGGAGCGACGTTATCCGGCAGAAGTAGTTTGCGGAAGACGACACGCTAAGTTTCACCAATGCAGTAAAAATAGCTAGCTCGTTGGAGGCCGGAGCGGATCAACAAAAAGCGAAGATGAAGCGGGGGTACACTCGCTGGGAATCACAAATGTTGGGTGGCGGAGAACGGCGAAGGTGGTAAGCGGGCACGCAGGACATGCAAGAGGCGCAGGGCGCGGAGATCGCCAGCTGCGAGATAGTCGGCCGATAGTCGGTCAATTATAGATACCCGGAGTACCAATGCCATTCGTAGTTATAACTGCAGCGCATGTGCACGGGTCATCTACGGCGCGTGTGTCCGGGATAAGGCATTGCGGGAGTTCGTAGAGCCATGGATACCACTTTGCATGATGGAGGCAAGCCGTGACCTCACGGCGTTGATGAAGACGGAAAACAGATTGACGAGTTTAATCACCTATGTTTAAGTGACTATAAGGCGGTGAGTTTGCCATGGTCTATCGAAAATGAAGTTATCAATATGGAGGTTGATACGGGAACGGCCGTATCGTGCATAGGGGAACAAACTTATAATCGATATTATTAAAACATGTAGAAAAAGTACGAAAAGATTGTCGCTGCTGTGGGAATCGAACCCACGTCTTCGGCATTCGCGGCCTGACGCTCTAGCCACTGAGCTAAACGGCTGATTGCCACAGCGACGAAAATCTAGTAAATACACACCGAGGGTTATTTCAATATAATAGCTTAGTATACGGACTAGCATCGAGTGCCGATATATTTCAGCGCATTATGTTTAATTTATTAAAAGACATTCCAAGTGTTGAGGTATTTTTAGATGACGTCATAATTGTCGGGATGAGTAAATTCGAACACCTACAAGCTGTAAGAACAGTCTTTAGCAGATTGCATACGAATGGGTTATAATTAAAAAGTCATAAATGTGTATTCCTCGTAAATGAGGTGCCTTTTTTGGGGTATGTACTTAGTAAAGATGGAGTCAAAACAGACCCAAAGAAAATAGAAGCAATTTCTAAACTACCTAGGCCTTGTAACGTAACGGAATTAAGATCATTTTTAGGTTTAGTAAATTTTTACGCAAAATTTATTAGAAATATGAGTAGTAAGTTAGTGCTATTATACCAGTTAGGTCGATTTTTAAGAAAGGTCGATTTTGGTTATGGTCGAAGGAATGTGGACGAACATTTACAGAAGTGAAAACATTATTAGTTAGCGGGGAAGTATTAGCCCACTACGATCCTCAGCGGCCAGTAATAGTGACGTGTGATGCGAGCGCAAAGGGAATAGGAGCCGTGCTATCGCACGGCAGTCGTGAGCGCCCCGTGGCTTACACGTCACGCACGCTCAACGACGCAGAGAAGAACTACTCGCAGATACACCGCGAGGCATTGACGATTATATTTGCCGTAAATAAGTTTCATCAATACATTTATTTTAGGCATTTTACATTGCGCACCGATCATAAACCGCTAGTGTCTATTTTTGGGCCAAATACTGTTATACCTACTATGGTAGCGAGTCGCAAGCAGCGGTGGGCAATTATTTTATCGGCTTATTCGTTTGATATTCCGTACATACGTACCGAGATGAATGGAGCGGACGGTCTGTCGCGTTTACCGCTGTCGTCTTGACGCAAAGATGATTCGTACGGCGCCAGAGCAACATTTCGTTTAGCAGGCTTTGTGTTTAGACTATAATGTATTTAAAAATCAAACGGCTCGGGATCCAATTCCCCCGAAGGTTATTAGTTATATTCGGGACGGTTGGCCAAGGGAATGTGATATTAAAAGTTTACAACACTTTTTTAATCGAAGTAATGAATTATATGAAGAATTATGCTGTGTAATGTGGGGGCACAGGTTAGTTGTCCCGGAGGCTTGTAAAGAAGCAGTTTTACGCATGATTCACGAACCGCATGTGGGGATTGTCAAGTCTAAAGCTATAGCCCGCAGCTATGTGTGGTGGGCCGGTGTAGACGAGTCGGTGGAGCGTATTTGCCGGGAGTGCGAGATATGCGCGGCTCAGGCGGATGCTGCGCCAAAGCAGGCGCCTCGTTTGTGGCAATGGCCCAATTGCCCTTGGTCTAGGCTACATTTAGATTTTATGGGACCGATTTTTGGAAAAACGTACCTAGTGGTAGTCGATGCGACTTCAAAATGGCTTGAGATATATCAAGTATCGAGTACGGCTACAACAGGAGTAATAGATAAGTTAAGGGAGCTTTTCAGTCGTTGGGGACTACCTAAGCAGATCGTAACGGATAACGGTCCGCCGTTTTCAAGTACAGAGTTTTCTAACTTCATTTGCGATCACGCCATCGATCATATTTTCGCGGCTCCTTATCACCCCGCGTCGAACGGTCTGGCTGAAAACGCTGTGAAGACTTGAAAGGGGTTTTAAAGAAAGCGGTCCAGGAAAGACAAAATGTGGATAGGAACACGGAACATTCAACCACTGGCGAAAGTCCCGCTATTTTACTGTTAGGTCGGCGGCTACGCACAAAAGTAGATATTTTAAAACCGGATAGGGAGAAAAGGGTCTATAAGGTTCAACAACATCAGAAAGAGTTAGCATAAAGGGGAGACCGAAAGCTGAATCCCGCAGAAGATGTTTGGTATAGGCAATATTTAAAAGGGGAAAAGTGGATCAATGGTCAAGAGGTAAGAGTGGCGAAATAATTCACAGGCATTAACCCAATTAAAGAGGAGATCTTTAAGAAAATCTTTGACATGTTCTTACAATGATCTTGAGTCGGATACTAGCACAAATTCCACCAACTACCCAACGGTAAAGCAGGATACAGAAATGACTCAGTCGGGTCAGACGGTGGCTCATGACGACCCAGGGGCGATAGAAGGTTCGGAGGTTGATATCGGCCAACGGGAGTCAGCAGTGGAGACCGTCAGTGATAGCGGGGATTCTCCGGCGTACCAGGATGCCTTGCCAAACATTGTACCGCCCTCAGAACCTCGCAGTCATCCTATTAGACAATGTAGGCTTAAAAAGCTTGCTATAGATTAAGTTTGAACACAAAATAAAATGTAAAATAGTTAAGCATGTTAAGTTAGATTTAAGTATACTAGGATAATGAGTTAGTGTGGAGGAGTATAATGTAAGTAGGTGGTCATTAATAAATAAACAGTTATAGATACTAGCCGCGTGTCCTTGTGCTCTCCCAGTTTACTATACATTACACTCTACAGTAAACAAAAACAACCCTAGGTTGTTTAGTAATGTGTAAATGTTGCTCCCACTGTGTATGGACCAGTGCTCTTTGGACCAGTGATTATGTGAGCAAATGACATATCTATGGTATAATATGTCACTGTATTTAATACACAGTTTATACACATTTGTGGTAGGGCCACGCAGCAGCCACGGTTGTTGCACGAGTGGGCAATCAAGTCTGGGTAAGTACCACAACCTCAAAGAAGATCGATGTTAAGTGGAAGTATAATAAATACTTTCGCGTTTCGTCTGGTGATTGACGACGCCGGAGCCTTATTTTCAAAAGGTTGTTAACAGCCCTCGGGTGTAGCAGATGTCCATGAGCGACGGTATTCACTTGACATCAGGTGAACCGTCTGCTTGCTTAGGAACTTTTCACATAAAAAAATAAACACATGACGACCACATTATCTAATTGTTAAAATCAAATTTGACACCAATTCTACCACTATACGAATAAGTGATTAAGAATGGTTGGTAGGCCGAATGTTAAAAATACGGGGTTTTTTGGTTCCAAATTTGATCTAAAAGCAATGGACCTAACCTGGCCATCTACATTAAATGCTAATGAAATTATTATTCATAAAGTTATGCATAAAGTAAGAACTATAGAATCTTTTTTAAGAAATACAAATAATAGACCCCTTATTTTTTGTTTCAGATCTTGAATATTCTTTTATACCATCAACGAGAAGTAATAAAAACCTGTTGTTATTTCAAGGACATACTTTCTATCAAAGTTTGCAATTGAACAATTGGTATTGCACCAAACAGAGCTCGAAGAAGTGTAAAGCAAAAATACATATGGGCAATAATAAAAAGATCATTTCTTATCAACCGGATCACAATCATGACGCCCCAAAGTTTTATGTTCATACGCATGGTAAATACTACAGAGTTTAAATAAGATTAATGCGAGTTACGTTGAAACGGAATGGAATTTTGACAACTTCATTAGTGACACACGGAACCGCGGTTTATGACATATTGCTGACAGTCAAAATGAAAACAAAAGGATTTTTTGTAACGTTAAATATCGATGATATTAAAGTTTTGACTTTGCTGGCTTAAATATTTCGTTCAAAATAACAGAAATTTAGTTATTTAGTGTGGCATGATCGTGACATAACCTACAAAATCTACATAGTTTTTGATGGTACAACGGTTGTATATTTTGTGATTAATGAATGTTGAAATGTGTATCTTTAGGATTCAGGTAAATCATCACAAGTGTTTAACAACAATTAGTAAGTGAAAATTAAAAGGTTTACAAATAATAATTTTTCACTTTCATGTGGTTAAATTACATGTTTGCAACATATAAAATGTTCAATAATTTAAAAAATTGCTTATGCTTTAAGAATTTGAAACGAGAATTGCATTTTAATTTTACTTACATCCTATTTAAATATTCACTGTTTTGACATTTTTTGGTTTCAAATGTACAAATTGATATAATCTTTTGTATAGATTGCCAGCCAAAAGTTTGAGACTATCTTAATTATAGTAAGAAAATGAAATAAAACTCAAGATTAACTCAAATTAAGATTTTAAACTAATTTGATTTTAATTTTATTAGCAGTAAACAAAATTATATTACATTAAATTACTACTATAAAAATGAACATAATTAGCTAAATAGAATTTTCATCAAAAAACCCTTACTCATTATGACTGCTTTCACAAGTTGTGGCATACAATTAATCAGTTTATTGCAATAAAATAAAAAATTAATAGCAATCATGTGAAGCATAATTTTCTTTTTGAACCAAATATTTCAAATTTCAATTAGTCAGTCCACTTACATCATCTTAAAGTTTTGTCTGGCAGTGTATATAAAAATCTCTGATGGAAATCAGTGTTAAATTTACTTAAGGAATATATTTATGCCCGATCAAATGTTTCTTTTTAAGTATTTTCTTTATTCTAGAACAAAACATTACTGTGTATTATCTATTTAAGCTTATTGCTCTTTTTACCTTATGATTTTTAACTTTACACTAAAATGACTGTTTTAAATATCATATGTCAAGTACTATGTCATCTTACCATATTATAAATTTAAATAATTACTCTTAAGGCTTCAATAGAAAGTAAGTCAGGAACAAGCTTTATCTGTCAGGATTCTTCCTTTATAGACACAAAACAAAATAATGATTGCAATGTTATTACTTTATTTTGTTAATGAATATTTTAATAATTCTTTGTAGGAAGTCTTATATATAATTTACAACTAGACTGTATTATTTTTTAGGTACATATGTAACTTAAAAGGTCTATTTAAGGGTAAATGAAAACACTTAGCAAATTCACAGTATCAAATTAAACAAAATGTGATATACAAATATTTGAGACCTTTTATTAAATAAAACTATCTTTACAGGCTTTTCTTGGAATGGATAAAATTTATTTATCAAACAATATAAATAAATTTTATCAAAAAAATATAATAACATTTTTAAGGGCGAAAATGAGCTTTGTTCATTCTATGATTGCAAGTACTAAAATGTATTTGAATATTTAGTAAATCAAAAAGGAAATAATCAAATTGTAAAAAAAACAGATTTTAGACAACAATGTGTAGTATACAGCGTGTCGTTACCATCGCGACAATAAATGAACACAAATTTAGGGGATAATTTTTTAAGTTGTATTAAACATTTAAATTCTTTAAACATCAATATTTACAGAGTTATAAAATTTTCCAAAACAAAGAATTTTAGAACACCCTTACCTATAAAAGCATAACAGAAAGTTCATTTGTAAAGGTCACAAAGCATATGAATGGGTTGAATGAATTTAAAAGAGACAAAACATACTGTTAGAAGGAGAGGCTTGTAATGCGACGATGTGGCGCGAGTTGTATAGGATGTTACTAATTTTGTTTGTTTTTTACTTAATTAGTTTGTTTGAAAAATATTTTTTTTTAATTATGGATTTTGTTTAATGTTAATATTTTTTATGATTATTGGCAAATAGCGTTAGACGTGTGTTCATTTATTGTCGCGATGGTAACGACACGCTGTATAATAATGTACAAGTTAATATTATCAAAATATACAAATTGTTACATAGTAATTAAAAGGCTATTTGAATAGGTGCCCAAAAAAGAAATGCTTACCATTACAAAAATATTGTATGCAAAAATTAATGCAATATTAATAATAAATAAATTTTAATAAATGCTGAGTACTTTTTAATATTGTATTTTAAATTTTTATATGCATTGTTGACACAAAGCTGCTAATTTTCTCTTTACTATCTAGCCTTGATATTAAAATATGAAGTAATAAGGTAATAATGTTGATAAATTTACAGGTTCTGTAGTGTTTGCAGAAAATGCTGTAGCTGTTATGAAGAAGGAATTTAATGAAAAGCTAGGAAAATTAATGAACCGTAAGCATAACAATAGCATATACTATATAACGAGAATGGAATATCAGAATCTTATTAGAGATATTAAGGAAATCAAGGAAAAAAATGATAAAAACTTTGAAGACTATAAAATGTTAACAAATTATGATATATTGAATGTTTGCGGCAAGGAAAGGCTGATAAGGCCAAGAGATGAAACCAATTGTAGCATTAAATTCTATGTGGCAACAGATGAACTTTATGGAGTTTTACATACTATACATTTGTTGTTTAGTCATGCTGGTAAAGACAAAATGGATGTCGAAATTAAAACTAAATACTGTAATGTATCAAAAGAGGTGATCAAAATGTATCTTAGTTGCTGCAAACTATGTAGGGAAAAAAATGTTTATAAATAATTATTTTCTAATTAAGGAACCAAAGGGTAAATTATTGGCTCTTTCGTTTCAATAAAATGTAATTTGGTCCATCTGTACTTTATGATATATGCATTTTTGTGCTATTGGTGATATATGAATTTTAACATAAAAGAGTATAATATATTTGAATGTATTGACATTTGTTTTGCCGTATAACCTTCTAGTGTTTTCAGACATTTTATACTAAATTATTGTAACCATTTTGTTTTATTGCTCCTTGGGGAAATCTTCTCTTGGTAAATATGTAGTGATTAGTAATATTTTAATAAGACTAACCATATTTTTTAGTCATAAACCTATATTCCACATTTCACTTTTGTATAAATTTGTCATAAGAATGTGTATATTTGTTATATTATGTATAATTGGGGTAAATCAATTAAAGAATTAAAAATTTAAAACTTGCTCTTGTCATTCCATGTATATTTATTTTGCATAATAAGTTAATGTAACCTGTGGAAAATTTAATGTGTTAGACTCGAACTAAAAGAATTGTATTAAACAAAAGGATCATGGTAAGGCAACAAACTATACATTGCTTCTAAGTAATTTTTATGATTTCAAGTTAATATATTATTTATTTAAAAGCTTTTCCCATAATAATTTAATTCTTACCAAAATTTCTGCTTTTCAGTAAAGTTCATGATTTCATGTGATGGCAAGAGTTTGTTGAAACTTGGTGACTTTACTTTTACAAGAGAAGTTTGCAACGGTGAAAGAAGTTGTTGGTATTGTTATACTCACAACAACCATGGCTGCCCAGCTCGAGTATACACCGAAGGCAACAAGTTGGTTATTGCGAAAAATTTTCACAACCACCCTCCTACGGAGTTCTTTGTTTGACATTTCTAGACCTTAGTTTAAGTTGTATGAAGTTGTTAGATATAAAAAGTTATGCATGTAATAAACAAACTATTATTGTTAATTATATTTAAAATATTGTTCACACCAATTTTATGGATTAACATATTTTTTTAATTGTAAGATATTACACTACTGTATTGAGTGGAATACAAAGCAAAGCATATATTTTTAGACTATTTTACTTTAATTTTGTAACATATTAAAAAAAGGACCATTACTTTAATATAGTCAGTAATGTAACTTTTATAGTTGATTTGTAGAACATATTCTTTAAGTGAGCCGTGTTAGATCTGGGCGCTCGCCTATAATTTAATGTACTTGAGCAACCTGAGTTCGATCCCTGGTGCCAGCACCAAAGTAAATTGTTATTACGTCCTCAGCGGTGAAGGAAAACATCGTGAGAAATCCAGCATATTGTTGAAGTAATAACAAAAAAATATATATATTTCGAAGATATGTGGTCCCTCAATCCCCGCAGTGAGGTTGTGTGGTGGATTATGCCCTAAACCCTCTGTACAGAGGAGGCCTTTTCCCAGCAGTGGGATATGCATAGGCTGTTACATTACTTTTATTCTATTAGTATACTACGTTACATATTATTTATCAATTTTTACAGAAATTTTTATACCTTATTTCATATTGATTGGTGCTCGATTTGTGATATAAATGATCTCCATTTAGTGAATCTTGCCTGTAATTTTTTTATATATTATCTAGCTATATTTTGTACAACTTTTAGTTCAAAATACTGTGGCATAAGCTTATTTTCAGTATTAACGGTTTTTTGTACCATCTCTCTCTAAGTATAATAAAGATTTTAGTGTTTATTCGAATTTTATTCAAGTGGATTATAATGGACAGGGGGTGCGTTTCATCTGTACCTATCCCTTGGAGTTGGTCGACAATGGGGCGTTTTGAGGGAGACTAACGTGCCGAATCGATTTCAGGGTCGGCGGGCGCTGCGTTCTTCATCCAATCGCTTAGAGGGAAACCGCTTATCGTGTTCAACAAGTACACGTACTGCCGGCACTCAGTCCGCAATGGCATAATCAGATGGACGTGTTCCACGCACTCGTACAAATGCTGCAAGGCCGTCGTGAAGACGTCCGGCTCGCACATCATCGAGGTTAAGGGCGTCCACAACCACGACGCGTCCGAGCTGCAGATCAACCGGGGGAAGAGCAGCTTCGATCTGTCACTGACTGAACAGATACTGGTTAGGAATCCGTGCGGAAACCGATTTATAGTATAATAAACACGTGAACATATTTCCGGACGATGCAATCGGTGAACATCTCGAAAGATGCATTCGATGCATGCTACATCCGATGAATCCAACAGGCGTTAGTTTAATATCGTGTTTTGGAAAGTTCTTTCGTCTTTCACGATCCCATCAAGCAACCGTGCGGTTAGTGTTTGAACTAATAAAAATTGTCGATAGAGGTTTCTTTACATAAAGATTATACCCATAGGGGGTAGTGAAAAAGAAGCATGACGTGGTTGTCGCGAGCATTATAATGTGTTTCCGAATTTATTCTCCTCTGTATATTTTGACACGGTATTTCTGTTCATCGCTGAACACGTGTAAAATTAGCGCAATGAATTTATAGATACGGGCGACCCGACACTGTGCTGCTAAGGATTGATTTATTTATAGCTAGATAACAATAGTTGCGATGGAAAGTTTAATTTTAAGATAAAATTCAGTTGCTTCCATTTATTTCCCGAAACGGCTTATTTATTGATTTTGATTATTCCTTACTAAATGACTTCATTATCTAAATAGTTTTGTACTTAAGACGAATGAGAAATGTTATGTGGGTAACTGTATTAGGGTATCATTTTTATGTATTCTTATTGAGGTATATTGAAAAAGATTAGAGGGAATTATGAGCTTTAGAAGATTAAATGCAATAAATACTGTTTCGGTTGTGATACGTCTATGTAAAATTCAAAGACTGGAATGCACTCATATCAACTATGAAATTACTTTGTTTGAAACTCAGTTGTGTTGTATATAGTTGTTTTATTCTCTCATACAAATCAAGGCTGTAGAATAATAGGCATCTAAAACAATATAATGGTTTTAATGTGGCTTACTCTAAGTGTTTGAATATTGTTCACTTTATATATATAGCTAATTTGAAAATTCACATGGTGTTATTGATTTTTAATATAATTTTTCAGACATTTTGCTGGTGTCTGGTGTAACATCCGATGATAATTTGTATATATTTGTATGAATTACCTTTGTACTTTGAATTTTTTATTCAATTTGATGGAATGACGGATTTTAGTTGAAACCAAATTTCGTAAAATTAGATCTAAACTATTGTTTTGGTTGATCCAAGTTCTTAAAATAACGTTTATGCTCGTCCAGGTAAGTACCACGACCTCACAGAAGGCCGGCGTCAAGTGGAAGTATAATACTTTCGCGTTTCGTGAGTGAGGTAGCCGGAGCCCAGTTTTCAAAAGGTCAACGCAACCCTCGGGTGTAGCAAATGTCCATGCAGGTGAACCGCCTGCTCGCTTGGCAAATTTTCACATAAAAAAAATCTCGGCTATGAAATTTGACTAAATGTGATGACGGTAGATTTAAATTTATCAATCATGGAGGAAAAATGGAGCGTAAAATATATTGATCAATCATAATTTTATAATTCATTTCAAATTCTGAAGCTTTTGAACATTACAATTATTGTACGATTAGTACAATACATGTTGTATTGACGTCTTAATACAGTCTATACTAATATTATAAATACGAAAGGAACTCTGTCTGTCTGTCTTTCACGCCAAAACTACTGAACCAATTTAAATGAAATTTGGTACATAGATAGTCTAGAGCCTGAGAAAGGACATAGGCTATTTTTATTAGGAAAATTGTGTTAAAGAAAGATATTTATTTAAAGGCTTCAACGCGAGCGTAGCCGCGGGCGAAAAGCTATATGTTATATAGTGAGCCGATATTATGTAGAAAGGTAGATTCAATGATGTTTGTGCTGTTGAAGTTGACATTAAGCTCACTAATAGAAAATACCAAACTATTGGACTAAGAAATTACTTCAAATATAATTATGAATAATTATACATTTTATTCAAAGGATAAAGTACGTGCAAGGTAGTTAAAAAAATTAACAATTCGTATAGGAAGTACCTAGTATTTTTGCACTTTAATTTTAAGTTTCTAGTAGTTTTTTTATTTTTTTTTTTATAAATATTTTTTGGACTTACATACTTTGGAAGTGTGTGCTCTCTGAAAAAAGAAAATGCAAATTTGGTGTCGGTAATCATTTCTGTCCGTTTTACCGTCTAGATAGGAAGTCAAATTAAAATGCTGTCAATAGTGTTTTATGTCCTAAAAATTACCATATGTGATTCCAAGTAAATTATTAATAATTTGTATAGTGATCTGAACTGATTGTTTTTAATCACAATAACTTTTATCTTTTCCGGAATGTAAATCTTTGAAGTGTAAACGAATGTTAATAATTATATGTTTTTCATATTTATTTTTTACTTTCTCCTTTATTACAATTCTTTATAATGCGTTTTCCTTTCTTGTATTATTTAGCGATAAAATAATTTGACTCAAGATGGAGCAAATAATTGAAAAGTGAAACAAAAAAAGGTTTGAAAGTATAATAAAGAAAATTAAAGATTTTAACAACTAGTTTTTATTTAATGTAGTTTTTTAAAAGTTATCTGTTGGGTCCGAACTATTTCATTAAATATCTCCCAGTTCGTTATTAAAGTCATGCAAACACACTTCCTATAGAAGCAAGTTGGTTAAAGTGAAGAGCGCTTATAATTACAAATTAGCGGCGCAGTTTGCGTGTGATCGATATTTATGTTTTGTTTATTTTTATTTCCAGTAACTTTCGCCCTGTCAAAAAACAAAAGAACGCTGATGGTCGTCGACGGGTATAGATTCTCATTGCACTACGTAAGGAAGAACAGCGAGCGGTGGCAGTGTAGCAGACGGAGCTACTTCGGGTGCAAGGCTGTGATACACACGCGCGCCGGAATGCTCATGTACACCAATAGATTCCACAATCACGCGCCTTGAGGTTGTCTCTGGTCAGGCCGAATGCCTTTGCGGTTTTGCGCGGGAAACTCCGCCGCGTTGACAGTTAACATTTGGCGCCATTCTAGTGACAGCTTTTTTGTTTTAATGCCCAACTCTTATGATGAGATTACGGGAGCAAGGGCGTTACACATTTCAGGATTGCAATTAGCATTGTAAATTTTGTACCTGGATAGAATCCTTCATTTTTAAAACACTTACACATTAATTAATTACTTCTGTAACTGTCGTAATTGTGAACAGCTAATGCAGATTCGTTAAGTTACTAATCACTTTCATTTGATTAATTAGAAGTTACTGATATTTATTCTATAACGGGTTTAGGAAATAATGTAAATACGTCATGTTATTGTCATATTTATTATTCAACATACTGTGTGAAGTTACTTGTATTTTTCATAATTCATTCATCAATTTAAAGTAATATACGATCAAAAATATATTAAACTGATAACTTATTACAAATTATGTATTAATTATTTACAAATAAACACTGAAACTATTGTTCATGATGTTATTTCGTGATGGTTTATTAATAACTTTGATATTATCATTATAAAGAAATGAGAAATTTAAATATGCATTAAAGCTTTATTCGTATTATCTTGCAAACCAAAGAAACCTCTGAGGCGGACCTAATATCTGAAGGCCTTCTCGGCCAGTCAACCTACGGTGTGGTGAGATTATATGTTAACTACTAAAATTGGTCTTTACATTTTTCGGAGTTGTAACATGTCTTCTACGCCTTCATGAGGTAAAAACTGCTTCCTGTTAAACAATATAATATGTTCCCGCTGAATGCTTTAAAACATTTCATTCTCTTGATAAGTTCTAGTTGAATCTTAGGCATTGTTTTTATTTAATCACAAAGACAAAAATTATCATATTATCTTGTTATCAACATAGTTTTTATGTGAATTGAGATTCATTATTATTTCTTCTAAAATATTCTATTGATTTTTTAACACCAACCAATTTCATATAGTAAAAACAATAAACATAACGTAAAGCAAAATAGAATCCAAGAATATGTGTAAGTAACCCTATAGAACACTCCTCCCTGTACATTATTTGACTCCGGTTTCTTTTTCTATTAACACGTTAAGTGCGAAACCAGATTTAAACACCTTGTATACTTCCTTGTCGCGTGGAATGCCTAACTTTAACTCGGTTCGGTGTATGAAAGAGATGAATATACCTATATCTAAGGTGTAATATTAAAATAGAATCCAATGGTGTACCTACCTTAATACCAGGTTTTTACACCTGGCACCGCACGGAAGAAAAAAAATTTCATCATAATAGGAATCCAGGTCGAAGCACCTTGTACCCCACTCACCTGGTACCGAACTCCGCGTTAGCGGCTTGCAATCGGGAGAAACGCACATGTCGACATGGCGTCAAGACCAACAAAACGGTGCCGAAAAAATGTATGATGTTTGCGAGGACAGTGATGCAGTGAAAGTTACATCTAACTATAGATTGATTTATCAGAGACAGGTGAGTTATTATTAATATTTATTTTACTTACCTAATTACGTTTCCCGTTTAGTGCGTATTTAAGTTTACAAAAGTGGTCAAGTGCGAGTTGGACACGCGCATCGTGGGTTCCGTACTAACTAACTAACTCCGGAAACTTTACCGAATCGAGTCTTTGAGAACTTTTTCATTTTTTCCGACCCATCCATTGAAGAATAGATGAATCGAATGTTTGTTATTTTTTACGCAAAAAATACTGAATGGATTTTGATGAAACTTTCCAGTAATATAGCTTAGACATCAGAATAACACAGGATACTTTTTTCACAGAAATATCCACGACGAAGGGAAATATGGGACTTTTACTTTATAATGCTAAAGAAGTAGCGAAGGTCCACTGTTAGGTATAAAGATAGTTTGAGTACCGGGGAAGGACATGGGATATTTCTCTCAAAATTCCCATGGGAATGGGAATTATGTATGGGTCTTTTACTAATTAACGCAAACGAAGTTGCGGGTCAGCTAGAGTTATAAATGCGAAAGTTTGTGAGAGTGGATGGATGGATGGATAGATGTATGGATGTTATTTACTCTTTCACGCCTAAACAGCTGAACGTGCCAAACTTCATACCCGGACGGGTATGAAGTTTGGCATGGGTATGGTCCTAGATCTGGATGATCTAGATAAACACATACTCTTAAAAAAAGGAACAAGGATAAATTATACAGAGAATTTATTAATTCGGCAATCAAATCATTGAAAAGTTTCAGGAAATATTAAAAGCAGGTAAACATGAAGTCATTGATCAAACAATCATACCCTGGAAAGGCCGATTAGATTTCCCCCAATATGTAAAAAATAAGTCTCATTGGTATGGCGTAAAACTCTATAAGCTTTGCAATCCCGAAGGTTATAGTTACCCAATAGAAGTTTATACAGGTAAAAAAGCAAGAAAAAAGAAGTAGATTACAGACAAAACGTAGTGCTGCATTTGATGAAAAATCTAACAGGTGAAGGGAGAACCGTAATAGTAGATAATTACTATACTTTGTTGAATCTAACAGAAAAACACCTATCACAATAGACCTTTATATGTGGAACTTTAAACGTAACTAGAAAACATTTGCCAAAGACAGTTACTTAATCAAACATAAAGAAGGATAGGAAAAATGAAGAAAAACGGAGTCAAAGTATTAAAATGGGTTTCAATGAGCAAGTTTTAATGCTAACAAACTGCAGAAATCACGACGATAAGCTAATAGATACAGGGGAAAAAACGAGGCTCTGTTGAAACTGTTAAGAAACCAGAATGTGTGCTCACGTACAATAATACTGAAAAAGGAATTCATTTCCAAATGTCCTCATACTACACAACATTAAAAAAGGATTGAAGTGGTGGAGGAAAATAATAATGGAGTTGTACAGCTCTTGCCTGGATTGTGTATAATTTAATTAATGATGGGAATAAAATGACAGAACTACAATTCATAGAAACTAATAATAAGAAATTTATTTTTTCAGAAACCGCACGAAAACTTGACCACCACACTTTGGTAAGAGGTGATAAGAAAAGGAATTGTGTCGGATGTTACGCAAAACTCCGAACCTTTTTAACCAGTCGCGAAGCTGACAGAAAAGTAAAAAAAATTTTAACTAGATGTGTTCAGTGCAAAAAAAACCTTTGTTACCCATGTTTTATTGAAAAACATTAATTCATGTTTGTTTTTTTTTTTTTTTCATTATATTGACACTTCATTACAGCTGTCGATATTTTTATTTCACATTAAAATACGCACCAGACTTCCCGTATTCAGTGCGGCACGGGGTGATTAAGCCCTGTATTTTGAATATAGCTATAATTTTTAAATTAAACAAGTTGTTAACGAACGCCTTCAGGTGTATGTCAATTAATTAATTATTATTAATATTCAAAGTAAAAAAACGCATATATTTTTACATGAAGCCAAAAAAGGATTTAAGTTTCTTAAATTTTACAGGGTCTATAAGCCTTGTGCCGCCACAATGGATGTTTTATTACCAGGTGTATAGGCCTTGTACCGAGGGAATGGAAAGCATTGAAAAGTTACTGAAAAATACTGAAACGTGTCAATAATCAAACCACCGTTGAAACATGAATGTTTAAATTGATACGAGGGGAATCGTTTCGCTCCGAACCTCCAAGGTCTATCCTTCGATTGTGAAGCTGTGGTTTTCGCGCAGGTGGTCTGTGTCCGGTCTGCGGTGACACTGTCACCGGCGTCCATTACGGCGTGCCGACTTGCGAGTCTTGCAAGCTGTTCTTCAGGAGGGCGGTTCGCTGCGGCAAGCACACCACCTTCAAGTGCGCCAACCGCTTGGGCTGCTGCCCCATAGGGCTGCACAACAGGATCGTCTGCAAGTACTGCAGATACGTCAAGTGCCTCCGCACCGGTATGCTGCCGAAGTGCGTGCGGGTAGCTAGGGACCCGGCGTTTGACGCCGATCAAAGTTTTGCTTTGTGAAATAACGCGTCGAACGTAACCGTCTTATTCGATCGGACGCATGGCGTGTATATGTTCACGTTTACTTAATCCCAATAATGTATTTGGACATATAGATAGGAAGAGAGATTAAATATATATAGATTTTATTGGAAAGACCTATAACACATATTATATATTTAAATAAATATGTTTCATATAAACGAATTATGCTTAGTTGTTTTTTTATTTAAATAAATTTTAAAATTGTATGGAACATTGTTACTTTTGTTGTATAAAAATTGTTAGTATAATTATGTTTCGTTTCATTTATTCGCATCTTCATTCGAATGACATCGCGATTATTCGAAATAACATTTACAAATATTCTTAAATGGTCATTGATTTCCTTTTTGCACTGATGTGGTCGTCGTTTCTTTCATTAAAAAAAATTATTATGGCACAAACAACATAGACATAGAGACACCGTAATAATTCGAAAAAGATGTAACAACATTTTTAAACGGGCATGACATTCCCTTTGCACTTTGATCGTCGTTCGTTAGAGAAAACAAAAATGTCACAGAAAATTATACAGGATGAGAGGATGTTGTTATCGTAAAATATCATTCCGTCAGTTCACCGCGTCTCATTTCGCAGAGGGGCTGGTGCCGCAGTACAGCTGGTCGCGAGCCGGGAACGCGATCATCCTGCTCGGCGAGTACAGATTCAAGAAGAGGTCGCGCCACGTGAACCAGAAGCAGGAGATACACTGGGTGTGCAACAAGTGCGACAAGGGCTGCAAGGCCAAGCTGACGACCTTGAACGACGCCATTATCAAGATATACAACGTGCACGACCACGATGGCATGAGGAAGGCGAAATGACGCTGCGGCCTGTAAAGCCTTTCTTTATTCGAATGGAACTTTTATTTAGTACAATTTTCGTGTTCGGTAGACACCGTGATGCCTTATAGTCGATAAGAGTTGCGATTGTCAATGTGCTGAAGGGGCGTGCTACGTGTGAGGTGTTTTATTTTAATTGAGATTTTGGAAATTCGATGCGTTTTTGTACAGCAGATAAGTTTTTTGTAGTGTTATATTTATTGACTTGGTGTTTTGAAATCTAATCTCATTGAATACAGATGTAGTTTCTGTTTACTTATTGGAAATGTGTTAATTTATATTATTGTTGTAACGTTGACTTTAATTATGAAGGTATTTTGAGCAACTGACAAATTAACACGAAAGTATAAAAATAATAGATAGTGTTATTACAGTGATAGTGTTGTAACAGTCCATATTAAATATACATTCCATTTGATTATTTTTATGTTTGTTTTAATTTTAATGAATAATTATAATGTTAATAATGATTTAATTAGAATGAAAATGATTTAAAAATTGAACGATAACAATGACAAATAAACAAAACAAACATTCCATATTTTTGGAAACCACTGTGTTCTAATCGACCGTTAGTTTACTATTATTACTGATTTAAACTATTTCATTAATCGTGTTATCATTAATACAAGAATAAGTAAACCAAAGATGTTCCTTAGATTGCCTTTTGCTGAGGTTCATTAAGGAATCATTAAACCAATGTACTCAGTTACTCATAACTTATTTATTTTTTATAATTGCTAGCATACTCGACAAGCTTATGTTGTAAAAAATGAGTACGTGTATAAATCGTCTCAAGCTAAAATCAGTTATCCTTTAAAACTTAGTATGACACTTACATGTATATGCACCAAGAAACGTGACCTACAAGTCTTTGAAAAATGAAATAATGATATTTAATATTACATTGATGATAGCTGTACAAATTGTAAAGCATTTATTGGCATGACATGGTTCTTAAATATATTTTCGTACTAAACATCTGAAGTAGTATCATTTTTGACATTCCCCTTTAATTCTAGAAGACCTATGAAAAATAGTGTTTTAATTAAATTGTATTGTAGGTATATCGATATACATATCTCGGATAAGGACTTTGTATTTAAAAAAAATCGTGTGCATATCCATTTAACTTTCTATATTTTTACAAAGATATCACATTTGATACATTTATAATGTTGAATACAAAACACGAAAATCAGTAAGTTAAATAAGAAATAGTTAGACTATAGTCAACTGCATTGCACATATATCCATTGTGAGATAAAAACAGCTACATTTCAGGTCGTATTCTAGACTAGTTGAATGTTGCTATAGTATATTTAACTTCTAACGAAGAAATATTTTAAGGACTTTATTACTTATGAGACGACCTTGACACATATCTGTCATATCAATAAGAATTATTTGTTGAAGTTTAACATTAGCTTTCCCCACGTTTAAACTCACATCTATTCTAATATCGGTATTGAATAATACTACAGTTTTATGATAAACCACTGGATATTACTTAACTGGGTACCTTTAATCATCATCATCATCACCAGTAAATGATGATGTTGTCGATGGTTTTGAATAATCTTTAAATCAAAAATATTGAGAATATTTCTCTGCCATGATTTTACTATTCCAAATCAGAAACAATCTTAAACCCGGCTTTGAGCAAAAACATTTTTTTAACATTCGATATAAATATTTCTTTTAGAATTTATTCTATAACAGTTATGGAATATCACAAGATGTCATACAAGGCAGACATTATTTCAAACAATGTTGTTTAATAATATTGATGACGCATGTCCATACTGCGCGGCTCTTAATAATTGTTCCTTTTTGCATTATATGACACTAGCGACCCGCCCCATCTTCGCACGGGTACAATGCATTATACACTAGCTGCTGCCCGCGACTACGTCTGCGTAGAATAGGCTGAAGGCGTAACATTCAGACAGAAAGACATATATACATGAAATATGTACATAAATTGTAGCCTATATCTTATTCTGATGTAGAAGCTATATTATTGTAAAGTTTCATTCAAATCCATTCAGTAGTATTTGCGTGAAAGAGTAACAAACACCCACCACATACAAACTTTCGCCTATATAATATTAGTAAGTATATAAACCTTCCTCTTGAATCACTCTATCTAGTAAAAAAAACCGCATCAAGATCCGTTGCGTAGATTTAAAGATGTAAGCATACATAAAGACTGACAGTTGGACGACTTTGTTTTATACTATGTAGTGATATATAAATGAATGTAACAGATGATAAAGAACGTATGAGACGGAATGATATTGCAATCTAATTGGCGTAATTTGAGTGTTCAGTTTTTGGTGCACTAGTGTCATATCTACTTCGTATTTGTATATAATGTCTTTGAAATATTTGATTAAAATATTTGAAATAGTGTCTTCTATGAAAAAGATTCTACCAATAAACATAAAACGTAGTGATTACATTAAACGTAGTGATTACATTCAATTGCTACCACTATGTAATAAGAAATCTTTAAGGTAAACATTGTAAAATTATTTAGTATCTGTACAACACGTCTTTAACAGTTTATTACGTAAACACAGCCTACAATTTGAAAATCTAAAAGGCCTAACCATTAACAAAATTAAAATTTATTACTTGCCCTAATAAACTGAAAAGGTAATATTTTTTATACAAAAGATGTGTATTATCAAATATATTTTTAACAGTAATACATTTATTACATCAAAGTACTTAAAGTCTTTTATCGTTGGTTCTGAATTATTAATTGCATTATATCAATTGCACAAAAGCGAAAATGCAATTCAGCAAATCAGCAAATTTAATTTTGATTTATGTCTAAAGTAAAACAACAAAGGAACATATTTAAATATCACGTTTTAAATCTAATATTGAAAGTAATCTAGGAATAGCATTGAATTCAAAGTTAGTACTTTCTTCTGATGCGTCAACGCTTAGTCGAAACATAACTATCAAAGAAAGCATGTGTTGGAACGGATATAATTTTTTTATAGCGACCTGGCGCTTCACCTGATGTTAAGTGATTACCGCTGCTTATCAAACGCAGCTTTGTTGTAGATAAAGATGTCCATGGCGCTAAATCCGCAAAGTGAAATAAGGCATGGATAATTGATGGCTCTAAAGAAAAGGCATGCCTAACTCAACGGAAACTCTGTTGTAATGTCTGTAAATTTTCTCCCCTTGCAGCCCATTTCCCGCGGGTGATTGTGGTCATTTTTCACGTATTGAAATACGCCGTTGTGCGTCACCACGATAGCCCGACATCCGTTCCTCTGCTTGACGCACCGCCACCTTCCTTTGCCGTTATTGAGGCACTGCAGACTGTACCTGAAGCCGTCGAAACGTATATGCCTTACGTTCGTCGGTGTCTTTACGAATTGCAAGTAATCTAAAAAAGAATATTGTTGTCAGATTTGGCTATGGCATAGTAAGCACCTTCTAGGGCGTGTTGCCTTTGGTATATACAGCATGCGCCACTCTCGCGGCTTACGTTTTTTGAACGCCCGCGCCCTCTCAATGTTTTTCTCATCGACCAGTGTATGATACACTAGTGGACTATGCCTTGACTGGACTTAATGCAGTGGAGATAGTAATTCAGATGTGATAGATTAGCTATGACAGTATTCCATATAAGTTAGTAAATATTTATTTATTTATTTACATTTTATGCACAAATAGTACAATGGCGGACTTAATGCTAAAAGCATTATCTCCCAGTCAACCTTGGGGTGGTACAGGTAAATTAGGAAAAAAAAATATAGATAGAGAAAATTTATTAAATATGTATGTATCGAAAGAATAGACATCATGGTTCGGTCGCCAATTACTTAATATAAGTTTTGGTGTCGAATTTCATCGCTACTTTCTCTCCGTCTTTGGGAAGCGGAATGAGAGATAAATCAGTGTTGAAATAACGTAGCAAATACACAATGTTAAAACATTAGGAATGATGGCAGGTTAATTATAATTTTTCTAAAAGCGTAAACCTTCTTCATCGTCATCATCATCATGTTTACAATTATTAGTATTTATTGTTCTCCTTTTTAATTCTAACTACTGCTTTCAAGCGGCGAGACATTGACAATATCAATTTTTAACATTTTGCAAGAGAGGTAGAGTTCCATTCTTGTGAAAAAACGTCGTACAACTCTGTTAAATTGCCACACCGTCGATTTGAAGCCTATTTCTTGACTTCGCAACAAAGGTGATGTAATGAATTTAGCTAGCCTTTCTAAGAAAGAAACTGGTAGCGATATGAAATTCCTTAATGTACACAGTATGCTCTGGGTCATTGTCATAAGTAGCAATACTTTATTTTTTAAACAATTTAATGTATACTAGCTGTGCCCGCGACTTCGTCCGCGTGGAAATTGAAACTTTCTAAAATAAAAGTAGCCTAAGTTACTCCTCATTACATCAGCTATCTGTCAGTAAAAACCCTGTCAAAATCGGTCCAGCCGTTTCAGAGATTAGCCGGAACAAACAGGCAGACACACAGATTTTTTTTAGATTATTTTGGTATACGAACCGTGTATACACACATATGCATTTATTTAAAAGCGGTTATTTTAATATTACAAACAGACACTCCAATTTTATTTATCTGTATTGATTTTTTCATGTGTATCAACAAATATAGAGCTATTGGGGAAAAGTTTTGCGAACTAAGTAGGTATATCATAATAAAACACTCCCATCAAGAGAAACTGTTATTAAACATGCACATAATATAGATAATTAAACAAACGTTGATTTCAAAACAATTTTATTATGAAATATCTACTCAAATTTACGATACAAAGACAATAAGACCATGATAAAAAGCTAAATTTATGATCTGATTCCGAAAATAACAAAACTATACCGAGTTAGTTAAACAGCGCCATCTGTTACGAAAAATACAAAACGGTTGGACAATATTTAGAAGCAAATCAAACAACGGAGATTACAACACGCTCTATAACTTCTTAAGAACTAGGTAACTAATATCTTTCACCTGTCCACTACTTACCAACAGATTTTTTAAAGGTTTATTTTAAATCAAAACTCAATAGTCAACTTAAATTAATTTGATAGGAACGGTGTTACTCGTAATCAAGCAACTGCATAATACAGCGTCCCTTATTCTCCAACATACCAGTTATTGTATGTATATAAATATAATATAAATAAGTTATAGTTTCGCTAACATTAGATGTAGTGTAAAAATCGATATTATTTGCGAAACTGTGCAGTATTGTTGCTATTTGCAGGCTATCCCAGTTTGCTCGCAAGCGTTTAGTTTAGGCATTGTAGATTTTCATAACTACATTGTATGTATGTACATATTTTGATACCTTCGTCTATACAAAATCAGAGACCGAGAACATTTAGAGTCAATAACAAATCATCATTTGTTGATGTCAACAGTCACAAGGCACGGTAGTTTTAACGTACACCGACAAATTCCACAATCTGAGACTGCTCAATCCGTATTACCGCAAGTCTACCGTATTACTACTATTATATTACATTATACAGCCTTAATTGTATCTCGGATGGTTATGCTCCTTAACGAAGACGACTGCGTCGTCAATGGTGACGGCACTGGAACGGCACTTCGAGTAATGCCGCAAGCAACGCCACCAGGTCTTCACGCCACTGCGCCTCTGCCACCCGTAGCAGTATCCGTCCAGGTACAACCTCCTTGTGCCCGTTTCACTCGTGAAAAACTCCGGCTTCGGCCACGCTGAAAATCGCAACAGTAATTGTGGAACCTTAAACCTGGTAGACGATAACTCGAACCATAATTAGGACCCGCCCGAAGCCGAATCATTTTCATCAACATAGTCTTGTGATCATTCGGTATGAGGAATGCAAGACACCGGCATCGAAAGACGATTGCAATATTTGACACGTTTATTAAACTCGCATATTTAACTACAACACAAGCGGTGACGGTGAAATTCGATGCAGCAGGAACGACGGTTGTGTGCTGTGGTGGCACAACACTAAGTCAGGTTCGGTGGGTGCGTGTGCTTGTTCTGGCGGTCGACCATCGTGTAGCCGATGGTGACTACGATGGCGTGGCAGTCGCTGGTTCGGTTCTCGACGCAGAGCCACTTGACGCGCGACGAGCAGACCGAGTGGCGGGTGTAGCAGTAGCCGCGCAACTTCATTATCCGCGCACCGATCTCGGTCGTGAAGAAAGTGGGACGGGCTGCAATGAAGAGGACAACCGTCAGTCACCGTCCGCGACGTTGGCTCGAAAAGCTTAAGCGCTATTGGATCGTATCCACTGTGATGGAAAACTTTAACGGACGTAAGGTTTTCAAATTGAATATTTCCTATTGACTTTGCAACTCATGAGGTAGCATTCCTTAGCATGGCCGTCCGCATCTCTACCTGGGTGAGCGATTGAATTACACAGGACCGTACTTTTGCCAAGTATTTATTATTTAAGTCGTTCAAGCTTACTTGCTATCTATAAATAAAAGCATCACACGAGAAACAGAACCAGTAACTTATATATTTTCAAAGGTCACGTAGCTACCGGACGCCGATGGGTGATTGTGGTTATTGTTGATCTTGAAGATTTTGTCGTTGTCGTTGTGTGTGAAGAGGCAGGCAGAACACCCGTTACGGCTGCGTACGCATCGCCAGCGAGTCTTGTTCCCGCTAACACGGTGCTTGGTGAAGGAGAAGCCGTGAATGTTTATCTTGCGGGTGCTTCTGAAGCTGGTCAGTATGACTGCGTCTTGAACAATAACACAGAGACTTTTTAAATTCATACAATTTTAATATCGTAGCTATAGTAACATGCGTGATTGCTTGAATTCGAATTGAATTGCTCGAATAAAAAGAAGATTAGTTTTAGAGTAAATAAAGAAAATGCACAAAGTGTAAAACAAACATATAAATTGAAGTGTCGTTTTAGATGTAGGGTTAGGGATACCAATGGTAAAGATGTAGGGTTAGGTACGAAAAAGAAGGTAGGTCAGTTGCAAGGATTTAACTAAAACAATTTCACATAAACTGTCTTATCGTCCCAATGAGATTTATTCTGTTTCCGTTTTGAACAAATAGGTGGACAGTAAAAAGAGACCACAACAAAAGTTATAAATATTGATTAGATTGATGTCTTTTCAGATAATTTTATTTCAGATAATAGCGGGCAAATGGTTGTGCTTGTTCTTGCTTTGAATTATGATATCGTCTTCTAACGTGTACACGACGGCGCGGCAGCCTTTATTGCAGTGGGTGGCACATCTCCATCTAACCTTTAAGCCAGCAGCCTGATGTAACAAGAACTTGTATCCTCTCCAATGTAAATGACGCACCCCGCGCCTCGAAACGGAGAAGACGGGCCCTGGCAAGTTTAAAAACATGCCTTATAGCACAATCAAGCAGTAGACAATTTGCCAAATTAATGGGGCAGTGGGTTTATAATAGGCTTCCTGTTTTAAAACTTCATTGGCAAAATTATTTACCGAACCGATGTTTACCTCTATGTACCATACAACGACACCCAATTTCGATAGATCTGCAGCTATGTCGCCGTATACTAAGCTCGACGGCAATTGGAAATCCGAAAAAAGGGAAAAGTCATTTTGTACTCCACCAACCGTCAACCGAATTTGTGCAACCGTCACTTCCAGTCCTCGTAGTATTTGAATTGGAGTAACCCCCTGTTTTCATTGGACGACCCACGTAGAAAAAAAAATTCCTTCTAAAAATCCTTTCGTATTAAATGATTTTGTTATCGTAATAGCATTATAGCTACTAATATCCATTTAATTTTTCGTCATAGTAAATTGGTGTTGCGATAAATTCATTGTTGAGGTTGGAATCCACGAGTGAAGTCACTTTTCCTGACGATTATCTTTGATACTCAATATATCTTTAGTGATTCATACTCGAATTTGGACCCTGCGCCGCAAGAGATACGGATTTTTCGATAGGTGTTTTACATGGCATCTGTTAAATATAACAGTTACCGTTTCAAATTTGTACTGTAACAATGAATGTTTATTGGAAAAATAGCCCCTTCTAAAACAGACGCATATTTTATAAAGTGGAAGGGCACGGTATAAAATGCCTCCCTGACGCACAAATGGCACAGAAGACCGATGTAGGAGGTATTATACTTTTCGTTTGATGGGTGAGGTGATCTTAACTTCGTCTTTTGAGGAATGTGTACCGCATCTACTATCCTTCTGTGCGATTGATTGAAGTAGGTACATGAATAAGATAGAGTGAGAGAGAGAAAAGGATAGCTTGAAGACCTTTTAGTGCATGATCTAATGGCCCAATAGCTTGTTAATTGTATCAAAGACTTATTAAGTCTTTGTACACTAATCCCATATTTAAACTTGTTCGATGACGACAGCGTGACAGGTATATCCCACTCGAGTTGAAAGTTGTAAAATCTTAAATATACTCCTAAAAAAACTATAAAATAATTACAGAAAACCAGGGTGCCACATGTTTCACGTAAATTAACAAAAACAAAATAACTCTTTTGGTGAACTGAAAAATCTAAGTAGACATAATTTCAGCAATCTAGTGTTTTCTTTGTATATTTGATAATCTATGTATTGAAAGCGCGGTAGTAACGGATATAAAACATATCGAGTAGGAGATTCAGATCTAAAATAAAAATAAAAACATCGTTAGAAGTTTATACATTAAATTTATTTACCACCGTACCGTTTTTGACGATCTTAGCTTTTCTCTTAAAGGTCACTTAAAATAACGCTAGTGCAGCGTTATTTTTAAGTTATATTTTATATGACGTTAAATTAAATAATTCATATTATAGATAAACAAACTATGTGGAAATAAATAATAATTCAGTACAATCTTTATTGAACGAATGAGTAGGTATATAATTACGTCATGACACGTTTAACCGCTCGTTTCGCAGCTGCGACTGAGCGTATCCCCTCGGATCCCTTAGATCCGCGCGTGTGTGTGAACGTTGTTGCACTTAATGATCCTGTCGTCGATCGTGAACAGGGCGGCCGAACATCCGCGCCCGTGGTGCGTCGAGCAGTACCATCGCGTCTTCGGCCCCGCGTCACGGTGCCGGCGGAACTTGAATCCGCCGATGCACAAGATCCGCGCGCCGCGGGAGGTGGTCACGAAATACGGGCCTGTGGATATAGCGCGGCGTTAATGTTTCGAATGTTTACCACCTCTTTGCCTTTGTTGGAAGATTTTGCTCTCTGACTATGTAGAGCTTCGTCGGACGCAGCCTCCGTAAATAAGCTACAGTTCCTAGTAGAGTATTTAAGGGTTTGTATATGCGTCCTTTATTAAGCAGTTTGTTGATTTATGGCCGTCGAAACTGTGTATACAGCGATTGTTATACGTTTGTCGGCTGCGTTGAGAACTGCTCTGAGATTCGGGAAGGTGTACCTTGTGTGGAGGAGGACATAACATATTTTAACCTCTAATATAGGGTTTAAAAATTACGTTACATTCCTCGAATTGCTTTATGTCAAAAAATTGTTTATATCAAAGTCAACTTAGACATGGTTTAAGCTTTTGTAATAATCAAAGCTATTGCGGATTCTTGAATTCAGACTCGCTTCTCCTCGAAGGGAAGATAGTACCTATTGTATGTTGCTTAAAAATTCTATTGCTTTGAAAAATATGTTACACTAAACTTTTTAGTGCGTGCGAACATATAAGTCCTAAACAAGAGTCATTTTCACACGGTCATATTAAGCGGTTTACATACGGAATAAAAGATGGCGCTAAACCTCTTTACATCCCGTTATTTTTGTTGTCAGGAAGCAGAAGCGTCTTTATAATTTTAGAACAAACCACTGATTTGTTATACTTCAGATATTTGTGCATTATCGGCCTTCGATACATCATAATCGAGCTTAATTAAAAGCGGATAGCAATAGACATCGCTGCCCATTCGGCTTAAAGATGCTTATACAGAGTGATTCTTTAGACGAAGTACTTTGACATAATTTTAATTAAGTTTCATAATTTTAATTTTAAAATTAAAAATAAACGCGATAAATCCGTAAAATTAGTTTCATTTATAAAGTGTAATCACGTAAGTACAAGAAAATATCATGAGCATTCCACAATTAAAAAAATATTAAAATTTTATTTTGACAAGAAATAACTAGAAAAATATCAATTCAAAAATTGTTTGTTTATCGGTAAGAGTGGTCAACCTATTGATAAGCTGTTTAGTAATTATGCGTTCAGCGAACAGTTTAGTGCTCGTGAATAGGTTATTGTATTGAGATGTTAACGCAGAAATTTCTAATAGGGTGTCCATAATGTTTGAATTTTTTTTTTAAATCTTTGAAGAAAACAATTAGGTCTCAAGTACGTACCAGATTCAGATTTAGAATCAAATTCTGCATATAATATGTCCCTCGTCAATAAAATCAACCTGTATTTTCTATATGTCGGTCTGGCGTTGCCATTGGCTAGAGAACTGATTCAACAGCAACGGCGGTCATCGCAAGCGCACCTCGACCCCACCAACGCGACATTCTCTCACTACCATTGTAGCAAACGCACGTACACCGGCCTTCACAAAATTGTTACGACCCAACGACGAATACATACACGGTTCATTTATATCGAAGATTTTTATTAATCGAAAATTCCAATTTAATTGGAGCTTGTTATTAAAAAAGTAAAGTAACAACCTATACATATCCCACTGCTGGGCAAAGGCCTTCTTTTTTATAGAGGGTATCAGGGCATAGTCCACCACGCGGCCCCACCCACTGTGGATTGGCGGACTTCACATATCTTCGAAATATTTTTTTTGTTATTTAGAATATATGCAGGTTTCGTCACGATGTTTTCCTTCACCGTTGACCACGTGATAAAGTCAGCGCTTAAAATAACGCTTAAATAACAACTTCATTGGTGGCAACGGGGATGGAACTTAGGTTGTTCGAATATATTGAATTAAAGGTGAGCGCCCGTACACTGAGCTATCACGGCTTTTACTAATATTCAAACAAGGGTAGAAATACTTAGTTTAAAAAAGTTGTTATACCTTAAAAATATTCGCTGCTAAATTATTTTCCCTAAGTAGTCATCAACTTATCCACTAACTCTTTGGTACCTGTTTAAGATTGTATATTGGGACCATTGTATATTGGTTGAGTACAACTTAATAAATGATGCGCTCCCTATATAATTAACCATTTTAATAATAGTAAAGAATTACAAAACATACAATAGTGATATGAGAATAAATTATAATAATCTTTGTTAGACCGTAGCTATACAAAATTGTCATAAATGTTAGAACGATCATCAAGATTCAAAAATACAATTACTACAAAAATCAATCAATAAATTGATTTTTTATTCGATACAATTATGTAAATGTTTTTGAAGCTGAAACTTACTATATTAAAGTAGATATAAGAAAATATTTCTTACAAATATACGCGGGATCGGGAAAGCAAATCCTATATTTAGAAATTATTTTGAATACTGTCGTAAACTGATGTTTCTCTGATGTTACAGATTTTGTACAACGTTACTTTATGATGTTCAAAAAAATATTATTTAAAATTCTTTTGATATTTTCAAAGCAGTGAAAAGTTGTTATAGATAAACATTTAAATATGTAAAAAAATATTCGAATTTTTTTGTACATAAGATTCATTTTTTTATGCAAGAAAGTGGCAAACGAGCTGGCGGTTCACCTGATGTTAAGTGATAACCGCCGCCCATGGACATTTGCAAAGGCGTTGCCACCTTTAAATAAAGTGGGCCCCGGCTACCTCACTCACCAGACGAAACGCAGAAGTGTAACACTTCTATTTTACGCCAATCTTCTGTGAGGTCGTGGTACTTACCTGGACGGACCTGCCCATTCGTGCAACAGCGTTGCGTGGCCCTACCACCGTAAATCGTACCATCCATTTTAATATACCTTAAAATGCAATAATTATAATTTGGTGATTAAAAAGTAAAAATACATAATACAAACGTGAATAACATAATGCATGCAATACAATGATAAACTTAATAACAGAACTTATATTACGCTAAAATTGACATTTCACAGTAAATATTTGGCAGTAAAATTGCCACTAGTAAAAAAAATCATGGCATTTTACATAAAAGTGTTCAAATAAACTTTTACACTAATAATGACTTCTATTAAAATCGATTAATAGCAAAAACATTTCCCTTTAAGATTATTATTTCCTTAAATTAAACATAAAACATGTTTGATAGTAAGTTCATGTAAAGATTTATTTTTAGTGTATGAATAGGCCTAAGGTACGACCTGCCTCATCAAGGCTCGAATGTAAATTTGAATATTGTGAGAGGTACAGCGAGTGAAGCCTCTATATCGAGTCCATTATGAAAAATGCAAATAAAACATTTCCTTACGAGAACTTAAAAATAATGAAATGGTTGAATAAACTGAATGACAACTAGTTAAAAAAAATCAGAAAAGAAAAAATATATGAAGGTAAAGATGGGAACTTGACACCATTTGAACCTTAGCGTTGGCCCTATAATAACTACGCCAAAGTTACGCATGGTTGTGGGTGTTGTTGCATTTGATGATCTTGTCGTGGTCGATGGTGAATATGACGGCGGGGCAGCCGCGGCTGTGGTGCGTGGTGCAGTACCAGCGCGTTTTGACCCCGGACTCCCGGTGCCTGCTGAAGCGGTAGCCTTCGAGGTAGATGATGCGAGCGCCCCGCGTTGTCGTCGTGAAGAACGGACCTGGCGGGGCAATCGTAACCACGTCAGCACGAGGGACAACAGCCATAGTCACGCCGTTCTGTGTTGGCACACCCTTAAATGCTTACTCTTCTTCCTCTTTCTTTCCTCTCTTTCAAAACCAAATTCATACCGCTCATTTCCTTTACACTACCCATTACTGTGTATGCTGATGTCTGCTGCTCTTGAATCAAGGTATTTGAATTAAACTCGAGATTACTACGTAAAAAATTTAATATAGATACATCCAAGAGACGTCAGAAAAGTAGATAAAGAAATATTCTTCCATCCAGTGTTGATTGTACAATTAGACTCTTTAGGGTTGTGTTCACAAATTGTTAATTGTATACATTAGCGGCATGTTTGTCTTTCGTTAATACAAATCACAAAATACAATCTATTTTTAATGGATAGAGAAATATAATCAAAAAAATAATTACTAAATAAAATAAGCGCCGTCTTAAGTGTGTTCCATTTTTAACTTGACAAAAATACATTTTGTAAGCCATGTAAGAGGCGATTTCCTTTGTATTCAATTGCAAGTTTGAATTTTTTTTTCAAAATTTATATATCTACGCCATTAGATGATATTTGTTTAAAAAGTAAATGCCATATTATACATGGTCATAATGGAGACGAAGTATGCATCCATTTCTTATTCTGAAAGAGCCCAAAAAACAAGAATAAAACATCCGCCATAATTTAGTTCAGGCGGTATGAACTTTCCAAAGACCTCTAGTCTTTTGAATATTTACCACCCTTACCCTAAATGGTGGACAGAGTAGCTAAAGTAAACATCTCTCCAGGTCAGTTTGTTAGTCAGTTCATTTTCAAATTGGATCTGAATAGTTATTCATTTGTTTAAAAGGCGCAAGAATAAATTCAGACCCATTCGAGACCTCGTCGAGTTCTAGGTAGCCTCTTATAGAAGGGGCTGAGCCAAGCAAGACAAATTTACTTTTTCGTCTGACTAATGTTTCAAACTTAATGTTACATAATATTCTACCGTTCACAAAATCTCTATAGTAGTAAAGGTAATATATTATAGCGTAGTATAAATTGAATAAAAAAATCATCATAAAATCAGTAGATATTAGGCACGCAAATCAATTAATCAATCAATTTACACATATCTTGGTCATAAATATTATTGTATTGTTCTCCTTTATATATATATTTTAAGTTTTACAAGTGGCATAAGCATACCGATGTAGATCGGGCACAATTTTTGTCTAAAGATTACAAATATTTGTTTATTTTCATTCTATTGTAATATCCACTGTAAATAGTTATGAAGTGCACAAACTGCCCAATTCATTGTAACATGTTTAATGGATGATGCGCGTTGTGTATTCTCAGGCAAATAGAAGAAACCAATTCAACCATTTATTTGTCTTCTGAGATATTTGTTGACGATACGTTGTTGTTATGTTCTTCTATATTGATTTCGCGAACATAATATTTACTGTTAAAAATAACACGTAATCATGTAATTAACGAGATACCTATAACATACGGAAACATAATTCTTAATAGAATAATCCTAAACAAAGGTAATTGAAATCACACTTTCTTTAAGTTCGACCACACTGATATATCGATAGACCTTACGTATTGAATGCAATAATGCCACGATTAATGATATGTGGTAAACCCGTCGCTCTATTACCAACAAATTGAGATTTTGAACACCAAATTAGTTATAATAATCAACGCCTCACAAATGAGGGCCGGTAATTTTTGCAAGTAACAAATGAGAAAATGAAAATTCGCACTAATGTGATTTTGAGACATCGCCTTCAGACAACAATACTTTAAAAGTAAATCAACCATTCTACGTAGCCAAATGTAGTAATATTTCTTTAACTTTATATTTGTAATGTATTTTATGTGGAAGGGTTTGGGTATTAAGTGTCAATAACGATCTATTGTAGTAATCGTTGGCAATTTGCTGTAGGATAACATTATCCTGTGTTGTAAGGACGTTTTACATACATAAACTTCACTTGTAAAAACCAGATACGAAATAATTATCTGTGGCTCACACCGATAGTTGTGTCGTGTGGGAATCGAACCGGCGAAGCTAGTAAAAGAAGCAACGGGGTCATCAAAAGCAACTGCGCAACGGGGTCACCAAAACTCCTTTAACATAGGGTCTACCGGTATAAACGCAAGCAAGATATCACGTTATTGGTATGATGTGTTCGTTCGTCGGTGGTTATGCTCGTTGAGCACTTTGACGACCACATTGTCTAAGGTCGTGTAGACCACCGCGCGGCAACCCTTGCTCTGGTGGGTGCCGCAGAACCATCGGGTCTTGCCTGACGACTGACGGTGCCTGATGAACTTGTACCCGTCCATGAGAATCGACAAGGCGCCGCGCGCTGTCCTCATGAACACCGCCGCTGCAAATGCACGCAAACGATTAGTTACGACAATAGGCTATGCCAGCTTCACTACATAGTAACACAAAGTATTCCCGTCGTCTGTCTGTCCCTATGTATGCTTAGATCTATAAAACTACGCAACGGATCTTGATGCGTTTTTTTTTTACTAGATAGAGCGATTCAAGAGGAAGGTTTATGTGTATAATACATTGCACCCGTGCGAATTAGGGGCGGGTCACTAGTCCGAACTAAACAGGATAAGCAGCGATAGCTAGGACTAATGACGCTTCTTTTCAACACAAGGGCCTCCGGTTACCTCTCATTCTCTCATAAGTAAAAAATCTTTTAATTTACAAATTTGTGTAAAGATCTTTTAAGACAAATTTATGATTTACAAATTTGTGTAAAGATTACAAAACAAATGTTATGTTTATGTTTACTTTCGTTCGTAATAGCCACTGTAAATAGATGATGTTGTGAGGTCTCTTTTACCTTTTTTTAAATTGTAATTATTGCCATCTAAACAATATTAAAAGTATTTCGTTTGTACGCCGCACACAAATCTGAGCACCATTCAGTTACAACATATATATTTAATGGCTGATACATAAATGTGTATTCAAAACCAAAGAGTTGAAACTACAACTAAAGGTGTTTATTATATTCTTGTGAGGTAGTTTTCACGGTGTCGATTATGGTATTTAGTGTTAAAAATTTCTTGTATTCATAACAATAATGATATACGCATGCTTTATATTTGGAATGTATGTATTTACAGACTTGATTTATATAGGTTTAAAATTAATACAATACAAATTAGACGAAGCAGACATCTATGGTATTTTTAATATTGCAATATCGATATAAATTAATGAGATATTGATACATAATTCTTAATAGATACATTATAAACAAGGCTGATTGGAATAATTTTGTCTTAACGGTCGACTGTATGACATAGATATGATACGATGTGAACTATAGTGTGGTATCGATGGACCTTAATTAGTATTAAAGCAAAAGTGGCACGATACAAGAGATGTAATAAACCCGTCGCCTATACATTTAAATTTACGTTTTGAATCCGACATTCATAATGAGAACCAAACGTTGGATAGTAATATTTGCCTGTAATACACCCAAAAAACGGATAATGTTTGTCATCACTCATTCAACTGGCCCAAATGTCAATGTCAAATGTCTTAACGTAAGGTCTATCGGTACAATCCGACCAAGATGCCGCGTTACTGGTCGACTGTGTGCGTCCTCAGGTGGTTGTGCTGGTTGAGCACCCTGATGACGTCATTGTCGAAGGTCGTGTAGACGACGGCGCGGCAACCCTTGTGGTGGTGGGTGCCGCAGAACCATCGGGTCTTGCTCGCCGACTGACGGTGCCTGATGAACTTGTACCCGTCGATGAGGATCGACATGGCGCCGCGCGCAGTCCTCGCGAACACCGCCGCTGCAAATGCACGCACGCAACTGGTTACCACAACGGGCTCTCACACCTTCCGAACTCAACTGTATAAGCAGCCTCCGCTCACGTTAATGATCGAATATGCAAAACTGTGAATTCTTTCAATTTACAAATTTGTGTAAAGGGTACAAGCTTGTGTTATGTTTTATTTTCGTTCTATTCCTAATGGCCACTGTATATCGATGTTGTGGTCTCTTTTGACTTTCTTATTTTTTCTTTTGTTGATTTGCATTTATTGCCACTAAGCAATATTTACAGTATTGAGTTTGTACGCCGCACACAAATCTTTGGCCAATTGACATCGCCAATTGAAATAGCTAATACTAACCATACTGCTTTTCTACGCAAATTCGGTTACCTCACTCACCCGTATTTCCCTCTTTGAGCTGGTCTAGGTTTCAACAGGCTTTAAACTATTTTCACTCTTTTATTCAGACTCGAACCTTTGCAAAGTTATCACCTAAGTTTTTTTCCTATATAGGTATCTATTCGTATTTCACGTGCAATTCATGTTTAAAAAAAATTGCTTAGATTTATTTTTATTTGAAAGAGCGGCAGACGAGCTGGCGGTTCACCTGATCTTAAGCGATAAGTGCCGCCCATGGACATTTGCAACACGCGTAGGGTTGCAGATGCGTTGCCACCTTTTAATAAAGTCGGCCCCGGCTATCTTACTCACCAGACAAAACGCAGAAGTGTAACACTTCTACCTCACGCCGGTCTTCTATGAGGTCGTGCTACTGGCCCATTCGTGCACTGTTGCGTGGCACTACCACAGTAAAATAAAAAGTAGATAACTAATGATGTGCATAAAAATTAATGGGTGGGTACATTTTAAATAAAAGTGAAAGTTATAATTGTTTATTTATCTGTAATGGTGCCTGGCGATAAACAATGTCAATATCAACCAGTACAAAATATGACATCGGGGGAATCACGACGCTCAGCATTCTGTTTACGACATGGGCAAGAGGATGATGCCCGAATTATGATTGAATGAACAGGACGTTATTTCAACAAATAAATCTAGATAACTGTCAAGGCTTGCGTTTCAGCTGGAGCGGGTGGTTGTGGCTGGCCGAGCACTTTATGATCTCGTCCTCACATGTGTATATGAACGCTTTGCAACCCTTGCTGTGGTGCGAACTGCAGAACCATCGTGTCTTAAAGCCGGACTCGCACTGCCGGCTGAATGTGTAGCCGCGGAGCTTTAATAACCGCGTGCCCCGGTAAGTCGTTAAAAATTCGGGCAAGTCTGAAATGAAGTACAGCCTGTATATGTCTGACCGGGAAACTAGTTTTCACACGGGCTCGGCCTGGGCACGGTACGGTTCGTGTTGTGTCGATGAGGAGTGTTCACGAGAGTTAATGCTTGAAAGTGTAAAAAATGCTTGCCGAATGCCTTGCTTTTTTATGTGAGAAGGTGGGAAATGAGCTGACGGTTCACCTGATGTTAAGTGATGACAGCCTGCCCATGGACATTTGCAACAACCGTAGGGTTGCAGATGCCACCTCTTAATAAAGTGGGCCCGGCTACCTCACTCACCAGACGTAACGCAGAAGTGCAACACTTCTACTTCACGCCGATCTTCTGTGAGGTCGTGGTACTAACCGTGGTTGTGTGGCCATACCACCGTAAACTACTGGTTTAACTTCAAATTTTAACTGGACTAAATAAAAGAATAGAAGCCTCTGTTTTATTTCAGAAGGTGGTCAGCGAGACGGTTTTTAATAAAAGTAAAGTAAAGTAACAGCCTATACATGTCCCACTGCTGGGCAAAAGCCTCCTCTATAGAGAGGGTATCAGGGCATAGTACACCACGCGGCGCCACTGTTATATAATATAAACTATAATTAGTGTTAAAAAGTGTTAAAAAGGTGGTAGGGCCACGCAGCAGCCTCGGCTGTTGCACGAATGGGCAGGCCCGTCCGGGTAAGTACCACGACCTCACAGAAGACCGGCGTAAAGTGGAAGTATGACAAATACTTTCGCGTTTCGTCTGGTGAGTGAGGTAGCCGGAGCCCAATTTTCAAAAGGTTGTCAACGCATCTGTAACCCTCGAGTGTAGCAGATGTCCACGGGCGGCGGTATTCACTTAACATCAGGTGAACCGTCTGCTCGTTTGACAACTTTTCGCATAAAAAAAAAAAAAAAAAAATTGCGTTTATGCCAATACTTAACCTTAACAGCGTTTTCCCCTCCCGTGCGCTTTTTGACTCAAAACCTGCATATTTAAACCAGGATATTTTATTGGCATTTATTTTACAAAAATTCTTATTTCTCATAATGAGAATTGTTGTCGAAATAGAAATCAGAGAAAATAATAATGTTAAAAAAATTCTGTATTGTATTTTCAAATATTCTCTTCTAAAATATTTTTTCTTACTTTTTTTATTTCGAAAATTTTAAGTTTTCAGTAAGATAAAGATGAAATATATTTAAACAATTTTTTAATTTATATTTTTTTTGAGCTTATTTTTTAAACAAATGTAGTTGATAGAATAGGTATTATTTATATTACTTTACTATATTTTACTATTTTTTAAACCTATTTAAAAACGACTGTAATGATATGCGCGCGATTGGAAAAGAATCATCAATACGCCAAGAGTCTCTAGAGAGGATATATCGCTCGGAGCTCTGCATAATCCTTTACCGAACGTATCTGTGTATACTGTGACCGACAAATCTTGAGCTTGTTTTCACACTGTCGTTTGTTTTGCCCGTATTAGGCCATCAAAATTGAGCTTAACTTAGCACTAACCTACCGATATAATTTTTTCTTTTTATAAGGTTTAGGATCATTACTGAGTATAAAATCACAAAATTCAGAAACAATTACTATAGTTAATAACATTTCCATAAACACAAGCCGATAATTATTATAATATGGGATAAATCAATTTTATTTAAGTCTTTTCTTTGTATACAGCGTGTCGTTACCATCGCGACAATAAATGAACACACGTCTTACGCTACTTGCCAATAATCATAAAAAAATATTAATTTTAAAAAAATCCATAATTAAAAAAAATATTTTTCAAAACAAATAATTGAGTAAAAAAGAAACAAAATTTGTAACATCCTATATAACTCGCGCCACAGCGTCGCTTTACAAGCTTCTCCTTCTAACAGTATGTTTTGTGTCTTTTAAATTCATTCAACCTATTCACATGCTTTGTGACTTTTACAAATGAACTTTACGTTACAGTTTTATACGTAAGGATGTTCTAAAATTCTTAGTAAAAACACAATCATACAAACTTTCGCGTTTATAATATTAGTAAGGATAGTAAGGATTCTTTCATCATTGCTGTGGTAGTTGTGCTGGCATGAATGCTCGTTCACGGAAGACCAGGGCCTCACAAAAGACCAGTGTGAAGTGGAAGTATGATATTTTCACTATTCAGTGATTGAGGTAGCCTTTATTTTAATAGTTGTCAATCTGCAACCTCTCAGTGCGGTAATTGTCCATGGGCGGCGGTAATCACTTAACATCAGGTGAACCGTCTGCTCGCTTTAGATATATAGCTTTTCACATAAAAAAAAGCATTCTCTCATCAGTTTTTAAATAATTTACGTGTAAAGAACAAATTGGAAGTAATGATTAATTCATATTAAAAATGAAAGAATACACATTATTTATTACAACAACATTTAACATTTTATATTTAACATTTTTCAGTTCAATTTCAATTACAGTAACATGTTACATCTGTTTGTTTAATAAACTGGTAGCATTGTCTTAATTTACATACAAATCGCCCCAAATCCTAAAAATTTAAGTATTTGCTATAACAATTACTAGAATGGATCAAGTTGTTATATTATGATAATAGAGATTGACTTGCATCTACACACAGCCACCTCACGCCTCTGTGTGCGTGAATTTAGACGCTTTTTAACTCAAAATACTTCCACTTTACAGCGAAGTCTACTTGCGTGGCCCTACCACAGTTAAATAAATAAGATTACAATAGCAAAATGCACGGTTCTTAAATACAGTTTATAAAAAATGTAAACACATGCCAGACATAGTTATTAATTCCTTTACTATTAGGTTAAATAAGTCACATTTGCAAAAAAATTGGAAATGTGAGGAATGTAAAGGTAAAGAACCTAAAAGTGATAACACCAATACGCCCATCAAACACGATCTACAGCAGTCTCCTGAAAACAAAAAGGATGAATCCAGCCGCATACATGTAACGTCACGTCGTCTGCAGGAAAAACATAAAACTACGGCCATGCCTCGATAGCTCAGTGTCCGGGCGCTCGCCTTTAATTCAATATACTCGAGCAACCTGAGTTCAATCCCCGGTGCCGGCACCAATGAAATTGTCAATTTTAAGTGCTGAATTATCACGTGCTCAGCGGTGAAGGAAAACATCGTGAGGAAACCTGCATATTTTCGAAATAACAAAAAAAAAATATTTCGAAGATATGTGAAGTCCACCAATCCGCAGTGGGGCCGCGTGGTGGACTATGCCCTGATACCCTCTGTATAGAGGAGGCCTTTGCCCAGCAGTGGGACATGTATAGGCTGATACTTTACTTTACTTTACTTTTACGGCCATGCCTCTACCTGTTTCCACTGTATCCGATATGCAGACAAATGAACTAGCAAATGAATTTAAGTTATTACACCAAGAGATAGAAGGAATGCGCAACGATATGCTGGAGTTCAAAGGCACCATGGCAAATCTTCTTGTAGCTATTAACTCTTGTAATGAACGACTCGACAGCCTTGAGGCCCGAATAGAGGTGTTGGAAAAAAAGCCTGAAGCTAAACCCTCGGAGGATGTATCTCTTCTTCAGTCTACGATCTCGGATCTTAAAATGGAGCTCAACGAGACCGAGACCAGGATCTGTTGTGCAACGATATCGAGATCGCTGGAATACCTGAGGAAAGAAATGAGCCTTCTTTACACTTAGTGTTGGCGGTGGCGTCTAAATTAGGCGTGAATCTAGAAGACCGCGATATCGTCAGTGCAGAGCGTGCGGGTCCCGTACGTCGCGAGCATATTGACAGTCCCCGACCACGGCCCATTGTGGTACGTCTGGCACGTCATGCTCACCGTGATAGTATACTGGCGGCGGCTCGAGTTCGAAGAGGTACAACCACCGCCGGCATGGGCCTTACTAATTCTACCGTCTGTCCGTTATACATTAATGAAAGGCTGACTAGGTATAACAGACAGTTATTTTACAAGGCGCGTATAGAAGCGAAAAATAAAAATTGGAAGCACGTGTGGACACGAGAAGGGAAGGTTTTTGCCCGAAGAAACGACGGCGAGGCACGCCATCGCTTGCGTTCCGAGAGCGATTTGACTAAAGTTTTTGGGCATTGAAAATGTTTGTTCATAACAATAAGCCTAATCTCTTCCTTCATACGAATTATTATAAAGTGCAGGTTTGTCAAAAACGAATGTATTTAAACAATTGCCACTCAAATATTCTTATTTTTTACTTAATAGTGCTTTTATCTCTTTTCTATGGACGAACTTTCTCTCATTTGAATGTGTTATCTTGCTCAAGGCTTATAATTTCCTAATTTTCATTATGAGCATAACTCACCCTACCGTTGTGTATCCCTAGTTTTTAAATTGTTTTTGCTATTATTGTTTTCTTTGTTTTATTATTTGGTTTGTTATTGTTCTTTGTTGTTTTATTTTTGCGTTAAAATTAACCTCAAATGTGATCATTGTTACTTGCGATATAGATTTTTTATATGTTTTTATGGTTATATGGTTGCTTCCATGCTTGTTCATGCTCATACTGTACAGAAATACTTTTGTTATCTACACACCACACATTGCACACTTCACATATACATTACAAGAACACACTATAACACAGTACAACACAGGTACACGCAGTTTACAAGAATTAAACCTAGTAATAAATATTTAATTTACTCTCTGGATAGCAACACTTTTGTGCGATTTTATAATTAGCTGTAAGTATTGCGAAATTACGTATGCTTTTATTTTCAAATTCATAAAAAATAAAAAGTTTTCGGTTGGGCTTTTGAATGCCGGGTCTTTGGGAACCCATCATGATGAGTTTGTTGCGGCAACATCAAGGTTCGACATGGATATAATAGCTATAAACGAAACATGCCAAAACAGGGGGAGGAGGGACGCGCACCGTTGCCGCCTTCACTTACCACGTTCTTCCAAAGTGCGTCTGCGCGGTGGAGGAGTAAGATTTTACGTTAGGCAGGGAGTTAACGTGCGTAAAATTGTGCACCCTCCGAATCAGGATGTAGAGCAAATGTGGTTAAGTCTTAATTCCAATGGTATTAAGATGGCTATTGGTACAGCGTATCGACCCCCTTGGCTTAATGTTGATGGGTTTTTGGATGCACTTACAGAGTCAATCTCTTCTTTAGGTAGATACGAATATATCCTGCTGCTAGGCGATTTTAACATTAATATTTTGCTTACACAGGATCCAAATACACAAAGATTTTTTAATTTCTTGACATATATGAATCTTACACAGTTTGTAAAGCAACCGACGCATTTCACAGAACACAGTGAATCGCTGATCGACGTAATTTGTTCGAATGTCAATGTGTTTAATGTCTCTGTAAATCATATCCCTGACCTTTCCCACCACGCTTTTTTAACTTGTCAGATAAATATTAGAAACCAGCGACCAGCCCCTAAATTCATTAGCTACAGACCTTTAAAGGATATGGATACGGACAATTTTAATCTAGACTTGAATTTAATAGAATGGGAAAGAGTAATTAACGGCGACGTCAACAACATGGTTGGTAATTTCAACAAAATAATACTTGATCTCTTTAATATACATGCGCCTGTCCGGTCTTTTTTACTTAAAAAGAAGTCGTTTCCTTGGATTACTCATACTGTTAAAGAAATGATGAAGCTTCGCGATAAAGCATACTTCCGAAGTAGAGTCACTAAATTGGACAAACATATAAATTACTATAAAGACTTAAAAAACCTCGTAAATTCGGCCATTCACTGCGAAAAAGCTGCTTATGTGAACAAACACATAAATTCTGTAAATTCTTTGGAAAAGCATCAAGTACAGCGTTGCAAATTTAAAAAAAAATGACTGTGATCTTCCAATCAATCTGTGTAACCCTGATGACATTAATAATTTTTTTCTTGACATTCCCGGTAATAGTAATGACACCTTAAGTTTATCTATTTTAAGTCGTTATGAATTCGACCGATTTAATACAAATACTTTTAAACTGAACACTGTGGACGAAACGACGGTACTGAATATTATAAAATGTTTCAAAACTAATGCACAAGGTGATGATGGCATCACCTTGAATATGATATTACTTTCTTTGCCTAGGACTCTGACGGTAATTACCACAATAATCAACCAATCAATTACTACGAGCCTATTCCCTGAACAATGGAAGATTGCTGCAGTTTTACCGATTCCTAAAACACCGAATCCGGATGAATATAGAGATCTCCGTCCAATAAGTATTTTGCCGTTTTTGTCAAAGATTTTGGAGGGAATTATCTGTACGCAAATGATAGAATATCTTGAAAAAAATCAAATTCTACCCGCTAAGCAATCCGGATTTAGAAGGTCTCGGAGTACTGCGACTGCCTTGTTGGACGTAGTGGATGATATTCTTACAGCACAGGACAGTCAACAAGGTACATTGCTAGTCTTGCTTGATTTTTCCCGGGCCTTTGATACCTTGAACACAACTTTGCTACTATCTAAACTCTCTTACTACGGTTTTGACAATTCTACAGTAAAATGGTTTGCTAGTTACTTTAATGATCGCATGCAATATGTTAAAATACGTAGAAACGTCGGTCCTGACCTGATATCTACTATGCGACCGGTTAATAGGGGCGTTCCACAGGGTTCAATTTTGGGACCAATACTTTTCATTTTATATATAGCTGACCTTATTAATGTCATTAAGCACTGTTGTTATCATTTATATGCGGACGACGTGCAATTATACATGTCTTTTAAACCTAGTGACACAGCCGTAGCATTAAATAAAATCAACGCAGACTTGGAAAGTATTTCTAAGTGGTGTGATTGTAATAATCTTGTACTTAATCCAAATAAGTCTAAGTACATGGTTTTCGGATCACGTAAGCATATAGATAGCATTCTATCTCAGAATCTGCGAATTTCTATTGGCGGATGCTTCTTAAAGCGTGTTATGGAAGCTCGCAATCTGGGACTTATAATGGATGAAAAGTTACGCTTCGAGAAACACATTCTAGAAACAATGCGCAATTGCTTTTATAGACTAAAAGTACTCTACCGTATTCGCGAATATCTGACGGTAGACTTGCGTGTTAGGTTGTGTGAAACGCTTGTTTTGTCCAAATTGTCATATGTTGATACAGTTTTTAATGGTTGCTTATATGCTAGGACAAAAAAAATGATTCAACGTATCCAAAACGCATGTGCCCGTTTCTGTTTCCCTATCCCACGACGTGCTCACATCACTCCATATCTGAACCGACACAACTTGATGAACATGGCCAACCGAAGAACCATACACCTTGCCACATTGCTTTCCGGGGTTATAAAGAAAGGTGAGCCGTCCTATTTATTTGAAAAGCTAAAATTCTTACAGCGCTGCATTAGGACGGCACCTAGACTAAATTACCCGCAGTACCGTACGGCTGTCTTTAGAGGCAGCTTTCGTTTTGCTGCCACAAAGTGCTCGAATGATCTCCCACCCCCAATAAGACTCATAAATTCCATTAAGTCATTTAAATTTAAACTAAAACAATTTTTACTCTCTAAACAGAAGTCCAGCACTTAAGACTTTCGTTCTTCACTAATACGCACACACACTTTCTTGCTCCATCTCACACAACACAACAACAAAATCTTCTTCACACATAACACAAGCATGGCAGGTAAAATAAGTAATTTGTATTTGTTTTATAATAATTTTATTCTTTGTGTAACGTTTCTTACTTTTAGTCAAATGTTCTTGTTTTTTTAATTTATTGTATCCAATATTAATTCTTTACGACTATTACGTAGGACCATCTATCTCTTTCCCCCAAGGTTCCACTGAAAACCAGCATTCACGAAGATTGTTAACTTCGTGATATGAAGCTGAGTGGTGACCATTTTGGTTCATTCTAAACATAGGTATTTAGTTTTTAGCATATGTTTTATTTTTTTGTGTTATTATGTACCAAATAAATGTTTCTTTCTTTCTTTCTTTCTTTCATTTCAATCACAGTCGCATCTCTTTCTATCCTCTATAGCAGTGATTCTCAACCACTGTTCCGCGGCACTTTTGTGTGCCGCCAAATTTTGCAAATATATAATAATGTTAATATTATTAAATTATATCATTTAAAAAGAAAAATATTTTTTGGCATTAGCCAACATTAAAACTAAAAAAAGATCAAAATTGTTAAATGTAGAAGACGATATGAGAGTAGCATTGTCATTTTTACTACAAAATGTAAATGAAATTATCAAAAAACATCAAGCTCAAATTTCGCATTAAAAATGTTTTTATTATTAGCTTGTAATTAATCCCTTAATAAACGTTTAGTTATTATTGTAGTATATATTAGTTTATTTCGTATATTTAAAATTTTTGTCATAAACTATTTATGCAGTGTGTTGTAGTAAGTAAATAATTTTTATCTTTTTCTTTATGTGCCGCCAAATTTTGAAATCGTTAAATATGTCCCGCAACAAAAAAAAGGTTGAGAATCACTGCTCTATAGTAATAAAGAAGACTTGAAAATTTCTTGTTAGAATTTACAGGAATTTGAACTGCGCTTAACACGGAAAAACACCGTACGAAAACTTGCTTTTCATACCTTGAATTTTAGCTTAAGAGGTGTCGTTAGTTTCGTATTTACTGTGAGAGTGACACTGGGTAGATCAAAATAAAAAATTACACAGAAAAGCAATCGGGTTTTATAGTTTTTTAAATTATGTTCTACTCGTTTTTATAATGAGTTGAAGAGACTCGGTTCCCTGAACATGAGGACTTTCCTGCGCAACGTACTCCGGGCTACTTCGAACACATTGGCGGCCTGATTGCAAGTCATTTGACCACTCACCACGGCCTTGATTGCGGAAATCATATTATGGTAGTTCCGCGCGGACCGCGGAACCATCCTGACTGGCGAGGAGCCGGTGCCTGCAATGTAACTTTGGCAATTAATGAATTTATATAAAAGGAAATAATGAAAAAATGTAGTGGCATTTGAGAAAATTTATAGTATAACGTAACGTCTCTTGCAAGAGTGGGCCGCCTGTCCGAGGAAGTATCACGACCTCAAAGACGACGAGCATAATATTTTTTGGATCGGCTTTTGCGTTCAATCTTTCCACTCACTATCGTCTAAGGTCTAAGGTCGTATATTGTATAAGGTGTATCGTCTGTTCGATTGTCATGTTCTGTTTACTGATTGTCACGGTTTGCATGTTATGTCAGAGTAACACACAAAGAACCGGTTTTTGTTTTATGACTGGATAGGATATTGTGCAGGATTGGGCTCTTTGATACAGTTTTTGGGATTTGATATTCGATTGTGATACTTTAAGTATAGAAAGCATGGACGTTGCTATTTTAAATTTAGCAGGCATTTCTTACAGTCTATTCAAGTATAAACACATTTGGTTGTGGCGAGTGTTCGTGTGTATGTAGGTGAAGATTAAAAGTCAATATTTATTGTTCCCACACATATACGGGGGACTTTTTAGACGAAGTACATACTTTGGCATAATTTTAATTGAGCATTCCATAATTCAAAAAATATGAATGTTTTATTTTTTGACAAGAAATAACCAGAAAAATATCAATTTCAAACAAACATTGTTTCTTTATCCCGTTAAGAATGATCACCCTATCGATAAGCGGTTTAGTAGTTATGTGTTCGGTGAACAGTTTTAGAGCACGTGAATAGGTTATTGTGTTGAGACGGTAAGGCAGGAATTTGTAATAGGGTGTCCATAATGTTTGAAAAAATTAAAAATAATCTTTGAAATAAAAAAAAAATTAGTTCACAAGTACGTACCAGATTCAGATTAAGAATCAAATTCTGAATATGCTTCGTTTATATGTGCGTCGTCTATAAAATCACCCCGTACGAGCACAACAGAAAGTAAAGTAGATTATACAAAACAATAACAAAAGGTGATAGCAAAATAAGCAAAAGCAGAAATATGATGACACGAATGACTTGGATAGTAGTAGTAATTAGGTAGTGTAAGCGCAGCGGGAAGCAACAAGAGACTGGTGTTAGTACGTAAGTACAGCGTCTCGCGAGTGTCTTTATGAGTAGAGTGGGCCCGGACAGAATCGCTGTTGCCAGGCGATCGTATATAAAAAACGTTTGTTCGAGAACGCGTCGTTGATAACATCATGAACATTGATAAACAACATTAATAAATCATCATTAATAAATTAACTACATGTGATGACCAATGAATTATTTAATATGTAATGAAATATATAAAATAGATATGAGAAATATATACAATAAGATTGATAAATAAATATTGTAAACAAATACATATTAGTTATGTATATATTAGATTTAGAAGCCGGCACGCACTCTTTAATCAATGTCGGCCATTAACAATTTCTTCTTTATAATATAGTGTTATATTTGTAATTGTATTGTGTGTTATTTGGGGAGTAGTGAACCTGCCTCTTGTGCCAGGGGGTGTGGGTTCGATCCCCACAACTGGAAAAAGTAGTGTTTTAAAACTAGTGTCTGGTTGTTTATACAGCGTGTCGTTACCATCGCGACAATAAATGAACACACATATAGAGGATAACTTTTAAAAATTGTATTAAACATTTACATTCTTTAAACATCAATATTTACCGAGTTGTAAAATTTTCCAAAACAAAGAATTTTAGAACACCCTTACGAATAAAACTGTAACGTAAAGTTCATTTGTAAAGATCACAAAGCATATGAATGGGTTGAATGAATTTAAAAGAGACAAAACATACTGTCAGAAGGAGAGGCTTGTAATGCGACGCTGTGGCGCGAGTTGTATAGGATGTTACAAATTTTGTTTCTTTTTTAAATTAGTTTGTTTGAAAAATATTCTTTTTTAATTATGGAATTTGTTTAACGTTAATTTTTTTTTTATTATTGGTAAGTAGCGTTAGACATGTGTTCATTTATTGTCGCGATGGTAACGACACGCTGTATATCTATAATAAGTATTTATTTACAAAAGAAAAGTATGTTTCGGTATGTGTACGTTGTGTAAAAATAGGGTCCACAAATATTTGTAATATATAATCCTTTCTTATTCGTTCATAGCATGTATTGTAATATATGTTATAGTCACTTTAAAATTTTCCCAGTTTTTTAATATCCGAATGAAACAATCATTTTCAATTTAAAATTAAACAATCAATCAAAGTTTAATGATACCAATAACTTGATAATGATCATATTATGGAGTTTAACTGTTATAAAAGGTTGGAGCAGAGGGTTCCATATTTTCTACGGCACTTTTCTCCCCTATTTATTTGAATTCAACCGCCCTCTTGCGTGCACCGGTTGGTGGTTGTGGGTGTTGTTGCATTTGACGATTTCGCCCTCGACGGTGAAGATGACCGCTTTGCAGCCTTTGCTGTGATGGGAGCCACAGAACCATCGGGTCTTGAGGCCGACGACGGAGTGCTTGCTGAATCTATACCCGCCGAGGGCAATGACCCGGGACCCTCTCGCTGTCACCTCGTAATAGGGCTCTGGAAGGGACATTCACTTTAATAATGCTCCAGTATAAATACAAGACATTCACTTACACAGAGTTCATGTGGGCTCTATAGATGTTGAAAGGGCTAAGAGACAAATGCACGGGGTGTTTGAGAATGATTTATTCATCAGTTCATACCTATACAAAGAATTGCGAAGTCATTACTTTTAAGATTATGTAACTAAACTATAATTATACATATTTCTAAAGGCAAGGTAATAAGCGAAATGATAAAAAAACAGCTTCTAGTGAAGCGTGTCAGCGTCATTGGGTTGGTCGATGTAACGACACCCTTATAGACAAATACATTTAACCAAAATAAGTAAAACGATAATCTCAAGGGGAATATAAAAATACGGGAACAAAATATTACCTAAGTTCTATTAACCTAACTTAGCTTATTACTATTTTGCCACCACAGTGTATCTATTTCTAAAATAATAAATCAGGAGTTGGATTCATAGTATCTCCTCCGAATACTCTTACAAGATCATTTAAAATTATCTAGCCGCTCTCAGAATCTACGACAATTATTCAGCCTAAGTTAAATTTTATGTTCTCCTTTCGTGGCCTAGGGCAGCAACATAATGGCATCGGTCGATTATTTACCTGATTTTTATTATTATGATCCTAAACATTCTAAATTTTCTATACCTCGATTATAACTTTTTTTGATTATTTTCCTGAACATTTCACGTTATTTAATGAATCATGTCTTTAGGCTGCATATACTAAGTAAAATTTAAGCATTGGCTACGAGGTAAGAAAAAGAACAATGGAGACGAATCCTACCAATACTAAGTGAAATATTATAAATGTATTCATATCATGTTTGGAAATTTCTCTATTTGGCGTACGTAACTCAGATACTCTAGACTTGGCTCTTTTCTTTCGCTAGTGCTTTAAGTAACCAGTAAGTAAAAAGTATTGTATTTCTTTTTGGAACCATTAGTTTGGGCACGAACAATTTCAAATATGGTATATCAACTATCACCGTATAAAAAAGTTGCACCGGCATTTAAATAGACAACAATGGATTGTGATGATAATGACTAAGCTATTAAGCTCATGATTGTTTGTCGGAATAACGATTTTTAAAAATCTAAACTTGTTTCATCAACGTTGAAATTACTAAAATCTATTTTTTATTCTCATAACATCATTCTGATGGATATATCATAGCAAAGAGATTATAATCATAATTAAAATTAACTTTTACGTTCTATAACTTGCAAAGATTAATCGTGTAAATTATCCGCTTATTGTGAGGGTGGTGTTGGAACTTCTCTTCGTCTCATTACTTCGTAGCTTGTGAAAAAGGAGTCGCGTCGAGTCGGGGGGTGGTTGTGTGTGTTATTGCATTTCACGATTTCGTCCTCTATTGTGTATATGACGGCTTTGCAGCGTTTGCTGTGGTGGGATCCGCAGAACCATCGCGTCTTCTCGCCGATACGTTTGTGCTGGCTGAATCTGTATCCACCGATGGTGATGATGGGCGCGCCGCGGGCCGATTGCTCCAATCTGGCCGCTGGAACAAAAGACACAAGGTATAGTTCGCCCTGTAGATCAAAGATATGACTGCGGTGAAGCCACGCCGTGAATTCTGCTGTAGCATGTATATAGTACAATTCTTAAGACTTAAGACTTTCGTTTTGTGAGCAAGGTAAACCTAGGCCCACTTTCAGAGATGGCATCGCGCCTCATTTCTGATGGGAATCACTCACCCTCAGATGAACTACTTGCTCAAATTTGTCGAGCGTAGGCGTTTCACCTGATGCTACGTGATTACCGTCGCCGAAAGTTTGCCAAAGAATCTGCATAACTAGTAGGGTTGCAGATTCTTCGCTAAACCTTAAAAAAGTGAGCTCTGGTTACCTTACTCAAGAGATTAAATACACAAGCATAATACGTCTACTTTACGCTATTACTCTATAAGGCCGTGGTGTTTGCCCGCACCAATCTGCCCATTAGTGCAACAGGGAAAGCCGTTGCGCGGATGGTGTTCTATCGTTATGTGGGATTAACGTGGATAAGCTTAATGCATAATGAATTAGAAATTATATTTTGATTTTTAAAGACAGAATAGAATAGATGATAAAATATAAAAACCAAGTATTCATGATGAATTTATTTTGTATTTAGAATAAGTTTATACAGGCATACAGCCAGTACAGGCGTTAGACTGAGAATAATTAAAATATCACACTACTGAGTTTCGTCCAATAGACTGCTTATCACTATGACTCGTATAGAAAGTTATATTTGGGGGGTGGATGATTATGCAACTTGTTGCATCTGATTATTTCGTCCTGTATGGTTGCAATCATTGCTCTGCATCCTCTTTTGTGGTGGGAACTACAGAACCAACGGGTTCGATATCCTAACGTGCGATGTACACTGAACTTGTAGCCTTCAAGATAAATGTACCGGAATCCCTTAGCGGTCGTCACAAATCTCGGCTCTGGAAACATTTCAAAATGTCTTCGCTATATTTCGATGTCAAAATAAAAGGTGCAAACGTCAGACCTAACATGGCACACACAATGAGTTATCCATCAGATGTAACAGAATAGGATATCACTAAATGTCTAAGTTTCGACAATTTATTTATTTGAGATGCAATTTAAGTACAGAGATTAGCACTAAAAATTAAAATAAGAAAAGGATATGTTTTAAAGTGATGCAGTAAATATATAAATTGTACAAACAGGAATAAAAGACGTTAATGGATTTTATATTGCATAGCATCGTTAGTTAATAGTACTTTGTCCATAATACTTGAATCACAACTGCAGGCAGGCAGAAATATATAACAGAGGGAATGCACTATTAAATGAGTTATTTGTGGTAACACTATAATTTATCAAATAATTTAATAATAAAGGGCATAGTGCAGCCGTACATAGACATCTCAATTACCGTACAACTTAAAATTTTGCCAGTCAGTCATATAACTTTGCACAGGATAAATTGTGGTAAGTGCTTACTGAAGTCACTGCATGCATTTAAATATCTGCATTGAAAACGAGTGAGCTTGGTAAAATTAACAGAGTTATAAATAAAACCGTTTAATTTTATTATTCTGTGATACATTACATAATAATACACAATCATTAATGAAAATTATTTCTAAATGTTAAAGTAAAATACTAGAAATGTAGTTATTAATTATAACTCTAAACAAAAATAATAATAAAATAAAAAAAAAATTATATAATGATATATGCTTAAAAAATCGTCATATTGCTAATCGAAGACTCGTTATTTGTGTCTAGTAATTGCTTATTTTAATTAATACTTTGCTAACCTACGGTCTGTGGTGACTTACTGGAGCAGCATCAAGAAGTTTAGGGCTTAGATGACGAGATACTACAAGGCCTAAGAGTATTGCGAATAAAATGTCGAGCGTTGCAAGGGCGGGAGCTATAGCACGTGCAGAAGTCTAGAACTGTGGCAGCAACTGACTACTCTCATGTACAAAGACGGTCGTGCCTAGCGTTGCAGTGCTTCCTAGCGTCCAGTACTTTGAAGCTGTGGCGGTTTTATTCGACGTTGACACTGTAGGTTGTGCTCACGCCACCAGTGCTAGATGGAGATGGGGATGTTCACAGACGAGGATGGTTGTGCATGTTCTTCCAATGGATCGCCTCCGGGCCGATGGTGTAGACGACGGCGCGGCAGCCCCGGTTGTAATGCGTGCTGCACCACCAGCGGGTCTTGATGCCGATGTCGCACTGCCGGCGGAACTTGAAGCCGTCCAGCACTAGGAGGCGGGCGCCGCGCTCCGACAACATGAAACTCACGTCTGCAAAGAACACACACGATGCAGCCCTGGTGTAACGCCGTTTACGAACAGAGAGTAGGTGGCAGTAACTAATTGTACGCTAAGTGTTTAATTGTTTGTACAAGTAATTCGGCTCGTTTAAATATAGAATTAAGGGAATAAGAACAAAATAAAAATACATATAAAATTAAATTTATACAAAATAACTAATAGATACAAAATAAAATTTATGAAAATCGACATTTATCTGTACAGTTTATCACACATCGAATTAAGTAAGAAAATGCGCTCAAATATAAACCTTGACAAAAATGAAACAACATGTATATAAACATTCATTCGAAGTAATAATGATAAAAACACAATTCGTTTGGGCAACAAAAAATTGTGGGTTACTAAAAATGTTCTATGTCACCTGAATCTAAACCTATCTAGAGTATCTCAACCCTCTCAAAGCCATTTTTATTTTTACAATAAAGTTACTATAGTGAGTTCATGAAAATTTGTTTTTATTAAGATAAAACATACTTAAAAACAAGCAACCGAAAAAAATGCAATTTCTCTGCACTTCTGGATATCTAAAAACTAACCAAGTTGCATTTTTTATTATTATTTCAACAGCTGACTGTTCCCTACAAAATGGTACCGATCGATTCATGACTTTTATTTTGACTTAATAAATGTTTCCTAATACATTTCTGACGAGGGGCAAAATTGGGGAAATTAAACACAAATTACCGTTCAAAATTTTTTATTAAAAGGAAACAAGCAATAAAATAATTCCTTATAAAAAACAACACCTTAAAACTGTTCAAAATATTGTTTAACAAGCACTTTCTTGTGCCTAAAAATAAAATGTATTGTTTATCGACGTACCATCTTTATATCACTACATTCTTCATTTGCGGGAAGTATTCTAATCACTCACTTCTTCATCTTATGGAGACACAAGTCGGTAATGTTTATTCACTGGTTTTTGAATCCCAGAACATAAAAACGAAAGTATTTCGCGCAACTACGCCAGGAAATCTTGCATATTCTCGAATTGCAGCTGTGGCATTATCGGTATAGATATGCATATCGGTAACATGTCGACTTGAATATTCAACGCGATGACAATTTGCCATGATAAAACTCAGTAACAAATCAATTTAGAACCAATAAAAACAGAAAACTAGAATAAAATAGTGTACAAACTTGACGTGCGCGCAGCGAGTGACAACAAGTTAGTTACCGGTTCTTACCCCCGATTAAAGAATAACTAAGAATCTGGAGCTTTGTTGGATGCTGTCTCACTCACCCAAAACACATTTCTGTATTGCCTACCTGCTCACTATGGGATATTGGGGTCCGGCGCACTACCTGGAAGGGGATTGCATGCGCAAAAGTAACCGTTATATATACGAAATTTGTGCTTAAAATAAACTCTAGTTAGGGTAACAACTTTGCATTTTAATCCAGCTTTGGTATTATTTTGTAGGTAACACAACTAACTTTAGAAACAATACATAAAAATATAGTTAAAGAGCTAGTTTTTGAATGATTTGCAGAAATGCACAGAAATTTCATATTAAATGAAACTATTTTATACGCATTTTATTGCGTTTTAATTTTTATTTTTAATCCTCGACGTCTCGAACCCTCTCCAGTGTTCGTAGTCACGGGGCTGATCGGCTTGTGTATATTATGTATGTATATGTGTAATATTCGCGTAAAATCAAGAAATCAATACAGAAATTGAAATTTTTGGTGCATATGTTTTTCTGTTTTTGTTGTGTTCGAAGTATGTTTCACCTTTAGTATCAATAAATTTTGTTCAGCGTTTGATATACTAAAATGTTCTCGTTCGAAGGCCATTTCGAGGGCGTTGTAGACTAGTGGATTTATCGATGAATACTAGGAAAACACAGGGAGTGTTTTCCTGGTATTTACATTTTAAACATCGTATGTCGTGCTAATTCATTAAGTACATTTTGTTAAGTTAATAAGGCATTCTTTATACTTTATAATTAGGTTGAGATGTTGTATTATTTCTCCGTGCGTATTACTGATAGCTCTAATTATCCATGAGGCGAAACACTTTAGCTTATCTTCATGCTTTTATAGCATTGCCCCATCAGGGCCGTGCTTCGGCGGTGGGTGGTTATGGTTGTTCCTGCATGTCACGATGTTGTCTTCGACCGTGAAGAGCACCGCCTTGCAGCCGAACCTCTGGTGCGTGGCGCAGAACCACCGGGTCTTGTACCCGGTCGTGCAGTGCCGGTAGAAGTTGGACCCGGATATGGAGACCATTCGCGCACCGCGGGAGGTCGTGACGAACACGGGATCTGAATCAACAAAGTGCTCCGTTGCCCAGTTGGAAAAGTACAAGCCGTGTTTCAGGGCAGTTCTCACTGCTCTCGGCCAACGATTAAAACCTAAGCCATGGTCCGTACAGAACTCCGGCCCGTAGGTGCTCCAGTAGATAGCGCGCGCATGACCACATGTGTATTTCAAGTGGTGCGTTGTATCCCGAAAACTAGTCTCTGATTTTATAATAAGATTATTTCGTCTGTACAGATAAGAAAAATTATGTAGTGAAGGGATTTATTAAATAAATGCATTTAAAGACCTCCCATACGATTTTATTTTGGTATATATGCTTCAGAAGCTTACTGAAATTAGGTTTGTGAGATATTATTTTTGAGGTTAATACGATAAAAGAAGTAATTAACATCACGGACTTGAATGAACTATAATCTACATCGTGCTTCGATTGCATTAAGTTCTGTGCGCAAAAGTAGACATCGTCATAAATTATTATTTCAATACATATTAAATATTTACATCGTAAGCCGAATAAAACTAATCTATGACATATAAATATACTATCGTATATTGAAGATATTGTATTTCACATTTATCGTAATTTTAAAGCTTTTGATATAAAAAAATTACCATATATACATGCATAAAATTTATAGCATATAGTTAGGCCTTCGTAAGTTTGCAGTTCATAATTGAACTCATGTCGTGTCTGCTAGTCTATTATCCGCTAGTTGTAAATTAACAGATGTCGTGTCTTTTATCGGCTAGTTGAAGAGGAGGTTGATTGGCCCGTGGTTGTGTTCGTTTCTGACTTTGACTACGGTGTCGTAAACGGTTGTCACGGTCGCCCGGCAATGGTACGAGCAGTGGCGGGAGCACCGCCAGATCCTCCTGATGGCGGCCTTTCCCTTCAAATGGTAGGTGTAGCCCTGGTACTGGAGCATCGTGTTCCCTTTCTTCGACATTATGTATTGCACGCAATCTGAAATCAGTATCGCGATTAATCAATGCAAGGGTGCGTATGGTGACCAGTGTATAGGCGACGACCACGATTGCAAAGACAGCCCAAAGTATTGGGTGACTTATTATCAATCGCCTTTATGTGCAGTATGGGAAATTAATGTAAGTGTTCGATAACTAGTTGTTCTGAGTCCGGAAAACCCATAAAACTGGTTAATTCTTAACAGTTGTCGGTATTAGAGATAGTAAAAGGGTCTGTGAAATCGGTAATTATTCAGAATGAGTGTTTGAAATTACTAGTATTAGTCGAAACTTGAGACCGTTAGGTATAAGTAAAAAGTAAGTAAAGTAACAGCCTATACATGTCCCACTGTTGGGCAAAGGCCTCCTCTATACTGAGGGTATCAGGGCATAGTCCACCACGCGGCCCCACTGCGGATTGGCGGACTTCACATATCTTCGAAATATATTTCTTTTGTTATTATTTCGAAAATATGTAGGTTTCCTCACGATGTTTTCCTTCACCGCGGAGCACGTGATAAGTCAGCACTTAAAGTTAAAAACTTCATTGGTGCCGGCACCGGGGATCGAACTCAGGTTGCTCGAGTATATTGAATTAAAGGCGAGCGCCCGGACACTGAGCTATCACGGCTCTCAATTTACGTTAGGTATAAAACTTGCCCAATTGCAGAGGGTAAAGAATGGCGCTAGTTGTGTTTCCAGTATTTTTATTGGGTTATAGTCGATCATTCATTCAATTAAAATGTTAACGATATAGTCTAAGAGCTAGCAACGTTTTCGATAGAGAATTTCAGGTAGGCCAGTTTTTACATATGCTCTCACTCTCCCGGACGTCATACGGGCTATCTGGCTGGCGTTCATCAGGCAGTTTAAACAACAATAAAAATATCTTGCAATAATAGTTTGAATTTTAATTCATGTTGTAAAAAGTTCAATTAAAATAATAAAAAAAAAAGAAACCTTAAAATTAATAATAAATTATTTGAAAAATTGATATTTTACATGTACAGGTACGATGCGCACTGATGAACGTATACGTATACTGAATGCAACCTCTACCACCAGCAGATAGCGTATAACTTCCGGGAGAGTCTGAGAGATAGCATATCTAAAAACTGGCCTACCCGAAATTCTTGTTTTCCCGACGTTGCTAGCTCTTATACCTATACGCTCAAAGACGGATTGTTTATTAATACAACTTTCGGGAAACTGTCCAACGGTTTCAAAAACAATATAATTGCTTTTTAATTATTCTATACAAAACAACAATTATTTAGAAATATGTACTATTTATAAAAATATTATCAATCAGACGTTCACCAGAATAGTAGTGTTGATTGAAAGTCTGTATAAAAATAATTGACATGTACAATCTTAAACCTTCGTCACAAATACATATTTTTTTTCTTAAAGCAGTCGTGAAGTAGTTAAAACTGTTCTGATTTAGTCTTGTACACGTAAGAAAACAATTACAAATTGCAAACATTGTTATGGCTTCACTGTCAACAAAACAATACGTCAAAGTTTTACACTCGAGATCACTAGTAAAATTAATATTTACACAAGCCTACGAATTTTGATATAACACTATTTGTGGCAATATCTACCCAAATGCCGGAAGAGTTTTCACATTACAGAAGCACAGTCTAGTAAATCCAGTACACTACACTTACGCGTGATTTACTAGACTGTGGCCATAATCTAGGAAGGAACTTGGTATATGGATTGGATGCTTTTACACCAGGTCGCGTCGTTCTGCCGAGGCAAGTGATCGTGAATATCGTTTACTATGACGATGATGTCGTCAACGGTGTACAGGGTGGCGGGACAGCCGTGTGCTGCGTGCGTGGAGCACCTCCAGCGTATCTTGGGGCCTGTCGACGGTCGGGCTGAATAGTACGTGTAGCCTCTTAGCCTGATCATCCTCTTGCCTCTGCGCGATATCACGAATTCCGCTGAAAAGCAATTCACCATTAGAAAACTCGATCGCTTGACTTCGATACACAAATTTCTCGCTCTTCACTAAGAAATCCATCGCTCTGACTTCACTTATCGTGTGCCAGGACATTTTCGGAGGAAGAGAGAGCACTGAGAGAACAGACTAAGTGATAGTTCTTTCAATTTATTGCTTTTAAAACTTTGTAGCGAGTTTGTAGGGATTTCATATACTCATAATGGATATTGTCCAGAATTGTTCTCGATGCTTGCAAACATTCTTGGAGCAACCATTGAGGTGGGCTGTGGAAGGTGTCGGCGTCGTCCTAAAACTTGGTACAACTTGCGTGGGAGGCGGGTGTTTGCTTCTTGGGGTGTGTGTGTCTTAGTGAGAGGCGGGTGGTAGTTAGTTTCGTGGCGGGTGTGTGTGATTGTCCTTGATCACGACGATCTCGTCGCGGTAGGTCTGCACGGCGGCGTTGCAGCCGCAGTACGCGTGGGTGGAGCAACGCCACCGGATCTTCGGCCCGATGGTGCTCGCGTAGTACGTGTAGCCGTTTATTCGTAACATCCTTTTCCCGCGCTGCGACGTCACGAACTCGACTGCAAGTGCGGAAACATAGCCCCGATATTATTACAACGGCTGAGTTGTATCTTTAACGCTGGCAGTCTTTGGCGTGACGACGTGATCAGTCGGTCATTTTATGGATTTTTTTTTAAAGTTACAAGATTGCAATCGAGCTGACGGTTCACCTGATGTTAATTGATAACCGCCGCCCATGGACATTTGAAATATCCAAAGTACGGTGTCCTTTCAACCTACCTTTCAACAGAGTGCGTCCCGGTTTGCAATGAACATTTTTTTACTATCTATACGTTACTTTCAATTAAGAGAGAACTAAAACAGCGCGTCGATACTACGAACATTTATATTTCTCCAGTAACAAGTACTTGTGAGATCCATTGAAATTATTGAATACATTAAATGTGTTAATTACATATAATTTTAAATATTATATATACCTAAGTACGCTAATAAAAACAAAATAATACAAAGTTATCCTTAATGGCATTTGAGCACTATAATATTTATACATTCTATGTATTGTAACTCGTATTAAACTTAATTTGTTATTAATTAAAGTACAAATAAAGTGTAAATAAAAAATTTGTACATTGAAACATTAATAAATAAAAATAAATTCTTCATTTTTTAAAATTACAAAACCATCAGTGCATCAGTAAAATAAATATATAAATTTAATAAAAACATAAACTTCGATATGTTTACATATGTGGTAGTCACATCACTACACTTTGTCCGTTTGTACTTGGGATCAGTCGAGCCAGATTACACTACGATCTTCAGCTTATTCTTGCATCTGGTGAGCCTCGGTACGTTTCCAGCGGTTGGCGGGTGGTTGTGTTTTGGGCACATGGTGATGACCTCGTCGTCCATTGTGACTATGAAGGCGGAGCACCCCTGCCCGCTGTGGGAGCAGCACCGCCACCTTGTCTTCGTGGTCTTGGATGGGAGCGAGTAGTATCTGTAGCTGTTCATCTTGATTATCCGGTTGCCTCGCGAGGATCTCACGAATTCCACTGTGAAAGTTTTTATGTTAAGCGCGCGTAACGCACATAATTACATGTATACATACAATTGGTCATAATTAATAATGTGGAGATATGAAATGTTTATAAATTTGTTTTTATTAAAAACAGCGTCTCTCCTTCTGGTTCGAAATACCGTGAAGAATAGTGCTGTTTGATTGCCAAAGATAGTACTTATATATGTATATAGAAAAAACGAGAGTAAAGGAAGTAAGGGGTGTCCGTAATATTCATTGTTATTTTAAATATGAGACAGAAAGAAGCATAAAATTGCTTGAATTGATTAAAATGACATTGGTTACAAGAGTACTTAAGATCGAAGCATAATGTTTATTAAGTTTCGATCTCATACTACACACTACTCCTATATTATAAATTACATTCTCTTGCACGCATTTAAAATGAAACGGATTGATGGATTTTTTTATTTTATTCAGCTTTGTTTTAGGTGTGATAGTGACGTATCTATTTTTAAGTAATAATAGTCATTGAAAATAGTTTTCCACAAACATGTTATTGCTAAAAGCAACTACATCTGCTATTAATAAATAAAATCCTGTGTCTCGAACTAGTTTCGAAACCACTTCCATTGAGAACACAACAACCCTTTACGTTTTTCCCAATAGTTTCGCAACAACACAACAGTCCTTTACATTTTTCCTAATTGTGATATTTTCAGAGCTAGGCAATATATTAGACGGCATTTGGAACACACAATGTTGCCATAATTTTCATACGAATTACCGCTTCAATTACGTCATTGATTCGATACAAACGATTCGCATCCCAATGCAAAATTTTAGAAATAGGCAGTAGGTTCTATGCTTCATGAGTGTGATCCTGGTTTATAGTCAATATCTCGTCTTCAACTGTGACGATGGCGGCGCGGCAGCCTTGCGGATAGTGAGTGGAGCAACGCCACCTCACTTTGGGGCCCTTGGCCCGAGTGGAGCAATACGTGAAGCCGTTCAGTCTTATCAGCGGCCTGCCCTTCTGTGACGTTATGTACTCCGCTGAAAAATAAAATTCGAGCTGAAATACTAATATACAGCGTTGCTATGCATAGCTGACGTTATGACCGCTATCACAATCCACATTAATATTTGACGAATTCTAATAAAAAACACATATAATATACTTAGGAATCAAAATGCCTGGAAGCAATGTTTATGGATAGCCATAAAACCTACAAGAAAACTGTAGTAATACTTTTAAGCAGTTAATTGCAAACGTTGCGTAAGTTTAAGATAATTAGTTTTTTTTTTTCCGGAATTGTCGATGGGCCGACCCATTCATGTAAGGAATAAAGCTCCCACCATAGTGAATGTTTGGTTATTAAAAGTAGTAATAACTTTGCCCCATTCAAATTCATTTGAATAGGAAAGTTATTAAAGACATCACTTTGATGACACGTCTGCATGATTTATGTCTAAAAGTTTAATTATGCATGTTTTTGTCTCCTACTAGATATTTTTGTTTTAAACTCTATTTTGACAAAGTGTGATTGCAAAACAAATTTTTCGCATTGACTTAATTTAATTACGTTGTAATATATTATTACGTTGGAATATATTAGATATAGAATAGTAGAGCAATATTTATAATCCTAAAGACCATTGCGACCTAGAAGATCAATTGTAGTCTTCCTTTCGAAACCATTGTCCCCTTAGGGGATGGGATGGGATGGTATGGGATTACATTATCCTGTTTTGTAAAGACGTTTCAAATATATAAATTTCACGCGGGCCAACACCCAAATCCAAAACAATTTTCTGTGAGTAACAATAATAATTGTCCTGTGTGGGAATCGAACCCACGATCCCCGAAGCCATCATCTTGAGAACTGCGCCACGGAGTAATCTACTTTATAAAATCTGATATTCACAACATATTTTTTTAGAAAAAAATATTACAAAACTAGAATAATTTGTGATTGGAAGTAATTATATTGGTCGCTTAAGTTGATTTTATCTTTACCACAAATACTTCCCTATGTAAATAGTACTCGTAGCACTATCATTATATCTTGGAGTAATTTTAATGTAAGTTTTATAGCATTTGAACAATTTATGTATGTATTTTATTGTATTCATATCATGGATCAACAAATGAAACTAGTCTGTTTTTGTCTGTTAGTAACGGTAAGCGACAATTTGAAGTTTTCGAACGTTTACAAACAGCAAATTTCCAACTATTTATTTAGAAACAATTTTTTAAAGATTATACAATAAATAGGTGGCACCGAGAGGCAAAGACAGCCTTGCAGACTTATTTTTAAAATTTATTATAAGACATTTAAAAAGCTTTTCCAAAATTCATCGAGACTTATCGTACTTGATGAGGTACTATCAAAAGGTACTATCATTTATTTTATATAAACCATTAATAACTTTAACGTTCATAAATTCGTTAAATATTAACATACAATTTTTTCCATGTCATTTAAACTTACAAAAGACCTCTTTATGAATGTATGACGATAAATAAAGTATCTCAGCTGCAAAAAAAAATAACTTTCAAAAAATTATATGTTTATTATATCTTATTATTAACATATTGCATATACAATTATTAGTACCAACAATTTCCTTACATTCGATAAGTCTGATTTTCATTATAATGAAATCTTATCAATTTTTTTCTCCAATATTATATCCATACGAATTTCACCGAAGTACAAGTAAATATTATACTACAACGGTTTTACACATGATTACGAAATATTATAGTGCAACCGTTCTTCAGTAATCTTATTCTGTCTTCTCATGTTACACGTAACCCTGTGTTTAGAAATCTTTATCCAGCTGTGATAGTGTTCGCGCGTATATACGAGTACGTGTGTACACATTTATTTATTTGGCACTATGTTTACATTGAACGACCTCATAGACTGTAAAATAAAACCGTTTAAAAACTTTTAAGTTAAACGGTTTTATTTTATGTGCACTGAAAACTACAATATTGTATTGTCATCTAAATTAAATGTGTGTACCAAATTTCAGATCAATCTGACAACGGGAAGGTGCTTAAATTTCAATTTCTAATTTTGACCCAAATAAATAAACAAATAAATTCCGTACGGGTCGAGCTAAATAAAACCGTTTAAAAATCAATTATTAGTACTTTCTAGGGGCGCGTGGTTGTGTCTCTTCTTAATTGTAACAATTTTGTTATCCACGGTGTATAGGACCGCGTTGCAGTTGGAGCGGTGATTGGTTGAGCACCTCCATTGCACCTTGGGCCCCGTCCTCCTCGCCGAGTAATACGTGTACCCTTTCAGCTTCACCAGGCTCCTGCCCTTCTTGGACATCACGAATTCGACTGGAAACGGACACGGGTTAGGCTTGACGCACATTGGAATAAGGTGACCAGATAGCAACGGTAGTTTTTGACGCCAAAGTTAACGATAACGTCGGCCCGTCAACGTATTCAGAAAGGGTTGCCATTGTATCATGCATCGTTTCACGCTTGCTGAACATTTGGAAACTACTGAAAAGTAGTTTAGCACTTTTTCAGTAGTTTCCGAAATTGGATCGAGCTAACTTTCAAAAATTGGATCGAGCGCTTGAAGTTCTGCCAGCGAAGTTAAGGCAGACATTTGAGTTATGGGCCATTCCGTACATAATGCCATAAACTCAGCTTCAAAATTAAACCGGAATCAATTTGATATCTCACACCGTCGTTGTTTTATTTAAATTGGTTTTCCTATCGTTCCTATTCGGTAACCGCATAAATAAAATATGTATTTTTACGTCAACAATAGACCACTATACTGTTTTCGGTTTTTGTTTTTAAAAGAACTATGCTTACTTTAGGATAACATTATCCTGTGTTGTAAGGACGTTTTGCAAACATTAATTTCACGCGGACAAACACCCAGATGCGAAACAACTATTTGTGGGTCACACAAATAGTTGTCCCGTGTGGGAATCGAACCCGTGACCCCTGACACCGAAACCGATATCTTGGCCACTGCGCCACGGAGTCATCGCCATCATACTACCTACGAAATAATTCGAACAGAATGTTTTTTGGGTAGTATGATAGGCGACAGAATGACAGCCATTTTATTTTCCCCCCATGCGCTTTCTGAGACTTTGATACCTTACCGAGCCCATTCAGTGTAGTGCAGTGCAATGCTGTAACCATACACATATTTCTGCTATAGTGGCATGCCACTATACCTAAATAGCTGAACGCCCATTTGGAATGAATTATCAAATATATTTAAATCTAGTCCAACATCGACATCCAACAACTATTTAAATATGTCTGTTATTGTGATAATTGTTAAACATTTGTATTGCACTTAGTTTATAAGCGATTATTAAAAAGGAAGGGAACATTGCGATTTAATGTTTGTAATAATAAAGTCTTCCGCAGACCCTGGCCATAGCCGGAATTAATGCCAGGTAGAAAAAGAACAATAAGACTTACATTTAAGGCTTTATAATGTCGGTTTAAGTTTGAACTAGATTTTATTTTTTTCATATGTTGTCCATATCATCACTACATAGTGTAAAGTAAAGTCGTCCCGCTGTCAGTCTGTCCCTATGTATGCTTAGAACTTTAACGGATTTTGATGCGGTTATTTAATAAATAGAGTGATTCAAGAGGAAGGTATATATGTATAATTCATGCGTAGTATAGCAGAGAAACACTGATAATTTTAGAAGTTTCTAATGCGATGTCGAAAACAAACATTCAGCCGTGCACAGCCGGGGCGGGTCGCTAGTTTAAATATAATGTTAGAAGTAAAGATAAACTGAGACACGTTTTTGTTTCTTTCATATAAGACGTTTTATATAAACGGTTGGAATCAGTCAATGTAAGTTAGTCGTTTATTAAATTGAGTGATAAATTTGAGTAAATATTGAAGAGAAAGTTATCCAACAATAAATAAATCTTGCATAACATAGATGCACCAATAAATAATTTAATAAATAAGTAAATATGAACACAAATGAATCAGATAAAGGCTTAACAATTTTTGAAATGTTTTGCTTTATCAATATTTCTCAGGGCTTTCTTTTCCGTAGACTACTATGAATTACTTCATCATTAAATACATAAAGCGCGCTAATAAAGAAATATGTTGTGCGCGCTAATAAACAGTACAAGGAACATCATTTAAGGTCGATATACAATAAATAATGTGACCCCATGTGCATAATCTATATTTTACTTAATAAAGAAATTATACAAAAAGAGATTATATAAAATAAAAAAACATGTTAAAGAATAACAAACAATAAGTAAGAGATGTAACCTAATAGTTTAGCCTAATATTTTCTGCCGTTACTTTGTTTATACATTTATCGAATTTGCATATAATTTAAAACTTGTAGAAAAAGTACGAAAAGATAGATTGTCGCAGCGGTGGGAATCGAACCCACGTCTTTGGCATTCGCGGCTTGACGCTTTAGCCACTAAGCTAAACGGCTGATTGCCACACCGTCGAAAATCTTAACGTGTTTTATCTACATTTTTATTTAGCATTTGAAGCAATGCTTGGCGTATCTATTGTTATATTCTTTCCAGCATACAAACAGAGATTAGCACTATAAAAAAACTTTAAATTTGCCTATAATTCCTCATAAACATCCGACCCTGTTTAAAAGTAATATAGAAAAAAACAATCGAAATAGTATATCCTCTAACTCAGGGGTGAGCTACCTTTTTAATCAATGGGCCAATTTAAACTTCAAATTTTTTGAAGGGCCGCAAATAATAATTTACGAAACTTTATTTATAATAAATATTAGAATAAAAAAATATAAAATTAAAAAAAAGCAAAGATTTCATATACAAATTTTAATGCAGGGTAAAAACAAACAAGATAAAAACAGAAAAACGAACAAAAAATATTTCGGTTCAGTATCTACTATCATTTTATTATAATTAATTTTATAATAATATATTGATGGGAGAAATTCGATAAAATAAATTCAATTTTAGAAATGCTTGGCGGGCCGCTGAAACATGTTTAAGGCGCCGCAAGCGGCCCGCGGGCCGCGCATTGCTCATCCTTGCTCTAACTAATTACGCATGCCTCACCTTCGTAACACAATGTATAGCAGAAATTGTTATTGTATTAGGATTTATAAAAAAATTACCAAATAGAATAAAAACTTTAAATTGAAAGTTGTTTAAGCAGAGCTTGTTTACTTTTCTAATAAATAAATGCTATTATTGCACTAATGACAATAATTTGTAAAACAGTTTACTAAATTATGATTTCTTAAAAATTTGATTGAACCTAAGATACGCTGATGATACTACGCTTCTGGCAAGAACAAAAGAAGAATTAGAAGAGCTGCTGGCTCGACTTGAATCCACCAGTGTCAACTTCGGTCTTGCTCTAAATAGAGATAAGACGAAGATCATGATAGTAGACCGGGCTGAGCACAGTACGCAAGGAGTCCCGCGTATAGCAAACTGCAAAGTAGTTCAGAGCTATATTTTCCTCGGCTCTACTATATCCAACCTCGGTGGCTCTGAAGACGAGATCCAGCCTCGATGCGCTATCACACGGTCGGCAGTAGACCGATTAGAGAAGATTTGGAAAGACAGACGTATAACTAAGAATACAAAGGTTCGACTAATGAAATGTCTGGTATTTCCGATCTTTCTGTATGGGGCTGAAACATGGTCGATTAGATTACAAGATCGCCGGAAAATCGATGCCTTGGAGAAGACTGTTGAAAATTCCGTGGACACCGTTTCGGACTAATATTTCCATCCTCAAAGAACTTCATATACAAAATAGACTTTCGTCGACTGTCCAACTACGAATTCTCAAGTTCTTTGGGCACATCTCTAGAAAGGAAAATTCTATGGAGAGACTTGTCATTCAAGGCCGTGTAGAAGGCAAAAGACCTCGAGGTCGAGCCCCCACGCGCTGGATTGACCTCATCACCAGCACTACGAAAGCCACCGCAGTACAATGTGCTCGCATTGCTAACAGCCGCGTCCAATGGAGGAACATCGCAAGACGTGCGGCTGCCTGGGAAGCGAACAGCGACGACGAGACGCAATCCTGTCCATCGACAGCCACGACCACTCTGCCAAGAGTGTCCGTTTAAGAAGATTTTAACAAATAAACGTATCTTTCTTTCTAATAATTAATAATTTACTTACAAATTCCACATGGCAAAATGTTAAGAGTTAGGAGCTAATTTTAATTATAATCTCTTGTATTTACGCGATTGAATAAAATAAAGTATATTTACGGAATTATCGCGTTTATTTTTAAATTTTATTTCCCGACGTTTCGAACCGTTCACAGCGTTCATGGCCACGGGACAGACTGAGGCGTTGGACGTCTGAATGTCACAGTTAAGTTGGGCTACCGTCATTTTTCATTCATTTTTTCTTACCTTATTGGATACGATACTACTTATGATCAAACAAATTCAACAAAATGAAATACACAACGATAGAGCGACTTTTATTTACAACATCATTACTTAAAATCTTAACATACGTTATACATATTGACTTAGCATATTTTGTAAATAGCATAAAATATGTGATTCACTTATTTTTATTATAACTGGAGGGCTAGGTTAGTAAAGACTGAGATCCATCGCATTTGTACACAGTGAAAAAAATTAACTATCTCCCATTTGTACCCGGTGTACTGTTTGAGACTAGAGGAGGGAATTGATTTCCCCCTTCCCTTGCCATCATCGGACATCTCCATGGCACACCTCCATATATTTTATTATCAACATTCCACGCAATCGAACCTTGCCTTGGACCGATAACGTTGAAGAATGTTCGATGCATGGAATGTCGCCCATGAAATTCATGGAAATCAATAAAATGCCAGTGCCTATCTTTCCATCCAAATATAACGTCTTAAGGCAAGAATGGCTTTATTGCGTCGTGCGTTTTCCAATTATTTAACTGCACTGTCACTTCCCATTAGGCGGTAATTAATAATAATAAATAATAACCCTTTCGCCCTAACCCTCGGCCGTTTGGTCTCCCCTGCCGAGGGCTTCCGTCTGGTTGGATCGTATTTATATATGTATTATATACAACATTTATATGTATATGTTTATTTTTATCCATAATACTTATTTTATATATGCTATCTATATTTTTATTTTTATTTATAAACCCAACCAGACCAGAAAACAAATGAATATCCCCCCAAATAATAATAAATATTTCGGACACATTTCTTACACAACATTCTCTAGTCCCATACTAAGCAACGCTTGTACTATGGGTACTAGAAAACTGATAAACCTACTTAAACATACTTTTCTTTTGTAAATAAATACATATTATACATATATAAACACCCAGACACTGGAAAAACACGATGTTCATCACACAATATTTTTCCAGTAGTGGGGATCGAACCCACACCCTCTGGCGCTGGAGGCAGGGTCACTACTCCCCACGCCAATTGATCAACTGGTCAGTTTTTTTATGCAAAAAATGATAAACTGGGTAAAAAGAACAATCTTCGTCCATCACCTCTTATATCATAATTTGTAGAACTTATAATTTATACACACAAACACACTATTATTTTGACTTAAAATTTTATGGAACTACTGAAACTAATCTAAACTTTTAATACGATCGATGAATTTAGTAATCCTCTTCAATCAACGGATCTAATATCTGGAGGAGTTTTTTTTTTTAACTTTTAAACCTTCTTTATAACCATGTTCTCAAAAATAATCATGTGACCACGAGTGGATCTAAAATATTCTGTTCTGAGATAAATTTCAATCAACATCTTTGTCGAAAAATAGTAAAAATTTCCAAATGCGTTCTGTGCTTGAACTATTTCTTAGATGGTTGTCGATGACTTCGATTTAATACGATGGCGGATGGTTGTGGTCATTCTTCACGGATATGATCTCGTCATCGGCAGTGTAAATGGCGGCACGGCAGCCCTGGTGGCAGCCGGTGGAGCATCGCCAGCGTATCTTGAAGCCCGTGTTGACTGACGAGTAGAAAGTGTAGCCGTCCAGCTTTATCAAGCGCTTGCCCTTTTGTGACGTCACGAATATTGCTGCAAGGGAAATCATCACTCACTTAGTACAGTTCTGTTAAACATCACTTTGTTTACACGTTAGAGTTCGTGTCTTTTCTGTGTATGTACGAGTATACGCAACGAAGCCGTGAGACGGCTGGGATTGATGGAGGAGATTTTGGTTGAAAAAATAAAAGACTGAACCTCTTTTAAACATCGCAGGATAGTTTAAGCTTCTTCCAATCGTTTAATAGGTGTATTAATTTTAAACTATTGAGGACATTCAAAATTTGTGAATGACGTTGAGATTAAGGAATATGTAGTAAATGATATTAAGAAACTGGTTAGAATATAATGTGTTGTAGATTGCAGGTGTGCAAATGATGAGTCTCACCTCTCCTTTATCCTTTCCTTTTCTTTTTTATTATACGAGTCATAACTAACAAAATATCGAGCACCGCTGAATTAAACAAAAACGTCAGGGTATTCTCCATCATATGCTATATTATTGTTGATATACTGGGGACATACAAAACACACGATTGGTTTCAAAAGCGCAGCTTTGGTTTATTCATGTTACATATAACTACTACGTTAAACAGTGTTATAATAATATTTTTAACAACGAAAAAACTAAAGCAAAATCATCTTAGATATTCCAAAAAATCAACATTTATTACTAAATTTTATTGGTGTTTTTTAACATTGTTAGTAGGTAATAAAATTATTTTTCAGAATGTTACTTATTTTATATACATCAAAAAATTATAATACGAAAGCACCAAAATTTGAGACTAGGATTAACAAATCACCTAAACTGCAGATAGATGCAAGCTTAAGTTTATTCAGTCTACGATTTATGAATCGTTTTCGGCAACATCCTGTAGTTATTTGGTTGCAGTACTTATTGGTAGATAGAGCTAACGCTTGCGAGATTACTAAGTAACGGGTAGTACTTAAAGCCCCAACTATATGCAGCGGTCAACTATTTCTGGAGTGTGGACCATTTTACACACGCACCAGTGTACCACGACAGGCTCGTCCATTGTCAGTATTGTGCATTAAATCTTAACTGACAAGATACGTAATAGTTACCCCCTCTACGTATTAGTAATATGATTACACGCGGAATAGAAAGCTTCTCAATAATTTAAAAAGTTTGATTCTGTTAAGGACGAGCTTTTAAACTCGTCAAATGCCAATCATCTCTCAACATGCGGGTATCGCCCTCCTGTTCTAATCGCTTTCTGTCTCACTCACTCTGCAAGTTGGCAGTGGTGATCATCGATGACTCTCGGCCTTGTGGTCAATTTATTTTTAGATACGATGAATTTACAATACACGCTACACTCACGGAACTCTAGGAACATTGGTAACATTAAGTTTCGGGCGACTACCTTTACTTTGACTGATCTCAGTCCGTAGACAAATAAGGCTTCATCGAATTGTGTCATTGGCGATATCATAAAGACCGCCAACTGCCTTAGAAGAAGAAGAAGGCTTCATCTAAGGCAGAACTCACGGGCTAGCCAGAACCCACGCTAGATACGGCCCTTACGATTCCCTTACGTTCTTGTAGGGCCTTTACGTTTGACATTCACTTGTAAAGAACGGTGGTGGGCGGCGGATGGCTGTGCTGGTCCATCACGCGCACGATCTTGTCGCATATTGTGTGTATAGCTGCTTTGCATCTATGCGCCGAGTGGGAGGAGCACCTCCACCTTCGCATCGGGCTCCTTTGCGGCGTCGACGAGTACGTGTAGCGGTTGTACTGTATCATGCGTTTGCCCTTTTGCGATATCACGAACTCGGCAACTGAAATGTTGACGAACCTGTCATTGGTGTGTTGGCAGGTTTGACGGTGACACGTGTCGAAAGTGTTTTGACGGCGCAGGAATAATTATTATGTTATTTGTATATATAATTTATAGTATATTATGATGATAGATACTGATTGTTTTAATTTCTACACTAAACTATTACAAATTTAAGAGATATTGTGCTTTATCGAAAAATTAGAGACAAATTAACAATATGTTGTGATAATAATATAAGACATTCATAAAGTATTTATACTAATCGACTTTTTTCTCGTAAAAAAAGGCGTTGTAACAAAAAGTATAAAACTGCCTGCCATAATAAACAACATATTAAACGTTTTATAGTGTAGTTGTTATGACAGATACGGCAGAAAGAAAAAAAATGCTGAGAAAGTGTAATAAAAGTCACCAATGTATTGAACGACCAGAAATTTATTCATTCCTTCCTCCCTTCCTTTATTCATTCCTGGCTCCCAAAGCCAGTTCGTGCCAGTATATGAGGCTTAGAGCCGCCTCTACGGCTCGTGGCCGTGGGTGCCGACGGAGTTCACGATGACGTCATTGCACGTGTACAACGTGGCCTTGCAGCCGCGCGTGTGGTGGGAGGAGCAGTACCAGCGCACCACGGCCCTGTCGCCGCCGTACTTCGGCCACGCGGAGAAGTTGTACCCGCCCACGCGTATCTGCCACTTGCCACGCACTGACGTCACGAATTCCGCTTCTGCACAGAATGACGCATCGCGCGGGTGACATTAAAAGCGTTCATAGAAGAGTGCGCCGTCGTGTCAGCTGTTACTAGCATTTCCGGAAAACTTACAAACCTGCTAGACGCGAGCCTAAAAGATATATGACGGTATTGTACGAAATCTGACTGTGCTAAGTTACATAGACTTACGTCAGGTTTCTGAAACACTGATCATCGTAGAAGTCAACTAATCAGCTGTCAAATGGATTTTCAAATGTTATTTTATTTGCCAAAAGGATTAGTAATCTTTTTGAATTGATCATTCTGATCATTAACAAGATCATTCTGATGATATAACAATACTTTTGGCAACTCAACATTTGAAAATTCATTTGACAGCTGATTAGTTAACTTCTACGATGATCAACGTTTCAGAAACTGGGCGTTAGCATCCGTTTTCCTTAGTTCATAGTCAGAATGACAACCTTATTTATGTGTGAAGAAATATTAACAATAAGGTGTCAGTTTTTTCACCTTAAGATATTTACTAGAGACACTTTTAAAACGGTTTGCGAATACAGAATGAAACGGTTCGCTTGAATGAACGAAACGTTTCTATTCTTCGCATCAGTATCATTACAAATGTAATCGCGTCACCGTGTTAGAGACAAAAATAGCCCAAAATGACAGCTGTTGCAGTCGGTAAATGGATATGTGCCAATCTGCTAGGATTGTCATCGATTAAAGTCACAGACTGACGGACGGAGTGCTTCATGAGGAACTTTTTTATGTAATTCATTAAGTTTATGTGTAAATTGACTGATATTTTATTTCAAATTATCTATCCCATTCTAATACAAAATACGTGAACCTTGGCTATTTATGAAGAATGATTATGCACCGGTTTGCAGGACACGATGACGTCATCAACAGTATGTATCACCGCTTTGCATCCTCTGGAGTGCTGTCTGTAACAGTACCACCTTGTCTTCAAGATACCACCCGTTATAATTCTTGTGAGATGCACAGAATAAAGGTAGCCTTGGTACTTCAACAGCCGATTTCCTCTCCTCCCCATAATATATTCTGCCGTCTCTGCAATAAGTACATTCTGTTACTCTTACCTCAATAAAAAGTATTAACAGCACATCAATCACGCATGTCACCTCGAGGCTTGGCAGAGTTCTGCATTTCTGAATTAATCCGACCCTCGAAAACACAGTTCACCTGATGTTAAATGATTACCGCCCATGGCAGACTACAAAATCTGACAGAGATCCAGATGCGTTAACAAACTTACAAGTGAGCCTCGGCTACCTAGCTCACCAAACGAAGGGCGAATGGGTTATACTTCCACTTCACGCTGGTCATCTGTGAGGTGGTGCTTCACCAGACGAATCTATCCATTCGTGCAACAGCAGAAGCTGCTATGTGGCCCTACCACAGCGACAACTAGTTTTGAACCGCGGTTTCGGCCCGCGGGAATCTTTATAAAATGAAATACTTGCTTGAATTCTGAATAGTCTTATTCCAGCCTGGCTGTCACTATTCCAAATTACATTCTTATAAATAACCTTTGCCGTATAGGGACGAAACACTGAAAGAGAATTCAATAACATTTGAAAATCCATTTGACAGCTGGTTAGTTGACTTCTACGTTGGTCAGTGTTTCAGAAACCGGCCGTAAGTGTCTGACGTTAACACTTCAGCGTTGTGTCATGTACAGGCGTACGCAGAGACAATAGTAGCTGGCTCCCTCTAACGCAGCCCTCTCCCTCCCACACGCGCTATAACGTCTCTTCTCTGTACTTGCCACGAATCTACGATGATCATCTCCACCCGAAATAAAGTTGTGCGTTTGCAAAAAAGCGTTCGTTAACGACCATTTGGCAGGTCTTCTGGTATCACTTACTAATAATAATATATAAATATCGATATATTTATATGACAAGCGGCCCAGTGTTTTCGTTTGTATATTGTACAATGTATAACATACAATGTACATATCATTAAACGAAAATATACAATGTTCTGTAATATACAATCGAAGGATTTCTTTTTTAATTTTATTATCTTCTCTGTTTTTTGTTCTGGAAATTGTTGAAAAAATGGCGAAAAAAATTCTATTTTTAGAAAATAATGAAATAAAATAATAGTAAAAACGAGACAATATAAGAAATTATGTATTTTATTACAAAATACCGTTATTTACATTTATCTGTAATTAAGGTTTGCTTAATTAAACATTGATTATAAATTTTATTTTATTTTATTTAGTAAATTATTTAGTAAAGGTATTATTAGTAATAATACCTTTACTCTACACTTCATTGCTGAAGTTACAATTTACTTAAGTTTTAAAATTGACTTAAATATCTCTTTATATAACAAAAACATAAAACTCCTTTCATAATTATCATTTCAATGCGAAACCAAAAGTTTTAAATTAATTTAAGTTAGCCAGTGAATATACCAACGAATTCACCAACAAATCAAATGTAACATTTTAAATTACTCAGTCAACTTATATGCCGACCTGACCTTGTCTTTGACCAGCAGACTTATATGCTATTGGCGGACTTGGAAATATTTTTTTTGTTATTATTTTATAAATATACTGGTTTCCTCTCGATATTTTACTTCAGTACTGTGCACCTGATTCGATCCCAGGTTGCTCGAGTATGTTGTTTTAAAAGCGAGCGGACAACGAGCTGTTCGGAATTAAATTCTACGCAACATTCGTTTACGATTAAAAATTATGAGAACAAAAAATTATGTAAGCATTAGTTGATATTCATTCTTCATCATCATCATCATCATTTCAGCCTGTTTGAGTCCACTGCAGAACATAGAACCTAGAACATAGAACCTCCCCCGTAGACTGCCACGAAGTACGATCCTGAGCCAGCTGCATCCATCGACCTCCCGCATATTTGCTCAGCTCGTCACTCCATCTAGTGAGGGGTCGTCCTACACTGCGATTACACTTCTTAATTTTCGATATGTTAATTATTTACAGAAGAAGACGATCTCCTGTTTGTGCCGCTTTATCTAATGGGAGTGGACATTCTTAATCGAGAAGAGTTCGTTGTTTATCGTGAACAGGGCCGCCCTGCAGCCGCGGCCGCTGTGCGTGGAACACCTCCAGCGGACCTTCGAGACGCCAAGGGCCAGGTTATGGCTGGTATGCTGCGCGTAGCTGTACCCGTTCAGTTTGACCAGAGGCGTCCCCCGCCGACTCAGCAAGAACTCTAGCGCTGCAAGAGAAGGGTCCTCGTTAGCACTGCTTCACGGACCCTTGCCGAAGTAGGCCGGTCGGCGAATTGAGCCCGCCTCGTTACTTTCAATTGTTATTCGTTTACCATTTTGGAATCATTGACCGCCATCTATTTTTGAACCGAATTGAGATTTAAAATTTTTAAATTACACATTAAAATACCTACCGAAATCAATCAACATATTAATAAGCCAAGAAATAACTTCGTAAAAAGGGGGTTACGAAGATTGCGCGGATGGAGGGGTATGAAGTTTCCCACGCTTATAGTTTATGTATAGTGTCTAAGAGCTAGCAACGTTTTCAAGAGAGAATTTCAGGTAGGCCAGTTTTTAGATAAGCTATCTCTCTCACTCTCATGGACGTCATATAGGCTATCTGATTGGCTGGCGGTAGAGGTTGCGTTCATCAGTGCGCATTGTAAATTGTACTCTTCCGACATGCCCAATCAATTTTCACTTTTGGATCGGTCTGGCTGAAGGTTTAACAGTTGAATTATTGTTTGGCAAATTAATATTGGGTTTTTAGACAGTTAGATAACATCATATTAAAATTTCAGCCATACTAAAATATTATAAAAAAAATTTCAGAATAGCGTTTGGCGCAGTTTAAACAACAATGAAAATATCTGGTAATAATAGATTCATGATGCAAAAAGTTGGATTAAAATAATAAAAAAAGAAACCTTAAAATTTGATGTTTTACCTATACAGATGCACATTGATGAACGGGTACCATGCGGGCTGATGAACGTAATCTCTACCGCCAGCCAAATAGCCCGTATGACGTCCGGGAGTGTGAGGGAGATAGCATATTTAAAAACTGGCCCACCTGAAATTCTTGTTTTCCTGACGTTGCTAGCTCTCGTACTAGGCAGGCAACACTTACATACTAATGACACGTGTTTTTTCATTGGCCTTGGTGACATTAAAATGTTGATACCATTTGGTTTTTTATTATTTTATCTCTGAGAAAGAAATTTCCAGTTGTTCGTTGGTATTTTTGTCGAACATTTTCAACTAAAATTGTATCAAAAATTAATTACTCAAAATTATTGTTAGTTGGTGTAAACTGTAAATTGTAAGAATTAAAATTGGATTTATTTCGGTTTGCTAGTAATAATAACGATTAAAATATGTTACTTTATAATAATAATAAATTTATTAATGCCACAACAAATTTAACGCTTAAATTATTTTTGTCGGAGACATACAAATGTTCAACATATCAGATTTAATATACATATGTATATATCGAGGAAGAGAATAAGAGGTTTGTTTGAGGTTATAGAAATATTGCACAAAACAATATTACCGTATGCTACCATCATTCGTATACCAGAATCATTGCGACAAATAAAAAAGATCCTCGGCTCTAGAAGTAGTCAAATTTCTTCATAAAACAATTAAGATGATATTTTAAAATTGGAATTCTATCAGACTAAGACCGGAATTAGACTGGATTATAGAGGCGAACCACAGAAGCTTTCATCAAAGTGATATCAGAGGGTCTAAAGATTCGAACAATCTTTGTATGGCGCAAATGTTTCTATCGCTGAAAGTTCAATGATACTGCGCATATGCATTTTAGTCCGAGATCAGTCACTATGACCATAGAAGAGGGGGAAGCAGAGAATATAGTGTCGTAAGAGTAAGTACTAACAGCTAACAATCGGGTGCGATTAACGCCACCGGGTATTGACCGGTGGAGCAGATTGGTGCCGTAAGTGCGCGCAGTGACGAACGCAGCGGACACTTTAGCGCTAAGTGCTGCAACACAGGCGAGCGATCAGAATCTGTACACGGGCGAGTGGTTGTGCCGGTCGTTGATCTTCAGGATGGTGTCGTTAGCTGTGTGCAGGAGAGCGCGGCAGCCCTTGGCGTGGTGTGTGGAGCAGTTCCACCGCCTCTTGGTCATTCTGCCTACGCTGTGGCTCGCCTTCACGAAGTACTTGTAGCCGGAGAGCAGTATCAGCTGGTTGCCGCGCTTGGATGTGATAAATATCGGCTTGCCTGCAATTGGGAGCGCCCTCTTTCATTTGGTCTTGGGTGGGATCGGATGGGTCGTAACTTTCAATGTTGGCCGCGTTATAAATATACGTATTAAGGAAAAAATCAGTTTATTTACAGTGGGATCAGGAACGTTTGGAAGGAAAGTCTTAGCTTCTTCTCTATTACAGAAGATGGGAAAAGCTGTCCTCTACTTACCGCCACCCATAGATATCATTGCAGATAACCTACACTGTACGGTAACCGTTTGCAACTCTTTTCAGGATTAAAAAGGTAGTTATCTTAATCACTATTCGAAATATTATAAACACTTCTTTTTTAATCGAGTGGTACTTTCACAGCCGACGCTGGTACATGGCATACATCGCAGAGAAAAAAGTTAAAGTAAACATTAAAATGGGAGAGATAAAAAAAGTTAGAATAAATATTAAAATTGAATATTAAATGTTCCAAGAGGTTAGAATTATCCACTGAATTATCAGCAAATGCATGCAAGTTGCGCAAAGAACAGTACAGTGAAGAAGGATTTTTCTTAAGTCTATTATTACGTGATCAAAGTTCTCTTCTCAATACCTCGCCCGAAACTAATAGTGAAAATTTACTTTAGAAAACAACTAAACGCAAGTACCCGATAGACTAAGAACAAAAATACGTTATACAAAATAGAAACAAAATATTTATTACGTCAGATACCCCTGCATGGGGTGCATAAAATCTGTATTGCATTGAATCCATAAAGTTATTGTTCCGTTTCCATGTATATATACTGTCGATAGCTGATTCTTTATAAAATCGGCCTCCAAGAAGATGGAGTCTGATCACTGGTGCACCGGGTCGTGGTTGTGATTCGTTTTCATCATGATTATTTCGCCGTCGATGGTGCACAAGTTGGCACGGCAGCCGCGCGCGTTGTGCGTGGAACAGTGCCACCGCCGCTTGACGTTAGCGCCGAGCTTCTTGATGGCCTTCACCGAGTACGTGTAGCCGGAGAGCAGGATGAGCGGGTTGCCGCGCCTCGAGTTTATGAACACCAGCTTGCCTGTGGGCCGACAGACACGTGAGTGGAAAGGATGCCAACAGGAGTATGTTGATTCACGGCAACCGTTCCACTGTCACTGACTAGGATAACATTGGAGTATATCATTTAATGAAGGAACCTAATAAATAATCACAAATTATAGCTTCAGTGTACGTACGTTCTTTATTATCATATTACTTACGTTTAATCATTAAGTTAACGTTCTTATTTTGTAAATATATTTAGGTTAAGCAATTTTCTTCTTTTTAACTTTCTAACAGATGAGGTAAGATTAGAAGCCGCATCCCACGATACTCCATTCCTTTATGCATCTACAGCTCTGAAACACTTCCGTTGATTACTGTCTCCTTCTTCTTTCTTCTGGCCTTACCTCACCGAGGTAGGGTCGTTACATCATGTGAATCATTTTGTTAATAATATTGGCTATGTTAATGTTTTTTCGACCAGCCGCAAGCGTCCTGGGGCATAAACTCCCTGATCCTGAACGATTATCTGTGGGTCACACTAATACTTGTCCCGTGTGGGAATCAAACCTAGCAACTGCGGCACCGAGTCAATATCAAAACACGTTTGTTGATTGTTAAAAATATTGCTAACAAATAATTCTTCACAGAAATCTTTGGAAGTATTATAGTCATTTATATCAACCTTCTTATATTATTCTGTCTTGTTCGACACAGCATGTGAAATATGTATATTGTTAGTGCTTAAAACTTAACATCAATATTCTTAAAACTTAACATCGAATTTAAAATTAAACATCGATACTTGTCTGTATTTTCATCTACTAACATATTATAATACTAGAAACAATGGTATTTTAATAAAGATGACGCATGTCCATATTGCGAGGCGTTTAAAATTTTTTCCGCTTTACATTATATAACAAATACAGGTGAATGTGACAGACGATATAGAACGTATGATACGTAAAGAGATAGCAGTCTATGGAATTGCAATCTAATTACACCAGGACTAATTTTGGGGCCTCAATTTCGGTGCGCTAGTGTCATATCTACCCCGTATTTGCTTTTTATGATGGGGTTAAAACTTTCCAAACGAGGTCACAGAACAGTGGTAAGGGCAGCGGAATCGGGCGTTGGAATCCTTCCCTACCCATATGACCCTATGTGACCGTGTAAGACCCATATTGTAATATCTGTAGTGTAAGGACGCTTACCAGTAATACAAAGTTGGGTATCAAATTACTTGAAATGGATACTTAAATACAATTTTATGACAAAGGTTGTTGATCCTTCTCTGCTGGTGGTATGAAGCTTACAGTCGCAGAAAAGCAACGAGAGTTATAGATTTCGCAATGCATCCGCAGTTGATCAAAGGCTCGCAGCTCAGAAGGTTGGTAAGCTGAAGTGGCCATAGAGCTCATAACATTGATGCGGGAAGAGTGGCAGTCTCGTATTGGCCATGGCGGTGTAGGACAACCCCACAAAAATGTGCGGGAGGTCGATGTATGCAGGTTGCTTAGGATCACGATTCGTGACAGTCTGTGGGGCAGTTTTTTATCCAGCAGTGGATTAAAACAGGCTGAAATTACGATGATGATAATCATAAGTGTAAGGTTAGGCTTAACAAACGTATATCAACTTGTAAAATATTGGGCTTTGCTCCATTTTATAATCGCTTCAAATCAATGTTCCTATATAAAAAGTAAAAATAGAGAAGTGACAGCCTATAGATGTCTCACTACTAGGCAGAAGCCACCTCTGTATTGAGGGTATTAGAGCATAGTCCACCACGCGACCACACTGCGAATTTGCGGAACTTCACATACCTTCGAAAGTTTTTTTGGTATTTCGAAAATATGTAGGTTTCCTCACGATGTTTTCTTTCACCGCCGAGCACGTGATATGTCAGCACTTAAAATTAACAATTTCATTGGTGGGCCGTAACCGGGATTGAACTCAGGTTGCTTGAGTGAATTGAATTAAAGGCGAGCGCCCGGAAACTGTGTTATGACGGCTACGTTTCTATATACAACTCTAAAATAAATGTTATTGTAATAGAAGATTGATAGAAACAATATGAGAAATTTATGTTAAATAAAGCTATTTTTAGGATTGGTTTCACTTGACAGAAACGCGCAACTCGGGACTGACTTTTAAATAAAAATTATACGTGTTAAAATCCGTACAACAATTTTATTTAACAATGCTTAGTTTTCGCGTAAGTGTGAGTAATAGGAATGTTACGTTTATTAATTAACTACTTACGTTAAGTCTTCGTCTTCATGGAAATACCTGAAAGAAATCATACCGTGAATACCAGAAGTACACTATCGTTCTTTGTGATGGGAATGTTTTTTATACAATGAATTGAATATTATCCCATAGTTTGAAATAAGTATGCTCATTTACGTTACGAATTTAAACAAGACTTTATTATAAAGTTGTAATAAAGCGAATAATGTACAAGTGGCAGACCACCACTACATTGGAAATGAACTTATATTTAACGAAATAATAGATTTTCATTTTAGATGTTAGATGATTACAAAATGTACATTCTTATATATGTAATTATAAATTATAAAAAGTCGGTGCCATTACAATATAATAAAACAGCAAACTTAAACGATGAAATTAATTCAACTTCTTCATGTAGATGACCATCCGAACACAAATAAAGCATAAAAAGAGGAGCTTTTTGAGCTTCCCCACTTAAATTTGAATAGACGAATGAATAGACGATAAATCAGCCGTCGCTCTCCCTATTTTTATAAATGTCTTTTTACGCGAGCTAACTACACTGTATTATTTTAACACGAACGTAATATAGGATTTACTTTAGTGTAGGTCTACAATAAGGACACAAGGTTTTAACTATTTTTGAAAAAGAGAGATAAGGAATGAACCTATAAAATATAGGCATAGCCGCATATCAGTGATTGTGCTCATTCCAGACAGCCACAATCATGTCTTCGATGGTCTGCACCAGAGCTGGGTATCCTAACCACCTGTACGTGGCGCAGAGCCACCTCCTCTTGACCTCGGCCCCACGCCGCGACGGCTGCATCCTGAAGATGTATATACCGAGCCGGAGTCTCCTGAAGAAAAGTTTCAAGCGTTTGAATACCGTTATAATGAGCATATGGTCTACTAAGACAATAATAATAAGGGCTTGCTTTTACTGGATGCTTTTAATGGATGATGCTTTTAGACCAGTCGTAAAAATTCGAGCCAAACCCACATACGATAAGATGTCGATGTTGTCCCAACCCTATCTAAGTGGGAAAAGCAAATAGAAGGAGGAGAATGATGACGACGATGATGATGCTTTTACCAGATTATGAATTTACTTTCAGCGGTCTGTATAATCTTCTACTGTTGCATGAATAGTCTACTTATCCGGGAAAGACACAACTTTAAAGATGACCGTTTCATTTCGCTTGGAGAACTTCAACCAGATGGATCCAATTGATATCGATCAACAGCTGTAATCATTAACATCAAGTGAACGGCTAACACACTGCTTCCTCCTCCCATTAAAATATCTGAATAAGTCGTAGACAGGTAATGTTTCTAAAGTTCCTTTACGGTTAGTTTATCCGACCTTTTCCAAACCTGACCATGAAAAAAAGGATGAATGCCAGTCTTTTCATCTCGACCTTCTTCAAATAAAACTGTTAATGTCCAATAGGTAAGAATGTACACAGTTACTGTGGCAATGCAAGACCATCTGGTAGTTTGATTAGGTTATACTAAATTCGTGTATTTGTCAGACAATGATAAAATGTTTATTGGGATTAGGATGGGTAAAAAAAATAAAACTTTCAGTAGTTTACAATGTGTTTATAGGTGATTAATTATATGTGTGGGAATCGTTACTCAATAGCTTTCATTACGTGCACATTTCTATATGACTAAGTTAAAACTATAATTTATCCATTTATTAGGCCCGTAACCATGAAATTACTAATTTTTAATACAGCCTAATGTAAAAAAAATATTTATTATACTGCAAAGAACCCCGAATTCAAATTAATTAATATTAATTATTAATTATAAAAATAATTATAAAACTGAAACTGATTTTAAGTTTGTCGTAAGATACATAAGAATTATGAAAGATTAATAGATTTGATGACGAGCGACGTTTTCTCAATCGACAATAATTACAATTGTTTGTTTGCCCATCGCTGTCCCCTTTTCTTCAAAATTATATTTAAAAAGAAGAAGCTTATCCAAACGAATACCTTATCCATAGTTTGTAATTAACGCATACACACGCACACATTTACAAATAGCAACACATACAAATCGCTAGTTCTATTAATAATATAAAGTGAACATCTTTTTTCCGTTTTTTTTTCATTAAATATGTTTTATGCTTAAACTTAATGTGTATTCAGGCTTCCGATATACAGGTATCGCCTGTTGTGGACGCCAAAGTTAAATATATTTTATCCAATTTCAAGATGCACAATACAAGATACAAAAATACTATTTTGTCTAATATAAACTAAGTTAAAGGCTAATGCCGAACACAGTTTAGTGAGTGTGCTCGTGGCGGCGTAGGATTATATCGTCATTGTAGGTGTGTACTGAAGCCAGGCAACCTTTGTAGTAGTGGCTGGTACATCGCCAAATCCGCTTCGGGCCTGTGTTGTACTGCAGACCGTACAAGTATCCCTTGATGTTCAGCATTTGGCGACCACGTCGGATCACTATGTATTGTGAGACCTTTTCTGTGCACGTGAAAATAATGATTGATATTAATTAAAAAATTGAGATTATATTATATTTATAGGTTTCATAAGAGTGCTATGTTTATTGTGGTTACAGTGGTATCTATTATTAAGTTTATTATAATTTTAGACAATGGATGAAGTGTTCAATTTTAATTAAACTTTTTTATATATTTTTTTTTATTTGCATCTGGCCAGCACTTGACTGCCATCCCACCTGATGGTAAGAGGCCTTTGATGGTAAACGCGCCAGCTCAGTAAAAACCTATTCACTCTTGCCTTGAAGACGCCTAGAAGACGTTATAGTTAACATAGACTGATAATTTACTGTTAAATTGAAACTGCTTTACGGATTTGATTATCGTTTATTCTGTATTTAATTTTCTCTCGCGCGAACTCTGTACAGCGTCCGTATTCACGGAACGACTGTTTTAAAATTGATGATTCGCGATAAAATGAAAAAAAAATATATATATTTTTTTAACATTTTGTAGGTATAATCCGTGTAGACAAAAGTATAACAAAAATTTAACCTAAATTAATTTACTTTCAAGATATATTCCATCGCTATAAAACGAATGCAGACCGGACCTCGCAAAACTTTTTTTCCGTTATGCCATGCGATCGTCATTTCTTCTTCTTATATAAAAAGACGGATTTATTTTTCTTTCTTTCTTCATCCATTCTTTTTCCTGAAGTTTCGATTACTATCTAAGAGAATTGTGGTGCGTGTGAGTGCTCGTTCCTAACTATCACAATTGTGTCTTCCACCGTGTAAATAACTGCACGGCATCCCTTGCAGAAGTTCGTTGAGCAGACCCATCTCTTCTTCGCTGATGGTATCGACCCGTGTCTCTCCTTTTTGTGATAGAATGTGTAACCGTCGAGGTAAATCAATGTTTTTCCCCTCTTGGACGTAACGAATTTTGCTGAAACATCGAAAAACATTTCGTATTATATTTTAACGTCAAATATATTTAGTAATGTACACCAATAAAAGTGATTTTTTACTATAAAAATGTAAAAAAATGATATACAGCGTGTCGTTACAACCGCGACAATAAATGAACACACATATAGAGGATAAATTTTTAAAATTGTATTAAGCATTTACATTCTTCAAACATCAATATTTACCGAGTTATTAAATTTTACAAAACAAACATTTTTAAAAGCGTATGAATGGGTTGAATGAATTGAAAAGAGACAAAACATACTATTAGAAGGAGAGGCTTGTAATGCGACGCCGTGGCAACGAATGAAAAAGTTTTTGAATGTATGAATCAGTCAGTTGTAGTTGTATAGGATGTTACAAATTTTGTTTTTTTTTTTTACTTAATTAGTTTGTTTGAAAAAATTTTTTTTAATTACGGATTTTTATCTATTTTTAACGTTAATATTTTTTTATGATTATTGGCAAGTAGCGTTAGACTTGTGTTCATTTATTGTCGCGATGGTAACGACACGCTGTATATCTTTAATTTATTCTTTAAATGTTATGCCATACTACGTTATATAAATTCCTCAATGAAAGAACATTTAAAAAATTATCGATAAAATTCCTTAAACGACAACAATTATAACTAGAATCGAAATTTTGTCATCAACCACAGACATCGTGTAGCCTATTGGTCCGAGCGTCACGGTAGGTGAACAATTACGGTGGTCCCAAGTTCAAACTTTATTTACAGGTTTCTCTATTTCCAATTTTAATTCGTTAAACATATAATTATTTTGTTTTTACTTCATAAAATGTGGAAAATAAACAAATTAATGAAAAAATTATAAAACAATTATTCTTCGTGTTCATAAAAGGTTTCGTTTTAGGGTGAAAAATTAAATATTTTAATAAAAAATATTAAAAACAATATACAATGTAATACTTGTTAAAAATTTGAAATACTGAAAAGTTTGTGTATTGTTCTCCAACTGTTGCATTCTATGTTCAAAAAATACAATAATATTCTGTTGTAATTATTTATAATAATAAAAAATCAAAAAAAATTAAATGGTAAATATATGGTAGATACATTTTTTATTAAAACATGTAGAAAAAGTACGAAAAGATTGTCGCCGCTGTGGAAATCGAACCCACGTCTTCGACATTCGCGGCCTGTCGCTCTAGCCACTGAGCAAAACTTATTCTTATATATATATATATATATATATATATATATATATATATATAATATATTTTGTTGTCACGCAGGACATTGTTTAGCTCAGCAGCCAGGTGTTCCTTGTCACACATCCCTCATACTCTCTGTAACAAATATTTACCAACAGTAGCCAACTGTGAAGGATGGTGGTGAATCACCATTTAAATATTTATTTGTATGGTATTCCTTTCTACACACAGTATGGCTCAGGGTGTTGTTAAGATTTCTGATGACTCAATCAAAATAAAAAACCCCTTAAAATCCGTAAACGAGCTTCATTTAATTTTTATAATATTCGCGTAAAATCAAGAAGTCAACATATCTTAACATACTATATTTACTTAAAGTGTACCATATTTTTATAGCTTATTCTGAAAAAAAATATAATCAGTCGAAGATATGTTGGCAGCACTTCGCGTACCTATAACATTGTAATATCTGATATTTGATGAAGATCTTATTGTCATGAATGTGTTAGAGTAGCTAAACTTCCACAGCTTCGCAGTGGTGGTGAAATCAGTAACATTTTCAAATCGAAATTAGTAATTAATAGTTCTCAGTGATTTGCCAGTTGTGCGCGATTCTCTATCGGATCGACATGCACATTTGTGGTGGTTTCTAACTTAACTTATTAAAAATAAAGTCTATTCGCTAAAGCATCACTACATAGTATAAAACAAAGTCGTCCAGCAGCCTCTCTGTCCCTATGTATGCTTAGATCTTCAAAACTACGCAACGGATCTTGATGCGGGCTTTTTTTAACTGGATACAGTGTTTCAAGAGGAAGGTTTATATGTATAATACATTGCTCCTGTGCGAAGCCAGGGCGGATCACTAGTAATATAACCTTTACATCAGTGAAATAATTTGAATTTTTAAATGAATTGTTTCAGTGTTAATCTTGCGCGTTCATTGACTTTAGCTGAACGAATATTTATTTGGTAAATAAGCTGATATCATTTCGGTGTTCTCGGTGGTGGATGATTGTGTTGGTTCCTATGGAACAAAATTTTCCCTCCTATCATATAAAGGGCTGCTGTACAACCCCTACTGTGGTGGGAGGAGCATCGCCACCGTTGCTTGGGGCCTTTGGGTCTGTTCTTCTTCAACGAAAACCGGTAGCCCCCCACGTTGACGAGACTGTTGCCTTTAGCCGACTTCGTCATTTCGAATTCTGGCGTATTATCTGCGGATTTAAACGGACCACTTAAGTATTTAAATTATAAGGAAATATGTATTTAAATCATATGGTTGTCGCATACAATCAGTGCAAATGAATATAATTTGCAAAAGGTAGCATCATTCACCGATGCTCCTTCCAATTCACGCTTTTAAATTCGAATTAAATATCAAATTTGTTCAATAATTATTTACGTTTATTTTTTGAGTCATTAGACATATCCATAAATATAAAATGAATAGACTGATATCTTATCAAAATATTTTTCTTCAACTTCATGCAAGTATTAAAGACTAGTTCTGGAACATTTTAATTTATCCTTTTATGCAGCATAAATGACTTTATGGTTGTATATTTTTATTGCATTATTTAATTATTATGTATTCATTTGAGCGTGAAACCGGAATACGCAGCAAGATTCAAGTTAAATTTCTAACAGTACGTTAGTAATATTATGCTTTATTCTCCGTTAATTTATATTTGGTAACATGGTGCTCTATTATGGCCGGTTTATAATCTATGAATAGATTTGATTACTAGGTATTTAGATATTACTAGCTGCTGCCCGCGACTACGTCTGCGTAGAGGGTTTTAAATTTAGGGTTGTATGTATTTTTGTATGCTGTGTCATAAAAAAATAGAAACAAAAAGTTTTATATAAAAAAAATATTTAGGGGTGGACTACCCCCTTAACATTTAGGGGGACGAAAAATAGATAGTAGCCGATTCTCGGACCTACTGAATACGCATATAAAATTTGGTAAAAATCGGTCGAGCTGTTTCGGAGGAGTTCAAGTTCGAACCCCGTGACACGAGAATTTTATATATTAGATTTAAGCCTCCTCAGCTCCATAATACTTTCGTTAAAACATTATATCCGCAGTAACCAAATCTATCAGTAGATGAATATTGATACCGGTCGTTAAAGAATATTAGCTGCACATTACTCAGTTGGTCGTTATCTCAGACCACTACCACCACTTGGGAGTGGGTGAGTGTGGGTGTAGTGTGTGAATACGACTTGGTCCTCCATAGTGTTGATTTTCGTCAAAGTCTAATAAAGACATCGTCTCTGCACTCGTCGTCTAGTAAGACAGTACGGAATCCATGCATTTTCTGGTCTTTCTAGATTCACCACTGTGATTAAATCGACCGTGAACTCAATTTGTAAAAGATTTCAATTTAACTCATTTTGTAAAAGAGGCATAGAATACCTTAGGGCACCGAGTACAGGACTATGTAAATTTTTTTAATCCCTATTCTCACTCGCAACGCTACCTAACCAACAAACTTTCCAACTTCAAGAGTTCCCACTGAATACTTTTTATGGCCGACGTTAATCGACAGACTTAATTTCAAGTATAAAGTTTAAAGCAGTTGAAGAACGTCTTGAAAGAGTTAATTAATATCAGTCCCTTCAAACAGATAAAGTGCATCGTCAGTAATTGATAATACTTCGATGAATTAAATCAACAGATTTCATTATTTCTATAAAAAATAGAAATTCATATATAAGTATCTAATAATATTTGGTAGCAAAACATGAACAAAGTCTTTTTAAAGTCAATGTCAAGGGTTGACCTGCAGTTTGCTGGCGGCACGGTGATACTCGCGAGGGGGCCGATGATTATGCACGTTTTTAATCGATACTATGTTATCCTCCATGGTGTAAAGAGTAGCTGTGCAGCCAGACTTGTGGTGCGTAGCACACCGCCACCGGAGCTTTGGGCTGTGAGACGTCCTCTTGTCCTTCTTTCTGGAGAACCTGAAGCCCCCGAGACAGATTAGCTGGTTACCCCTGATCGTCTCCAGGACTTGGTAAGGTGGGAATCCTGCACAACGAGAGGTGTGTTATTCCCTCGCACAATTAGGTACATATTAGTACCATTTTTATGATAATATCACGATGGGGTTTTACTGTTACAAAAAATTATTCTCTATTTAAATATGAGTTTTAAATATTAAAACATCATTGATGGAAATTACATTATTGGATTTGTTGTTACGCGTACCTATACCATGGACTCGAGCCAATAACATTAATTACCATGAATACTTTCTTTTCATTTCATAATAGAATGAAATAAAAAGGCAAATTATAGTCGGATAGGTTGTACAGCACGTTTGAAAAGTATTCCGAATATCGACGATGAAAAATAAAAAATGAAAATAAAACAAATGAGATCTACAACTTTTCCGTTTCTTGTTTCTCCTCGGATTTCTTAAGTCTCTTTTCCCTTTTGAGCCGACTTCGAAATTATGAGGTTCTCGATTCGACTGTTTTTTTTTGTTTGTTACCTCAGAACTTTTGACTGACAGAACCGTTTTTGATGATTCTTTTTTTATTTGAAAGCTGGTGCTTCCCATGTGGTTCCATATTAATTTAATTGCTATTGGATCTTCCGACAGTCACCTAGGCAAATCAATTATTTTTGGTTAAATTAGGTTTGTAAGTGCATCTCACCCACCTTCCTAGCTCGGCTTGTTATATGTACCAATATAGTCCACTAAATTATATCGAAGAAACCTTTTTTTTTTTTTTTTTTTTGTGAAAAGTTGTCAAACGAGCAGACGGTTCACCTGATGTTAAGTGAATACCGCCGCCCATAGACATCTGCTACACCCGAGGGTTTGCAGATGCGTTGACAACCTTTTGAAAATTGGGCTCCGGCCACCTCACTCACCAAACGAAACGCGAAAGTATTATACTTTCACTTTACGCCGGTCTTCTGTGAGGTCGTGGTACTTACCCGGACGAGCCTGCCCATTCGTGCAACAGCCGAGGCTGCTGCGTGGCCCTACCACCTTTAAAATTACCTAAAAACCTATTATTATTGGCGCGTCCAATATGTTTATTAAATGAAACTTATATGTTTACGGATTTTATCGCGTTTTAATTTTGGTTTGAAATGTAGCTGAACTTCCACAGCTTCGCAGTGATGGTCAAATCAGTAACATTTGGTTTTCAAATCGAAAGAAATAATTACTCATAACAGTTCGCAGTCATTTGCCAGCTGTGGCCGATTCTCTATCGAATCGACAAACAGATTTGTAGTGGTCTCTAACTTAATTTATTAAAAATAATATCTATTTGCTGAAGCATTATATGTATACCTTTACATCAGTGAAATAATTTGAATTGTTTCAATGTTAAAGGCGTTAATCTTGCACATTTATTGACTTTAGCTGGGCGGATAATTTGGGTGTTCTCGGTGGTGGATGATTGTGGTTGTTCTTTTGGAAAAAAAATTCCCTCCTGTCATATAAATGACTGCTGTACAACCCCTACTGTCGTGGGAGGTGCATCGCCACCGTTGCTTGGGGCCTTTGGGTCTGTTCTTCTTCAACGAAAACCGGTAGCCCCCCACGTTGACGAGACTGTTGCCTTTAGCCGACTTCGTCATTTCGAATTCTGGCGTATTATCTGAGGATTTAATTGAACGATTTAGGTATTTAAATCATAAGGAAATAGCTGTTTAAATCATAAGGTTGTCGCATACAATCAGTGCAAAGGAACATAACACTTGCACAAGGCACCTGCGTTCACCGATGCTCCTTCCAATTCACGCTTTAAATTCGAATTTAAATATCATATATGTTCAAAAATTATTTACGTTTGAGATCCATATAATCTCCAAAATCTCTCCCAAATCTCCATATAAAATCCATCATAAAGATCCATAAATATATAGTGTATATAATAGACTGATATCTTGTCCCAATATTTTTCTTCAACTTCATGAATGTATTACAGACCAATTCTAGAAAATTTCAATTTATCCTTTTATGCTACATAAATGAGTTTATGGTTACATATTTTTATTGCATTTTTTAATTATTATGCATTAATTTGAGCGCGAAACCAGAAAACGCAGCAAGATTCAAGTTAAATTTCTAACAATACGTTAGTAATATTTATCCTTTATTCTCCGTTAATTTATATTTGGTAACATGACGCTCTATTAAGGCCGGTTTCAATATTCTAATCTACAGATAGATTTGTTTACTTTTTATGACCGACGGTAATCGACAGATTTAATTTCAAGTATAAAGTTTAAAGCAGTTGAAGAACGTCTTGAAAGAGTTAATTAATTTCCGCCCCTTCAAATTTAAAAAGCACATCGACTATGATTGACAATACTTCGATGAATTAAATCAACAGATTTCATTATTTCTATAAAAAATAGAAATTCATATATAAGTATCTAATAATATTTGGTAGCAAAACATGAACAAAGTCTTTTTAAAGTCACTGTCAAGGGTTGACCTGCAGTTTGCTGGCGGCACGGTGATACTCGCGAGGAGGCTGATGATTATGCACGTTTTTAATCGATACGATGTTAGGCTGATGATATGAGTTTTAAATATTTAAACATCATTGATTGAAATGTCACGATTGAATTTGTTGTTACGAGTATACCGAAGACTCGAGCCAATCACATTAATTACTATGAACACTTTCGTTTGATTTCATAATAGAATGAAATAAAAAAGCAAATTATATTCGTAAAGGTTGTAATACCTTTGAATAGTATTCCGAATATCCGTCGCAGTGAAAAATAAAAAAAAAAACAAAACAAAACAAATGAGATCTTCAACGTTTCTGTTTCTAGTTTCTCCTCCCATTTCTAACAATGTTTCTTTTCCCTTTTGAACGTTATCTTCAACTTTCTCGTTTCTTGTTTCTCCTCCGATTTCAAGTTTCATTTCTTTTTTAAATGTTAATATTTGCCGCGATACGTGTTGGTCGGCTCGTGGCTGTGGTCGTGCCTCAGGGTCACGATCTCGTCGTCCACCGTGTAGACAACGGCCTTGCAGCCCCTGCTGAAGTGTGTCGAGCACACCCAACGCTTCTTATGCGCCGTCCCGCCGGGCTTGGGCTTTTTGTAGTAGAACGTGTAACTGCCGATGCGGAGCAAGGTGTTGCCCCTTTGCGAGGTCACGAACGTCGCTGGAAAACAATGTTCTGTTGTATGCATTTCAATTATTTACAATTATTATTTTGTTGCATATAAAAAAGTAAAGTAACAGCCTATATAAATGAGCCACCGCTGGGCGAAGGCCTCCTCTGTACAGAGGGTATTGGGGCATAGTCCACCCCGCGGCCCCACTGCGGATTGGCGGACTTCACACAGATTCGAAATATTTTGTTTTTTTATTATTATTTGGAAAGTATGCAGGTTTCCTCAAGATGTTTTCCTTCACCGCTGAGCACGTCAATTAAAATTTCACTTAAAATTAACAATATTATTGGTGCCGGGACCGGGGATCGAGCTCAGGTTGCTGGAGTGAATAAAAGTGAGCGCCCGATATATACCTGTATGTATTTAGTTATGCTCTTAGCTTTATAAATAAAAGATACGTACAGATACACAAAAAACAATATAGTTACAATACTTTGGACCAATAATTACAATTTTTTTATTGACGAAAAACAAAACCGTCTTGAAATATCTCGCTCTGTATTAATTTTATAATCGATTCCAGGAGTTTCCTACGTATCTCCGGAGCTAAAGATTAATATGGATTAAAATTAATATGGGACCACATGGAAAGCACCAGTTTTTAAATAAAAAACAAAGAATCATCAAAATAGTTTCACTCAGTCGAAAGTTCTGAGTTAATGAACATAAACAAAAATACAGTCGGATTGAGAACCTTTACCTGTTTTTATATCGGTTGAAAAATATTAAGACCCAATCGGACGGAAGCCCTCGGCAGGGATAGAAGGAAAAAGAAAAAAAAATTGGGCTCGGAGAGGTCCGTCACAGTTCCAGTAGCTTCAGATGTTCAGAGACGCCTGACTGGAATTAACCCATTTAATTAATCTTGTAATAAATGAATAATATATAAATATATTCATTACCCTCGAAAGAGATAAACCTTTGTACCTAATGTTATATTGAGTTTCATTGTGTATGCTGTGTTTGCTATGTATAGAATGCAATCATTTTTTTTTGTGATTAACATAGAATTGAGTATATATTTTTATACATGTATATATTAATCTATCTCGTTCAAGTTTAAGGCTAAGGCGCAGTGGAAGTGTGCTGGGCCCATAACCTGTTGTATATAAATAAAACACTTGATTATAGTTTCAACTGTATTTAATGTTAGAAAATTTTAGATTTGACTTACAACTGACAACCAACCAAACAAAATGTCACACGCCAGAGCGTGGTGAGAGAGAGAGTATAGACAAAAAGATCATTGACAATAGACAATTCATTTTAATAGTAGTGCAACTTTATGCGTTCATACTAACAAAAATGAAGAGGGAAAGTACATGATCATAGGTATACAAATAACGAGTAAAAAAATGACTTCTGATAGATCCACTAACGCCCAGTTTCTGAAACACAGATCATCGTAGAAATTTACTAATCAGACCAAAAGGACGGTTAAATAAGTAAAAGTTGATGAGAATGGTCAATTCAAAGAGTCTAACCATCCTTTTGGCGACTCAAATGACATTTGAGAAGCCATTTGACAGTTGATTAGTTAATTTCTACGATGATCAATGTTTCAGAAACCGGGCGTAAATCAGTCAAAATTAACTGCTGTTACGGAACATGAATGAAACGCCATTTCCTTCATTTTTCGCCACTCTACAAACTCGGCTGATGATTATGCTCGTATTTGCGGCTCACCACAGCGTCATTGATGGTGGTAACCGCCGCCTTGCAGCCCCTGTTAATATGGGTGGAGCATACCCAGCGCTTCTTGTTGTGCACTTTCGAGGTACGTTTCCTTAGAGTGAAGTTATAGTTGTTCAAGCGTAACAACGTGTTACCCCTCTGCGACTTCACGTACCTTACTGAAATACGCGTCTTAATTTAGATCTGCTCAAAAATACTTGCATTACAATCAAACAGGGTATATTTCAATGAATTAATAAAATGAAACAGAAAAAAAACAAGTAAATATCATGTTATAATTTTATTTATGTGAGAAGGTGGAAAGCAAGCTGGCAGTTCACCTGATGTTAAGTGATAACCGCTGCCCACTGGACATTTGTGACACCCGTAGGGTTGTAGATACGTTGCCACCTTTTAATAAAGTCGGCCCCGGCTACCTGACTCACCAGACGAAACGCAGAAGTATAACGTGTGCGAGGTCGTGGTACTTACCCGGACGGACCTGCCCATCCGTGCAACAGCCGAAGCTGTTGCATAGCTCTAGCACAGTTTTTTACCTATTTAGCATGACCAGAGACGTAGATTATGAGGAAAAATAGAATAAAAGAAAAATAAACTTGATGCTAAAGAAACGATCATCCTCATCAGGTAATCGAACTTCTGAATCGGTGTCTCTCACTCACTTTAAAACACAAAATTCCTGCACTCAAATTCTTGTGGTAGTACAAAACAGTAGACGGTGTGCAAGGTTTTTATTCATTAGTTAATTTTGAATTACAATAAATTTTGAACTAGTGCTTTTTGGAAGGAATATCTCAGAAGTTACGATGACGCTTAACAACATTGACATTCTAAAAGCAGATTATAAACTATGTCGGAGATGACCAAAACCTGAATATTTTAATCGAATTAAAAACCATATTAAATATGTAACGCGAGGTCTTTAAATACTTTTCCATGACTAAGATTTTTTTAAGTAAAAAATCTTACGAAAGACAGAAATAACAAGAGTTTAGAATCACGGTGGTATCATCATTACGTAATGCATTAAATGGCTACGCGCAAATTACTATTTCTATTTAAAACGTCAACAAAAACGATAATTAAGAAATAATGCAAAATTTTGCATAACTCATATGTAATTAAGCTAGTTTACGTTATTGATGACAACGAATCACAGTGATTCAGGGAATCCTATCGGAATCATTTGTACTTTCGTCCAATCCGACACAGTTTGAACTGGAAACGTGACAAAGTTATCATGAAAACGTTTAAGTTCTCGACAAACGTGCTGAACGTCAATAGATGTGGCAAAATTGCTTTATATTAACATCAGTGCACTATATCTCTGGTGGGTGATTGTGGTTGTTGTCGCATGTTATCACGTTTTCGTTCGCCGTGTACAGCTTTGCTTTGCAGCGGAACAACATACGCTTGGCGCAGCCCCAGCGCTCCTTGATGCAGTTCGACCTTCGTTTGTCCTTCATTAATATAAACTTGTATCCGTCAACTAAAACCTGCCTTTTCCCCTGTCGTGACGTTACGAAATACGCTGAAAATAACCACTTCAATGAGCTTGCAGAGAAAATAGTTTATTAGGGCGAAGGTAGATAATGTTAACAACTATCAAAATATTCATTTTCTTTTTTTCTATGATGAGATGTTATAGGTGATTGGCTGCTACTCTGTACCCATGGACATCTATAACCCGGTGGGGTTGCAGAAGCTTTCCCAAACTGTAAAAAATTGGGCCTTGGTGACCACTCTCACCAGAGAATACAAAAAAGTCTATTCTAGTCTAGTTGATTAGATGAGATATTTCGTCCTGCTCATGTACTCACAGAAGTCCGAGAAGTGGATGTCTTGTACTTCTGCAATTCACCTGGTGAGTGAGTTAACCGAAGCCCATTCTATTAATAGGTGTCAAAGCATCTTCAAACCTTCGCCGAACTTAATAGTTAATAATTTTGTGGATGTGGAAAATATTACATCTCTTGAGACTAGAAACAATAATGGCATGAAAAGATAAGTTATAAAATATATGGGTAGGCTATTTCGATACAGTCATATTGAAAGAAAAATTATAAAATAAAAAGTATGTATAAACATAAACTTTATTAAAATGAAGACTTGGCTATTAACAAATCTTAAATCTGAGTGTCCAAATAAGTCTTTGCTAATATAGTTTAATAGTACTGTGCTTATTGATGAAAACCGTTCAGTATTAAGACAATAATTTTCTGAGCGGTTAACACTACGGTACTTTCCTTTAATAGTTCTCACCCTAATATTTACAACCCATCACAATCTTTTCCGCGATGCTAGATGTCTTCATGTTGTATTTTTTTATTTGTAAAGTTGTCAAGAAAGCAAAATTTTTCACATAAAAAAAACTAATGTTAAGTGATCACCACCGCCCATGACATGTGCGACACTTGAGTGTTTGTAGATGACTTGATGACCTTTAAAAGAGTAGGTCCCGGCTACCTCACTCGCCAGATGAAACGAAATTGTATAATGTTCCCATTCATGCTGCTCTTCTGTGAAGCTGTGGTACTTCCCCGGACGTGCCTACCTGTAGATGTTATTGCGGGGGCCTATCACAGGCAGGCATTCTGTTTTCATAAACTTTTTTCTTTTGGCTTAGTTTTGAATAAGTCCTTTCACTAACATACTCTGGATCGTTTTTCATTACTTCCTACAGAGTCAGTCAAAGTTGGCAATAGCGAATATGATAATTATACTCGATTCCCGTGATAGCTCAGTGTCCGGGAGCTCGCCTATAATTCAATATACTCGAGCAACCTGAGTTCGATCCCCGGTGCCGGCACCAATGAAGTTTTTAATAAAGTTAATGTGCTGACTTATCACGTGCTCCGCGGTGAAGGAAAACATCGTGAGGAAACCTTATTAAATAAATAAGGTTTCCTCACGATTATTTCGAAAATATAGAAAAATATTTTCGAAATAATAACAAAAAAAATATATATTTCGAAAATATGTGAAGTCCACCAATCCGCAGTGGGGCCGCGTGGTGGACTATGCCCTGATACCCTCTGTATAGAGGAGGCCTTTGCCCAGCAGTGGGACATGTATAGGCTGTTACTTTACTCGATTCCCAATTTATGTTGATATGTATGACCTAAAAATTACAATGCTTTATGAGATAGGTAATGAAAAAGTTGTTAATGATATATGTTTACTCGTATAATATGTATGTCTGAGACCGCGAGCCTGAAATAGATAGCGTAAAGGAATCATATTTAACTAACCTGATGAGTGGAGAAATGGAAACTGGATTCCCAATTTACGATGGTATGTATAACCTAAAAATTACAATACATTATGGGATAAGTAGTGAAAAAGTTGTTAATGATATGTGTTTACTCGTATATTATAAATGTATGTATCTACTCCGAGACCGAGAAAGCTTGAAATAGATAGCGAAAAGGAATCGTATAATAACTTCATGAGTGGCGAAATGCAAGAAGCTGTAAATAACGAAGGTGGGTACATTTCCAGCTGTAGTTGGAACGGTATAAGTATGAAATAATTGGAAATAACCTGCATTCGTCTATTTCTTGTCATGATTATGCTCGTTACATATGGCAACAATTTTATTATCGACTATATGAAGGCAGGCACGGCAGTACTTGTTCTGAGTGCAACACCAGCGTTTTCTGCCAGCTTTGTAGTTTCCCGGCTTCAGGTAGAACGTGTGCTCCCCAACTTTAATGTTGGTCTTGCCCTTTTTCGTTTTAATCAGAGTCACTGAAAGAAAACAGTTTAATATACAAATTAACAGGTCCGAATCGAATATTTTTTATGAATGGAAAAATCATGTTTGTTAAAGTATAAGGAAAACAATTTTTTTTATATGGAACTGACTAGCGCTTGACTGCCATCACACCTGATGGTAAGTGGCGATGCAGCCGTGGAAACATAAAAATGGCTCTCGCTACATAGTCAACTATTAAACATTAGTCAGAAATAATAGAATCGGAGCCCGAATTTCGATAGTCTCTTTAACGGAATGTTCCATAATGCGAACCTTTTTTCGTTCTACATTTATAAATTTGCCAACGTGAATATTGGCCGTCGCATTACTGTAAGTTTGGTGGGCAACGAGTCATTTATTTTTTGTCATGTATTTTGTAGTTTGCCGTTATCACGGCGGCTGCGGTATTGGGAGGGCAGCTGTACACGTTATTTAGGGTTCCGTACCCAAAGGATATTACTAAAACTCCGCCGTCTGTCTGTCTGTCGGTCTGTACGTCACCAGGCGCTATCTAATGAACCGTGATAGTTAGACAGTTGAAATTTTCACAGATGTATTTCGTTAACGCTATGACAACAAATACTTAAAAACAGAATAAACAAATTTTAAGTGGGGCTCCCATTCAACAAACTAGATTTTTTTCAACCGTTTTTATGGATAGTACGGATCTCTGCTTGCGCGAGTCCGACTCGCACTTGCCCGGTTTTTAGAAGTAATAAAGCGAACATTTAAACGACTGGCGTTTCACGAACCTAGCTTGTAACAATATTAAAATTTATATATCAGTGTTAAAGTAAAAAATCATCCATCCTGTAATATATTTATTTCTCTGTAATACAAGTGCAATATAAATATAACATTTATTACTTAAGCGCAGAATAGATAATATTGTTTTGTAAAAGGCAATCTTTTTATAATATTAAATTAATTTGGTAAACAACCTAAAACTAAAACATTATTTACAGATTACTTTAACATGGGATAATAATTTTAATTAAATTATCTTCAATTTAAATTAACCAAACGCATAATTCGACCATAATTTGGCTTCTTTAGTGCCTTCACAATCTTTGTTAAAACCTTATCTTATTTCTAAGTTTATTCCAGGGAACGGTTTTTATGATAACGAATATCTTATTATTCAATGAACTCTTTTAATGACATATCAATGTGACGGGAAGTGACATAGGCACCTCTCGTAAATGTTCAAAAGATAGATGCACTACGATTCTGTTTTTTCACGTCTATAACACTATACGCACTATACATAACAACATTTACGAAAACTAAAAAACAAAACGCCATTTAATCTAAATCTCTACTTGGACCCAGTAGGAAAAAACGTGTCAATACTCTGTCCGTAGAAAACTATCATTGCTGAATACGTTGATCACAATGACAGCGAAGTGACATCGGAATTGCAAATCTATGGGCGCTTCCACTTGATGTTGCTCTTTTGTGATGCCGTTGTATTTCCCCGGACTAACCTGGCCATTCGACCAACAGTAGGTGAAGGGTCGCCCTACACAGTAACCTAAGAAACTCCCATCCAATAAGCTCGCTTAGATCGCGTCTACGGTTCAGCTCTTCTCCTGTACCTCGTAGTGTCAATGCGTATGGACGTCGCAAACTTTGACGATGACCCCGTCGATCGTGTGGAGGCAGGCCCTGCAGTGCTTGTGGCTGGAGCAAACCCATCTGGTCTTCGTTGGCGTCGCCCGGTGTATTCTGTACGTGTAGCCGCCGAACAGCACCATAGGCCTCCCCGTCCTCGAGTGGACGAAGACCGCTGAAACAACGCGAGGTTTAGTCACGACACAAGTGTGCAGGACTGGAAACGCGTCTTACATACCTCTTCAGTTAACCGTGATCAATATTTTGTACTTTTAACTAGTTTTAATTAACATTACAACTTCTTGTCTTTGAGAGTGACTCGAAATGATAGTTTGTTTCATGTATTGCTGTTAATCATCAAGTAGACGACGCCACCAATTAATGTCTCGCAATTTTTTAATTTAACATACATAACGTTTTCCATACATTCATTTCACGTGGGCATCACACAGATCCGAGACAATTATCTGTATGTGACAAAAATAGTTGTCTCGTGTGGGGATCGAAACCACGATCCTCGGCGCCGAAACCAACTTGGAAACTGCGCCATGGAACCATCACAAACATCTCACTTATAGGTAAAAAGGTGATGTACTATGAACTTTAATACACCACACTGAATTTTACTTAAATTAAGAAACAAAGAGACGCGTGTCATTCATATTGCGCTATATTTTATTAAGTCACGATCACAATAAATTCCAAGAATAACTCTTTATATTTTACACTAATATTCGTATTGTATCTTCTGAATATAAAGCTTGAGCTATTCGAAGGAGGTTTGTACTTGTGCAGGTGCCATTTGGTTGCCCCTCAGTGGTTGTGGTCGTTGCTTAGTTTGACGATTTCACCGTAAACGGTGTAAATTTGGGCGCGGCAGCCTCTGAACACGTGGGTCGAACAGACCCAGCGCTTCTTGGCGCCGGTCGACGAGCGCTGGCTGAACACGTAGCCGCCGACTTTGATCATCATTCGGCCGGTTTTCCTCGATGGCACATACTCGCACGTATCTGGAAATTGGCGTACGATGTCACTTGACGTGCCCGCTTCCTCCTCGGGTTGCGAATAGTACCCGGTTTTATTGCGTGTTTTGTGACTTCGAATAATACTGATGAAGGGCAATAGATAAACTGCCAGCCTACAATGTCGTTAAGAGTTTCATTTTGTATAATATGTGACATTCAAAATAACGATTACAAACCAAACGTTGCGTTTGTGATTTTGTTTTTAGATTTTTTATGAGACAATGTCGCACATAAGCAGGCGGTTTGCCCTTAATATACCACGAGGAGTACCGGTGAATTCTTTCGTCTGGGGCACTTCCCCGAATTAGTGTGCCTATTCATGCAAAAGGGAACCTAAATAAAAGAAAGAGGACCCAAATAAAATATTACTATTGCCCAAAATGCCATTACAGTATAGTGCTAATGATATTTTGAGCAATGATATGTTCTTATCAAATAATAACCGTGTCATACAATGAACCAAAGACAAAATAACAGAAAAATAGGTTATTAAAAAAATTTAATGAATGCATTAATTAGTTAACCTAAACTAGGTTGTTAAATAGTACACAATATATGAACACCTGCAATGACTGACTTTATATATGGTAATCCAAATGAAATTCCGAAGATTCTCCAAGCCTTAACATTTTGTGTAGCACATAAAGGCTCGGCTGCAATTCTGCATTCTGTTACGGTTACACAGAAAGGATACTTATACAAGTTGAACATAATGTAATGCGAAAATATAAAACAAAAAATCCATAAGACGTCGTAAACGCAAGGGACCTCGGTCACTGCAGGTGATAATGCGTGTTGTTGTACTTTAGGACGTGGTCGTCGTAGGTGTGGACCACCGCGCGACACTTCCTGTGGTTGTGGGTGGAGCAGACCCACCGCCTCCGACGTCCGGCGTAGCTCTGACAGCAGAACGTGTAGCCGCCGAGGAGTATCAGGTCGCGGCCGCGTCGGGATTTCACGTATTCGACTGCAAATGGAGGCGCGATGTGAGACGGAGGAAAATCGGGAATGCGAAGAAAAATCTTAACCACTCTCGCACATCGAATAGCCATTTCACTACATAGTATAAAAAAGCCGTCCCGCTGTCTGTCGGTCCCTATGTATGCTTAGATATTTAAAACTACGCAACGGATCTTGATGCGGTTTTTTGTACTAGACAGAGTGATTGAAGAGGAAGGTTTATATGCATAATACATTGCAACTGTGCGGAGCCGGGGCGGGTCGCTAGTTTTTAATAAATACATCTATCAAATTTCGTTTCGACTAAATGTTATTAAAAAATGACCGCTTCGCACCGATTGGCAATAGTTATTTTTCTTTTTTAAAGGAATATGCAGAGTGTAAGCAATATATATATGTAGTAATTACATTATTGCTATATATTTAAATGTCGGTCATCGTAGGATGTAGACCATCATAACCTATCTTGCCTAGTAAGTAATAAGTCGTTACCCTACATTATTTATACCCGACATTTAATTAATTATTTCAATTGATTTCACCTAATTTATTTTTTTCTAGAAGACATACTATAATTTAAGTCAAGCTTTTAAGCAAATTATAAGTAAAATATAATAAAAAATTTAAGTAGAACTTAATCAAAAGATAATATCAAATACAGTTTATTTAATATCTTGAACAACAATAATATATTCGAAGACATGGTAAAAGTAGAACAACCTATATAAGTAACAATATTTTTTTAAATTATCGTACAATTAAATAATTATATTACATTATGATTCATTTCCGCACAGGATTTGTAAGACATAGAAACATATATAAAGTAGTATTGTATATTATTATGATTCACTCTCCACGCTGAACAAAAATGTTCAATGAGACAAAGAAATAAGGTAAAGGTAATTTCTTTCTAGGCAAAACATCGCAATTTCCATATAGATTTGTAATTTAGTAGCTGTACGGAGATCATATCGACATGAAACATTACATAAATAAATTTGGCGATTTAATTACACGTCATGTGTAAGTTTTCATCAGAAATATTACAGTTGGTCATTTAAGAACGATGCAAACATCCCATTAAGCAAGTCAATTTTAGGGCCTATTGCACATTTTAAGCTATTTTGTACATAATTGGATCAATATCATAATTGGATCAATCCCAGTTGCTTCTTTTGTATAATTAGAATCGCAATTATAAAATAATACGCAAGTGGTCGCCTAGTGGTCGAAATTCGACCATAATTAATTATACGTGGTAGTGTGTATAATGTTTTTTTACTGATTTAATGTAATGTTTATGCATAATAAAAAAAATATTAGCATTCTGCACTCCTCTATATAATGTATAAGTGTGGGAAATTTCATACTCCTCCGTCCGCGCAATTTTCGTAAAAAGGGGTTCAACGTTTTTGCTTCACGTGTTAATATAATACATATACAAATATGTGCATTAATTATTCACGGTTTACGGTTGTTAAAAGGAGAGAATTTTCGTTTGTTTTCAACTTGAGAAATATCTCCCCATACCGTTCCTTTCAGTTTCTAACCTATAATACCAGTTTCTATTCCTTAATAAATTATGAAGAATAGTTTTCTTATTATTTTTCGTTTTTATACTTATAATTTTACTATACTTTCTTTTTTATACTTTATTATTGTTTTCAGTAGCACTCGGTCACTACTTCATAAAGTGAAGGTGTGAATAAGGATTGAGAAATCAAAGAAAAAAATATAAACTGACGAAGAATTTCCGTCACCTCTTAAGCTCTGTGATTGACTCAGTGTTAATGTATGTACTAAAAATTTACTCGCATTAGCAGGTATAAAATCTGGCTTTCAATCAGCAACCAATTCAGTGGTTGTGATCATTCTTGACTTTGACAATAATGCTACCAACGGTGTGTATCAGCGCGGAGCAGCCTTTATGGTTGTGCGTAGAGCAAGACCACCTGGTCTTGACGCCAGAACTGCCCTTCTTGCAAAAAGTGTAGCCGTCCATTCTTATTAAGGGGTTGCCTTTGCGCGATCGTATTACTTCAAACGCTGGAAATACACATAGAGAAGTTGAGGTATACACAATATCTAATAAGCAGGAGCGGGCTGTGCTCGGTATTTCTCTGCGTGATAGAGTTCGCAACGAAGACATCCGCAGTAGAACAACAGGTAACCGACATAGCTCAGTAGGTTAGTAGGCTGAAGTGACGATGGGCCGGCCATATAGCTCGTAGAACCGATAACCGATGGGGAAGACAGGTTCTCGAGTGGCAGCCTCGTACTGGCCCTCGCAGTGTGGAATGACCCCCTAGACGGAGTGAAGACATGTGCAAGGGGGCGGGAAGTCGATAGATGCAGGCGGTTCAGGATCGTGATTCGTGGCAGTCTGTGGGGGAGGTATATGTTCAATGGTGGATTCAAACAGGGTGAAATGATGATGATGATGAATAAGCAGGAGGTAATTTGCCTTCACAAGCGTTTTATAAAAACTGGTTTTATAATATATCCAGTTTACATCACAGACATTATAAGGCTCTAAACAAAGTCCACTTATTTGTTGGATGATAAACCATCACCGATTGTGACATATAATAGAACCAAAACGAGTAAAATTATGTCAAGGACCAAGGACTTGAATATGCAAATCTAATAGACACGATCATACACATTGAATAGTTAAAATTTTAACCTGTAGACTTCCAGCAGCACGGATCTTGATAATTAATAGGCAACTATTATTATCACTAAGTGTCTTGTACGTCTGTGATATCATTATCATTAGTGTATTGACATTTTAACACGCATACCTTTTACAAATTACAGTTACCACTTAGGCAGTGGATCATTTCGATGCTAGTTTATTAGTCACAGAAAATACTTTTGCACATCGATAAGTCACCTCCGTCTATAAAACAAACATATTCGGACCGTACTCGTAACATCAAAAAAACGAAAATATATGAGTATTCTCGTTTTTTCTAACATTTATTATGTAACTCTTATTAATTACTTTCAAACATGAGCGCGTGAAAAGGCGTTTAAAGAAATTTAACGCGAACGAAATTTTCGACCCTTTTTTTATTTGTCAGCTACAATATTGTTAGGCAAACTTCTTAGCTTTCGTCAATACGTTCTCAAATAAATATTTAAGTATTAAAATGAATAGAATGAAACTTTAAGTTTTTTTTATTTAGTATTTAATATATATAATTGATAATATGATAAAATAAAAAAAAATTACTTCCTAATGATTGTGTTCGTTGCGAACTTTGATAATCTCGTCTTTGTAGGTTTGAATGACAGCGCTACAACCTTTGTTCTTGTGCGTGGAGCATACCCAAGTGGTCTTCATTTTGTGAGTGACCTTGTGGCAGAAGGTGTTATTGCCAATCTTTATCATCGGCTTGCCCCTTTGTGACTTTATCATTTCGTAACCTGTGAAGAGTTTGTGTTTTAATAGACTCTTATGAGTTTTTATTGGTGGTTCAAAATAAAACTAAATAGATTAAAATATTTTTGTTGTTACTTTTATAGTTATAATGATTTACCACAAACTGACAAGTAAGCGTGTAAAGTAACGCACGGTCCCCGGCGCCGAAGCCAGTAGCTTGGCAGCTGCGCCACGGAGTCGTCATTACTATTCTGATTAATTGAATGAAGCTGTCAATGGTTGTGCTCGTTCCTGATCTGAACGATTTCACTGTCTATGGTATGGACGACAGCGTGGCACCCCTTCCCGTTGTGCGTGGAGCAGACCCACCGCACTTTAGGTCCCGACGCGATTTTGGCGCAGAACGTGAAGGCGCCGATTTTTATCATGGTCTTCCCACGGCGCGACTTCACAAACTTCACTGTAAGCGCAACAATCGATTAATTATTTACATTCGGCAAAATTAATCAAGACCATCGTTAAAAATGGTTGAAATAGATAAAATAAAAAAAAACATCAATTTTAAAATAAAAATAAAAACAAACGCAGATTTTTGTGGGTGAATCATACATTGTGCACAACGTATAAAATGACTTAAATAAGACAGTACTTATTAATATACATAATCTTTCTAATTAAAATTTCAAAGCCTCATGACCAGTAAGTTTACAATGTTCTTAAAAATAATAAAGCTTGTAAATGTTTTTAAACTAAAGTGGTTTATAAAGTAATGATATAATTGGCTACTTGACTCTTTTTTAAAGTAGGTCTCAAATGAATAATCAGCCTTTGATTAGACAAAAAAAATATTACCATATTTTTCACACATAAAAAATATTACCATATTTTTTTTGGGACTGACAACAGGTTAAAAACTTTATTTTTAAAATAAAGTTTTCCTAAACCGGTGAAAATGGTGTCCGCCATGTTAGTCTATAGATTATCTGTGTTGTGACGTCATTCGTATTGCAAACAATCATTTGACATTTTTAAAATAACCTTACTTGCCAACTTAGGAATTTTCTTCCTAAATTTAGGAAAAAAAATGTACAATGGAAGTTTTTTAGGGCGTAAATTTTTTTGAGAATATTTTCAGGAGTAAAATTTTATTTACATCTTTGTAAAAAAAATTAAACAGGACTACTTATTTGAACAAAAAATATAATTTTAAAGTGTTAGTTGCATTGGTGGACGACAGGCTAAGGCCTATGAGGTAATATTATAAATTCTTTCGCCCTAAACTATGAAAGTGAATATTTTATGTCTTAATCCAGATTTAAAAAAAATGCAACTGAGTCTTAAAATATATTAAAGTCATTAGTAACCAGTTATTTACCTATTAAGCATATGTTTTTGTTTTTACTAAGCAATATAAAATGCCAAAGCATGATAAAACTGTCGTCGGATATGTTTGCAATATAACTGGTAATTTTAGTTTATTAATTCTAATGATAAGTATTTAAATTTAAAAAAATATTTTAACATATTTCATGTTAACATATTTAATTTCTAAAGTAATTTAATGTAGTAAATATTATATGTAGTTTTCTTGATCATTTTTAATGAAATAGTTATTTAAGGAGTATTTTTTTGAACAGTTGATAACACTGCTATCATTGTCAACGGTTTGTTTACAAGTTATGTGAATTCACATCATGTCCGCAAGCGTTTTCAGTGTTTAGAACAAAAAATAAAAGTAGCAATTTTTGAATTGAAATTGTGCAGTCATCTTGCAATTTTTTTAACCGATATCAATATATTTCGGTTTTGTATATCTAATACTGCATGAAAAACTCATTTAGAGGGTCAAATTTGATATGAGTCAAGTAGCCTATTATGTAGTATGTTGTTTTGCTTAATGATTATGATAATTTACAAATTTGACAATACTTTCGTCGAGAGTGTGTAGCTGCGCGTTGCAGCCTTTATTGTTATGCGTCGAACACGCCCATCGGTATTTTCTACCCATCCTTATCTTGCGGAAGTATGTATAACCATTTACTTGGATTAAAGGGTGCCCTTTACGGGATAAAACGATTTCGTATGCTAAAAAGGAAAGCTTATTGTTATAAAATACATTCATAGATATGTACGGCAAAGTCGTCATCAACGAATATCAATATAAATTGTAGGACACATTTTTACACAACATCCTCTAATCCCAAACTAAGCAAAGCTTGTATTATGGGTACTAGAAAACTGATAAACATACTTAAAGATACTTTTCTTTTGTAAATGAATACATATTTTACATATATAAACACCCAGACACTAGAAAAACACTATGTTCATCACACAATATTTTTCCATTAGTGGGGATCGAACCCACACCCTTTGGCGCCGGAGGCAGGTACACTACCCACTACGCCATTCGGGTCAATCAATCGCGCCTATATAATAAGCTTTACCACTAAGCTCAACGGCTGATTGTCACGCCAACTAAAATTTCAACGTCGTTTACCTTCTTGTTTTTAAGCAATGTCTGGCTCCATCTATTGTTATGCCCTTTTCAGCACATGAAAAATACAAATACCGTTTTACAACAACAAATCGGCCGAGAGATATCATCTTTGAAGTTTTTTTATGAATATCAAGATAAACATGCTTTAAATATTGAGTTATATTATATTCCTGTTCTCACAAACCATATTACTGCATCTCTAATAATCTTGTATTTCATCAAAATCCAATTAGTATGATTGTTAGTTGAATACACACTGAATATGTTCTTACTCTGGAAAACACAGGAAACATACTGTTTTCTTTAATGTAATCAAGGCTACTTTGTAAATATCTTTAATAACGGTGACCCTTAATCTGGAAAGAACTCTTCATATAATTACATTAAAAACATTAAGTCTGACCGTGAATCTATTACTTTTCAGATAGGCTTTGTGCTTAGATGTCAACGATAAGAAGATTTTAGCAAAATAACAGGAAGAGCAAAAATATAACAAAACTCAATTTGAAAATGAAGTTTATTAATATTTTTTTGTTTTAGGCAATATTAGCATTACACATATATGCATGTAAGAAACGGTACAAACAAATGCTTGTGACATAAATATACAATAAAATTCAAGCTAGCAAATATAGCCCCTTTAAGCATAACACGTTTAAGCTAAAACTCAGTCTCACTAGACAATAATCTCAATGGTTATGATTTTTTGTAATCTTTACCATAACACAATATCTAGGAAGACCAGTAACAATACTAGAACCTGGTCTTTCTAGCTCCCTTTCTGAGGATCCCCGACGACATTGCGCAGCGGATTGGAAAGTTCTTACAATAGTTTAGCCTTGAGATAGGTACAATCCGAAGGGAGTTTAAAATTTACAAGACACAATAAGCTTGATATGCTGAAGGTTAAAAGATATTTTAAAGAAAGTAATTTACTTGCTAAAGCGAAAGCTACCAATTTTCTAATAAAATGTAATAAAACACTCGCTTAATTATTTACATTCGGCAAAATTTATCACCACCGTCTGTATTAACACTTTTGCGAAACAGGTATTAAAAATGGTTGAAAGAAATTAAATCAATTTTAAAATACAACGAAAAACAAACGCAGATTTTTGTGGGTGAATCATATTTATCTCTCATTATGTATGTACATCGTATAATACGACTTACAAAAGACAGTACTTATTAATATACATAATAATGCTAATTAAAATTTTAAAGCCTCATGACCAGTAACTTTACAATGTTCTTAAAAATAATAAAGCATGGTAACAGTTTATAAATTAATGTGGTTTATAAACTAATAATATATGTAGTATATTGTTTTGCTTAATGATTATGATAATTTACAAATTTGACAATACTTTCGTCAACAGTATGTAGTTGCGCGTTGCAGCCTTTATTGTTATGCGTCGAACACGCCCATCGGTATTTTCTACCCATCCTTATCTTGCGGAAGTATGTATAACCATTTACTTGGATTAAAGGGTGCCCTTTACGGGATAAAACGATTTCGTATGCTAAAAAGGAAAGCTTATTGTTATTCATTCATAGATATGTACGGCAAAGTCGTCATCAACGAATATCAATCGCGCCTATATAATAAGCTTTACCACTAAGCTAAACGGCTGATTGTCACGCCAACTAAAATTTCAACGTCGTTTACCTTCTTGTTTTTAAGCAATGTCTGGCTCCATCTATTGTTATGCCCTTTTCAGCACATGAAAAATACAAATACCGTTTTACAACAACAAATCGGCCGAGAGATATCATCTTTGAAGTTTTTTTATGAATATCAAGATAAACATGCTTTAAATATTGAGTTATATTATATTCCTGTTCTCACAAACCATATTACTCCATCTTTAACAATCTTGTATTTCATCAAAATCCAATTAGCATGATTGTTAGTTGAATACACATTGAATATGTTCTTACTCTGGATAGCACAGGAAACATACTGTTTTCTTTAATGTAATCAAGGCTACTTTGTAAATATCTTTAACATCTGATGACCCTTAATCTGGAAAGAACTCTTCATATAATTACATTAAAAACATTAAGTCTGACCGTGAATCTATTACTTTTCAGATAGGCTTTGTACTTGGATGTCAACGATAAGAAGGTTTTAGCAAAATAATGGTAACAGTTTATAAATTAATGTGGTTTGTAAACTAATAATATATGTAGTATGTTGTTTTGCTTAATGATTATGATAATTTACAAATTTGACAATACTTTCGTCGACAGTGAGTAGTTGCGCGTTGCAGCCTTTATTGTTATGCGTCGAACACGCCCATCGGCATTTTCTACCCATCCTCATCTTGCGGAAGTATGTATAACCATTTACTTGGATTAAAGGGTGCCCTTTACGGGATAAAACGATTTCGTATGCTAAAAAGGAAAGCTTATTGTTATTAAATAAATTGACGTTTTACAATAACAATTCGGCCGAGAGATGTCATCTTTGCTATTGAAAAATTTTAATGAATGTCAAGATAAACATTAACTTTAAATATTGAATTATTTTTTTTTTATGTGAAAAGTTGCCAAGCGAGCAGACGGTTCACCTGATGTTAAGTGAATACCGCTGCCCATGGACATCCGCTACACCCGCACCCGAGGGCTGCAGATGCGTTGACAACCTTTTGAAAATTGGGCTCCGGCCACCTCACTCACCAGACGAAACGCGAAAGTAATATACTTCCACTTTACGCCGGTCTTCTGTGAGGTCGTGGTACTTAACCGGACGAGCCTGCCCATTCGTGCAACAGCCGAGGCTGATGCGTGGCACTACCACCGGAATTAATTATTATCAATATTGAATTTGATGACTCCGTGGCGCAGTGGCCAAGATTACGCGCAGATAGTTGTTTCGCATCTGGGTGTTTGTCCACGTGAAATGTATGTTCGTAAAACGTCATTACCACACAGGATAATGTTATCCTAAAAAGTAAGGGCAATGTTTTTAAAAAAATAAAAAAATAAATTTGAATTATATTATATTCCTCATCTCACAGATTACATTACTGCATCTCTAACAAACTTGTAGTTCATCAAAATCCAACTAGCATGATTGTCAATTGAATACACATTGAGTATATTTGTAATCTCGAAATCACAGGAAAAATTCTGCTTTATTTAATGTAATAAGGCTACTTTGCAAATTTCTTCAATATCTGATGATTCTTAATCTGGAAAGAACTACTCATATATTCTTAATAGCTGTGAATTCAATCAAACGAATACAATAATATCACGGGGAACGATTTCCTCATTGTAAATACATTTAGTCTGACCGTGAATCTATTGCTTTTCAGATAGGCTGTGTATTTAAAATAATATAACAAAACAAAATATGAAAACAAAGTTTATTCATATTGTTTTGTTCTAGGCAATATAAGTATTATACATATATACATGTAAGAAATGCTTATGACATAAATATAGAATAAAATTCAAGCTACCAATTATAGCCCCTTTAGGCAATCACATGTTTAAAGCAAAAATCAAGCTCAAGAGACAATAATCTCAATGGTTATGATTCTTTGTAATCTTCACCATAACATTGTCGACCGTGACAATAGACGTATTGCAACCCTTGTTGTGGTGGGTGGAGCAGACCCACCTAACTTTACCACCTGCGGCCACCCTGCGGCAGTAATTGTACCCCTCAAAATTTATCATGGGCTGCCCTTTCCGCGACATCACTACGGTATACCCTGGGGAAAAACTACTACTTCACTACTACTTTCAAAATAATTTATCAATGATACCAAATTTTGGCCATTGATGCAAAATTGTGACATGTGGCAAAATTTTGCCTAAGTAAGGGAAGAGTTTGGATTATCAGTAATAGTATTCTATAACATTTGAATGGAACGAACGGAACAACACGAGGCAAATTGGAAAAACAACGCTTTATTAAAAAAACATAACAGAAAGATTCGATAAATGATGACTTAGTGGTTAGTATTTCATTGAACTGATGCATTAAACCAACTAGTGGCAATGATCGTTCTTTATTTTAATGATTTCATCGCCGTAGGTGTGTATCAAGGCCGTGCAGCCTCGGTTGTTGTGAGAGGAGCACACCCATCGGCTCCTCATGTTGTTCGTTATTTTATGGCAAAACTTATACCTTCCGACCTGGATCATTCGCTTCCCTCTAGGCGATAACATAAATCTGGCCTCTGCAAACGTTAAACGTGCAGTTCAGAGCATGTATGGGAAAATAAAGTTACACAAATTGTGCTGGAGAGTGTCTTCGCTTCTACCCTACCTAGCGGCAGTAAATGAAACCCCAGTATAAGCGTTAAAATTTATATTTATATTACAAGTAAAATTACTGGATCAGCTCATAAGCAATCAATGATATATAAATATTTTTATGTGATTTGTCCAACGAGCAGACGGCTCACCTGTTTTAAGTGAATACCACCGCCCATGGACATCTGCCACACTCGAGGGTTAAAGATACTTTGACAACCTTTTGAAAATTGGGCTCCGGCTACCTTACTCACCAGACGAAACGCGAAAGTATTTGTCATACTTTCACTTTACGCTGGTCTTCTGTGAGGTCATGGTACTTACCCGGACGGGCCTGCCCATTCGTGCAACAGCCGAGGCCGCTGCGTGGCCCTACGACCGTAAAAATATTTATATAAATATTTATATTATAGAGGTAATGGACCCGAAAATTTGATTGTTTACGCTTCCAAAGCTCTCTTAGTAGACAGGCTGTAGATGATGGCCTCCGAGTAACGAAGTTGACTGTCGTAGGCAGCCAGGCAGCATGGAAATGGTAAAACGTGTTCGACACGTGCACCGTGGTGGCTCAAAAGATAGGTGACGTGGCACGTGGTAGGTGACCAGTCAAAGCAAATCGCAATGTGATTCGAGGTGGCTTCAACGAGATTCGTAGATCTGCTCAGACAGCATTGTGAAGCACAAGCTTTTATCAACTCCAGCAATCAATCAAATCCAGCAAGCAATCATTCAAGCAAAAGCTAGGAAGACCAGTAACAATACTAGAACCTTAAAACATGTAGAAAAATGTTTTCTACATGTTTTAATGCTCAATATTAAGTGCAGAGATTAGCACTATAAAAAACTTTAAAATTCATACTAGAACCTGGTCTTTTTAGCTCCCTCTCTGAGGATCTCCGACGACATTGGGAAGCTGAAAAAGTTCTTACAATAGTTTTGCCTTGAGATGGGTAGTTACAATCCGATGAGAGTTAAAAATGTACAAAATACAATAAGCTTGATATGCTGAAGGTTAAAAGATATTTTAAAGAAAGTAATTTACTTGCTAAAGCGAAAGCAACCAATTGTCTAATAAAATGTAATAAAATCGAATGAAGCCTTAATTAACGAATTTGTAAGAGTTAGAAAAACTAAATTTGATCAAGTGAGCATGGTGGAATAATAGAAAAAGCTATAAATGAAAGATAAATACAATTTGTATAACAAAGTAGGTATGAAGTAGTCAGCATTTCACGATTAAATTTTGTCTTATATACCATTGAAAACTTACTCTATATCGGGCAATCACACATCGTAATTTTATGTTCATTAATTTAAACACAGCCAGTTCATGGACACCCCGCTAGGACGCAAAGCGCGAACCAGCCCACCGTTAACACGTTGGCTGCTAGGTCAGTTTTCATGTACTATCGCAGGGGAAAAAATCACGACAAAAAAGCGAGGATCTTTTTTGAGGATCTAAACCACCAGGTCTGCTGTACCCTGTAACGCACTAGTAATATACTTACCACGTTTTTGGTTAAGACTTGTGATGCACTAGAATTTTAAAATTTTAGCGATGGGACAGTGACTGAAATGAATAAAAATCAACTTATCGATAGTCACGTTAAATTATGTTTATTTATTGATTAAAATGGTGTTCATTAAAACAAGGCAAACAATACGACTTACTGCATTTACTGCATTTTGATTTAATTTTTTTATCTTTTTATCGGCCTGTTTACTTGTCAGTGTTAGCCGTAACTTTGCGTAGCAGCGAAAGCAATTTTTCCGTTTGTTGGTTTTGATATACTGATGTTCCGTTCTCATGTTTACCTAATTAGTGCCTACAATGAAATATATATTTTCATTAGGTGTATTAGCGTGCTTTACGTTGAAATATAACTTACACTATATCAATCCAAAATAATGCAAATAGCTGCAGAAATGGGATCGCAAATATTCGAATAATAAATTATATTTTTAAACCCTTTCAGTGCTGTGGAAGAGTTAACTCGTCCTTAGATTTTTCAATTATGAGCTGTAAACAAACAAAGACAGAGAAACAGCATGAGAGTACATTTTCCAATGTTACAACGAACAAGTGGTTACGGTTAAGGTTGTTAATAAAATATTCTAACTAGAGAGCTGGAGAAACAGACAACAAGCAATATCAAACATAAATATTATAGTATTATTAGAAATATTATAACTCATTAATAATTGGATCAAAATCCAAGCATAAATTTACATAGTGCCAGATGAAATATCTTTGTCAAACTCACAAAATTCTACCTTACGTGATAAGGAAGCAGAGTTCTTTACAAATTTCCAACGTTGCATTGACTTTGGAAATTTATTTGCAGAAACAACTGAAAAATAAACAATATAAACAAACAAACAAAATATCAGCTCCAACCGAATGGTGTTCAAGAGTAAGTAGATACTATTACCTGTTTTGTGGGGAAGAGAAAAGTGCATTCGACCGAAGCTGCTGTAAAATGTAAAACCATGCATTTATACGTACGATTGAAGTTCTCTGCTATACTGGCTTAAGCGCTGTTGCATTGGTCGCTGTAGGGGTGTTATCGTTTCATATTATTTTTTAAATAATCTAAGAGGTAAAATCATTGTAAAACGTGACAAATCCGTATATAGTTAATAACACTAATATAATTAAAATTAACAATTACCTCGATCATCTGATCTCCATATTCGAACCCCTTTTTATTTTTGTAACATTTTAAAAATGTCGATACGATATATATCGATATATTTTTTTACTTGCCCATCCCTACCTCGCAGTGATCGTACGGCTCGCGCCCTACCCCTCCCGCGAAACGGTTAGTGCGGGTACCAGGACTATAAAACTAGGCCTGGTATACCACTGAACGTGAATAATTTTTTTTGTGCTCGAACTAGGTCGAACAAACACGGTAAATTTTTTAAAACCCTATCACAATAAGATACGATCGTAAAGTGTTATAATTATTGCACATATTTAATCTAATTAATAATTTATTAGTACAGTTTGTTGCGACTTATTTAAAAGTTGTTGGTTTGATACCGATTGCGTCGTGATATTTCCTAGACCCTAGAATGGGGGGTGGTTGGTATGTGTTTTTGAGGGGTATAAGTTCAACTCTCACAACGTGCGCGGGTTAGTTTTGGTAAGTGGTAGTTAAGGCTGCTGCTCTGTCGGAAAAGCTAAGTACTATTGTTATTCAATTATTGAGTCATCATCGAGTTATAGTTGTATAAATCGGTAAAAACTGTGTTTTATAACTTGTCTACAATAATCTCTGTCGGAAAAGCTAAGTACTATTGTTATTCAATTATTGAGTCATGGTCGAGTTATAGTTGTATAAATCGGTAAAAGCTGTGTTTTATAATTTGTCTCCAATAATCTCTGTCGGAAAAGCTAAGTACTATTGTTATTCAATTATTGAGTCATCGTCGAGTTATAGTTGTATAAATCGGTAAAAGCTGTGTTTTATAACTTGTCTCCAATAATCTCTGTCAGAAAAGCTAAGTGCTATTGTTATTCAATTATTGAGTCATCGTCGAGTTATAGTTGTATAAATCGGTAAAAGCTGTGTTTTATAATTTGTCTCCAATAATTTCTGTCGGAAAAGCTAAGTACTATTGTTATTCCATTATTGAGTCATCGTCGAGTTATAGTTGTATAAATCGGTAAAAGCTGTGTTTTATAACTTGTCTCCAATAATCTCTGTCTGAAAAGCTAAGTACTATTGTAATTCAATTATTGAGTCATCATTGAGTTATAGTTGTATAAATCGGTAAAAGCTATGGTTTGTAACGTGTCTCTAATAAAAGGTGAAATAAGCAGTTGTCTCTTTCATACGTCAAATATTACCAAAGTTACGTGGTTCGCACCGAGTTTTTTTTAGTAACTGCATACCTAATATAAGAGCATGTGCCATTCCGTTACAGAAATGTTACATGTTTACATGAATTATTTATTGCAAATAATATTTGCATGCCAAAATTAATAATCTGAAGGCTCGAATCGTGCAGATGAATATTATATGTTTATAATATTATATGTTTATAATATTATATATTTATGTATAGTCATCGGTGAACTCAATGCATGACATGCGACATTCTAGTCCACGTCACGCTCCCGTGTTATGGTCGCCCTTGATGTAGACAACTGTGCCTTGGATGGTGTGGACGACGGCTCGGCATCGGAAGCGCTCGTGTGTGGCGCACCGCCACCTCACCTTCGCACCACGGGACCCGTTGGCACGATACTTGTAACCGCCCAGCAGCAGCACTTTGGCCATCTTCGTCGTTGTGTAGATCACGGGGAGCAACTCTGAAAAGCGAGCAGTCCGTCATTCGAAATAAATAACCCCCCCCGTGGCCGATGGCCACCCCATGTAATAAAACGACATGCCTGTGTTAAGTATTGAATCTTTTCAAAGTCAAAGTCAAAGTATATTTATTCAATATAGGCCTAACTTAAGCTCTTATTGAACGTCAACAAAAAATCTACCACCGGTTCACTAAACTAGACCTGCACAGAGAAGAACCGGCAAGAAACTCTGCGGTCTTGTTCTTTTTGTTATATTTTTTTTTGATGCAATTATACACACTTATTTAGGCATAAAATCAGCAGCAGCCAGGGGTCTTGCAAATTTTATTATTGTTTTATTATTGACTTATTAACCTGTAATGTATCGAAAACTGGAGTGAACACAAGGAAATGCGGCTAGTATCTGTAACTGTTTATTCACCAATGACAAACAATCTCACGTCAATCACCCGTAAAATAAATCTTAACCTACTCTAAATTACATTATATAACCTTAATATCATTAAAGATTTAAAATAATTAGAGATCTTTCTAATAATAAAGAAGCTTAAAATAATTAATTATGCTACGTATTTAATCCTTATTCACACTATTAACTACAATATTACTTGAACATTTAAAATAATTAGGTATCCTGGCAAATATAAGACTTGTTGGCGCTGGCAACACTGTATACCGGATATGACGTTATCTACTCGAGCCAAGGGACACATGGTCGCATGGAGCAGCGGTCACTAGGATTTCAGCCGCGTTCACGGACAGTGATATAACCACTAGTGCTGTTTGTCGTTATAAAAGTTGTTAATATTCAAGTTCAGTAATAGTTAAAATAGTAGGATCAAGGTAAAAACGCTAGAACTCTTATAGACTATTTATAATCACCACTTAAAGAAATGTTTAACTTAATGAGATATCATTTCAATTAGAAAATTAATTATAATCCCCAAATTAACAGTACATCTAACACCTGCATGACAAGTTCAACGTGTTATTAAATCATCATCACTACCACTACATAGTATAAAACAAAGTCGTCCCGCTGTCTGTCTGTCCCTATACATGTTTAGATCTTTAAAACTACGCAACGGATTTTTATTCGGTTTTCTTTAATATATAGAGTGATTCAAGAGTAAAGTTTATACGTATAATTCATTATAGTATAGAAACGCTTATAATTTTAGAGGTTTCTAATGCGACGTCGAAAACAAACATTCAGCATAGCACCCGTGCCAAGCCGGGGCGGGTTGCTGGTACTCTATAAGACATTTATAAAGAAAAAACGTTATCGTTAAATGTCAAATATTTAAAGTAAAAACTGAAGTTATCCTTACTAATATCATAAAGGCGAAAGTTTGTATGTATGGATAGATGTTTGTTACTCTTTCACGCAAATACTACTCAATGGATTTTAACTAAACCTTACAATAATATATATTATACATCAGAATAAGACATAGGCTATAATTTAATAAACATTTTATGTATGTTTGTCTTTCTGTCTGAATGTTACGCCTTCAGCCTATTCTACGCAGACGTAGTCGCGGGCAGCAGCTAGTACTTTATACATCAGCAACGAACATTTATACAAAGCCATTATAGCATTTATACAAATTGAGAATAGCGGTGCAGAGAATTAACCTTATATACTGTGCGTATACCAATACAGTGTGTATCTATAGACATACGATGAACTCAATACACGAACAAGCGACACTCCTATCCAAATCAAGCCTCCGTCTTATGGTCGTCCTTGATGTAGACAACTACGCCGTTGATTGTGTGGACGACGGCTCGGCATCGCAAACGCTCGTGTGTTGCGCACCGCCACCTCACCTTCACACCACGGGAGCCGCTCGTACGATACTTGTAACCGCCCAGCAGCAGCACCTTGGCCGTCTTCGTCGTTGTGTAGATCAAGGGGTGCAACCCTGAAAAGCGACGAGTATGTCATTCGAAATAAATAACGGGCGCAATTAGGGATGGCCACCCCATATAATAAAACGACACGCCCGCATGACAAGTTGTTTCAACGTGTTGTTAAATGACAATAAATAAGCATCGAAGTTGCAAGTATTTTTAATGTACATTTTATTTTATACGCCACTCCATCGTTTTTAATAATTCATACGGAAAAACTTATAAATACCTTCGGTGAATAATATCCTTGAAGCTCAGTATCCTACAAGTCAGTCCAAAAAGCTTGGTCGCAGATCCAGAAATCAATACAGTATTTTATTAATTTCATATCGTTTTCTCCTATTAAATGTTTGGGCAAAGGGCATGCCTTGTACTATATATATTTCACATAGTTATATGATACAAGTTTATCTTATCATAAATGCATTTATTGGAAATATTGTTAAATATTAAGTGACGTGATAAGTTAAATAGAGATCAGTGGCAATAACTATTTATTCAATATTGTTATTTAAAAATAATTTACGTCAACTAATTAAGTTATAAACTGTTAGACAAGCTTATGATTAGTCATGTTTGTAGCATTAGGACCAGAAGATTATATTTGATGTCATAAAGTACTTCAACGAATCTATACGATATATACTTAAAATGAAATAAAAAAAATACGCTAAGAGTCAATTTCACCACGCTCTGTTAGTTAATTTATTTCCCTGTTAAAACAGATTGCGAAGAAGCGTGTGCGTGAACAACCTGCTAACATTTACTTAACCAGCCGTTTATTTTAATCGGTACCCTACTGCGCCGTTAAAATTGTAACGAGATTTTAGTTTGACGTCAATGTGGACGGAGATGCATATTATTAAAGGAAAGAAAGCGGCCAAGTGCGGGTCGGACTCGTGCACGAAGGGTTCCGTACCATCACTACATAGTATAAAACAAAGACGACCCGCTGTCTGTCTGTTCCTATGTATGTTTAGATCTTTAAAACTACTCGACGGATCTTGATGCGGTTTTTTTACTAGATAGAGCGATTAAAGAGGAAGGTTTATATGTTTAATGCATCGCACTCGTCTGAAGCCGGGGCGAGTTATGTATAAAAACGTCAAAAAAAATCATGTATATTATGGGAGCCCCACTTAAATACTTTTTTATTCTGTTTTTTATTATTTGTTGTTATAATGGCAACAGAAATACATCATTTGTAAAAATTTCAACTGTCTTACTATCACAGTTCATGAGATACAGCCTAGTGGCAGAAGGACTAACAGACGGACAGGCAGACAGACAGCGGAGTCTTAGTAATAGAGTCCCGTTTTACCCTTTGGGTACAGAACCCTAAAAAGTAACATGTTTTCTTAAAAAATACAAGCGCTCCGTAATTTTGCCCAATCTTAGTATAGGTGCTTATACACATATAACAATTTCCGTTTAAGTCGATGTAATATCCGACCAGCAGTTTTTACTTCTATGTTGTTACAGTAGTAATGGAATTTAAATATAATAACTTCCAATTAAACGTGCACATGTTAACTTAAATATCACAATTATTTCGTACACTTACATAATAAAACTTCAATTAAACAAAAACACTGGTTAATATAACAATTTCTTACATTTACGCCTAAAACATATTAAAAAAACCGTAAAAATAGTTTTAACCAGATTGAAGTTAAAAAAACACAATCAAAATGGATTGTGTTTTTTCTCTTATTATATCTCGCATTATTTTAACGCGCAATGTTGTACATGATCCAGTCGATAAAATATTGTTTAAATCCATTTATCAAAGCTTTAGTAATTATATTTTGTTATGGCCGTTTAAGGTTTGTAAATCATTTGGAAAATATTTATCAATTGTTTGTGATACTTTTTACGTCATGGAACATAATATGGTTTGCATAATTTTAACATTGTTCATATTTAACATTAATTACAATTGATTAAAAGAGTATAACTTTTAATCCACAATTGGTGAAATTGCTTCTAAATATTACATACATTACACCTTAACGAACTAAAACTGTTCTTTTTACATTGACTGATTGCGCTATATACATTTATGAGATCTCCATTTTTTAAATGCGATACGAGAACAAAGATAAAATAACATCTATTTACTTTCATTTTCAGGAAATATTTTTACTCAACGTTATCTAGTACCAAACTAAGCAAAGCTTGCACTATGAGTAGCAGGTAACTGATAAACATAGTTTCTATTGTAAATAAATACTATACATATATAAACATCTAGACACTAGAAAAAGACTATGTTCACGATATTTTTCTAGTAGTGGGGATCGAACCCACACCCTCTGGCGTACGAGACAGGTGCACTATGCATAACGCGAAACGGGTTATCGATCGTTTATGGGTAAATTTATCACAAGGAACATAGTAGTATGTTACACATAGTTTTGAGCAAGTCCAAGGTTAATAGGTACGTCCCCAGGTTGGTAGTTTTGGTGGTCGTGCTTCTCGCGCGTTCTCGTCAGAACGCCGCCAATAGTGTAGTAGAAGGCTTTGCAACCCCTTTTGGTGCAGCGCCAACGGATCTTATCCTTTCCCTCCATTTGTTGGTAGTACCGCTGGTTTTTATATATCATTTTGATCCTCCCATTTGGCTTCCTGAAAAAGAATGCTGCAACAATCATTTTCGTTCGATTAGAATATTAGAAAGTTTTAGCAATTTATGTTGAACTTATGATTAGAGAATCTACTTGAGTGCACCCACCGTCACTAGTTGCCTTTTTTACTAGCCAATTTGAAGTATCCTACGTGAACAGTTTTATTTTGTAATAATATTGTAGTGCGTTTTTTACGAGTCTTTTTCAAAATTTATTAGGGATACAAATGTTATAAGATCGACGTCGTTATTCAACGATGAAATGAAATGGTACACCGATTTAATATCTTGTGATGATGGATTATTATCTTAAACTGTGATTTGGGTCTTAAAATAAATTAAAACCTATAAAGAGCGGGTCAAACATAAACATAATTTCATTTATTTAAAAATCATTTTATTTAAAAATAAACCAAAACATGGGCTCAAAATTTGAATTTTCTCATCATATTGAGCTACTGAGGTACTGAGCTAACAGTTCACTTGAAAGCGACGAACGCCATTAATGACACTCACAACTACGATGGTTATTTGAAATTAACTCCATAATACTTACCTCGAACTTATATATAATCTATATATATACTTATATATATATATATAAATATCATTCGCATATGACGGTAAATTTCGCCGCAAAAAAATGTTATAATAGCTCGGTCGGTAATCGGGCGGCCCCAAAACAGACGGCCGCGGTTCGTATCACGATCATTTACACACTTATTTTTTTTTACTTTTTTTTTCTATACCAGATCATTTTCTTTATTTTTTTTATTTCCAAAATATATGATTTACCAAAAAAATCTTCGGTCTTCTAGATACTATTTCTTAATGAAGGAAAAAACAAAAATCCTGAATATATCGAAAATATTATTTGACTCCTGTTTAATGTTAATTTATGTAAGCATTATATTTAATGCTATTATTATATATTATCGTAACATTGTAAAAACCATCACTGTATGTCGCATTGCGTGATGGTTTTAATTCTTCAACAAACTAACGTCAGTTATAATATGTTCTCGGACTTTTTTCGTGGTTCATTTGACTTTCCGCGTTGATCCACCTATGTAGTTATGTGAAGTTATTCATTAATAACATAAATTCATCGAAAGCAGGGATTAAAATACTCCAGTCACACACAATTTCCCTATTCACATATTTTCCAAACGAGCAATCTAAATACAATAAGTTAAAACAAGTCATCGACTGTACATATTTTGACATATTTTGTTTTAAAAAAATATAGCGAAAACATTTTTATTCCGAATAAAATAAATATCCTTTACACCGATAAAAACAACAACAATTTTAGCGCTAAGCACTTTATATTCTCAACATTAATGATATTGCAATTTCATAGAAAATACAATAAGCTCGGCAGTCAAACGTATTCTTCAAAAAAAATCATAAAAAAATCACTTCAAAAAAAATCATACATTTTTATGTGAGAAGGAGACAAGTTAGCTGACGTTTCAACAATAAGACTATTTGCACCTTTGCCACCTTTTAAAAATGTCGGCCTTACCTCCGTCACTAGACGAAATCCTGAAGTACTCTCCCACTTCACATCGCTCTGCTGTGAGACCACTTCGCTGACAGTCTTCGCTGTTGCACAAATGGGCAGGTTCATCCGAGGTAGTACCACGACCTCACAGAAGACCGACGTCAAGTGTAAGTGTTATACTGCTGCATTTCGTCTGGTGAGAGCGGTAACCGAGGAGTATTTCGTTAAAAGGTGGCAACGCCTCTGCAACTACGTGTGTTGCAAATGTCCATGCGCGACGGTTATCAAATAACACTAGGTTAACGCACACAAAACCTCTTTATTTCCACATCCACATATTTTTACATTTTAAATATTTGTTAGTCTTGTTAGTATATTTAGTGGATGTGGAAATAAAGAGATTTAAAAAAAAAACGCATACGAAGCTCGTGGCCGAGAGTGGTAAACGTATATGAAGATACTAGCGCTACTTTTAATGGTTATGAAGCGTCTGCAATTTGACTACACGCCCATAGATCGTGTACAGGTAGGCGTTGCATCCTCTCTTTGTGCACCGCCATCTTGTCTTCGTGCCGTTATCGTACTGTTTGTAGAATTTCATGTTTCCGTAAATCATTTGCTCCTTACCCGACCACGTCGTAACTAACGTCGCTGAAACGATGAAATTGCATACTTTTAACGGATAAAAAAGATGAGTCGAATATATTACCAAAGTAAAGACATTCATCATCCAGTTGCCCAACGCAATACGTTTTCACGTTTCAAACGACCTCTACAGCAATCATCATGAAGAAACTTTACGAAAATATATATCTCTTATTGGTGTGTTAAATGCAAATCTTTTCTTACATTAAATTCGTTGCTTTTCGAGATATTCGCAATTTTGAACATGACATAAATAATGATTCGTCTGGGTTTGTCGGATAATTTAGGCAATAAAAGTTATAAAACAGTATTTTTCATAAAGTATATTAAAAGGATTATAGCTAGGTTTTATTTATTCGTATTGGACAGCCATGGTTGAAAGACTTAATTGGCAAATTTAAATACTTCATACGTAGTAAATATACACCAGCTATAGAAGTATCTACCGACTGCTAACAAAAAGTACTAAATATAATTTGAAATTATTGTACAAAATTTAAGTTAATAATGTCTAACTACCTTGAAAGTTGTAAAGACGTTTTGGCTGGAACATCGGATAAGTTAAGTCAACGACTCATGGTTTCAACGAGTTCCTCAGGTACAGTGGTCGACGTACGTGGCAGGTGTAAAGGAACAAGTCTCCCACTCCCTCTCGACACTCGCAACCCCAGAGATTTTCTAGACGTGTAGCTAACTACTGAGTGTGAGTAACGGTTACCTCACTTACCGGATACATGCAAAAGTATAAATTTACTGAAGACCAGAGTATAGACTCTGCTTCTATGGGGAACGGTACTTCCCGGATCTGGCCTGTGGACGCAGACTCGACGACTGCACCATTTAGCACATATCAGATACGTGTGAACAGTGGGACTTGTAAGTTTAACTCCTTCAGTAACTCCACATCCTCGGTTCGTGGTACTTCAACGAGACCGGCTTCGGCATGTGGTTGTGGTTGTTGTCCACCACCACGACGGCGCCCCTCTTGGTGACGATGTGCGCGGTGCAGCCCCTGGGCCTGTTGGTGGAACAGTACCAGCGCCTCATCGACTTCCTGCCGTCGAGCTGGCGGTACGCCGTCGGCAGGTAGAAGGTGTACCCCGAGCACGAGAGCAGCGACCTCCCCTTCTGCGACTGCGTCATGTGTACTGCAAACCACGTGGAATCAATTCAGATTAAGACGAGATCACAATTCGTAAGTGTTTTTCCCCCGGCGTTTTAAAAAAATACCGGCCAAGTGCGAGTCGGACTCGCACACGAAGTTCCGTCCGTACCATTATTTATTAAAACGGCAAAAAAAATCATGTCTGTTGATGGGAGCCCACTTTAATGTTTTATGTTCTATTTTTTAGTATGAGTATAGTACTATTCATGAGATTAGCCTGGCGACATACGGACAGATAAACAGACGAACAGACAGACAGACAGACAGCGGAGTCTTAGTAATAGGGTTTCGTTTTACACTTTGCGTACGGAACCCTAAAAAATGGAATCCGTAACACTGCAAGTGCTGCCGCGGTTTTGCTGGTATATCAGAGGATAGTCATCCGGTTCCCGCAGTCTTCAGACGAAAATCAGCTATACAAAAAATACTACCTTACTTCGGTCAGACTTAAATACGACAGATATAAATAGCGCGTGGGAAATTAGATCATTTATTTCATTTCATTATATATAGCGTAGGTTAAAAAACTCAATTGTTCTTATATCTTGCATAAATGAGAATACAAATGTGAAAACTCATTTTATATATTTCAGAAAGCATCAACATGATGTGAATTGTTATGTTGTCAAAAACGAGCTGACGACTAACGTGGCCGCATTAGGATATTTAACTCTTTTCTTGAACACACGCGAATCGTAACGCGAAGCAAGGACAGACGCCAACTAATTATTCCCATACATTTATTTATTTTTTTATTTATTTATACTTTATTGCAGGCTTTAAATAAAAAGGATTACAAAGGGCGAACTTAATGCCTTTGTGCTTAACGAGAGAGAAACTGCTTACGGAAGTGAAAGTCTGTTTAACATAACAATGTCGCTCAGTTTCTTATAGATTTTTTTTTCAGAGGCTACAGTGAAGCTTCTTAAAACTGAGCGAATACTACGGACGAAACTAAGCGTGGTTATGATCTCCCGCTACGCTCACCACGTCACCTTCTACGGTATACAGCGACGCGGGACATTTTCTCCTCTTCTTCTTGGAGCAGTACCACTTGCAGCACATTTTGTTCAGACGCCTGTTCTTGTCGCACCAGTACGTGTGCCCCTTATACAGCAGGCGGTAGTTGCCGGACAACGTTGGCAAGTATTCCACTAGGAAAAAATGACGTTATTGTAATATACATAAGGTCGGAATTAGGCAATCAGATCGAGATAATAAAGCACGTACGACTTCGAAGAATAGAACTTCGTGTACCAATGTCGATGAACTCTTTAAATTGTGCATGTTCCTTGTATTTTTTTTTTTGCTTTTAAAAAACTTTTTTGCTACGAAATTATATCCTGTTTACAGGTGTACTGTGTAAGCGATAATTGTGTGCCTTAATATAATAAAAAGTAATAAAGTAAATAAAATAGAGGATTAGTACTCGTGAATAATCTTTGCGAGACATTAAGACGACTTAAAAAGCGTGGAATTAAGTTTTTTTTATTTAGAACTGGCCAGCACTTGACTGCCATCCCACCTGATTGTAAGTGGCGATACAGCCTTTGATGGTTAACGCGCTAGCTCAGTATAAACCTATATTCACTCTTGCCTTGAAGACGCCTACGTTGTAATCGGACGGAAAGACGGACGCCGGCAGGTTGTTCCATTCCTTAGCTGTACGGATGATAAATGACGAAACAAATCGCTTGGTTCTTGTTCTGGGAACGTCGATAGCATGAGGGTGGAGCCTCGCCGAACGCAGTCAGATGGCATTTTGCAGCCCCAGCCCAGATATGGCAACAGTACTCCACACACGATTGGACTAAGTAACAAGTGAACTTAATAGTTCATATACAATTCAATTCACTCGTGGAGTACAAAAGTATTTCAGGATAATATATACTTACATACATACTTGCTTACATGCAATGAGTAAGTAAATATGTATACCTAAGATGTTTCTGTTCAACAAACTATTCTGTAATGGTAAATCGTACAGTTCCAAATTAAGGTATTTTTGTCAGGGATGTCGATTAAAATATATTTCAAGAATTTATTAGCATTTAATAAGCATTTACAATAAAATAAAATATCGAATGAAAACGCATCCGAAAATAAATGGGAAAAAGTATAACAAAATTTCATAATTGAATTGCTAAATGTATGCAAATTTACTTTGTAAACACTCTGTATAGCCAATTTAAAAAATCTGCGAATTTATTCAGATAAATTATTTTTTCAGATAAATTACCTGATACATACAAAGTAATTTTTTAAAGTAACACAACGCAAAATTTTGTAATCAAATAAAACGCAAACAAAACATTTTTAATTAATAACATATGTATTATTTGCCTCCACTGTACATACTCGTATGTATCTATGATGCATGAAATTACAACGATAATTGATTATTGGCAGTATAAAAGTAAGATATTTAATTTTGTTTACTTTATAATTTACGATATCTAATATTTTTCGACATAATATTTAATGACTTCTTCGTTTCCCATTGTATTTTATACTATTGATGCGATTACAATATAACTTTGCTGGGTTGTCTTCTGCATGCACGATACTGAATAAAAAAAACTAAGCATCAACAAAATCACTTTGTTGTTTTTGTTTATAGACGTAGGACCAACATAGTAAGTTATTTAAATACTAGCTAAAGTGTATACTACCGACTTCTAAGTATGAACTAAATAATGAACTAAACAAGTTTATACGAACAACTGCAACTAATGTTCCTCAAGCAATTTACTATGGTGGGGCCACGCAACAGTTTCTGCTGTTGCACTAATGGGCAGGCGTCCGGGGAAGTACCCGGTCCACGAACACCGGCGTGAAGTTGAATTATTAAACTTTCGCGTTTCCTGAGTGAGGTAACTGGGCCCCACTTTTTTTAAAGAGTCAACGCATCTGCAGGCCATCGGATGTTGAATATTTCCATGGCCGGCGGTATTCACTTTTAACATCAGGTGAACCGCATGCTCGCTTGACAACTTATCACATAAAAAAACATATTTAAACTCACATTCATTCCAATTTTAAAAATTATTGTAACAAATGGAATATTTTGAAAAAGAAAAAATGGCCGCAACACTAAAACCGAACAAGGCCGACGCACGTTAACTTGAGGTGGACAAATTTTTCTATTAAACTTACTACTAGTACTAATAAAGTATACTAACTATATCTAATACCGGTGACTTGTCACATCTTGTATGCAAACCATATAGTTTGGATACAAGATGTGACAGGTCAACACGTTAACATTTTAATACGAAAACTTTCGCAATGATGTAAAAGATTTTAGAAGCTCGTTAAGAACTCAATGATTGTGCTCGCCATGAATCGATAACAGGTTTCCGTATAAAGTTTTGAGGTAGACTTTGCACTTTTTGCCGCTTCGCTTGGAGCAGTACCAAACTTTGAGGGCTCTGTAGTCGTTTTGTTGTGAGGTGGGCTTCGACTTGCGCCAGTTGCACCAATAGGTATGTTTCTCGTACATCAGCTTGTAGTTTCCGCCCTTCGTCGGTATTAGTATGGGCTCTGCAAAAGGGTTTTCATTAATGAAATCATTTTGGAACAAAGAAGAAGGAGAAATGACCGTGTAGCGTAAATCTAAGGTTATGATACAACTTTAAGAATATAAGAGTACTTTCTTGAGAGGTGAAAAGCATCTTTCACAAATCAGGATATCGATAGCACAACTCACGTGTTACAAAATAAACATTTTTGTCGGGGAATCTAAAGTAAAGTAAGGCAAATTATCACTCAAATTCAGCTATGAACTGAGTTGCATATCGTAATCTCGATTTTTCGAGACAAGATTCCCTCACAGATGTAATCGATGACTCTGGGTACGTCTGTAAGGGAATTTTGTCTATGGGATAGTTAGTTACAAGGAAGTGGTTATAGAGATAACAATGAAACATATACTAAAAGTGGCTAGATGTATTAAATGACGTACAGCACATGAGGTCCAGTTTACAGATATTATGAGATTCGTACAACTAAAAAAGTAAAGTAACATTATATACATGTCGCCACTGCTGGGCAAAGTCCTCCTTTGTACAGAGGGTATCAGGGTCTAGTCTACCACGCGGCCCCACTTGGAGACATATCCTGGTGTTGTTATTTCAAAAATATGCAGGGTTCATGACGATTTTTTCCTTCCCGCCGAGTACGTGATATACTCATAAAACTAGTGTGAGTTAATATACATAAATACAAATATAGCAGCTGAATATGCACATAAACATAGAAATGAAGCATTACGGATTTTATCCGTATCCGCTCATTAATATGGTGGCATTCAGTGATTGTGCACACCATGTATCGACATCAATCTCCCGTGCAGGGTCTTAATGAAGACTTTACATTTCTTGCCGCTCCTCTTGGAACAGTACCAGATCCGCAAGGCTCTGTAGTCGTTGGGTATGGTCTTTTGCCAATTGCACCAGTAAGTGTGTTCGGCATACTGCAGCTTATAATTACCACCTTTAGTCGGGATTAGGATGGGGTCTGAAAAATACACGACATGTTAAAAAGTACTCCTTGGCATTACTGCACTTACAATTGTTCTTGACGTCAATTAATTGTATTCTAGGTAATCAGTACATTTTATTCACATCAAAATTTATTGAAAGTATAATGCAGACATTTATAGGAAACATCTTGAAGGTTTCATCTATAGTCTTTTTATTACGTTTAGGGATAGTTTCAATAAATAAATGTTCGTAATTATTCTAGATAAAGTATTTGAATAGTATTTGAATCGTATTATATACAATATGCAATCGTATTATATGCAAAAGATGTATAAATTCTAATTTGGCCTTTTCTTTGACGTAGATGAAATAATTAGAATACCTACCGATAGTAATCATTTTAAAGAGAAAATACTTTTCGTGTACTGATGATAATAACTTACATGTTATATAGTACTTTTTTATTTAATATAGACGGCACTTATGCAAGCCGCCATCGATACACACACCAAAACATTGGTGCTATTTGTCAACTATTGAGTGTAAAAAAAGATTTTTATGCAATTAGTAAATTGCGTAAAAATATTTTTTTCATTCGACTCTTGATGAGTCTAAATTTAATAACCGCCAGTATATTAGATCTTCGTTAATTGTCTAAATAAGCCTGAATTAAAGTAAAATATTTTGACTTTGGCAATAATAATGGTGGGCGGTTGATAAGAATTATAATTATATTTATACGCCACTAGAGACGTTCATACGCGTATGTTCATACAGGTATGTCGAAAGTGACAATATAAAAATATTTCTATTTAGGACCCGATGTCGAAAAAAAAAAAGATGTCAAGTATTAAAACTTTTACATCCACGGACTCTGTGCCGGATTCGCATTTGAAAAAATATCGATTTTGACATAATTTCGGTACTGATATGTTATATCGGACCCAAATATATCGGCTAAAATATCGATGTTCAAAATCAAAAATATCGATATTTTTGCGACATCCCTAAGTTATTAAGGTGACAATTTTTGTATTATGGAACAACTGTATGTTTTAATGTACTTCTTTCAATGAGGTTCAAAAGAGTAGTAACTTTTTAAAGATTCTTAGGGTGCATAAATTTTATAGTTTCAATGTAATTGGGGTATTTTGAGTATGCAGCATTTTAATACTGAAGGAAATTTTAAAGCAATTTAATAATGCGTGTGCTCTCCACTGATGGCTACAATCGTCCTATTGAACATCTTCACAGAAACTTTACAGCCCCTCTGTTTCCTTCTAGAGCAATACCATACACTCCGCCCGGATATGTCTTTGTTATTAGTGGAAAATGTGAACTGCCCAAGACGTAGAAGAAACTTGCCACCGTTAAGAGGTAAAAGCAGATTATCTAAAAGTAAAAGAAACACTTTAAAACTGGGTTAATGTATTCTAAACAGATGTTTTATCTTTTGCAAAAATATGTTATACGCTATTACTTGACAACTCGGTCTCCAACTTGCATCAACTGCTTATGGTGGCTGTTGTCAATTAGAATACCAATGTATATTACAACGGACCAGATATTTGCTTCATAGTTCCGAGAGTCGATAAATTTAGCAAATTGTTTACGATCTTCACAAATTACATCAACAATAGGCGGAGATTACCGGGTCTCTTACTGTTCCACATATTCCTTAAATTAATGAATTAGACAATAGAATCTAAACAGCAAACAGCATGAGAAAAGGAAGCGTTGTATTTGGAAGGTAATCAATGTACGGTAACTAGTAAAGGTATTTTAATGGGGTAAACCAATTGTATTTCATTCAATTGCTCATGGTACATTTCCCTGGCTATGAGTGTGCTCGCCAACTGTGACAATGGACGTCTTGTCGTACATTCGGACACGGGCGCGGCACTTTTTACTCATCCGCTTTGAGCAGTACCAACTGGAGAGGCCAGAGATGTCCCTGCAATTTGTGGAGTAAGTGTCGCCTCCAATCCGAAGTAGATATCTTCCGGTGCGGAGCGGGATCAATTGGAAATCTGGAAAGCAATATACACGACCTCTAAAGTATAGGTTTAAAGTGCTTGAGAATTTTACCGGTCCATTATTGGTTCTGTAAATTTCTAGAATTTCTCATTTTAACGATTTTTAACTACACTTACTACTGCAATATTTCATTATATTTCAGTTATAACTTTTCGATAAAATATTTCGAGATCGTCTTAGGTTAATGACAATGTATTAGCTTAATAATTAATATGTAAAATATTTTATTTAAGCGTATACATATTACTATCAATAATATAATACCAAATTTAGTCTCCGTACGTCTGGAAAAAGGATATTTGGTTTAGTTTTTATTGTAATATCGTACTAATGTGTAATTGAGCTCCTCTATCACTTTCATGATCTTATTATAGGCTTCTAGAAAAAATCTTGCATCGGCTATTATTGTTAGTTGTGCATCTCCAAAACATTATATTTCTGTTTTCTCTTATCGCGTAATGAGTGTGATTATTCTAGAGCACCCACTTTTTTATGGTTCTGATTATGATTTTACAAAAACCATACCTGACGTCTTTTGCTATGAATATATCAGAAAAAAACTATTTTACCAAAAGATATGAACACAAAAATTATTTGATTGGTAATGATAAAAATCAAGGCATGATATTTGAATAAATAGTATATTTTTATAACAGATGAAAATAAAGCTTTCTTCATAACTTTCAACAGACAAAAATAATTATCATTGTCAGGTTATAAAATGAAAAAAAATATATATAATGTAACACCTGTTCATAAAGTATTAAGGTTGAACAAAATTAAATTATACAAATAAATTTATTTAAAATTTGTGTAGTTTGTGGGAAAGCTAACTAAAACTTAAAGTGAGCGAGAAATTACTGCCATAATATTACTTATGGACTTGGTACCACAATTTTCGGCGATGCATGTGTTTACAAATATCACCGTATCTTACTTAAAGTTCAAAAAAACGAAACCGCAACAGCCCGATTGCTTCCAGAGGAGTCGGCTATAATAATATATAATATATTATTGAATTTCTATCTATAATATTCATTTGCTAATCTCTATGACAATGGACGTTCATAATTTGTAGTATTTGCCGTTGCAAAACACGATGTTCAGGGGTATGTGGTTGTGCTGGAAATTCGCTTTGCGAATGTCCAGCTTTTCGTTGAGTGTTATCCTCGCCTTGCAGCCTTTGTGCGAGTGCGTGGAGCAACGCCAATGGCTCACCCTCTTCACCTTGTTGTCGTATTGTAGGAAGTAGGTGTACTGCCTATGCAGCAGAAGGTCCGAACCCTTGTGCGACTTGATAAAAGCAATACCTGCAAGCAGACATTTTTGGCTTAATTGTTAGACGCCTCAAGTCGTGTTTCTGGAGTGGTATGACAATTTTTCAATAATATTTTTTTATCATTACGTGAATGAAGGGGGGTTTTGTCGAGTCAAAAGTTTTTTCATTATTTGAAAACATTAAGAGCACACTTCCGGTTCTATTTTAATGGAAGCTCTATACCGCTAGAGCAGATGTACATAATATATATTTTTCTCAAGCGTTATAAATATATTTTTTTTATTTCATTTGCTAAAATAAAACTTTCCTCCGAAGACTTCATAAAGAGTTTAACCTAAAAACTTTTAGAGGCACCTTAAAATAATATAATTTAAAACACATTTTAGAGTATAAGCAATTAGGGGACTGACAAGCATTGCTTATATACCATTATTTGGTCGGGAGAAATTTTGTCCGACAAATGATTAGGTGAAATGAAGTAACAAAAGTTTGATGTAACATGATTTTTACACAAATTTAAAGAGAAAAGCAATTCTTCTTTTTTCTGTATAATTATTAATTACACGTATAATTATTAACAAGAAAACGGGTCCATATCAAAAAAAGTTTATTTGGCATTTATAACAAAATCATATACATAGAGATGTAAGTTTTTTTACAACCATTTAAACGTATATATGAACATATCGCATGACCATACAGCATGAACCTTATAAATGAAAGACTTTCCATTAAATACACGTATATCGTTGGCACATCAAACCTTTACATCTTTAAAAAATAAAATCTTTTATTTCTTCAAAATGTTAATTAACATAAACTGGAATAACGTTAACGTTAAACTAAGAAGTAAGGACAAGAAAAGTTGTTAAATAAATATCAAGAAACAACACCACTCTTTCTACAAATTTTAAAACTAGAGAATTCTACTAGTTCTTTTATATCACAACCTGACATTGGCCTTTATTTTTTAACAACTGATCAACATCAACTCATCAACATCAACCTTCAGGGGCGTGAGAGCAACAGCCGAAACGAAAGTTTAAAGCAATATCGGATGAATAGCATAAGAACGAAACGATAAAAACATTCACATTTTTATTCTCCAAGTTTCTGGAAGTATTGCACCTGTGAACTGTACTTCGCCGGCGGGTGAGTGTGTCCGTTCTCAATGGTTAATATTTCGTAGTTCTCGCTCATCTTGATTCTGGCATTGCAGCCGCGCCAATTGTGCGTGGAGCAGTACCAGTCTGTGACGTTCGTCCTGCTGTTCCGCCTCTTGCAGTAGAAACTGTAGTTCTTGTACACGATGAGATCGTTCCCCGTGTGCATTGACTTCATCAGCGACACCTCTGCGGACGAATTGAAGATATGTTTGCAAAGCGAAAGGAATATTTCTGCAGCTCGACTTGTGAACTAAATGCTGTACAGTCCAAAGTGCGGTCCATGAATTGAGATAGCTTTTCCCAGATACTTTAAAATGTTATATAATTGTCACATGCGGCGTAGATATCAGTTGCAAAAGTTATAAGTTTTAATAAGTTTCATGCCTTTGTCGTCTCTGGTTACATAACCACTAAGTGGGTTAATCACGCATCTGTCAGTGTCTATTTTCGAACTATATAGCTACATATAAAGAAGTATAGTTACCTCCATCTTTGTTCATCAACTCACGAAAATTTTAATCAGTATCGGATGGATCCTTAAATGATGAATCAATTACACGATAAATGGAATTTAATTAAATAAAAGCATAATCAGGTCCTTTCTTATCTTTGATGAATTTCACAGTACAATGACTAGATTGGTAACTTGTTACATGTCAATTCCTATAATTTTAGATACGTAATTCGATAGCACTATTAATAAATACTTATTAATATAATTCTTAAGATAAGTATATACATTTAAAGAGTAAGATATGAGAAAATTGAATGGTTACGACATCTTATAGATCAACGAATCCAACAATTTTTGATAATAGTTCTTATGATTTATCCTTTGGTAATAGTCCATTGACAGGCACCAGAACCTGGGTAATATTTCGCATCCCCATGACTAAAGACGGTAGTGAGGCTCTAGATCTTCATGTAGAACCCGTTATCGATGACGAAATGCGGGGGCGGGTGGTTGTGCTCGGTGAGCGCGTGGTTGACGAATAGGGCGTCGTTAGACATGATCAGTCGCGCCCTGCAGCGTCCGCCATTGGTGCAGCTCCATATCTGCGACTTGGAGTTCCTTTTGTGGCAGTAGAACGTGTAGCCGTGGACGATGGCCAGCCGCTTGCCGCACGGCTTAAACACCCACGAGACTGTAAGCAGAAAGCGATAAGAACATCTGCGCTCAAAAATATTACTAACGTAAAAGATGGCGACGGCTACTTGAAGTGTCTCACTTAGCGTGCGGTGGATAAATAATTCGATATGCAAACGAGGGAAAATTTATTTCAAAGTTAAAAAAGCAACTTTCGTGTCGAAAACAATACGTATATCTGAAAAAATATAGTTTTGTGATATCTTGACTTAACACTCGCTTAAACTTATTCCACTGAGACAAAAAGCACTTAATGTTTCAACTTTATCGGAAATAACATGTTTCTTATGACCTTCTTGGATATTATTTAAGGTATTCAATTCTTTCTACGTCAAGTTAACAGTTAAAGAAGTAACAACGATCGCATGTTACTGGTTCACGTTTACTTTAAAATAAAAAAATATGAAATCCATCTAAATTATTCGAAAACTAAACGCTAAGAATACTGCGTTAATTTAGAAGCTAGATTTTGACGTAAAATCCGTTGCTTATTATAAAGTTGGGTGGTGTATGATCGTGGTTGAGATACGAGCGTATCATCTCCATCTGTTTGGTGACGATGAATCTGGCCTTGCACTGTCCACCTCTGGTGCAACGCCATATGCTGGTATTGGCAGACTTTACGCCACAGTAGAAAGTAAATCGGTCGACGATCGCCAACTTTTTTCCAGAACGCTTTTGCACCCATTGCACTGTACAGAAATTTCTAGAATTAGATCAACTGGCACTAAGACGTTATAACCAGATCCATAGGGATCTGAATAATTCTGTCGTTTATAATAGGTAACATTAGTATCTTAAAGGATTAGTGCTTTCAGACCTCCTCTCGTGTAGTGGAAATGTATGAACGGCATTGATTACTTAACATGACGTGAGCCGATTGCTTAAAAAAGTTAAGTGAAATATAAATATGAAAAACCAAATTTATCAGGTTATCCAGTTAATTAACCTGATTGGGCACAGCACTTTCATCGGTTTCCAAACTTAAAAAAAACACTTTGGTGGTCAATTGTCATCGAATGAAGAGGTTATTATTTTTTATAAAAATATTATTATTTTCAACTCAAAAATTGTTGGCTTGCGATAATTTGTAAAGACACCTACCTATGAAGATATAAACCTATATATCTAGGTACGTATATATATATATATATATATATATATATATATATATTATAAACATTTAATAAATTTAATATTTTGTATTACGTTTTTTTTTATGTGAAAAGTTGCCAAACGAGCAGACGGTTCACCTGATGGTAAGTGAATACCGCCGCCCATGGACATCTGCTATACCCGAGGGTTACAGATGCGTTGTCAACCTTTTGAAAATTGGGCTCCGGCTACCTCACTCACCAGACGAAACGCGAAAGTATGTATCATACTTCCACTTTACGCTGGTCTTCTGTGAGGTCGTGGTACTTACCCGGACGGGCCTGCCCATTCGTGCAACAGCCGAGGCTGCTGCGTGGCCGTACCACCTCAATAAAAATAAAAAAGTAATGATAAGTACATGATTACTTTTATTAATTTTTATTCGATTTTAACAGCTCCAATTGTATTAAGCACATTCATATACTATAACAATAATGTGATCAAAGAGAATCTTCATAAATTGTGTTATAAAATAAAAAAATATAATTATACATAACATTTTCACCTCACTCTTATTTTTAAAATAGTGAAATCTAACTTCAACGACAAACATCTTACATCAATAGTGACAAGAGTACGCGGATGGTATTAGGGCATAGCACAACACTCGACGTTATGCATATTAGTGGAATAGTCTCACTATGCGTCTACAACTTTAAGACATTTTAGCACCTGTGATATCAACATGTGAAAAATTTAAGGCAAGCGCCCGGGCTGTAGACTACCATGGTTCTCTTAAATAGCATTATAATTCATCATAGATATCTTCTTAGAACTTTTCCTCTGATATGTGGAGAAAGCCTCCAATAAACAAAATTGTAATCGAATAATATTTCATTTAAAAGACACCAACAATAAAGTAAGATTCGCGACTCAAATTGTTTCTGGTACAGTTAAAAGTATAGGCAATTTGTTTACTGCTAAGTGTGTATATACCTAAAGGTCCGTAAAATGGTTATTTTGTTATATTCTGTACTCATGGCATTCTTTGGGATCTTTCCTTTTTATTCCAGCAGTGTTGAAAATACAACTCCAATAAATATGAACCGGGGCATACACTCACGAGATTATTTTTTCTCTTGCCCTTATCCACCATCCTCGGTGGAGCCGGCACAACAATCCATTAACAACACTCCCAGTGTTGTTACTGCCCAAACACCCAGATCCGCAACAAATATCTGCGAGCAACACAAACATTTGCCGCATGTGGGTATCGAACCCACCAACCCCGACGTAGAAATCGATGGCTTTGCAACTGCGCCAGCGAGTCATAAAGTTCGGGATTCTGTGTCCTTTATATTTTAATGTACACCCCGTCTCTGATTACGTAGTTAGCTGGCTGATGGGAGTGGGCGAACATGGCCCGCACTAGATGCATGTCGTTTGTAAGCGTAAAGCGGGCTTTGCATGTGTTGCCTTTGGTGCACCGCCACACGTGCGTTGTCGCGTACTGCTTGTCGCGGTAGTAGGTGTAGCCGGAGATCAGCGCCAGGAGCTTGCCCAATCGATTCTCCACGAATTGCACTGTAAGAAGAAGTACTCGTTACCTCATTGACATTAGGGATTTTTTTTTTTTAATCAAAACATTGCCCTCACTTTAGGATAACATTAGGGATTAGCTCGAATAAACTGGTGAGTGCTCTTTCAGTGAGTGAGTAATTTGAATGAACCCTTTCATACAACGTTTCTCGGGACAAATCATCGTAATGTATTGCAAATATATTTTCAATTTTTTTCATGCTTCCATAGTAACCGTGGATTGGAAAGTTTAACATCATCACTTATAAATAATTATAATATTTTTATTCTAATACTGACTATATTGGATTTATACGTTTTTTTATATATATACATAGTATGAAATTTTGTAGAGACACAATTTGTGTTTTATAAATTAAAACTAAAGGGGTGTAGACAATTGAACGACGTCCTGCAAATATTTGACACACAAGGAGATCTACGATGACATGAAACATATGGGTGTCTGCTCTTCAGTATACCACTGCGAAAATGTGGGCTTAAATTCTAACGCGTGTGATAAAGACAAAATGAGTCCATCGGGTTATTTACCCTAATTTGGGACAGTACTTTCATCGGGTTCCTAAAAAAAATCACCTCCGTGCCCAAAAATTTTCATCGAAGCTGCGGTATTTAAACTTTTTGATTTACCTCGAAAAATCAGTTTATAAAACCGAAATGGTGGACTTGGGAAAGGTCGAAGAAATAAGTAATAATAAGTAATAACTAAAAGAAATCATGAAAATATTTTTTCCATATCTCATTTTATTTCCTTGACAACTTGCATCGCACCTCCACCTCGTAGAAAGTGTTCATTTTAATCTTAACAAACTTTAAGGACATTTAGTAACAAATATTTAATTAATTATTTTTATATTTACATGCAATAAAGTTATATACATTTGAATACTTTACTTAATGAGCGTCAGTCTACCTTTATTTTTCATTACGTTAATAAACATAAAAAGGTATGAGTACATGATTACTTTTATTAATTTTGGGTTTGATTTTTGCAGCTCCAATTGTATTAATATTAAACACATTCATATACTATGACAATAATGTGATCAAAGACAAACTTCATACATTGTGTTATAAAATCAAAAATTATACATAACATTTTCAACTGACTCTCATTTTTAAAATAGTTAAATCTAACTTCAACGACAAACATCGTACGTCCATAATGACAAGAGTATGCGGATGGTATTAGGGCATAGCCCAAGTCTCGGCCTTATGCATATTAGTGGAATGGTCTCACTTTGTGTATACAACTTTAAGACATTTAAAGTTTATTTAAGTAAGATTCGCGATTATTTCGAATACAGTATAGGCCTTATTTGCTGTGCAAAGAAACGGTCCGTGAAATGGTTATTTCGATATATTTCATAGTTAAGGCATTCCTCTTTCCTTTCGTTCCAGCTTTATTGAAAATACAATACATAATATGAACGTGGACATAAACTCGAGAGGTTTTTTCTCTTTCCCTTATCACTCGGTGGGGTCGGCACAATATGGAAGTGTTGTTAATGGCTACGATTTTTCGCATCCGCAACAAATATCTGTGGGTAACACAAACACATTCCGCGTGTGGGAATCGAACCCACGAGCCCCGAAGCAGAAATCGATGGCTTCGCTACTGCGCCACCGAGTCGCAAACTTTAGGGTTGCATGTCCTTTATATTTTAATGTACACCCCGTCCCTGATTACGTAGTTTACTGGCTGATGGGAGTGGTCGAACACGGCACGCACAAGATGCATGTCGTTTGTGAGCGTGAAGCGGGCTTTGCATACGCGGCTTTTGGTGCACCGCCACACGTGCGTGTTGGCGCACTGCTTGTCGCGGTAGTAGGTGTAACCGGAGATCAGCGCCAGCAGCTTGCCCAACCGGTTCTGCACGAATTGCACTGTAAGAGGAAGTACTGGTTACTTCATTGACATGAAGGATTAGCTCCGATGTACTGGTCAGTGCCCTTTCGGTGAGTGAATAATTTGAATGAACCCTTTCATACAACTTCTCCGCGCACCTTCACCGGGACAAAACTTCGTAATATATTGCAAATATATTATAACATTTTTTCATATTTCCACAGTGGCCGTGAATTGGAGAGTTTACAGCATCACTTATGAATAATTACAATATTTTTAATTCTAATACTGACTATATTGGGTTTATACGTTTTTATATACATAGTGTGAAATTTTGTTGCGACACAATTTGTGTTTTATAAATTAAAACTAAAGGGGTGCAGAAAATTGAACGACGTGAGGTCAAATGTTTGACACACAAGGAGATCTAGTGCATATATATAGATTTTTGCAGCTCAAATTGTATTAAACACATTCATATATTATAACAAAAATGTGATCAAAGAGAAACTTCATAAATTGTGTTATAAAATCAAATATTATACATAACGTTTTCACCTCACTCTTATTTTTAAAATTGTGAAATCTAACTTCAACGACAAACATCATCCGTCAAAAATGACAAGAGTACGCGGATGGTATTAGGGCATAGCCCAACTCTCGGCCTTATGCGATATTAGTGGAATGGTCTCACTTTGTGTGTACAACTTTAAGACATTTAAAGTTTGACTAAGTAAGATTCGCGATTATTTCCAATACAGTATAGGCCTTATTTGTTGTGCAAAAAACGGTCCGTGAAATGGTTATTTTGATATATATCATAGTCAAGGCATTCCTCTTTCCATTTCGTTCCAGCTTAGTGAAAATACAACTCTAATACATAACATTAAACGTGGACATAAACTCGAGAGGTTCTTTTTCTCTTTCCCTTATCCCTCGGTGGGGTCAGCACAACATGGGAGTGTTGTTAATGGCTACGATTTTTCGCATCCGCAACAAATATCTGCGGGTAACACAAACACTTGCCGCGTGTGGGAGTCGAATCCACGAGCCCCGGCGCAGAAATCGATGGCTTCGCTACTGCGGTACCGTGTCACAAACTTAAGGGTTGCATGTCCTTTATAATTCAATGTAGGTACACCCCGTCCCTGACTACGTAGTTTGCTGGCCGATGGGAGTGGTCGAACACGGCCCGCAAAAGATGCATGTCGTTTGTAATCGTGAAGCGGCCTTTGCACACGCTGCCTTTGGTGCACCGCCACACCTGCGTCTTGGCGTACTGCTTGTCGCGGTAGTAGGTGTACCCGGCGATCAGCGCCAGGAGATTGCCCCTCCCGTTCTGCACGAATTGCACTAAAACAGTTAGTACTCGTTACTTCTTGACATTAGGGATTAGCTCCAATAAACTGGAGAGTGCCCTTTCAGTGAGTGAGCCATTTGGATGAACCTTTTCATACAACTTATCTCAAACGACCGATCAAATGACCGTAATATATTGCAAATACTTTATGAAATTAGTGTTCGCGTGTCTGCTTAGCTTATTGGCTTCGGTGTCATCGGTTTCAAGGTTATAAGTTTGGTCACACACTCATGAAACATTTTTATGGATTTTTTTATGGGATGCACGCAAAACCCCTATTTCATTATCCGTCATATCTTATTGGAGTCATAGTCATAGTCATATCATATATATATATAATGTACAAATAAAAAAAAATTAAAAAGTGAAAAACTTTATCGCTTTAATCTTAACACATAACCATTCTCATAATTTTCTTTCATCACTGAATATTAATTAATGAGTTATGTGTTTACAACATAAACAAGTAAGCTCAATTATTGTCGATCATTCAGCACAATTATCTACATTTGCAAAGCATTAAAACATTGCCATAAAATTGACAAGAATGACATGATGTCTTCTAGTCTATAAATATGTTTTAATAATTTTGTCGACGTGAATGTTAACACGTTCTTTACTAATTGTCGTGAGGTAACGAATTAGTTGGCGCATCTATTGTTATATCCTTTCCAGCATACAAACAATTTCGAATATCATTTTACAACGATAATTCGAACGAGAGCATTGCTTCAAATAACAATGTAGAAAGAAGGCGTTAAGATTTTCGTCGCTGTGGGTATCAGCCGTTTAGCTCAGTGGCTAGAGCGTCAGGCCGCGAATGCCGAAGACGTGGGTTCGATTCCCACAGCGGCCACAATCTTTTCGTACTTTTTCTACATGTTTTAATAATTAGCAATAAAGTACCCTAAGTTTTACAGTAAACGCCGTTGTGTATGACGAAAGCGGGCCTTTTGTGCACGTGGTCGAGGTTGCAACGGACAATCTCGCGGTTTTGGCGGGAGACGGTGAAGCGGGCGCGGCACTGGCCTGCCGACGTGCACCTCCAGGTCATGGTCAAGTTGGACTGCCTCGCCAAGTAGTACGTGAACCCGTCGAGGATCGCCAGCTGTTTGCCGCACTTCTTTGTCACCCATTGCACTGCGGATGTTAGTTGTTTAAAACCTTTAAATAAATCGTTACATTCGACTGGCTAAAGTGACCGCTTCGTTCCCGTTAGAAGAGTAAAATTTTGAGGGACAAGTTGTAATCATTTAAATAAATGCATTACATTAGCTATTTCCATTTAATTTGACGAACGTAAAGAATAAACCGATGCAAAACTACACAGACTAGCATTAATGCTGTTTATCCTCCTATTTTGTAAGTAATCAAATAATAGTTGAGATTGTATCCAAAATTGTACTTACGTAAAGTTTGGCAAGTAAATTTTCTATGTCATTTTTTGTTTACTTGGTCGATGAAAATAAAATGTTAATATTTGTATACAGGGGCTTTATTGTCTTCTTCTAGGTGGAGTCGGCACAACATGTCCCTTCCTTCCACTTTCCTCTATCAGGCGTCATCTTTAAGAGGCTTCGTTGTAAAAATAATTATTTCAAAAGGAAAATAGTTCCCCCACAGGATATCCATCATAATATAAAAATCGCATCTTAGTGAATACGGATTTATTAAAACAATTTAAAAAAAAAAGGATAAGAGCGTATGATTCCTCATGCCGAAATTCCCATAAAAATTCATTGAAACAATTTGACAGAACCCACAATTTCATCCCTTACATCTCAGGCACCTCACTAGAGTTTAAAGAAGATCCCGTCGTGCAAAACAAACTGAGGCCGCTTATGGTCGTGCACCAAATTGGACCTGATCACTCCGCAGTCGCTGTCGTGCACGAACCAAGCCTGGCACCGAGCTGTACACCTCCACGTCACGTTGCACTTCGTCCTCCTGCTCGGGTAGAAAGTGTAACCGTCGACGACGGCCAGCTGTTTCCCGTCGTGCTTCTTGACCAACGTGACTAGAAGGAAAGTTGTACACATCATTTTCGAATACGCGTAAATATGTCTTTGTTATTCATTTAACGCCCGGTTTATGAATTTTTTTTTCTACGTTGATCTGTTACAACGTAGAAATTAACTAATCAGTTGCCGAATGGCTTGTTAAATGTCTTTTGATTTGCTAAAAGTATGATTAAACACCATGATTTTAAATCAATTAGAAAAAAAAAATGAAATCAGTGTTTAACCATCCTTTTGGCAACTCAAATGACAACAAGCCATTTGATAACGGATTTCTTAATTTCTACGTTGATCAGTCTTTCAGAAACCGGGCGTAAGTGTTGCAAGTCACATAATATCAATGTCATAAACTGATATAGCACTAACGTAGAAATCCTGTATGAAATGTGTCGTACAAAATGTAAAAGATTTTCACCGATAGTGACTATTTTAATAACTGTTTTCCAAATCCTTTTCTTCGATGATAACAATCTGACGATTGCAGATGCTAACATTGAAAGCCTTCAATAGCCAAGATTCAATTGCTAACGCGTATTACAGTTTGTTTTTATCAGTTTTGTCTGGGCATAGGGTGGGATACACAAGCGCTTTAGCGCCACTGCCGGAAATAAAATAATAACGTTTCCAATTAGCATTTTATTCGTTCAACTTGGAGAATAAACCAACAGAAACGTAGAGTAATTAGCATAATTACATTATTACCATATTTTATCAAAGTTTTATTAAATTCATAAAATAAGTCGACATTTTATCCATAAAATTTAGTGTTAAAGTTTGGTAACATATTTTTCTACGCCATTTTGTTTATTTAACTTCATGGGCGATAGAAATAGAATAATTGTTTACTAAGGTTTTATTGCAACAATTATTATTCAAAAAATATAAAATAGTTTACACAGTAGATGTCATAACATAAAAATATAAAATTCGTTAACAAAGAATCACGGCTCATTTTTGGCCGTAAGACCAATATGCAATATACACCTTATGGTGAAATGTATCCAATTTCTCATAAATGACTTTATTGAAGGATTTGACCTTTATCCCTTATACTCAAACGGGAAACCGTATGGTCCTTCACTAGACCTTGAAGAAGATGCCGTCTCGCACGACGTACCGAGGCGGCGCATGGTCGTGTACCATGTGGGACCTGATCACACGCCAATCGCCGTTGACGACGAACCGCGCCCGACATATGTGGCCCGAGGTGCAACGCCACGTCACGGTCGACTTCGTCCTCCCGTCCACGTAAAACGTGAAACCGTCAACAATGGCCAGCTGCTTTCCGTCCTGCTTCATCACCCACTTGACTGAAATGGCAATTGTATACCGTTGTACTCACCTAAAATGAGAACGCGAAGATGTTCCCGGATGTGCATAGAAAAGCTGACCCGGGATTCATTCTGTAACACCTAATCGTACAGTTTCGCGTTTCCGAGGGTTTGCAGATGCGTTGACAACCTTTTTGGAAATTGGGCTCCGGCCACCTCACTCACCCACCAGACGAAACGTGTAAGTATTAAACTTCCACTTTACGCCGGTCTTCTGTGAGGTCGTGGTACTAACTCGGACGAGCCTGCCCATTCGTGCAACAGCCAAGACTGCCGCGTGGCTCTACCACCGTAAACATTTTCTTATGCGAGTATTAAAAGGGTTGAAGCAAGCGTGTTCCCCATTGTTATCATCGTATCATTTTATTTACGTGTCCTAAATATTAAGCATAGTCATTTGAGTTAAAATTTAATGTCGTAATGAATAATCTTACTCACCAATTTGTACTTATCCTCAACAAATAAAACAGAATCACGGAAATGGTTGTTTATGTCATGTTTTTATTAAACGGCAGTTATAATTTTATAACATAAATATTTTTTTTATAAAAATTTAGGACACATTTGTACACAACATTTTCTAGTCCCAGACTAAGCAAAGCTTGTACTATGGGTACTAGAAAACTAATAAACATAGTTAAACATACTTTTCTTTTGTAAATAAATACATATTATACATATAGAAACACCCAGACACTAGAAAAACACCATGTTCATCACACAATATTTTTCCAGTAGTGGGGATCGAACCCACACCCTCAGGCGCAGGAGGCAGGTACACTACCCACTACGCCATTCGGGTCGTCAAACGCTAACAAAAAAGTTATACAACGCTAACTGCAAAAACTGTCACAATAATCTGTGTCTTGGTAAAATACATAAGTTTGCGATAGTCGTGTTTTATTCAATACACTACAATTTATCGTGGTAACAAAGTATCTGTTAAGTTAACTGAGCGTTGGCGTGAAAAGAAACACAGAAAATTTAGGCTTTACATACCTACAAGGCAAGGGAATAATAATAAAATATAACCGCGGACTTCAAGTGCTATATAACATCTATCTTGTCGCTAACAATGTAACTTTTTATTGAACGCTGTTTCGAAATATACTTAGAAGGAATATATAATAGGAATATATAGTGTACCTGCCTCCGGCGCCAGAGGGTGTGGGTTCGATCCCCACTACTGGAAAAATATTGTGTGATGAACATAGTGTTTTTCTAGTGTCTGAGTGTTTATATACGTATATTATGTATTTATTTACAAAAGAAAAGTATGTTTATCAGTTATCTAGTAGCCATAGTACAAGTATTGCTTAATTTGGGACTTGAGAATGTTGTGTAAAAATATGTCCCAAATATATTTATATTTATATATTTATTTATTTATTTATATTTATGTAGGTACTATTCACCAATAATCACAGACCTAATATAACTACTATAAGTTATTATTATTTGAAAGTAAAAAGGTTTTATATATGGAGAAAAAGGAACCAACACTGCGGTTCAAATCGCCATAATTCGTTACTTCATTTAAAAACTGAAAACATAAATGTATTTCCGGACTGGTAAGACTCCGTGAATAATTAAGTTATAAAACAGTACAATTTTTCAGAATAAATAATAATAATTCATTTAATAACATGCATTATATGAGGATAGCTCATATAATGCATGTTATTAAATGAAATCCAATCAAGATTTAATTTTATTCGTTCAGCGTGATGAATAAACTGATGCAAACGTACACATGCTATATTTCCCCATTTTCTTACTAAGGAATATTGAAATAAGAGTTGAGACTTTATCCAAACAACGTACTTCTCATATTCCAAAATTATCAAAACGATTATTCCAAAATTAACAAAGTTCCCCCAGAAAATACCTACCATACCACAAAAATCTGAACTTGGTTATTTCATAAGATTCATCATTCGTTTTATTAAAGTCATTAGGTCATAAGAGCATATAAATACTTATTCCGAAATGTTTCAAATTTCCCTTACAAAGTCATAAAAAGAATTTGATAGAACCCACAAGTTTATCCCTTACATTTAAAGAGGAAGGCCCTCGCTCTTATGTTTTTATGTGAATAGTTGCCAAACGAGCAGACGGTTCACCTGCTGTTAAGTTAATACCGCCGCCCATGGACATTTACTACACTCGAGGGTTCCAGATGTGTTGACAACCTTTTGGAAATTGGGCTTCGGCCACCTCACTCACCAGACGAAACGCGAAAGTATTACACTTCCATTTTACGCCCGTCTTCTGTGAAGTCATGGTACTTACCCGGACGAGCCTGCCCATTCGTGCAACGGCCGAGGCTGCTGCGTGGCCCTACCACCGTAGGAAAAACGTTCTACACTAGATCTTGAAGAAGAGTCCGTTGCGCATAATATACCGGGGTCGCGCATGCTCGTGCACTATATTGGACCTAATCACACCGCAATCGCCGCTGACCAAGAACCGAGCGTGGCAGATGCGTCCCGCGGTGCATCGCCATGTCACGGTTTTCTTCGTCCTCCCGTCCACGTAGAAAGTGAATCCGTCTACGATTGCCAGCTGTTTTCCGTTCTGCTTCTTCACGTACGTCACTAAAACGACAGTTTCGCACGTCAGTTTCAAATTTACGTAAATAATACGGACTCGAGGTGGCAGGGCGCTCGGGGCGCCTAGCCTGGACCTCGATTACGTTATGGTGACTAAGGTTCCGAGGGAGCCTCGAGATGTCTTCTATTGGTACATTATGCATTTTTATTCAGAAAAATCATCCTCAGCAATTTGTATTTATTCACAACAAATAAAACAGCATCACGGATATGGTTGTTTATTATAAAGTATCAGAGTATTTTTAACTGGAACTACAAACCTTTGTATGAAAAGAAACAGAAAATTTATGCACTATATACAATCGGATAGAATGATAACCAAATCATAGCCGCGATATATCAAGGGCTATATAACAACTGTTTTGTCGCTAACAATGTAATAAAAACATGCTAAAGTCTAGTTCGCCTTAATGAACGCGGTAGTAAAATACGGGGGCTTACAAGGAATTTTTACTACCCACTTTAATCACTAGCATTATGTAAATATTATGAGTAAATAATACCTAAGACTTTATATACTAAAACTTTTAAAATCCTAATCCTGCAGCGCTGCAAATTTTTGTACATTTATCTACAAAAATTAAATTGTAAAATTTACAAATAAATGTTATTTGAGATCGTTATTTTTTGGTATTATTTGTTAAACAAACTGACTAGGTAGTGGAATATGAATTTTGCAATTCGGATCATAAGTTCTGTCACATAACGAAAATTTTGAATTCTGAGTGCTCGCCACACAAAAATTTATCAAATTTCGAATTTCGAGACACCACAATCATATCTCACAAAAATATACCTTGTTTTAAGCCCGCATATGAGAATCCCAGCCAAACCACAAGTGACGATGGGAAATGGCCTCGCTAGAAACGCGGAATGGGGCTCCTCGCTTTTTCTCTGTTGTGGGCGTGCACCTTGTCATTTTGTTTATTGTCGTCTCCACGATCCGAAAAAAGAATTTCTCGATATTTTTTACGCGTACCGCTTCAACAAAACCCGAAATCTCTTCAGTCTCAGGTCCATGTAACAGTACCAGGGTGACCACTTCTTTTTCTGTCTTCTACATTTGAATTATCATTCTCTCTTTTGATGGAGCCATAAACGAATCAAAAGATTTTTCATTTATACCATATGTCGAGTACCCACACCGATGCAACGCGATAACCGCTACTCGGCCTTCTTTAACCGACTTCACTCCATGTTTAGAAATAAATTAAATTCGAAATAATGCACATTTTTAGTTACTGGAAATACAAACATGTGTCGATTATTTCACAATAAACTTGACAGAACATATGACCTGACTAGGTATATCCATAAAATTAAATACAATATTAGAATTTGTAACATATGCCTTTTTTTATAATAAATTTTCGAGGTTCGTGATTGTGTTGACCTTTTACCCGTAAAATTTGTCTACTTTGGCTGCTGATGACTTTGGCTCTGCATTTATATCCGTTTCTGCAGTACCAGTAAGTGGCGTAACCGTAAGACTTGTTACTATTCAATATGTAACCTCGATGTATTAGGACGTCCCTTCCCCGATGATTATGGCACCAGATAACTGAAAAAAATCAACAATTTCGTGTAGTTATGATTACCTCCTTAGACGACATTTGCAAATTGCGGAAAAACAATCGTGCCTCGTGACAGTCAGTGAAGGTTCAGACTTGAACAGGTTAAAATGGCGATCGCATATCGGAAGAATTTTAAAAAGAAAAGTTAGTCATTAATGAACACCCTGTTTTTAAATAAATTATTGGAGGTGTAACGTATTTAACAATCAGCAATTAAAAAATTAAATCAATTGACATACACGCTTAAAAGAGGTTTTAATAGGAATATTTTCATATCAGTATTGTTTACAGTCTGATGAAGACCCCGTTCTGAATGGCGTAACGGGGCCTGGGATGGTTGTGGACGAAATTGGAGCGCAGCAGCTGCCTAAATTTGGTGGTGATGAATCTGGCGTTGCAGGTGCCAGCTTTTGTGCATTGCCAGACGTCCGTAGTTTTCCTACGGCCGTCGTAATAGAACGTGTAACCCTGGGCGAGTGCGATCAGTTTTCCAGAGTGCTTGCGAAGGTATGTTACTGAAAAGCGAAAATACATTTAGTAACCTAATAGAGGTATCGTTCGAAATCAAATATGAATAAAACGCTTAGCCCTCATTCAATCATTTCCAGATCAACCTTAAATACATAGCTAGACATATAACAAGTGAACAATTTAATGTTAACCAAGCGCTACATGATGTAAACAAAAGGAAATTAAGGTGTTATCTTTGATAGTCACATGTCTTGGGCATCCCATATTAATTCTGTTAGCAAAAAAGTGAATGATTACAGTGGCTTCCTATCCGTAGACGTCGAGACCTACATGTTATCTACTATCATTCCTTTATTTCATACTATCTAATCCTTTAGCTCCGTCCTATCTCCGACAGAGGTTTAAATACCTGGTACCTCCCGGAACTCGGTGTCGGACTACGAAATCCCTTCTGCTTAAAACACCTACTCACTTTACTAAGAGGTATGATGCGTCATTTACTATTAAGGCGGTGAAATTATGGAACTCACTATCACGTGACATACGTGCCAGCTCTTCCCTTGACAGTTTTCGTAACTATGTATTTGTATATATTATTTAAACTTTGTATGTATGGATGTATTTGTATTTATTATTTTATGTTTATTATTTATTATTTTATACATTCATATTTATTTATTGTTATGATTATTTTAGTAAAATTTCTAACAATGTGCACACTTTCACCTAGTTACCTAACGCTACTATAGTTTCCTGTTTTCAAGGGTCTGCTGGAAGAGAACTCTCTTTAGGGTTAAGCTCGCCTTTGTACATGTTTTTTGTCATTTGCTCCAAATTGTATATTTTATAGACAATAAAGAAATCAAACAAACAAAACTTATCATCCAAACAATATTTAATATCTATTTCCACATTAAGACTTTTACCGACGCTAATATTACTATCTACATTACTATAATAATACCCGATTTTGTTCAACTTTTGTTCGTTTACTTCATAACGTTATTAGTGAGAATTATAACACAGGTGTCATCTAGTGAAGATCTAGGCATATTTCCCAAATAGCCGAAGCTACATCTTGTAATAAATGCCTTCGTGGATGATAAACGAGGGCGGGTCGTGGGTGTGATTGAGTTGGGCCGAGACGAAGTCGCCGCTAATCGTGATGATGAATCTTGCCTTGCACTGGCCCCACCTGGTGCACCGCCAGATATTAGTCCTGTGTCCGCGTGCACTGCAGTAGAAGCTGTGACCACCGACAATAGACAGCTCCTTACCAGTCTTGTTCCGAACGAAAATAACTGAGAAAAAATGTAAAAGTAAATGCAACAGCCGAAAACCACTCGCTTATAGATAGACAAACTTATTGTGAAATAAAGAGCTAACAGGATAAAGATTTTTTGTTAAATTTCAAAATTAATTTGTAATCCAAGAAATTGACAATTAATAATCAAAAATGTACAAAAGTATGTGGAAACTTATAATAAAATATTCCAAAATGAAACGTCTTTTTCGTATTTCATATTTAAATTGCTTTTTTGCTATATTCGCCTACAATGTACACCAACAAGATGTCTATTATAATTGAATAATATCCTTTGAAATCTTAAAGATACTAATGCAATCTATACAAGCATATTTCATAACTTTTAAATACACATCTATAGTAATGATTATCTTTGTATATATAAATTTGAGCGTCCAGACCGGGCGTCGCGCGGCTGTGTATTTATTTTTAAAACATTTTGGGATAGAGTAAATATATCTTTACGCAGAACATAAGTAGTTTTATATTTTCAAATTACTAATTATACTTTTCTTATAAAATTATACATTTTTATTCATAGATCATATAGTCTCTTTATTTATTTTTTTTTTCAAATTTTATATATTTTGTTTTTAGTTTTAGGGGGTTTCATCTTTTTTGTATAAAAGTAGTTAAACCTACACAACTGCAATAGTTGGACGTAATATGGTTCGCGATGTTTGTTGCAGCTTTTAGTTTAACATTCATCATCATACACTTATCACACCTAGGTGGGTCGGCACATGTGAATCATATTGTAGGGGTTTTGGCAATGATTTTTACGCCCGCCTGCCTGACGTCAACCCTCCTTGAGGAAAAAATATGTTCTTTAATATTATAAAACATTTTTTTGGTCTATCATCAATAGTATCCGCGATGCATGTGATAAAAATTAAACGGAGCCGTTGTACACAATCATAACGAATTATGTTACGACTAGTGTCAGCTCTGTGAGAGTAACTCGGTGTAAGAATAATATATCGGGTGATTTGTGCGTGTGTACTAGAGAAAAATGTTGCACGGTTATAATAAATATAGATAAATAAATATTTCGGGCATATTTTTACGCAACGTTATCTAGTTCCAAACTAAGCAAAGCTTGTACTATGGATACTAGGTAACTGATAAACATACTTAAACGTAATTTTATTTTGTAAATAAATACATATTATAGATATATAAACACCCAGATACTAGAAAAACACTATGTTCATCACACAATATTTTTCCAGTAGTGGGGATCAAACCCACACCCTCTGGCACAAGAGAACAGGGTCACTATCTACTACGCCATTCAGTTCGTCGGTTGTATTGCAACTCCCAAGTGCGAGAGATATCTACGGTGAAAATTTTATTATAATAAATTAATGAGTAATAAATTTTATTTAACTCTAGAATTTAATAAAAAAAAAATGGATACACTTAGAAAAGCCACCCGTATAGATCATTTTTAATAAATTTCCCAATTCGTCAAAAACATTGAGCGCTACTTATCTTAAGAGTCAACTACACTCTTTGTTGACTGAAACAGGATATTACAGTATCTTACATTTATTTCTAAAGACTTGTCTTTTCATGTAGGTAATCTGATATACTGAATTTGTAATAAAAGTCTAGGCTATAATAATATTAATAATTTTATTTGTATTAACATAATTTAACGAGTCCCAAGTAGGCTAAGACATCCACTATCCTATTCATCTACAGCGTTCGTCTTACACTAAGGTCTTACTGAAAGTTTGCATTCTACTGCACACTAAAAAGAATATACCACTATCTACATTATTATAATTATACCCAATTCGGTTCAACGTCTGTTCCTGTACTTAGTAACCTCTAATTCTTTATAGTTATTATTGAGAATTATAACGAGCGTTTCATCTAGTAAAGATATAGGCATATTACCCAAATAGCCCAAGCTAAATCTTGTAATAAATGCCTTCGTGGATGACAAACGTGGGCGGGTCATGGGTGTGATTGAGCTGGGCCGAGACGAAGACACCGCCCATCGTGATGATGAATCTTGCCTTGCACTGGCCCCACCTGGTGCACCGCCAGATATTAGTCTTGTGCCCGCGTACACCGCAGTAGAAGCTGTGACCACCGACAATTGACAGCTGCTTACCAGTCTCGTTGCGTACGAAAATAACTGGGAAAAAAATGTAAAATTAAATCCTAAAGCCGAAAAACACTCGCTTATAGATAGAAATACCTAATCACTAAATCGCTTCCTAGGTAAAGGTTTTTGTTAATTAACAAAATTAGTTTGTAATCCAAAAAAAACTGTCAATTAACAATCACAAAGGTGATTGTTAATTTATAATTTTTTACAATTGGTATAAATGAGGGAAAGTTTTAATAAAATATTCAAAAATGACCTTTAGCGTAGTTTTTATCATATTTTATTTTTAAATTGTTTTTTTTTTATATTTGACTAAAAAGCACAACAACAATAATGTCTGCCAATATTAAACAATATCCTTTGGAATTTTAAAGATACTAATGCAATTCATAAAAGCATATTTCATAAATTTTTAATATAAAATCTAGAGTAAACTTAAGTTCGTCTTTGCATATATAAAACATTTAAACGATGATGTAATCCAACTGCTCACTTAATCTTTATAAATTGATTGACGTTACATTGTTGGTGGAAAATGGAACATTACAGTAAACTGTAATATACCACAACAATTTGAACATCAATACTTGTTTCATAGACTTTACTCACTTACTTTAGTGTCTCTTACGAAATTATTTTACTGCTCCAAACCATTGATAGGCTGAGAAATCGTTCCATTATCCTATTCATCGACAGCCTTGAACCAGGGTCTCCTTGACAGTGTGCATTCTTACACTTAATAAGAATAGTGGCTTGCATTGAACCTTCTCAATTTGACCAAAACACCGTCATGAATCTCAACGAGGGGTGGGTCATGAGAATGCACCAACGTCGTCACCCTCACGACCTGCCCCGAGGGCGAGGCTTTGAAGCGGGCCTTGCAGGGATACCCCTTCGTACATCTCCACATGCAGCCCCGTATGTCGTTGCAGTGATTGTTGCACGAGTAGAAGGTGTAGCCGCCGCACAACGCTATCAGCTTCCCGTTTTTGTTGTAGGCGAACGTAACTAAAACAAAGAACAATTATCAGATTTGGCCGAAAGAATGTACAATGTTGATTTTATAAAACAATAACAATAATACAAAACATCGTTTACAATCCGATTAAACGACTTATACTAGCATGTTTCTTAAATCTTGGTGATTAAAAACACAAACTACTACGTAATTATTTTATTATTTAGTATAATTCTCGAACTACAAATGAACAGACCAAACTCGTTTAACTGGAGCGGAAATTTCAAACGATTGTTTAATAGTGCCTTTTTAAATATAACGCCGAAGAGCAAAATGTCTTAACTTCTCCGACACAACAGTAATTTATGTTGATATTTATTTGTAGACAACAAACAACAAATGAACAAATGACAACAATTTTTCATCAGCAATTATGTGATTGACTCTCCTGCAGAAAGCGTTTTTTTAGTGGCTTTCCATAAGAACCACCTATTACAAAACAAAACAATCTGTAATCTTATCCTTTAAACGAGCAATTCTTGTGTATATATAATCGGAATCTCAGAAACGGCTCCAGCGATTTTCATGAAATTTAGTATATACGTAAAGTCGGGGGCGAAAAATCGATCTACCTAGGTTTCATTTTTAGAAAATGTCCTTTTATCCCTGTTTTGAGGCAATTAAAAATATCATTCGAATATGACAGTAAATTTCGCCGCAAAAAGAAATGTTATAATAACTCGATCGGTAATCGGGCGGCCACAAAACAGACGACCGCGGTTCGTATCACGCTCATTTACACACTTATTTTTTTACTTTTTTTTTCTATACCAGATCATTTTCTTTATTTTTTTATTTCCAAAATATATAAAGTAAAAGTAAAGTAACAGCCTATACATGTCCCACTGCTGGGCAAAGGCCTCCTCTCTACAGAGGGTATCAGGGCATAGTCCACCATGCGGCCCCACTGCGGATTGGCATTCCAAAATACATGATTTAACAAAAAAACACCGAGCAAAGCTCGGTCCTCCAGGTACTAATTAATTTAAATGATGTAGAAACTGAACATACCTACGTTGTTTTTTAAACATAACTTACTTAACTATATAGTTTATTTTTCTTGACAATATATGTAATAAATGTTATGTATTATATTAATACATATATTGTAGAAAAAGTAAATTGTTAAGTTTTACTTAAAAAAATCATAATACCCAAAACATTAAAATACGTAACTTTACCCCGATGCAATGAGGCAAATTCGTAAATAAACACAAATTTACAAATGGCTCTCTCATTTTATTTCTTAATACCTACAAAAAAACTGGATATTAGAAATGATATAAGTAAAAATAATAGAGACAAATACAAAGATCATTATTTAAAATAACGCTCGGAGTACGTAATGGAAATGTTTCCCATCAATCCCGATTAGCATCACCTCACTTACATGGGCGTAGCCAGATTTTAACATCGGGGTTCTCAAAGGAAATAAAACAAAAAAGTACCCCTACAAAGAAATAAGACTAAGTAATATTGTAATTTATCACAAAAACATGTGGTTGTGCTCGCCGATATACTGTATCGCCACCAGTTCGGTGTTGGTGATGACAGTTGCCTTGCAGCCACGGTGGTACTTCAAGCAGTACCACCGCAACAATCCCTTTCTGGATGCCTGGCGCCGATTGTACTGGGAACCGCCGATCAGCAAAGTTCTACTCCCCCTGCCGGTTACCACGATTCGCCCTATAAGAAAAATGACGTCTGGTATAAACGGCCGCTACAAACAAATAAAAGGACCTGTTGAACGCTGTCATATAAAATAAAAACAACTATATAATATAAAAAAAGAAACAAAAATAAAATAAAACAATTTAAACAGTAATTTAAATTTATATTCATATGTGTCTTAAATAAATTTGTTACATAAATGTAATATAACATAACTGCTGGTCCAAAAACAACAATATTCAATTTTTAATTTTCTAAAATGAAATTATTTCATCGGGGTACTGTGACGCGTGGTGATAATGAAAAGATAGACTCGCAAGTAGTATTTATTCGTTTTCTTCTCAGACTTATCTTTGACTTACACCTTTGTATTAAAATACATTATATCTTGCCCTCGTCTAAGCGCAAAGTGAAACTAGAAGGAATTCTGGAGCGGTTCACACCCCAGTCAATAAACAGGGGGGGCAGGTAGAGGGGACACGGTCAACGGCCCGTAGCCGACAATCCGAACAATTCACGTGTCACGCATGTGTACATGTGTGCATATCCCTGCACACATGTCCACATGTGTTACAGCGTTGAGTCGCAGCTTTACCTCAGAAACAAAACCAGTCCTTGCAGAAACAGCGTGTCAAACGATTAGCCTCCGTCCTTTTCCATCTCGCTGTCTGTTACAACCACCTGCTTCATCTTCAAACCCTACACATTTTAGTGGATGGACCTTGTTCACCCATGTCTCGTCGAGGTAAATTCGTGTCCTTGGTTTCCCAATGTGCACTGAAAAAGGCCATACGGCACAAACAATCTCGCTTCTTGACGTTAAATATTGACGATCTGCTAAATGTCTTTTAAATATGTATTTCTTTCAAAAGTTTTATTATTTTTTCCAAACTTAAAATTAGGCATGAGTTTCAAGTACTTTCAAATTGTATTGTAGTCACAGACGGGTACTCACCGTTATCGTAAAAATAAATTGTGGTGCGTTTAGCAACCCGTATACTAGTGGTAACTAAAAATTATTTAAAAAATAAAAAATACGAAACTTCCACTCGAATTAGCTGGAATGCCGGACTGCGATATTTCCCTTTTTATTCCATCGAAATTCGCTCTGCTCGCACCACAAAGGACTGCTGCCACATTTCCGTAGCTCATTAAAATAAAACAGAGTCAGTTTTAATTTGATTTAAAAACAAAAATACGCTTTGAATAACTTTCCGAGTTTGCACCTTGATATCAACTTTTAATTTCTAGAAATATACAACAGAGAATCAATTTTTCTTTGAACACAACTACCTTGATCGAAGTGAGACAAAGAAGTGCAAAAAAATATTAATAAATAAACCAGGTCGTTTGTTACCTCAACAGAGGTACCTACCTACCGACGTACTTAATGAGGGCAGGTAGCTATGACTCATTGAAGGTCCGGATGCAGGTAGTAAATTGTCGATATAACTCATGGCGTTAAACATTCTTATTTCATTACATTTATGACCAAACTTTGTATTACATACTGCGAGCTTTATGGAGTAGGCTCTCCTAAACATGTGGTTTTGCGTTTGAAGTTTTAATGCATCACAAGACACAAGTAATAACTAGATAATGTGATTAAAATATGTAGAAAAAGTGCGAAAAGATTGTCGCCGTTGTGGGAATCGAACCCACGTCTTCGGCATTCGCGGCCTGACGCTCTAGCCACTGAGCTAAACGGCTGATTGCCACACCGACGAAAATCTTAACGTATTCTTCTACATTGTTTTCTTAGCATTTGAAGCAATGCTTGGCGCCATCTATTGTTATATCCTTTCCAGCATACAAACAATTTCGAATATCGTTTTACAACGATAATTCGAACGAGAGATGTCGCCATTGCTTTTTTAGAAATTTAAATTGTTTATAGTGCTAATCTTTGCACTTAAGATTGAACATTAAAATATGTAGAAAAATAGTATGTATGCTGGAAAGGATATAACAATAGATGGCGCCAAGCATTGCTTCAAATGCTAAGAAAACAATGTAGAAGAATACGTTAAGATTTTCGTCGGTGTGGCAATCAGCCGTTTAGCTCAGTGGCTAGAGCGTCAGGCCGCGAATGCCGAAGACGTGGGTTCGATTCCCACAACGGCGACAATCTTTTCGCACTTTTTCTACATATTTTAATGTTCAATCTTAAGTGCAAAGATTAGCACTATAAACAATTTAAATTTCTAAAAAAGCAATGGCGACATCTCTCGTTCGAATTATCGTTGTAAAACGATATTCGAAATTGTTTGTATGCTGGAAAGGATATAACAATAGATGGCGCCAAGCATTGCTTCAAATGCTAAGAAAACAATGTAGAAGAATACGTTAAGATTTTCGTCGGTGTGGCAATCAGCCGTTTAGCTCAGTGGCTAGAGCGTCAGGCCGCGAATGCCGAAGACGTGGGTTCGATTCCCACAACGGCGACAATCTTTTCGCACTTTTTCTACATATTTTAATGTTCAATCTTAAGTGCAAAGATTAGCACTATAAACAATTTAAATTTCTAAAAAAGCAATGGCGACATCTCTCGTTCGAATTATCGTTGTAAAAACGATATTCGAAATTGTTTGTATGCTGGAAAGGATATAACAATAGATGGCGCCAAGCATTGCTTCAAATGCTAAGAAAACAATGTAGAAGAATACGTTAAGATTTTCGTCGGTGTGGCAATCAGCCGTTTAGCTCAGTGGCTAGAGCGTCAGGCCGCGAATGCCGAAGACGTGGGTTCGATTCCCACAACGGCGACAATCTTTTCGCACTTTTTCTACATATTTTAATGTTCAATCTTAAGTGCAAAGATTAGCACTATAAACAATTTAAATTTCTAGATAATGTGAAATAATTTCTCTAATGACTAATGTTCATATTAGTAAAACTTTAAATTATCTGTTATCTTTTACTTATATTTCATAATAACGTAACGAATACATATCTGACATAACGAATGCATATCTTACATATTATATGGCTTTTATGTAGAATCGGGTAAAGCGTGTACGAAGAAACAATTATTTCAGGCGATAGCTAAATCCAAGCAAATAATGGAAGTAACTACATCACACAATGTTTTTAAATTTACAAATATCTTCTGTTGTAATTCACACATAGTAAAGATAAATTGAGATAATAACATAAATTTCTTTATCATTGTGAAATCATTAACACACTGTTGACAAGATTGCACATATCTGCGAGACGATATTCGCAGGTGCTATGTCCAACTCTATTTGGTCATTTTGTAATAGGTGCCATATCTACCGCGGTACAGCATCGGAGGCTCGTGGCAGTGGGTCCCCTTTTGCTCCGTGAGTATCAGATCGTGGGTTGTGGTGATCGTGGCCTTGCACCCACGGTGGTACATAGAGCAGTACCAAGACCAGCCGTGGCCCGACTTGCGTTGCCGATTGTACGTGTAGTCGTTCGCCATTATGAAAACCTTGCTGCCGATCACGATTCTCTCGCAGACTGAAAGAGCAATCATAAAATTCCAATAAAGTGTTCGGTCCACGGAAAATCTTTTTAAATAAATATTTATCACTAAATGAAATATAGATGCAAACAATACACAAAAGATTGCATGAATAAATTGATTTGTAAATGATATAAAAACGGCTTTATATGTTAGTCCAGTCATTTAAGCCGAAAAAGAGGATCATCCTCGGAATGAGAAATAACAAACTATTAAATTGTAGAAACCTTTATTTTGACATTCTTTAAGTTGTCTCAAGTCTCATAAAATCTCGTGTCCGAGTCTTAACATATTCGAGGTCAAATGTCACAAAAGTTCTTTTTTTTTTTTTTCAAAACGTATCTCGTTTGCTATGGTTTTATTGCCATTTACGTTTGCAATAAAACTTGTAAGGAATAAAGTTCTCTAAAACTTTTGCCCCAGACATTGTTTTATATACTCAACCGTTTGTTCAGAATTTACATCACAAGAGCGAACCGTAAGTCTCGTTTAGTAACACGCCTTATAAAGTCTCTATAACATTAAAATATACATCATTATAAATATTTTTTACTGATTTTTAATTAATACATAATGTTTATTAATATTTTACATTAATCGAATATAATTGGACTCACATAATAATTTTATGTTGTAATTGAGTCGGTTGACCGTTTTTGAAGATGATTAATTTCTTAAAGTACAAAGTGACAATTATGATATAAAGTAACAGCCTTTAAATGTCCCACTACTGGGCAAAGGCCTCCTCTATAAAGAGAGTATCAGGGCATAGTCTACCACGCGACCCCACTGCGGGGATTGTCGACTTCACATATTCTCGTAATTTCGAAATATTTTTTTTGTCATTATTTTGAAAATAGGCAGGTGACCTCACGATGTTTTCCTTCACCGCTGAGCACGTGATGAGTCAGCGCTTAAAATTTACAATTTCATTGGTGCTGGCACTGGGGATCAGACTCAGGTTGCTGGAGCAAATTGAATTAAAGGCGAGCGTCCGGACACTGAGCTATCACGGCTAGTTATGATATACTAGATATTAATGATCTGCTTATTCATAGCAATGGTTGTGTCTTTTTTGCGACAAACTTTATATTCAGCCTAAGGGGCTCATTAACACAAAACACAAAGTTTGAATTCCATTGAGTTATCTCAATCACCGAGCGAATAAATTTCAAGCGAAGAAAACCCAGTATTCTCAAGGCCTATTCGTGGTTATCAAAGCTGTACCATCCCTAATACAGTGTACTTCTAACGTCTAATCAGATGTTACGCCTTGAAGGTAAAGTCGTGTGTCGTGCTATTGTAATTATTTTCTTGTTCAACGCAAGCAATATGCATTAACTTATACACTCAAGTATTATTCTATTGTTTTTAATATATTTTATCTAGGTACAAGTGTTTTTCTCAACAATAAAAAGATATGGAAATGTTAAAGAAATTTTCAAATTTTATTCGAAACCTTAAACGATAGGATAAACATAGAAATAAATAATATAGTAGACACCATTTTTTCCGAATATTCTATAAAAAATTTAATAATTTAATTTATTTAATACATATGTTATCATCACATATCGTTCCAAAATTTTAACAATCTCATATGCACAATATCAATAAAAAGCTCCTTTGGTAACGTTCTTTTAGAATATTTGATTTTTTATAATTCAATATAAAATAAAAAAAAATCAACGAAAACATTAACGTCAACACTTGGAATGTTCCGAATTTCAATATATTATAACTATTTTAGTTAATACTATATACAGTGTAAAAAAAATATATTATCTCTATAGATTACATACTACTGGAGTACAACAATACCTGTATTTCCCATATGTCAACAATCTTACAAGTGTATAAGAGAGATACATATCTATCTCTAACGTTTATTTAACATCCGTACCGTATCCAGTAGGACAAGTTCTAAGCTTGACAGACAAACAATTAGATCAGGAAATTAAGAGTGAGAGTGGAGCCCAGTGGTGCTGACAACAATCCCGTCGATGGTAACCGCGGAGGCCTTGCATTTGAACTTGTGCTTCTTCGCGCAGGTCCATCTGATTCTGTTGCCGACGAGGGAGCGGGAGTGCCTGAAGAACTTGTGACCGCCGATGAATATGTTCGTCGTTTCGTTCATGAAATGCGACCGCATGATGGCCGCCATTATTTCTGAAACGAGGTAACCGTGAGTTTGCATCCGGTCAAGGCGAACGGGGCTACGAAACTAGTTCAACTACAAATAAAACTATGCGAGTTGAGTCCTGGCTTACGCTAATAACGGTGCCAAATATATTAGAACGTAACGGACATGATGCTGGCTAAACACATGAACTAATTCTTTTTAAATATGCAATGAAACCAAGGGCCTTGAATATTTAATAAGTTAGTGGCGAACATCTAGAAAATAAAATAAAAATATTGAATATAAATATTACTAATAAATAAATATTACTAATACTATAAATAAAAATATTGAAGGTTTCATAATTATATAATCATACAAACATTTTGAATGCATATTAAATACACTTAACATAATTATTCGGCCCTTACGAGTCCCGTGTTTGACAGATTTTATAAAGTCCCCTAAACATGTGACATTGGCGCACTGCGTTAAGCTCAAGTATAAGACATTAATTTTGCCCTAGAAATGAGAAAAATCTGAAAACATATGAGAAGAAAGCCTTATAAGAGTTAACACCGATTAATTTCGTTACAAGTGAAATCTCCACAAATACAATGTCAATAACTTTTTGGACAAATGTCCATTGGGATGCTTTAATATGCCTTAGACATCCTGTTTATAGGATCTTTACAAATTCCCCTTGCTTAGTGACGTGGTAGGATGGTGGCGTGTGATTGTGTTGATCCCTAACATATAACAATTTCCCGTCGACGTCAGTCCTAGCTCTAGCCGGGCACTGGGCGCTCTTTTTCTTCGTACAGTACCAGAAGTTCGGACTGTATTGTGAATAGGTGAATCCATTTATCATTAGCAAGCCCTTTTTCTTATTCGGAATCAGGAATACTGTGAATTGAATGATGTATATCAATATATAGTGCATATGATGAAATGGATGACAGCATGTGGATATTGACTTCAAAGGAATCTTATGGAATACAGTCGAAAAATTTGTAGTTGGAACTTTTTAATTTAATTAAATTAAGTTAAAATACACTGAAACGTTAAAGATACAATTTGTTATAAATAAACAGTAATCAAACACTAGCTTTAAATAAATTGCACAAATATTATTTATATTCATTTATTAATTACATTTTGAAATCAATTGGAAATTTTAATTTATCTTGCTATAAGAACTAATATTCGAAAACACATTCGCGGAAGTTCTTTTTTTACCTTTGTCTAAATAATATAAAGTACACATAAGGTCTGATTTTACTCTTTCACAGTAACAGAATTTGAATTGTGTAAAAAGCAAATTTGATTTAATTTGACTCTTAATTTTAACATACGAAACGATGACAACTTTCTAGGAAAGCTGGCGAGATCGCTGTTTGACTGTTTCAACTCGAATCGGCACTCCTGTTATGTGTGTGATCCCCTTGGAGTTTTACAATGACGTCATCGACAGTCCACACCCTGCTCTTGCAGCCAATGTTCCTCTTCACGCAGCGCCATATAATTCTTACGCCATTAGATCCCTGCTTGTTGTAGCGTTCGCCATTTACTATCAGTACACGGCTACCGACCTTCGAAAAATCGAAAAAGGCTGAAAAGAGAAAAGAAAAATCAAACATTTTAATAAAAATATTTATGGTGTAAAACTAAAACATTAGAAATAGGGAATAAATGGAGTATTCGTACAAGTTGGAAATTTTTTATTACTCATTATTTTTATGTGAGAAGATGGCAAGAGAGCTGGCAGTTGACCTGTTGAAGTGATAACCGCTGCCTACGTTTTCAACACCCGTAGGGTTGCAGACGCATTGCCACCTTTTAACAAAGTGGGTTACCTCACTAACCAGACTAAACGCAGCAGTATAGCAATACCACTTCACGCCGGTTTTCTGTTGTGGTCCACTTCCTATTCGTGCAGAAGCAAAGAATGTTGCGTGGACCTACCACAGTGAAAACTAAAGAAGTCTAACTTGAGAATATTAGAACGAACATTGATTTAAAACTGTCATGGATAGAACACGTTATATCGTATTAACAATAGGAGGATTTCTTTATAACGTTTTGAATTCATGACATTACATACTCATAGAAATATACAAAAAATATACAGGAGATTTTATTTTTATGAGTATTAGCGAGTACGTAAACAATTTTTTATAGTGTAACATTTATTGCACATGTAGTCGCATTAGTGTAACAGACTAGTGATGATAATAATTGTTAATAAAAATAACTGGTACAGGGGTATAAGATCGGTTAAGTACCAACTTTTCTTTACTTAGTAAGAAAGTGTTACTCAAAAACTATAATTGATGAAGGAAAAAAAAATGTAACATTCCAAGATGCCTGTCCAGTTATTATTTCATATTTAATTCTTTTTTAACATTAAGAACACAGAAATTAACCAGGAATCACAGAAATCATTTTCTTAAATCTGATTGCTTCAACGGAGCGATGAAATCAATCAACTTTATAATACTTCCCAGTGTTGGTGACGCCATAAGATGGCGGCGAATGATTGTGTACTCCCGTGACGAACAATAGGTTTCCGTCATGGTCGGTGCGCACTCTGGCCCTGCACTTCCCCCGTCGCCTTTTAGTGCAGTACCAAGTCGTGTGAGTGTACTGCGAGAAGGTGTACCCGTCAATCATTAGCAAGCTCTTCTTTTGGGTCGGTATTACAACCACTGTAAAACGAGAACTCAGTTACTCCAAGGTTCGTTTGAAATATATTTGACGGTCCCAGCGTGCAGGAGATATAGATCTTATTATGGATAGATCTTATCATCATCTCATGCTAAGTCATAAAAATGAACTGTAAAATAAAAGTACGTATTACCGTCAGGTTTCTGTCAGACCAAAATACACACAATACAATCCTAGTAGCATTAAGGTTGTTTTTTTTTTTTTTTTTTTTCACTTAATTATCTATTTACTAGCTTTTCACGGAGTGAAAGCGAGACAGACAGGCAGACCGAGTTACTTTCGCATTTATAATTAATATTATATTATATGCTAATGTGTGGATTAAGAACAAAAAAAATAAGCACCAAAAATGAGGTCAAAAATATAAATACATTTCCATGTCATGATCTAAAACTATAAAAGTTAAAGATAATAAATTATGCTAATTAAATATGTAAGACGCATACACGCAGTTGCGAAAGTATACAAACTACAGAAGGATAAAAGTAGACGCATAATTTTATTTTAATAAAATATTTGTTTCAAATTACACACATAACCAAAAATCAAATTAAATTGATAAGACGCTACTTAAACCGTTAATTTTAACCGTTAATTACGCAGTTTATTAATAACCACAATCGTTAATCGAAATCTTCACGCCTAGTTGTAAGAAAACAGCGCCGCTAACAGACATTGACAATACCAAAGAAGTTGCCAAAGCCTCTTAGACTAGAGAGTACTCAATTATAGTACAATGAAACTGCCAGACTGTTTCAACAGTTTTAATATCTCGATTCGTCAATGGTTGTGCAAGTTGTTGAGGTTTATCAGAACTCCGAAATGGGTCTTCGCGGTCGCTTTACACCCGCTGTTCCTCTTGATGCATCGCCACGTCTCCACCAGGTTCTTATTAATGACGGACCTGCCGTACCGATGCCCGTTGTACAACAAAACCCTGTTCCCGTGTTGACTCATAGAAAAAACCAAACCTAGAAATGAACATGGAAATAAAAATATGCTACTTGCTATAGCCGACGTAAGGGTGTAAGGAATAAGCAATATATGCACTAGATTAAGCTGAGGCGAAACGAATTAACGTTAAAGAATCATCGTACAGGGAGTAATGCAACGAGCGAAGAATACACCAATCTATCTGTGGTCATCGTAATGCTTTACGAAAACAAAAAATAATAAAAAGGCGACAAATGTTGATTATATTTGGTAATATAGCCGAAGTTACCTAATCTGAAGCGGCAACAAATTTGACAATACTGACTATTAATATAAATCTATAGGCATTTATATTCTCATGCAAATTTCAATTTATAATAGAAATTAATAAATAAGCATGTAATAATAATTAAATTGTTTAAATCTTAATGAATACGTAACAATAAACAAAAACATAAAAATGAAATACAGAAATGATAAAAAGCAATCACTTGTATATTTATTTTTTACATTCAGATAAACAAAACATAATAACACAGTTTTGGTATTAAATATCATATGTACATTACTTACTGACAATTACAAAAATAGCATTATTTAAATACTTTTTATACGATAATATTCTAAATGGCTTAACCAAAGCTCTTTTCATTTTCTGTTAACACTTAAACAATTTTTCTGTTAACTCTAAAAGTGGGATACTATATTTTGTGCTAAGTATCAACACACAGCAACACATTACAGATTAAAAATATTAAAAAGTCATAAATACATCCACTTCAAATAATTTACAATGAGTACAGTGCTGTGACAAATCTAACTTTTTCTCTATTTTGTTTTACAAGTAAGGAACGCTTTTCACGTGATTTTTTTTTTCACTGAAGCAAATATTGCCGTGGAAATTGTAAAAGGTCCTTTAAACTTCACAAAAAAATACCATTTTAAACATGTATTCAACAAATTTAAATTTTTTATAGTGTTCATCTGCACTTAAGGTTGAACATTAAAATTTTTAGTTAAGTTGTTCCTCGGTGTGGCACTCAGCCGTTTAGCTTAATGGCTAAAGCGTCAGGCCGCGAATGCCGAAGACGTGCGTTCGATACCCACAGCGACGATAATCTTTTCGTACTTTTTCTACAAATTTTCATGTTCAATTTTAAGTGCAAAGATTAGCACTATAAACAATTTAAATTTCTAAAAAGCAATGGCGAAATCTCTCGTTCGAATTATCACTACATACTCGTAGTATAAAAAAAAGACGTCACGCTTCTGTCTGTCTCTATATATGCTTGGCTTTCAAAATTTAAATTTCTACAAAGCAATGGCGACATCTCTCGTTCGAATTATCGTTGTAAAAGATTTTCATACTTTTTCTACAAATATTAATGTACAAGCCACTCCCGAAATTAATATAGTAATATAGTCAGGGCGACCCGTAACCCGTTCTTTAGTACGTATGATTATGGTCCGTGATGTGGACGACATTTCTGTCGAAGGTGACCACGAAAGCTTTGCAGCCGGAGTTGCGCTTGACGCAGCGCCACCTCGACTTCAAGTTCTTTTCGTACTCCCTGTTGAATCGGTTCCCGTTAACGATCAACGTGGGATTGCCGTAACAGTTGGTTGTGAAAATTATATCTGCAACGATAAAAGCGTACACATAAGCCGAGGGTTCGATTCCCACACGCGACAACTATTTGTGTGATCCACGGGTAATTATTTCGTGTCTGGATCTTTGCCCACGTGAAATTTATGTTTGCAAAACCTCACAACACAGGATAATGCTATCCTAAGGCAACGGCAATGTTTAAAAAAATCAATATGAAAATACTTTATACACATTGTTAATAGCCAATCAAGGCGTACATATAGACAATATGTCAACTGCGCTGCGATGATAGGCTGCTAACTTTTTACAGCTCACGTTTAATAATACTACCCGTACTAGTTTTCAATATTTTTTTCTGAGTAACTTAACACTGGTATTGTAAAATTCTCAATTTTTATAAATAACAGTTAATCATCATCATCATCATCTCAGCCTGTTTGTGTCCACTGCTGAACATAGGCCTCCCCCATAGACTGTCACGAAGTACGATCCTGAGCCACCTGCATCTATCGACTTCCCGCACATTTGCACAGGGCACCACTCCATCTAGTGGGGGGTCGTCCCACGCTGCGATGGCCACTACGAGGCTGCCACTCGAAAACCTTTCTTCCCCAACGGTTATCGGTTCTACGAGCTATATGACCGGCCCATCGCCACTTCAATTGCTAATTCTCTGAGCTATGTCGGTTACCTTGGTTCTGCTGCGGATGTCTTAGTTACGAACTCTAATTGTATATGATTATAAAATCTAGTTGGGCCCAGAGTTCAAAATCAAAGTCAACTTTTTCTGACGACTAGAAGTCGATGTGTAGTAGATCGGCATTTTGACAAGGTTGAAGGTTGTTTTGGACTATCGTTTCATCCATGCAAACGTAACAATAAATTTGTTTGACATTGCTATTTCGTATGCAAAGGTAATCACACACTGTTGGCTGCACAGACCTACTCCTTCACCAATTTTATTTACTAGAACAGAGATATTTTCATGAATAACTGACAATGAGCGTATCGTAGATGCGTCTCTCTTTACGCAGAGCCACTTTATTTTCAAATCGTTCTTGGACGCCGCGCCACCTTTACTTCAAGTACCTTGCGTATTCCCTGCTGAATCGGTTAGTCACGATCCATCATAAATGAATCGTGCTAACATATAAATTATGGGATTAAGTAGAAAGCTATAAATATCTTTCCTCATTATTCCCGGCACTAGACTTTTTTAGCAATTTTTTTTGTTGATAGTTCTAGTCATAAATATTAATTTCATTTTAGTTGTTAGATTAATCCGATTAAGATTACTGCTACAATATACTATGTGTTGACAGATAACTAATAAATATTATATTGACAAAAAAAGGAAAGACAAAAATTAGATGTTAAAGTTACTAAGAACTAACTAAACTAGTTATGATTTAAACAAATTTCTTTCACATGGCAGTAACGACGTCGACTGGTAGAAAGAAGATCATAAAAAAGATATCAGAAGTAAAATTATTGATTTTATTTTCCACTGATTACATTCTAATTATTAAGAAGATCATTCTGATCAATTCATACAGTTTAATCATCCTTTTGGCAACATAAATAACATTTGAAAAGCCATTTGACAGCTGATTAGTTAATTTCTACGATGATCAGTGTTCCAGAAACCAGGCGTAACAAACTAAAATCAAGCTCATTGTTGATCTTTTGTTCGTTGATGATTTTTCTTCGTTAGAAACAAAAGAACAAACTTTATGATGTTTTAAGAATGAATCTTCATAAAATGTAACTACTTAAAATACCACTTAATGTCAGACTGGCGCTATCGAATAGACCAAGTACCACGGCGATACTTATCCGTTTCATCCGGCGAAGGAGATCTTAACGAACTTGCAGGTTCATTGCTGTTTCGTATTTCATTGAGCAAAAAGTATTCACATACCGTTTGCTGCACTGACTACTCGTTCGCCATTTCCTCTTAGCAGGGAAAAGAACAAGCCATCACGCGGATAGACTAGTAACGTTTCATGCATGGTTGTGGTTGGTGTAATGGATAATGAGAGTATCGTAGGTGACAACGAAAGCTTTGCACCCGTGGTTTCTTTTCACGCAGCGCCATCTTGTTTTCAAATTGTTCTCGGATTCCTTGCTAAAGCGGCCCCCGTTAAAAAGCAGCATCGGGTTCCCGAAACGGTTCGTGGTGAACATTGCTGAAACAAATATCACATTTAGTTTCGCTTTAGTTACGGCAAGTTAGTGGAATTTAACGAATCGGAGAAATAAATGGTCTATTGCGAACATTATAATTAATGATACAATCATTATAGTTTTTAAAATACGAGGGGCACTCAATGTTTTCTCGGTATCGGGATCTTTTTATTACATTTAAAGATATGATGAGATGATAAAGTAGGGTAAGGGTGATATACTAGTAATGAGGGTAATTAAATTATGTAATTGGTTAAAGACACTCTTTGTGGGTATAAATATAAAATTTTATTTAAATGTCACTATAAGTATTCAAGAAATCGTTGGGAAAAGCAATAATATAAAAACGGCCAAGTGCAAGTCGCAACAAAGGGTTCTGTACCATTATTTATAAACACGGCAAAAAAATCATGTCTGTTGTACGGGATCCCCACTTAAATGTTTTTTTTTTATTCTGTTTTTTAGAATTTGTTGTTATAGCAGCAACAGAAATACATAATTTGTGAAAATTTCTAGTCCATCACGTTGCATGACATACAGCCTAGTGACAGACGGACAGGCAGACAGACGGCGGAGTCTTAGTAATAGGGTCCCATTTAACCGTTTGCGTACGGAACTTTAGAAAACAAATGTGATAAAATACCTTACAAAACAAGAAAAACCCCCATTTTGGTTAGCCCTAACAAGAGCCACTACTGAAGAAAACGTCGAAATCGTCGAGAAACTTGTGTTCATAAATCGCACCTTTAGAATTATAGTGACCTATTTAAAAATATCAATTTTTGGGAAACGTTAAATAAGGATTTGTGGAACTTATGAACAAACGCGCTAATTGGGGGGACATGAAAGAGACAGAAGTATACGTTACGTAGCTTTCTAAAATCGGCCCATGTTAACAGGATTCGAAAAGGTCATGATTTTCATAACAAGGCCCCCTTAATTCTAAAGGTGCGAAATGTCCCTGACAGAGTGAAAACTTTAGCGAAATGGACATAGGTATTCCCGGGTACCGTTCACACTATCCTGCATTTTGATAAGATTGTTTTATGTTTTAGACTATGGTTTCATCCATGCAAACGTAACAATAAATTTGTTTGAAATTGCTATTAATGACATACGCATTAAACAAAGGTAAGCACATACCGTTGGCTGCACGGACCTACTCCTTCACCAATTTTATTTACTAGGACAAAGAAATTTTCATGAATAACTGACAATGAGCGTATCGTAAGTGCGTCTCTCTTAACGCAGAGCCACTTTACTTTCAAATCATTCTTGGACGCCGTGCTAAAAAGGTTCCCGTTTTAAAACAGGGCCGAGTTCCCATAACGGTTCGTGGTGAAGAGTGCTAAAATACATGACCTATGGCTTGAGTTAAGTAAATTGAGTGGAATCTAACTGTCAACCTGTGAACCTGATAGATCGCAAAGTTTTCAATTAAAAAAAAAACAGAGCGAATAAAACAATGTGATCTAATTTAATCTTATACGACTTATAATTAAAAATGATTAATAAAATGTTTAATTCTAATATATTACAATTTGCGTACTTAAATGTCTACGTCTTAAATGTCTCTACAAAACAGACGTAGGTTGTAAAATAAATATACTACACATTTAACAAAAGGACCTGTAACTTAATGTGGACGCACGAGAATCATAAAATGTTTGACGAGAATAATTATACCTCAAACACAAATACACACGCACAGACGTACTCTTTACAAAAGAACTATGACTCTTCTACTATTGCACAAGCAAGACGCGAACGGAAAAATCACGTTTCACGTTTGACACACAGCGTTCGCGCAGACTGTGTGTCAAAAACAGTCTCCAAAAGTCTGTAATCCGCCCGTGCCTCTGGCCACGTAGCTTCCCGCCTAAATGTGGTTATGCTGTTGTCGTACTCTTATTATAATGTTGTCAATGGTCGTGACGAAGGCGGAACAGCCGGTGGTCTTTTTGATGCACCTCCATCGAATTTTGGCGCCTTCGTTCTGATGCACCGTGAATCTCTGGTCTCCCATATCGAGGCACCGTTTCCCGCCCGATGTGTATCCGAAAAAGGCTGAAATTATCCAAGTCGTTGCTTAAAATAAACAGCGAATTTCTCATTTTAAATAGAGGGTGGTAGTGAGGAGGGGATTAATGTTAATTGTAAATTAAATTATGAGGAATAAAAAAAAACTAAATAACTATCATAATCGCATTTTATTATAAAGGCGTTGGTCAGTAAAATACTCTATACATAAAAAAAATAGCAAAAAGCATATTCAAATTGTTATTATCCTAATCATGTGTATGGTATGTATCTACAAAGTTTTAATATTCGTATTGAATTAATCATTCTAATTTTGTTTTGTGCATGATAGTCTAACAAAAATGCCGTTTTTTAAAACGTTTTTTTTTCTCATAAAGTATGCATTAAATTGATGATACTACGATAGTATCGACCAGGTAGGGCGATCCGACTCCTATAGTTTTGAGGCGGTCGGTTTTGCACTGTGTAGATCTACTGAAAATGTCAATCTTCAAAACGATCTTCGTTGTTTGTTCCGTCGTGGTTGATTAGTGACTTCATTTGGCAAACAAATTTTGAGATTTTTTACCTTTCCAATTTGAAATGAATGAGTCAGTATCTTTTTAGCACTTACGTTAAAGCCTGTTGCTGCTGGCCCATACACATTTTGATATTTCCTTCGTTACGTATTTTCTGTTTCACATCCGCTATAGAACGTAACTCATGTTCGGAATGTGTACAGCAAGTAAACGGTTCATTTTTAGATACAATGAGATTGATCTTCAAACCAACTAGTATTAAAATTTGATACTAGCTGTGTAACAAAAACAGTAACTTAACGCATACTTAAACTTTGCCTCGTATGAAAATAGTGATTTTTTTGGAAAATAGATACCATTAACATAATCATTTATTTCAACCATGCAATATCGTGAAACATTCTTCATGGCTGTCAAGACTGTGGAAACCCTACTAGCAATACCAATAACAAAAGTATTAATTATATCATAAAGAACATAAATAAAAACAAGCAGTTGTTATACACTCGTGTTTTATATTCTGGCAAGCGAGACAACCTCCGAAAGAAAAGTTCCTTCGTAACATTTATATAATACATATGTCACAACCTTTAATGGATTTTGTCTTGATTAAAGAACATTATTACGTATTCAATCACTGAGTTTGTTCAGTCTGCTCTATTACTTATTCTTACTTCACTATATTTGTTTTCCCTAAAATTTTACAGACATTTTTTTAAATTGATAAAATTTTTAGGACTCGGATTTTTAGCTTTATATACCTCTAAAGCTCAAAAACTAAGCCTGATGGTCAAAGAATGCACCCTAATGGTTGTGGGTGTTGTTAAGTTTGATGATTTCGTCGTTGACGGTGACGATGGTGGCGCGGCACCCAGTGGAGACCTTAGTGCAGGTCCAGCCCATACGGGGGCCCTTGCTGTCGCTTCGCTTGTTGAATCGATACCTTCCGTACTGGATGACGGGCTTGCCGAACCTCGACGTCGTGAACATCGGCTCCTCACAAAAGTCTGGAACGGAGAAGAAGCGTTACATTCGTTCCTAACTAATTATGAAATAGTCATTAATATTTCGTTAATATTTCACAAACACTACACAATGTTGAGTAGTAAATTTAGTATATCCCTATTTAAGGTTTTTGCAATAAAGGAGAATCAAATAAATAAATGAACGCTAAATGAAATCATTTGTGGTAATTTTACTTTGTAAAATTTTAAATTTTAGTTTCCAAGTATTGAATACGTTGCACTTTTCATGTAAGAGTTAAAAATTAAACTCGATGTGATACATAAATAATTCCATCGAGTAATATTTAAAATTAGCGAATGATAATGTTTCCACTTCTAAGCTTGACATATAAAGCGTCATCAGATACAGAGTGTGGATAAAGGCTAGGGTATTTTTATAAGGAAAGTGGCACACCAGCTGGCGGTTCACCTGATGTAAAGTGATGACGGCCGCCCATGGACATTTGCAACACCCCTATGGTTGCAGATGCGTGGCCACCTTTTACTACAGTGGGCCCCGACTACCATACTCACCCGACGAAACACAGAAGTGTAACGCTTCTACTTCACGCCGGTCTTTTGTCAGGTCGTGGTACTAACCCGGATGGACCTGCCCATTCATGCAACAGTGAATACTGTTGCGTGGCCCTACCACAGTTCAAATCCTACGAGTAGAGTCAAATTGAACGAAATATTTTCAAGCAGGACCTCTTTAAGCTAGATCTGATAATAGTCGCTGTTGCGTACCGATACGAGAACTCATATAGAAGATATAAGTCTTGCTTGGTTATTATTGCCTGTTGCCAGGGAGCAAAAGTATAAAAACACAACTGAACTGAGAACTTCCTCATTTTTTTTTAAGTCGGTTGAAAAATGAGGCAAAGAGCAAGCGGCTCACCGTAGTTGTAAGTGACCAATAATAAGAGAAAGCTCATTTTCATACATTTAATATAATTAATCACAGTTTGATTACAATTATAAATGACTAATTAACTTACTAATGAAAATAGCATTAATAAATGGATATAATATTTTGATTATATTTCCTAAACAATATACTTAATTACAATTTGCTAAAAAACATATTGGTAAACGTGTTGTGTCAAAATAAAATACAAGTGAATGTATAATTTAATCAGCGACTCCATAGATTACTATCTCATCGTATCATAAAACGTTAACTTTTTAAGATATATAATTTTTCACCAAAATATAGATTTCAGAATCGCTAAATACTGCATACAATCATATTGTATATATGTGAATTCGAGTCCTTGTTTAATAAAACAATTTTAAGAAATTTATCGCGTTTAATTTGGAATATGAAGACCTACGGAAAACTTTCCAGTAACCTTGGTAAGATGTCTCGTGACGCTGTAAAAGGTCGAAATAAATAGTGTTATATAACAGTTGAAGAAATATATCTAAAGAATTCAGTATTGACGATACAAATACACTAGCTACAAATAATTACTCAATCGTACTTATAAATCGTATTTTTTAGAATAATTTTGTTCGTTGCAACGCATAGATTATATAGAACTGTATAAATGAAAGAATAAAGCTATTGGTTTTGTTAAATAAATTCTAGATAAGTTCATCTGTCTTTCTACTTATGTAATCAATATTAAATCCACGCCGAAGTTCAGTATCTGACCGATGAATACCTTAACCCAGACGCAGGGCTGGGAGGCATCAATGATTGTGGTAATTCCTGTACTTGAGGATGGTGTTGTCGAAGGTGGTGACTGTGGCGCGACACTGGCGGTCCTTCTTTACGCAGACCCAGTTGATCTGGGGGCCCTTGCTGTCGCTGCGTTTGTTAAAACGGTAGTTGTCGATGATCATCAGCGGGTTCCCGAAGCGGGTGGTCAGGAAGATCGGCTCGTGGATCGCTGTCGAAGTAAACATTTGGAAAATATTATCAACGCAACAATCCCAAACCGGTGCTTTGAACATTTTCACACTACCAAAGCTCACTACCGAAACTTCGTGTTAAATAGAGGGTCAAATCAAAATCGGCAGTTTGTCAAAAACATCGAATAGGTTTATTAATCAAAAAAATGGACATATTGACGTCTTAACTTTACGCGAATATTATACATATTGAATGGAACTAGTTTACGGATTTTTGATGTACTTGTTTTAATAAAACGCGACAAAATCCGTGAACTGGATTCATTTCATATGTAAAAAAAGGAGAATTAATACAAAATGACAAAAGACCCAACTACAAAAGATACAAAACCACAATAGATGTAAAAATGAACAATTTCTTTGACTACCAGACTATACGAATATATCAAGTGGTACTCCAGCCGTGAAATAGCAAAAGCTAGCGGCTTAGCAGAAGCTAATCGAACTCCCATGGATATCCCCAACACCAGAAACATCGAGTGATCTTTTCGGTGTTTCAGTACTAAATTGGGTCGATTCCTTATAGCTTTAGTAGCTATCATATAGTTATTTAATTATATATTTTAAGTCTAAAAAAATTCAAATTCAAAATATCTTTACTCAAATAGACGCTTGCGCGTTATGAAACGATGAATTTGACATAAATAATTAATACATAAGTTCGTCAGTATGTTACCACCTTACTTTGTGCATAATATGATACTTAAAAACGTTTAGACGAAACCGCTCAGCTTAGTGACTAAAGCGTCTGGACGCGTAGTCCGAAAGGCGCAGGCTCGAATACTGGCAGCTTAAAATTTAGCGAAAGTTTTATCGAAGCTTTTTTAAGTTTTCATTTCCTCGTTTGTTTACATACATAAAATAAAAGAAAGTAATATACGGATATCACGGCACGGTTTTTGCATGGTCACACGACAGACTGTACCTTTAATTAAAGACGATAAATAGAAAATATATCATAAGAAAAAGGGCAGCAACAAGTTAATGGTTGTGAGAGCTAGAAGTCTTCAACAGGGAGTCTCGTATCGTCGTAATGATGGCGGGGCACCGCAGCAGCTGTTTCTTGTCGCACACCCAACGTCGCATCGACCCTCTCTCACCCGCTTTGGTGTATCGATAGCCCCCCATTATGATGACGGGATTGCCGCGCCGGGATCTACCGAAAATGATTTCTGCCAATACAAAACGACGTCTCAGATTAAACGGGTCTAATAAAATTCCAATTAAGCGGATTAATTATTTCATCTAGTCCAATTACTGGACTAGATCCCATAATGATTGTAATGATGATAAATAATTTTATCAAATAACGCTGGTTCATTATTTGATCAAATTATTATGGCATGCTTTTTAAATGACACTTATTAAAAATTTCCACTACTTATTAATACTTCTCGGATTGAACCAGTACAATGTATAACATAAAAAATTGAATTAATGATAAACGTGTAAGTGTGCATTCACACATGTATATTTTTACCAGTCAGCCAAAAGTGTTGGTGGGAGTAGCAACTAATGTTGCTTATCACGAGGCGGATATGAAATGAGGATAGCTCAGACTAAAATTCCTTGAAATAACTTCCCCAAACTACCATAGCAAATTATTCATCGTCAAAACACATGATACATTTATTTTATTTATTTATACTTTATTGTACACCAAAAATAAAAATGTATAAAACGCAAATTACAAATGAATATAAAAGGAAGTACAATAGGCGGTCTTATCGCTCAGAAAGCGATTTCTTCCAGACAACCATTATGAAAAGAATATTTGCTAATGAGACATAAAGAAGAGAGCAGAGGGAGTTGTACATGAATCACTTATGAACATCGGATGAAGGCATTTATACGTCAATGAGATAGTCAAAGATTTCGGGAAAAATAGGAAAGGAAAAAGGAAAGCGTGAGTTCACAGTTCCAAGTAATGAGCTTTTAATAGGTTTTTAAAAGAAAGAAGTGACTTGCATTCGACAAGCTTATCGAATGTGAAGGGGCAAAGAATTCCACAAACGCACAGCTGTCACTGTAAAAGATTATTTGAAGAAGGAAGAGGAATGTACAGGAGTTTGGAGGGAGAGATTGCGGATTGGGAGCCACTTGAGCTGTGTACGAAAATCGGAAAATACATGTCGAAATTTAAATTAAAATTCGCAGAATAATAATTGCAGCACACGCGCCAACTGAGTCATTGGAACACATTAAAGAAAGCAATAAACCTTAAACATCCTTTAAGAATTTGAAAACTTTTAGGAACGTCTCTTTTAGGTTTTTTAGCGAAATTATGTTAAAGTACACCATTAACAAAATTTTGATATAAAGCAAAGGTAGCCAGGCGTATTCGCTCGTAAATTTCATACCCATAAAGCAAGCAACAAGCGTCATCGTAAATCACAATCGTATTCAACAACAAATCATAAATTTATTGGATCGTCAGTTTAACAATAAACCATGACATTGGAACAAATACTCTGATCGAGGTCGAATTCCGTTACCGTATGTAGGAACGGCAACTCAACAAAGTTTAACATTAATAAAAATAAAGTATTAAAATATGTAGAAAAAAATAAAGTAGTTGACCAGTGCGAAATCTTTGCACATAGTCCAAAATGTGATCATAATAAAAGGAAATTTAAATTGTTTATAGTGCTAATCTTTGCACTTAAGATTGAACATTAAAATATGTAGAAAAAGTACGAAAAGATTGTCGCCGCTGTGGGAATCGAACCCACGTCTTCGGCATTCGCGGCCTGACGCTCTAGCCACTGAGCTAAACGGCTGATTGCCACACCGACGAAAATCTTAACGTATTCTTCTACATTGTTTTCTTAGCATTTGAAGCAATGTTTGGCGCCATCTATTGTTATATCCTTTCCAGCATACAAACAATTTCGGATATCGTTTTACAACGATAATTCAAACGAGAGATGTCGCCATTGCTTTTTTTAGAAATTTAAATTGTTTATAGTGCTAATCTTTGCACTTAAGATTGAACATTAAAATATGTAGAAAAAGTACGAAAAGATTGTCGCCGCTGTGGGAATCGAACCCACGTCTTCGGCATTCGCGGCCTGACGCTCTAGCCACTGAGCTAAACGGCTGATTGCCACACCGACGAAAATCTTAACGTATTCTTCTACATTGTTTACATACATATTTTAATGTTCAATCTTAAGTGCAAAGATTACCACTATAAACAATTTAAATTTCTAAAAAAAGCAATGGCGACATCTCTCGTTCGAATTATCGTTGTAAAACGATATCCGAAATTGTTTGTATGCTGGAAAGGATATAACAATAGATGGCGCCAAGCATTGCTTCAAATGCTAAGAAAACAATGTAGAAGAATACGTTAAGATTTTCGTCAGTGTGGCAATCAGCCGTTTAGCTCAGTGGCTAGAGCGTCAGGCCGCGAATGCCGAAGACGTGGGTTCGATTCCCACAGCGGCGACAATCTTTTCGTACTTTTTCTACATATTTTAATGTTCAATCTTAAGTGCAAAGATTAGCACTATAAACAATTTAAATTTCTAAAAAAAGCAATGGCGACATCTCTCGTTCGAATTATCGTTGTAAAACGATATCCGAAATTGTTTGTATGCTGGAAAGGATATAACAATAGATGGCGCCAAGCATTGCTTCAAATGCTAAGAAAACAATGTAGAAGAATACGTTAAGATTTTCGTCGGTGTGGCAATCAGCCGTTTAGCTCAGTGGCTAGAGCGTCAGGCCGCGAATGCCAAAGACGTGGGTTCGATTCCCACAGCGGCGACAATCTTTTCGTACTTTTTCTACATGTTTTAATGTTCAATCTTAAGTGCAAAGATTAGCACTATAAACAATTTAAATTTCTAAAAAAAAGCAATGGCGACATCTCTCGTTCGAATTATCGTTGTAAAACGATATCCGAAATTGTTTGTATGCTGGAAAGGATATAACAATAGATGGCGCCAAGCATTGCTTCAAATGCTAAGAAAACAATGTAGAAGAATACGTTAAGATTTTCGTCGGTGTGGCAATCAGCCGTTTAGCTCAGTGGCTAGAGCGTCAGGCCGCGAATGCCGAAGACGTGGATTCGATTTCCACAGCGGCGACAATCTTTTCGTACTTTTTCTACATATTTTAATAATAAAAGGATTTGATTATTATAAAGAATAACGTTTATCAATCTTTGCCAACTATTTTAAACGTTTTTACGTACACTATTTAAATAAACTGTCAATAGATAATGCCATTATCATACATTATTTATAAGAAACTTAAAGCAAAGATTTTTTAAATGTAAACTTGAACTTTATTCTACTTGTCCTTTTCGTCAATAACAATGAAAACAAGCTTTACGGCTTACCGACAATAACATTTAAGGAGTACTTAATACACAGAGACTATTTCCAATATGAAAATCAGTGTGAGTGCATGTCGTTCAGCTTGACTATACGACGGTTCACAAGGGTCATACGAGCGGGGCAACCCTTCGTGTATCTCTTGACGCAGTGCCACCAGGTCTTGCGCCCATACTGCGAGGTCCGTTTGAATTTGTGGCCGTGAAGCATGACCAACGCGTTGCCCCTTTGGGACTCCGTGAATTGTACTGGAAACAACACACGGTGCTTATTCCTGATGTGACTTGATCTGAGCACGTTGAAAATACATTTACATATACATTTATACAAATTAAGCTATAATTATCAAAAATTGCGACCTCCGTTACGTTTCTGTATAAGACTTATAATGCTCATGACATTTCAATTAAATCATAGCCTTGTTGGTTATGTATGTCTGTACAGTGCTTAAAATAGCAGTCGTCGCTCCACAGTACACTATTTAATAAAAAATTCTGCACTAAGTTGTCTAGTCCCAAATTAAACAAAACTTGTACTTTGCATAGAACCTATATAGAATATATAATAACATAGAATTTAACCCATTGAAAAAGATAGAGACGGCCCATGCCAGACACATTCCACTGAGTTTAATTGATCTCACATATGACAGGTTGTATGCTTGAACGTTTCAAAGGAAGGACGGGCGAAAGAGTCGAAGATTCTGGAATCCACAAAAATAAACAGCAGTAAGACATAAGACAGCGTTCTCTCACGAGTTTATTATAAACTATTTACAATCTATGTATTAAGTGATATATAAGGAGCGACTGAAATGATTATCATACTGGTAAATAGTGCGCAATGGCGTCATTATAGAATCTAATTATATCTTACTAATGATTATGACAGTTCCTGGCTTTAACGATGACGTCGTCGAACGTAACCAAGGACGCTTTGCACCCCTGTGGAGCCTTGTTGCACATCCAGTAGGTGCGGGGTCCGAAATTGTGCTTGCAGTTGAACCTGTACCCTTGGACTTGCAGTAAGGGCTTGCCACGCTTAGTCCTCAGCAGGATCGGTTCTGCAGAAACAAATCCGATTGTAGTAACAGCGCCATAGACGTGAAAGATGCAGATAGAAGGTGAGTAAGCGGTCACAAATGAATCGATACAAAAATGCTTGGCTTCCTTCGAAGGCGCGTACACAAAATTGGATATGTTATCATGAAAATTTAAATGTGTGATTGGGCACAGGTTCGAAAGCATCGTGATAAGCAATATTAGTTGTTACACACACTTTTGGGCTGATCGGTAAAAATATATATGTGTGTGAACACACATATGTATACACATTTATCATAAAATCCTAAGCTTCCGTCAGATTTAAATAAAAAAATTGACGTCAAAGGATTTTTTGAACTATTTGTCGAAAGTCATTTACGTACAATTTTCAAAATTAAACTCACATTGATATTTAACATATATATCGGCAACCATCACTGAATTTAACAGCCATTTAATAACTTTCCATGTACTGAAAAATGTATATAACAATAAGTAAATAGTCATTACGAAGCGTCATAATCAATCAAATAGTTTTCAGATAAATGCTTAATTGTAAGCGGACATTGAACTTTGAATTAAGGAACAGACTCTCATTGACTCTGTTTTTGTAAACTTGTACGTGTAGTGATCCAATGGCTACAAGACTTGTAGCGTACTACATCAAGTCTCATGTGACGAATCAAAACATATGCAGTCCCATAGGGATTGCCGACAGAAGTGAAAACATAAAACAATATCAAAATTAAAATTGTATAATATTTAATTCTACATATTTTATAGGCACTCTGAACGATAACAGTATTTATATTATATCCATAACTACAAATATATTTTGGCGTATTCCTTCATTAAAAATAGCTCATGGAAATTCTCGCTTTTGGTTCACCCAAAAAGTGTTCAATGCGCCTAAAGAAATTTTCACTTCAAAAACAAACCACACTTCAAATCATATCTATATCATACCCTATATTATTAAACAAAATACTCTCTATGCTTTATTGCTAACCTTAAGAAAAAAGCGAGTGTGCTTTAGACCACACGACCGAAGTAAAACTTCTTTAGCTCCATCTATACGTAATCTGTATGAACTTACAATTTTATTCACTTTGAAATTGTTAAAGTACGAAATGAAATTACGAAATATACAAGAAATCGCCGTTCGCGTAACGTAACACTTTTCGTAACGCTCTCGTCACGCATTCACCAGCTTACTCCCCAAGTCAAGCGTGCGTAAAAAAGTTTTACTTCAAAAGGGTAACAAATGGCATTCTGCATTCTCTACCAGTACTATAAATAGATATTTTTAATTCAATAACATACTAAAGCTTCTGCAAACCCTAATGGTTATGGAATGAATTATAGTGAAAAAGGTAATTTTGGAATGTTGTGGCTTTGGCTGGGCAGCCGCTAGTTCTGCTTTTAGCGCAAGTCCAATACGCCCTCTCGCCTCTACTACGGTTCTTGTGGTAACGATGGCCGTCAAGAATTAGGAGGAGTTTACCGGACTTGGACTGAAGAAACTCCACTTCTGAAATTGGAATTTATAATTTATAGGACACCAGCTGAAGGAAAATTGAAATTTTTACTCAACATTATATTTAACAATAGTGGAGTAAATAAGAAATTTTCAATGAATTTTGAAAAGAAATCAATCATTAAACCACTTTGAATAACGCTCAGGCAGCAAGGCTAGACTAATAAATGATGGAATAAACTTCACACAATGAAAACAAATTCAAGTCCTGGGCGATTGCATTTTACTGTTATGAATAGACACTTACGTATATAATATTTACAATTGCACAATTTAGAAATACAAACAGTACCCAAAACCACGATATGGCCGGCGAAATGTTTATCAGTGTTTGTGCTGATTCATGCTTTTCAATATCACGTTCTTGAAAGTAGTCAGACGGGCGCGACAGCCCGAGGATTTCTTTACGCAGATCCACGTGACCTTCGGCCCAGAGCTGCGGTGATAGCGGTTGAAACGGTACTGCCCCAACAGAAGGACCGGTCTCCCAAACCGTGACGTCATGAAAACTGGACCTTAAAGACCAATACCGCCTTTTAATACTTGGAAAAATAACAAACAAAAAGCAGGTGTCGTATCATTGTTCACGGTGGATTTTACAAAAACACGGTACTTGTAACATTCGCAAAAAAAGTTAATTTTAATATACGATTGAATTTAGTATAGAGAATATTGCAAGTGTATGAAATAAAGTAAGTAAAATACAATAGAGATAAAGTCTCTGCTCCTGAATTACATAATTTACACTAAACTGCGTGCCACAAACTACCACGCTACCCAATTCTTCTTAATGAAAGTAGGAATTAATGGAAAGAAAAGATTTTTTTTATCATTAATAAACTCTAATATATTTTATTATTCATCAAATATTAAACGCAAAATATTACTCGTGACTTCTATGGTTGTGGACGTCGTTAACTCTCACAATGACGTCATCGATGGTCGTTATGAATGCGCGGCACTGTCTCTTGCTACAAAACCAGAGGCCCTTCGGACCCTTGGTCCGGTTATTCTTGTTGTAGCGGTTCTCACCGAGGATAATAACGGGCCTGCCGAACCGAGAGGTGGACAATATGGCTTCTGAAATTTTAAACGGGTCTAAAGTAAATATATTAATCCTAGCATAGCGTCTTCGATGGAATAAATCAATGATTCGTGGACGGATAGGAACATATCATATAGTCTTAGGTTATAGTTGATAGTAAAACGTTTTACTTTTTATAAATTCAAATTTCTTATAATGATATTATTGATTAAATTCTGGTAATATAAAGTAATAATTAAAGTTTTAGGAAAATAATATAAGTAAATTAATATAATGTGATATAATTGAAAAGAATCAACACACAAAGCTTTTAAAATATAATATTGAAAGCCATACTTTCAAACGTACCTAACGTAAATAATGATTTTGTATAGAAAATATCGCAAATGATTATATTACTGTTAATGATTATGTGTAGGCTTTTCTTTGACTATGACGTCATCGATGGTGGTGATGCTGGCTCGGCAACCGGAGCTGACCCTGCAGCAGACCCAAAGAGCCCTAGGTCCATAGCTTCTGTTGTTCCTATTGAAACGGTACTTGCCAACTTGGATGGCGGGTTTGCCGAAACGTGAAGTAGTGAACTTATGCTGCGCCGTAGCTGTAACAAAGATAAAAAAATAAGTTAATTACTTTAACTGCACGGATGTAGCAATGTGATAAGTGGTCCCCTCGTGAACTACATTTTCCCCAGGCGATGTGGTTTAGATCCTCGTGGGAGAAATTTGTGACACACAAATGTATAGTCGTTTGTATACTCATAAATTATTTTGAAACTTCCCTTGAAACCATACGAAACTAGCCGCAATTAATTAATGAAAGATATCACGATCAGCTTATCGACATATACTTTGTCCAATCTATTAACTAGAAACATGAAACAAAAACATTAAAATAACAACACGAAGGTGTAAAGCAAATAACAGAGATAATATTTATATTGAGTACATTGCAACTACCCGCTACTGTTACAAAACCATCGCAAGGGTTCCTCGACACTCAATGGTTGTGGATGCTCTTGACGTCGACCACGGTTCCGTCCAAGGTGACAACGGCTGCACCGCACGAGCCCCGCGACCTGCCGACCTTCACGCACTCCCATTTGATCCTCTCCCCGTCGCTGTACACGTAACCCTTTCTATACCTGTAGTTCCCGTAACACAGCACGGTGTTCCCGTGCCTCGAATTGCAGAAAACGAAACCTGAAATTAATCGCAGACACACAATCGTGCCATATCAGGGGCGTGTTCATGATGACGTAACAGAAATTGCAAAGAACCTAAAGCATCGTGCATCGAATCACAGTTAGATAGAAATGAGTTACGAAGGCTGCGGCCGGAGGATGCAAAAGAATGCAAAGTTAAACTTAAAACTACTTATTTTATTATATAAAAATTACAAGTTAACTACATTTCTAAGTGAGGTGACAGTTGCTCGATGTGAAAGTCAAAAGTGACGCTCGCTGCGATGCTTCGGACGGTCCTGGTGTCCAACACCTGTGTTGCGCAACCACTTCGTGGCCGTGGGAAGCAATCCCTTGAGAATAGAATGTCGTAGCTGGGTGGTTGAAGTGTAGGCGATTTCCAGGGTGTGTAATTGTGTAACACATGAGTCAACATGCCCAAGAAAGATAACAAAAAACTCCTACAAAAGCTGAGGCGAAACAATTACAAATAATGAAATACTGTTGTAAATTATTTTGAGGGTGACAAGTCGCGAGCTTTAGACTTGAAATAATAAGCGAAATCGTTTGAACAGTAATTTAATTTTTCTAATGGTTATGCTCGTTTTTTACGTATATGATAACGTCATCGACAACAGTGACGGAAGCCCGGCAACTGGGCTTGCTGCTGCTCCTAGAACAGAACCAAGTGGCCTTTGGACCTCTACTCCTGTTGTTCCTGTAGTAGCGATAGGTCCCTAGCACAAGTACCGGTCGCCCGTTGGTGGTTGTCGTGAATTTGGCACCTGAGAATAGACGATACACCAAATTTAATATCGCCAATTTCTATTAAAAATTTAATAAGCTATTAATAATATTAATTAATTAATTAATTAGCTACTAATAATAATACAGTGTTTAACAAAGTAAGATACAAATAAAAATGGCAGCAAAAGCTTAGGTACAGGACAGGTAATTTTCTGCTTTATTTACGTAATACGACTAATTTAGTAATAACATTTCTTGTTTTACTTTTTAGCATAAAGTAGTCTTCACTTTTTTTACCCAATGATATCTCATACTATAGATAAATTGTACATTGTTAACTCGCCCGGAGTGAAACGACGAAAGCGTAAAAAGGAGGCAAACGAGCATGCGGGTGGATCACCTGATGGTAAGCGATCACAGCCGTTCATGGACATTTGCAATATCGGTTGAGTCGCAATTGCGTTGCCGGCCTTTAAGGTAGGCTAGAGTAGGCTCTCTTGCCATCCACTTCTTCTTATTGCTTTAATTACCCTGCTTTAATTATGCTTTCCTTTTTTCACTCTGTTTAAATATCTATGGTATCAACTTAGATCTTAGATCTAAGTTTTATACTATTTAGTAACAGTTTAAAACTATACGCAACGTATCTTGATGCGGTTTTTTTACCAGATAGAGTAATTCACGAGGAAGGTTTATATCTATAACTAGCTGTGCCCGCGACTTCGTCCGCGTGGAATTTGAAATAAAAACCTAAATTAAAAGTAGCCTAAGTTACTCCGTATTACATCAGCTATCTGCCAGTGAAAGTTCCGTCCAAATCAGTCCAGCCGTTTCAGAGATTAGCGTGAACAAACAGACAGACAGACAGACAAAAATTATAAAAAATGTTATTTTGGTATATGTACCGTGTATACATCATTTAGTAAAAAGCGGTTATTTTAATATTACAAACAGATACTCCAGTTTTATTCCTGTATAGATACATCATATATAGCCGTGATAGCTCAGTGTCCGGGCGCTCGCCTTTAACTCAATATACCCGAGCAACCTGAGTTCGATCCCCGGTGCCGGCACCAATGAAGTTTTTAACTTTAAGTGCTGACTTATCACGTGCTCCGCGGTGAAGGAAAACATCGTAAGGAAACCTGCATATTTTCGAAATAATAACGAAAAAATATATATATATTTCGAAGATAAGTGCAGTCCGCCAATCCGCAGTGGGGCCGCGTGGTGGACTATGCCCTGATACCCTTTGTATAGAGGAGGCCTTTGCTTAGCAGTGCGATATTTATAGGCTGTTACTTTACGTTTTTTACTTTTATAGATACATTGCCCCCGTGCGAAGCCGAGGCGGGTCGCTAGTAAAATATAATTATTTTTTTACCCTTGACACACATACTTTATGACATGAAAACCCGGAAAGCAAATTAAATTTACAAGATTTATTCTACAGAAGTGGGCGCAGTTTATAAAATTTGAAAAAAATATGATATGGTAAAAGAAATTAAAGCGGAGAAAGACTTTTTCATTTAAAGAAAATACAGAACTAACACTTTTCATTTAGTGCTAATTGGGGTCAACTTAAAAAAATGCATAATGGTACGAAAGCCCCATTGAACTTGTTTAGAAAAAAACTAGTGTGCACCTAACCTTTTGGATGCGCAGGCCAATTTCAGTCTAAAATCGACTTTAGAAAAAAAAATAGTGTGCTATTCTCTGCACGTAAAGTGAAACATTAAGATTTGTAAAAGACGACGATAGTTTTTCGCCGCTGTGTGATTTTTTTCTTATAGCAATGGCGACATGTATCGTTCGAATTATCGTTGTAAAACGATATTCATCAATACTTGGCTCATCAATAGATGAGTCAAGCATTGCTTAAAATGAGAAGAAAAAAACCGGCCAAGTGCGACTGACTCGCGCACGAAGGCGTACCATTATCTATAAAAACGGCAAAAAATCATATCTGTTGTATAGGAGTCCCCCTTAAATAGAATAACTATTCTTTTCTGTTTTTAGTTATTGTGGCTATTTGTTTTTATAGTGGCAACAGAAATACATCACCTATGAAAATTTCAACTGTAGACAGTTAGAACTGTCAGGGTTCATGAGATACAGCCTGGTGTCAGACGGACAGACAAACGAACAGACAGACAGAGGATTGTTAGTAATAGGGTCCCGATTTACCTTTTGGGTACGGAACCCGAAAAATCAATTTAGATTAAAGACGTTGAGAATTTCATCGGTGTTGTAAACAGCTGTTTAACTAATTAGCAACCAGAAGACAAGGGTTCGATTCCCATGCAGCGGCAAAAGGCTTTTTCTACAAATTTTAACACGCTTAGATTGGGCATGCATTGGGCTAAATTGATAGTGATTGAGGTCCTCGAAACGACCCCACCCCCAAACCGTTGATCCTCTCCTGATGTTACACAATATCTAACTAAAATTTATATCGCCTGTTTAGATTAGTTTCTAGATAGATAACTTAAACAAACAATGCAGTGGTCTAGTGGCTGTAACGATGAATTTGCAAAAGTGAGATGCCGGGTTAGAATACAATTGGCGTTGAATTTATTTTTCTTTTAAGGACAGTGTTTATTTTGACTTTAACATTAACTACATAAAGCGACGACAAACTTTTCGTGCATTTTTTCTACCAGTTTTAATTTATTACATAGTTAAAACTAAGGATCTAAGACATTTATTCATATGCTAACTACATCAGGTTAATAATAAAGCAACAACCATTTAGTGTTTATTTAGTTACAGTTAGTGTTTAATTTAATGTTCAGTATATGTCATATTGTAAACACTACTCTATAAAATTAGCGTAGTGCATAATAGACATCACCATCGTTCAAGCATTTCTGATTGCGCTTTTGACAATATAGCAAACGATTGTTCATCGATGTTGATGATTCTTTAGTTCGATGCCCTTTAACCCCAAATATTGTTATATGAATAAAGTAACAATTCAAACATACATTATGTCCAAGTGCTAAGCAAAGATCTCATTTGTTCAAGGCCAGCAGGAAATAAGGAAACTGGGTCATGCTCCTCTACTGGAGGACTTCATTTATAATTTATCTATTTTATTTATTTATTCTTTATTGCAATTGCCTTTATATTTGTGTATTGATATCATATAATACTTATTACTATAGTATACTATACACAATACACGTATATATGCATATACGTGTATTATGATTATTATATGTACACCATTAACTACCATTTGTGACCAATTTCCAGTCATAGGTCTGCGGGAAGAGCTTTATTGAGAACGATATGCAGGGCCTTTGTACAAAACTTTTCCTGTAATTACATTTCTTTTTATATAACTTTATGTGAACCGCGTGCTCGTTTGCCGCTTTCTCACATAAAAAAATACTCTGTGCACATAAATTATAACTAAATACTAATTAATTTAAAAAGGATTGCAAAGGCCGAACTTCACTCAGCCCGGAGCGATTAATACATTAATTATTTTTATGTATTGACAATACACAATACTTAGATACATGTAAATATATAATTAGTATTTAAACGCAATCATATATTTAAATTTATACTCAAACATAGAAAATATATAATTATTTAAGTATAAATCACGGATCAAGCGTTTCAACGATGAGGACATCATCAAATGTAGTACCGTAGGCTTAGCAGGAGTTAGCCTACGGTCCTATATTTGTTATCAGGCAAGAAATTCAAATGGTGGCGCAGCCTGAACTGTGGAACTACCGAAGAGACTTGTATAATGAGAAGGAACAGTAATCTTAAAAGATGAACAACGCAGCACTCTTTCATTGTCCAGCGAAAGGTAACTTTTTAAATTTAGACTTTTTTCTTCTTCGTTCTTCAGGTCTTTTCACGAGCGTGAGTCACTGTGCGTCACACCTAACGGTGCTCATCGGCCGATGTTTGTTCCAGACCTGTTTGATTTCTGTACGTTCCAAACACTTCTATTTCACGGAACAATGACTTTGTGCATCGGGAGCAAATAGATATCGAGTAGTAGGGAACGCGTGACGCATAAATCATCTTGTTTATGGAAAAAATGCTGTCGGCCTTTCAGGAAAAAATGCTCCTTGAAGGTTCCCATTTCGTAACAGTTCGGAAAGACCACCGGCGGCAGCTGGTTCAACAGAGGCAGGATTGTTATGATCTATTTGTGATTGTGGCCGTTTTTCATCATCAGGATCACACCCTCGACGGTGATGATGGAAGCGCGGCAGGCGGCACTCGCCCATTTCACGCAGCGCCACACCGCCCTCGAGTCTTTCCACGTGTGAGAGTACCGGTTGTACCGGAAGTTGCCCATCATTATCACCGGCTTGCCGTACCGCGAGGTCGTGAACACGGGCTCTGGGAAAGATGTGGCGTGAACAGTGAAAGGGTACCACAACAACTGAGCCTACATGACCGTATTCCTTAACACTTTACGTTTTAATCTGCAAAGGTACCTACATAATGCAATGAATTAAATTGAAGTAATACCCATAAATATTCGAATAATAAACTTAAAAGATATTTCCTAGAAAGGGTATCAATGACATAAGTCATATAATAAAAATCCATGAAAAAGCATATCTGTAAGTGGTTTCCAATGTCTCATTTTATTTACAATTTATAATTACAATAAATTTAATATGTATTCTTCTAATAAACTTATGTAATCAATTTAAAAAAATAAATTATTAAAGAAAAAATCCATGAAAATTCATGCTTTATAAATAAATACCTAGTTGCAGTATAACAAGAAAAATTAAATTTTCTTCGAAATGAAACAAATATTTTTGCATTTTATAGAACAGGTACAAGGTTACTAAAATGTATATTTCTTAAGTCATATATAAAAATATTCTGTATGCGCTGAGGAGATCAATGTCTACACGAAAGGGTTATGAGCTCATGGTCTTGCCCAACTTATAACAAAATATTTTAACCAAACTCTAACACTATCGAATAAACAAAAATATAGTGGTTTTAATTAAATTTCTCATTATTTAATACGAAAATTTAAAATGACGAAAATGTGTTAGTTCTTATTGAAAGTACAATCAATATCAGATAATTTAAAATTGTTTCAGATAATTTTAAAAATATCGCTTTTAAATAATCGCTTAAAATTAATTCGAAGTTACGTATGATTATGATGAGTGCTCGCAAAGAGTAGTTTCTCGTTGTAAGTGGTAATTTTGGCCTTGCAGCCCGTGGTGGTTCTTTTGCAGCAGCACCACTGCAACTTGGGGCCCAAACTGGAGCCCCGCTTGTTGTACCTGTGACCACCGTATTGAATAACGGGTCTACCGAACTTTGACCAGGCGAACTCGACTGAAAGAAGACAGGCGATTACAGTTTTGGTAAAAAAATTATTTAATCTTATTACGTTCTATCCGCGGAACCGACCTCACAGAAGACCAGCGTCTAGTGGAAGTGTTATACTTCTGCGTTTCGTCTGGTGAATGACCACGCTGGCTGGCAACCACGTGGCTCCCAAGCCGCGGCCTACTCTACTTAAAGTTGGCTACGCATCTGTGAACCTACAGGTGTTGCAAATGTCCATTGGCGGCGGTTATCACTTAATATCAGGTGAACCGCCACACCGGCTCGATTGCCACCTTCTCCCATAAAAAAAAATTCACAATACCGCCTCAAACATATATAATTCTATCGTATTTAGCTATCATTATCAATGAGGCTTATGCTTGTTATTTCATCAAAGTCGCAAACGAGCATTCGGATTGCGTAATATTAAATGTCTACACTCGCACATCTCTGATACGCGTGGTGTTGCAGTTGCATTACAATTAAGAGGCCTCCTTTCTCCTTTACTTGAAGCCGATACGTTAAGGTTATTTGAAGGACGCTAAAAACAATATGCTATCAAAAATAGTTTATTTCGAAATAGATTGATGGCTATATAATTCCATTTGACGAATACACACCAATTAGTGATTGTGGCTGTTAGCAATCTTAACGAGACAGTTGTCAATGGTGGTGACGGAGGCGCGGCAGCCAGCGCTCCATTTGCAGCAAAGCCACTGGGCCCTGGGTCCTTTGCAACGACTGTGGCGGTTGTACCGGTAAGCACCAATCAGGATCACCGGCTTGCCGAATTTGGACAGCGTGTACACTGGGACTAAAACAATTGTTCCGCGATCACTAATTTAGAATTGTTACGAAACGAAGGATGACAATTTCCGGGATTCCAAAGGATTTATTAAATAATATAATATATGATGGTAATAACAATGAAACTAATGTTACTGATTCATAGATTTTACTATTTAAACATTTGAACAAGCTCAAATAAATAAAACATATAAAGCAATCGTGGATAAAATTACGAAGATTTCAAAAAATTGTTAGTTCATAATGATAAAGTTCAAGAAACGTTAATCTGCCACACTGTGACCAAATAGCATTAAAGTACCATGATTTGCGTACAAGTACGTAATAGCCAGTGAAATTAAAAATAAAATAAAATATATTTTTTTTAATTTAGTCAGTGAAATTATTACTTTATTTGGCATTCGCCTTTCGATAGAAACAGATTAGAATTGCTTTTTCTTCGATTAGACATTTAATTTAAATAGACTACAAATTATATTAACAATGATAGAGAATCTTTGTCAATGTTATTTGTAAAAAACAAAAAAGAGAGTAAAACGCAAAAAAAGAGTTGTAACCGAGGAACCGTTGTCATCTATTTAAACTGACAATTTGGTCCTCAATTTTTTAATTTAAATTTTCCGTGTTCCAGAAACTGTCCAAGCTTATTCTGGTGTCTTATATTATTTTTAATAAATCCATATGTATCCCACAGCCACACAAATATATCCTCAGGACGGTAGGAATTGGCAGACTTCACATATCTTTGAATAAATTCTTTTAGTTGCAATCCAATCTGAACTGCGAATAAATCTATAAATAAAAACCTGACAATAGAGTGTCTCGTCATATCTTAGGCTTTGGCATCAGAAAATGAAATCAAAACACAAGTATTAAAGCTTACTCAGAAAAATGTTATCATTATGAGCGTAAGGGCATCGGTAGAACATGGAATATAAAATTCCCGGTGCAACTAAAATTTTAATGACATAAACGATATGGATTATAAAGTGATTACTAAATTTCTACGGCGGTGGGGCCAAGCAGGAGCCTGTTGCACGAATGGGCAGGCCCGTCCGGGTAAGTAACACGACCAACGTAAAGTGGAACTATGACAAATACTTTCGCGTTTCGTCTAGTGAGTGAGGTAACCGGAGCCCAATTTACATAAGGTTGTCAACGCATCTGTAACCCTCGGGTGCAGCAGATGTCCATGGGCGGCGGTATTCACTTACCATCAGGTGAACCTTCTGCTCGTTTGGTAACTTTTCACGTAAAATAAATGTAGATCTAATCTTAATCTTCGAAACAACTGAACCGATTTCAACCTATATCTCCATTTTTGAAAAATTTAAACTCGCAATCCGCAAGCAGAGGCTCGTTTAATATTATTTCAAAAACATAGTTTCAATAAATTTCAGTTGAAATAACTATTGGTAGATACCAAAAAATAACAAAAAATAAAAAAAATACTTTATACAAATCAAATATGAAGCGTCAAAAGGAGGCAGTTCGGCTCCCTTGAACCATAGCGTTAACATCGTTGATTTGATATAAAACGATGATACTTCAGCCATTTAAAAGGATGTCTCTCTTAGACTAGAGAATTCGCAAGTTGGCAAAAAACCCTCAAAGTCGGCCATTCGCTTGAATTGAATCTTAAAGATGTATAAATCACACATGATTATGGGGCTTCATGTATACGAAGTTCCCCTCCACTGTGGTCATGCTACTTCGACACGAAGCGGACCTCCATTTGGAGCATCTCCACACCTTCTTTGATCCGTAGACCTTGTGCAAGTTAAATCTGAAATGGTCCTTAATAACGACGGGCTTCCCAAATCTCGAAGTCCCGTAAGTAATGTCTGAAATGTCGATAATGAAGGAAAAATTAATTTCATTTATTCCATGACTTAAAAAATACTACTATCGGGTACTGATAAAGTTAAACAAGAAAGATTATGTTAATATTCAATTACTTATTCTTTTCAATTATAAACCTAATAATGGGAATAAAATTAATGAAATTTTTTTTCTTTAGTACAATAAATATTTACTAGATTTTATTTAGATCACATCAAGTTTTTTTATTTATAATATTAAACATAAATATCAAATATATTAACAATGTATGAAACACAACATAGTCTGTGTTTTAAAGTCAATTAGTCAATGAAAGATTGTAGCATTATACATACACTCGCATTGACTATTCGCTAAGGTGAATTTCAAACTAACTTAAAAAATTAATTCAGGTTGACAGCAATCAAGCTCCGAACAAATCGCTACTTACTCTTTTTGGGAAAATAGAACTTAACATTATCGTCCTTCTACATAATTGAAAGTGTAACTTTTGTACGTGTACATAAAAATATTCATCTGTTTTTCAAAAAATTTGCACGCACTAAACTACTAAGCGGATTATGGTGAATGAACAAAAAAATCTTTCTTTAATACGCTTATTGAAATGTATACCGTAATAAATGATAGCCAAACGCTAACTATAAGAAAGTCGAATTGAAAAGGTTTATTATTCCGCTGATCAAGATAATGTGATAATAATTCTTACTTTGTAGTTGCAAGTACCCTGGCTGTTGATTGTGAACATATTGTAATAAATATATATTTTGCAACGGATTTTTGGTCGGTTTCTCTCTGGACAAGTTTTCGAAACGGCGGTAGATTTCGTGTTGAGGTCTCAAAGAAAGTCATAATTGACTAAAAGAAAATGATTTTGTCTTTGAATTTGCATTAATCGGAACATTAGCGCACTTCTAACTAAAACTTATACATTTCATGTTATGCAGATTCGAGTTCCAGACAATTGATTTCCGATAAAACTCATATCGTTGCAACAACATAGTTTTAATAAATTTCAGTTGAAAAAACTATTGGCAGAAACCAAAAAATAAGAAAACAAGAAGCGTCAAAAACAGGTATTTCTGGTTCCTTGAAACGTAGCGTTAACATCGTTGTTTTGATATAAAACGATGATACTTCAGCCATTTTTAAAGTTTGTCTCTCTTAGACCAGATAATTAGCAAGTTGACAAAAAACCTCAAAGTCGGCCATTCGATTAAATTTATGTTGGCGCTGACAACACTGTTTACCGGATATGACGTTTCTACTCGAGCTAAGGGACACATGGTAGCATGGAGCGGTGGTCACTTGGATTTCGACTGCGTTCCTGGACGGTGATATAACCACTATTGCTGCTTGTCGTTATAATAGTTGTTAATATTCAAGTTCAGTAATAGTTAAATTATTAGGATCAAGGTAACAACGTTAGAACCCTTATATTTAATCTTAAAGATGTATAAATCAGATATGACTATGGGGCTTCATGTATATAAAGTTCCCCCTAAATGTCGTCATGCTACTTCGACACGAAGCGGACCTCCATTTGGAGCATCTCCACACCTTCCTTGATCCGTAGACCTTGTGCAAGTTAAATCTGAAATGGCCCTTGATAACGACGGGGTTCCCAAATCTCGAAGTCCCGTAAATAATATCTGAAATGTCGATAATGAAAGAAAAATTAAAATTTACTTTTCCTTCCTCGAGTATTATTTGTACAATAATCTGATTTGAGCCCTTCTTAATCAGAAGTATTAAAATACATCACCTAAAATATTGTTTAATTAATATTGTTAAAATTGTCACATAAAAATACTTCTACCGTGTATTAACAAAGTTAAAAAAGCACAATTATATAAATATTCAATTATTTATTCTTTTCAATTAAATCTCATAATGGGAATAAAATTAATGAAAACAATTTCCTGTAATATAATATTTAATAGATTTTATTTAGAACACATTTTAATAACACATGTTACTTTTAATATTATGTTAAACCTAAACATCAAATATATTAACTATGTACGAAACACAACATAATTTGTGTTACAAAATCAATTAATTAATCAAAGATTGTAACATTATACATTCATATAGTATACAAATTGACTAGTCGCTAAGTTCAATACGAAACTTTTACTCAAAAATTAACATAAAAATTAATTCAGGTCGTCTGCAATCAAGCTCCGAACAAATCGCCACTTACTCTTTTTGGAAAAACAGAACGTATCATTACCATTCCTCTACATAATTGAGAGTGTAATTTTTTTATGTGCATAAAAACATCCATCCATTTTTCTAGAAGATTTATTTTTTATTATGTTAAAAAGGTTTATTTATTTCTTTATTTCAAAAAATACACAGGGAGGCTTTATTAAAGGTGCCCAAATTTACACAGGAGGCTCAGTCGGTAGTATGATCGTTTATTGAAACAAAAACCAACTTTTTTTTTTAATTATTATTCTATTCCCTAAAAAACAGAACGTCATTCATAAATACCTAAATTTTACTGTTCACACACACAAACGAACTTTTGTGCGTGTTAGTTATGAATGATCGCGCGTAAAATAAATGAGTTGCGTAAAAATCACGCACTTTTTGAGATAAGTTCAAATGAATGTAATTAATTACTTACGAGTGATTTAAAATATTTATCATTTTTTATATAATATATGTCTAGAATTTAATTTAAATAAATGGATACATTTAGAAAAGCCTCCCTGTATTAGGAATTTCTAAAAGGCTATGGCGACAACTCTCGTTCGAATTATCGTTGTAAAATGATATTCGAAATTGTTTGTATGATATAGGAAAGGATGTAACAATGGATGCGCCAAGCATTGCTTCAAATGCTCAAAAACAATGTAGATAAGAGACGTTAAGATTTTCGTCAGTGTGACAATCAGCCGTTTAGCTTAGTGGCTGAAGCGTCAGGCCGCGACTACCGAATTTTAGAGTGGTAGGGTAGGGCCACGCAGCAGCCTGTTGTAGGAATGGACAGGCTCGTCGGGATAACCACGAACTCACAGAAGACCGGCGTAAAGTGGAAGCATAATACTTTCGCGTTTCGTCTGGTGAGTGAGGTGGCCGAAGCCCAATTTTTAAAAGGTTGTCAACGCATCTGAAACTCTCGGGTGTAGCAGATGTCCATGGGCGGCGGTATTCACTTAACATCAGGTGAACCGTCTGCTCGCTTGGCAACTTTTCACATTAAAAAAAATTTTTTTCGTGCTTTTTCTACATATTTTAATATCAAATCAGGAAATTAAAACGAAAATTCCCTAAGTTGAAATTTAGCGCAAAATATGTACACCATAAACACAAAAAAAAATAATAGAGTAATAAAGCGACTGTTCAGTCTATAAGAGCTTACATCCAAATCGTGCAAGTGTAGTCTATATTGAGTTTGAGACATTTAATGCCAATTCATTTCTTATCATAACGATCAAAGTAAGCATGGCAATAGCAATGTTGAATCAATGGTTATGGTTATTTCTTATCGTAACAATTCTATCGTCCATCGTGGTGAGTGTGGTTCTGCAGTTATTTGATGACCACTTGATGCATCGCCATCGGATCTTTGGCCCCTTGCAGCTGCCGTTCTGGAAAAACCGATGCCCGCCCATCTCGATTACGGGTTTACCCGACCGCGATGTTTTGTATTGTAAAGTTGAGCCTAAAAAAAATACAAAAAATATTAAAAACTGTCATAATTTTAACATACAGAGAGTTCAGAGAACAAAGTCGCATTTTATTTAGTTTCAACTTTTACTAGTAATTGCGTTTTTACCCGACTGCGCCAGAAGGAGGGTCATGTTTTCGAGAGTATGCATGTATGTATGTATAATTGTTTGCCACGCTCAGCAGCCTGGACGGCTTGATGGATTTTAGTTTGAAAGTTATTGTTAGATTCGTAATTACTGTGAGTGACACTGGGTATATCAAAATAAAAAATTACACAGAAACGCAATCTGGTTTTTTACTTTTTTAAATTATATTATACTTGTTTAGAGACGTGCCTTGGTGACAAGCCTTGATAAAAAGATAAAAGCGTAAAAAAAATAATGTTACATAATAAAATAAAATCTACTTTATCTCGTTTACCTCTTATCCATTTATTAGTCTATTAAATTCTATTATTTAGATAAAAAGACTAGCTTTTTTGATAGAGAGATAGCAAAGAGAATCTATCTATCACTGCAGAGAGAATCTACATCAAACTTGTACGGAAATAATTTATTTTCAATAATAATTATAGTAAACATTGTCTTCCATAAAAAAGGTCAATTGTAAATAAACTCTTTTTACTAGCTTATAATGTATGAGTACATATGGTTTTTGTATTGAGTAAAATCTTTACGTGATTGTGGGGTGGGTCGATTTGATTACTCGAGAGTTTATTTAAAGTGTGGATTATCCATTTTGCTCAAGAAAAAGCAGCTATACCAAAAATATGTTTTAATGTATTTTTTTTATTTTTATATTTTTTTAACTACATTCTTCTCACATTGCACATTTGCATTTTAAATACAATTTAATTTTTTTTTATGTGAAAGTTGCCAAACGAGCAGACGGTTCACCTGATGTTAAGTGAATACCGCCGCCCATGGACATCTGCCACACCCGAGGGTTACAGATGCGTTGAAAACCATTTGAGAATTGGGCTCCGGCTACCTCACTAACCAGACGAAACAAGAAAGTATTTGTCATACTTCTAGTTTACGCCGGTCTTCTGTGAGGTCGTGGTACTTACCCGGACGAGCCTGCCCATTCAACCACCGAGGCTGCTGCTTGGCTGTACCACCGTTAGTGGTGCAGTGGCAGTGCTTTCTGTTTACTCAGTAAATGTCAAGATAAACGGAAGCGTAGATAGCCAGCTAGGTTAAAGTAAACACCCTTCCTATAAGATAATTATGATGAGAACTGCCTTTGTTAAGGCAGTTCTCATCATCCCCTTAATACTTCAACGGTCGTGGTCCTTACCAAATGTCGGTAGGCTGAAGGTGACATTTCTCCCTATAAGATTTCTCGCAGCTCTACCCAACGAGGAAGACCGCTTGTTTGCTTGTGGGATCGGGCTATCTCACGAGTTTCTGTTCGATTAAGCTTTCATGGTCTACGCACTCAAAGAAAAACACTAATGAAAGTGAAGCACGAGTAGGTGGAATAACGAATGCAAAATCATAAAGGCGTCATCATACTCGTATCAATCGTCGTCGTTCTACTAGACGATCGGGGGCGCCTAGTTGTCCAAGAATAAACGAAGAAGGATGAATATAAATCGTGTGACACACTGTGGTAGGGCGACGCAACAGACTTCGCTGTTGCACGAATGGGCAAAGCACCACGACCTCATAGAAGATCGGCATTAAGGGGAAGCGTTATAGCGTTATACCTCTGAGTTTCAACTGGTGAATGAGACAACGCATTTGCAATACTACGGGTGTTGCAAATATCCATGGGTGGTGGTTATAATTCTGAACATCGCAAACTTACAATAAAAAACCTTCATTGAGGGCCAAGAAGGTAAATACATATTTCAAGGTTTTTCTACATATTTTAAGGTAAATACCATTTTGCCACATTATCCCAAATATGACAAGTACTCACGAGTCACCGAACTATTGGACTTTACATACAATCAGAAGCTATCCCGGCGCGAAGTACTGCCCACATTTTGCAAGACGCCAAATTTTTTACGTTACTTTGACTTTAGTATCATTCAATCGAGGTTTGAAAAAAGTTGAGGTTTGGGGAAATCACTGCTTCCAGTAACTGAAGGTACGCGATTTTTACTTCATTTATGTCTCTAAAAAAAAGACGTTTCTAAAATTTTGCTTTAATCATTACGTGGCATGAATAAAAATTTTAAAAACAAGAAAATAAAGCATGAATTACTGATGTGTAAGTTATTTTTTTTTTGTAACTACTGTGTAATTTATGTGATTTCTTTTTGTACTTATGTGTAATTTATTTGAATTTATTTGAACCCCTTGACGACAGCGATCTTGAAGTAGGCTACCAACGTTTTATAGCATGTAACCTGATTAGAAAAAAGCAACCATTATTCGGTTATTAGCAGCTTTTTGTACACCCCAAAACGTAGGAACAGGTAAACCGACTCCTGTCCTTTCATTTCAGAGAGACCTATGTTTTTTTTTGCATTTTCATAAACAAAACTGACAAACCAACAGACGAAACGGACATTCCTGAAATAAGGAGAACATTTTTTTTAAGGATTTAGAATAACTTATATGTGAAGACAGTCCGTTACGACTGTTAGTGGTTATGGGAGTTGTTAAATTTAACGATTATATCGCCAAGCGAAGTAACGGCCGCTCGGCAACCCGAGCTCCATTTGCTGCAAACCCAGAGGCACTTCGGGCTTTCCTTCTTGTTACTGCTGTGCTGGTAGAAACGAAACTTTCCCATTTCAAGGATCGGTTTCCCCTGTCTTGACTTGGTGAGCCTTACTTCTATAAGAGGCAAAAAGGTGAACTTATTAATTTTTAATCCGTTTTCTTCCGTCTTTACACATCAAGGATTGGTATTAAACCGGTGGTTAAAATCTGACTTATATGATACGAAAGCTTGACATTTTCCCTTGCTCTCGAAACGTTAAGAATATAAAGTTACATAATATACGATAAACCATCCAAAGTATCCTACTCTCTAAATGTATCCTTTTTTTCAATTCTAGGTCAATTTGTAAGAAAAAAGAAATCAATGAACACATAAGAAGCAAAAATATCATCTGAAAGCAATCCTTCTTTATTGCGATGTGTATCGTTTTTTCAATGGTTATGTTCGTTCTTTATCTTGATGATTATATCTTCGAGTGTAGTGACCGTGGACCTGCAGCCATTCGAAGTCCACTTTATGCAATGCCACTGGAACTTTGGCCCCTTACATCGGCTGTGGCGATAGTACCGGTACCGGCCCAACTGGATAACAGGTTTCCCTTTTCGGGATGTTTTGTATTCAAAAGTTAAACCTGAAAGTAAATATAACAGTATGATTATAACGAACAATCGACACGGACAACAGTTTTGCCCACCGCGTTGGAATTAAAAAACGGCTGTATATGATTTATTGATTCCGTAAACGTTTCTATCATACCGCATTTGATATCGACACCAAAACAGAAATTATATATTAAACAAAATTAAATAAATAACAACAGAACCCACATGAATCATTTTTATGCAATTATTGTGTTATTTTCCAATTCTCAGATTTAACTTTTAAAATAGTAGCGCAATCCACTCTGTAGGACGCGATTATAGGATCTGACACGAAAGATCGAATTATCTCTTTCTAAATAGAACATTTTATAAGTTTTTCCGTTCCTTTCTTGTCCTACTTTCGTTTTAAAAAAAAAGAGGTTAATAAAATAAAGCTCAAAAAAGTCTTAACAAATAAAACTCTTCGCTTAAAGTTCAGTGTAATTTCCAATCTAGACCGTAGGCTTAATATGAGTGATGCAATTGATATGAGCTCAATAGCATAAAAGGGATTAATATTAATGATGCAGTTGAAAACTCAATCTCATGAAAAACCATTTGCATAAACAGACAATTACTTTTATTGTAAGAAAATTGGTATTTACGTACATTGCCTTAAACACTACAATGAATTTATAATACGTATTGGCCCGCATATTTTCAAAACCTCATCACATAAGAACATACCCACATCATATAGTGAGTTAGTAACAGATAAAATATTAAGTAAAGTTACGAATATGAAAATAAATAATAAATAGAAGCATGTACTTAAAATATTCTGTATTAAAATTCGATAGATTACATGAAATCGATCAGAATATTCAACACAGATTGTGTAAGCTAAAAATTGTCCATTCAAGGTACCGTTAGTACTTGTAACCATGACTAATTTGTTTTAGTCATGGTTATGACTATTTCTGATACAATCAATAACGTTCTCTATCGTTACAACCGAGCAACGGCAGCTGCCCCACCTCCACTTGGAACATCTCCAGTAAGATTTCACATTAGTCGTGCTGTGCAAGTGGTACTTGTTGTTTCCAAGAAGCATCAACGGCTTCCCGGAGTTTGCGGTTGTGAACAGGGGGCCTGTAAAGACGCGGAAATGGAATGACTGTTGGAATTTACCAATCGTTTTGCCCTACAACGAACACAGCGTCAATTTTAAACCTTTTATCAGAAGCATTCAATTCGTTTAAAATTCACGTGTTCGTGAAGTTCTACATCAATACAAATTTCCAGATGCATTACTTTTTATAAAGTTAAAATAAAAAACAAGTTAAAATTAACCATCAATGTGTATAATACAAATTCAAAATCTGTTATCATTGTATTTGAGTTTTTGTGGTTTTTTCATTTACATATTAATAGTGATTGTGTTGATTCTTGAAATAAACCATTTGACCATTAACGGTCTTTATGGAAGCCCTGCATCCATAACCCCATTTTACGCAGACGAAGAATCCTCTATCACCCTTAGAGTTGCTGTGCTGGTTAAAACGGAATCCGTTGAATATTATGACAGGTTTTCCGTACTTCGATGTAGAAAATATTGGACAGCCTGAAATCGACAAAACTTTAGATACACTCCATAGACACAGTGGAAATTCATAAACATGTTATTTATTATGTCACAACTACGACCCATAAACTGTTACTGGAAACACAGCTATTGACTGAATCGACTATTATTATATATCAACACCATACGTAGCAAATCGTTCAAACCTTTTATTGTACCTTGGTTCGTCGTTTCCCTTATACACTAGGTTGATAACTAGGCTTTGGCGGATCAGCCCTGTAGTCCCGGGCTTATAGAATAGGGCTAAGGTATCCCCTGCCTGTCGTAAAAGGTGACTAAAAGGGGACACGGATGGGCAGCAGCACGAAGTGGTCTCGTGTTGCTGTAAGAGGGTGAGGGTATTGGAGAAGGTTTATCCTTCTCCGAGGCGTGCTCAGGCGTAATACCGAGGGACACCGGTGCGTTCCATGGGAGATCCCGGAGTCCCTCCAAATGTACAGAAGGTGGCCACCGAGGGGGTTTTAGTGGGTAAAAACCCCACATAACCCTGTCATGTCAAGTGAAAGGGTATCTTTTGAAGATTTCCCCTCCGATATCAAAAAAAAAAAAAGGCTTTGGCGGATATCAAGCAAAATATGGGGACATTTGAAATGCTACTACACAAACAACGCAGTTACCATTTCCGCGCACAGAACTTAAATGACTTTAAACTGATGGCGAACATAATAACAAGAATTTGGAAAGCAGTTGAGCTCTGTCATGTAAGAGTGTAAATAATTAAAATATTAGTAATTCTGAAGGTGAGTTAAATAAAAAAGAAACGATTGAACATATTTTGCTCTTAGGGTTTATAAATCGAGACAACACCATTTTCGCGGTCCCTATGACCACTTTACATATTCCTTTTAACTGAAAGCAAAAACGTCATCTAAAGGTAAACTTATATAATCTTATTAATAATTATATGCAAATGTACGCAATTTATTCGTTTAACTCAGTTCGAGGCAACAGGAGGAATCAAGAGTGATTGTGGTTGGTCCTGATGGGAATAACTTCGTCCCCATACATCCTTATGCAGGCTCTGCAGCCCGAGGGCCATTTCCCGCAGACGAAAAGTCGCTTCAAGCCTCTCGAAGAACTGTGCTGGTTAAAATGAAAACCACCACATATGATCATCGGTTTCCCGAATCTCGACGTAGTTAGGACGTGGCCTGCAACGAAATATTCATTAAGTATATAAGTAAAATTATGCGAACATCTTAGATTCTTTTTGCACAGTACCTTTTTGGATGTGATGTAATATATTTTTAGGCGACATACCTTTTTGTGTCCAAGCAATAGACAGCCGCTGCAAACTTTATATAAGATTCGAGTCACCACAAACCTTCGCAAAAACAACTGACTTCTTAGTTCAACAGAGAAAATGGTTGTATATACCATCAGCTTGGGTTCCAATAATTCAGTTTAATTATATCCTACCCTTTAAGATTTCAAGATATTGTTGCTTGTATCACGTAAATTGGACAAAATAAATTATTAAGGTGACGGTAGCTTGAACAAGCTATGACATTAGGGTGTAAGACACCTCAGTCTATCTATGGGCTTTGTAAAATGTTCGAAACTGGTCTGGAATAAAAATAAAAATAAAAAGGAAAAAAAATCGGTAACTAGATTTATTTTTTAAGAAAATGTACGGATTGGTACGGATAATTTTTTTGAAATGCAACTTAGCAATGAAATTTGTCATACTTTATTTTACCAAAAATTTACCATACAGTAATTCGGTATATAAGGTCAAAACAGTAATACAATAACAATTACTTATATTTACACAAATACTGACATTGTTAAATCGAAACTATTTAAATGGATTCAGTTTAATCATAATCTAGCGTCCCAACTTTGTAAAATTGAATGTTTAAACTCCCGCAGTTGCTATGTTATTGGTTTTTTCACCACGGTTATTGGGTTAGTTTGCGGACTAGTATTTGAGTGGTAATGGGAGACCTATGTACAGCAGTAGACTTAAACAGGGTGAAATAGTGGTGATGATGATTTGTGTGAATTAAAAGATTCCTCTCAATCTAAAAATAAATTTATTAGAGCAGTAACAGCTCATTGTCCGGGCGCACGCTTTTAATTCAATACATTCGAGCAACCCGAGTTCGATCCCCGGTGATGGCACCGATGAAATTGTTAATTTTAATTTCTGAATTAACACATGCTCAGCGATTAAGGAAACCTGAAAACATCGTGAGGAAACCTGCATATTTTCGAAATAACAACGAAAACAGGTTTCGAAGATATATCAAGTCCGCCAAGTCCGAATTCGGGCCGCGTGGTGGACTATACCCTAGGGCACAAAGGTGGCCTTTCCCCAGCAGCGGTACTGATACAGGCTGTTACTTCACTTTTTTAAAAGTAAATTTGTGGAACATTACGAAAAACTTAACTTATTTTACATACGACAACAATTCAACAACGACCACACTCCGAAAAGCCTTAAACAATTGCGTCATATTTACATACGACAACAAATGAACAACGACCACACTCCGAAAAGCCTTCAACAATTGCGTAATAATAATACGACCGTAAATAATCGAAATTGACACAGAAGGCAGTACACAACACGCTATGGTTCATTCTGAGGATATTAAAATATAGGAAAGTCCAAATTTCAATGGCTTATCGGCAAAAAATATTAATGAACAAGAAAGTATAATATATACCAAGTATTCAATTATTAATAAGGTACCAAGAATTTCAATTCGTTAGAAGGATTCAGTAATTTAAACATTTTAAATAATCTATTTCTGCTTCTTTAACTTTACAGTTTGGTTTACAATTTTATTATATTTTTCTATTTTAGCCATAGAAGCGATAAACGCGATACAATCCATAAAAATGTTTTATCGGTAATCAATATTTCACTCATTCTTCCTTGCTACAATTGAATGACATACAAATTCCGATGCCATTAAAATAGACCTTTTCTTTGGTCAACTTGGCAATAAACTAAGGATTCAATTTTTGCTTTAGTTCTATAAGTTTTGGGATTCCTTGTTGAATATAAAATCACAAAATTTCGACAGATTCCTGTGGAGCTTCAGACGCCATCTAGAAAAAACGATATCACAAAAAAACTATGCATATTTTAGAAAGTTAAATTTTTATAGAGCTAATCGCTGCCTGACGCTTTAGCCACTAAGCTAATAGGCTGATTGCCACACCGATGAAAATCTTAACATCTTTTATCTACATTGCTTTTTAGCATTTGAAGCAATGCTTGGCGCATCCATTGTTATATCCTTTCCAGCGTACAAACAATTTCGAATACGAGTATCGTTTCACAACGATAATTCGAACGAGAGATATCGCCATTGCTTTTTAGAAATAAAAAAAATTTATAGTGTCAATTTTTATTTGCGAATGCCGAAGACCTGGATTCGATTCCAACAGCGGCGACAATTTCTTCGAGCTTTTTCTACAAATTTTGAACAAAAAGTGCATATTAACGCATGTTTTGTTCAAAAGTCGTAGATATTACTATTGTGGGAAATAAAAATCTTCGTATCTTTTGCTTCCCGTAAACTTTTTTGTAAAACTTATCGCTTACGAGTTATGGCTCATATAATGAACAGGTTTTTCTATTTCAGCCGACTCAGTAAGTGATCATAAACCATATACAAAACAAAAATTGGATCGGTAGTTTAGTGCGAAGTTAAATTGTACTTATTTTACTGACTTACGTTGTTCACTCCATGACAACAGTTCAAAAATGATTGTGTGAATTACTGATTTTGACTATTTCACCCTCGTATGTGTATAAAGCAGTTCTGCAGCGGACCGGTGTCGCCCATTTGATGCACAGCCACCTACTTTTGAGTCCCCTCTGTTCGTTGAGACTAAACCTGTGGCCGTCGTAGTGAATTATTGGATTGCCCCGTCTTGATACAGAGAACGTCGCTACAAAATTGAAACATCAGCAGTTTAAATTCTCTATGATATGCAAGTATTGATTAGTTATATTAACTTATAACTGATTCATAAAATCCTTGAGGATTTCTTGACCTTTGAGATCAGAGAACCGAAAACGGTTTAGCACGCACGAATACAATCGCATTAAAAATGAAGCACATAAGGTCGCCGAAGTTCTAAAAAAATATTATATAATCGAATTAAATTATTATATATTCGAAAAAATTATTATTAAAATATTTTGTAATAACAAAGAATCTATGATCACAATAATTCGTGATTTTTTTTAATTTAAATAACAATCTATTAATTTTAAAAGTTTTATTCTGAATAAAAAATTTAAAATAAATAACATAGAATGCTCGAAAATAAATATTTGATTTTACTTACTAGGAAATACTTCCTTAGACTAGATTCAAAATTTACAATATGGATCTATTATAGTTTATACGACTTAATTAACATTAAACAATAACCCTTTTCAATAAACCTTATTGACCTGCGTATAATCTAGTATTTAAATCAAATACTCCCGCAGCCTTAAGGAAGACGGTAAGAAGAAACTATATTCTGTATCTCCAGGTGAAAGCGTCATCAATCAATTGGATGACAAAATGCCGAAGTTGACGATTGCAGATGTCCCATACATAGTGGTAATCGTGTGATAGCTTGGCATCGTCTCAAACCATAAATTTATTCATCTTTTCGCGAATGACATCCTCATCAGACGATCATCCGTACACTGCCACGGCTGGGCAATCAATATATAACTCAATGTGTGTGTTCATTCTTGACTTTGATGACGGAATCCTCCAAAGTTACGACGTAGGCGCGACACCGACACGCCCTCGCCCATTTGCAGCATATCCACCTCTGCCTCAAACTGTTCGGGTTGTTCAGGCTGAACTGGTACCCGCCATAGTTCAGGAGGCGATTGCCACGGCACGATATCGTATAATATACCTCTGAAATGTCATCATATGGCATCACCAATAATCACTCGTTATAAATTGCTAACGAACAATATAAAGTAGACCGAATTAGGACAAAAATCACGTTTGTACTCATAGTTTCTATTGATTTAACAGAAAGGTTTAACCAAACGCTCAAATGCTTATAAAAATACTCGACTCAGGAATATAGGCAATCAGAAAACAGATGAAGAAGGTGATGTACAATACAGTCTAGACTCTAGACCATAGTCAATATAGCGCTACGGTAACAAAAAAAAAACAAAACAAATAAATTAATGGTGGTGAAAGTTTTTAAATTGGATCATTTCATTTTCAAATGTAGTGACAGACGCGCGACAGCCGCTCGACCATTTGATACAGCGCCATTGCTTCTTCACAGAGTTCGGGTTTTTGAGGCTAAATCGGTTACCACCGTAGGTGATCATCGGTTTACCACGACGCGAGAGTGTGAACGCTAAATCTGCAATGAAATAATACATGAACATCGAATACACGTGAATTAGTGAAACTAGGAGATATCAGAAATAAATTTCTGTCACCAGTTTAATTGTAAAATAAAAGCATCAACGTTAAATATTTTTATTTACACTCAAAACAGTGGTGTTAATCCAGTACGCACCATTTAACAAAAAAAACCTTATTCATACGTATTTTTAATAAAATAACTTCAGTGGAAAGTTACATACAATATTATCTTGTATTATCGAGAATGCTCTCTAGCTATTGTCAAATTAAACTTTTACAAAGATTTCATCGCCTTCGTTGTCATCAGAATCGTATGGCTCGTTAATACGAGTTATAACATCAAAGATTGAAAGTCTTTGAACTATCGTCGAACTCGATCGAAATGAAAATGAAGCTTACGGAAAAAATCTTTTATAATAGTGAATGTATTGAAATAATTGGGTTGGCTTATTCTCACTCAATGTCCCTGATTGGGTTGGCTTGAAAAAGCTCTCTTATGACATCAGAACGTGAAACACCTCAGTGTGGAACTTAATCATTGATGTTGTAAATTGCTAATAAGACCAAATTAAGAGCGAAGCAATCCGTGCTATGGTTTAATTCAACAGTTTCTAGATTGGCTTATAATTAACGTAACTCAATGGCTATGCTCGTTGCTGTATTTGACGATGGTATCCTCCAGGGTGACGATGGCCGCCCTGCATCCTCTGGCCCATTTGCAACACACCCACCGCTTTTTCAAGCCGATACTCCCCTTGTGGAGGCTGAAGTTGTAGCCGCCTATGTGGATCATGCGATTGCCCCTTTTCGAAGTAATGAATATCGGTTGTTCTATCAAATGAAAAGTGAAACGTGCCGAGTTAATATATGAAACACCACTGCAGTTGCTTAAATCTATCTATCTATATATATATATATATAAATAAATCCCTATTTCCCTTGGTCACGCCATCACGCGTGAACGGCTGGACCGATTTCGCTAATTCTTTTTTTATAATATTCCTTGAAGTAGGAAGATTGTTCTTACGGAGAGAAAAATTTAAAAAATTGCCTGAAAAAGTCTAAAAACAACACTTTTCTATATTCCTGTAACGTATCCTGTAATGATTCGTAATAATACTTAAAAGTCAATTTGAACTTTAATACAATACCCTAAAATTTAGATGATAGTGGAGGGGTTCCGGGATGGCAAAACAAATGAGTGACTGCAGTAAAATGTCATTTGAAATGTAAACGTCGTTGCTGTGCATCACTACATATTATAAAACAAAGTCGTCCCGCTGTCTGTCTGTCCCTATGTACGCTGAGATCTTTAAAACTACGCAACCGGTCTTGATGCGGTTTTTTTTACTAAATAGAGTGATTCAAGAGTAAGTTGGAACAAATCCAGAAAGTGAAAAAAAAAATCGTTGTGGCATCTACACGAGTGACGTGTAATATGAAATTGTAGCAGACACGGTTTAGAAGTAACGTAAAGGTTTATAATTGAAGAACGGCGCCATCATTTTATGCTAATGTAACTTAGCTGACAGCAGATTGCTGTTAATACTATCGATGGGTCGTGGAAGGTTTTTTCATACACTTACGTTAACGTTGATTCATATCCGTCAACTAGTTGAGCAATTAGTTAAATTCGGCTAATTAACGTGATACGTATGTCATTTCGCATCTATGACGGATTTATTTGATGATGTGACATTTATAGTCTAAATCGTCTGAATGATTAATATTTTGCACTTTCTACAATTACAAATTAATAACAAAAATAAAAAGACTCTTAAACATCAAGTAAAATTCTGATTATATTTATGAGAAGCCGCAAAATAATCTCTGACCTTTGCATGTGCAAAAGTTGCACGCAAACTGTTCACAAATTGTCAAACAATTTAAGAAAGCAAAACTAAACATGTCGTTCGAAAAAGTAATCCAATAGTCTCGACATATTTTCTAAAAAAAAAATATGTTGTTACCAACTTTCGGGTAAGTTATTTTCAACGTAAGTTTTTTTAATTTATTCAGTTCGTTACGTTTGCGTTCAACAAATCGATTTTATTAAACGACATTATTTCCTAAACGTCGTTGACGTCGTTGTAGTATTATTTTATTATAAATTGAAATGAAAAATATTCTATGTCCTAATTTGAAACAAATCCAGTAAAATTAAAAAAAAAACTATGTTGAAATCGGTTTGAGAATCCATCGCCGAAAAACACAGTTATTAAAACATGTAGAAAAAGTACGAAAAGATTGTCGCCGCTGAGGGAATCGAACCCACGTCTTCGGCATTCGCGGCCTGACGCTCTAGCCACTGAGCTAAACGGCTGATAGCCACAGCGACGAAAATCTTAACGCCTTCTTTCTACATTGTTATTTAGCATTTGAAGCAATGCTTGGCGCATCTATTGTTATATCCTTTCCAGCATACAAACAATTTCGAATATCGTTTTACAACGATAATTCGAACGAGAGATGTCGCCATTGCTTTTATAAATTTTAAAGTTTTTTATAGTGCTAATCTCTGCACTTAAGATTGAACATTAAAACAATCTTTTCGCACTTTTTCTTCATGTTTTAATGTTCAATCTTAAGTGCAGAGATTAGCACTATAAAAAACTTTAAAACACCGTTATTGTTTTATATTTATATATTTTTAATAAGACACAAGAATCTGTAAATGAAAGAACGACATCTACATAAGAAAAAAAAAGTATTCCAGTATAGATCAATAACAATATAAATCAATACCACAACAAAAACAATATGTGAGACAAAAGCTTATGCATTAAAAGTGAAAATACTCATAAAATAATTATGGTAATGACGAAATCAGTGCGTATGGTGATTGTTGGCTTTGATGATGACGTCATCGATCGTCATTAGCGTGGCGCGGCATGCCCTGCTCTTGACCTTGACGCACGCCCAGTAGGCTTTGGGTCCCTTGCTTCGGCAATGCTTGTTATAGCGGTACCCACCTATTTGGATTACGGGGTTACCGAACCTCGATGTTGTGAATACTGCGTCTAGAAAAACGATAAATAATACGCATTTTTATATATAGAGATACAAATAAATATACGCACAACCGAATACCTTGCATTATTTTTTTTTATATAAATAGAAACTCATCCGATGGTATTGGAAACACAATTTCAAAATGAATTTTGTTTATTATAAACCTTTGACTTTGTATATTGCTTTTTGATGACTAATATTTGATAAATATTTTGTAATTTTTTTGGTGTATAGTAAAGTATATTATTACAACTACCCCACAAGTTATTCCTAACTAGGTAGGCAAAGAAGATAAACACAATAATTTGACAGAAGTATACAAAACGCAAAGTTATTTAATACATTAGCACACACATTATAATAACACATTATAATTTGCCAAAACACTTCTTACCATACCAAATTGATAAAACCTTTTAGTAAATATAAATAGGATCAAACACTAACCAATGAGAATAAAATTGTATTACAAAGTAGGTAATTAGAATGTGTAAACTGTAACATTGCTATATAGTTATATACATGTATATAGATACAAATAGTTCAATGACAAATTATACATTTACTAGCGGACCCGAGAGACGTTGTCCTGTACACACGATTTAAATTCGACAACTTATAAATAAATTAATAAAATAAATTGTAGTGGACCGTATTGTGAATCTAAACCATTCTTGACTCGATCTGAAGACACACAAAAAATTTCATTAAAATCGGTCCAGCCGTTTTTAACGTTTTTAACTCCAGGAGGAGTTCAGCGACATACATAGAAACAGAAGAATTATATATATAAAGATTGACGACATAAGTAACATTTCAAGCTAAAATGTTCCAAAAGCCATATCAATGATTATGGGGTTTCTGTTTGACGATGACATTGTCCAGGGTGATGAGTGTGGCTGGACAGCCGGAGTGCACTTTGACGCAGATCCACCTGGCGCGCGGCCCTCGGCTACCGCTCCACATGTTGAACCGGTAATTCCCAATCTGTATCACCGGTCTACCGTTCCGTGACTCCAGGAATATTGCATCTGCGACGCAAACGAAAGATAGAAAACATTTAAAGGAGACCATCGCAAAGTAAGAAAATCATTAAGAAGTTATGTTCTGATTAAAACTTCAGTTACTATGGTTTTTTCTTCTGTATATATTTTAAAAATATTTCTTTTACTTTACTAAGAATATAAGCATAAAAAAGTAGGAATAAAGCTTCATCTTCGTCTTCGTCTCCTTTCAGTGAAAATTGTGTCCATCTTAAAATAAATTATTTATTCTAGCAGCCGTTCTATTTTAGCCTTCCTCTTCAATTTGGCTTCATGATCAAAATTGAGTTGCGACATTCTAGTTGCTAAATTTGGGAGTCGCGGTTGGCTAATGATTGTGAGCTTTTTGACGTACGACAATGTTGTTGTAAGTGGTGACGGTGCCCGGACATTTGTGCGAGTTGATCTTCGCACAGACCCAACGCACTCGGGGCCCGTCATTCTCGGTCTCTTTGTTGTAACGGTTGTTCCCAAACAGAATTACAGGTTTCCCGCAACGCGAGAATGTGTACACCGGTGCTGGAACAAAATGGCACATTAAAATTAACCCTCGCTCCGTAAATGCCAAGTGATATTTTTCTACCGTTCCGCTTGGCCTGCAAAAAAATCCACGATACATTGGAGATGTCTATTCACAACCTCAATGAAAGTCCAGTACAATAGATGGAATTAGATCGCGGTCAAGAAATGTTTTCATCACATGACCGAAAACCACTATCTAATCCCTCACGCTTACCTTCGCAGTAATGTTCAAAATCGAAACAGATCGTTTTGTTGATAACCTCTCAACACAATTGATTGGCAAATAAAATAGCTGCTGCATATGTGAAGGAATATTTAATAGTGTCTGCAATGCATTTGAATACATTAAACTTTTACTAGGAGTGTTAACTGCTCACGTCCCGAATGTAAATAAGTCTTCAATGATTGTGTTCGTTGTTACAGAATATGATCTTGTTGCTGACAGTTACGAGTTTAGCCCGACATCCGTGGTGGTCCTTCACGCACACCCAGCGCGCGTGCTGCGCTTTCGACGGCGACCCCGTCTTCTTGTTGAACCTATACCCGTCCAAGAGTATCACGGGCCGGCCGTATCTTGATGTTGTGAACACGGGCTCTGCGAAATTAAGAAGCGCGCCTCCCTTAGCAACACTCTTAATCGTTATGAAATGTGGACTACGTAATGTTTTGGATTTTTTTTTCTGGTCAGTAAAACCAACGTTACAAAGTCACATTATATTTTTCCAGCAGTAGGTTCTCTGGTGCAACGGGAAAGTTAACATTCTGCTCACCAAAAGTCGGTAGCTCTTTTGAAATTTCGCCTCTTCACTTTAAATAATTTTAATTCTCAATAAGTAAAAGTACATAAAATATTTACAAATACTAACTAAATAATATCAATGAAGCTAGCATTTCCTCACAGAATGGTTATAATAAAAACTTGAGCGAGAAAGGAACCTCCTCTCTTAACACTAGCACCATAAGTCAATAATCTTAAAAGTTGAATAGTTTATTAATAATGATCAAAGTGTCATGTACTACCATTGGGAAACGGGGAGTAGATAGTTGATAATCTTGTACGTAACTTAACAGCGATAGCATCGAATATTTACCAAAAAAATTTACACCTTTTTCATAATACTGTAGGAAAAGTCAAGAATTACTAAGAATTTATTTTATTTATTTTATTTATCGCATTTTATCTACCAGTCAACCCTTAGGTGGTACCGAGATTATTTTAAAATATAAATATTTTACTAATTACACATAAATAATAATACATAATACAATACAATTAAATAAAAGTTTTACATATATAAATATATATATATGTACTATAAATATATATACATATACATAAATATATACACAATACGCATACATATTTTTATCTGACTTCATGCACATAATTTCTGCCATTCTCTTAAAAGCAAGGCGATTCTTAGCCATTCTGATTTTGGGAGGAAGCTCATTCCAAAGAAGGCGGAGTATTTTTTACTCATGATGGGGAGCTAAATAATCATAAACCATTTTGATCCCTCCATGCAAGCCCTAATATCGCCAGAAATAAGTGCTTTTGTATTCTTTTATCATTTTTTTGTTTGCCAAATCGTAAGAAAATGGTTTGAGACATCCTGTATAATATTAAAACTACTTTATATGATAATCACGTTAAAACTTGTAGTTTTTATCGCCGTTGAAACTAGTCGGTACATACGATTACACGGAAATTATAATGATGAAACTATATTTTTTTGTTTCAAATCGTAAGACAAGACATCCTGTATAATAAGCTACTTTATATGATAATTTCTTGTATTTACTCGATTACACATTATAAATGAAACTAATTTTTACGGATTTATCGCGTTTTATTTTATTTTTAATTTTAATTCCCGACGTTTCGATCCCTTTACAGCGTCATAGTGAACCCGGGCTACCGGTAGGTAGTTAGTTTCATTTATAAGCTACTTTATTCAGAAATCTTCTTCTTGTTTACGTGTCGATGAAAAGTCATATCTTTCCAACCCAGAACTTAGCCACTTCGACAGCGTTCATAAATCAATTGGGAAAATGGAAATCTAATGGCAGCGTTCATAAATCAATTGAACTAATGGTTGTGGCAGTCTTTGTATTGGATAATGGATTCGTCCAAGGTCAACAGGCGCGCTCTGCATCCTTTGTGGTCCTTTATGCAGACCCAGCTGATTTTCCGGCCTTTGCTGCCACTCCATCTCCTGAATCGATATTTGCCTATCTGGATGACGGGATTTCCAAATCGCGACGTCAAGTACACCGCATCTGGAAAATCGAAAATCGCGGTGAGAGCCACCTTATTGGAGGACCATTATTGACTGTTAACCAATAGGTATGTAGCAAGAAAATTACAAACGAACGTGTTGAGTTAAGACTTTGCTATAAAGTGTAAGAGAAATTACAGCTGTACTAACCTGCAATTAATTCATCTGTCTTCATGTTGGGTTTTTTCAATATTCTTAGGATAAGTGATATTAGGATAAATTGGCTTTCCATTTTCACAGAACTATGAAATAATAATGAAAATAACCTCTTAACTCTCTATAAACGATCCTGAATGACAACCAAGCAATTGTTTAAAGTGAAGCTAAAATGCAGGTAAATTATTTATTTTAAAGTAAAACTTAATAAACTATATAAAAGTGAATCATCAAAGCGCCTATGTAAACTTTGTTGTTAAATAAACAAAAACTTTCGGCGCTGCGGCCAATGACCTCACGCGATATCTTGACATCTATCTAAGTTCATTTTTAGCAATACTCGGCGCCATCAAGTGTGCATTCTTTACAACATACACCTTACAAATAACAATCAAATAAAAAAGGTAAAAAGCTTCTGAGCGCGAAACCAGAAGACTCAATTTCGAAGACATAAATTTTAAAGATTAAAATTAAAACATTTAAAGATTGAAAAACATCTTTAAAAATACGCTATGCATCAAGGGGGTGTGCATAACAAATTGTCAGGAAGACAAGGGCCGGTCAATGGTTGTGCTCTCGGCAAAACGAAACTATTTCGTCATTCAGCGTGATGATCGTCGCACGGCACCCGTAGCACGCCTTCACGCAGACGTAGCGTGCTCGGGGCCCTCCCCTGCCGCTGCATTTGTTGAAACGGTAAGCGCCGATCTGGATCACCGGCTTCCCGAAGCGGGACTTCGTGAACACCGGCTGCGGCTCTAAAAGTGTAACGGCACGAGTCAAAATTGAGTGTGCATACGTTCGAGGGAACTGGCTGCGGTTCTAAAAGTGTAACGGCACGAGTCAAAATTGAAATTGAGTGTTCTAAAAGTGCGGTATACTCAGTTCAAAGGTGCGGGAAAACTAGCTGCGGTTCTAAAAGTTAACGTAACAGTACAAGGTTCAAAACTAGCTGCGTATGTAAACAGTACAAGGTAAAACTAAGTATTCATACCTTCGAGGGAATAAATTTGAACAGTCCCCGAGAAATATTTTGTTAATTTATTTTTTCAAGAAACACTGGTATTTTTCTTTGAAAACAGTAGTTTGGTCATCTATGAGAATCCTTGACAAATGGCAGTCTTTACACATTATTTTCTTTTTCGATTTATTTCAGATATACAGTTTTCAATGTGTTCCTTAACCACCGACCAAGTACTTGAACTTGGAAAGCAAAATTTCAATGCCATTAAACTAAAGTTGCTTAAGTGTACCGAATCAAAAGCTAACTTTGAGATGTTTATTTTATCTTCTTTTTAAAAGTTAACCCTTAAAAGTAACTTGTTTTCGCTGCTTATTTTTCTTTCGCCTCATGAAAATAATGGGTAATGAAAATAGGAGAAGAATAAAGAACACTAGACTTAATGGATTATAATGTTTATTTTTATAAAACTTATTCTGCACAATAAATAAAATAGTGTTATGCGACACTACGCGCTTCAATTAAATCCTAAAAGCTTACATATCACAATTCTATTATTCAAATATAGGTTACTACTTATAACGGATTCACATTGCACATTATTATAATAGAGGTCAAACAGTTAATCGCATTAGATATTTGGCAGAGAAACAGTGATCGAAATGAAACAAATAAAAAATCTAAATATAATAATAATAAATAATTTTCTTGACATAATTAAGATTATCGACGTTCTGTTCCATCTCAATACAAAATTATTTAATATAATCAAATACCAATAGACACATCTAAGCCTTATATTTGAGGTATACCATAAAAAATCAGTGCATTAATATGTATAAATAAGTTTTTTTACGATACATAATTAATAAGTATCTTGGAAAAACCCATATTTTTAATATACGAGTTAATATTAATAATAAGAATATTATCATAGATATTAGATTGTATATACAAGTAGGTATCACTAGGAAGTGATACCTACTCGTATATAAAATCTTACTCTATTATTATTATAATATTATAGCAATTTTCGACTACATCATCGGCCTTCGGTTTATAAAAAAAAAATTTTCTCTATGTAATCACAATTACCTACAAGTCCTTATCAAATAACGTTGTTATTAACAAATTATAATACTGAACGAAAGCAGATAAAAGACTATCGACCAACACAAAATATCCATCAATTTTATCTCGTGTAAATGATGAAATAAATAAATGAGGTATTACTGTCCAATTGAAATGAATGCACGCAGCAAAATCAACAACAGACATGATTGATAAGCAATATGATTAACGAACTATACTAGTTGGACTTAGACTCTAATAGTTGGAAAGCTGCTACATTTGAAGAGTCACGCGTGAGTATGGAAGTTCCTGGTTCTGATGATCATGTTGTCATACGTGGTGATGGTGGCGCGGCAGCCGTTTTGGTTCTTCACGCAAGTCCAGCGGGCGTGGTGGCCTTTGCTGTAGCTCCATCGGTTGTAGCGGTAGTTGCCCCAGACCATAACGGGGTTACCGTAACGGGTCCTCTCAAACCTTACTCTCAGACCTACAAAACATCCGAAAAAAATTATAGACGAGCCGAATTTACTCTACAAACCATTAATAGCTCCCCCTTATTCGCCTCCACGTGGAGGGGACGGGGAAAAGAAGAGTGTGAGAATATTTTTTACATAAGCTTAAAACAAAGCGTGGGAAGTTAATGTCTAAAAACCGTTCAAGTATAAGAATAAGACATAACTATGAATTGCGTTTAATGGCCGCGAATTGGCTCGAGTCACAAAATGACTGACCGAATTATTGGTTTGAGAGATTCAATAATATATTCAACGCTAACATAATAGTGTAATCGTTTTTATTTGAAAAAGAAATGCTATTTGCGCTTCATTAATTGTAATGTTTACTCCTCCGATTTCACTTTAAACAATTGTATACTACATCAGGTACTTTGAAAGAAATATATTTCACGGATTACATAACGAAGCAGTCATAAGATAGCATATTCAAAAGCAGAAAAAATCTGAAAGCTCTCATAATTAATATAAACACTATCAAATTAGTAACATAAATTTATTGAATTGTGCAACAAGCTACTTTCATAAAGGCAATATTTACACATAGATAGATAATCATAAATAATCAATCTTAAACACGGATCAAGAAATATTGTCTGATAAAATTAGTCGTGATTGTGTTCGTGTTTTGTGAAATTGTAGTTTCGTTCCTCGATTGTGACTAGCCTCGCGGGACAACCCGCTGAGCGGGCCTTCACACACACCCAGCTCCCTCGGGGACCCTTGCTGTCGCTTCTGCGGTAATAACGATAATTCCCCACCTGCAGCAATGTCTTCCCAAATTTCGACTTCAAATATATTATCTCTGAAAATAGACAAATCTTCTATCGCATCGCCATCAAAGTAAACAAAACTTAGGTTAGGTTACGCTATATATATATATATATATAACTATTTTACAGAGTTTGAAATTCCTTCCGACGTTGCCAAACAATTTGTAGTGTCCATACTCACTTGACGGTGGGTAATGATGGTTTCCATAAAAATGATTGTTACCATTTTTATTTTATCCTCTTTATGTGGTTTATTGTAATTATTATTTACTTTAAATGTAAAGTAAACTAACAGGCTATTCTATACGGCGTGTCGTTACAACCGTGACAATAAAAGAACACACGTCTAACGCTACTTACCAATAATCATAAAAATATATAAATGTTAAAAAAAAACAATAACTAAAAAAATCGTATTACAAATCTCTCCTTCTAACAGTATGTTTTGTGTCTTTTAAATTCATTCAACCCATTCATATTCTTTGTGACCTTTACAAATGAACTTTTCGTAACAGTTTTATACGTAAGGATGTTCTAAAATTGTTTGTTTTGGAAATCAATAACTCGGTAAATATTGATATTTAAATAATGTAAATGTTTAATACAATTTTAAAAAGTTATCCATTATATGTGTATTCATTTATTGTCCCGGTTTTAAGGACACGCTATATATGAGTGTCTGTCACTGGTAGGACAAAGAACTCCACTATACAGAGGGTATTGGAGCATAGTCCACCTCGCGACCTCACTGTGGATTGACAGATTACACATATCTTCGATATTTTTGTTATCATTTCGAAAATATGCAGGTTACATGATGTTTTCCGTCACCGCTGAGCACGTGATAAATCAGCACATAAAATTGTAACCAACAATTTCATTTCTGTCGGCACCGGGATTTGAAATCAATTTGCTGGTGTATGAATAATTAAAACCAAACGCAACATGTCAATCAATGCAAACGCAACATGCTGTAATTAGTATTGGCTAGGTTTTATACGGCCAGCCGTCTAGGAATAAACACCAAAATCCGAAATAATTACCTATGGGTCACACAAATAATTCCCTTGTGGGTATCGAAAACCACGACCTCCGGTACGAAACCAATAGCTTAGTAACTGCGCCACTGAGCCAATAATCCATTCCATACTTATATCATCAAGAATCTGGCCATCGTACTAATAACGAAAGCATTTTAATTTTTAAACACCCCCTCTACCTGCAAACCCACGGAGTATGTGAATAAATATAAGATCAGAAAAATATAAGATTCAATGGCAGTAATATCATAAAAGCGAAAATGCTTGCGAAAACCGTCTAAGTAACACGTAAAATGCATTATAGTCTCATAAAGCTTTCGTCCTATGCTTGCATGTCAAAGGTCCACCGATTGGCCATCTTTGTGTTAAAGGCAAAAAAAAGATAGTTACATAACAACTTTCATTATCGAAGGCTTTGAAACCTAATAGGCCAGCAAAATTGATCTGATCCAATTTTTTTATAAGATTTAGGATTATTACTCTAGTGCTCTGCGTACCGTGAAATTGTAGACCTTGAACTTGGTAAGCAACTTTAAACATTCGATAGTTTAAAAACTATGGACATCAGATGAAATTTTTCAAATAAAAGTTGTGGAGATTAGATTTAAGAATAGATAGACGCATTTTTTGATTAATCCAATATTATTGAGAGTTATCGGCCGATATAGAAAAACTAAATGAGCTTCAATAAATGAGGCACAAAGCATAAGCGGTTTATTTCTACAAAAAAAATTTATGGGAAACAAAAAATGCTAAATTTTATTGTTGGATAGTTTCCGAGACATTGGCAAAAAAGATGGCGCCTCTAGCTCCACCGGAATCTGTCAGCATTTTGTAATTTTGGCCTGTGTAAATGATCCTATACATTGTAAAAAAGAAATTGGATCGGTAGATTAGCGCGAAGCTGACGCAATAAACGCCCATTTTTACTGGCCTTCACATACTAGTGGTTATGATCGTACATAACCTTAACAACTACGTCTTCGTAGGTGATGACGGTCGCCTTGCAGCCGTAGCTGGTTCTGTTGCAGTTCCATCTAGACTTCAGGCCCCGACTGGAGCTGTGGCGGTTGAATTTGTACTCGCCGATGCAGAGCCTCCGGCCGCCGCGTTGGGAGCATTCGAATCGAGGCGTGCAATCTAAAAGGAGAGTTCAATAGGTTTAACATGATTTGGCAAAGTGCGATGATCTGCCTGACGTCCTGATGCTACCACACCCACAGGCGTGTACATCAGTGCGTTGCCATCTTTAAAATATTTGCCAACTGTCCATACAAAATCGAAAAAGTACTTTTAGCACTTCTATTTTACCACCGTCAATCAATAAGGCGATTGAAGGCGATGTGTGGATTCATCACTGGTAAAACATTGACCTGTCGCCAGTAATTGATTTTTCTAGCCGTATTGTCATGACTTAATTTATGTTTACCACAAAGAGCAGTCCTTTATAATGCAATATAAAATTTTTGCTCTGTCCAAATAGAAAATGTGCTATCATGATTTTGGGACATTATGTTTTACTGAGTGCTTCGTGTAAATTACTTCGCAATAATATTTCCTTATCCTTGTTGTTACATAACACTTTATTTACAGGAGTTATCAATAAGTATTAATTTAATAGCAAACAGACACTCGCTGCATTTCCTCGTTGAATAGGTGCACTTAAACATATCACTACCAAATAATCGTGATGCTTAAAACATGTCAGGTTAGGTCACTAGTCCGAATTTCGGCCATTCAGCTGTTTTTGTTCTTATAGTCAACTCATTAATACCGTTTTCTTTCTCAGTAGTACTACGATAATCGTAAGCTAAAACTTGTTGTTTATGGTTACATAATTATATTAGATACGTTAAATGCAATGGCGTCATATCACTCATTTGTTTCATCGGCCGTCCGTGTGGGTCTGCAGTTTTTGTTTTTATTATTCTAATTATATGTTTATACTATTCTTACGTATATGACTTATTTCATTAGATAGGTAGTATATTTAATTAAAATGTATTCTATTGAATACAGGCAAATGCCTTATTTTAGTATTCAACTTTTGACGTTTGTTTGAACTATTTGAACAAATCTTACTTCGAATAAAGAAATTTTAGTTTAGTTTAACTCTTTAATGCAAATGTGTGTTTAGTGTTTTCATAACAACGTTCGCTACGGTGATAATAGTGGCACGGCAGCCCGAGTTCTTCTTCGTGCAAATCCAACGGATTTTCGCCCCTTTGGGCCGCCCATGCATTCCGTACCGGTATTGGCCGATGCACAAAATCTGCCTACCGTTACCGGTGTTTATCAAATGCATATCTGAAAAAAAGACTTATCGTTACATATCTTAAACAAAAATATATTTTCTCCTTCCGTGAATGCATGCGTCATACAAATGTGTTATAAAGTTGACTTTCTGTTATTGAAATATTTGCTCAAATCGGAGATCGCGCGCCGATAACACGACTTAACTCACCCAAAACTCTTCCAATACTGAAGATTAGCCTCATCTCCATAGCTTATTTGACAATCACCACACAAAAAACTTACACATTATCGTGGCACTATATTGAACAAAAAGCACCACTGCTTTTCAGCATTTACGAGTTTATGTTCCTCAAAGTAAGTTCATTGGTGGTTCGGGTTTCACTGACATTAACTACATGACCACTTACTATCGGTGTGAGGCCATCTTAAATATAAGTCTTGAGATCGTAAATGTTTTGATCAGACATTTAATGAATTAAAATATGAACCAGTATCGATTGAAATGATGAAATGGTTATGTTTATGTTGTAACTGAAGTTTGCTTTTTCAGTCCGTAGACAGCTTCATCGAACGCGAAACCCGTGGCTAGCCAGAACCCACGGGTTTTAGACCCTCACAGTGGGTAGGGCCGCGCATGTGCTCATGCGTGCATTAACTAAGGCATGTCGCCTACGGGCTATTGAGTTCGGTGCGGACCGTGACTCTTATGGCCGTTGACAGTGTATGGTTAATTGGAGGCTGGGGGTAGTAGGAACCGCCCTAGAACGCGAGTGTACCTAGTGTACACGTTGTGTTGGTTTCGACGTGCTCGAAGGCGACGACGAACTACGGTGATTGTGGTTGCACTAACTGTGTTATCTGGCGATAAAACGGTTTTCGATTGATACAAATAGACAAAATATTTATACACGCAAGTTGTAGCAGTTCCGAACCCCAAAAGAGCCCTGAGTATTACCTGTGCGCTTGAAATTAAAACGATATTTATAGTTGAAAACCATGATCAAAAGATGATAGTCATCTTGTGATAAAAGAAATACATTATACAATTTAAAATTGTCCTACAGTTTTATTTCAATATTTAATTTAATATGATACGTCGTAAATATGACTTTGCAAGGTAGGCTTACATCCGTAAATGAAACGAACTAAATATGTTTAGAAATTTAAACTAAATATACGAACGAATACAAAATTTCGTTTCTTAAATAAATACCAGATTTAGTGCTTCACTACATATAAAAAAATAACACTAAGCAATAATAAAAGCTTAACATGGTAGGTTGGTTCGTCCGTACAGCACGACCAAACGAGCAAAAGAACGAACTGACCGCAACCGCAGTAGTTTTATACTGTTCGGCCGTCACTCACTAAAACACTCATGCCCGATTTCACCAACGACCCCTAAACAATCACATAGGTAGGGGATCCGTAAGCTAAAGAGTCCCCTAAAGTATCTCATAACTAAATTTGCTTTTCACCAACGTAACAGGCCCCTAACTAGTGGACCCCTCCATAAGTGACACATTTTTGTAATAACATTTATTTTATGGAAGATACATAATTTTATATTTTAATAATAGTTTTTCCATTCGATTCGATTAGTCACCATATTGTGGGATAAGTAAGCGTAGTTTTATCTGTAATTTAATGGTGTTTGTTTAATTTGATCACTTGACGCAAGTTCGACTTGACGTAATCGAAAACATTTCTAGTTTCTACTATTTGAATCATCTTTGAGTAAAAGTATTCTGTGATTTGAATTTAATTTAATTAGCAACGTAGTTAGTAATTTCCAAAAAAAACACGGGCCATAAAGTGTCTCGTTCGGAGAAAGCCGACAGAAGTTAATTATAAAATAGGAATGCACGTAATAAGAAGATAATAGGTTATAAAGTAATATTCATAACAAGGACATAAAACGTTATTGCACGAAACAAACATCTGCAAGCATAAAACGACTACAGATGTGCATCGTAGGAATGCCACATGGTGTCGTGTTTTGAGAAAGCCGACAGCGAGCGCTCTCCTAAATTGATTATACAATAGAGGTGCAATAAAGACATAAGACTGTTCGAAACAAAATTAATTTCGATTAATATCAAATATAGTATCAATGGTCTCTAAATTATTAAGAAAATGAAATAAATCACTGCCTATCTTGTTCTCTTGAAATTACTTTTAGTTATGTAACGGTTTATGAGGCCATTATACGTCCTCCTAAATTTAGCGGACCGTTTACTCAATAAGTGACCGCTAAATATTGGTGAAACGGAAACGGTCCCCTAAATTTGCTAAAAGGCCCTTTTACATCTTAGGGGTCACTGGTGAAATCGGGCATCACTCTATTATTTGATTAAATAATTAATTAGTGGAACAAGGAATAAAGCAGAACTGCAACGCGTGCAACGGGCATCTGTTGCAGACACCCAATGTCCAACCCTTCAGTGTACACCAGCTTACATAGTTGCACGGAGAGGTGCCTCTCTGTGCACCTATGTCCTTGTCGTAGCGGAGGGGCACTCGTCGTGAAGGCCGGCCCGAAAGGGCCGCTTCAAGTGGGCTTTATGAGCCCATTAGGGGAACTGATCGAGGGTGGTGGAGCAACAATAAAAAGCAAGCTTTTATTCACTTTATTTATTATACATATATTAACACTTACAATGTATAACTTAATTTTACAACATTTAAATCAAATATACTACCTAGGTTTTATTTACTTGAGCTATGCTAGTGATTGTGTTCACCAAAACATGTGAAAATTTGGCTTTCGAATGTAACCACTCTAGAACGGCAACCGAATTGCTTAAAGGAACATCTCCAAGTCTTCTTTAGACCGGTTTTCCGATGCAGATAATATCTGTTTCCATTGTGAACTACTATCGTTGAGCCCGTTGGAGTTTCTACAAAGTTTGCTGAAATTGTGAGTATTAAATACAATTGTTATATAAATTAAATAGTCTTGTTTAGTATATTGTCTTAATAGCCGTGATAGCTCAGTGTCCGGACGCTCGCCTTTAATTTAATATACTCGAGCAACCTGAGTTCGATCCCCGGTGCCAGCACCAATGAAATTGTCAATTTTAAGTGCTAAATTATCACGTGCTCAGCGGTGAAGGAAAACGTCGTGAGAAAACCTGCATATTTTCCAAATAATAACAAAAAAAAATATTTCGAAGATGTGTGAAGTCTACCAATCCGCAGTGGGGCCGCTTGCTGGACTATGCCCTGATACCCTCTATACAGAGGAGGCCTTTGCCCATGTATAGGCTGTTACTTTACTTTTTTTTCATTCAACTCTGTTGAACGTGCTCTATGTTGAAGATCATCCTTTGTTGACATTTTGCCGACGGATCTGACATGAGCTCTCCTAAGACAAATATATCCTTACAGTCTCTTTTGTATCAATTTCAATGTTCAACCTGTGTCAAATCATTTACCAAAAGAGGTATAATAAAACTAGAAAAAATTTTCACATAGAGCATAAATAGAAATTGGTAGTAACTTAATGAATTAGTTGGCCTTGACTGCAGTGCAAATAATAAATTCTAATGGTAAGGCTTCAAAAGTTTTATCGGCAAATATCTCGTATTGTACAACAGTAGCATAATTACGGCACCTGTCGCGACGCTATACCAACAAGAAATGTAGGTACCACAGTGTGATTTGTGCAGCATCGCAACCTGACACGAATCTCGCTTTGAAAGGGACAAAAAGGCATTGGGTTCCTATAATTAAATAGATGACATCCGCAAACAACTAAATGTAAACAGTTTTGTAAAAGCATACATTGAGGATAAGAATGTGTGGAAATTACTCTTGATCTGCACTTGCAAGTTCCCTGGCTAATGCTGATTTTATAATTTAATATTTTTTTTTAAAATTACATAATTTAAAAAAATAACATAACAAGACCGCTTAGGTTCTGGCCGGTTCTTCTCTGGACAGGTCTAGTTTACAGAACCGGTGGTAGCTTAACATTTTACGGTAGTAGGCCACGCAGCAACATTGGCTATTGTACAAATGGGCAGGCTCGTCCGGGTAAGTACCACGACCTCAAAGAAGGCCAGCGTAAATTGGAAGTATAATACTTTCGCGTTTCGTCTGGTGAGTGCAGTGGCCGGAGCCCAATTTTCAAAAGGTTTTCAACGCATCTGCAACCCTCGGGTGTAGCAGATGTCAATGGGCGGTGGTATTAACTTAACATCAGGTGAACCGCCTACTCGCTTGGCAACTTTTCACATAAAAAAAACAAGCCGATATTAAATAATTAGGTTTTTACTTTGACACTTTAAGCCGCTACGTTCAACATTGCGTTCATCAGCGATGGTTTGTATAACCTCGATAGATGTGCGTTGAAAGTATAGCGTAGTAATCCGAAAGAGGGCGTTAGCGACACCACTTTAACGAGTCGCATTCCGCTGCTCTGCCATGAGCAAGTTAAGTCGCTTGGCCGAATGAATCCATAAAAGGAAGATGCACGGCCGCCCAGTACTTCTACCGAAGTGGGTGCAGTTACACCAGTTTTATAACATCACTTCTATTCATTAATGACTGAATATTCCAGGTTAGAACAAAGAGCAACAAAACTACATTTTTATCAAGTTGATATATTTTGACACAGACACAAAACCTTCATATTACATTCATTAGACTTCAGATATGTCTTAAGTATTCGACATTCATTAGTTCTTCGTTGAAGTATACTCCACGGTTCATTCGTATATTATATAACATATTGAAAGAATAATCGGCATTAATCTTAAGCATTCTATCACAATATATTACAATTCAAGGTAATGTAAACTTACTAAATTTTTCATACGTTCTGATGAGCTGGTAGCAAATTATTAACTTGCTTATCTACTATGATTTTAATTCAAAGCAGAAATGAGCCGAGCATGAAACAATAAAAATCATGCTTTACTTTACTTTATTTCGTTATTATACATATACTTACACTTACAATGTTTAATTTAATTGATGGGCACAACCGTACTACCTAGGTTTTATTTAGCTGAAGTGTTTGTGCTCATTAAAAATTTTCACAATTTTACCTTCAAATGTAACCAATCTAGAACGGCAACCGAATTGCTTAAAGGAACATCTCCAAGTACTCTTTACACCAGTTTTCCGATGCAGATAATATTTGTTTCCATTGTGAACTATTATCGTTGAACCCGTTGGCGTTTCTACAAAATATGCTGAAATTGTGAGTAAATAGAATTAGTAGTTGTTTAGTATTTTGTCATGCAACTCTGTTAAACATGCATGTTGAAACATGTTGAAACACAACACACAACAAAGTATGATCATCGTTTGTTGGCATTTTGCCGACGGATCTCATATGAGCTGCCCTAAGACAAATATATCATTACAGTCTCTTTTGTATCAATTTCAAAGTTCAACCTGTGTCAAATTATTTACCAAAAGAGGTATAATAAAACTAGAAATATTTTGTACATAGAGCATATATCAAATAGATTTGGTAGTCATTTAATGAATTAGTTGGCCTTGACTGCAGTGTATAAAATAAATTCTATTGTTACCATTAGAATTTATTTTCTCAAAAAAGTTTAAAAGATTTGTCGCCATATATCTCGTATTGTACAACACTAGCATAATTACGGTGCATGTCGCTACGAGAAACTATACAAACACGAAATAAGCTACAGTGTGATTTCGGCGGCATCGCAATCTTTTTTTTTTATGTGAGAAAGTGGAAAACATGCTGGCGGTTCACATATTGCGTGATAACCAGGCCACCCGTGGCCATTTGCAGCACCCGTAGGGGTATAAGTGCTTTGCCACCTTTAAATGAGGTGGGCACCAGCTGCCTCACTCACCAGACGAAACGGTCTTCTGTGAGGTCGCGGTATTTACCCAGACTGCCCTGCCCATTCGTGTAACAGTGAACACTGGTGTGGCCCTAGCACAGTTCATACAATCTATCACGAATCTCCTCGATTTGAAAGAGACAAAAAGGTATTGGGTTTTAAACCGTGGTACGACTGAACGACGAGGATGAAGCCTCGTGGCACCCTTGGTACGCACGATAGCATCAGGCAAAGAGCCCAACCAGATGTTACAACGTAAGATGATGAAGGTTATTAAAATAAAGTAAAGTAACAACACATCCCACTGCTGGGCATGCAAATAAAAATCATGATTTACTTCAGTTCATTTATTATACATATATCAACACGTATGATTTAATTGATAGGCCGAACTATACTACCTAGGTTTTACTTACTGGAACTAAGCTAGTGATTGTGTTCACCTAAACATTTCACAATTTGGCCTTCGAATGTAACCACTCTAGAACGGCAACCGAATTGCTTGAAAGAACACCTCCAAGTCCTCTTTGGACCGGTTCTCCGATCCAGATAATATTTGTATCCATCGTAAATTACTATCGTTGAGCCCGCTGGCGTTTCAACAAAGTTTGCTGAAATTGTGAGTGAAACCAATTAGTCTTGTGTGTTCAATGCGCCCCATAGATCATCGTTTGTTGGCATTTTGTTGACGGATATCACATGAGCTGTCTTAAGACAAAATTACAGTCTCATGCACGATTTCAAAATGCAAATCGTGTCAAATCTTTCCCCGTATGAGATGTAATACAACTAGACATATTTTGTCATATGGTGCAAATATTCGGTAAAATAAAGTAACAGCATATGTGCGGGGAAAAGGTATCTGTAGTATTAGTATTACGGTATCCACTACGCCATTGCGGATTGGCCATACCTTCGAAGGATTTTTTGTAATATTTCGATAACATGCAGTTGTCCTCACGATGTTTACTTCACCGCTGAGCGCATGATGAGCGAGCGCTTAAAATTTCAATAGACAATTTCATTGGGGCCACGACTGGGATTCGAACTTGGTTATTCCAAAATATTGAATTATAAAAGAACACCCGGACACTATGTCATTTTTTTATTTATAATTACTGTGGCAGGAAGGATTTCACTGTTGCACGAATGGGTAGGTCCGTCTAGACTAGTACCAGGACCTCACAGAAGAATAGTGTTTCAAAGAATGAAATCGTGCAAACAGGTGTAACTGTGGTATGGGACACGCAACAGACTTCTTTGTTAAAAGATGGGCAGGTCCGTCCGGGGGAGAACCACGACCTCACAGGAAACCGCGGCGTGAAGTGAAAGTATTATACTTCAACCCTATGTGTATTGCAAATGTCCACGGCAGGCGGTTATCAATTAACAACAGGAACATTTAAAAACTTCTCCATAACAAAAAGAAATCTCAAATATAAGCTCACCACGAAAATGTGCGGGAATTGCCAACTTAAGCTTGCTAATAAGGTTAAATATACCTAATTGTTTAATTATTTTAATGAATAAATACTTCATTGCTTCATATCAAGCTAAGGACGCCCCATATTAAGCCTTGAAGCATTCTCTACCATTCAACCCCTGTCATGATGAAAAGTACTAATGATAAAGCAGTTAATGGCTAATCAGATTTCAGAATATGTGCGTTATGCTTTTTGATTTCGACACCTGATTTAAAATGAAATAATAAATAAAAAATTAAAGTAACAGCCTATATATTTTTTCGCACAATTCCATCGGTGTTAAATATATTGAATTTATAATTTATAACAGTTACAAGTATCTTGACAGGTTATCCCAATAAGTTAGCGTAACTTCCATGTACTACATTATATACATTCATCTATTTAAATAAGGTATATAACAATTAATATATAATGCTACTAGCTTCATGAACTCACTCAGGAGACACAAAAACAAGTCGTTTCCCCTGGCTTTCAAGTTAAGAGTACAGAGAGCAGAGGGTGTTTGGCGCATTAAGTTTGACCCTGTTTAAAGTTACAGCCTAATGTCCTACTGCTGGGTAAAGGCCTCCTCGGTACAAAGGGCACTAAGACACTTCGCGAACCCACTGCGGATTGGCGGACATCACAATTCGATTTTTTTTTAAATTTCGTAAATATGCAGGTTTTCTCACGATGCCTTGCTTCACCACTGAGCACGTACTAAATCAGCACTTAAAATTGACAATTTCATAACTGCCAGTGGTAATAAAGCGTGCGCTTGGACAGTGGGCTATCACGACTAATGAACTAATAAACAAACCAAAAGATAGTGTTTTGTCCAGCAGCTACAAATTAATAATCTACTGCAAGTGAAGCAAATATACGCGCAAAAACCTAAAAGAGGGAATTTCGATTGAACTGAAATATTACATACGTAAATTAAATACATACAAGGCAACGAAAGTGAATAGGATACATAAAAACGCGATAAGTGATAATCTCATATACATTTATAACGTTCCCTTAATACATACATCGAAACAACTTCAGTGCTTGTGCTCCCTGCGGAATTTGACGATAGTGTCGTGTATGGTGTGGACAGTGGCACGGCAACCGTAGGGGTTCCTGTTGCACCGCCACCGGTATCGGGGGCCGCCGCTGTTCACGCGGTTGAACTGGTACGGGCCGAGTTTCAATACCAGGTTCCCGCGCCTCGACTTCGTGAATATCGGGGAGTATTCTAGAACAAGCGTACGCATCCGTTAGGGCGTGTTCCACGCGGTGGTACCGTACCAGGACCCAATCGAGGCAGATGTCAGATCAAAGCGTGATTGTTACAAACGTTTATTGAATAAAACCCCCATTTCAAGGAATGTGGTACAAAGTTATTTTTAATCCTCATATCGTACTCTATAATCGTGTGTAACATACCATCAGTTGTTTGTCACACGATCAAAATATAGATAAAATTACATTAATACGCTTAAATTACAATAATTCGAAACAACAAAACAAAGTTTTTATAGATCATCTCAAGAATAAAAAGATAACGGGACGTAAATACATATTCCCTATAGAACTCATACAGCTAATTATTTATTTCTCGAGCCTAGAACTAGATGCGATTTCGGAAATTAATAGGCTTATTATTATTTCAAAAGAAAATGAGCATACGAAAACACTCAATAAAATTTTAATATATATAATAAAATTTTGATTTATATAACTATCAAATCGTTTTGTGTATAAAAGAAACAACTAACCACAAGAATGTCATCAAAAAAATTGCTTTGTATGTAAAATCATAATAACCTATATCATTTAATTACTACAACATACAAGTACAAAAAAGTTACCTGGCTCATTCTTATCAAAATATATGATAACAAACAATTCTAGAATTATTTATGACGTAACTACTTGATAAATTGGTAATTAAGATTCGTCAATAGAGAAAAAATCTCAATTCATTATCCTTAACACCATGCAATATAAAACTAAAGAAGGATCTCAATATGACAGACAGAGCGTCGACGTTCGCGCAATCTTCTATTAATGATTGTGCTCGTTTTGTGTCCGGATGATGACGTCATCGACAGTGGTTATCGAGGCGCGGCATCCGGACGGGGTCTTCACGCAGGTCCATCGCACTTTTGGACCCTTACACCGGTTCACCTTGTTGAACCGGTACGGCCCCACCATAATAACCGGATTTCCAGATTTCGTCATACCGAATATCGGCACTGAAAAAAATGAGAAAATTTCGTTCAATTTCTGATACCCCATGTAACTGTAATAAGGGTCGGACATTTCTCTTCCATCGTTAACTTTTAACTCATTACCGCTAAGGTTTTAGAAGTAACCATGGTAATTTTGTGAAATAATAATTTAATGCTTTCTTCAAATTACAAACTATCTTGATCGTTGAATTTTAATGTAGTATAGCTACACAGAAGCTGCTGTTGCAAGGGTGGGTAGTGTCGACGAGGGAAGTGCCACTGACACACACACAAGATGCCAACTTAAAGAGGAAGTACCTACCTGCACTTCAAAGTTTCGTATGGCGGCACAATCTTTTAAAAGTTGCCAACCTTCAAACAACCCACTTGTTTGAAGGTTGGCAACTTTGCACCAACCTTGCACTAGAGATATGTATATATGTATATACACATTAGAGTCGCGTAAGAAGTTGAAATTCTTATTAGCTTCGACGCCGTGGGTCTTGCATCAACAGGTATTTGTGTGTCAGACAGACAATTGTTCCGGATCTTGGCGTTTATCTCTCCAAAGAGAGTTAATAAACAAAAAAAAAGCGAGAGGGGGGAACTGGTGAGCGAGGTAGCCGGGGCCCATTTTATTAAAAGGTAAGGTAAGGAAACGCATCTGCAACCCTACGGGAGTCGCAATTGTCAACGGGCGGCGGTTATCATTTAAAGTCAGGTGAATCACCAGCACGTTTTCCACCATCCTAGATAAAAAAGGTCTAGTTTTGAAAAAAAGTGTCAGTAATGAAAATTAAATATTACTGTAGAAGTACGTTGGATGTACGTTGCGACATAGCCGCTCAGCGAAAGCTTCTTAATTAAATGTAAAAAGAAATAACTTATTATGAACAAACTTTAAATAAAACGTCACAGGTTTAAAAAGGTTTAATTTGTATCACATATTCAATCTTACTCAATAAATAATCACAATACAAAATATATCAAAGCTACTTTCAATTGGAATGATCGTCCTTTTTTTTAACAAACTAACAGCTATTAGTAATAATAATAGTAAGTTTATCTCCCCTAACCCTCAGCCGTTTGGTCTCCCCTGCCGAGGGCTTCCGTCTGGTTGGGTCCTACTTACGTATGTATTATATACAATATTTAAATTTATTTATAAACCCAATTATTAATGGAAACATTAGTTGATTTTTAGTTTCCATTGACTAGTAACTGCACATCGGTGGAATTTCCTAGTACCATATATGCACTAACTGCTAATAATGCGGTATATGTATTTTTAATTTTAGAAAAAACAGTTAAACAGCATAACAAGCCTGGGATAAAGAACATAACATTAACAAACACGCAGTACATGTCTGTAAACATTTACTAATGCCTTTAATACGATAGGAAGCTACTTATAAACTAATCGTGGTTGTGATCCAAACTGCTTCTTACGGCGACTTCATCGAGGGTTGTTATAAAAGCCTTACATTTAGTCCGGGACTTTGTTGTGCACTGCCATCTGGTTTTGCAACCCATCACACGATCCCTGGAGAAACGGAACCCTCCGGCGAGCAACATCTGGGTGCCCCTCGAAGTCCAGATCATAGACACTAGAACGAATTAAAACAGGCAGATGTAGAGGTTTAGGCGACGAAGAAATATATCAAAGCTTTCGAAGAACGAACTTTAGTGATTTTATATATTGAAGATTACGAACTTTATCACCGTCATCATTCAGCTCTTTAACAGTTCTCTGCTGAACACTGAACATGATTGATTCCTCCAAAGAGCACCACGATTGCCGACTAAATACCGAGCGCAAATACAAAGCGCGAGCGTTTAGTCCAAAGTTTACCCACAAATATAACTTTTGGATAAACATTAATAAACGCAGAAATCAGAACTAAAACTAAATTCAATCCACGGATTTGTTAAACATCCAATGCAGGTAAAGTAATTTATAATCTATATGCAGGTAAATAAAATTGGAGTGTCTGTTTGTAATATTAAAACAACCACTTTTTACTAAATGCATGTGGATACACGGTACATAAACCAAAATTTTTTTTTACAATTTTTCCTGTCTGTCTGTCTGTTTGTTCCAGCTAAACTCTGATAAGGCTGGACCGTGTTTGACGGGACATTTGCTGGCAAATAGATGTTGTAATAAGGAGTAACTTAGGCTATTTTTATTTTAGAAATTTTATTCATTATTATTAATATATATAATATTATTCCACGCGGAGGAAATCGCGGGCACAGCTAGTAGAATTAATAAAAAAATTCTCACACACATTTACAGCACATTTAATACGTGGCACATAATGAAACTAAAGAAAGACCCCAAACCTAAAGGATAACAATATCTTAATACTAACTTTTAATTGGAATGACCTTTTTAAATGTAAGCACCCATATCTTAACTTAATTTTTGGAATACTATTTAATATGGGAAGTAAAATCCAATGGAACGCCATTATGATATTATAAGATTTTACCAAGACTTTTAAAGTTTAAAGTGTCTTTGCACTTTTTATCTAACGTAGAAACTAGTAAACCTGAATGTAAGAGGTTTTTTTATTGTTATTGTTGATTATGAAAATAATTGCTGCCAATAGGGTCAAAGTAATCTTACGTTTCCTAAATATAAATTGATTAAATATACTTTATAATTGATATATTTTTACTGTGGTATGGCCACGAAACAGCTTCGGCTGTTGCACGAATGGGCAGGTCTGTCCGGGTAAGCCCCGACCGAAGATAAGCGGGAAGTGGAAGTGTCAGAGTTCTGGGTTTAGTCTGGTTGGCAATGCGCTGCAACCCTACGGGTGTTGCAAATGTCCATGGCCAGAGGTATTAACATCAGGTAACTCGCAAGCTCGCTTGCCACCTTCTCACATCAAAAAAAGTACCTGGAGGACCGAGCTTTTTAAAAAAATACGCAAATTATGTCCTTATGCAGTCATTCATTTCTTTCTTTCTCATTATTTTCTTCTTTGGGACGGTAAACATGAAATATTTGTACATTTAAGAGTACGAGTTCTACCGTGGCCCCAGTGCTGTAGAAATAACTCGAAGGATTAATGATGTGTACGGCGCTGATATCGCAAAAGAAAGGACGTTTTTAGTTTCAACGTTTTCGTTCTGGAAATTTCGACCTTCAGAACCTACCCCGTGGACGGCCGGACACCAATGGGGAAAATGAAGAATTAAAGGCTTTTGTGGGAGCGGATCCATCACAAAGCATTTCAGAGATAGCTGCAGGCTTCGTGGTAAGTGATAAAACTGTATTAATCGACTTGAAGCAAATCGGGAAAGTAAAAGACGATGGGTACCTCATGAATTGAGTGAATCGAACTAGCAAACACGCGCCGACTGTTGTAATACTTTGTACAAAGTAATACTTTGCTCAACCGACACAATAACGAAGGGATTTAAATCGAATTACTACTTGTGATGAAAAGTGGGTACTGTGCGATAATCGGAAGCACTTGTCGCAATGACTGAACCCTGGAAAGCCAGCAAAATCCTGCCCTAAATGAAACTGTTTGGTGGACTAGCGCCGGTGTCGTTCACTACAGGTTTCTATAATCTGCCCAAAAGATTACGGCGGACATCTATTGTCAGCAACTGAAAACCATGAAGGAAGAACTAGCTGCTAAACAAGCGAGATTGGTCAATCGCTCTAGGCACAACAAACAACCACCAAGTTAGATGAGCTACAATTGGAATGTCTGCGACATCCACCGTACCATTATTTCCGGAATTTGGACAACTTCTTACAAGGAAAAAATTCAAGTCCGATGCGGCAGTCCAAACCGCCTTCAAAAAGTTTATTGATTCTCGCCCCCATGGTTTTTTTAGTAAAGAGATCACTGAATGAGATTTGAGATTGACCTATGAGATTGCAAAAGTGCATAGATAACCACGGTGCATACTTTCATTAAATAAAAAAATAACTTTATATTGCTCCCGTACAAAACGCCTATTTCATATGTAAGGACCTAATGTATTCAAAGGAAAGTTCACCAAATTTTTACATGGAAAGTGCATCTACTATATGAATGATTATTCATACAATTTTAACATTGACATTAGAACATAATAATCATTGATAATGTCTTTTTTATATACGTTAAAACTAGAATATATTTTATATACCTACTACTACATAAATTATGTTGACAAAAACATAAATTTAAAAAAAAATGCCATTTTTATATTATGACTCTATTCAAGGGAATAAATTATTTCTAACCTAAAGAGATTTTGGTTTGGGTTTTAGTAAAATGGAACATGTATTTTATATTTTTTTTTTTTTAGAAATTTAAATTGTTTATAGTGCTTATCTTTGCACTTAAGATTGAACATTAAAATATGTAGAAAAAGTGCGAAAAGATTGTCGCCGCTGTGGGAATCGAACCCACGTCTTCGGCATTCGCGGCCTGACGCTCTAGCCACTGAGCTAAACGGCTGATTACCACACCGACGAAAATCTTAACGCATTCTTCTACATTGTTTTCTTAGCATTTGAAGCAATGCTTGGCGCCATCTATTGTTATATCCTTTCCAGCATACAAACAACTTTGAATATCGTTTTACAACGATAATTCGAAGGAGAGATGTCGCCATTGCTTTTTTTTTTTTTTTTAGAAATTTAAATTGTTTATAGTGCTAATCTTTGCACTTAAGATTGAACATTAAAATATGTAGAAAAAGTGCGAAAAGATTGTCGCCGCTGTGGGAATCGAACCCACGTCTTCGGCATTCGCGGCCTGACGCTCTAGCCACTGCTTCAAATGCTAAGAAAACAATGTAGAAGAATGCGTTAAGATTTTCGTCGGTGTGGTAATCAGCCGTTTAGCTCAGTGGCTAGAGCGTCAGGCCGCGAATGCCGAAGACGTGGGTTCGATTCCCACAGCGGCGACAATCTTTTCGCACTTTTTCTACATATTTTAATGTATTTTATATGTTAACTAAAAAAAGTTATGAAACGCACATTCATAAGTTAGGTCATTACAGGATGGTGACCAGTTTGCCATCGTCTATTATTCCTCTCTCTATACAGTTCCGAGTTTTCGTCTACGAGTAAACTAGTCATGGTTGTGGTCAAGAGAACATTTAACAGCCGCTCCATCGATGGTGGTCAAAAACGCTTTGCATTTAGTGCGGGACTTTTTCGAGCACTGCCATCTGATCTTGCGACCGTCACCTCTCTCTCTCGAGAAACGAAACTCGCCCACAACCAACATCTGGGTACCTCTGTTGGTCGTCATCACTTTTACTGCTAATATGAAACAAACAATAAGCAGATGTAAAACATTTCAAACAAGCAAAACTGTATCACGTCAAAAATATAAACTCTTACAAAGTTTAAATGCAAATACAAGTATATTGCTTTTTTCTTAAATGAGAGAAGGTGGCAAACCACCTGGCGGTTTACCTAATGTTAAATGATATCGGCGGCCAATTGAAAATTGCAACATCCGTAGGGTTGCAGATGCGTTGCCAACTTTTAATAAAATGGGCCCCAGCTACCTCACTCATCAGACGAAATGCAGAGGTTCTTCCACTCCGCACCGGTCTTCTGTGAGATCGTGTTACTTAAACGGACGGACTTGCCCATTCGTGCAACAGATAAGTGTGTTGCATCATTTCATTCTTTGAAAGACCATTCTTGAACTACGGCCGGCACATATGATGATCTGAAGTTTGCAATCAGCAAGTGACCGCCGATTGGAGGAATTATCGTCAGAACTCTCATGATGACCATTTCATTTGATCATAACGACATCTGGATCTCGTATATGACGTCAGAAAATCTCCATATAACAGGAACTAGTACAGTTAGAAGTTATAAGGACATTGAACGATGATGAAATAAAACAGAGAAGTTTCTTGATTAAATTTAATCATAAGTGACTTTCGACTATGACCCCTCCGCGAGTCATGAAGTTCCGTCTTTTGCTTTTAAATACTTTCAACGTATCTTCAACTGTATTTCCTTACATGTTTATGTTATATGTCTATTCTTATAAATATCCTTATCACAATCTTAAGCAAACCAAGGGTCAATACTATGTATGGACCAATATCCGACAACGCGTAAACATTATCTTGCAGTTAAAGTCAATTTTAACTCTACTAACATACTAATGCTGGCACTAGTTGCAAAACTTATGTAAATATAGTCACTTAAAGTACACATTCCGGTTTCGTTTGAAGGCAATTTTAAATCGTTTCACATATTAATACTTAAGTAATAATAATACACTAAATCCTCACATTACTTAATCGTTACTTGAATAGGAATGAACGATATTTATTAGAAATCCTTAATTAATACTATTCAATTGGAATCCAATGAAGTGGCGTCCATTTTAGAGAATGTGATTTTATACGTGATATACTATGACAAACATTTTACACGCAATATATGGATATGATTAAGAACAATATGTGACATAAATACTATTAATGTCTGTTTGTTTTTTTCACGAATCACAACATGCACATTGTTATTAGATAGCTGCCAAGTTTCGATATCTTTCACGTATCTAAAAATCGTGGTTGTGATCAAAAGAGCATCTCACGGCGGTTCCGTCGATTGTAGTTATGAACGCCTTGCATTTAGTGCGAGATCTTGTTGAACACTGCCACCTGGTCTTGCTGCCGACATCTCGGTCCTTGGAGAAACGGAACCCACCAGCGACCAGCATCTGGGTGCCCCGCGATGTCCAAATCACACTCACTAGAAATATGCAACAAACAAGAAAGCACATGTAGATCCTACTACCAAAAGAATACTGGTTTACAGCAAAGCAAACAATACGAACGACAAAATTAATTAGTACAGAATTTTGCTCCTCATTAAAAAATTAAATAAAAGCCTCTGGTCAACGAAACATGGAATTCTGTTGGGAATATCATTCGTTAGAACAATTTTTGATTGAGTTTTACGAGCTTTAATCGTTTTAGTTTTTTTTTACCATATACAACATTGTTCTCATTCGTTATTACATATTAAGTACTGTCTGAATTGATTGATTTTGAAATAAGTAGTTTGAATTGAGCCAAGTAGCGGCTTCGGAAGTCGCTGTAGGAAAGGGGCAAGGGCTGGCTAGTCCTTTCAAGGGGGCGAGGGACTTCATTTGCGTTTCATCTGGTAAGTAAGACAATTGGCCCATCGATGCGTTCCCAGAGCGTCCCTATTTTCAAAACCCAGGCTTCCTACGAGTTTACCTTTGTTTAAAACATCAAAAAAACTACCCGAGTACTTGTATTCCGTAATAGTTACCAATTCAGAAAATATATTTTTTTTTTATGTAAAAACATAGAACGAAAATAGTTCAGTGCACAATTATCCAATCGTACATGTTATCATATAGTACATGTTATTTATTTATCACTAGCCAAATGCCAATATATTTGCCGTCATATTTGAGCAATAAAATTAAAATGTCAATGATTTAAAACAAATTTATTTTGATCTCATGTCACTTGGTCCTTATCGAGACCTATACAATCGTTTTTAATATTTTAGTCTGTGTCTGTTTGTATATCCTTGCTTATTAAAAAAAAACGGCTGAGCGGTTTTTGATAGACGTTTCATTGACGGGTAAATAATTTTTCAGTAATTTAGGTTTAACATTATTGTGATTTGATACTCTAGAAGGGTTGGCAAAGGCCATTTCTTAAGGAGGAATTTATTCAATAACAAAAACCAAATAGAGATGTAACCAAAAGTTGACTACACAGAGAGATGTGATTATTTTTAAGAGAACGATGTTAGCCGCATATAATCAGAAATGATTGTATTACTGTAGATACAGAAGAGAAATTGGACCAGTTCATGTCGTATATGGATATGAAACGCAGACACTATAGAAACTATTTTTGAATTTGACCCTAAGACCTTCAAATGGAGTACTCAATCATCGAATTTGATTATTTAGTCAGAGATTAAGAAACAAGTGTATCGCATTATTTACAATTTTATTAATTTGGTATCCCCAACATAATACGGGAGAGTTTGGAAGAATTTTGAATACTTTATGCCTCATACAGCCGCATGTTGCTGACGGTGAAAACGAAGAAAGCGCATTTGTTATGAAAGTTTTAAAGCTACACAATAATAATTTCCACGATAAACATCTGGCAGACGTAGACGCATTATAAGCTAGTGCATTAGCAAACCCTTCGACAGTGTATGAGTCACGACTAAAATTCAAAAACATGCTGATAATATACGATAGGAATATACATTGTGTTTCCTTTAACAAGCCATGTGACGGATAACACTAAATATTCTTATATAATGAAAGCACAGGCAACAAACGACATAGATTAAAATTACATATTGTTCTCTACTTAGGGATAAAACACGTCTTAATTGTGTTATATCAATTAAGTTAATGTATTTATGTATGTTAAAAAATATAATTTCGTTTTTATCCCTATTTTTGTTTGAACTGTCGATCGATATTGTGGTCTGAAATGAATTCGTCATTATCTACCCTTCATGTTGTGTGAGGGATGTTTTAACCGAATTGAACTCAACAATACACAGCGGGTTGGCGGTCTTCAGTCGTGGTTGTGCACCAGGTGGGTTTTTATCGCCACCCCCCCGAGGGTTGTTATGGAGGCCTTGCATTTGGTCCGAGTCTTGGTGGAGCATGTCCACCGCTGCGTGATCTTTCCCCGCGACGTTCTCGTGAAGCGAAACTCGCCGGCGACCAGCATTGTCGTGCCCCTGCTGGTGCGGACCATTGTCACTGGAAAAGGAATTGAACGCATAGAGATTATGAGCTGCCCGGAGGGTGCTAGTCTTGATCATTTTCTTAAACATTGCCTTTACAGTGGGATAGCCTTAAAATGTAGTGGCAGTGTTTTAAGTACAAATGGACAAACACTCAGATCCGGAGAAATTATCTATGAGTTTTAAATACTTTACCCAATGACAATTCTCCGGAGTCGCAGAGTAAAAGGCTAAGGCTTAGTAACTGCCCGAACAAGGCATCTAAGTATGAATGTAGGTTTCATTCCTTTTTTTAATATCGCTCTCAACGATGTTTTGATTTATATAGCATTGTATCGCGTAGCCCGTATGTGACTAGCTTGAAACCACTTTTTAAACATGAGAAATTTACATAAGCACGTTATCGGGATTAGAATAATAGGAGTGGGTAGTTTTTACAGACAAACTGTAAAGATTAATACTTAATAGGTAAATAATTAATGTTCCTTAAAAACTGTATCGAGATTGAAGGCAAAAAAATATTTCAGCGGGCAACAGGGAATAGGTAGCACGAAATAAAACGAAGTAAAATAAAAAATCCGTAAATATATGTTCATGTTTTATGTTGGTAAGTAGTAATAAAATATTAGTCAAGATAGACATTACTCACGATTAAATACTGAATAAACGTCAACTATTTATCCACCACCGATACCTAAGTAACATTTAAGTTAGTCGCATAGTGCACGTAATCCGATAACCCTAACGATGTTAGTAAACCAATGCTATACTATCACTATATAGGTACTAGTAACATTTTCAACACTTACGTACTACCCACCCTAAACGAAAGGAAATTGCTTATCAAACGCGAAACGTTTCTCCGCGTGGACTCAAGCCTCATGTGCATGACAGCTTTTGCAGAAGCTATAGAAAAGTCTATCAATAAGAGAAACTGCATTTCATTTAAGTCTATTTAAGCAAAAAGTGCCGAGTGTAAAAATATTTTATCAGCCGCGTTACGCGCAATAAATCTGTACATACCGTATAACCGCTTCTGTCATAAACTGTCGAACACCGATAGTATATAGTATTTCAAGACGATAACATCGATTCATAAAACCTTTGTGTTGCCATAAATACTGTGAATAGCCCCAACGTATCTCGATTCAAACCTTTTTGTTATTTACAACATAAATTCAACAACGATTCATAAGGGCAATGCGCCATATATTTTAATTTAGAAATAAACAATTGACGATAACCTATATATATAATGAGACGATTTGAAGTGGTGCGTTGGCTTATGGCTGTGTTAGAATCTGTTGGCGCTGGTGTGCGCCATTGGGTCGTGGAAGCCCCATACGCGGACTATCGCGTTGTCCATGGTGTGGAGGGACGCCCTGCAGCCGGCTTTCGCCTTCACGCAGACCCATCTGATCCGGCTGCCGTACTTGTTGACGCGGTTGAAACGGTACTGGCCTATCATGATCACGGGGTTACCGCGCTGGGACTGAGCGAAGACGGGATTTAGATCTGAAAGAACACCTCCGGTCAGTACCTTGTCGGGGACCTCGCGCCGCGACCGAAACGACCGATATTCACAGTGCATCACAAAACAACGGGGTAAGGTGAAAGATTTATTCGTCGTTAAAAATACAGCTCTAACTGGTATAACAAGTCGTCACTCATCAAACATTTCTAATTTAAACACCTAAGACGTTGTCACAAAAAACTTCGATCTACACGTACAATTATAGGGAGTGGCGCGAGTAGTATTTGAAAAATAATCGTCCTCTTTAAGGGAAAGAGTTTGGTCACATGTTTTTGAAACATATTTTTCCCATAGGTCTTGAATTTTACAGTGTATTTATAATAAATTATATTAAACGAGTTCACACTATAACAAACGAGTATTTCTTCTACATTAACCATTGTACATATACCCTATTAATTCTACAAACACTTTCATAAATCAAAGTCAAGTAAGACACACAGAAACCACGTTTGCTTAACACTATATACGATCACCGGTAAAAAAAAACTCACAGGATTCTTATAACACATAGGTACACAAGTTATATGACACAATAAAAATGTTTAATTATGAAATAACCCATTAATGTTTTTTTTTTTGTACTAAATCCATGTTACTTTTCCTCCTCTTTACCTCAGCTCATTGTTTTACAACAAAAAATAAACTTCTCTAACTGAAAAACAAAACTTATCAATTATTTGATTTTAACACCTTAAATGACCGACAAAGAGTTAACAAAATAAAACTAATAATTAAGTAACCCTGACTCGTAAAACGCATGGGAAAATAGATTTTAAATTACTGGTGATATTTCCCCATAGTTTCTATTTGCAATCATTAAGGAAACCTACAAAGTTATAAAATTTCAATGGTTACTTATGTACCGTACATAAACGCACAAATGTCATAACTATGAGACTTCGTAAGTTCTTTGTCACATTCTGACACGAAAGTACGAACTAATTTAAATGAAACTGGAATGGTGATAGCTTAAACAATGTCTATATACCACGGTTTTTATCCCGTAAAAATTGACTATATTACTTAGTAAAGAAAAGCGCGGATGAAGTCGCGAGTTACAACTAGTATGTACTTCGCGCGTTACCATGGCAATAGCGAGAATTGACTCCTGTCAACATTGAACGCTCTTAATTGGGTTAGCGATATTTACTTATCCATGATATTATATAAAAATAAACGATAGTCTAAATATGTCTATATTTAGTGTAATTACATTGCAACTCTATAGAATGCTATGTCTTTCCGTATCATACCTTCTACATCATCTGTCACATTCACATATGTATATGTCATATAATGTAGAGGAACAATTTTTAAACGCCACGCAGTATGGACATACGTCATCTATTACTAAAACATCATTGGTTGCATAGCGTATCGTGGTAGAGATCGGGGTGGATACGAGCTTCGTGTAGGTATCGTTGAGAAATTGGAGATCGCATAAGAAGTCGGGTCAATCATCGCTGTTGGCCAAAGCAAGAAGATAACAACTTTTGGCTTAGCATGAACAGCTATCTAGCTAGTGGATGCGAGCTTCGTGAAGGTATCGTTGAAAAATTGGAAATCGCATAAGAAGTCGGGTCAATCATCGCTGTTGCCATGCTAAAGCACGAAGACGACAGCTTTTGGCTTAGCATGAACAGCTAGCGCTCCACTCGTAAAGGGAAACGTGCGAGTTTCAATGGTTGTGCTTGCCGAGGGTCTTCACGATGACGTTGTCCACGGTGGTAATGGCGGCGGTGCAGCCGTACTTCTTCTTGATGCACGTCCAGCGCACCTTCGAGCCCCAGCAGGCGTGCTTGTTGAAGCGCCAGTCGCCGATCTGTACAATGAGGTTCCCGCGCTGCGACAGCCCGAACTTCGGCTCTGGAACACAGGGACAACGTACATTCCTGCCCGTAATCGTAACCCGAGTGCTACGAAGCGGTTTCGATATTTAAAATATTCGTACCCAAAAAAACTACTTAGAAACACACAGTAATATGTCCTACGACATTTTTTAAGCACAGAATGCTGGTCGACTCATGCTCTAAACTAAATTGAACGACGGAAAACCTATGTCAACATTTGTTTTATTAAAACTGCTCTTTAAAAGTTGGTTGCATTTTTATATGTAAAGTAACGACCAATACAAGTTCCTCTGCGAATTGAAAGCTACACATATCTTCGAAATATAGTTTTTTTTTTGCTACTATTTCGAAAATACGTAGTTTTCTTCACGATGTTTTCCTGCACCAATCGTTTCACCTTCTGAGCATGTGATAAATCACTTAAAATTCACTACTTTATTGGTGCCTGTACCGAAAGCGAAATGAAAACGTTTACTTTCACAAACTAAAGTAATTAACTTAAATATTGTGTGCAATACAAATATGAAATGAAAAATATTAAATCATTCTTTAATTTTTATTTCGATTAACAATTAGTTAAAATTATTAAGAAGTCTGACGCTAACTTTAAATCTAACGTACTATACACATAAAGGAATGAAACAATCAGGAAACAATGCATTTGCTTACTATGAACACACAACTCACACTGGCAATCTAAACTTACGTACGTACATAAACATTCACAACGCATCTCACATATTGTCAAAAACAAGTAAAGTAGATTTTCCTAGTAACATGAATATACTTACATTTATTAATTGCCGTCATATAATAACTATTATTCGTTGCTACCATAATTAAATTTTAAATCACCCAATACGACTTAAGAATTTATAACTATAAATATATAATATTCATCCCTTCAAACTATTCTACCGCTATATTCAAAAAAATAGAAACGATGGAACGTCACGTTAACTGACCTCACGTTCAGACAGGGTCTTTGTACCCTAATAGTTAGTTATTAGAGCACTCATTGGTCGAGTATTAAAACACGACCAATGAGTGATCTATTTATAGAACTATACTGAAGACCATGAACACAGTAACGAAAACTGAAGCTTCAATTATGAAGACCACAAACAACTGGTCCAAATCGCTTTATGTCTTTTCTTGATTATAGCTTAAAATTTATTATTGTGAGAAATTTGTATGCAAGTAGGCGCTTGTAATTTATTACCATAGATATCTACAACTCTTTTGGGGTGGTGTTATGCTCTGCCAGCTTTTATATTGTTTGCGCCCGGTACTCCCCGAGGAAACGCGAGAGAATATCAGTTCCAATTCATGCCGGAATTCTACGAAGACGGGCTATCCCCGGTCTAGTTCGCCCATTCAAACACCGAGAAGAGCTGCTGCCTGTCCCTACCACAGGGAAAGGTTAATGGTTGTGCCAGCCGTTGAGCTTCATCAGACGATTTTCGACCGTCACCGCGACGCAACGGCATCCGGAACTCTTCCTCGCCGTGCATTCCCACCAGGTCTTCATGCGTCGCGTCAGCTTTTTTATGAAGCGGTAGTTGCCCCAGGATATCGTCGGGTTGCCGAACTTGGTCATTTCAAATTTAAGGGCACTCGAGATACCTGAAAATTGGGGCAATGTGATACTTGTAGAAGAGTGAATCGTCAAACCAGAATTACTCTATTCTATCTTATCGATATAGCCACACATTAATGATTACGTAATACGAATTCGATTCTAAGTAACATCGAAAATGATCGAAAGCCTTGATCACAAAAACCAGGTTTTAGGACAGGTTGTAAGATCGATCAATCAGTTTTTACCAGACCTAATTTACGTTGAAAACATGCGGTTTGGTATCAACATCAAAAATCGTACAACAATAGTCAAAAAGTTATCTGCACAAAATGAAGTCAAAGGAAACAGTGCCAAAACCTTTAAAAGGTCAAGTACTACAATCGAAATAAAGAAAAGACCGTTATAGTATTATTTATTTACAAAGACTTGCAGTAAAAGATAAACAATTTTTAACACTTAATCTTATATGAATAGCGCATGTGTATGAGAGTGTGCGTACCATTTTTATAACATATGCAAGGGTGTCTCAGTGAGAGTGCTCATGGACCATTCTGACAATTTCGTCATCGACAGTGATCACAAACGAGGTGCAGCGCTCTCTGGTCTTGATACACTTCCACCTGGACGTGAGGCCATTACGGCCCATTAGTTTGAATCGATTCCCCGCCGTAACCAACACCGGATTGCCAAACTTACTGGTGTCATAATAAAAGTCAATTGATTTCAGACCTAAAATAGTTAAAAACTCGTGTCATTACTAAATTCCGTATCTATTACGCTAAGTAAATAATAAAAGTATTTTTTTTTTCACAATTGGTTTATTTTCATATTTATATTTATCCAAAATATAGCGTCCATCCATCAAATAAGTGTTACCAGACACAGAAAAATCTTGGACATTTTTTTTACCTACATTATATCGTATATTTATTGCATATAAACTTTATTACATTAAAATTAAAGTTTATTAACATTGGATATTTAAATTTTGTAGTGCCTACTTGCTTGCATTACAATTATGAATTTACATCCATAAGTTATAATTCAAAAGCAAACGACAAACAAATCCTTACGATATTTGTCTGTTGCGATCACTTGTACTTATTTGTATTTCCTTTACTAATATTAAAAGAAATTATACTTTCGTAACTACTCACTACACAATTAAGAAAATGCATTAAATACCACAAAGCAATAGATGCGTAAGCTATGTTGACACAATTGTCCCATCATCGTGACTAAACGTTAACGCCCCTCAATAACAGAGCATAGCCGAAAAATAGAGATTAAGAACATTGACGTTAATTCAAATAAGAATAACTATCGTTGTGGTTGTGATAGTTTCTAGTGAATACGAGCTGGTTGCCCACTGTGTTGACCCTGGCAATGCAGGCCGCCTTGTTGCACTTCCACGAGATCCTGTCACCGTTCTGGTAGTTCTTCGAGAATTTCATCCCGCCATAAACTAGCATGGTTGTCCCTTTCGACGTTTTGATGAACGTCGCAACTGCAATTGAATACGTTCGCCCGAGTTAAATAGACGCACACAATTATAAAAAAGACATAGAAAATAGGATAGACACCTAGGATAGACGTCTAGCTACCGTCTAACTCTATGATCACATGAGGTATGTTTTTCTTATTAATTTAATTTTGATTGATTTTATTATTTATTTATTTCCCTCGTGTACATCCTACCCATCAACAATTCCTTTTGGTAAATTTCGGAGGTTGCCTGGAAGAAATTGCTGTGTAGCAATAAGGTCGCTTTTGATGACGAATATTTGATAAATGTTTTGTTTTTTGTAATTTTTTATTTTTATTTTTCGGTGTACAATAAAGTATATTATTATTATTATTATTATAGACATAAAAAAACCCAAAGATTACCCTGTACCAGTAACATTGAATTCTGATGTACTGAAAGATGATTTGACGCAGCGTTTTAAACTTCAGCGAAAACAATACTGTGTTGTAATTCCTTGGTTAACAACACAGTGGTCTAAGTATTTTGAAACAGTGTCAAATTTATTATTGGAAAACTCCTTTAAATACCGAAACTAGCTTTTACCAGGGGCTTCGCATGAATGGTTCTTCATTTGCCATCGACAAAACATCCATATTCAGACTTGCATTCAGTAGGCTTTTGTAAATAGGGGACAAAACACTATCATAAAAACTTTTATTGTAACTTAAATAAATCTTATCTCCTTATACTTGCAGTTAATATCCCAGCTTATACGGTCCTCAACTTATTCCATTATTAATTCAATCTTTTCGCACAACATAAGCTATCTGAAGCTTACGTTGAAAGCGAGACCGAGAAGTTTTAGAAGGAGATGTTCGACAATCATCTGAGAAGGTTGTTCTCTCAATGATTATGACTGTACCATCCTTGACAACAATTCCTTGTTGATGGTATTTATTTTCTCATCAATAATTGCGGTTGGTCTATCGTCAATGATTATGGCTGTTCTGCCATTAATGTTGACAGCTGTTCTTTCAACAATGATTATGACCGTTCCCTCGGTGTTGACAATTCTTTTTTCCATTATTAATGGCATTAATATCCCATCAACGATTGTGGTTGCCCTATCGTTAATGATTATGGTTATCTACGTAGCGAACGACGCATTTATCTATAGTCGTAACGCGGGCACGGCACCCTTGCTTCTGTAGATTGCAGCGCCAGACGGCCTTGGGACTCGCTTTAGGATATGCTTTGCTCTGGAAGAACTTGTGTTGCCCGATATAAAGCTGAGGCCTGCTTCTTCGCGAGATACCGAAGCGTAGTGCAGCTGCAAAAGCGTAATCGACAATTTTAATTTACGTTTTCGTTTAACCTTACATGTTGTTTCTGATACATTTGTTCCCATATTTCCTTTTTCTTATACCTATCAACTTAACATCAAATTACCCGTCATTGCCTATTAAACTTTTTTTTTCGTATCTGATAAAATATCAATTCACGTGAAAGTAACTTATGGAATAATTGTACAAAAAGATGATCTTCGATTTAATACTTTATTATTTATCTTACACAAAAATAAACTCAAAACAAGTTTAAAATAGAGCAAACGCCTGAAATATGATTATAGACAATTAATGATAAGTAAAGTAGACGTTTACACAACTTGCTTACATTCTAAAATAGATACTTTCTAATATAAGAAGTACTTTTTTATGGTTTGATAGAAGTAAATAATAGTACATTAACATATAGTATAAAACACAATGCCGATGGTTTTCTGTGCTATTATGGAGATAAACAATGTTCTTTCACTCTATTACGGATAATTTTCAGATATGAACTGGGCACGTATGCAAAGTTGCAGCGATTTCTATTGCTTTAGCGCCTTCACAGTGAAAGATTAAATATACCGACGAGATGAAAGAAAAGGTATTTTGAAAGAAGGGATTTATTATGACAGCATTGAGTTTCGTGTGGAACGAGATACTCGAAGCATTCCCCACTAACAATTCCAATTGACTTCAATTAATTATTTTCTAAAAACCAACCCCAGTTTTTAGGGCGCAAAATTAATACAGTCGATCGGTTGCATGCAGCCACATGAAATTGACGTATATAGTTCATAAAACTTCTTGTTCGTACACATCGGTGTAGTTACCTATATTGACCTATTCATACCTACTTGCAAGGTGCCATGAACAAAAATATTGCAGGCCTACCAAGGCATATCCCCCACATTAAAAACTATCGATAAAAATAAAATTTGTTCGGTTGTCAAAGAGACCACTAAAAATTTATTAAATTATGTTACGATAAAAAGTTGATTAAAAATAGCCATGAATACTTCTCTGAATGTTATTGATTTATAAACACCCCAATGACGATTAATCTGCAAGTCGTCATTGGCGTATTTATATATTTTTTCTCATTCATCATTTCAGAAAAAATATGTCTCATCTGGTTGTCACATGGATGAATCGATCTCCCATGAGCCCTTCTACTAATACTATGCTTGCGAATTTTTAATATAATAATAACGCTATTTTATTGTAAATCGTTATTATTTACATAACACCACAGTGGTTTAAATATTTTGAAACAGTGTAAAATTTATACTTGAAAACTCCTTTAAATACCGAATCTGATTGGTCTAACTTAACTAGCTTTTTTCGGCGGATATTCTCTCATTGATCATGGCTGTTCTGTCATAAATGTTTACATCTGTTCTTTTTTTTTAATTCAGAACTGGCCAGCACTTGACTGCCTTCCCACCTGATGGTAAGTGGTGATGCAACCTTTGATGGTAAGCGCGCTAGCTCAGTAAAAACCTATTTACTGTTGCCTTGAAGACGCCTACGTTGTAATCGGACGGAAAGACGGACGCCGGCAGGTTGTTCCGTTCCTTTAGCTGTACGGAAGATGAATGACGAAGCGAATCGCTTTGTTCTTTCATCAATGATTATGATTGTTCCCACCTTGGCAACAATTCCTTGTTCTCTTGATTCATGGTGGTACTTATTCTGCCATCGACGATTGTGGTTGCTCTATCGTTAATGATTGTGGTTGTTGTCTTGGCGTACGATGCGTTCGTCTATCGTGATGATGATGGCGCGGCAGCAGCGCGGCTGACGAGTGCAGCGCCAGATGACCTTGGAGCCAACGGTTTCCCTCTTGTTGAACCTGTACTCACCGATCCATATCTGGGGCCTGCCCTGGCGCGAGATTCCAAAGAATGGTGCAGCTGCAAAAGCGCAACCGATAGTTTGGTAACAGTAGGTACACGGAAAAGCGACTACGTTAAATTTAACTTAAGATGTTGTTTCTGATTCGTCTATCCGCCCATTTTGTTTTTCTTACGCCTGTCAAATTACCCAGTAAACATTTGTAATTTTTTCAAAAAAAATTAAAGCTCTAAACAGAGGTCAAACTTTGATATTAAGAACATTGAACGTGTTCATGTTGTTCAGAGATACGCAAGATGCGTTAGCTGTACTCATCGTTGCCATTTCATGAATCTTATAAATATTTCACACGGGTGCATCTATTATGCCTAATTAAAGTCAGTACGCGGTTCGTCTCCATCGAATCAATACCAAACCCATAATTAATATCGCTTAATCAATAACCAACAATTATGATTAGTGCTATTTTCAATATTTTAGCTGACTTTAATAAACCATTTAAATTACCTTTAAGTTACCATATACTACAAAAAAAGGCACTGATAATAATAATAATAATAATATCTATATTTTTATCTTTAATCTATATTTCATATATTTTTATTTTTATTTATAAACCCAACCAGACGAGAAAACAAATGAATATCCCCCCTATAATAATAATAATAATAATAATAAACACTTTATTTGTAAAAAACATGGTTGTACAAATGCAACGTGATGTTATGTCATAAAATTAAGTATCGCATGTTTTTTGCTCTAGACGACCGTACAATTATTTATTGTGCTGTTCTTAGCACCTGGATTAATAGATATAATTTTAATAATAACTTTAGAATTTAAAGAAGAAACAATATTAATGAAAAAGTAATAAAAATAAAATAAATAAAAATATATCGATAAGTTAACAGTGGTATTAAAAACATATGATATCTAATGTACTTGCAGACTTAAAATAACATTGATACACTTAGCATTATTTAATTTTATTTACATTTAAAATTCATCTAAATTGTCACTAAGAAATTCACTTAGGTTATAATAAATTCGGTCATAAAGGATTAGCTTCAATTTATTTTTAAAATATAAAATATTTAAGTCTTTTATATTCATTGGTATCTTATTATATATTATTGGAGCCATAGATAGCCAAGAGACAAGTTAATTAATTTAAGAATATTTATCCTAGTAATTTTGATAGTTTTCCGTGTAAACAATCTCGTAGTCACCTGTGTTGACTGACCTCGCAATGCAGACCGCCTTATCGCGTTCCCACTAGATCCTTCTACCGTTATGGTAATTGTTCGAGAATTTCATCCCGCCATAAACCATGCTAGCTTGTGCTTTTCGTCTTATGGACCATGACGCAACTACAAATGCATAGGATCGCTCGAGTTAAACATACGTCTAGAACTATCAGAGGAAGTCTACCAGATATTATTATGATTCTGCCACGAATAACATGTGTTAACGACAAATAACCTTTTTTTTAATTTCATCCTCCAAAACAACACAATCAACTTAAAATTTAAAATATCATACTTAAACAACATTAAGGACGAACGAACATTGAAATCATTTCATCATCAATATGCTTAAAAAACCCAAATATTAGTACACTGTATCAATAACATTAAATTCTCACTTACGTTAGATGATTTTTATCAAAGGGTATAAGACTAAAACGAAAAAAAGACTGTGCTTGTGCATTTATTAATATAATAAGCTATTTAAATATAATCCCTTGTTACATAAATAACACAGTGGTTATAATATTATGATACAGCGTAAAATTAAATTTGGAAAACTCCTTTAAATACTAAATCTAGTTAGACATTCAGACATTCAGACTTGCGTTCAAATCCGTAAAACAATTTGTTTCAAAGATGGAACAAAATCATTTTCACAAAAACTTTTATTATAAACGTATACAAATAATATCTTCTTATACGTGCGGTTATATTTATACAGTCGTCAATTGATTCCATTCTTCATTCAATATTTTCGCAACTAAAGAATAACTATAAACAACTAAAGAATAACAGAAAACTATATACTAAGCTATCTGAACCTAACATTGAAAAAGAGAACGAGCGCTCAGATGTTTGATCACGAACTGAAAAGTATGTTCTTTTACTGATTACGGCTGTTCTGTTATTAATGCTTACAGCTGTTTTTTCATCAATTATTATGACTTTTCCCTCAGTTACGACAATTCGTTGGTCTACGATTGATGATAGTATTAATTCTCTCATCGACGACTGTCGTTGGTCCATCGTAAATGATTATGGCTGTTCTGTCATTACGAATGCCGCTGTTCTTTCGCCGATGCTTAAGACCGTTCCCTCATTGACGACAACTCCTTGTTCTTGATTGATGAACTGTTCTCACATCGACGATTGCGGTTAATCTATCGTTAATGATTGTGATTATCATTGTATCAAACGACACGTTTATCTATAGTCATGACGCGGGCGCGGCACCCTCGCTGCTGCCGGGTGCAGCGCCAGGTGGCCTTGCAATTAGCAACTGTGCTCTGGAAGAACTTGTGCTCCCCGATCAAGAGCTGAGGCCTGCGTTGGCGCGACATTCCGAATCGTATAGCAGCTGCAATGCGCAATCGACAATTTGATAACAGTACATGGAAAAGTTGCCACTACAAGTTTAACCTTACATCCGGTTTCTGATTATATTCCCATATTTAGTTTTTCTTATACCTGTCAATTTAACATCAAATTATCCAGTGAAATATTTGTTTTATCTAATGAAATATCAATTTACGTGATAGACACTTAAAACAAATGCAGTAAAAAGATGATTATCACTTTTTATTCGTCATTTGATTTATAAATTACCACAAATGTAATATTTTTGATTTATTGCTGATTGTATCGAATTTATAAGTTAGGTAGATGGTTATGACTATTTTTTACTAAAACTATTTTCCCTCGGAACGTGCAGACACGAGCGATGCACGCTATCTTGTTGCACTTCCAAGAGATTCTCTCTCCGTTTTGATAATTTTTGTACAGCTTCATGCCATCATGTATCAAAACGACGTTGCCTTTAGATGTAACGGAAAATATCGCCTCTGAAATGTAAAAAACCGACAAATGAACAACGAAAAAAACATTTTTGTGATAAACATCACATACAAACTTTAAGAGTACTCATTGCATTATGATGCCTGATCACTTACATCCGTTTTTCCAATATCAGTCCATGGAAATTATGAAGATATCATCTTTAAAAAAAATATTACCCAAAATAGGTACCTCCTTCATACTGAATGAATTCCGGTACAAGGGGTAAAAACTGTTAAATGAAACAGCCAAATCACTTTAAGCAGCGTGTAATTTAATTCGTAATATATTGCGGCCTATGTTAAACAATAAAGTAAATATGTACAAACAATATTAAAAATAACATCTATAAGTAGAAGATTCAGCTTAAGTAACAAATATAATAAGGCTCATAATTTATTGCAAATATCACCGAATTACGTATCGAGTCGAAATATCACTGAAGAACTATGCCTAATCTTATTTAGTGCCGCCCCCTTATTATTTACAAGGATAGATAAAACGGAGATCAGTAAGCAGGTTTACTTTAAGACATATCAAGGTTTCACATTAAACTAGGTTTAATTGCGACGATTAGCGTGCTCCGATCGGGAGTTAGGGGTCTTTCTTCGCGTCCGCCGCGGGCAGCCGGTGCCAGAGGTCCGTTTTGGGCATGATGCGGGGGAAGTTGAGCGCGTGCAGGGCGAGGGAGGCGGCGCGGGGGGAAGCTATCGACAAGGGGAGGATGGGGAGGGGCAGGGGGCTGTTGGGGGGGCGCAGCTGGACGAAGGCGCCGTTGCCGCAGCGGGCATGCGATGGTGGCGCGTGGTTGTGCTCGTCTCCGGAGGCCACCAGCTTGCCCCCCAGCAGCCGCACGCGCGCCCTGCACCCCATGTGCTTCGATGAGCAGTAGAAGAACCTCCCGCCGACTTGCGAGTACGTGAAGCCGCGCAGCACCAGTATGTACTTGCCCTTCTCGGTCGGTATGAACTGGACGTCTGCAACCGCTCAATAGGTTAGTACGGTCCGGGACGCTCCAACGGACAGCGCGAAAGCGTAGTCGTACAACTTTACACTAAGCGACACCACACAATGTTTTCTTATCACAGACAAACCGACAGGTTCGATTTGTATACATCTCGTGGCCGAGTCCAGCGTTATTTTAAAATATAGAAAAAAATACTTTACTGTCTTTTAAACAATTCACTGAGTTATAATTTCTATAATCAAATTAATTATTGCATCACAAAAATAAAGCAGGACTCCATTTAGTGCCGTCATGCCCGTAGCACGTGTTTACACGATCTAACAGAGACGCCGTCACTTACTAGAAGAGAGGTATTCACATAAAACACAACACATTCTAAATAAGCGTATATTTAATATAAAAAGCGAAACAAAAATTCCAATGCCAAAATAATAAAAATGTAAAAAAAACAAACGCTACTACAAATAAAAGCTCACATGAAAATTGTATACTTTCGTTAATACTCAACCGTGTCTTACCTAAGGGGGTGTTGGTTAGCGGATGCGGTATCTAAAGCGGTGTGTGGGTTCAATCTTAAATTACGACTTATACTTTGAAAAAGGTGCCGTCTCTGAACACGTATTTCGGGGGCGGATGGATGTGGGTCGTGTTCACTTGTAGGATCTTGCCGTCGGGTGTTCTGCGGACGCGCGCGGTGCAACCCTGCGCCTTCGACGAGCAAAGCCAGTGGGCGCTATAGTTAATCTGCGAGTACGTGTAGCCGTCGATCATTAGGAGGAACTTCTTCCCGCTGCGCGTCGGTATCATTATCGCCCTGCCGTCTGCAACGGACAACGTTCGTTGAACATTGGACAAAGAAATCGCAGCGTCTCCTCAACTCGCACATCGGCTTGTTGACATACAACAAGTATCGAAACCCTAGCGCATCAGCTCGATCACATTCAAAGTATCGAAACCTGACTACTCTAGGAATTGCAGGACGGCTAGGCGGACAAGAGAAAGGCATTTTGCGGTTACTGGCGTTGGCCAATGGAATTTATTCTAGAAATTACACACATACATGTGTATCACACGTGCTAAGCAGAAATGATCGCTAATACAAAACGCTTTTACGAGAGCATTCGATTAAACCCTATAATTAAATAATAATAATGTAATAATTTATTAATAAAATGTATATGGAATAACACAACAAAAGGGCGACAAGCTTAATTGAGACCCATAAGGCGTGGCGGTGGCCGCATTAGTTTTGAAGTTATACCTCTTTTGGCGTGGTTGGGAAAAATTATGAGAGTGAGTTTTTCGATGCGCGACACATAAAAGCGACACCGCGAAAAACGAACTCGTCGTTACCATGGCAACCAATAACATCTTTTAGACACTTACATTGCACTCAATATCTTTAACAAGCAAAGCGTACTGGCACAGGTGACAAAATTTTTAATTATTTATTTCCTGATGAAGTATAACTTCTTAAGTGCGTACTATAAGTGTACACACACACGCACACACATACACACACACGTTTTTTTCAACAGAATCTCTTAGATTTTGTAATAAGAGCCGTCCTTGAAGATGTAGTTTGGCGGTGGGTGCGTATGCTGCGTGTTGACCCTTAACACGGGGCCCTCTGGTAGACGGCGAACTCTCGCGGTGCACCCAGTCGCCTTCGAAGAGCACAGCCAGTGCGTGCTGTAATGCACTTGGGAGTACGTGTACCCGTCCAGCATCAGCAGGAACTTCTTGCCACTCCTGGTCGGTATCATGATGACCTCGTCTGCTAGAAGCAAAATGCGACTCGTAAATGATTGCGTCGGCCGTGCAGCAGGAACGGACGTTTGAATTTCTTTTCTTTCTTTATCGACAACATGTTTCTGGTACCCAAATTAATATGTGTAAGTGTTGCCAACTGCGGCCAACAGCAGTCCTCGCTGTTGCAGTAACGGGCAGGTCCGCCACGCAACAGTCATCGCTGTTGCAAGAATGGGCAGGTCTGACAAGTACCACGAACTCACAGAAGACCGGCGAGAAGTGGACCTACACTTACACTTTCGCGTTTCGTCTTATGAGTGACGTAACCGGGGCCACTCTATTAAAAGATGGCGACGCATTTCTAACCCTACGGGTGATGCAAACGTCGATGGCGCCTGTCACTTAACATCAGATGAAACGCTAGCTCGCTTGCTATCTTCTTACATGAAAAGGGTCACTAATGTTAAGTGCTAACCATCAACCATAGACAAATCCGTCGCCAACCTTCCAGAACTTTGGTCTCAGCTACTAACGAGACAAAATACAAAGATGTGAACAGTTCTTCTTTTCGTTGCTTTTCTGTAAGTCCGTGGTATTTCCGCGGACGAGCCCTAGCAAAGAATTGTGCAATCATCCAATATTTTTGTATTGTATGTACAATAAAAAAAAAAACAAATAAAAATTAAAATTACTTTATGTCAAATTTTAAAATGAGCATTGAAAGATTGATCGTGTGTAATTTATACTTTACAATACTTTTATTTTTATATTAACTGCGATATTAAAAAACAGATTAACCTATACAATACGAAATATTCCCACCAATTTCTTTGAGATTTGTCTCTTTGGCTTAGACCAAATTTAGCTTTATTTAGCTATATTTCCAGCTAATCCGCATTTTCGCATCTTGGTATTGTATACAAAATATAAGATATCACTTACATCAATATGAAGTCCTCAATTTCAATTTAATTTGGAAACATTTAACTGTCATCAAATTATCCGCCCTTGAAAATTTATGAAAAATTTATAAAAATGTAATAGGTATCTATTTGACCACAACTTTATATTAATATCCAGATCCAAATCTGCAATATTCCAGATTCTGCGGTACAATGGAAAGAAAAATCAAGCAACTAGCAAAAGACGCTTGACTCAACAAGCCTTAAAGGATGTTTTTATTTAGAAAATTTATCGCTGTTCTGTAAACTTGTGAGAACTAGTAGCGAGGTTCGTGAATATATTTAAAAAATAATAATGTTGCACGAATGGGCAGGTCCGTCCAGTACAGTACCACGACCTCACAGGTGATTGGCGTAAAGCGAAAGAGTAAAACTTTCGTATCTTTTTGACTTATAGTATTTTCTGGCGAGTGAGGTTTATTAAAAGGTGACAACGTATCCCATAGGGTTGCCCTACGCTTGTTGCAAAAATCCATGGGCGGCGGCTATCGTTTAACATCAGATAAACCGCCAGCCCGCTTGCCGTATTCTTATCTTGTATATATATACGCATGTGTATGACCTCCTCCACTGACCTCCTCCTAAACTATTTTCATTAATTTATTTTTTATTTATATTGCCTCTATTATGACTGCTGGAAAACCAGTTATTGGTAAAATTGTATGGTAACATACATATTTTTTGTTATATGTATGCAAACAGATTTTTAAACGAAGCTTTTTAACGGATTTTCATCATCACCATTTTAAATTGTTTTAGTCCACTGCTGGACATTTAGGGATTTCTTCCAGTTAAAATAGAACTGGATTTATGAATACTTAGAAGCATTAAGGCACAGGGCATTTAGAACCTTTAAATCCAATTCAAACGTCATAAAATTCGTGAAAATATTTCATTTCAAACAGAGCATTGTACATAAAAAATTAAAATAAGTACCCGTAATGTAAATTAATATAACGACTACTATTACACGTCTACTATCATTCCGAATCACTATCATATATCGCACCTATAAAATGAAATGTGAAACAACTGTGGCACGGCAATGGCAATTCTACGACAGCTGTGGTAGGGCCACTCAACAATCGTTTCTGTTGCACGAATGGGCAGACCCATCCGTGTAAGTACCACGACCTCACAAAAGATCGGCGCGAAGTGCAAGTGTTATACTACTGCGTTTCGTCTGGCGAGTGAGGTAGCCGGGTCCCACTTTATTAAAAGGTGAAAACGCATCTGCAACCCTACGGGTGTTGCAAATATAAACGGTCAGCGGTTCTCACAACATCAGGTGAACTGCCAGCTCGTTTGCCACCTTCTCACATAAAAAAATTACATACACATTGTTAAGAGCTGTCTTAACAATATTTTATATTAAAAAAATCAAAAATTTATTTCCGTATGTTTGTGTCGACAAAACTCAAAAACGAAACGGTCGATGCATTCATTTTTTATTTCTTCACAACATAGCTATTGAACAGGAGAGTATTTTTAAACGATTTTATTTAGCTCGACCCGTACGGAATTAATTATTTGGGTCAAAATTAGAAATTGAAATTTAAGCACCTTCCCGTTGTCAGATTGATCTGAAATTTGGTACACACATTTAATTTAGATGACAATACAATATTGTAGTTTTCAGTGCACATAAAATAATACCGTTTAACTTAAAAGTTTTTAAACGGTTTTATTTTATTATATACCTTACATTCCGAATTACTAATGGAAACGTAAAAAGAAGCCACAACGATGTGAGTCGGCGTCCAGCTTGTTCTTTATAGAACAGTATACAATCCTTACTAATATTATAAAGGCGAAAGTTTGTATGTATGGATGGATGTTTGTTACTCTTCCACACAAAAACTACTGAATAGATTTTAATGAAACTTTACATTACTATAGCTTATACAGCGTGTCGTTACCATCGCGACAATAAATGAACACACTATATGTGTGTTCATTTATTATATATAACTTTTAAAGTTGTTGGGATAACTTTCTAAAGTTGTAATAAACATTTAAATTCTTTAAACATCAATATTTACAGAGTTATTAAATTTTCCAAAACAAAGAATTTTAGAACACCCTTACCTATAAAAGCGTAAGGTAAAGTTCATTTGTAAAGGTCACAAAGCATATGAATGGATTGAATGAATTTAAAAGAGACAAAACATACTGTTAGAAAGAGAGGCTTATAATACGACGCTGTGGCGCGAGTTGTATAGGATGTTACAAATTTTGTTTCTTTTTTACTTAATTAGTTTGTTTGAAAAATATTTTTTGTAACTATGGATTTTGTTTAACGTTAGCGTTAGACGTGTGTTCATTTATTGTCGCGATGGTAACGACACGCTGTATATCAGAATAACACATAGGCTATAATATATAAAGATATTGTATGAATTGTCCAAATGATAAGTGTCAACTAAGGAAATAATTCAGCCATCTGCGAGATATTCTAGTGTATAATAAAAAATTCATTGTTAATTCCCTTTGGCCGCGCGGGTGAAGCCGCGGATAACAGCTAGTAGATATTAAATATGTTTCTTATAGACAGGCAAACAACTTTTATTGGCTCCAAAGATTGCGGCGATGGAGATAAGTAACTGTTATCTCTTCTTGATAAATTAACTTTGATTAGATTTTAGTGGTTCCCACCCGGCCTGCATCTAAAATTAAACATATCATCGCATTTAAAGTCTGCCGGCCCTAGTCTTCGTTACTTGACGGTCGCATTGTTTCTGTTATTGCTTTAATCGCCATTTGTAGTTTTAAAGACATCTTTCGTCTAGAACAGATAAAAGATATCGATGACGTAAAAAATTGGCTACACCTAGTCCTGCAGAGGGTCAAAATCACATCAGAAATAGTGAAATAATCTCAAATATCCATCCAATAGAAATTACGAGTATGAAAAAACAGACGAGTATGTCATTTTTTAATTTTCTATCACTATTACATAAACCTAACACTGGTTGAGTCTTTGATTAAATCTTTCGTAAGCGACATGACACTTCTTATTTTATTTACTCATAGGAACTTTGAATAGTAACTATGTTTATTGGTTTTTAGCATGTAAAGAAACCGAACCTTATATTGCGCCCAATCTATCATCATATACGAATAAGTTATCATTGACAACTTGAGCTATAAGGACCTATAGGTTTTATTGTAACCTTGTTAAATTTAATAAACTACGAACAAGCTAACTGGCGTCAATCATTTGAGCAGTTGTGCAACGCCATGTTCAAATCGTGAAACGAGTATAGACGACTCCGGGGCTGTGCCAGTATATCCGAGGCGTCTGTGTCTGAAAACAAAGAAAATTTATAAAAATATGTCTCTACCCTAAACTACTGAGGATTGTTGTTTAATTTCATACTAATTTTCACGGATCAAATAAATCTTCACCAGCCCTATTGCGATTTTAGACGACCAAAGAACCAGTAAATTATGGCTATTACATAGAGATGAGGTAATAACACGAATTACCGTTTTATTTATGCGAGAAAATGAAAAGCGAGCTGACGGTTCACCTGATGTCAAGTGATAACCGTCACCCATGGACATTTACTACATCCGTGGGGTTGCAAATAAGTTGCCAGATTTAGACAATATAGCTTTTTACTTTGCTTCCATTTTGCTTGACAAGAGAGATCAATCTCACACTCGTGATCGCCTGCTGATGTCTTCTGACCCTTAGCCGTTCGCTGTAATTATCTGAACCATATAAGTATGATTTTTCCTATAGCTTTTTTCTATCAGATTGTTATAGTTATATAAGACAGTTTTTTCTTAATGGAAAAGGAGGACAAAGAGCAGGCGGCAGCCTGATACTAAGTGTCTATCACTATGAACGCTCGCAACACCCAAGAGTCACAAAAACGTTGCCGGCCTTTGTGGAAGGAATAGACTTACTTCTGGAATGTCTCCAATTCGCATCGGCCCGGAAATACCGCTGGCGATAACTAATAAATAATGATTGTAAATGTAATAAACCACTCGCGGTTCCACATCAATTAACAGACGACATCCGTCCGTTGTTAAGTCTCAAATTTAATTAAAGGTTCTAAGTTAGCTAGTTACGGTGAGTAACTAGCTAACTTAGAACCTTTAACCCACTGTCATAACTTCAATTCTCAGTCGTTACAAAAAGGCAAAGGTTACTTGAAAATTTTATTAACAGTATGTACATATGAAATTACGTAATGCTATTTAACAATCCATTGCCATGTTAACTGAGCCAACAATAAGTACCATAATATCACAATATTACAATCAGTAATTCCTTTTTAGTGCAAACGTAACAAAGTTACCTTTAAAACAAAACTTTCTAACTTTAAAAATATTAATTTAGAATAAAACCTTTTTGAAGAATTAAAAAAAAGGAGATAGTTATACATACAATTAAATATATCGTTTTAGGATGGATACCTGTCGAGCCTAAATCCAATGTCTCTGGAAGAATGCTAGCTATTTTTGCACTAAACTTTAATTGATTAGCATAAAGTAAACTCAGAGTAGTCCAATAGCCTTTTTTGGGAAGCCCGGTCTTAAAGATCTGTGAATGAGACTAAACTTTGTAAATGAATTTAATTCTAGATAAGCGCTAATTGAAGTCTCCGAGTGTTGTCGCCGTAATAGCAAAATCAAATAATTCGAATACGGCTAGAATCGGAAAATATATAGTATAAATAACACTAACATAACACCCTTGAAAAAATAACCTTAAATAAAATTCTTTGCGCATTAATTTATTTTATTTTAAAAATCATTGTTTTATTCTATGGAAGGGCCATAGAATAAAATAATTCTGAGCAATAGAGGCATTTCACAAACAACAGATCACGAAGAATTTTCTGTTAAATCATATAAATTTAATCATATAATACGAATTTCAACGAGCCATCAATTATTTATAAATGTTGGAAATTTATGTGTTGTAAACATATCATTTGCTATGATAGCTTTGTAAATTTGGAATAGTAGCTTTGGAATATTTATAATTTCACAACTGTATTTATATCAGATAAAGGTTTACTTGAACCCAACAATTTATTGCTTTATAATTCACTAAAGTGTCGTTGTGTGATTCCACGACTGATCACCCCAGAAACACTGGCGTCATTTTATCACAACATAAAAGTAAAGTACTTTACTTTATCAGCCTATACATGTCCCACTGCTGGGCATAGGCCTCTGTACAGAGGGTATCAGGGCATAGTCCACCCTGCGGCCCCACTGCGGATTGGCAGACATATCTTAGAAATATTTTTTTTGTTACTATTTCGAACTTTTTTTTCACGACATTTAACAATTATCAGATTTATCTTCGTCCTCTTTAGTTTTTATGGATGATTCAAGGTAAACGTTTTTGTAACGAGTTTATATCGTGATTGAGAGGTATTTTACTCCTCTGCTATTGTAGAATTACACAGTAATATTAAACGACATAACTTTTAAATTATTCGAGATTAAATTAACCTCCTTTTTTACTCATTGTAAAAAGTAACAGCCTGTATGTATTATGGTATGTTCCACAGCTGGCCTCCTTCATACAGAGGGTGGATATAAGAGTGGATATATATATATATATATATATATATATACGTAAAATCACAATTGTCACAATTTCAATGATAACGGCACCAAGTTTTGAACTCACGTTGCTCGAGTATATTGAATCAGATGAGAGCGCCTGTTACTTATAGTATACATCACTTATCGAACATAAGTAAATAGTATAAAATACATAGTACACTCATTAATGGAATGGTCCCTTTGAATAATGCGAAAATATCCTTAAACATACATAAATATCTGTACTTTTAAGCAAAAAAAGCATTAAATTACGTGTGAGCAGGAACCACAACTATTTACAATAGTATCTATAACTGTCTTAAATTTATACCGTCAACAAAAATAACCTACATCTTAGTACAACAACGTTTCACCATAACTTATGGATCATATATGGATCATATTCAATAAATATTTATAACCATCCCCGATTACTCCAGTCTACGTGGGTTGCATAACCAGAAGGAATTGCTAAAGAAACGTTACACCTAATTACGTATACATTGAGATTTGTTTGAAACCGTAAACAATCCACGGGCAACGACCAACGATGAGTATTAACCGCTACTAATATCACTTTCTCATCGTGTTTCCGTTTCTCTTCGAGTTCTTCAGTCCGCTAGCTGTGGTTGTGATGTCCGTACCTCTTGATGACTTCCCCGTCCACGGTCGTCAATGATGCGATGCACTGCAGCCTCCGTTTCCTTCCGCAGACCCACCTCGTGAGCACTCCTCGGCTCCTCTCCCTTATGAAGTTCACCCCCTCGAAGATGATCATCGGATTGCCGCGGCGAGACGTTACGTACCGTACACCTGAAAACACCGCTTAGCTGGTTCAGTGAACATAACCGAAGCGATTGTACGGTTGGAAGAGAAATCGCAGCCCTAATTTGGTAGAGCGACAACGGCTTACATAACTCCCGAACGGATCCTGCACAGCTTTATGGAAGACCACCGCGATGTTTCAGGGTTCCGTACCCAAAGGGTAAAGAGGGACCCTATCACTAAGACTCCGCTGTCTGTCTGTCTTTCCGCCTGTCACCAGGCGTTATCTCATGAACCGTGATAGTTAAACAGTTGACATTGTCACAGTTGATGTATTTCTGTTGCCGCTATAACAGCAACATTAAAAAAAAGAATGAAAATATATTTAAGTGTGGCTCCCATACAACAGACGTGAGTGTTTTAGATAATGGTACGGAACCCTTCGTGCGCTAGTCCGACTCGCACTTGGCCATTTTATTTTCTTATTCTTGGTAACGGAAACCTGGTGTCAATAACCACACGCTTGTCTGCGCCAATGTAGAATTGAGTTTTCCCATTTTTCCATCCCATTGAAGTAAAACAAACTTCAAGACTAATAATACATACTTTAAATCGAATTGCCGTTTTCGGATGTAGTCATTCTTTATGAATGGGTAACGCCATCTACCGCACGACTCAAGGAATATTTCACCACGGCGCGACACGCTTTCAGAAAATGACGCAGTGTTTACGCAGCGGTGGCGCTGATTGTGAGTTTTTTTTTAATAACTCTTTAAATAAAAGACTAAATAATCTTAGTAAAACAAATATTTGCCCATAAACAAATATTTACTATCAAAATAATATCTGTGGACTGAGTTGGTTCCATTTTCAGGTATATTCATTTATACGGCCCTACAAATACCCATACGCAGTTATTTAATCTGTTGACGAAAAATTTTGCGCGCGCATCGTTTACCCCCCGAAACGGGCCAGCTTACGACTTGTAAAATTATAATGACTCTGTAAACAGGTCGTATACTCTCGTTTATAAAACTGACAAGACAAACAATATACACAACAAACGCAAATTGCATAAGCCGAACACCGTTGAAAATTGCGATTGAAAAATATCATTACTTCCTTACTGATATTGTAAACGCGAAAGTTTGTATGTATGATATTTGTTACTCTTTCACGCAAAAACTACTGAATAAATTTTAATTAAACTTTACAGTAATATAGATTATATATCAGAATAACACATAGGCTATAATTTATAAAGATATTGTGTGAATTGTCCAAAATATGGTTATGATAAGTGTCAACTAAGCAGGAAAAAGTTCAGCGGCCGCGCGGGTGAAGCCGCGGTTAACCGCTAGTCACCCAATATAGAGCGACATTGTCATATTTTAGTGTATATCTTTATTTCCTACCGCTAATGCTACCTAACGAGGTATATTGATATTCCAGTAAGTGGAACAGCGTAACGGATTTCTTGATGTGAATGCGCTCTTACGAACAGGTGATAGCTTGCCGGCATTCTCACGGTACGGTACACACGTCTCTGCAATTTCTATGCACCTTTTTTTCCAACCAAGGCACCCACGAGATGGTATCTCTCGGCGGCCGCTATCTCAGATTTTACGTAGGCCTCCGGGGCCCGGGAAAGTGGGTGATTATTTTATAAAAACAAAATGTATAATTAATTGCGACACTCTCATATCCGTGTACCTAATTAAATAAAGCAGCGTCGCTATATTAATTACCGCGACCATTCAACAATGCTATGCGCATATTCAATTTGTATGTGACCGCGTAAACTAAAGCCCGTTTCAAGGAAAGACGAATAAATTTAAACAATTCTTGTTATATAAACTACGAAACGTTATTGTAATGAAACTGGAATTTTTCAACCATTTACGCGCCCAAATAATTAACAATTGTGAGAATTTGACAAATGAAAAACTAAATCATTAAAATTTTTCATCTGTCAAAACCATCATAAAAAGCACGCTAGTAATAATTATATCAAATTATTACACAAACGTGACGGCGTGAACTTGACCGCTCCACTCTATTAAAGAATGCAGACATACTGGTGAAACCCTATGGGAAAGTTGCCTCACAAGCCGACACGTCGAATCAGTACAAGCTACCGTCATCAGCTGAATAAAACGGTGACAACGAAAGACGTTAATTGACGTCAAAACAACGTGCGATATAAAACAGTTGGTATTTATACACGTGATCAAAACACATCGAATAAGTGCGTCAAATTTTAAATGTATACAAATACTGTGCAGGTACATGTTTTAACACGTGACCAGAAAGCGTATTCATATTTTAGTATAATAACAAACGCATACATACTTCACGCATTAATAAGTTGCACGTTTGCCCTCCGAACACGTTTTCGTTACCGGACCAATCCAATTCCGATGCCAACTGTGGTCAGATATTATAACGGAACGCAAATACTTGAGCCAGTGTTGGTGTGTGTGCGAGACAAAAAGCAGTCGAGTATTATAATCGAGTTCAAATTCTTAAGTCTCCGTTAATCGCCACCAAGCCCTCCAAATCAATGTACACGGGGTAAGGAAGGACTATCAAAAGAACACCGTTACCTTTATAATGTAACTAAACTAATTCGTAATCATATAAAGCGTCTTCGCATGCACGAAATAAAGTCAGTATTACAACGACGGCTACACGCCGGCTTACCTGCAGCTGGCCCTAGAACTTCGTGAGCGATTAAAGTATTCCATAAAACCTTTTTTTATGTTAGAAGTGCATCAAAAGGCAGGACGTCTAGACATCCTTTTTTTTTTTCGAGTTCCCAGTAAGAGCAGGTAGAGGCCGAAATAATAGCGCCCTACAGCAGTCTGGCGTGGGTATTGTGACGTGCACAACTAAAAACCACGGCTACATCGGTACATTTTATTGAACAGGGTAAAACAATTTTGGCACATAGTTCACTTAGGCGACAAGTTCACATAAATATAATATAATAAATTAAAACGTACAAGACCTTATCGATACGTTTACGACAATTCTATTCTAACGTGAGAAACTCATCACTTTGTACTATTATACAACAATCATTGTTTGGATAACATTCACGTGGGACGATACATGAAACTAGCCATTATTCGGCCGAAACATTAACATTTAATCATCTAACGATTAGAGACTGAGAAATTCATTCGAACTCCGTATTCAATGGCATACGAACGCGACATCTAAACACAAACATCACTGACTGTAAATAACTTAACTATATATAAAACGTTAGTTTCTTCAACACAAATATAATTATCACCGCGAAGTCGAATGAACTTCAGCGTACCGATAAAGTTATAAAGGCGGTCCAAAAAGGACCTGGTGACTAGATAAGGACTACGTCACTGATGACGACCGTCGAGCCGTGCTCAGTAATCGTTCTCGGTGGGGCTGCAGTAGGTGCTGGAGACCTTGGGCGGGTGCGTGTGCACCGGCGCCTGGCCGAGCACCCGGTCGTGGAGGGTCAGTATCGAGGCGGGGCAGTTGCGAGACTTCCGCGACGAGCAGTACCACAGCAGCCGCGCCTTGTCCTGCCGCTTGCGCGAGTTGATGAAGAACGTGTTCCCGTCGTAGTACAACAGCCTGCCGCCCCTGGCTGTGGTCAGGTAACGCGCGTGACCTTGCAACGACATTGAGACCGTTAAAACTGTGCCACTCCCCGCCCCGGTGGCTGGACAACATCGAACTAAACGCACCATACCTCATTCGGTAATGAACGGAAAGTCGGTTTGCAGTTCGTAATGATTTTATTGTTTTATCATTATTCCTCTAAAACATTAGTCGCGGTCGCGTATGTGTGATATACATGTACCAAGTCTCGGGAACTTTAAAAGCTCTACACAAAGGGTGTCATTGTTGGCGAAGGCATCTAGATTTTTTCAACATCTGGCATAGTACGCGTCCAGACCGCCTTTTTATTCTAAAAGGAATGTCTGCCGCCATTTTCATCGCAACAGACAATAAAATGGGCGTATAAATTGATAGTACTGGCAACAGAAAATCATAAACACGCAGAAAAAAATATCTTATTTGCATTGTCAAAGGGGAATAGATATAGAAAATTTATATAAAGGATATAGGAACCAGAATTAACAAGTATTGTTTTGATTATCCTTCGCTAAATTCGACTAAATCGTAGTATTTGAACATTTGTATCATTTGTATTGTGGTCGAGTACCCGTAAATTATTTAATTGTAAACTAATACATTAGATTTATTAAATATTACCAACTACAAAGGCACCTATTATATGAATTAAAGTGCATTTATTTATAATTGAACTACACAGATTATTCTTAAATTATTCTCAACAATACTTATAATGATGAAATAGTATTTATTCGATTTTTATCATGAAATAAATAACATTAGTTCATGTGCTACAGTAACATTGATAAAATTTATAAATATATAGCAATTCTGAATCATCACATTATTGATATGGAGGCGAACACGTCACTACTTCGCCTTTATGAAGTACGCGTGGGAATAAACGATATCTTGAGACGGGTGGAAGGCGTACATGAAACGCAGCTTCTCGTACAAATTTCCCTTGAACCAAAGTGCCACTGCAGCTAATGACGCATCGGATATCTGCCCAGGAGGCAATCGCAGCCGATTCTGGACAAGATGGCGACGCCGCAGGTCGGCGCGTGCACCGCTACCGTTTCCCGCCAACGGCAGACCAGCCACCGGCTCCTCCGCAACCAGGTCACGGCCGCCACGCATCGCGCTACAACCACCAACAGCTGTTTAATCCGTCGCCATGGCGACTAGCGACTGGGTAGCGACAAGCCGCGAAAGCGCCGCGAAGCACTACAAACGCTGAGCGGCCGAAAGTTGCGGAACCGCGAAAGTTTCGTAAGCGCGGAGGCTGCGGCCCCGGCGGGATGGCGCGAAGGGTGGGGGTGTGGGGGCCGTGGCGCGTGGGATGCTGGGCTATCGATTGCCCCATCACCACGCGGCGTGCCACGCGCATGTCACGCGGCGTGCCGGCTGCTGGGTGTCACGCGCCCGGACGGTGTGCTATATAAACGTAGCTTTCGGTGGCCCAATAACTCTCGTTGCGAAACATCTTCGCAGACTTTCTATGTTGACTGGCCGCAATTGGCAAAAAAAAATCGAAATTTAATTTCAGAAGACGTATTTGAAAAAAGAACGATTGCAAATGCCCGTACTTTTATTCACAAAATATTTTCAAACGCTCCTCGAATATGACCGCTCTCTCATACAGGTAATAAATAACATATCGATCGTGTCATAAACTACTTTAGAATTGATGGTACGGGGATAACAATGAAAAATTCGGCCGCCCGGGGAGCAGAGTTCGCGGCACGCACACTAGCGCGCGGCACGCACACGTGCGACGCTCAAGAAAAGGAAGTACGTCAAAATTAGGGCATACGAGGCGTAACAAGGCTGTAGCTCGGGAGACAGCCGGGCACGCCCATACCATCCCCCAAGTTTCTTCTTTCATAACTTTGTACGGCGTATTGATCCATCACAACTGCGCAATTCATGGGCCCACGAATCCCGTGGAATATTTGAAACTCGCGAACGGAGCGACTCGAGTAATTGTGTCTGAATGTGTTGAAGGCAGTTTTCGATGTTAGTAAACATTACACTGTAATATTGTAACCAACACCATTACAATGCAAAAGTAAAGAAGTAAATATGTTTATTTGCGATTAGACGCTCTAATTATTTATTTAATGGCGATTTTCATACAATTGTTGTTTAGGCTTATACTCTCACTCTCAATATAATAGATACTTCAATATTTTTTTTCAATATCGACGATACAAAAAAAATATTAATAAAAAAATTTTAAGAAAATTATCATTCCGTAGTGCGCTCTGCCTTCATATGTTTAGTGAGTTAAAAAACGTTCTTTTAAAAATTTACAACCTCTATCTACTTCTCTGATGCATTTTGAGAGGTGCGATTTGAACATATATTATTCTATTTTCATATTTTTTTTTAAATAGGCCAAATAAAGAAATTAAATTACAACGTAAATGGCATTAAAGTTTGAGCGACTTATTATATACTGTTTTAATTCAAAGAAACGGTAGGTTGATGGTTATAATTTTTAATAAAACAAAGGTAATACAAGCGAATTAATTCATTCTTTTACAATATACAAAATCAATTCAATAATTTCTAAACATATTTCAGACCTAGACGTGTATGTTAGAAGCGATTTCAGAACTACTCGAAAACTTTTGTGCCTAATTTATATTTAAAAAAAAAACCAAATAGCCACTTACTCGTAAGTACAACGTTTATACCTCTATTATAATGTCTTGACAAGCCTATCTCTGCCTACCTGAGCCAATTGTAATGTACTTGCAAAATTGCTGGAGCATAAAGATGATTTACTTACGAACTTTTACGATTCTCTTCCGCAGATGAGAGACTGTTATGATTAAATGTAGTTCTTGATTTCGTTATTTCAACTCACATAATTGTCACTCTTATAATACTATAAAATTAATATAAAAAAAATAGAAAAAAAAATATACAAATCCTATTAAAATCAATAATATTACAAAAAAAAAATCTATAAGGTAATATCACCAAAGTATGAAATGGCAAAAACTATTTTTTCATTTCATTTCTTGTTACGACATCAACGGACTGAAATAACTAACGATTATCAGTTAAGCTAATTGGGAAGCGATTAAAGAAGCAGACTAAATAATAGGTCCTTAACTTCTAGAGGGATCTAGAACTATGGCAATTTCGTTTACACACACGCTCAACACGTATTTGAGTCGGACACGGCCCGAAAAGAGGCGTGTCGCAATTAGTAAACTGAAGTTATCTCTAGCTACCAAGCATCTAGCCAACTTCCCATCCGAGTACGGATCCGGTTATTTCTGGTTTCATACCGGCCCCAATGTCTTGTGCAACTCGCCGAAAACCGAAATTCGAGCCCTACTCTCCATAGCATTTTTCTAAATCGTTCGGAAATACAAGAACACCAAACTATTGATGCTCTCACCATCGACCACTTGGCTATCGTAAATACAATCTTAAAACGAACCGGTCGTTATAATAAAAAATCGTAATAAAAACAAAATACTCCTAATTTTAGCGACAATGTCATGTTTTACAGATATAGAAGGTTGAATTATTGGTCATCGCGTCGATTTAAACTCTTATTTCGTAGTGCCGAAGACAATGTAAGATATGAAATTAAATCGGCACTCGGGCATATTTATATTACAGCAGAGTATTATCAAAATAAACCTAAGTCTGATCTGTTACAAATAAACTTAAACCACGAGAAAAGAATTCCTTTAGTCAGCTTGAGCTTTTCTCAAGTTCTTTAATCGTTTCTTAATAATATATCTATACTTATTGTTTGGGTAGTAACTTTACTTATGGTTGCCTGTTTTCGTCTGGTGAGTGAGGTAACCAGGGCACAATGTATTAAAATGTGACAACGCATCTGCAACCCTACTGTTGCTGCAAATGTCAATGGGCGACGAATTACTAACATAAATGAAAAATCAGCAATTGCAATTGGCTAAAAAAAGTTACAAAAAAGAGCTTACGTTTTTCGTCATCTTAATAGCGAATGAAATGACCTAAATAACATATTAATATTTTAATCACGTCATCAGTTCCATCCTTACGTTTTGATTGATTTGATACAAATATAACGTTTCTAACATACACGTAAACTTGTACCTTAATTCAGTAAAATAAATCCTAAAGAATTCTTGATCAAGAATTGCTTAAAATAATGAGTTAATTTCTGTACTAAATTTCCTAAACTTAAAGGAAATAATGATCAGAACATATAGTGCGCAAAACGCGCGAATTTTTAATAATTAAAATAACTGAAACTTAATATCATTGACTTCTGCAATTAAATTTATCTATTTTAATAAAAATTAACGCTTTTCTAACGTAGCTACATACAAGCAAATCAACAAGACGCATTTCAATAATTCATTTCTAAATAAAGAAATTAGTGTAAAACACATTCCCGTGGGGATAATAGAATTTTAACAGTCAATATCATGAAGTTAACTAATTAAAATCAAACGAAATTCGGCAACATAATTTTGGACCCTTTGCTATAATTTTAGCGGCGCGCGATTTAAAAATATAAAAAAAAACATTAAGTAGACAAAAAAAATATAAAATCCTTTTGTACCGTCAATAATACTAAAAAAAATATAGTTGATAAAAAAAATGTAAAAATAAACGTTCCAATTAATTGATGATTAAAAAAAATTACATAGTCAAAAATAATTAAGTGGTAGAAAAAAAAAGCGCTATAGAAACAAAGTCAAAAATAATTAAGTGGTAGAAAAAAAAAAGCGCTATAGAAACACTAAAGTTCGTTAGTACCGCTAAGGTCGTTGACGTCATCGGGGGTCGGGTAAGTGCAGTCGGCCGGAGAGCGACGCCGCTACCTGTACCTATGGTAGGCGTCTTTCCGCCGCACGTACTTGCCGTCGGGCGTGAAGTAGTAGCTGGGCGGCGCGTGGATGTGGCGGCCGCGCACCAGGAACAGCACGTCGCCTTCCCCCGCGGGGGAGGGGGCCGTGATGACGTCAGCCCGGCAGCCGGCCATGTCGCGCGACGAGCAGTACCACTGCTTGCGCCCGTGCGCCTGCAGGTTCTTCAGGTAGAAGGTGTACCCGGCGTGCAGCAGCAGCGACTTGCCGGTCCTCGACGGCACGTATACCGCGGGCGCCGCGTCTGAACCCATCGGTAAACCATCAACATCCCACCACGACCGGCGCTCAGCGTACTGGGCCAAACGAGCGAATGAAACACGGGGCAAACGTAAATTTTACGTCGCGACACAAAGCTTTATTTACAGAATAATAAACACTATTATTGCATTGATTACCGTTAGTATTCTACGTCATAATTTGATCGATATATATAATTTATAAATAAGCGAATGGAGACGGAGACACGACTATACATGTATATTAGATAGGAACTGATTTACAAACGAGGTCTATCGCACGGACACTAAGCCACCGTCCACCACCAGGTTGAATCCTACACGGCTATAGTTCATATAATGTTCGGGTCAGTGTACGCTAGTTGGCGTTGAGCGAGCCGCTCGCGGTACAGGCGGAACGCCTCTTGCACGTTCAGCGAGGGGGGCACAATTTGTGGGGCGCTGAGGAAGCGCCCCTGCAACGGTCAGCGCGCGTGGTTGTGCGCCCCTGTCACCGCCACGACCTCCCGATGGAGGGTCCTCAGCGTCGCAGTGCACTGGAACTTGTTCCGCGCCGCGCAGTACCACAGCACCTTAGGCTGGTTCCGGTACGCGTTGTGCGGCCTGTAGTAGTACCCGTCCAGCGCCAGCTTCGGGTAGCCCTTCTGGTTGTAAATCACTTGCACTGCAACAGACCGTACCGGTTAATCGGGGCCCGCGCCGCCGGCACACGAGCGACACTCGCGTTTTTTTTTTTTAAATAAAACGAAGACCTTTTGCAAACGTTTCTCTTTAATATTTAAAAATAGACGTAATTAAAAAAACAGGTATCGTAAAACCTCTAAAATATGTTAAAATTCAAACGTTGACATTAAAAATTCGCCATAACGGCTTATTTGGTGTATCACAGGTAGCTAGGTGGGTGTAGGAATACATGAACATTAAAAATATCCGTTGTCATTGTCCGTCATTGTCTGTTTCTATAAACAATACTACCAGCGAGTTCCGCATCGAAGACTTCAGTTACAACTATTCAATAAAAATATAGATCCTTACCCTAAGTCAAATGACATCAAGAATAAATGAGGTAACAACTTCTATAACCACTCACACCCACAACCGCATAAACAAAATCATTGTCCAATTGTTTTCGTCGTCGCCTTTGAAAATACAAAGTCCCCATCAAATGCTGTGGTTGACGAAGACCCTGCAGCGGTGCCGAAGCTCGGAGAAGACGACCCGCTTCCCCAGGGTGTGGATGCGGGCGCCGCAGCCCCTGGCGCAAGTCCAGCGCCTCTTGCCCCGGCAGCAGCTGTCCAGGCGGTACCAGTGCCCGCCCATCTTCAGCAGGGGTCCGCCGTTATCCACCAGGGGGTCCGAGCAATCCACCGGGATAAAAGCTGCGCGGACCGTAAACAAACTTCGCTGTAAATAACCTCCAACTAACGGCCGGTTTCAATACTCTATCTACAGATAGATTTGGTTGTGTCTGTAGATAGAATATTGAAACTCTTTTAAAACTTGTCGTAACTATACCGTACACGCTATCCATTAACGTGCATACCACGAAAATTTTGCTTGACATGATACAACGTAATAATCAGATGGATGACAATGAAAAATTCATTGAGTAATAATGTTTTATGAAATATAAACAATTTAAAATATTTGGTACAGCCACAGAGAGAGTACAATGATATTGTAGCGTCCCTTAAAACGATCTTAGAAAATAAATAAGTTTCAGCAAGTGTAAAGGCTAAAAGGTACTCGAATAGATAACATCGTAAAAGTAACTGCTAAATAACAAAAAAAAACTTAACATTACTGGTTACACAACAATGTTCTTAAATAATCCACGTAGCCCAATAGTACGCCTAAGATCTTAGGTACGTTTAAAGCTAAGGAAATAGTAATATAATCAGTTACATGGTCATCATATTGTAATATATTATATTATATAAATTCAATCTAGGCAAAGTATCCCGCTAAATAGACGTGTATACAGATTTTCGATACGCCATATAAGTCTAATACAAAACTATCGCTCGTATCCATTTCATAAGCTTTTATACTTTAATCTAAGCTACGCTACGCCTACATATTATATTAAATATTGGAGTACTCCGTACCATCGCCTATCAGTCGGGCCGCGATGTGAGGCGCGGTGAATAAATAGAATTTTGTAAAAAAGCATCAACAAGACGGCTACGCTATCGTTAAAGCTATAATTTGTATAAGTTACATCTAAACATTTTGGTAAGAGAATATTGCACGTCCTTTCCATACAGTGATTAAATACAAATACTTATAATATCCAAATAATCGAGGCTACTTCGTTAAGATAGGCTATACATATAGATAAAGAATTAATAAACAATAACCAAAAACTAGTAGTGAATAATTCATTAAAAACCAACGAAATTTACGCCCAAAATCTTTTGTCGTATACTATATTTTTAGAATTTGGCCTAGAAGGAAAAGTTACTCTTATTAGGTGAATAAAGTACATACAAAAGTTATAAAACTATAAACGCCTCAAAGGGATCTTTAAAATTTAACAATAACAACGTTAAAGCTACACGCGGGCCCTCGGAGGGCCTCTACTGCCTAAAACATGTATCTTACGCGACTCTCCGTGTGTTCGGTCAATGTCTCCCGTTAAGGAAGCCCCGCACAAGGAGGTCGCGCCAGGCCTAGAGGAGGAGGGCGGCGTGGGGTGCGGGGGGCGGGGGAGGGGCCGCCATCGCGAAGGTCCTGGGGGCGAGGTTCATCACTATCTTGTACTTCCCCATGGGGTCGACCTGGAAGCGCCTCGACTCGTGCTTGATAGGGTTGTACGTCCGCGGGTGGTTGTGGGCGCCCCTGAAGTAGACCAGCCTGCCGTCGCGCAGGCACAGCGCCACCTGGCACCGCTCTGCCTTCTGGTAGGACCTGGCACAGCGCCAGGTGACGCGGCGCGGGTGCGAGCCGCCGTCCTCGTAGAATATGTGACCGTCCGCCACCAGGTGCAGGCCGCCGCGCGCGGAGCGTATGTAGAACCAGCCTGCAACGGAACACCGGCTGTAGACCGTCGAACGAACCGACCGATACTCTAAATGCACTACAGACGAGTATCTAACAGTATTTTTTTTAAAAAATCTCGGAGAACACTTTTGCTATTAAAAAATGTATACCGCAGAAGCGACGAATGCGTCAGTGAACGGTTACACACTGATCGATGTACCTTAATTCTAGCAAAATTCAGTAGCAGTTTTTGTGAATCTAGTTGGCCAGGTGCCTAGATTTCGGGAAGTTCTAGATGGTCGGAACATTGAAAGGAGGATGATTTAAGCTTCACAAAAAAAGGAACCGAGAATTTAAATTTCAACGATCGAATATAATTTTTTTCATTGCTAGACCGTCATTAGATTAAAAACAATCACCTTTTAATTTATGATAATTTAAATACTCATTAAGCACTCACGTAGTTTATACAAGAACGGTACTAATATCTTGTCCAGAAATCGGAGTCGTAACGGGTTCATATACGTTGTAAATATTCATGAAAAAATACAGGATGATACAAATAAAAGATCGATGTAATTCAGATCAATATAATCGTTTCTTTGTACCTATGCGCGAGACATTCCGCTCGTAACTTTACTCACTACACGTATACATTCCTTTCGTTTGCCTTCGCTTAAAGCTACCATTATCCACAATATACTTTCATACTAAAATAATAATAATAAAAAAAACATCTTATCACATACGCAAAATAATACTTCAAGAATAATACTCGAAAGGTTTACTTAAACAGTAAGTTCGTATACATCTCAATTGGTACAAACCGGTATAAACGCATGGTAAACTTAGTTCCGATAACTGAAGCGTCACAAAATTATATAACTAAGTACAATCATAAATATCAATTGCATGTTTAAGTACTCACCGAAAGCAAAATAATGTAAACATACTTATAGTAAAATAAAAAATCTCACTAAAGAAATAAACTTATCAACTATACGTATACATTGAGTATTATATAATAAGTGGATCATTCAATAAATGCAGACACCTACTTCGACGCCTCGCTATCTCGTATACAAATCATGACTTGAATGGAACAATCACTTTCCGACAACATAACCGTAACTTTCCAACCAAAACCGACCGTGCGCGGACGCAACTCCGTCTCAACAACCATTTCTATGTACAATACTCGAATAAAATCGTAAAAAAATATGTAAAATTAATGTATAAAAATACTTAGGGTATCATAAGAGACCTATCACTTTGTACAACAAACTGCAACCACTCTTCGCGAGAGGAAGATCGATCCGGGACAGAGATCCCGTTAAGAAAAAGAACAATCCTATCGTAACTATGTTAACATTCATCGAAAAATTATGTTCAATAAAACTATTTAGGGATTTGTTAGCCATTAAAATAGTATAGAGTATACGCGGTTTCAAAAATATGTGGCTGCGCGGTTAAAAAGATGCATTACACAAAAATACAAGACTGCAAATTGTCGTTATAGTAAATATGTGGGTATATAAAAGAACCTATACCTTATACGGGGTGACTTACTGTACAGTCGTCACTCGTTTATGCTTACATACCGTTAGATCTCTTTGGGCTATGGTTAAACGTGAAACGGGCGAGCAGACGCCCTACGGACCTTACAACAAACGTTAATAGACAAGAAGCGTACACAACCGACCACCGGCGGGAAGGCACGAAAGCAAAATTTAGACATCCCCATCGAAAAGATCAATTTGTACCAGCCTGTTAACACCGCAAAACCGGACTCCGACGACCGTACCCTCGTCATAACTAAATGAGATCACGAACCGTGCCACAATACATAAGCTCGCCGGTGGTCTCCTAGGATGGTTAGACGTGTCGATCTGTGTGTGCTGTGCTAGCGGTGACCTTTAGAACATGGGTCTCAGTGGGGTGGCGCGTACGCCGCACGTGTGCGCGCTGTTCATTTGGACCACGCGCAGCCCGAACGTGTGGACCGCCGCCCGGCAGCGAGGGTTCCTGGAGCACCGCCACCAGACCTTGCCGCTGGCGGCGCGGCCGTTGAAGCAGAAGCGGTGCGCGCCCACCTCGATCGCGGGCTTGCCCCTCTTGCTCAGGCAGTAGCGGAACTGTCCCGGGAAGCACGGGAACGGGAACGGCAAGCCCAGGGTGGGGGGCGGCTCTGGCGCCGCCGCAACGCCTGCAACCGAAACTTACCCGTTAATACCGTGCCCCAGACACCTCTGCGGTTTCCAGCCGGGTCACCATCAACCCCATCTGGCGGCAGAGTTGGTAACTCACACCAGATAAGATCTATCGTGAATAAAATTCATCCACGTAAGTTACCTCCAAGTAAAAAAAGACGCTCTCTATCCGGTCAATCAAACAACTGACTGCGCAATAATGCAGTGATAAAAGACGGAGTTTCGGGATTGAAGTTGAATAAAACAATAATTATCAATCATCAAAACATCTTTATAAAAAATAAGAAAACGTGTATCTTTTTATTAAGAACCTTATAGTCGTGCTAAGAAATAGATCCGTTACAACAATCGAACGACAATAAAAGACATAATCATAATCAACAAAAAGAACTGATTGGGCGATCAAACGAAGGTAATCCTCACACCTCGTGATCGGTCGACGTCGCCTCGTCATGGTCGTGCCTGCTGAAATTGCCCTTGCGCTTACGTTGCTTCACGTAGTGGATGTGGCGGTTGCCAGTGGCGACGAGACTCCCGTCCACTGTGACCGCGAAACATTTGCAACCCGTGTCGGACTTAATGCAGAGCCAAGTGGCGCGGCCGGTGCGCATAGGCCCCGCTCGCCTAAACCTCTGCCCGCCCAGCACTAGCACAGGGTTGCCATATCTCGACACGCCCCAGTGCACTGCAAACACGCACTTATACTACCTAACCTTCGTGGCGATATAACCTACTCTACTCTGTTTCACTAAATAACAATTATTTCATTGCCTTATACATAAGAAACCTAACTACAGATTTACATTACAATACAACTAACCATACAAAAAATACATCTACTCCTACGAAATCAAGGAAACAATAAAATTTACATAAAAGAAGTGTTTATCCATACAAAAAAATGTTTATTATATACGGACAACTCTATAAAATTTACAATAGACGCCTGATTTACGATGAAAAGCCAATTTCTCTTCATACACTTGGTGATTACCAGTGTTCTGATTATAAAAATATTTTATTGGGAAAACTAAATATGTATAACACGTTGGTAATTTACGTTAAAACATTGATTACGTAGGAATTAGTTAACCAACATTCTGAGAAAACAATAGGTGCGTAATGAAGTTAGGGACAGATAAGAAATTGATGAATATTTTAACGACGTAAAATTGCTTCATACTTCCTCTATAATTCCCCCCCCGACACATCATGTATATTTTATGATACTCTATAAATATATTTTGATCAAAATATATGCCCGTCGCATTTGGAGGCATTTCGATTTCTGAACTTTTATTGAAAATGAACATTTAAATGGAATGCATTCGTTTAGAAATACACGATGGAATCTGTTCTGGTCACAGCCTAAGGTAGGTAGGGAATCATTCATTTTCTATTACAACTAACGTGCACGTCACATTTGTGAGCTACGTGCCCTTAACCCTGTTGAGCACCATATTGGCCTGCCACTCATTGAAGAGCCTCTCGGCGGAGACGTCGAAGTTCTGCGGCGTGAAGTTAGGGTCGTGGTTGTGGTCGCCTTTCACGCGGATGAAGCGACCGTCCATTGTAGTCTGGACCCTACACAGGCAGCCCCTCGTGTCCTTGTCGCGACAAGCCCAGTTCAGCTTGTCTCGGTACTGGTTGTTGACCCAAAACTTGTTGTGACGGAATATCAACACCGACTTCCCGGCTCTAGACGGCAGGAAGAAGGCCTCTGCAAGAAATTAAACAACATGAGTCGATGCTATGTACTCCAGAATTTTCTTTGGGCTCGATGAGCCACTGTTGGCCTTAGGTTGCCTTTACAATTTTCTCGAGATTGGAATATTTTTTTATTTCATTCTGAAATCACTTCTGTATCATACTTCATTATGTTTTTATGAGACACATTGAGTTCATTTTAATCAGTACAAATTTTATGGGGCACACTTAGTAAAACTCACACAGATTCGTTAGACTGTAAATTACTTGCTATACGCAAGTAGTATGGATTCTCGTGACTAAGGGTATTGTTATGAGCAATCGCTTCCCCTTCTCGTTGCTAGCAGCCGTGGGTTTAAGCCCAGGTTGCGCCGTTACAACTACAATAAGCGAGCGGCCTCGAAGAGAATCCATTCAAAGCGGATTTTCGCTTCCCTCTCTCGCCCGGCATTGGGTACTTTCATCTCTCTACGTTTGAGTAAACATAGTAAATAATTGCTTCAACCGCCAACTTAAGCTTATGGCATATATCCAAAAGGGAATTGATCGACAATAGCCACTTATCAAAGTTTTTTTTAACCGTACAAACAAAGCATAGGGTTCATAATACTAAGAAGTTTACAAGAATGATAAACAATAGAAGAAAATATTGCAAAAGCAATATTTTCTTCTATTGTTTCTCATGTTAATAAAATATATTTATACGGATATATATATATGGATAAAATCATAATTATTTCTGATCGATCTTATATTTCAAGTCTCAAGTTCATATCATATTATGTAGGTTCAAATCAAGTTAATTGAAATTCATAGAAATCCCGAAAATTTAAAGAAACTACATGAATCTGTTGATTTATTTTAATTCTTAACATATATTCGTCCAATATCTCAATTCCATCTCGGTAATAACTCGCACCAGAGTTGCTTGCTCCAGTTTCCACGTAACTTACCGAATGCATAAAGAAGTTTCCTTTTTTAAAATTGTCTACCTTTTTATATAATGGCCTTTACAAAATACGTTTATTTAATTCGGTGCCGACTGTAGATACAGAAAAAAAAAGCCGATAAATGAATTAAAACCGTGTTTATAGAAACATAATTTTAATATTTAATTCGTAATGAGTAATACTCTTAATAAATCAACGAAATCTTAGAACTATTAGAAAATATTAAAAAAAAATTAAATTACACGTGTAAATTGTAAAACTGAAACAATGTTAAAAGGGAATGTTCAGTACATCGATTATATCTACTAACCAGACGTGGTCCCAGTTTGTGGAAGGCACTTTATTTACTTAAATTTAACGCTTATAACGCGTAATAAATAGCCTAATATCGAAATTGACATTATCAATATCATAAGTACATTAATATATAATTTTTTTCTCGATACAATTTTATTTTATTTAACCGCCGACGAAACTCATTATCACATAACTCATCAACCTAACGCTCGAGTCAAACTTGATTCGCGTTCGTATAATTATTTCGCAATAAATATAACTGCACAATATCTCAAAATTAACATGAACACTTATTTCAATCGTACAACGAATATCAAAAGCACCGGTATTGCAAAACACGAGTCAATGAAGTGGAATGATATATAAAAATGTACGTCTTTTCCTAATCAGGTGGTAATTCTTTCCTTAATAAACACTTACAATAAATTCTAATATTATATAGATTATCAGTTACAGTCTAGATTGCTTAAATTTCACAACACTTTCAATGAACAGATATCGAATCACATAAAGAGGCATCCAACGGATGTATGGAATGTTGCGGAATTTTGATCAGCGCCAGATCCGATCCATTGACACAGATAAAATATATGATTAAGATTAATCAATAATTTAGGATATTCCTCAAAAAAATATCAGTGGAAGAGCAGTTACGTAGAGCCCTTAAATGGTAGCGTCGTCGCTTTCACGGAGGCAAACGACTGCGGTTCTGCAACCCCCCCAAATTACCGTAGTACTTCCGAAGCCGCCACAAATACTGAACACTGATAAAACTTGGGGGGATATTCTCAAAAAGTCGACAACGAAAGGATGCTCGTCGACGTTCGTAAGCTCCGTTCCATCGAGACCCGAGTTTCGGTGGCATCAAGAGGTCGGTGCTCGAGGCGGGTGGTTGTGCATTCCCTTCACGGCGACGACGTTCGCGCCGAGCATGTGGATGCGCGCCTTGCAATTCGTCTTCTTCGAAGTGCACCTCCAAATCACCTTGTCCCTCAACTTTGACTCCTCGCAGAATGGGAACGTGTTCACCATCATGATCACCTTGCCGCGGCGCGATTTCAAATACTTGATTCCTACGGCAAGAACGATTGTCACGGTTTAATCATTGACACATGGCCACGCGCTTCGCATCCCACCACCATAGAGTTCGTTGAGTGAAACACGGACACGGGCAAAGCTCTCACTTCGGCCTTCGGGGAAATGAAACTCACGATTATTTATAAGTACAATGTAATATTTCACAAAACATACCCCCATACATGAACCCAAGAATTTCCTTATCATTAATAATGGTAAATACAAAATTACACTAGGTTAAAGACTTGTAGAGTAGTTAACAGTAGATGAGGTAGATATATTGAGTGATGAAGAGGAACAACTAGTGTGGTACTGGTGTAGTGTAGGGCCGCGGCGTAGTTTGTTGCGAAACGCAAAAAAAAAAAACTGTACGAGAATGCACAATGAGATTCACGATACAATACATAGGGGAATCATTCATAACCAATGCGAATACAAACTCTTTGGAAGTGCTGAGACTGGTCAGTGCGTTTAAATTCAACCATATGGAGACAAGCGGATGCCTCGGGGATACCCATCAAACACGCTATAGTAAAATCGTATCTTATATAATTGACGCATATTGTCATTGCTCCTAATATTAATTAAAATTATGTTACACAATTAGCCTACAATTATAACACATGTTCTACGCCGCGACCTAATGGGTGTAAACGTGAAGTGAGTGACACACACGCGCATTACAACGAGTCAGATGAACATTACACATGTAAATATTACTCAAAAGGAGCGAATACATTTCAAAGGCTTAAGACTAATCAAATAGATATCTGATTGAACGGTGCCCATCGGGAAAATTACCTACAATTAAACACAGATCGCAAACAACATATAGAACCATAAACACTTCTAATCCAAAAAATCCCCTCATCAACGTCGCACTTTCGTGAACTAGGATTTACATTCTACATTTTCAATGTAAGTTTTTGACACGATCTATGACAATAATAAATCCTTGGTAAAATATTTCAGCCCCGCCGCATCGTCCAAACTCGCATTAGGACCTCACCGTAACTAAGTCATCTAAACAACAATTACAATTAGTCAAAATTTGTACTTAAGTTAAAGTTTTAGAATATACAAAATAAGCAGGTCCACGATTTCATTGAAAAAAAAATAAAAAAAATGACAAGCAACAAATCATTTCTCGAAAACAATCAATAAAATATATTCAGACAACAGTCTCGTAGAGTGTCCATTTATCTAAAGTTACCAACAGAGAACTATCGAGTAAAAGTAATAACTATTCAAAGAGGTAGTTGAGTTTCAATAGTAGAGGTAATTAATAATAGAGGGCGCGCCGGACCCTGCGCGGCGTACCGCCCCGACGCGCCGCGCCTAGCCTAGCCTAGCTTAGCCTAAGACACCTTACTACAGTAAAGCTTCTGAGTATTCATTCGTGTATATAAAATTGTATAATTAAACTAATCTGTAAAACCCGTATAAAAGTGAAAGAGGTAGTTGATTGAGCTTAAGTACTTAAAATCAATCCTAAGAGCAAAACATCGACTGTAGACCACCCCGGCGAGTGCACGCGGGGAGGGGGGTGGGGGGCCGGAAGCGTTCACACTCGAAGTTAGCAGGTCCACGAACGTAACACCTGGCGATGTCGCTTAAAGATTAAAAAAAAGGCGGAAATCCGACTCCCTAAGTAGCAACATTCGAACATGTAAAGTTTCAACTCTCAAAATAAATAATGTATTTCTAATTGCAGTCCGGGGGATCATCGTATCGCTTACAATCGAATCGATTTCGCATAATCAGTCGCCGACGCGTCGCCAGCGGCCGGGACCGCTGGCCTTCTCCCTCCGCCGATCCCAGACTAACCTGCGGTCGTTCTCGAGTCCTGTGCCTAGCCTACCTCATGTGCGTCCCGGATTAGAGTGGGCGGTGTTACAACGAACCGTTTACGCAAACTGTTAACGCTACGGCAACGAGGCCGGTTTGCAGTACACGGCTGGACTAGTTTATCACGTCGACCATCAAGTAGATGACGTATCGTTCACTGCAAACGGTCTCGTTTCGTAGACAGTGGAAACGTCAACGTCCCACTGCTAATGCCGGCTCACCTGTCGCCACCTGATCTGATGCCGCTCCGATGGATTGAGCCGATAACAAATCATACGCTGATTGGGTACGGTTCCGGATAATAGCCATCTAAATATACTTGACACCGACACACCAGACACGAGAGGCGGTCTTTACGCTTACACAGGCGCCATCGCACTTTAAATAACCACGATACACGATGTTATGCCATTTCAAAGAAGATATACCAACAATTTTAATTTGTGCGACAAAACTCCCTGGTACTGTTGTTCGAGATTAGCTCGTCGATGGCAACAAAGAAAAATGCAAAGACCGCCTCCATAAACATTCAGAAAGTTCTTACACATATAACATCCTTACTTGCCCTATTCGTTTCCATAAATAACCCACACCTATATACGCATAATTTTATAGACCTCGAAAAGACCGCTTAACCTACGTGTCGCGTGTTAACACCATCCATCTACCGGTGGTCGTAGCGTACACAAATGCCTAATGCGCGACGCGACACATATTCCCGACCTAAGGAGGTTCCACATACACATACCAATATCAAATAACACCAACGATACCATCGCTCCGCTATTAAACACCATCCTATCCCCATTTAGCTTATCTAATAAAAATTAATCTAAATATAATTTATCGCTAAGTTTCGTACGGCCAAAAAGGCTTCGAAGGCGCATCGGGTTTACGATGCGCGGTCGTCGTCAGAATCGTCAAACTCATTGCGCCGTGCGAGGAGCGACCAATCTAGTCCTCCTCGATGCAGGGGGTGTCGACGAGCAGCGGCTTGGCATTAGGGGCGTGCGCTGCCGGCATGGAGTTGGGCGAGTGCTGCGCGGGGACGTTTGTGGCGGCCGACGTTGTGGCCGTCGCGTTGGCGGTGGCAGCGTGCGCCGCGTACAGCGCGAGCGCGTGTTGCAGCTGCAACAGCTGGTGGTGGGGGTCGAGGGCGGCGGGGGCGCGGTGGCCGCTCTGGTGCGGGGTGCGCACCACGTACCGCCCGTCGGCGAAGCGGCGCACGTTGGGCGGCGCGTGGTTGTGTGCGTACCGCGAACGGACTATGCGCTCGAAACCCTCCGGGCCCTCGGTGTTCACGTCGGCGAGGCAGCGCGAGGTCAGCCGCGACGAGCAGTACCACTGCTTGCGCCCGTGGGCCAGGTTGTTCTTCAGGCGGAACGTGTAGCCGCGGTGCAGCAGCAGGCGGCCCTTGCCCGCGCGGATGAAGCGCGCTGGTGGGGACAAAACGGAACGATCAGTACACAGCTCCCGTACTACCCGATAGTTCTGTTCACGATGCAAAACCACAGCGCTCCGGTGCGAAACTTTCGAGTGATTCGTTGATTGTGCATGGTGAACATTCCACGTCTACGGATAACAGTAACAGTAAAGTAAAAGTACAATGGTATAGAGTCGTGTGACGGGCAGTGGGTGGGTGGGGATTAAATAAAAGAGGCTAAGATTCGATCTATTTATTCAGCACATACACAACTCGCAATTTCAACATTCAATAATGATTAGGAAGAAACATTTCTTTGTACAATTACCATTGGAGCGTCCATGCGATGGACACTTCGATGAGCAAAACATTTGGCACGAACAAATTTTTGACACTGAGCAAGGATTCGCGTGAGCAAGGAGAGAGGTTTACCCTAAACACTACACGTGGGTAAATGAACAATCAATATTGTTTCTATGAATTAGCTAACAAGGTAATGGTTAAAACAAAGAGTTCCGTTACACTAGCAATGGAAGGAAGACTAGCCTTATGAGAAAATTATAATTTTTATATTTCAATTACTTTTACCTCCTAAACGGCGGCGACAAATTTGTCGTCACTAGATGGTGCCTCTATAAGAAACCTTAACTATCTAGAGTCACTCACAAGAACAAGATCAAAATTTGGCACCTAACTCTTAACAATAAATTGAGATCAAACTTCATGTGGCGAGTTAACTATCACAATAAATTCTGAAGACGCAATCGGAAAATAAAACTCTGACTAGAACGACATATATGACACGTTGAATTATCTAATGTAGTGGCACGCGTGGCCTTATAGTCTGATTTCGTAAACGATTCCAATAAAAAATATAAACAACCGACAGAAATGTCGGGAACCCAATACATCTAACTTTTTCTAACTAAGAAACGGTAGTGCACTTAATATTTATTACTTAGAACTAACGTATGCGTAGACGCTAAACATATGGACACCGCGAGACAAGCACGGAGGAAATTTGATGCAAAGGAAGCACAAATATTTCATCATTGCTATGAATAAATTTTAACAGATATCATAATCATCGTAAAGTACAGTGAAAGTAAACTTCCGCAACTGGAATCCCATACGTGGTATTAGTACCGAACAGATTTTAGAAATGCGCTATTTCCGGCTCTACAAAAGAAAAAATAATATCTCGGTATTATTTCTAGAAAATTCCATCGGCAAGTCGACAGGCCACTAAGCGGCTTGTCTCGCAACGTGCCTAGAAGATCCTACCATTGTGATTTCAAAATTTCCCACGAATATTCTATTGATATACGAGTTTTATATTGCACCGATTCGTCCGCCCTTCGGCCTTATGGTTCAACAACTTACTAACGGACTAGCCACGTTTCGATTTTAGTGGAGCCGTAGTTCCGTCGAGGACAGTACCACAACAGACTTTATTCCAGCCACGTGTTACAAGGGGGAAGTGGGGGGGGGGGGGGGTCGCGATCCTCGTCGCGGACCACTGAAAAGAGCGGTCGGCGCGCGAGACCAATCTAGGACCGGACCAGCCACGCGGTCGGGTCGAAATCGAGCCGCGGCATCCTAGGCGGGGCACCTTGCTTAAGAGAGAGGGGGGGGGGGGGGGGGGGGGGGGGGGGGGGATATCAATTTGCTCGAACTTGTCGAAGTAAAGCCGCGGCATCCTCATCGTGGAACACTGTTAAGAGCGATAATCAAGGATGGGGCGGCGAGCGAGACCAATCTAGTACCGGACCAGCCACGCGGTCGGGTCGAAGTTGTCGAAGTCGAGCCGCGGCATCCTCGGCGTGAGGAGGGGCGAGGGGGGCGAGGCGGGGGGCGGAGGGGCGCGCGGCCCGCGCCGGCCGCATCGGCCCGCGTGGTTGTGCTCGCCGACGAGCTTGTGCAGTGTGCCTTTCTGCGTGTACGCCTTGCAGCCGCAGCCGCCCATCGTGCACCGCCAGCGGACGATGCCGGAGCGCATCGTGTGCGCCGCGTAGAAGCTCCGGCCGCGCACCCACAGCCGCGGCCTGCCGCCGGGGCCCACGCAGAGGCGCACGTGCTCCTCTGCAAGCGTCACCACCGTTAGGCACCGGTCGCGGACGAAAACACTCGCTCTACACATGCACACCGGTCGAGGTCGACCCCGACGAGATTACGACGGCTCAAATCTGCACGTCGATATACCGTGGAGTAGCGGGAGTACGGAAAAGCGAACCAGGAGTCGTCACCGTCGGGCATAACAAAATAAAACAATCGATTCCTATTCCAAGAGATTCATTACGCAAACATGCTAAACATAAATAACAATTGGAATGACTAGAATCTGTTTTACGATATATAGTATGTCTGATGAAACATTAAGAACAATGTACAATGTAAAACAATATGTGGAACATTATATAATCTACACTAGCGTTTCGATCACAACAGACTAGAGTCCGGCCTTAACTAAAACAATACGGACATAAAAAATGCATAATTCGATAGTTATTGCCAAGTGTTAAACAGATAAATTATACATTAATTATCTAATTAATGTTTACAGTCGGCCGCTCGCCCGACAAGCTTCATCCGGCAAATAATAGTTCACAAATCCTCAACTCTAAATTGCGAGATCATTGACGTCATTCACATTATATTCACTAGGTTTACAATAATAAATAAGACAAAATATCCTTTAAAAAGCGTGCGAAACAATACAACCTTACAATCAATAAAATGACTAGAATACGAAATCAGTCATCGCCAATATGACGAATAGTGTAAAACGTAAATAAATTTATACTAACTACTTTAGGGAAATGAGTGTCGCTGTAAAGCAAGCAACAAACACACTGCACCACAACAAAGTCATTAAAGCCCGTGATGTTTAACGCAGTACAAATTAGCGCTACATTCGCAGGCAACGCCTGAGCACGTTCCGACTAATCCCTAATATCGCCGACGACGGTGTCGGACGATCCGCGACAGTGGACATGCGGCCAGTCGATCGCCGAGGCGACTTGCGACGGTCCTATTCGTCAGACGCGACTTTGCCCTGGGCGAGGGTCGCGGCCGCCCGCTGGGCCGCAGAGGCGGGCGGCTGGTGCGAGTGCACGTTGCTCAATGCGAATATGCGGTCGTGCAGCGTGTGCGCGTAGGCGCGGCACGTGCGCCGCGTGCAGCGCCACCGCACCTTGCTCTTCTCCGGGAACACCTTCTCCGCGTAAAACGAGAAGCCGCCCAGCCGCATGTGCCGCCGGCCGCGGTTCGATATCACGAACTCTACTGCAAAACACCACCCCCAGTTACAGCACGTGCGTGACGTCGTCGTCGGCGGTGGGTTAATCCACCCCCACAAAGCACATACGCCTCGGAGGGGAATAAAAAACAAATGAACGTTTGGGCACACTTTATTGCAGCGGATATGGTCTGGATCGATCGTGTATCTCGCCAAATCGACTAAATGAAGCTCGTATCAGTCGTGGGGGGTGATGGTCTCTATGAGACTCTCGATGCGGGCGTGGTCGTTGGTAGGGGGCGCGTGCGGCGCGTGGTTGTGGGCGGCCGCGCGGCCTACCAGGCGCCCAGAGGTGGTGAGGGCGCGGGCCCGACAACCAGACGCGCGGTTCCGGCACGACCAGTAAACGCGCACGCCGCGCCTCTTTCGCGCCACATAACCGTAACCGTCCACGAGCAAACAGGGCGCGCCGCGACGCGTCATCGAGTACTGCACCAGCGTCGGCTTATCTGCGTGCACACGACCCCATAGAGACATCGGAAACTGCGCCGAAACAACCACAGAACATACGGAGCGTGTGCGAAAGAAATCATCGCGTTCAGCCCGTCCGTCTCGATTGCATTCACCTGGTTAAAATCGTTGCAATAAAACGTTTGAGCAATAAAAACGGTTCGATGAAAAAATCCTTTTATTATGCTAAAACATCACATTAATTCCCCTCACACGACTTACAATTACGGAAATTTAACGTGCTTAACGCTAGTGACCACATCGTTGGATACTATTCGAAAATTGAATCATTTAATACATGCTTAACGTAACTGTATCCGACCATGATAAAACAAAATCTCGAGGCCCAATGTCGTAATATTATGTACGAGAACTTACAAACGCGGTTCATTATATTTATCAGCGTTTTACTTCCTGTTTCATTTCAGACAATATTACCTATTAGAAATGATTTGTACATTAGTAAAACACCAGAATAAAGTTATGCCGGTATCTAGTAGAACCACGACAATACGAAAATTGTTCTAAACAAACATTATGTCTTAAAACTAGTGAATTCTCACAGGTTGCATCATAATTTCATTTACAATGTAAAATCACTTATTATAAACATTATATTACTTGTTTCACAACTACACAAAATTTTTATGGAAAATGAACATTCGTACACTTGTCAGTGCACAAGCCTAAAGTAAATAAAAGAGAAAACGAGACTGTAATTATAATTCTAAATTTAAAATTATTAAGATTGTAATCTATCAATGTTTTATATGCTAAACACAAGGACAGGTAACTACCTCACCTAGCTCATACTTTCGAGTAATTTTCTGCAAATGATTCTCAGTATGATTATGAACAGGGTTTGTAATTCGTAGAACATTGTTCTTCGATGTTATTCTTGCTTTACAACGCCTCCCATATTCCATGCACCTCCAAAACGTTCTGCCACTTCTAACACAATCCGTAACAAAAATGTATGGTTCGTAGATCAATTGTAGGTGACCGCTTTTTGTTTGAATGAAATGCAATTCACCCTTCACCATGCTGTTAACGGGTGCCAAAACTGAAAAGAATGATAACACTTAGTTCTTGTCTTATGTTAGTCTTCATGTGCAGATTACATTCTAAAGGTAATTTAAAATGCGGGTGATGAAATAAAACAACAACTAACAGAATCACATTTAATGATATCTTTTTAACAATTTTATTATTACATGCAATATTTATGTGGATCTTGTGCTGCATCTGTGGTGAAACTAACCGACATTTCAAAAGTTTTTTTTATTAAAGTTTATTGTAACAATATAATACCTGCTTATAAGTTAAAATTAATATCAATGGACAAATATACATCTCAAAATAAGTTTTATTGATTTTAAATTTTTGTTACACATATTTAACAGCAAAAATAGATAAGATGCATCACTGAACACTGAAATTTTTCATTGTTTCCATTGTTTAAAAAAATATTGTGTTACAGCAAACAAAAAACAACTCCATTGCTAAAACTTATTTTATGCCCACATGATATTTATAATATGCAATGTTGGTCTGAGGAACATATGTATTAACTGAGAGTACAGTAGAAAGAAAGTATTTCAGGCAACATAAGAAAGCTGGTTTGTATTTAATAATATAGTGAAATAATTGGAAGATAAATTGTCATGTGACATGTGTAAAAATGTGATGAATGCTAAAGAGGTCATGAAAGCATTTATTTAAAGAAATATTATATATGTACTAGAATGAAACCTGTATTAAAATAAATATGTGATAAATTTGCTTTGCCTTTGTTTAATGCAACAAAACATATTGTAATACTGGTGTAATATACATATCTAGTAAACAATTGATTTACCTTATATTATAAAGTTTAACATTCAGTGTAAACTACATGTCAATAAAAAATTCTCACATTTTGTACATGTAAAATGAAAAGTCTTTAATTTATTAGTTTCAATAAATAACACTAGATTGGGTGCAACTCTAACAATAGTTTAGGCTGGCCAGATTCATGAGTGTCCCAGACTATTTTCACTTAAACTAATTATTTTTTTAAATACGAATTATAAATAATATTTAAATACAAATAATAATTGATAAAATACAAACTATTTTGATATCTGTTAATTAGTCCGCTTATACATTAAAGTTGAATTTATGATGTTTATCATTATTATTAGTGCAAATTTGTTGGCTCCAACTAAGGACTTGCACACAAATTAATATTTAATATGAGCTTCCAGCAGCAACGTTTCTATATCAAACAATAGTGATGCATAAATTTGACATGGACTATGATTAAGAGAAAAAAAGCTTTTAACATCAAATTCCTAAAAAAGTAATAACCAAAGAATTATAAGCATATTCAATTTCTATTAAAATATACATACTATAGACAAAACAAAATTAACCAAAGAAAGAAAAACTATGCCAGATAAGATTATAAAAAAAAAAAATGAAATATATACCACAATGCCCATATATATCAGTCTGCTACGAAGAAAAGTTTGAAAATTTAAAAATACTGGCCCTTTTTAAAAAGCCCTTTTTTTCCTCTAAAATAAAATAACTAACATTATTTTGTTTTTTAGACCTAAATACTTATATGAAACACAATAAATTTTTAAAATCTTATATATCCACAGTAACAACTTCCATCCTTGATTAAATTTAATTCTTTCATTGCTTTTTTTCTAGCAATATTGTTAGATCTTTCATTACATGAGTCATGATCACAGTTTGAATACCTAATCCTAATTAGATGTAAATATATTTTTGTATAAAATAGCTAAAAAGAATTTAACTGCAAAATGTGATATATAAAATATTGATATTACATAAGCTTGTAAATTAAATAACTGTAAACCATTAAAAATTAATGATTTGAAATGAGCAAGAGATAACAGAGAAAATATATTTTGTTTAACTATAACATAGAACATGGTAAAATTTTATAAATGCACAATAACTTAATGGTTCTCTATATCAGTATTTGTTATAAAATGTGTTTCACTTATTTATTAAACTTTCATTGCTTCATGTTTTTACTTTTTAGGTTATGTTTACAAGCAACTTTTTTATATATAATAAAAATAATGACCATAATTCAAAACGTTGGTAGAATCTTTTGTAGAAAAAATATTATAAAAATGCTATAAAAATATTAAGAAATAGATTTTACATTACCATGTTAAACCAGGACTTAGCGTTAGACTTGACAACCAACAATCGTTTACGCGACATGTTAACTTTCAACTTTCGCCGATCTTAAAATAGTAATTAAAGATGTACATACCACATGTATATCCGTTTGAAGTGTAAACCAAAATAAATATATTCACAACAGAATAACACTGAACACATAATAATATAAAACATTTGACGTAAACACGTTCAAAGACATATTGAAATATTTATGTAATTTCACCATAATTTGAAATAAAACCATCTGAAATTCACTTTGCTAATACCATTATAACAAACACAATTACACATCATTCAATAAATCAGCGTAGTTCACGATAATTTCCCAAAATAGTAAACAATCCCTCAATGACACAATTGCGACCATAGATCTCATGGCGTTTATACGACAACCACAAATAACGGAATTGTGATTATTTTTACGCATTATTATATTCATATACGGTCTACACTTTATTTTTAATTATTTAAAAACATTATTTGTGACATGATTTTGTATATTTATGTTGTATATATAAATTTGTATATTTATGGAACATAGTGGAAATATTAACGTGATCAAAAAATTACTGTAAAGCTGTATATCATAAATAAAAAACTGTTGTCCAATAGATATCTCTAATATTTAAGAAAATTTTGTACATGCAATGCAATGAAGCATGTAGAAAATGTAATCACTACATAGTGATAACAGCAAACAGTCTTAGTCTTCCCGCTGCCCGTCTGTCCCTTTATATGCTTAGATCTTTTAAACTACGCAACGGATATTAATGCGGTTTTTTTTAGATATAGTGATTCAAGAGGAAGGTTTATATGTATAACACATTGCACCAGTGCGAAGCCGGGGCAGATCGCTAGTTATGCAATCAAAATTACATTCAAAGAAATTAATCAGAATTCATTTAGGGCCTAGTAACGCCATCTGTTGGTGACATTGTTTGTTTCAACAGCAGTTTGGCAAGTTGAGAAGTTAAACTGATTTAGATGTTCATTAAAGCATATTGTTATTTATTATATCACATTTAAATTAAATATCTATTTAATTTAAAATAAGTTATCACAATGTATTTTTTGTGTTTTAGTGTAAATGTGCGGGAAGTCGATGGATACAGGTGGCTCAGGATCGTACTTCATTGCAGTCTATGGGGGAGGCCTATGTTCAGCAGTGGACTCAAACAGTCTGAAATGATGATGATGATGATGAATGTATTTTTTATTCACAGCGTTAAAAAATCTTCCATACGCTTATTTTCGGTGGTTGTGCCTTGTGTTGTGCTTGCTTATTGACGATGATGCTTACATAAAATATAGAAATAGGTTCTATTTATGCTAATATTGTCATTCTTAGTTACTAATCGAACCCTATCAACGGTGTTTGGAAGCTAGTAATGAATATATAAATATCTTTTGCGTATTTCATCACCGTAACTGGAACGGAAGATATCTAGATGGTTTTAATTCATTAATTTCAATTGTTAGAATATAATGCCTTCTTTACAGCATCTGTGGATTAATAAGTTGAAGATGCACCCGGTAGGAAAGTGGTCGTTTTGATTAGAATTAGATTCTTGCGTATTTAATTAAATAAAAGTAATGCCTTAGAAGTTCGAGAAGAAAAGTTCTCGTACTGGCCATCGCAATATAGGACGATCCCAGACTTGATGGAGTCACGACCTGTGCAAGTGTGCGAGAAGTCGATGGATGCAGGTGGCTCGGGACAGTGCTTCGTGACAGTCTGTAGAGGAGGCCTATGTTCAGCAGTGAACGCAAACAGGCTAAAATGATGATGATGATGAATGCCTTATAGCCTTAACGACCGTTAAGGGTTATTAAAATTTTTAGCTCAGGCCTTATTTAAAACGTAATGGATGGTCTTCATTGCACCTTGATTTGTCAAAGCCCGTTCAAAAAGATTTACCTTGCTTTGATAAAGTCATGCCTATGTATATTAAAATTACTTATTACTGTAATATGACCACGCAACAGTCAAGTGTCACCAATGGGCAAGTCCATCCAGGGAAGTACTTCGATTTCACATAAGACCGTCGAGAAGTGGAAATGTTATAGTTCTGCGTTTCGTCTGGTGAATGACTCACGGGGCCGGGGCCCACTTTATTAAACGGTGGCAACGCATCTGAAACCCTACGGGTGTTGCAAATGTCCATGGGCGGGGTTATCACTGAACATCAGCTCGCTTGCCACCTTCTCACATAAGAAAAAAATACTTAGTTTCTAATGTTTTTCTGTAGTTCAGTGTGCAGTGTATAAGATACGAGTTGTCAAATAATGTAATTCTGGGAGACTGTCTCTGAAGTCTCACCGTCTCACTAGATTATTGTCCATCACACCTCTTATAATCTTGTGATCACTGGCCAGGTCATGATTTAAATCTATGCGAAATCTTTTTTAAATCATGCTGCTACTATAGTACAAGGCTACTGGCTGTAGGACAATTCCACAAATTGTACCAGATAAACACCGAAATCAGAAATATAAAAAGATCTCCTGAAGAAATGAAACACATAGCGCTGTTTAGCATATAACTAAATACTTGTGTCAACCAAGTCATCCTCTGCATCTTCCCACACTGCTTAAATCCAACTTGACTAATGACTAACTTTTCTCCCGCGGCATCGCCTGCATGTACTTCATTTTATATAGTGCTTATAAAGTAACTACGGAACCCTTCGTGCGCGAGTTTGACTCACACTTGGCCGGTTTTTTTTTAACTCAGAATCATCATTTCACAGACCATAACATATAGTCAACTATAGTTTCATCCAATTCAGCTGTAGCTATATTATACGGCGTGTCGTTACCATCGCGACAATAAATGAACACACATATAGGGGATAACTTTTTAAAGTTGTATTAAACATTTAAATTCTTTAAACATCAATATTTACAGAGTTATTAAATTTTCCAAAACAAAGAATTTTAGAACACCCCTTACCTATAAAAGCGTAACATAAAGTTCATTTGTAAAGGTCACAAAGCATTAGAATGGGTTGAATGTATTTAAAAGAGACAAAACATACTGTTAGAAGGAGAGGCTTGTAATACGACGCTGTGGCGCGAGTTGTATAGGATGTTACAAATTTTGTTTCTTTTTTACTTAGTTTGTTTGAAAAATATTTTTTTTTAATTATGGATTTTGTTTAACGTTAATATTTTTTTATGATTATTGACAAGTAGCGTTAGACGTGTGTTCATTTATTGTCGCGATGGTAACGACACGCTGTATAGCATTTTATCGCACAAATGTTCAATTTTGAAAAAACTGTGCTTCTCCCACATAATAATTATACGAGACATGGCAACCTACATCAAGTTAGGGATGCTGAAAGTGAATAAGTACATATATCGGTATTTCTTCACTTTGGTGTAACGCCCTACTGTGGTAGGGCCACGTAACAGTTCGCTGTTGCACGAATGGTCTTGTCCGTCCGGGGAAGTACCATAACCCCACATGACGGGCGTGAAGTGGAAGTTTCATAATTGTGCGTTTCGTCTGGTGAGTGAAGTAGCCAGGGCCCACTTCATTCAAAGGTGGCAACGCATCTGCAACCCTATGGGTGTTGCAAATTTCCATGGGCGGCAGTTATCACTGAACTTTCAGGTTAACCGCTAGCTCGCTTGGATCTTCTTACACAAAAAAATGTGCCAATATCGGCCTCGATATATGGAAAAATAGATAGGTACTTTCCGTTTAGGACATGCCAAGTAATATTGACATCTACGGACAGATGCGAATTTGAAAAATTATCGTTTTTGATATGATTCCGATATTGAATATTTTATATCGATATATCGGATAAAAATATCGATATTTATAATCAAAAATATCGGCATCCCCACATCAAGTGCATAACTACCCAAGACCCAGGCCCTATAATCTTTATTTATATCGATGAGCACGTACGACGAGAACAGATATTTCTTGAAATAAAATTAATAATATCGATTTTAGGTAAAATTTATTCGCAACTGAACTAAATTACATAATTATGCACAATGGAAATGGTCGATTAGTAAATTTTTGCCAGTTTCAAAGATAACATGAATTAGTCTATTAGTACGATAGGTGGTTTAAGAAATGTCTAAAATAGTAATTAGATGGTAAACTTTTTAGATAGGTACCTTTTATGATAAAAGTCCTGCAAGGCATACACTTCGGTCTGCCATTAGTCTCGGTAAAATTCTTTTCTAATTACAAATGCGTTTTTTTATTTAAAATACCTCTAACCAGACAAACTTCCAATGACCAATGAGATTATATGATCACGTTTGCACTGCAAACCCATTTGTTATGCTCAAATAGCATCAAGTTAATGAAATGCTTATACTAACGGTATTACCTAATCTTGAGTTACGGTAACTTTTAATGTAAGAACTGCTTACTTAAGGTTAGTCTGAAACTAGTGGTGTACTAACCTGGTCACGTCATTCGATACAGGAACGCATTCTAGTCATAGAGTATACAAGCATTTCCACGACTTCTGGTAAAGTTCAAATTCTTACCTTCAGGTTTTAACCGTAGCCATTTAAGCCCGGTCCCTATATTCAACGAACTGCCGTTAGTTACATAACTTCATAATGACAATGTAACGGCCGTTAGATGAATATAGAAACCGGATTTTTAGTAAGGAAATACAGATTACTATTCAATGCAGCATACGTAAAGATGCCAGGTTAGATTATCAGAAAGTACTAATGTAGTTTAACTTCCGTTATGAACTTCACTTTCTTACTAGATACTGTTGAAATATAGTACTTTACATAGTTATTAGATACATAACTATGTAAAGTACAAGTTACAACTATATACAGTACCCTCATGTCTGAAATTTTGCAAACTCCGCGTAGTTAAAATCAGGTACTAAACTTGTCTGCAAAACTACGCGGAATCTGCTTTTATTCCAAACATCGTATTAGATAAAATTTTATTATTCATGACTAGACGGCTTCGCAATTTTATTAACAGATCACAAGTGAATGAGATTATCGCGCATCTTTAACGATGCATCTTCATCACTAGTGAACTAAGCCGATCACTATTTACAATTTATACAAACCTTTCAACGCTAGTTCAACCAGAAATGTTACAAAATTTATCCACGATTGAACAGTTTTATGAATTTTTAGTGTCATTCAATAACCGGATATAATTTTGACATTTTCAGATATACCGTAAGCTTTCAAGACCATTTCGAGTATACCATTTAAATACCATAGTTGTAGGGAATTAATACCACACACGAAAAATACCTTTTATTTAAAAGTTCACCATACCGTACCATAATACATTTTACCTTACCAAAAACAACTCGTACCATGTTACCAAAATTCATATACATTACCATCCTATTAAAAGATTATGTTCATGCTTTGAACATAATCTTTTAGAACAGGAAATAAACCTGGAACAGTTAAAAATATTACTAACCAAATATTTACTAAAGCTACTTACAACTAAGCTTACAAATTTCATTTCTAATCTAAAGAACGTACAAGATAAAAAGCCAGTATGTAAGAAATTTAACTAAGAAACCCGATTGAAAAAACTGGCTATGATCCTGTACATTGTAATTTGGACAGTACCCACAATTCATGTATGCGAGAACTGACCGGCCATTAAAGTAGTAAACCTACCTTGTGCATCCCCAACAGCTCCGCCTTCCCCACCACCAGATATATTGCCGTCTCCAGTTGCCGAACCATCAAAGCCTGAAAAAAAACAGTACATATTTAATCAAAGATACGAATTATACTAATAAAATGGTTATCGAATGAGTGAATTTGCATACCAGTCATTTCCATATTCGAGTCATCTTCGCCGAAATTTGTCTCATCGTTATTTGCACCTTCATCGTCATCATCCCACATACTTTCGTTAACGAATTCAGGTTCCATTTTCGGTGCCACGGCGTTGTTTTCATCTTCGTCCGGTATCGTAACAAATTCTTCTTTTGCTGATCCAGAGGGTCCGGCTTCTAAGGGGTCTACACATTTCCGTTTCGCAGGTCCACTTTGAGAAGATGAGGAATTATTTGATGCTATTGATGGCCTATTTGGTCTCTTAATTGCTACTGGAGTTGAGGAGGGCTTAGAATCTAAATCAGTCTCTAACTTAGTCATAACAGATTGCCTTTGTTGTGACGACCTCGGGCCAGGCCTCGACGTCGGCTTTGGTTTGGATGGCGTGGAACTCTCTTCATTTTGATTACCGGTTAAACCTTTAACTTGAAGTTGTTCCGCGGTACTAATAAATGACGCTAACTCTTCTTGCTTAACATTAACTTCACCTTGATACATAAACTGTAATAAGTCTCTTAGCGCTGAATGACTAACATCTTTTAAAAATACTGAAAGTAAAAAATACAAAATTAGTAAATATTTTAGCATGAATATAGAATTGACTACGTAACTAAGTTAAAGGAGACGTACCTATGGGATGCTGATTGGGGTTCATTTTGAACATTTCTTGGAAATAGGGTGAACATACTGATAAAACTAATTTGTGTGCCTGTAATATCCTGCCTTCGGCAGCCAACGTTACGTCGACTAAATCTCCACGCGACAGCAGGCCATGAAAGCCTGCTGACATGTTGGCGTGGAAATTGTTCCAACATAGTGAAAACTGTTCGTCCGACGACGCCATGATGGCGGCGACTGCGTTTGGAACCTGAAATAAATTAAACATATATTAAAAAATTGTCAAAATTCCCCACTTTTATAACCATTTTTTTTTATTTACATGAAACATACCTATCCTAAAACTTTGTACTTTATAATTCCGATATTAGAAACATTTGAAATAATAAATATGTTTCTAACGAAGCACTATCACTCTCATCCCACGTCCACCCCGTTTGAGCGCTGTTCACGATATGATGACGCAAACGCGACGTATCGTGTGTCGTCACAGTGTTGGAGTCTATTTCACAATTTGCCCAAAATCTTTTAAAATATTTTACACGGCATATAGGTGGAATATATTTTTTTTCCAATTATATTTAACAAATATGTCTATTTTCAAACAAAAAAAGTATTTTTAACAGTGATAAATGTGAAGTTTAGATTTATAAAACCGATCCAAAGCAATACAGAGTTAATTTGCGACGTAGTTACTGTCGAAGCTTCGTGAAATAAATTGAAAGTTCGAAAATATTTAAACGTAATAAACGTATGACGAATAGCAATGATGTTTAATAATAGTAGATGTTTAATAGTGTATATAATATCATTGACGATTAGGATAAATTATATAAAAATATAATGTGACGATCTAAAACATATATAATATTTACGAATATTTACACAAGTAATTGACGTTCGTTTAATAAATTAATGAGTAATTACCCATTAACTGTGTTGTTATCTATGCACTATCATCAAACAAGGCAATAACAACATCAGTAAGGTATTTTAAAAACGGTTTTCTCAATTTGAAAATAATTTCTTTTAGTGTTTAGTTTTTTTAAGTTTTATATTCTGAAATACGTAATAATATAATTAACGTAACACTTCTAAACATTTAGCTAAACTACTTTATTTTATTTTACCTATTAAATGATTAACGTATGTAAATATACAATTTTAAAATACTTTACATAAACCAGTAATGAATTAATACTAAATTGTTATATAGGAATAAACTTAAATATATTATATGAATGAAAACAAACATTTTTAAAATTGGTTTCTAAAGTGATTTTTAACAAAAGTAAAAATTATTAAATATAGACGCGACAGGACTCCACCATATTTAGAAAGAGACAGCTACATTGGATCAATACAATTAATAGACTAAAGAAATGTGGGTCTTCTGTGAATGCAGCAGAGTCGAAAATCACGTAATAGGAACATTTTTAAGTGTTGGCATTACACAAAAATTTCAACGTTTTTGTGGAAATTATTTGTATATACTTTTTTCAACATTTGGGTTAAACATTGTAATCAACAGAATTATTGGGTGTTTGTCTTCCTCTCTTTTGTAATCCTTTAAACAATGATATTTTATGTTACAGTTATACTTTATCTTTTTAACGCGCCGGAAGCAGGGTTGGATTTTGTATTACAATTATAGTATTTGTACTATTGTTTTATGCTCTGTACTATATACTATCCGTATCTAAGGATAGTATGGAAAAACACTATTACATATACGACCAATATAAATGGCAATCCAACATTAAAAAAGGTTCATTGGGTTGTAATAACGTTGTAATGTTTTTAAACAATACAATTGGATTTTACCATGTGTCACTGCCATTGTCATCAATGAGGTATTAACAGGGACTCCATTTAAATAATATATTTTTTCCCTCGATACTTCGTTTGTTGTAGAATAACTTTGCATATTGCACTATGAATCAGTTAATAGAGACTTCATAGATGTCTAATAGTACCACTATTTGTTATTAGGTAAAAGTCTTACACCCGGTTTCTGAAACACTGATCATTGTACATGTCAACTAATCGGCTGGCAAATGCCTTTTCAAATTTCATTTTAATTGCCAAAGGGGTGGTTAAGCTCTCTGAATTGACTAAAATGATCAGAATGATCATTTCAAATAGTTTAACCATACTTTTGGCAACTCAAATGACATTAATTGAAAAGCCATTTGATTTGACTGATTAGTTGACTTCTACGATGATCATTGTTTCATAAACCGGCGTACTTATGTCTTAAAATAATTCTGGAAACAGTAATCTGAACAACGAGTCTACCTACACTCGCCACACACACACACACCAATACAAAAGCTATTATTACTGGCTAATCATCAAGTTATTCTTTGATGGAGCCATTATATTAAATTGGAACTGGAATTGGAACTGATTAGTTGACATCTACGATGATCAGTGTTTCAGAAACCGGGCGTTAAAATAAGGCAAGAAACAAACACTATCCATAGACGTCAGTTTATTGTCTTGTGAAGTTGTGACTTTGTGATGCTATCAAAGACGATAACAAAAGTGGTAACTGTACTGATTTTCTTCCTACTGAGGATATTATGTTAATAAGATATTTTAAGATTTTTAGGATGAAATTAATATTGAAGCACTAATAAACTTGGCAGAGGAATACTACTGTTAAAATTAAAATAATAAAGTAAAACTACTTATATTTTTTTATAAATACTACTTTTAAATTTTTTGTATTAAATTTTTCATTGTACCTAAATTCAACTCTGGATCAAGATGAACATTCTGATCAATTCAGAGAGTTTAACCCTACTTTTAGCAAATCATAAACATTTGAAAATGCCATTTGACAGCTGATTAGTTAACTTCTTCGATGATCAGTGTTCCAGAAACCGGGCGTCAATACGATACGACAGGCACTCGCTTTTAATCATCGCGTAAATCTAATTGAAACTATAAGCGGCAAAGACACGATAATTCGTCTCCATTCCACTCATAAAATAATTACTAAAAATTTAAATCATAAAATATCCCGAAAAAAAATACTAAAAATAAATAGAATTTCTTCGAACAAATAACTGTTTTTTTTTCCTTTTCATAGTATTTTATTTCTTCTCTTACATATACTATAAAATATATAGGTATTATAAAAGGTAGATTAAACTGTGGTATGGCCATGCAACAGGGACGAATGGCCAGGTCCGTCCGGGTAAGTACCACGACCTCACAGAAGACCGGCGTAAAGTAGAAGTGTTACACTTCTGCGTTTCGTCTAGTGAGCGAGGTAGCCGGGGCCCACTTTATTTAAAGGGGGCAAGGCATTTCCACCCCTACATTACAAATTACATTACAAATGTCCATGGGCGGCCGTTATCACTTAACATCAGATGAACCGCCAGCTCGTTTGCAAGTATATCACATACTTCATAATAATGTATTCTACTTTATTTTTAGTAAATATTCTTTATACCTTTACGTAAAAAGAAAATATGTGACTCTATTTTCAATCTTTACTGTGAAGCATAAAATGAAACACAATGTATAGTACCTACCTACATAGATAATTAATAAATTTTTATCGATACTTCTAAGGTGAAACAGAACACTTTCAACGTAGAAGCTTTTCCTGTTAAATAAATTACTTCATTTTATTTTCGTCCCATTTTCTTTGTGATATACAATACTTTTTATTTTCTTTGTGATATTTGTCAATTTGTCATTAATTGATATAATTATGCTACTTTAAATTGTGAATGTAAAGATAGCTTCCAAAAATTTGAATACATTTATAGTGAAAAACTGTGTGTTAGAAGCATATATATGTTTAAGAGGAGAAATACATAAAATTTTTAAAAATACTTTATTTTTCTTCTTTACACTTTATTTTTCTCTACTTGATATATGTGATACATTATTTTTCTCAAAAATAGTTGGAAACCCTAGTCCTATAATACCATTCATTAGTTCCCAAATGAAAACATAATTACACTGCTTTTGTAAAAAATCGCTCACTATTGTGAGTTCGGCTTGCACCTTCCGTTTCAGAATTCTATGTACATACAGGCTGGTTTCCTGAGTGAGATTTGCTAATTGCTTATACTTACGCTAAAGTGACAAACACAGTTGAACATTTGAACATTTGAAAAAAAATTACGAGAGTAAAATTTTAACGATGCGCTCGCATACCGTCAGCCAAAAAACAACATGGTTACGTACCCAATGGTTCCGTACCCAAAGCGTAAAACGGGTGCCCTATTACTAAGACTCCTGTCTATCTGTCTCTCTGTCTGTCTGTCTATCTGTCCGTCTGTCACCAGGATGTATCTCATGAACCGTGATAGTTAGACTTAGAATTTTCACAGATGATTTATTTCTGTTGCCGCTATAACAACAAATAAAAAAAAACAGGATAAAAAAATAAAAATATTTAAGTACAACAGACAATTTTTTTGCCGTTTCGTGCGTGAGTCCGTCTCGGACTTCGCCGGTTTTTTTTTCACGAATTTCAATGTGGCCCACTAATTTTCACATAAGAATCTATTCTTATGTTAAAATAGCTCTAGCTTATACGATCAAAAAAAGTACTACTGTTATAAAAAGAGCGACCCTTCGTTAATTTATAAGCCTGGGGAGGATTGCCAAGTGGGATATAGTGGTACAAAATGGTTTAAGAGAAAAATCTTTGTCGGGAAGGAATGGTTTACTATTATTATTTATACATAAATGGTTTATCTATTATTATTTGATGACTCCGTGGCGCAATGGCCAAGGTATTGGCTTCGGCGCAGGGGGTCGTGGGTTCGATTCCCACACGGGACTACTGTTTGTGCGACCTACAGATAGATATTTCGCATCTGCGTGTTTGTCCATGTGAAATTTATGTTTGTTAAACGTCCTTACAACACAGGATAATATTATCCCAAAGTGAAGGCCAGATTTAAAAAATAAAATAAATAAAAGAAAGAAAGAAAGAACTATGAATTATCATTTGAGTTACTTTAAATTAAACATAAGAGAAATAAAACAATTTAAACCGGACACTCGAATTACATTCGGGCTGTCGATTTTTTGGTGAGCCATTCGCGCAGATTAGATAGATGACGGGATGTGGTTCTGGCTAACGCGGGATGCCCGTACTAGTGATGTTCGCACTACGTTCGTGGGTGGTCGTCGGTTGCGTGGTGGTGGCGATCTCGCCGGCCAGGGCCGTGGTGGGCGGCGACCCGGCGGCACCACCGGAGCCCGACTCCGCGGTGGTGTTCACCCAGAAGCACGGGCGAAGCGCGCGCCTTGAGGGATTCAAGGACGACGAGCGCGGCTACTACACGTTCCTGGGCATAAGGTGGAAATATACCGGAGATAATAAAACTTTGGTTAAATAACGAACCTATTGGCATATACCTGATATACCTGACTCTCGCATCAGGGGTGTGGGTTCGATCCCAACTAGCAAAATAATGTGCGTTTAACGTTTTTGTTGTTTTAACAAGGAAGTTTTTTCTAATACCTGCCTTAAAACGTTTTATATCAGAGGGACTTAATATTTTTCTGCATGAAGTATAAATTGGACTAAATGATACCAATGCTACCGGTCTATCTGTTTCAAATGTGGCAATCTCAGCGGAAGCGGCGATAAAGAGTGTTAGAATTTAATAACTTTAATTCGAAATATTTAGAGCTAAAATTATAATAAATTAAGAGCACAAATATGGTTAGATGGCGTACCTATTTATTACGTTACTCTTTATGAGTATCTTATCCTTTAAACGAGCAATTCTTGTATATATATATATATATATATATATATATATATATATATATATATCGATCTAGCTAGGTTTCATTTTTAGAAAATGTCCTTTTATCCCTGTTTTCAGGGAATGAAAAATATAATTCGAATATGACGGTAAATTCCGCCGCAAGAGAAAATGTCAAAATAGCTCGGTCGGTAATCGGGCGACCCCATAACAGACGGCCGTGGTTCGCGTCACGATCATTTACACATTTATTTTTTTACTTTTTTTTCGATTCCAGATCATTGATTTCTTTATTTTTAATTTGTGTCGATTTGTTATTTTGTTATTTTTTCCCCTTTTTTTTTTAAAGTTCTTTCTATTGTGAAAAACATCAGTTCACATTTTCTTATTATTATGTCGGTAAGATCGACAAATATTATGCATATTTCATTACTCAGTAATTTGTATCTAAATGTAATTTCCAAAATACACGATTTACCAAAAAAAAAAAAAACAATCCTCCGGGTACTTATAGCTTATTTGATGAAATAAATTGATTATTCCGTGGCGCAGCTGCAAAGGTATTGGTTTCGGCGTCGGGTGCGTGGATCCGATTCCCACAAAGAACGGTGATTTGTATTACACACAGGTAGTTGTTACGCATCTCGGGTCTTTCTCCACGTGAAATTTATGTTTATAAAACGTCTTTACAACACAGGATAATGTTGTGCTTTAGGACTTTGTACTTTAGTAAGGGCAATGTTTTTATTTAAAAAAATAGAAAATGAAATTAAAAATTTTGAGATAGTTTATCGTAGCAAATGTCCCCAAATGTTCATGATCATTGAATGGTACTCAAAGAGTAAATAATTTAATTTGTATGTCAGTAAAATACATTAATTTAAGGATTATTTACTTTATCTCGGACTATATAATTGTACTGCTTTTTTAAAGGCAAACTTTGAACGCCTTATTTGGTTATTACACATACCTACACGTTCTAACACGAATTACTATATTATAAAATGTAATTTTCATATTAAAAAACACGTGCACTACTCTATTTTCTAGATATGCCGAACCTCCCATGGTCCAAAGAAGGTTTCAGAGGCCTGTGCGTCGTTACCTCAATGGGGAGCTAAACGCCATGCAGCAATGCCAACCGTGCCCCCAGCTGGACCCCCGAAACCCAAGGAAAGTCATTGGACACGAAGACTGCCTATGTCTCAATATTTACGCACCAAAAATGCCCGGAGAGGAAGAAGGTTTAATTTTTTTTTAATTTTGCCAAATGCGTTTATTATTGAAAATCCATTTTTATCGTTTTGTTATGTTAAATTTAAAATTTCCTTATTTATTACATATATTCTGTTTTTGTTTCAATAAAATAATATCAGATAACAGAGTACATAATATCAGTAGCATATCAGAGTAACTGTTGCTTTAACGTATTATTTTTTGTGATAGGCAATGTACTACAAACAAATAACATTGCTATTATTTTATTACAGGCTGTCCAGTTGTCTTTTTCATTCACGGCGGGAATTATCGCAGCGGTTCAATTTCGCCCTATGGGGTAACATACTGTTCATATAATTTTTAACTACACTGTATGACTATGTCGACATGTGATCATAAGTGATATGATTTCTTCTAGGGCCAACATTTAGCTCAAAAGGACACCATATTGGTAACAGCGCAATATCGCTTGGGTTCCTTGGGTTTCTTAAGCACGGGCCAAAGGGACGCACCTGGTAATGCTGGATTGTTCGATCTGCGGGCTGCTTTGACATGGGTATGGCTTTAGAACAACATTCCATGTGGAATTTTAAATTTAACTTAATCCGCCCCAAAAATTTGCACAGTGCCGTGGACCAGTTACCGAATTGTTATTATAACTGTAAGTAAGTATTTATTAATGGAAGGTAGATTAGCTGATTTTGAAGAATAAAGGTTTTAAGCCTACTTTAGTTTCTTTCATAACAAATTCGCAGTTGATGGCACTATCATACATTTATTATAGGAAGTTTTTGAACGAAAGTTTTTCATAAAAATTATCAACTTTCACCCACTAATTTTACGTTTTAATTTGCACGGATTAAAGAGAATGCTATGAGGAATTAAAGAGCATATTATATCCATATATCTGTAAGCTAATTTATGAAATGATAAAACTCGGATGTCTTTATAAGGATATTATACACACAGAGGCAATGATGTTTCAATAATCCCTACAAAACAACAAAACAAACAAACAAACTTTCATTCTCATTTATATTATTAATATAAATGAGAATGAAAGTTTGTTTGTTACGCTTTCACGTCAAAATTACTCAACCGATTATCATGAAACAATCATTGTACACATATTCTCAGAGATATTAAAAATAATAAAAAAAAAAAACAGGTATTTATTTAAGGGCATAAATCTAGGATTTTAATAGTATTTGTTTATAATATCATTGCACAAAGGCATGTAAGATTTGGTTATATAGTTAAAATACTAGAAATGTTGAAATAAAAAAATAATATTGGTTATAAATACGTAAAATTAAATAAAGTAAAACGTTCATTCGTTTCGATAAAATTATTATGTTGTCAATATAATAATTGCTTGGAGTAGGTATATACTGTCGCTAACGTATTTTAAATTTCCAGATTCATTTAAATCTGTCATTTAAAATTAAGTCCGAGAGAAATTTTAATTAACTAATGTTGAAAGGTATTACTGTTGAACTCCTACCAAGTATGCTATAAAACGAGGCATAAATAGCAAACTAATTTACCAACTCAATTCCATCACTTTTTTTGGCACAACGGTCCGTTTAACATTCAAGTTCTTGTTCATTTTGCGTCCAGGTTTTGTGTTTACAGTGCCTATATTTAAAAATGTACCTATCTTGAACGCACCAGTGTTGCCATACATATGGTGTAATCATCATCTACGGGAACGTTTCGACGTGTCAGTCACGGCTCAGTGGGTTTCGCAGATACAAGACTACATCGAGTTCTTCGGCGGCGACCGCAAACGCATCGTGGTGATGGGCCAGGGCTCGGGTGCCAGTGCGGCCTCCCTGCTGAGCCTGTCGCCTGAAGGTCGAAGCGCGGCCGGCGTGGCTGCGCTCTCCGGCACGCCGCTGTCGCCCGGCGCGGTCAGGGCCGACCCCGACGCCCACGCCCAGCAGCTGGCTGAGAGGACCGGCTGCCCACCCCGGCCCGCGGAGAGGCTAATGAACTGCCTGAAGAAGCTCCCGATCGAGCAGATATTGAAGGTTCTGGAATTTAATTACCGAATTCGAATTCCGTAGACGACTAGGGCTGTCGCACTGTGTAATGATTACGCCGTACACACTTTCGAGTTACTAGGGCTGTCAATTTTTTTTATAATGACTACACCGTACCCGCTTTCTAATTCCTGATGAGTCTCTTCTTCCTGAAGCTCTCGATCGAGCAAATGTTGAAGGTTCTAGAATATAATTACTGAATTCGAATTCCATACGCCTAGACGACTGGAGCTGTCAACTTTATTATACTGACCACACCGTACCCACTTTTGAATTACTGGGGCTTCCACCTTAGACGGAGCTTTGAAGGGATAAACGTGCTGTCATTCTGTAGTCGTAATACTATAACATAAACGAGTCAATGATTTTTGGATGTAAGAATTTCATCAATTATATTTTCGCACGCAGGCCGATTATGACATGAAAATGGATATGGTGGATACGCAAAGGTTTCTCGACGAGATATCCGGTAGATCCGGTGAGTAATTAAGTATCATTTGCAATATTTTCAGTTATTTTTCGCTTTGAATCGTAGTAATAAAAATACAATAATTTGGTGAGATAAGTTATTAAATTAGTGAATACGACGGAAGCGAAGATAAACGCTACGGAAGTAGATGTACGATTGCAGAAACTCGTTATTATTTGAATTATAAAAGTTTAGATTAATGTTTGAAAAATTGTTAAAAATTTATTACCTAGTCTTAAAATAGAAAGACGACAAAAAAGAAAATGTACACGAATATTCAATGCTTAAACTAGCGCTGAAACGAGTATTAGTAAAACCTAATGAGTAATTGACTAAATAAATATGAGTAAGTTCGAGTCGAAGTTATAATAAAAATGGTTAGCAAAACTTGGCGGCAGACATAAAGTGGCCTTGCTCGGCGCAATTACTTCAGCGAGCGGGTGTTTTACATTAGTATGGTAATGTTATGCTTATGTTACGCTTTCGTGTATGCCGCTTTTTAGTGCGATGTGACGGGTCTATTGACAAAACTTTGTGCTGACCCCAGGATCTGGCGCACGTGTGGAGGAAGAGGACGACAGGAGGGCGCTACCCCCGCTCGTGTCGGAGCAGCCAGCCCAATCGCTGCAACGCAAGAGACAGCACTGCCCGCTGCTCACTGGCGTCACCTCAGCGGAGACCTCCAGAGCGGTGTTCGGTGAGCACAATGCTAAGCGATCCACGAAGCATCTGCATGCTACCGTAATTGCCACTACACACTAAGCCGTTAAGCTAAACCACTAAGGTGGTATTTACTGCACACTGTTATCGGTGGTAGGGCCACGCAGCAGATTTGGCTGTTTCGCGAATGGGCAGGCTCGTCCAGGTAAGTACCACAACCTCACAGAAGACCGGCGTAAAGTAGACGAAAGACGTAGAGTACGGGTGTTGCAAATTTCCATGGGCGGGGGTCATCACTGAACATCAGGGGAACCCCCAGCTCCTTTGCCACTTTTTCACATAAGAAAAAAACACACTATGCCGGCGGCTATTGCCGCAGAGCATCATTTCGCATACAAAACTGAGTCAGGCCGTGCCAAATTCGTGCTCAAATTCCCATCGGAAAGCCGGCGGCATAGTGTGATGGAGCCTTAAGGATAGCCGTCACCTCAACGGTGATTTTTGGAACGGTGTTCATTGAGCACACTGCCACGTGATCAACTCAAAGTAGAATCTATATCAAATATTAACATATGCTAAATTCTATGGTTGGGACTAGCAGTAGCTGAGTTAATTAATGTACGTGAAAAGCAACGGTTCAAGAAGACTGCGTCTTCGTGTTCCCGTGCCCCAGCCAGAGACAGATTCTAGTCTGGTGGCGGGAGATTCATAAAAGATTGTTTACCCGAAATGTTCAACTTATTGTCAAGTATACGCATGCAAATAAATCCCCCGGCGTCCGCATAGTGAATTATTGAGCAATCTGGTTCAGGTTAAAGGAAACTTTAAAATCTGATTAATTTCAGGGCAGTATTCCAAGTTCCTGATAGAGCAGTTGGCTACCGTTCAGGACTTCATTAAGAAAGATCTTATCGGTGGCCTTCGCAACGTGGTGCAGGACGTAGAGGGTCTAATTCCGATCAAAGCTTTGGGCATGGATTCAGTGTTGCCATTGCCAGATTACTACCAGGCTCTGTTTGACAGTTCCTCGATGGCCGTCGACGGGCTGTCTCAAATTGCCGAAGCCACCGGTTAGTAGGAATTCTAATAAATACTCGTTACTATCTAACCTTTGTCACTTTTTAAATATTACGTTCTATATTTTTTGCGTATATATCGCGCTTAAAGTAATGATGCCTAAAAAGGTAAACATAAAAATTACTGTTCTAAATACAATATTTGATTTAATCCGTTGTAGCAGTTTCCGAGACACACAATAGTACAACACAAGTATTGTTCTTTTAAAGTTGCATTGAATGTTGTGGCTATTACTATGTTTTACATTTAATTACATCAAAAAGTTAGTGTTTCACAAGATTACTATGTAATTCTACTTCTTATAAGATATTTTTGTTCGGTGTGCAGGCGATTGAATTAGTTTGTAATTAGTAATAGTATAGTATTTATCCGTTCTACTAAGTTCTACTCTCTTCTCGGCACTTCTAGGAGATGCCCTGTTCAATTTCCCGGCGTACCAGAGTGTAAGGGCTTGGAGCGTCGCTAGTCCCGCCTTCCTCTATAGCTTCGAACACTCGGGTAATCTCAGCAAAGGTTCCCACTTCCTCCCTGGACTCGCTCTAACTGGTATGTATTCTTTTGAAAATTTTCATTACGTTTTCATAGTGCAAATCTCTGTACTTATGATGAAAGAGGAACATTAACGAAAAACAACGTAGACAAAAATAGAATGTAGATCAAAAACGGTGGATTTTCGTCGACGTGGCAAACAGCCCTTAAGTTTAGTGCTTAAAGCGTTTAGTTGCGATTCCGGTGGACGCGGGCTCAATTCCCGCAGCGGCGATAAACTTTTCATCCATTGCAAGTTTTAGGGGTATGTGTTCAATCATTTAGGTATAAGACTGGCCAGTATTTCAATGCCGACCCATTTGACATTAATTGGCGATGCGCCCGTTGATGGTGAACGCACCACTTCATTAAAAGCCTATGCATCTTGTTTGAACTGCTCGTTAATATGAAACTATTTTTATTTTATGGAGAAAAGGGGCAAACGAGCAGGAGGCTCGTTTGCCCCTTTGGGTAAGTGATTACCGCCCCCAATGTACACCTGCAACACCCGAGGGCTTAGAAATGCGTTGCCGGCCTCTTAGGAATGCTCTGTTCTAAATGTAAGAAATCTGCAAACACTCAATAGCACCTAAAACTGCTTGTGAACAGAGAACGTGGATGGAGAATTGAAAGCGCCCAATAAGGGTCCCGCTCACGGTGACGAGCTCGCGTACATATTTGAGCCTTTGAACGAGGAGGGTAAACCGCTGGCCCAGGGGATATCTTCCACTGACAACCGCGCCCGGCAGGCTTTTGTGGGCATTATCAGCAAGTTCGCCCATAGTGTCGGCGCATCGCCGGAGAACAATTCGAAATCATTCGGCTTCCAACCTTTCTCGCAAGACAACGAGCAGTTCCTCAAGATCTCGGATACAATTACTACAGAAAAGGATTTCAGGTGAGTAACTTTGTGTTCAATTAGTGAGAGCAGACATAAACGTCAAAGCTACTTGAAGTTGAAGCTACTGAGTTCAGTGTACGGACACTCGCTTTTAATTCAATTTACTTGAGCAACCCAAGATCGATCCCCGGTGCCGGGACTAATGAAATTGTTAATTTTAAATGCTGACTTATCACGTGCCCATCTTGAGGAAACCTGCATATTTTAGAAATGATAAAAAAACATTTAGAATGATATGTGAAGTCCGCCAATGCAGTGGGGCCGCATGGTGGACTATGCCCTGATACTCTCTGTATAGAGGAGGCCTTTGCCCACGTGTTGTGTGACATGTTTGACTGTTACTTTACTTTACTTTTAAAAGTACTTCGTCAAATTTGATGACGCAAAATGACGACTCCGTGGCGCAGTCGCAAAGGTACTGACTGCGCTTCGGCGTCGGGGGTCGTGGGTTCGATTCCCACACGGGACAACTATTTGTGTGACCCACAGATAGTTGTTTCGTATCTTTGGCCACGTTAAATTTATGAATGTAAAACGCCCTTGTAACACAGGCTTATGTTATCCTAAAGTAAGGGCAATGTTTTTAAAAAACAAATAAATAGAAAAAGTGCGTGTGTACAATATAAAAATCTTTCAAAAATGTTATTTTTCGCCTTATTCTACGTTTATAGAAATATCGACACTAACAATAGAAAATAAGGTATTTAATACATTGAAAGTTTTATTATAACGCATTACCTAGTTAAATGAAGTTTATTTAAATATCACAAAATAAATATCGTAAATACAGTTGTCAGTTCTCAAACAAACATACGTAGACGTCTAACTTCAGGGTGTCGGCTTTTCGTGAACGGTGAGCGCGCGCATAGTAAAAATGTAATCTCATCATTTCTCCCTAACGCGCCGAAAGGAGTACAACTTCATTAATTTTTAACAAAAAAAACCGACTTCAAACCGGAGACTAAAAAACATTGTTAAAACCTATAACATTTCAGGATTGCCCTCGATTTCTCTGAGATATTTTTTTCTTTTTTCACAAACACCCAGATGCGAAACAACTATTTGTGGGTCGCACAAATAGTTGTCCCGTGTGGGAATCGAACCCACGACCCCCGACGCCGAAGCCAATACCTTGGCAACTGCGCCACGGAGTCATCAAAATATCATATCTGGGTTTCCTTATCATGGTACTACCCCTGGGATATCTCCTTTTCAACAAAGAAAGAATCATCAAAATCGGATTGAGAAACCGCCTTCGGTTAAAAATTGTCGGATAATGCCTTTTCAGATTTTGCCAAATGGGCCTGTGGGGCAACATGGCGGACAGGGTGACGGGTGCTCTCTGCAAAGATGTCCTCGGCCAGCTGCTGAACCTGCCGAAGCTGGATTTGCCCGTGGCAGTGCCCGTGCCGCTGCCGGGAGCGTTGAACGTCCTGTCGGAACCGTCGCGGAACCAATACAAGGCGACCACACCGAAGCCCTTGTGGAACAATCCTTTGCCGTTCCGATTTTAATTGTTTTTTTTTTAAGTAAAGAAATACACACTTTTAAATATGTTTTCGTTGATACGAATTTCATTGCTCCCGGTTAAACTGGACAATTAAATTTCGACTGCACTACATATAAATTTAAATAATATAATTCATGTCACTCCAATGTAATGAGGATACGTAGTACATTACGAACCTACATAATTTTTTATGTAAAATTTGACGATTCATAAGAGCGCGCAAGGGTCTATTTGAATAAATATATTTTTGATTTTTGATTTTCGAATTACACCTCTTATTGATATTCGTCAAATGCTTAGGACATGAACGGGACATGAAGCTTAAGCTTTAGAAGTCTGTTCAGAGAGAAAGGCGCGTTAAACATTAACCTACTTCGGCGGTCGGGTAAAATAATTGATCAATAATTTTTCCTATATATGTATTAACAATGATTTAAGTTGCGTAATATTATCCTTAAAGGTTAAAGTTGAGTGTATTTTTGAACTTGCAGTTTTTAAATAGATTTTAGAGAAAGCAAAACGTGATAAAGCATCGCAAATAGCTGTTAAGGAAGTACGAATGGAATTTCTATTGTGTGTTACTTTTTATAATGTGTGTTTTCATTGCCCGGCAAGCGTTGTAATGCCAGTAAAAAGTTTACAATCAATTTATTTACATTAGAGAACCATACAAAGGAAAATAAAATCCTTAGTATGATTCTGTTTACATTTAGGGTTCCTTACCCTATTACTAAGACTCCACCCACTGTCTGTGTGTCCGTCTGTCACAGGCTGTATCTAATGAACTGTGGTAGTCAGACAGCTGAAATTTCACGGGTGATGTACTCGTATTTCTGTTGCCCGTAAAACAACAAATACTTAAAACAGAATTAAGAAAAAATAAGTGGATGTATTAATTAAGTGTGTCAAAAGAAGCTTCCATACAATAGATATGATATTTCTTTGTTTTTGACTGATATTTATGCCGTTATTATAGATAATGATATACGGGACCCTTCGTGCGCGAGTCGAGCGGTTTTTTAACAAATCATTATAAAAAATCATACGAGTCATCGGATGAACGCTGCAAGAACACATAAAGGAACATTCAATCATTTATGTTCATATTTTATGAGGAGCAGAAGAAAGATTTAATTACTACGTGTTATTGTACAATCAGAGTTGTATCGTATAAATATACTTAGAAATACTAGGTGCTTAAATGAAACAGTTTTACGGAATTTATCGCGTTTTATTTTCCCGACGTTTCGAACCCTTTCCAGCGGTCACGGGGCAGACTGTCTGCTCTGTGACCAAGAACGCAAGAGGAATCTGAAAATAGTTTTATTTAACCATGCATAATATACGCGTAAAAACTAAAAATCAATACATTTCAAAAATATGAATAGTAAATAAATAACTTTCGTCAGTAATCGTTTGCACTATTTGTTATTAGTTTTATTTTATTAGGCAAATGTCAATTTCCTCCTGACCTTATCACACCAGCCTGACGTCAAGACTCATTAGGAAACAAGCACCCAGATCCAAAACAATTAATATATGCACACAAATACTTGTACAGTTTGTGAATCGAACCCATGACCCCCGGCAACGAAGCCTATAGCTCAGCAAGGGCGCCAACAATTCATATATTTATAGACCCATATAAAACAATTATGGTAAGGTGTAATATAACGTCAAAATAATACAAGATGGCGATACATCTTAATTTTTTATTAACACGCTTTTATTCGTTTTACCTGTATGTATGTATGTATGAATGTAACGGAATCTTTAATCGTGATTTCGCCCCACTTTGAACGATCAGATTTGAATCAAACTTTGCACACTGGTCAAAGACCCATGACAATGCAAAAATTTAAACAGTTTTCCCCATTCCCCATTATCCTGATCAGGAACTTCAGGATTCGATATTTTCCAAATCCGATACCCGGTAGTGTCATTGTACCAGGTACAAATTTAAAAAATGTTTAAAGAATAATAAAAACACGCTTTTATACTTAGCAGAACTAAAAAATAGTAAATATATGATGGTTAAAAAAAATAACTCGCTTTTGTAGATACCCGAACTAAAAAGTAGAAAATCATTTTCGGTAAATTTAAATTATGACTAGTTATTATATTTAAATTATTGCAGAAAAGCGTGGGGATTGAATAAACTTCAAGTGTCCATTCAGATAAAAAAAGGAAAGAAACAACTTAAGTTTTGTTTATCTATAGAGAATAGATACTGGGGGAAATTCTTTGAAAGTGAACGAGGTTAAATGATACTGACATTAAATAGATCAATATACAGGTTGCTTTCTTTTTTAATACTTATATTTGTTTAATTTTATTTGTAGTGGTACATAGGCATTTGACAGTATTCGATTTAAATCGTCTAATGGGCAATGCTCTTCAAGAAGTGCATTTCAGACGTACTGTAATGGTGATATATGGAGGTATGAAAATTGCGATAAATTATATCGCAATTTTCATACCTCCATAGTTATAATTTTGGTTTGGGATTACATATACATATATAATTCTTCAAAAATTGTGTGTGGTTAAGAGAAGAGGTCGTGACTCTTTTGATCATTAGATTTTATTAGGTATGAAAAGACTTCTCTCATACATAAGTAGCGTCATACTTACGATCGTGAATGTTAACATATAATAACATTCTTTTGTTACACATTTATAAAACATCTTCACAATCGATATTAAATTTAACAAGTAATCCCTGTACTGGTAAAGTTACAAAGCGTACTTCGAAATTTTGAAATATTTAACATTGTCTAAATACTATTGAATAATGTTGTTACTCTTTCACGCAAATACTACTGAATGGATTTTAATGAAACTATACAATAATATAGCTTATACATCAGAATAAGACATAGGCTATAATTTATATACATAATTTATGTATGTGTCTTTCTGTTCAGTTACACCTTCAACCTATTCTACGCAGACGTAGTCGCAGCAGCAGCTAGTCATTTTATATATAAAAAATAACGTGTTCAACCTGTATATTTAATTCCAATTATGCGTGTGCTTTGGTTAAAAAAATTGCTATGCTATACACCATGGACTAGTAACAACAAATATTTTTTATAGATTATCCCCCTGTTGCAACACGACTGTGAGTACGTATCGCGGCCTATAGATTTCACCGAGAGGCGATGCGGGCGTGGACGGGTATATATAGGATATCATAAAGCCAAGTGCGACACTCACCCTTTATCGGGCGACAATAGACACCGCATTCAGTGGAAACGTGTGCATCATACAAGAATGTTCCCTCACCGGTTCGTATTGTGCGTGGCGATCCTGGCGGTTGGCAGCGCGGCCGGAAATTTAATAAGGGGCAAGAGTGACGGGCCAGTCTTCGCTGGCAAGGACTCGACGTTGTCCAAGCTCGATATAGATGGGAACGAGCTGAGCGTCCCGGAAGAGGAAATCGCACCACCGCAGGACAACGCCGAGAAGAAATGCGGCGAAATTGGAGAATTCGTACGTATTGCCGTTTAGTTTTTATGTTGCGCGTTTCACGTTTAATATCTACAAACATATGCATTTTCTGCCTTTGGTTTTTGTTCGAAAATTGAGATTTGTTAACAATTTTACAAACTTTGAACACTTTCTATCTTGTGTATAATAATATAATTGTGGCAAGCGATTGATTATTATTAAATGGCTATATGAATATGGCTCATTCAATAGAAAACGCATTATAAGACTGAGAAGTGCTGATAACTCGTTGAATAGTTCTTTTCTCCTCTGTAATTTTTTGGGTAGTTAGTCAAGCAAGTATATTTAATAAGTAACAGTAGCTGTTACCATATTAAATTTACCTTCGGGTAAATGTAACTACACTACACTTTTCCATTGGTGTAAAAGTTATAACTAATAAAAACTTACCTACGTTTTTAGTAATGCGTCGGAAATAATGATCGCTAAACATACATTACTTATTCATTATTCATGCATATATTATGAAAAAGTGATAACCTGCTTCTTTTTCTTTTTTAAAGGCAGACAGATAAAACAAATTTGTTTAATAAATGTTTAATGAAACATTAAATTACACAATTTACAACTGTGCTTGATGAGTCAAGGAAGTTAATGTTACGGTAAATGTTTTTAAGTATTAGGCTGGTCTCTGATTAGAGACAAAGCGATGGTGAATCACAAACGTGCATCAGTTCCCACTTGTGGTCGACACGAAAATTGTTTTAAAAATTATGAACAATTATAGCTTGATTTTTTGGTTTGAATTTTTTTAAATAATAATGAAGGTAAGGAATTTAAATTAAAAAAAAAAATAAACGCGATAAATCAATTCTTGTATTTCAATTCTTCGGCCTTGCTTTCAATATGATTGTTTTAATCATGTCTTATTGATTTTTTTTAAGTTCTTTCCGTCATCGTTGTCATCATCACTATCTCTAATTTGTCATTTGATTCGATCACTCTCTCTCGTTCTGTTCTAGAATCGAACTACTTGACAAAGCTTTCTCAAACAACGTTATAGTATCCATTAGTCCCGTGGCCAAAGCTTTTGAAACATCAGGAATTTAAAAAATAAATTAAGCGCGATAAAAGACATAAAACAGTTTTTTAGTACGTGTAGCATTATTTCATTATTAATTCTACAAAGCTGAATTTTTATATTTTACACTCCTTCTCTATATAAACTATAAGCGTGGGAAATTTCAAAGTTTTTGTTTCACGTATTAATATATTCATTATAATTATCAGAAAAATATTTTGGCTTTAAGTATTATTTCTTTACAGTGCGTGAATCATTCTGACTGCTGCAGCTTCGCTTGCCTCGGCTACATGAAGAAATGCGTGTCTGGCTCCGGATAGAAATTAAAATGATCGGTGCAATTACAACATAATTTATTTCACTTATTTATTTTACGGGCTGGATGTATCGGATGGTTGAGACTGGTGAGGTCGGGCGGGTTCGCCGCGAAGTGTTGGATTTCCTTCATCGCGTCCGCCGATATCTTCCACAGCTCTGGATACTCTTGTTTAAAATTGTTATACCATTCGTGTACCTGTGAATACAACATGCGGTGTAATATGATTTCGTTTTATTTTGCAACATCTGTCTATATTTACGATTTTATAATGTATTCAAAATTTTATGTGTGTATCTGTTAAATAATTGTAAAGTTCGAAATACCGAGATAGTGGTTTCACCTCCTGAGGGTATTGATGATATTTAAATGAATTATTTCAGTGCATATTTTTACACAAAGTTATATAACTAGTCCCAATCTAAGCAAAGTTTGTAGTACAAGCTTTGCCTAGACTGGTTAACTGATAAACATACTTATACATACTTTTCTTTCGTAAATAAAAATACACATTATAGATTCACAAATACAGTATGTTCCTATTCCTGATGCTATTTTCGAGTAATGGGGATCGAACCCACATCTTCTAGTACAATAGACACGTTCACTATTCACCAGCCAATCGGGCTATGATATATATATTTTTATAAAAAATCGATTGTCCTGTATGTATTGTGTTTATGCCTCTATTTTTGGAAAACGCACTAATTACCTTGGTGTAGTTGGCGAAGTCGAAATCAATAGCTTCGAGGGTCATGGTGGAGTTTACCAGAGGGAAGTCGCCGATGGTGAGGTGGTCGGCCGCGGCGTACTTCGACCCAGAGCGTTGCAAATACGTGTCGAGAACGTCGAGGGCCATCCGGACTTTTTTCAATCCGAGCTCCGTGCGCTCGTAATCAAAGAATATCGGGGCCATCTGTCGAGTGAATCATTCGTAATTGTAACGGTGACAATGCCCCGTCTGCATTACGTGCGTCGTTTGTTTGCTCGGCGATTTGGCGTGTTTCGTTCCTCGTTTGTATTGAAATTGTGCTTTTTTATGTTAGAAGATTGCAATCGCTCTGGCGGTTCACCTAATGCCACCCAAAGATATTTGTAATACCCGTATGGTTGCGGACACATTGTCACCTAGTTATAAATAGAGGGCCCCGTTATCCTCAATCACCAGAAGAAACGCAGAAGTGTAACACGACGGCCCTACACAAAGCGGAGGGCCCAAACCCGTTGGTTCTGGGTATCCCACCGGTTCTGCGTCAAATGAAGCTTTAATAGTCTCGGGACTGAAAGAAAAAACAAAGGTTAATACAAGATACAAGAAGTATAACACTCACTTCACGCCAGTCTTCTGTCTGGTCGTGGTACTTCCCCGGACGGACAACAGAGAAGAGTGGCCGAACCACAGTTAGGTCTATCCATTGTTTTTTGCTAGTGTTGAATGCTGAGTCCTTTCCTATCACATCTCCTAGGATAAGTGCTAGAGCATAATTGTCAATTACTCTTTCAAAACGAAGCACGAGTTTATTCATAAAGGTAATAATGTAAGGTCGAGTTGGTAATGGGTTTGATTGATTTAAAAAAAAAAAAACAACTCACAGTGTAAACAGAAATGTTCGCGTAATACGTGGACAAATTGAAACACAGCCGATGGTTCACGATGGCTCTGAAATGATGAAAGCAGATTATGTTTACTGTCCTTGTTTTAAAATCTCAAGTTCGGGGATAAGATACGGATCCTGCGCAATAATTTATCCATGAGTTCTAGTTATGATCCATCAGAAATCAAATGACACACAGATTGATTACTTTTCAGTCTTTTATGTCAGAGAGCTGGCGAAATTTAATTCTGTATTTGTTAACGGCAGTAATAAGTATCCAACTGAATAAGTTGAGAAGTGTGTACATATGTACAGGCCTTTTCATCTGTGTCAGATGTTTTAAACAGCATAACGGTGACAACACTTGCGTTCGTTGAGAATTGATAAGTTGTATAATTCATCTAGCGAAGATATAAAGTTTTTGAGATGGAAATGGTAAAGACACGCAAGTGAAAAGTCGGCAAGTCAGCCGCGGTAACCTGAAAACCTACTACTCGAAACGTACAGTAAAATAATTGTGTGAGGACAACAGAAGACACTGTCCTGATCCTTCCAATACACTAATCTTATCGATATGATTTTTAACATTCAAAGATATGTGAATTCTGCCAATCCGCAGTGGTGTCGCGTGGTGCCCTGGTACCCTTGGTACAGAGGAGGTCTTTACCCAGCAGAGTGGCATACAGGCTGTTATTTTATTTTGCTATACTTTACATAATTATTACGTTGAATTTACCTAACTTTGGCATCCTGCGGGTAGAGTTCGTTCCCGGGGGCGTATTTGTCGCAAATGTATTGAAGTATCGCGTTGCTTTCGCTCAGATAGAAGCCGTTGTCGTCGAGTACCGGGATTTCCTTTTGGGGATTCATCTGTAAAGAGGGACAGTGGTCGTAAAACGAAATTGCCACGTTGCCTTGTGGGCTCATAACGGCTTCCGCTGTAAACCAGCGGCGCAGTCAGAACATCCTGGTCATAACTGCATCGTACAAAAGGTCGCCCTAAAGGAAGAAAGAAGTGTTTTCGTTACATGCGAGCCATTGAGGAAGCTTGTCAATGATACATTTGATGACCGTTGCGTGAACTACAGTCATTAAGTAGATAGCTCTATTTTCAATTCGTCACTCTGTGGCTTGCCCTAGCGATCGATATTAGTTTGTTCCTAGTTGACATAATTATTTCTGTCTGACTTTGGAAACTGCCAAGTGTTTCGGGACTCGGGACGGGAAAAGGTAAATTAGTTTTATTTAACAATAGCCCCTAGTTCTTACACTGACCATACAATTATACTTACAGAGGTCACCGTTAAATATACATATTCGTTATACACAACAGTATGTTTTATAGTGTAAGATGGTGGCAAGCGAGCTTGGATGTTCACCTGGTGTTAAGTAATAACCATCGCCCGAGACAAATATACATCCGTAGAGTTGCAGATGCGTTGCCACCATAATAAAATGGGCCCCGGCTACCTCATTCATCAGACGAAACGCAGAAGTATAACACTCTCACGTCTAGCCGGTCGTCTGTGAGGCCATGATACTTACTTGGTCGGACCTGCCCATTTGTGTAACAGCCGAAGCTGTTGCGTGGTCCTACCACAGTTAGATAACTTAAATAACTTCTCACGAACAAATAATAACACTAAAAAATTCTTTATTTTTAAATTCTTATCTGCCTCTAGTGAATATTAAAAAAAGGACATTCTTCTTAAATAAAAACAATATAATTTCTATTCATATAATGTGTTTAAGAAATTAATTTAAATTTTTTCCTACAATAATACTCTTTTGCCGATTCTATTGAAATAATTTGTCTTAAGAGACCCATAATTCTAAATTGTCCAATGGAGGCCCCATTAGGTTGAAGATAACCGTTTAGACAGACATGTTCGAATTGCACGGCGGATGTGCTATACGAATACGAAACATTAAGTTCATTAATTTTCATTTCACATACCAAAGCATATTCGGCCGTCATGTGTTCTCCTTTACTGTAGTCAACGTTGACCAGTTCAAACGGTATCTTTAGTTTGGCTAGCGCCTGTCGCACTGATAGGGAGGGGGGGCCGTCCGAAACGGCGTACAGTTTCATGACCATATTCTCTGAAAGGATAATGGTTTCATTATTTATAATTTTTTTGTTTTTAAAAAACATTGCCTTTACTTTAGGATAACATTATCCTGTGTTGTAACAAATATAAATTTCACGCGGACAAACACCCAGATGTGAAACAACTATAGTCACAACAATAGTTGTCCCGTGTGAGAATCGAAATCAAGACCCTCGATGCCGAAGCTAATACCTTGGCAACTGCGCAACGGGCCACTGGGCCACGCAGCACAACCTCACAGAAGACCGGCGTGAAGTAAAAGTGTTACACTTCTGCGTTTCGTCTAATGAGTGAGGTAGCCGGGGCCCATTTTATTAAAAGGTGGCAACGCATCTGCAACCCTACGGGTTTTGAAAATATCCATGGACGGCGGTTATCACTTAACATCAGGGCCCTTATATGTATGTATTTTCTATCCGAGTTTACTACTATTTTGAGTTTTACGCGTTCTGTACAAACAAGAACAATATACGTGTAACTAGCAAAACCCACAAAAACACATGGCCAAAAATATAAAACCTTGAAGTAAAGATTGACCGCTCATAGCGATACCTTGAATCATTGGACTGTGGTTTTGGTAAATTGCCATGAAATATATGAACTAACGTGTTAGACGTCATAGCAAATAACCAAATATATTAAATGAAATTATGAAAAAAAAAATATATTAATAATTATAGCTTATATTACGAACCATACAGGCAATGTATGGTTCGTAAAAGTAATATGTCGTGGGAACTAAACCCATTCTTTAATTATCCACACCAATCAGTTTTATCACATCCTATTGTTAAGGCGGCGTTAAATGCAAAGTCGTTTACCGTTAATAAAAGCTCTTTTATTTATTATTTTATACTCACCAATATTTTGTGCTTGTTCGTTTACAAAGTTGTTGATTGCTTGCGGTTTGAGACGTCAATGCAGCCAGACCGTTAGCTCTGACCAACGAGTTCTGTGCCTTTCACTCCTATGGTGGGTATTCTATCCGTTGGCTGATTGTAACTGCGTATATTTGTGTCCTAAGTTGGTTTTGCATATCGCATAAGTGTCATTTACTTTTACAATTAACCGAAGAAAAAAGACAATTAAACGGTTTGCCATCGTCAATAGTTGGATCTGTCTAGTTCTTTAAACCGATTTGCTATGCATAGTAGTATAATTAGTAGTAATTTTTCGTAAAAAACCGAAACCGAATTTCAGTCTTTCTAAAAGAAAAATAAAATAAAATATATTCTATACTTACGATATCTTGTGTTGTAAGACTGAGATACACTTATAAATATATAGGTAGAATTATAAATTCGAACGATAAAAAGATACAGAGACAAAAGATCAATAAAATGAATAGGCTTTTTATAATTCCGATATATACAGTTTGTGTTTGTATTTTATTATTAAAAAATAATGTGATTCGAACAAAACCGCTGATCAAAGTCCAGGCGGCGATCGACCATTGCGAGTTAAATTTCCGTCCCCATTGGCATTTCAACCTGTTATTGTAATATTAAGTTGTTATTTTCCTTGTGTTTGGCACAATCTAGAATATTACTTTACGGAATCATCCGATCATTTATTGGCGGAATGGATTTTCTTCAACAAAGAGCGTGCTCTATTTAAGTTTCTTTTAAATATCCTATATTACCTCGTTATATTTATTTTATTGATCCGGAGAAACCATTTTTCAAAACATTAAAAAACGAATCTCCTTTAATGTCGGAAAACAACCGCTTGATTACATTAATCGTATAGTATAGTTATCCTCAGTTTTTAACCGACTTCAAAAAGGAGGAGATTATCAATGCGGTTGTTTATACAGCGTGTCATTACAACGGCGACAATAAATGAACACACGTCTAACGCTACTTGCCAATAATCATAAAAAATATATAAACGTTAAAAAAATCCATAATTAAAAAAATATATTTTTCAAACAAATTAATTAAATAAAAAAGAAACAACATTTGTAACATCTTATACAATTACAACTGACTCTGATTCATGCATTCAGAGACTTTTTCATTCGTTGCCACAACGTCGCATTACAAGACTCTCCTCCTAACAGTATGTTTTGTCTTTTTTAAATTCATTTAACCCATTCATATGCTTTGTGACCTTTACAAATGAACTTTACGTTACGCTTTTATAGGTAAGGATGTTCTAAAATTCTTTGTTTTGGAAAATTTAATAACTCTGTAAATATTGATGTTTAAAGAATTTAAACGTTTAATACAACTTTAAAAAGTTATCCCCTATATATGTGTTCATTTATTTTTAAGTTACTTCATTCATTATTGTAAAGACAATTAATATAAAAAAATATTAAGTAATTTAGCTTTTTATTATAATTATCACTAAAAAGAGTGACGAGAAGAGACAGTTACGAGAGCGATTATCACTTAAGATTTAAAAATAATCAGGCATTATATTTTAATTGTCTTTTTAAATAATCAAATCTAAAGTACTCCAGGAGGGACTAATTAAAAATATTTAATTTAAGGCTAAATTTTAATTTCTGGTTCACTATCTTAATCACGTCTTAACTAACAGTACGCATTAATTGTCAATAAGAAAAAATTCAAAATTTTAAAAGGACTATATTTTTTTTTACTTTTTTGTCATAAAACATTTATCACTAATGATGGAACAACTCTAATAAATGTAAAGGCAATCGAACAACGTAATCACATTCAAATACTTGTATAAAGTATTGGGACTTAATAAGTACAAAACGGTAATATTTTATAAGGGATTTTCGGTAGGTAGTAACTTCAGCTCACGTAACGTAACTCTTCGGTCTCCTATAGCCTCGTAAGCTATAGGAGGCCACGAGCTGCTTGTGGCTTATCCCTTCGTCGCACCTTACGACAACATCGGGACTGACTCACACGATTATTTTTAATTGAATAGGGTGAAATGTCTCTTCCATATGAATTACTGACATAATTCTAAATAAATGATAATTTTATTTCTTTTATGCTATGAAAGACAGGTACAATGTAAGGTTTTACTTGGAGTTGGTAAACGAAACGAGATATGTCATAAGGAGGGAGACGTAAAACGTCATACAAAAATAGGATCAAAGATGAAAGTTATTTTTAATATTATGTCTTAAAATTGATATTTATGTATAGTTGCGATCATTCATAATGCCTACATTTAATGTAAATAGAAAGAGTTTTTCAGAAAATTGTTAAAGAAGTTTAAAGCGAAGTGTTTAAATTATGATTCTTAAAAGGCGAATTAAAAAATTAACTCGAATAAGAAGCAAGGTAATCCTCAGGTATGATGTTATATATGCTAATTATATGACTTCTAATTTGAATTATAAACCAAATACGTGATTTTTGGCTTCTTCTAAGCACAAAGACTGTGACTGAGCTGTGTAAATATTGTTTGTTTGCGAGACCTAAATGTCTAATTATATTAATCCCATACAGAGTTTATTTGTTGCATTTAAACATTGTATTTGTGACTGTGTATACAGTGCGTATAAATATTTTTGCAGGACTACCAAAGTTCAGGTGACTGCTACCAAGGATGGTGCACCTTGAAATGACGGGTGTTGAATTATGTAGCCACTCGTTAACAATAAACGATCTGCCGAATGAATTACTCATTTACATATTTTCTATGATTGATTTTGAATCACTGTTGGCCGTAGCTAAAGTCTGTGTGCGATGGCAGCAACTTTGTCTTACACCATGCATCTGGGACAATACACGCCTCATAGTATGTATGAAGAACTATATTAAAATAAGTGAAAACATTGTGCCTTTTGTTGCTAAGTATTTGAAAAATGTTAAATTACAGTATTTCAAATTGTATTCTCAAGTGAGGGCTTCCTTGATAAATTATTGCCCTAATTTGACACATTTAGAAATAAGCATTTCTCAAGTAGACAGTTGTATCTTTGAAGACCTTGGTCACTGGCCAAATCTGAAGTTTTTAAGTTTTCGAAATTCTCTTATTGTACACAGTATTGAAAATGTTAATGGAAACTTTGTTTATCATTTGCCATTTGAGAAACTCAAGTACCTGGAAACTCTAATCCTTTCAAACTTTGCTTTAACACAAAATAGTCTATACAGTATGCTACAGTGTGTAAACTTGGTCAGTATTAATATGGAAAAAATGAAGAACATCCCCGCTGATTTTTTGGAATCTCTATTAAGAACTAAACAGTTGACTTTGCAAGCATTGTATATTTATGGTGACACACTCAACGATGATATAATGTGCTATATAGCAAACTGTAAATCTCTACAGGTTCTTCACATAATGACATGTAAAACATTGTTCGACTCAAGTTTGGTACACCTTTATCGCCTCAAGAATTTGCAATCACTGAAATTACGTCATGGATATTTTTCTACTACCGCATTGTTGGCGTATTTTTCTAATAATATATTTCAGAAATTAACCTACCTTAGTCTTTCAAGGTGTGTGCATGTCACCATGCAAGTTGCAAAAGTCGTAAAAGCTAGTGCACCAAATCTTAGAGAGCTATCATTCTATCTCTGCCCATTCATAAATGCCACAGGCTTTAATCGATCAGAGTTGGAGAAAATGTTTAAGATACAGTTGCTACTTGACTAAACTTAAAATGGTTGTTTATTTTACACAATGCTGCTAATATCCATCCAGTCTATACATAGGATATAAATTAAAGTGATATATTAGCTGGATAACAAGTAGGAATGAAATTGTATAATTGTGAATGAATATGAATTTGTTGTGATACAACAATAAGCAAAAATACCTCCAGTATTTAAAATGTGGATTGATAAATAGTCATTACATTATAGTAGATCTGTAAAACATGTCCACTATTGTAGAGAGTTATTTGAGGAAATGTATTTTACTGTCAAAGTGCCTTATATTTACCACCAATTATTTGTATTCATTTAATATTGAAAAATTAATAATGACAATAATTATACAGATGTTATCACAACTAAGCATATAAATATTTGTAATTGATGGAAGGAATTGTTATATAACTTATCAATATGTATGTATAGGATTTACAAATTTTTATGTTATGATGATATTAATTATAATGTTGACAGATTTGGAATATAATGATACAAGGACAGTATGTACATGTAGTTTGTATTTGTTCATTAAAAATGATCCATTTATTTACAGTATTTAGTGTAAGTGAATATTAACTTGTTCTGTATTTGTGTCTACAATGTGATTTATGGTTATTATTTATATTGTTTGTGCTGTTTTACTACCCTACACACAATAAACATATTTTTAGAAATGATGTGTTCCAATTACAAGCAACTTTGGCAGATGATATTTAATTTATTATTTGCTGTTTTATCATAAGTCAGTACTGATTGAAGGAATTTATGTCAATGTAGTCAAACACTACATTGGCATAAATTCATTAGATAACCAATATAAATACTTTTCTTTTAAATTTTAAATAAATACATGTTATACATGTATAAACACCCAGATACTGAAAAAACACTATGTTGATCACACAATATTTTACCAGTACGAGTTGCTATCAAAGCCACACCCTCTGGCGCAAGAGGCAGGTTTACTACTCACTACGCCAATCGAGTCGGCGAATTGTGTTATTGTTATGATATATATTGTTTAATTTTATTCTACGTTAGAAATAACTTCACTGTTTGTCTGAATTCAATTTGGGGCTATTCTTACAAAATATGAACCATAAAGTTAGTATAGTATTTTTAAGTGACTAGTTGCCAAGCGAGCAGGCGGTTTACCTGATGTAAAGTGAATACCGCCGCCCATGGGCTACACCCGAGGGTTGTAGATGCGTTCACAACCTTGAAAATTGGGTTCCGGCTACCTCGCTCACCAGACGAAACGCGAAAGTATTATACTTCCACTTTACGCCGGTCTTCTGTGAGTTCGTGGTATTAAGCCGGACGAGCCTGCCCATTCGTGCAACAGCCGAGGCTGCTGCGTGGTCCTTACACAGTTATGGTACTTTAACTAAGAAAAAAAATTAACTGTGCTGTCACAAATATTTTGTTTTATAGGATATTCTTCATACTGACCTAAGGTGGTATTAATTATTATTGTTATTAATTCAGTACTATTATAAGAACTTACGCGATAGGTGTATCTTTGTGGTAATCGCGTAAGTCATTATATAACTTCGCGAATAAATATATTTATATTATTTTTGGTTGGGGCTGGAGGCCAGAGGAAAAAACAATTTAGAGACGAAAAAAATCTTTGATAACATAAATTACAAAATCGCGAACCAAAATTATTTGTATGTAAAAGACTTCACGAAATGTAAGAAAGTAGGCTGCTGCCTCAAACACTTGTCCGAAATATGTTCTCTACTAGCACACTTCTTAGTTTTCATTCTTTTTTTATTGAAGAAGTACGCTCTTCGTGAGAGGTCTTTTTTTTTCTAAATCTTGTAACTCCTTTTCAATTTATATATTTTTTATCAAATACCCAACCGTTGTTTGATTACATCTAATGACAATATCTTGTTCTTGCTCATGCATTTATATGATCTCATCAATTGTCACTTCCAAATTGTGAGAATTCAGCAGCCGGAGCCCAATTTTCAAAAGGTTGTCAACGCATCTGTAACCCTCGGGTGGAGCAGATGTCCATAGGCGGCGGTATTCACTTAACATCAGGTGAACCGTCTGCTCGTTTGGCAACTTTTCACATAAAAAAAGAAAAGTTGTTGAACGTTAAACAAAAGACGAATCGATGACATATGAAAACCGTATAACCCCGGTATGTACTATAAGTAGACATATTAAACTATTACATTATTATTCGTGAATACCACTAAATCAAAGCTAAAACATATAAATGATATAGGTATAAATATTTATTTAGGTTATGCCCATATCTTTTGCTGTCACAAATTGAAACAAAATTGTGTAACGACTCCGTTTATTTCATAAATTAATAAAAAGCTGGCATGTGACAATCAGACGAATGGTTCGATGTTTATCTCCAGCGCCGAGCACGGGTTGGTGAGTTCGAAGGCGTTCAGCACTGTCGGATGGAGGACTCCTATCTTCCCTATGGCCTCGCCACGGAGGACCACTTCGGCGCAGCGGCCAGGGAAGTATGCGGGGTCTGAAATCGATGATGCGAACCGGTTAATATCAAGAAGCCAGTGATATAAATTAGAGTTTTCATTGGATAAAAATTGCGTTAGGTCATCGTTAATGATAGTTGTGGCTGGACAGAGCAAAATAACTATATAATTTTCACGGTGGCAGGGCCACGCAGCAGCCTCGGCTGTTGCACGAATGGGCAGGCTCGTCCGGGTAAGTACCACGACCTCACAGAAGATCGGCGTTAAGTGGCAGTATATTACTTTCGCGTTTCGTCTGGTGAGTGAAGTGGCCGGAGCCTGATTTTCAAAAAGGTTGTCAACGCATCGAGAACCCTCGGGTAGATGTCCATGGGCGGCGGTATTCACTTAACATCAGGTGAACCGCCTGCTCGCTTAACAACTTTTCACATAACAAAAAAATATTTAATACCGATATTTTTTTCAATGGGAGAAAGTGACAAACGAGCTGGCGGTTCACATGATGTTCTTTTTTCTTTTTCTTTTCTTTTTTTTTTTTTAACATTGCCCTTACTTTAGGATAATATTATCCTGTGTTGTAAGGACATTTTACAAACATAAATTTCACGCGAACAAACACCCAGATGCGAAACAACTATCTGTGGGTCACACAAATAGTTGTCCCGTGTGGGAATCGAACCCACGACCCCCGACGCCGAAGCCAACACCTTGGCAACTGCGCCACGGAGTCATCACCTGTTAAGTGATGACCGCCGCCCATTGGCATCTGCAACACACGTAGGGTTGCAGAGGCGTCGCCATCTTGGTCGCCATCGACCCATGACGACCCGAATGGCGTTGTGGGTAGTGTACCTGCCCCCTACGCCAGAGGGTGTGGCATGTATAATATGTATTTATTTACAAAAGAAAAGTATGTTTAAGTATGTTTATCAGTTTTTTAGTACCCATAGTACAAGCTTCGCTTAGTTTGGGACTAGAGAGTGTTGTGTAAAATGTGTCCTAAAATATCGCACTGGCTCACCTTCCGCCTGGCGTAGGCAGTAGCCCGCTTCGCTGTCCCAGGGCTGGCTGAGCAGCGCCATAAGCCTGTCCAGCAGCCCGTGCACGAACTGGAAGCCGGCCGCTTTGCCGCAGTACACTGCGCACACGCGCCTCTCGTTTCGCGCCCCCGTCTCTGACGAAGTAACAAATTTTATGTGTTCCACTGCTGGACGATGGACTCTGTAGAGATGGTATTAGAGCATACAAAGTAAGGTAAAGATATCCCCCACTGTTGGCCGAAGGCCTCTGTATAGAGGGTATTAGGGCATACAAAGTAAGGTAAAGATATCCCACTGCTGGGCGAAGGCCTCCTCTGTACAGAGGGTATTAGGGCATAGTCCACCACGCGGCCCCACTGCGGATTGGCGGACTTCACGTATCTTCTAAATATTCTTCTTATTTCTTTGTTATTATTTCGAAAACTTGCACGTTTTCTCGCGATGTTTTCCTTCACCGATGAGCACTTTTAAATTAACAATTTCATTGGTGCCAGCACCGGGGATCGAACTCAGGTTGCTCGACGATATCGAGTTAAAGGCGAGCGCCACTAGACCGAGCTATTACGGCTCTTAAATGCTTAATGTTGTAACATAAAATTTGTACTAAACAATATGTTGAATTCGCGTTAATACAAGAAGTCATTAAGTGTTTGCTGTTAGTTAAGCGATAATTGACGCCTCTGGCTGCGGAGTTTAAGTCGCTTAACCAACCCGATTTCTTATCTTGCAGCACGACGTCGCTGATCTCGAAGAGTTTCAGGGGCAACGGCATCTTCTTGTTGGCGGCCAGGGTCTTCAGTAGACCGGGCAGCAGCACAGTCCGCACCACTTGGAACTCGAGGGTCTTCGGATTGGAGATGTGGACCGCTGGCACGTCTTCGATTTTCAAACCTAGCTTCGTAGCGACGTCCTCCCTTGAACACTGCGTTCAACAGATTACTCATTTATTTAAATAAGTTTCGTAACTGTAACAAAATAAGATAGTTTTCTATCTATATATTATTATATAGCCCTTTCTGTAGGATAAATGTAACGTGTGTAAGCACGTTTTACATACATACAGTAGGCAAACAGAAAAAAAATTGTTGTCCAGTGTCGGAATCGAACCCACGACCCTCACCTAGGCCGATAGCTTGGCGCAGATGCCAACTAGTCAGTATTTTGCATACATTTAGATCATTTACGAAGTATAATTCCAAAGTCCCTGGCATCTTTCTGCATCTTCTTTTCCTACTCACACCGGTGCGAGGTGACAGGGTATCTTTCTTATATTTTTTAAATAAACCCCCCCTCCCAATAAAGGTCTTCTCCACTCACAAGTGTGAAGGTGAGGCCTTCCGTGTACCCAGCTTGGGCGCATTCCTGGCGCAGCTGTTCTGTCAGCTTGTTGATGGGCTGCTGGGAGGCGTCCGCACCAACCAGGGCGCGCCGCTTCTCTATGCGATTGTACCTGGTGGGTGTGGACAGTCGACCATGGTCAAATACGAGATACAGGAGAAAAGAGAAAATAAAGAAAAAAAAGAGAAATGAACCGACGTACCCCGTTATAACTATCGAATTTGTATAAAATTGGTATTTACTTTAAATCTTATTCAATTACATATATCGTCATCCAAGCAATAAATATCTTCTTTATGAAAGCTTATATTTTAACTAGCCGCTTCATAATTCTATTCTTTTCAAAGCTTTAATTATTCATTGCATCATTACAGCAACAAAAACGAAAACACTTGCTTTTTTTTTCAACAGCGTGATTTATAATAAAGGTACACCGTGATAAAGATATATAACAACAACAACAACAACAATATCAGCCTACTGCCGTCCACTGCTGAACGTAAGCCTCCCCCAAAGTGCGCCAACTATCCCGGTCCTGGGCAGCCCGCATCCATCCGATATATAACGTAACTATAAAATTTAAAACGATTTCCCTGCAGCGATTCGAACTTGCTTCCTCCATGACACGCGCGCTACTCTGTTGCCACCGGTCACTGAGCTAAACGGCATATTATGTTCCAATTAAAATCTCAACGTATCTGTGCTTAGCGCCATCTAGTGTCGATATGCAATATTTATCGCCGAATACTATAACTACTTTCGTCTATTCTATTGTATTAGAATAAAAAAATAAGTGAAATCTTGAGTGTTTGTTGGTGTCAACGAACGAAGTTTAGTATTTGCGTTTGTATATGTACTTGAGTTTGAACTGAATATGCGGTTGGGTCGTGAAAGCGCATTGTCTGGCCGCTCGCTTTTAATTCAATATACTCGGGCAACCTTAGTTCAAATGCCAATTTTAGTTGCTTCATTTAACGTGCTCAGCAGTGGATCATGAGGAAACGAACATATTTTCGAAATAATAATGGAAAAAAAATTGTTTTTTTTTTTTAATGTGAAAAGTTGCTTAACGACCAGACTGTTCACCTGATGTTAAGTGAATACCGCCGCCCATAGATATCTGCTATAACCGAGGGTTACAGATGCGTTGACAACCTTTTGAAAATTGGGCTCCGGCTACCTCACTCACCAGACGAAACGCGAAAGTATTTGTAATACTACCACTTTACGCTGGTCTTCGGTGAGGTCGTGGTACTTACCCGGACGGACCTGCCCATTCGTGCAACAGCCGAAGCTGCTGCAAGGCCCTACCACCACAAAATTCCGAAGATATTACCGCCAATTCGCAGTGTGTCAAGTGGTAGATTATGCCCAAACACCCTCTGTACAGAAGAGGCCTTTGCGCAGCTGCGGGACTAATTTTTACGCGGTGAGCTGCGGCCTTTGCTGTTCCAGGAATTGGCAGTCTCGCCGGGGAAAGTACCACAACCCCATCACAGAGGATGTGAAGGCAAAGTATTTTATTTCTGCGTTTTGTCTGGTGAGCGGGGTAGCCGGAGCCCCTTTTTTTTGGGAACCATAAGGATTTTAACCCTAAGTATGTTACAAATGTCAATGGGCAGCGGTTAACAGTTAACTCTTAAAGTGCTTGCTCTCCACTAAAACAAGTATATTCATTATTAAAAAAATACTTCACTACGTGCGGATAGATTAGATTTTGAAGTTCCCTGAAAAGTTAAAAATAAATATTTTTCAGGAAATATTTTTAACACAGCGTTATCAAACCCAAAAAACTAAGCAAAACTGATAAACTTTACTTTTTATAAAATTTATCTGTAAATAAATACATACCATAGATATACATATAATCCCCTAAACACTAGTAAAACACTATGTTCGTCACACAATATTTTCCCAGTAGCGGGGATCGAACCAGCACCGTTTAACGCAAGAGACAAGTTCACTATCCACTACGCCGATATCGTTTGGAATGAATTCGAAGGAATTACCCGTAGGCTATGGCGATGTCCTCGTATAGGTCGCAGGCGTGTATGACGTCATGGCGCGTGGGCGGGACTCGAACCCGGAGCTCGCTCCCCTCCACCGAAGTGATGAGGCACATGCGAGACAGCAAGCCCGCCAGCTCGCCACCCTCCTTGCTGGCGAAAACGACCACTACGTAGCATAAAACAAAGTCGAACCGCCGTCCGTCTGTCCCTATGTATGCTTAGATCTTTAAAACTACGAAACGGATCTTGATGCGGTTATTTTACTTGATAGAGTGATTCGAGAGGAAGGTTTATTCAGGGAGATTTTTTGAGAAGTGCCCAAATTTACACAGGAGGCTCAGACTAGGTAGTATAATCGTTTATTGAAATAAAAAACAAAGTTTTTTTTTTAAATGCCATTCTATTCCCTAAAAAACAGAACATGTTGACAATGCGGTAGTCATTCATAAATACCTAAATTTTACTGTGCACGAACTGGTGTGCGTGTTAGTGATGAATGATCGCGCGTAAAATACATGAGTTGCGTATAAATGACGCACTTTTTGAGATAACTTCAAATGAATGTAATGAATTACTTACGAGTGATTTACAATATTTATCATTTTTTTATAATTCATTATTTATGTCTAGAATTTAATTTAAAAAATGGATACACATATAAAAGCCTCCATGTATGTATAATACATTGCATCCATGCGGGCGGGTCGCTAGTTAAGTACTTATAATTTAATCGAAGTGGTATTATAATATTGTACATATAGATATCTAGAATATGGGTTTCGGCATTGAAACACTTTTTCTTGTATTTAATATTTATTCGACACGTTGTAATAATGTTCATCTGTAGGTTTTTTTTTTTTTGGTTTTTAAAAAAAAAAATTGTTTTAAAAATTACGACTATGTACCATTTTGTTATCCTCGTTCTTTTTACTCATTCAAACTATCGTTGTGTCTTCTTTGCTCATCCTATGCTAAATCTGACGTGTTATCCTATTTTTAGTTTTATAATAATTTTATTTGCCTTAATAAACAATCCCACATGAATGTATGTATGTATATATATATATATATATATATATATATATATATATAATTATATTCGACTACCATCCGAGTTGGTGGTGATGAAGACTAACTGAAGACTGGCCCTATTAGCTCAATGGCTTAACACCTTGCCAACTTCATAAATACTATGGATGTCAATCTATTAAAAGACTTAAATCGTGCGGATAACCGATTGGCCGGATATCATTTACCATCAGCTGCCTCGTTTTCAATTTCTTTAATAACAAACTTGACCCTGTACGTATGTCCAACGCAAAAAGTTATACTTTTTTAACGTAACCAAAGAAAATATATCACACGTGCTATTTACTCTTTGATTTTGAAAAAAAAGTTAAAAGCAATTGATAATGGTTATGATAGATAGATAGATAGAGATAGACCTTGGTGTCGCTTTAAGGTTTCGCGGATCATACAAATTCCCTCTCATCATTTTTCCAAAAGCGCCAAAATAAGTATGACTTCAAAAATTTTATTTCCTCACTTGATTCCGATGGATCTGTTCGCTTTGTCGATATTGATGACCTCCTCTCTGTAGTCCAGCTTCGGGTAGAGCTGGTACGTGCCGTCTGGGGCGAAAACCTTGCACTGCTGAACCTCGTACTTGTTCCCGCAGTACTCGGAGAACATGCACACAATAGTGTCCAACACAACAGTGGCCTGTAAACGAACAATGTAATAGGATTACTACACTCTGCGGTCTACTCTTTTTGAAAGTGTTTTTAAATTGACCACATATTCAATTTAGTTGTAAAATTTCAATCCAAGGTGTGTAGCCCGAGGTATCTTTGAGGTAAATTATTTCCAAGATATTTTAAATTCGCCAGTAAACAATGGGACGCCTATATAGATATAGAGCTGGTCTTCACTGTGCATGCAATCGTACAATATATCTTCAAATTTAATTTACATATACAAATATATATTCGTATATAGCAATAAAAATAGTTATCAAAATATAAACGGAAATAGGATCTGAAGCATTTGCATTCTGAAATAGGCTATGTGGTTTATGCTCCGTAAACTGAATGCTTGTATGGGTATGTAATTTCAAAACCTTACGGGTTATGTAAACAGTTAAGAAACAACAAATGTTTTTGTAAATCACAAGAATATTACGAAAGGAATGTTGACATTCAAATGTGGTTGTTAACTACTTAAGTCCCAGTGTACTTTATCCTATAAAATGAACAATTTAACTCCGAATTACTTGAATATATGAAACACAGAACAAGATTAAGTTTTAAAATATAGTGTAAAAGATAGATATGTTGTCGTTTCGATCCCCAAACAGGGAATAATTTTAAGCTAAAACTAACAAGCAAGTAAATACAGAAAAGCATTATGTACATGTCATACCTTTGTCAGATCCGTAGCGGTGCACTCAATGAAGACGTTCTTTGTATCAAGTGTGATCTTAGAGTGATCGCCGTTAATAATTGGCGGCATGGACAGCACAACCCCGTTCTTATCTTTTATTACAGGGTAAACAGGACTATCACGTATAATACCCAAATATTGCTTTAATTGAGCATGACCCTAGAATATACATATATTGTATCATTATTATCATGCACAAAATTCAAACAGCACAACTTAAGCTGCTATTTGAGGCCGCAAGGTAGAAGGTTTTGTGAGAAAGGTGTAAAAACAAATGCAGCTGTGTACCAAAATACAGTCCTAACAAACCTTGTGGTACCTCTGTCTCATACCATGTTAAATAACAGACACAGGGTATTCCAGCAAAATTCTGCGCCAGCTCATAGGGCGAAAAGAAGGTAAAATTGGCTGTCGGCATTTGAAATGAGTTAATGTCACATGAATACTGGCCCTCCTACAGTCCTTAAATCTGTTGTTTTATAAAATATCGAAACACTTGGAGGAAAAGGCCTTTAAGGTCACGGTTGTAACACCATGTTGTATAAATAGATAAAAATAATTGCTTCACATAAAAAATATGGAGTAGCTTAGGAAATCAAACACAGTTACCGAATATAGTTCCATCAGCTCTGGTGCCGTCATCTCTTTTTGTTGGTTGAGAGCTTTGAATTTTATTTCACTTGGTGGCAAAGCATCATACACAAAGGGCCCCTGTATGGCGTCCAAGTCATGAGTTCCTATTGCAACAAGTGTTCTCTTGCGGCAAATATTTTGATGCAACTTATCCTGCAATTAACATAGTTAACTTATAGTAATCTATTAAAATAAACAAACTTTAAGAGCCGTGATAGCTCAGTGTCCGGGCGCTCGCCTTTAATTCAATATACTCGAGCAACCTGAGTTCGATCCCCGGTGCCGGCACCAATGACGTTTTTAACTTTAAGTGCTGACTTATCACGTGCTCCGCGGTGAAGGAAAACATCGTGAGGAAACCTGCATATTTTCGAAATAATAACAAAAAAAAAATATTTCGAAGATATGTGAAGTCCGCCAATCCGCAGTGGGGCCGCGTGGTGGACTATGCCCTGATACCCTCTGTATAGAGGAGGCCTTTGCCCAGCAGTGGGACATGTATAGGCTGTTACTTTACTTTTTTTTAAACAAACTTTTACCATACGATTTAAAACAATAATGTTGCATTAATTTAATTGAAACACTTGGAAAGTCATGATTTTTATGAATACTTTGAATAAATATTGTTACTTCATTACAGAAATATTGTAGAAATATGTAGAAACACATCACACTTAAAATTTATGTGCCAAAATGTGTCCTGTTAATGTTTGATGTGTAATAGATTAGATATTACAAGAAATTTATATGCATAAAACATATACCTGCAAATCAATGAAGCTGTCATAACTTTCTTTTGTAAATTTAATGCCTCTAAGAATAGCAGCCACAGCATATGGCCTTATTTGATCAGTTGCTGGAGTTAGATGGAGAGAGAAACAGTCTTCATATTTTTTGATCTTGTATTCAGGTGGTGCTTTTCTGGAAACCAAGAGCAAAATTTAGTATATTTAAATAAATATAATAATAATAAAGTGAACATTTTAAATTAATATTATAGGTTAATTTTGTTCAGTGACTCAGTAATTAATGCAATCATGGAGAATTTAATAAGCGGCCCCATATCATAAGAATTCGTAAAATTAACTCTAAATACAGTAAAGTAAAAAGGAAAATATACTTCATTGTACACCAATAGAAATACAGGTATTATAACTCAAGACATGGGTACAACAGGCGGCCTTAACGCTTAAACAGCGATCTCTTCCAGGCAACCGATCAGAGCAGGGGATTCATTAAAAGAAGAAGGTTGATGGTTTATGTTTTTTGGTTTTGGAAAATAGTCATTGTTTTTAGCTGCACATAAGTGAAGTTCACTTTTGCCGAAAAATAAATTAAATGAAAGTATTTATTTATTTAATTCCAGATGGAACAATAAAAAAAATTAACAATAGAACATGAAACTAAAATATTATTTTGTAACTAAACATTTACAGTAAATAGTACAAAATTATAATAAAACAAAGCAACAAATAACATGAGTTATGATGAAATCAAAAAATATTATTTGTATATAAAAACATTATTTTTTATTTATACATGTTTTTTTTATATATAATGTTTACAATGTCAGTCAATAAACTACAAAGGGAAAAGAAACATTCATTGGGCACTGAAATATGTATATACATTTAACAAGCCAGAATGAAAGTTTCCACAAATGGTATTCCCAAACTATTGGAGTATTTCCAAAAGACTTACCTTCCTTGAAATACCAGTATCCCATTAACTAGTCCTTCAAGGCATAATAGATCATATCTATTAGCTGGAATGTCTATACGGTACAAAATATCTTCGGATACTCCTGCAGCTGCATTGTCACCTTGTTCTTTAATCAACATCTGCTTTTCTGTAGTCTGTAATCAGATTGAACAAAAATTAAATGTAAAATTCTTTCAGAAAAAAAAAATATTTTCTTTTTTCTCATTTCATGTTTCATCGCAATTAAAACAGCATTTAATAGTATAAAATATTAAAAAGTATTATTATTTGTACTTACAACCTCATCCAATTCCAAGCCAAATTCAAAGCATAACTGTTCGAACTCCTCATCAGCTACAAAAAAAAAATAATGAATTTTTTATCGTAATTCTTAGGTGTAATGTTATTCCTTTATCAAAAACTAGCTAAAGCTTGACAAATTATTACGAAAATTGGTTATATGGAATTAAATTAAAAAAATATGTACGTACTGTATGTTTTTCCTAAAGCCGTAAACAGAGAATCACGTTTAACTGATATAGTAGGCATGGTAAAAAAAAGTATTTCTAAATGTTTTTTTTTTAATTTATATCTTATACATTCACAATTTCTGACTGATTTAAGTATAAAATAGACACGATTTTGAGGTTATAAAATTGACGTATTTCATAGGCTGTATGACAGTGACAGCAACTTTACAGCAGATGATTTGTATTGTCTTGTCAAATTTTAATGTGATGAGGACTAACGATATATATTTTTTTATAGAATAATCGATTTATTACAGAATCCTAATTTTTTTTGTGAAAGTGGCAAACGTATAACGGCTATTTCACACGTCGAAAGGCAAACGTGTAACACTGCTACTTCACGTTAGTCTTCTATGAGGTCATGGTACTTACTCGGACGAACCTGTACATTAATGCAACGAATACTGTTGCGTGGCCCTGCCACAGTTATGTATATTATTGTTTATGTAGTATTTGTTTGCCTAGTGGCTTTGATAGCTTCTTTAGAAGAAGTCTAAGTAGACGTAGAACTTAAGAGACCAACTTTCCGGGCCTTCCTGTCGAACCGCTCCTTTCGATATCGAGTTGAAGGCACCCTCTCCACAAGCTGCCGCCTCACGGCCGGCGTACCCCAAGGCTCCTGCCTCTCACCTTTGCTCTTTACGCTCTACAGGAGTGATATACCTAAAGACCCCCACGTCAATCTCTCGCTCTTTTATTCAGACCGCAACCTTAGTCAACTAACCACTCGACTCCAAAGCGACGCCGACCGCCTCGGCGCTTGGTTTCGCAAATGGATAATAGAAGTAAATCCACGAACACACACATGAAGTACGTTCTACTACCAGTCACATCTTTATAATGGCCCTCACCAATGCAGAAAGTTGGGGCAAATATCCCTTTATGGTCAACCGCTCCCCTGAGAAAAAAAGGTGAATGAATGAATGAATGAATGAATGAATATACTTTATTGCACACCAAAAATAAAACAAACAAAAATTAAAACTTAATGTATAAGTAATGGGTACAATGGGCGGCCTTATTACTAAGAGTAATTTCTTCCAGGCAACCTTTGGATGGATTGAAATAATTTAGGAATAAAGGTGTGGGTTAACTAAATGAATGAAAAAGAAAAATACTTAGCTACAATCATAATTCATAATAATAAGATATTTATAAATATGTAAGTAACATGCCATATATACGAATACATATATCATTGTTAGGGAATAACATTATAGAGATAGGTAATGATTTTTTACAAGATTCTTGAAAATATTTAATGACTGAGCACGCCTTACTTCTAGTGGTAAGTCATTCCAGAGTCGCGCCCCTTGCACCATAAATGACCTACTCATAAACTTTGTTTTGTGCGTAGGAATTTTCAGCTCCAAGTTTTCTGATGATCTCAGAGACTTAGAGTGGGAATCACAAAGAAACTGGAAACGTTCCTTTAGATAGGTGGGATAAGAGGGATTAAACAGAATGTTGTAAATAAGATAAAGTATGTGAGAATTCCGGCGAAGACGAATAGGCAGCCAAAGGTCAAATACTTAGGAGTCACTTTCGACTCGGGTATATCATTTATTACGCACATTAACAACGTTCGCAATAGAGCCGCGTTCGTTTCCGGCCGGCTACACAATTCCCCACGATTCGCGAATATTTTAAAGACCTGACCAAACGGTTCTTCGATAGAGCCGAACATCGTCCCAACCACCTGGTGGTAAGCGCAGCAAATTACCAACCCGACACAAACGCGAAGTCAACAAGCGTCGCCCGCGAAACGTCCTCATCGACCCAGTCGAGGAACGCGACTTAGATACGTCGGACACACCGCCGATGGTCCCGCCGGATAACACTACACCCACAGTTAGTGCAACAACAAACACACTAGTTCGCCCTCGCCTCCGAGCATGGCGAGACCATCACAACGCGTACACAAGGTACACCCGCGTTCCGGGGTGGTTCTCACTGCTCCCAGCCACCGATTAGCTAATTGCACACTCTACGGCCATCGGTGTTTCGGTCCGTACCGCGACCTCCATGGCCTTTAGATAACACACCATAGTTAAACGCATGCATGAGCACATGCGTGGCCCTACCCACAGTGGAGGGCCCAAACGCGTGGGTTCTGGCTAATCCACCGGTTCTGCGTAAGATGAAGCTTTAATAGTCTCGGGACTGAAAGTAAAAACATCAGTTAATAGAAGATACAAGGACAACTTAGATTATCACCATGACGAAACTATATGCTTACTCCGCGATCCGTATTAGAAAACATGAACAATTCGTGTAAGAAGACGAACGATTTGAGGGCCCTATGTCGGAAGAATGGATATCTGCTTGGGCCACCATCGGTAGGTGATTTCACCACACACTCCATCCAGAGAAAGTTATAATGTTGAAATTTTGATTAAATCTCGAGGCATAATAACGTCGAATGATCGGCTACGAAAAATTAAACTACAAAACATTTAACTAAGGAGAATTCATCATTTACGATAACGCAAGAATATCGGAAGTAATCATTTCGCGTAATTAACTACGCGGTAAACAAACAACGCTGTTAAATAGCAATAAGAACATAATGTAAGCGATTCAAAAGTGGTTTGCTGTGAATTCAGAATCTTGTACTCACAGTCGAGTGCGCTGAGCCATATGTGTATTGTAATGTATGTATTGGCCATCACACAAATGTAATAAATAATCCGAACGATATATCGACCCGCGCAATAAATAATTTATTTCTCCTGCCACCACCTGACAATGCGTCGCCTCTTGGAAAAATCGACAGAGGTGTGAACAGGTTAAAGTCCGTTGATATCTAACCAATACATACATTAACAACTTGATAGATGGTTCATGTGTCATGGCATATACTCTAATGCACTGTTCGAGAGATTGCGAGATAGAATCCGAAAGCTTTAAGGAACAGACTTGAATGGGTATTGGTTATTTTAAAGTGTCTCATCTACGCTTCTCTAAAGGTATACAGAGTTGTTCATTTTTGTTCGCGATGCATTTCGGCGGTCCGCATTACCATGAGACCGGACGGTTGCGAAGAAATCAGTTTTGGATCACTTAAAGCGGTTTAAAGTGATTAGCTAGGATTTGCGCGAAACAGGCACTCGCATTTATCTTATTGGGACGTATATATGTTTTATATAAATTGACTCTGTGTTTTAGTCCCATCTTACTACATTTTTTACGTAATAGATAAGACATTACGTACTTCACCTTATTGGCTATAGTAGTACTATGTGCTGATTGAATGTGAGTGTTTATCTAGCGTAACGCCTAGATATTTGCTTCTGCATAGAAGGGTTGGTGGAATAATTTGACGGCAGTGTAGTCCGTTACGTGTAGTCCGAGTGACACTTATGTATAATTTTTTTACTCTTATACGCTGTGTCATCGGTTTATAGTTGCGCGCCGTTGTATCGGCTAATAAATGTACATATTATGACACGTTATTACCAGCGTTCACGGGGGACTTCATTACATTGTCAAGTGACGATGTCCTCCGTGAGACGGTGCACTTAAAGAATGTTCGAGTGACCAGCCTGTATGCCGGGAAAGAGATTTAATGATTGAATGCACTTTGATGTATAAACATATTTTTCTTTTAATCTCTTATTAGCCTTTTTTTAGATTTTAGCTTAATGTGAAAATAAACATGATCAATGTTGAGAATACCATGTCGTCAATGATTCGATTATTTCACAGAAGACAAGAATATCGTGTAGCGATGTTCATTAAAATATGATACGGGCAACCCTATTTTGATCACGTGATTCGTAGTCTGGGTTTTGCAAACGGTGAGTGGAGTGCCTTGTCATCAGTCCTTTGAGTTTTTGGATGATTTTCTTTGGAATTCTTATTCTAAGTGAGTAATTTTTCGAAAACAATCGTATAAAAGCATGTTAACGTTTTATTACGGTGTTTAGATGTGTTTGTGATGTGTGCTTTCATATGACGAAATTGTACCTTGTTCCGTGACTAGTGATATGACGCCATTTTCTTCGTGAATGCCAATTATCGAAGTTCTTCAATATTTTCTTTGTTTCTGTTAAACATTATTGCAGAAATCCACAAATGGACTGCGTCGAAGGCGCAACTCATGTAAACTTTGTCTTTATTTATTTTATAAGTAGAGTTAATCATTGCTAATTAGTTCTTAAACTACATTTACACCACAGCTAGTAATACATGCGTGACACCACCTTCATATTCATTTCATTATAGACATGTATTATAACGCTTATATATTATATTCTTTGTCTTCTTATGAACTTTGAACAAAAATATTTCTAAAAGCCATGACGACTAACCAACTTTTGATAATGTGATGTTAATTAATGTAACTTTTTTTTTACTAAAAAAACTTTCTATTTGAAGTTTTCGATACTTACACATGTACAAAGATCATCATTTAATTTATTAAGCACGAGTAGTCAAGTGAGCAATTTGATCCAATACTTTTAATTCAGATTTAGTTTGAAATAGGATGTAAAAAAGTTTTTTATGTTAATATAAAGTTTCCTATATATTTTCAATTATAACTGCTCCAGGTTTTTAGTTTGTTCAAATAAAAATTACATTACAATACATTTGTTTCATTACAAATGAAAAATTAATCAAAATGCAATGCTATTTATATTGAGAATTGTGTAACTTTTAACTTGATTTTTAAAATTAAATTCTTATATTTTATTAGTAATAATAGTAAAATAAATACTTGATGTTTTGCAATCTATTGTTGTAATACAACACAATTACAGAATGCTTTTTGAATGTCACTAAGAATGATAATATTAAAAAAAGCCATTCTTCTATTATGAGAAGTGTTTAAACTTTTACAAGTTTACACCATATTGTGATAAGTAGATTATTTTTAATTCCATTTCTTAAGATATTGCTAAACATATTGCATTTATTTTGTTTCTAAAAAAAAGGGCAAGTTAAGAAATACCTTAATATTTATTTTGCTAATTATTAATTTCTATAATGAAAAGTTCCTAAAAGTATATTATAGCTTAATGCATAATGTTCATTGATTAATATTCTACTTGTTGATACCGTAAAAGCATTATTGAGCTAATTTTCATAAACACCTTTCTTTGTCTACAAGACTTCTAAATTTTTTGTCTTAAGTTATAAAACATTTTAAATACAATTATATTCATGTATTTTATATTGACTATTAGTGGAAAAGACCGCTAATAAAGGTTTTATACAGAACCCTTAAGTCAGTCTCATTATATTTTAAATGTGCTTGGATTCAATTAGTCTGGCTGTTAGTAAATAAGGTCATATGACACAAATAAATCTTTGTTCTCCACCCAGAGTAGTTAAGATGGAAACAAAGCTATTGTTTGATTGTGCTACACATGTACAAATATTTTGCAACATTATGAACTTTTTACTATAATAATGTAATTTATGTACAGTGATTAGCAATAATAATAACCTAAACAAAAGATAATTACAGAATGTTCTAATAGTATTTGAGTTCTGAGTTTCAAGTAATCTTATATTACTATCGTAAAGTTTTACTTTTAACGAAGCTAATTTATATCCAATAGTCTGATTTAAGACCAGTATTTAGTAGGTATTGTTTTAAAACATAATATATTAATTAAAATTAGATTCTGGATTTAAAAATAAATTGGCCAGTTTTCATTAAAAAAAAGGGATATTATTTAATAATTATAAAAGTTGTTGAAATAATGTTGCTTTAAAGTAGTCACAACTATATACTCTCGTTTAACATATTAAATATGTCAATTTAGTTAACTTAAGTTGTGTGCTCCATTAGGTGGTGTAACCATTCATTGTGATGCCGTTGGATGCTGACCTCAACTGCACAGACGTGGTGTCGCATGGTTGTGAGCTGAAGGGCCTGCGCACTTGGAAAGACATTTGTCTAGTTCGAAATTCACTTTCCCAGCAGCAGGTATGTAGTTGACAGTTTCTTAGCTAAATTTATTGCTTTTATATATCATCATTTACAATAAATAGTTTTGATCATGTTGAAATATTGTTTATGATTTTTTTTTAATTCTAATTTTATCTTTGAAAGGTAATCCTAATTAATTGGTAAGTTTTCTTATGATTAAAATTTTTTTTTATGGTCCAAAATTTTATGATTATACTATGTTATTTGGCTCATTGCATAGCTTTTTGAAACAAAAATAGTAACTAGGCAAAAAATTATAGGTAAATATGACTCCCACACCAGACTATGGTGAAATAATAAAATATTTCTGCTCTATTAATGTTATAAAAGTATACACGTTTATCTTGCCAATATTTTTATGATTAATCTTTTTCCTAATCTACTATTTTTTTTGTTAGAGAAATATTAATACCGTTTAAATGAACACCCAAAGGTTTGTTTTTTATTTTTATTTAAAATAATTTATGATACTTAATACTATTTGCAACTTCTTCTACTATTTTCAATCTTCTTTTACAAGTTTACTTTATAATAAAAGTAAAAAAAAAATACTTTAAACTAATTTCTGTATACATATTTGTACCAAAGTATTTTAAAACAATTTCTTGCAAGTGATCACTTTAAGCTGTAACTGTCTTGGTCTTTGTCTTAGTCTGGTTTAAAGACAAGAAGTTATATATTAAATAATTTGGTATCAATATCATAATAAATTAGTCACAAATGAGTAATGAAATAAAAGTATGCAATAAACTTAACTTTGATTTTATTCAAAAATCATTTTTGATAGATATTCTCATAAATCGTCGAGTTTTTAATAGTGATCATATTATCAGTTTGTTTTTATGTTGTAAATAAAAATCTAGAAATTTAACGTAATGACAGAATGATGTGGGTACAGAACCGGCAGTTACCTACCTGATTATAGTCAACCAGTGTAGAATTAGTTAAAAATACTTTTACATTCCTATGAATATTTGTTATTAAAAATAATACATTAAAACCACATTCTGCCGCAAATAAAATGTATTGTGACATGTGTGATAAGATTGTAGAAATGAAATACAAAACATATCTAATTATCAATATTCTTTTATAAAATAAATGCCTCATTCAAAGTATGTTTACGTCCACCCTATGTGAAGGTGTACTTTGACCTAACTTTTCTTTAAATCTGAAGTATAATTTTGTTGCGTATTTAGTACAATGTGAATGGACTAGCCCCTGTATAACATTTTTAAAGTCTTTTTGGTAGTCCGTTATTCACGGAAGTTTCACAGCCTAGGTTATAGTAACAGTCCTATATCCGTTCGTATGTCCTTCATCTTCCAAAGCACAGCCGAGATCATTGTGTACGCCACACAGCAACTTACCTTACAAAAGTTCGTCAGTGTGTTGGCCTTGATTTAACACTAGAAAGAGAACTTTTGTGACTCATTAAGACTACTTTGAGATGGAGTAAGCGAAACTTTACTTGTGACTCGTATCAGCAGGCAGCCATGTTGTGATGAACACGTTTTTATTGCGTCGTTGTCAACGGGTCTAGATGCGTGTTCAGTTGGCCGGTTTCCTTTGTGAATTCATCTGGTTGCGCACGTTGCCAACTATGTTGGCAGCGGCCATTTCGGCGGTCCAGGGCCGCGTGATTTGTGAACGTATTACTGCGTCTCGATGCTCGGTGCGGCTCTGTTCCCGCGTGCTCTCGTTTCATTGACCTTGTTTAGATTTAACATCGATCGCCATTTATGACTGGTCCGATGGCGTTGTTTGTTTTGTTTGTCTGAATCTATGGCCGGAGCAGCTGTTTGTGTCGGGTGCGTGTGCGGTGGTGCGCGTGGCATGGAGCGGGGTCAGCGCCCCCGGCGCAGGACTAATTTGGGGGAGTACGACGACTCGCTCCGTCGCGGCTTTGTCTGCGTACGTCGCCTCCGTCGGTGCACCGACGGAGGCGGTTTTCTCTCCGCCGCGGCGGTGTTTGTATCGTATTTGCGATTTAACGCATTGTTCGCGCTTCGCGCCGTATACTGTAAACATGTCGTTAATATTTCGTGCGGCTTTATTAGGTCCTTGTAATTAGAATTGCACTCCCGAAGTATGGGCATACTTTCAATTTGTAAATTTTAAATTTTCCTAGAAGTACGTTTAAGTAGTTAACGTTAATAAAGAAAGATTCGGGAAGAAATTTGAAATAGTTACAATGTTGGTAAAGGTTCTGGAATGGAAACTGATTTATTAATTTCTTAATCCAATCTATCGAATTGTTTACGGCTAAGATAGCGTGAAGCAACACTTATGGTTTCTTCATACGCAGAAAACGAAATTAAAATGCGGCGCAATTGATGACGTCACCGAGCGAAATCTCCAACTCATTTCAGAAAGTGACGATTCGCGAAACGCACGCATGACTCATGAAATTAACAGTAAAATCTGCATTTTTAACAACCCGAAATACGCCACAAATGCGCAATAGCCCTGCTCTGGCCGCGCATAATGGTGCTAGTGATATGATGAGCCGCTGCCGCGCTATCGAGGTGGCTCGCTGAGTGGGCATGTGTTTATCAGCGAAGCTGCCTGCCGCCCCGTTTGTATTGGTCGAGGTGCGTGCGTGTGAATAAATACAATGACGCGAATGTGGCGACGGGCAGCGGCCTCTCGCCGCCGCCTCAGTCGACTCCGGCACCCCGCACGGCACGGAGCTACACCATAGAGGCCGCGCCGCGCGAATACGAGCCGCCTGCAGCTAACGCATTTTATCGTTTAGATAACAGTGCCCATTAGTGCTTCGCCGTCTCGCCCCCTCCCGCCCTATATATATCGATTAAAACAGTGTCAGTGATCTTACCAACGTGTCCGCGGTGGCCATGGGCACGCGTCCCCGTCCGAAGGTAATGCCCGCTCTGTGCTTCAACGGGAGTGCGTGTATCCGTCTGTCTTCGCGCGTCCACGTCCGCGGAGGCTGTGCGTTCAGCTAGACGAGGCTGTTTGAAGGCCGCCGCCCCGACCTTGGTGTCGGAAGGTCAATGTCCTCACGTGTCTCTCGTGTGCCGTGCGATTTTTGTCATTCGCCCCCATCGGGGTCACCTTAGAAACCCGGTGGTAAGTTCGACGGTACAAGTTTCGGTTACAAAAATGAAAGGTTACTTAAATATTTCAAAGTATATCATAAGGAAAAACAAAACGCGTACCCGTAATTAGATTACTGCCCTCTTGAAACTGATGCGTTAGAGTAGCGCGGAAAATTTCAACACTGACTAATTAGACCTAGATAAAACTATTGAATATTATAAAAGCAGTGGCTTGAATACTTAGTGCTCAGAAATATTCATAACTTTCGTATAACTTAACACTTGAATTATTTTATTTCTATATTATCAATTTGCAAATGGGCCATCCATCAACTTACTTTGTTGTTATAAGGACACTTAACATAACATTTTTATTAACAAAAAATATTGAATTCAAATATCTCAGTGACACTTTATATTTGATTTAGGGGAATTTCCTAATCTGTAAGGGTCCAATACCAATAAGGCACCACTTGGGCACTCAAACGAACCAAATGCAATAACTATTTTTAATATCTTTTCATAAATGAACAGGTTTCAAAATAAAGTCTCTGAGGTAACAAATATAAAAATAAATAAATACAATCGAATTACAACCTCCTCCCTTTTTGAAGTTGGTGGTAAAACACATTGTGTTTCGTTCACCGTTGTTAATATTTCATGAGTGGTAAAACTTTCATTTCGATCCAGTAATGCAATCAGGTTTTTATTTGTATACATTGAATTTATATGAAATTTAAAGAAAAATTAAAATTTGTCGAGAAAAGGTGCAGATTAGCCCCACGTAAATTTAAATGAATTTCTGTATAATAATTTTAACTATCTATAGAATTAAGCACTCTTTAAGCTCATATATCGTAATTTTATGACTGTCGATAATAACGTGATATCGTCATCAGAATAAAATTATTACTATACTATGATTACCTCCTTTATAGTTAAAAGCAAACATAATATGTATTTAAAACAAATGAAATCGATTAGAGTGTAAAAGCATTGTGTTATATGAATTAGTTGTTTGCGCCGAAAGAGAGAGCGATACGAACAAGTGCGGCTACAGCTGCGCGTGCGATCAGCTGACGGCGCGGCGGCCATTTTGTGCCGTGCGTGCTCCATTGTCGGAGCGTCATTGTCCGCGGCATGACGTGACGCGCGCGCCTTCCCTCAAATCCTAATGTCATTGTCCTTCCCGTTGTAAACTCACCTTTGTCGCTCGTACCTGTTGAGTCGCGACGAGATCGTCGCGGAACCACTTCCACGTTGCGGTACGACGCGGAAGTGTCGGACGCGAGACCCTGGCGTCGCTATTTTCGGTGTGTGACGTTTCCGCCATGCCAAGACGAATGTAAACTTGTTCTGTCGGTGTACGTACTCTGTGCTGATTTGCTCTATCGCAACGAATGGCCACCGAATGTTAACAAAGTAGCAGAGAAATAATAACCTAAATATTTGTTTCGAACTCGTTTTAAGCGCTGCCTCGGGTGGGTCGTTGTAGCTCAGTGTCAGGGTGGCCGACCTATATTTCGTAGCACTGGAGAAACATCGTGACAGTGCCAATTAAATTCTTGATTGAAAATTCGTTTAGAGGTTATGATTAAATTAACCTATATTAATATAATTTTACTTTTCTTTTCCGCCATTATATTTCCCCCATGTTCCATACATGTTTTATGGATTGCTTTTATGGACAGTTGGTATTATGGTCTAATCGGAGGTCACTAGTAGACAGTAACGTTTTTTCTAACTTAATATTGTTCTGGTAAAACAGTAGGGTCCATGGGTCTATTTATTTTTTATGTGATGTGGTCACTCAGAAACCTATGCTGTCTCTATATCGCCGTCAGTCAGTAACCGCAATGTTTATAATGTTATTAAAATATAAATATTCTGATAACGATTAACGTTTAGGTGTTGGTACGAAAGACCTTAAAATATATATTAAAATTATAAGTTTATTAATACAATAATAGTAAATATGAGAAAACATTCCGGTGTCACGAGATTAAGTTATAAAGTAAATGTTTCAAACTCCCATAAAAGCCAAATAGTTTTGTGGTTAGCCTCGTTTGATTATCAGACAACTAGTTACATTTGCGGGTAGTTTTAATGACCCCGTTGTGGCCCGCGGTATGGTAGGTTTCCGTGTCCATTGTATGATAACAAGTACGTGCTACTACCCAACAATATTTCATGTGATATATTAAAGTCATTCTCTTAAAAAACCGCCGATGAATCGATATGTAGTTTGAAGGACTTTTTTGTGTGATACGAATTCTAGCTACTTTCAGTGCACAATGCTTGATATCCAAAAATGACTACTATACAATATAAGGTAATCATAAATAACTGTTTTTAGAAGCTTTGCCTATCTGTAAGTTGGTTTAGAAATCTCCAAAACCATGCATTCACGCATAACGGATTTCAATGAAAATTATATGGCTATAAATGAGAATTTTGAATTATATTTTCATTTTAGTTTCACTTCGATGTTTTTTGGTTTCAGTAGTCTTTATGTATAATAATTCTTCTGTGACTGAACTCCCGAGGAGTTCTGGAGCGATTTAGATTAAATTTTTTTATGTGTTTAAGTAGATTTTAGTTGTTAAGGTTCTACTACCAAATTTTTATTTGATAATTGTTTTTTAATAATACCTTGTTAGATTTAAGACATGTACAGGTCGTCTGTCGGGTCCGCTAGTATAATATATAAATGGGTACACGTGTACAAGAACCCGATTCCTTCTCGTTCGAATTAAGTTACTGCGTCCACGGGGTCGTAAGCCGCTGGCAACACAAAACGCTAGCGCTCGATAACTTCGCGATGGATTACCATCAGCGTGTTCCAAAGTGACACACATTGCGATTGCGTCACAAGCGGAGTCGTATACGGTTCGCGGAATGGCCAGAGAAACGGGCCGTGCCTCGTTTTCGGCGGGACACGCTGGGCGGTGCACGAGTTTGGCCCGTCACCGTTACGGTTACCGTTGGTCGGCTCGACGGACCCGACCGCATCTCGCGATCTCGGCGTTCGGTGCATACCTCCATGGGCGGACTGACTGGCCACACGACCCGTATCCGCGACCCGGACTTCTCACCGAATTTCGCCGGACTTGTAAAGATGTCGAAAAGCATCCAATATTTTCGCCGAATGTCGCGGACTCCGCTGAAAAGGCACACCCTATATGCATTTCGATTGCATTGTGAGCGAGCGCAGGCGTTGTGTCAACTCGTTCGTCTTACGTTTCATCGTTAGTCGTGTGTTGCGTAGTCTATCCCTTCGCCATTATCCTGCCTGTAAAAAAATTACCGTGGTAGGCCTAAGCGACAGACTACACTGATGCACGAAGGGGCAGGTCCGTCCACAGAAGATCGACGTGAAGTGGAAGTGTTACACTTGTGAGTGAGGTAGCCGGGGCCCGCTTTAGTATAAGATTTTTAATTTGGCAACGCATCTGCAACCCTACGGGTCTTGCAAATGTCAATGGGCTGCGATTGTCACTTAACATCAGGTGAACGCGAGCTCGTTTGCCACCCTCTTATATAAAAATAATGTTCGTGGTTGATTCATTCCTTATAAAAAAAAGAGTAAGTTTCAGCCATTCAGCAAACATGTCCCACTGCTGGGCAAAGGCCTCCTCTATACAGAGGGTATCAGGGCATAGTCCACCACGCGGCCCCACTGCGGATTGGCGGACTTCGCATATTTTCGAAATATATATACTTATATTTTTTTGTTATTATTTCGAAAATATGCAGGTTTCCTCACGATGTTTTCCTTCACCGCGGAGCACGTGATATGTCGACACTTAAAGAAAGTTAAAAGCTTCGTTGGTGCCGGCACCGGGGATCGAACTCAGGTTGCTCCAGTATATTGGATTTAAGGGGAGCGCCCGGACACGGCTATCACGGCTATTCCTTATATGTTAGTCTATTCGATCGTCATTGGTTTCATAGTCCCGTCCTAGTGATCTTATGGCGGCTCTCTTTCACCATATTTTTTTCTCCCTTTTCTCTCTACGTCATCGAGTAACAGCGTGCATGTTAGTAGTCTGAATGACTATAAACAATCCTTCGCAGACGATAAATAGAAGGAGTTAAGGGCTAAAAAGTAGATTGAACGTTTGCTTGTAATTAATCCCTTAATAAACGTTTAGTTATTATTGTAATTTTTTTTTTTTTTATGCGAAAAGTTGTCGAACGAGCAGACGGTTTACCTGATGTTAAGTAAATACCGCCGCCCATGGACATCTGCCACACCCGAGGGTTACAGATGCGTTGACAACCTTTAAAAATTGGGCTCCGGCTACCTACCACCAGACGCGCAGCAATATTTGTCGATACTGTCACTTTACGTTTTCGTGAGGTCGTGGTACTTACCATTCGTTGCCGAGGCCACCACCGTAAAACCGCGGTGTACCGCTTGATCGTTTGCCAGTTGCTCCATAAAAAAATTCTCTATTAACCTTGAGTTATAATGAAATAGCCATTGTTAGATATATAAAAAGACTAATGAATACTAATTCATAATTCTTAAATATTCAGTATTGATGCTGTAGTATGTGCGATAACGAAACCGCTAGCATACATAACATATCTTCTAATGGTCAAATTTTAATAATACCCCTGCTCTTTGCTTGTAATTTCAAGTGTACGGTTGTCTTGCATTAAGGTTTCAAAAAGGTTTCAATATATGCAATTTAAGATTTGATTTGGCATAGTAGTCTGAAATAGGATGATTAAAAATGAAAAAAAAAAATGGTGATATACAACTGCAAGACATCCTGTATGTTTTAATATTTAGCTGTAAGCGATAATAACGAAATTTCAATTCATATTTTTTGTTCTGTTTACGCTTACACGGGGTCTAGAGCATCGAGAAATATGTACAGCGAACACGTGTTTCCAATCTACCCCCCTGCAAGATACTTTTTGTTTATCGATTTTGAACAGACTGCAACGTCTTTCCCACGATGGAGGCACTCTAAATAATTTGAATAATGAAATTTTTAACTCCTGTTGATTCTGTTTTATATACGTTACTGCTACTATTCGGTTTCATGTTCGTTCTTATTATTATCAAAAGTTCTGCTCCATTCCGTGTCGAATGATAAGACATCACGCGTTTATAAATACGCCGGCACTACTCGTCCAAAGGTCGTTCCTCCATTAGTCTTATGAAATCATTCAGTGCGCTTCTAAGGTGCTCGAGAATATTAATTGACCCTCTCGAATATTTTATAGCACTGAATATAAAAGCTAAATCGAGATAGGCCTACCATCGACATAAAACGTTCCGGTTGCGTACTCTGAAATTGTAATCGATTTATTTCCATAACGCATTCAGCGTTGGAAATTACGCGTATTCAGTAATTTTATGGTCCCCAACGCTTGTGCTAAGGGGAGTGGAAAGGTGGGTCTAACATTATGTGGCCTACCAGCTGTTACATCATCGCGGTGCCAACCTTCGAACAGTCTTCGGGGCACATGAATAAACACACGAGCACAATACGTATGCATGTAGGCGCGGGGTGAAGCGGGTCTGATTGCGTAGCGAGCGGCGGCAAGTAGGTCAGCGGGTCGCATACAAGGCGCGCCGCCCGCCGCCGCCTGCCTCCCACCGCGCGCGCGAACAAGCGAGATCTAACATTAGACACGGCAGAGGAGTGGAGCGCGGGCTCGTTCTCTGTCCTCCTGTTTACTCTGTGCCCGCGGTGAATGGGCACCCATCGGTTGCTTTTCAATTTATGATGTGCCAATACCATTGCACCCCTTTTTTTATATGGTTTCGTTAATATAGATCAGTCGCCATGATTCCGAATGCACCGACAAACGACAGCGTAGCCGATTGTTAGCTATTGGTCGGTAACACTAAATTGTATGAAGTGTTTTCAATACCGAACGGTAAACTCAACAGTGAACAAACGAGTTTATTTAAATGTATTTGAATATTATTTAAATATATCGGTCCGTTATATTATTTGTCTAGTTTAAAACGGTCGCCGATTATACGCCGTGCTCGAGCGTTATGGACTCGTTGTGTAAAACTTTTGAATCGTGTATCGCGCTGAATGCGTTTTATTTGGCCAACGGATTATTGAGGCGAGGTAAGGAGCATCACGTTTCCGACTAATCGAACGTTCTCCTTGGCACACTTGTTTCGTGCCGATACCGCACTGTCTTTGAAATATTAGCCAACAATATAGTTCGCAATATGCGAATTTTTCCTCATTGATAATAATCGTAGCTTTTAAAAACATCTTAAGCGATAGCATTCCAGTCCTCTCGGCTAATAAAGCTAGACAAACAACACGCTCAGTGCGTTCGAGTGTTGAAACGTAAGAAAAAACAAGCGCTTTACAACTTTCCGATTGCCAAGGAACACGCGAAACGCTCGTGGAGCATCGCCATTTATTTGCTCATTCTATTTTGGTTATCTCTTATTTTGGTTTCTTATCATCGTTTGCTTTTGTTTACACCCTGTAACAAATTTTTGACTTTGGCCTTAGAGTTTGGTCACTCCGAAACAAATACGAATGCAATTACGACGCTCACCTCTACTGGTGCCTTTATAATGCATGTAAACAATAGTAAATTATCACCACAACCGACCAACAAAACAAAATTCAGTTTTTGTAAGACGGCAAAACATTGTTTTTTTAATTCGATACACATTAGTTGGAGGCAAAAAAAACTTGTAGGTAGAATTATATTACTTTTGCCCTTGAAAATTATTTCGTTAGTAGCCTTATTAAAAACGACCAAAAATACAAAAAAAAACGTTTATATTTACAATCTATCAACATATGCAGAAGCTAATTTATAATATATTTAAGTCAGACTTATGATTACATGAATACTTCTAGAAAATGAGAGAGAATGATTTCAGATTTTAATTAATGAATTCTTATTTAGTTAACAAACTTTATTTGATACACTGCACACTAGTTTGTTCCCATTGCCGCTAGACATTTTCCTAGTAGAGGCATCCCCTATAAGCTAAGTTCGTAATTTGCTATGCTTACGCAGGGTTTCTGAAACACTAATCGTTGTAGAAGTTAACTAATCAGCTGTCAAATGGCTCGCAGTTAACAGTTTGAAAAAAAAAAAAAAGGAAATAATAAAAAACAATATTTTTATTTCGGTGTGTTTTAGTTGATAGCAAAGACGGTTGTTATCAGAACCAGTAAGATATCAATTGCACCCTATCTATGAAATACCGCTATCGCCTAACACAATGAAGTTTTTGACTCGACGGTTTTGAAAAAGTATTTAATAAGGTCACGAAGCTTTGTCAGCTATACAACATAATAATAAAACCGACCAAGTGCGAGTCGGACTCGCGCACGAACGGTTCCGTACAATTAAAGGTTGCCTAGTAACAGCGTCGGGTTTGTTGTATGGGAGCAGTCCCATTAAATGTTTTTTGTTTTATTCTGTTTTTTAGTATTTGTTGTTAACTGTCTACCTATCACGGTTCATGAGACAGCCTGGTGACAGACGGACAGACAGATAGACAGACAGACAGCAAAGTCTTAGTAAGAGTGTACCGTTTTACCCTTTGGCCTTTGGTTTAAAGCTTCAAGATTTCCCCGACCTTTCGACTTTATTTCTTAGATTGTATGCTCCAAATATAGCATTGGCCAAAAACAGACCACATAATAATTAATAGGATTTTATCGATCTAGTGCGTTTACCGCCTTTTGCTGTTACCAATTACCATTATTCTAGTCAGTTGTGAAATACTGGACAGTTTGGTATAAAAAAAATAATAAAAATCGCCTCAATGGGGTCATCCAAAAATGACACTGTTTCGATAATTAATGGTATACAATTAATAGTTAACACGGGATGTCTAGTTAATACCATTTTAAATTGCTGTTTAGACGAGGTTCTGTTACATGAGGCGCATTAATTCAAATCATTACTATTAAATCTAAGATGTAACTACGAGGTATGGATGGCTGCAAAGGTTTCCTAATTTTATACGTTTGTAATAATGTTCTTATATAATTATTACGGGTTATTTCAATACGTATTACAGGCACCTGCAATCCACAACTAGCCTTTGAAGTGGAACGAGAAGTGTAAACACATATATTATTTTAAGCTATTAGTTGTATTTAGAAATAATAATTATTATTGTTATAATTATGTTGTTTTGTGTATAAGAAGACGGCTATGGTGTTTTTTATTTTGATTTTTTTTATTTCCCAATGTACGCAGACAGCAAGTGATCATTAACTCGAAGGTTATTTTATATAGCCATTTCAACAGCGCAGGTAGCAGTAGGGTTATCGACATAAAAACCTTCATCTAAATACATCTTAATTTAGTAAATTTGGCTATACAGTATAGATCATACATGCACGGAAAAAATACCTTACGCCTATGTACGTATATCTAACGCCCGGTTTCTGAAACACTGATCATCTTAGATGTCAACTAATCATCTGTCAAATGGCTTTTTAAATGTTATTTGAGTTGCTAAAAGGATTGTTAAAATCTGTGAATTGATCATTCTGATCATTAAGAATATCATTCTGATCAATTGAGAGAGTTTAACCATCCTCTTGGCATTTCAAATAACATTTGAAAAGCAATTTGACAGCTGATTAGTTGACATCTACGACGGTATTTCAGAAAACGCGCGTGAGTGTTTTGACAACGACAATGAGGGCATGAAATAATTTCAGGAGAGCCGTGATTGTTGTTGAGACCTTGACGCGGGCCATGCTCCGTTTAGTTGCGTTCCACTTATAGCTCTCTCTTGTTATGCAAACTCGCCGTTATATTATGCTCTGCCTCCACGGAATCGTGCTGAGACACCACTTTCTATCGAAACGATTATGCTGCCCGTTCGCGTCATACCTGTTTCGTCTATGAACGCCAGATTTCCATCATGAATCGTCGGCTAATATTGTAAAATTTTTTTGGTAACACACATGCTCAAAGCCAAGTATTCACTTAAATTCAATTCATTTTGATAAATTTATGTTTATTTTTATTGCGCGTAGTGTATTTTGAAATATAAATGGAACGTCTTAACGGACTCACTAAGAGATATGAATTAAAACGTAACTAGATTTGCAAATTACAATTTTAGGGACTAATAATTAATACCTTTATTACCAACTTAATAGTGTTTAAACTGGAAAATTGATGAATTTAAACAACTAACGGAGAACGTATAATATACACTTCGCTGTCAGATATCCTCGTCACGGTCATAATTTAAGTAACATAAACAAATAACACATATCCATATTAATATTATAAATGCGAAAGTAACTCTGTCTGTTTGTCTGTCTCGCTTTCACGCAAAAACTTCTGAACTGATTTAAATAAAATGTGGTACACAGATAGTCTAGAGCCTGAAAGGTTCTAGACTCAAAGCCTATTTTTTAATTGAAAAAATGTCTTTTAAAAGTTTAAAGAAAGATATTTATTTAAGGGTTTCATGCGAGCGTAGCCGCGGGCGAAAAGCTAGTAGGTAAATAAACGAGAAAAGGGTTAACGTGGAAAATGCTGTTTGTTCCAGGGCCCTCTGCGTTCCTGACACAGAAAGAAGGATCACGACGGCAAGGGGAGCCACTAGCCGCGCGCTCACAGCGGACCCACGATAAGAAATACCGACTAAATTGCAACGTTGAACTCTGCGATCACTGTGCAGTTTCGTGTTAAGACTAGCAAGTGCAATATATACTGATAGTGCAATCGTACAGTTGACTGCTCGGACAGTTGTTGTTTTTTTAACTCGTGTGGAAATTATTGTGCAAATATGGAACGCGAGTCGAACCCCATGGAGGCGCTGTGCCGTTCCGGTTGCGGATTCTACGGGAACCCGTCCACTGACGGTCTCTGTTCAGTCTGCTTTAAGGTAATCACTTCCGTTTTGCTCTTCATTTAGTTTCACCCGACTAAGGCGAAGCCAAAAAAGGAGGGCTTATGCGTTTGACCTGTGTTCATATATATCCTGTTCCCTCGTAAGTACTAGCGCTGAGCCGATTTTGATGAATGATTGGTCTTTATTGCGCTAGTGTCAATGGGTATATTAAACACATAAAGGAAATGGCGGATTCTACGGGAACCCGTCCACTGACGGCGTCTGTTCAGTCTGCTTTTAGTTTTAACTTCTGTTTTGTTCTTTAATTATTTAAGAAAGAAAGAAGGAAAACATAAAGAAACATCTATTCACGGTCTAACCACAAAAAAATACCTAACAAACTTCAATATAGTGGAACATACAAGGCATAAAATAATATTGCATAAATTAAAAGTAAATGATAACATCAAAAGAAAAATAGTGAAAGACTGTAGCAGCATATAAGACCGTGGGCCCGGCTACCTAACTCGGGACGAAACGCCGAAGTATAATGCTTCCAGTTCACGAAGGTCTTCTTTGAGGTCGTAGTACTTACCCGCACGGACCTTTCGTGCAACAACGAAGACTGTAACTTCATCCCACCCCAGTTAATATGGCCTGTATGCATGCGTTTTTCGCCCCCGAATCTACGCACATACTAAATTTCATGAAAATCGCTGGAGCCGTTTTCGAGATTCCGATTATATATATATACAAGAATTGCTGGTATAAAGATGAGATGTGTTCGAACACGTGGACTTTACGTGTCAATCGACTAGTTCAGCCGCGTCATCCGTCGTGTATGTTTTCGTCTTTATTATTTTATCGTCTCTCTGCAAGATTGCAATAACACACCGCAGCCTATTTCAACCTTGAAATTCTGTGAGAACAAGAACCGCGGTCGTTTTTTGTTTTTCATTACGTTTAAATAATTCCCCCATACACGTTTCTTTCGAAATCAAAACGAGGAAGTATATAATGACCTTCCGTGACGCGAGTTCGCTCATTGACCTTCGTTAACTTGCGTTTTACTTATAACTGAGCCCTGTAATTTAGTGTGCAATGTTTTTGTGTTTTAAAAACCATTAACGGTTTTACTTTTAATTTGTAAAGGTTTTGATTTTGTTTATGCATATTATCAATATTTATTGGTTCGCTATCTTTTGGTTGTGGTATACATAATTTTCACGTGGACAAACACGCAGATCCGAAACAATTATCTGTCCGTGGATCACACAAATAGTTGTCTCGTATGGGAGTCGAACTTACTACCGCCGGCGCCGAAGTCCATAACTTGGCAACTGCGCCACAGTGTCATCGTGCTGTGTTGATGTAATTTAGCATAAATGTGACAGTGATTTGGACGAGTACGAATTTCGGCTAGCGGGGTTGTAGATGACCGCCAATCTTCGATTCGCGATCTTCGATCTTCGATCGCCGAATAATTGACATTAAGGTCATCTCCAAAGCATCCATTAGGTCATCACTCACTGTAATATCGCTATATATTATTTGTGAAAGATTTTTTCTGTCTGAACGCCGTAACTTCCATAATTCCTCATCAATTGTAATGATTCAAACATTATTTCGAAACTTAATTTTGCAGCTATTGACGAAAACTAGACAAATAGTACCTAGTAGAAGTTGATGTTTCATAAGATAAACTTTCGTTTAACAACTTCTTAATAAAAATGTATGACAATGTCCTGTATTGCAATTTAATGATATGAAAGATAGCGCAGTCGACTGAATACTAATTTGTATATTATAATTATAACCATTCGATGACTGATCATGGTAAAAGTAAAGAGATAGTAAGTAACAGCCTATACATATAGGCAAATGCCTCTGTACAGAAGGTATTGTCGGTGATAGGGCCACGCAACAGTGTTTGCTATTGCACGAATGAGCAGGTCCATCCAGGTTAGTACCACGATTTCAAAGAAGACCGGCGTGAAGTAGAAGCGTTGCACTTGTGTTTCGTGTGGTGAGTGAGGTAACCGGGGCCCACTTTTTTAAGAGGCGGCGACGTTTCTGCAACCATACGGGTGTTGCTGATGTCCATGGGCAGGCGATTATCAATTAGCATCAGGTGAACCGCCAGCACTTTTGCCACTCTCACATAAAAAGGGTATTACGGCATAATTCATCATGCGGCCCAACTGCGGGTTGGCGGACTTCACGTGTCTACGAAATATCTCTTTGATATTCACATATCCTCGAAAATATGCAGGTTTCCACACAATGTTTTCTCTTACCGCTGAGCACGTCGTGATAAGTGAGCACTTAAAATTAAAAATTGCATTGGTGCCGGCACCGGGGATCGAACTCGAGAACAATATTAGATATAACAATATTAGAGTTGTCTTTAAAATAGTTTATAGCTATTTGAACTCACAACCAATTAGAACACTCGTTTAGTCTCTAGTCGTTACTAAACCTAATAATATTGAATAGACTTATGTAGAAAGCCGTTAATTCAACGTCACAATTTCTTTATCATAAGCTTATCCTCTTATTAAGCAGCAGCCAGGAGACTTGTAAGTGAAGAGCAAGAGTCATTTCCACACACCCTTGTCATCTATATATTCTTCGACATTATAAATTATAATAGGCCCTTTTCAAAAAGTTTTTAAAAAATTAAAACATCTCAATTCAATAATGCAATAGTCTTGGGAAAGCTTTAACTGTATATTATAGAGATTAATATTTTTATACGGTTAAGGTTATGTTTCAATTAATTATAAAAGCAACCAAATCTCTAAAGCGTGAACCAACCGAAGCGATTAGGCGTGCGCTAAGTTAGTTACTGTGCTACCTAATTGCGAAATAATACAATGCTACGTCTAGCTCACTATCGGAACTACAATCGGTGTCTGAATACGTTATGGAGTAACAATAACGGCCTGTCACAAACCTGTTTGGACAAGAAATATGACGAATTATACATCTTTGCTATATATATGGAACAACCATGTCTATAACTGGCCATGGTCCTGTATCCATTGGTATTGATAAATCAATATGTTGTTAAAAACTACAAGTAAATGTAGAACAATTATTCCTTATGTAGTTTGTCTTTGCCTATCTTGAGTTTCCTTTGGTAAGAGAATGTTAAAGTAAAATCGTTATTTTAATGCCGCAGGCGTCACGATAACAATCGTAATAAAATCTTGAAGAATGTGGAGAGATTTAGAAATGCGGAAATATAAAATGGTTATGAGTGAGATGTATTATTCACTACTTGTTCTTAAAGCGACGGATGCTCTTAATCTCGTTTTGTTCTTAAAAAGGCTTGATTTAAAAAAAATAGCTCTTTATTTCAAAAACCTTGCAATAATGTAAAGATATTATTGCATTGTGCTTAAAGTGGGACAATAATATGTAAATTTAATCTGGAATTAGGCTGTTCTTAGCATAATATTTGTGCTGGCTCAGTGTCGCTGGCTCGCTTTTAAATCTGTCTACTCGATCAACCAGAGTTCAAATTGAGGTGCCGATACCAAAGAAATACTTAATTGCAATTTTAAGTGCGACGAAGGAAAACATCGTGAGGAAACCGGCACAGTTTCGAAATTAACAAAAAAATATTTCGAAGATTAGTGAAGCTAGCCAATCCGCAGTGGGGTCGCGTGGTGGACTATGCTCTAATACCCTCTGTACAGAGGAGGGCTCTGCCCAGCAGTGGGCCATATATAGTCCGTACATTTTACTTTTCTTTAGCGTAATATTGAATTATCGGGTCACCACAGTACGACGTAATCTGAATTTGAGCGCTGTTTAGTTGATCGAGTAGATAGCGGGTACGTGGGTCACGTTTTTCATAACGTGTTCGGGGAAGGTAGTTGAGAAATTCACAAGAATGTCTTACTTGAGATTAAACTGTGGCGTGTTTTTGTCCTTTGTTTTTTTATGGTCGCCGTTACGGTATTATGTTGTTCAAGTCAATTGTTTATCTCTGTTACGAATTGCATCAGTAAAAAGCGCCATCAGTTTCATAGTTTACGTTAAATATTAGAATGAAATATGAAAGTCGTATCGAAATGTGTAGTCATAAAGGGAGTGCCCCTCTATTACCCACGGATGCAAATTTTCAGTAATTACTTGTCATTTTAATCAATTTAATAACGAATATAACAGTAGATAATAATCAGTAGGTTGATAAACATACAATAATCAATGACATATAATAATCTATGACTTATTAGGAACTTTACTCCTTGTAGAGGGCTCATAAAATAGCGCTAAGGTATGCCGTGCCTGTCGTAACAGGCGAATGAAAGAAGGAATATCAGGTTAAGAGATTTGTGGAGTAGTCAGGGTAGTTGGTCACTTGTTGCTCCAAGGTGGCGAGGTGGAGGAATTGGGGAAGATTTTTCCTTCTTTTCCGAGGTGTGCTCATGTGTAGTCTTCCCTATGTTTTCCGCCGCTCATGGCCAGTTCATGGATTCAATTTTCGCCAGCGGACTGAGAAGAGAACCTATTCTTAACAAAAGGTTAGTAATAAGTTTAGTAACGACCTAGAAGTGCAGGTTGGGAATTTCTGAATGAATTTGGGTGTAGGGATCGCTTGTTTCTGAGTCGAGCCCAGACAGTTTTACTATGTGAAAAGTTGACAAGCGAGCAGGTGGTTCGTCTGATCTCACTTGAGTACTACGATCAATGGATATCGACACCACTGGAGCGGGATGCAGGTGCCTTGCAAAACGTTAAAATCAGTGGGCCCCGGTTACCAAAGATACTTCCCGATAGTTTTCTGTGAGGTTCAGGTATTTCACCGGATGAGTCTGTTCATTCCATTAATATTTCACATTTTAGTTCAATATGTTAAATTAAATTTGTCGCCACTATGTCATGAAACACGAAAAAATGTTGACACAACCAGACACATGATCCGGAGCCTACTAATTCAGCGACACGCAACTAATTCACTTCGCTACATTGGTCGCTCTAACAAATTGCTTATTCAGAAAAGACCGCTCGTCCATTTGCGTTGATGATTTCCTTAGGCGACTGACGTCAAACTCTGTTGCACTGTGTTGGCGGAATTGCCTTAGGCGAATGTCGGCAGTCAAACTCTGTTGCACTGTGTTGGCGGAATTGCACTCACGATGATGGCTACACGGGATGTTAAATTAGAACCGCTGGGCAATAAATCGTCGGCAGTAAACTGTACGATACTAAATGAAACTATGTTAACAGCGTTTATTTTAAATTTTATTTCTCAGCGATGATGGCCACGGGACAGAATGAGGAACGTTGTTCAATTTGTGCAATTTTTCTACATATTTTAATGTTCAATCTTAAGTGCAAAGATTAGCACTATACACAATTTAAATTTCTAAAAAAGCAATGGCGACATCTCTCGTTCGAATTATCGTTGTAAAACGATATTCGAAGTTGTTTGTATGCTGGAAAGGATATAACAAAAGATGGCGCCAAGCATTGCTTCAAATGCTAAGAAAACAATGTAGAAGAATGCGTTAAGATTTTCGTCGGTGTGGTAATCAGCCGTTTAGCTCAGTGGCTAAAGCGTCAGCCCGCGAATGCCGAAGACGTGGGTTCGATTCCCACACCGGCGACAATCTTTTCGCACTTTTTCTACATATTTTAATGTTCAATCTTAAGTGCAAAGATTAGCACTATAAACAATTTAAATTTCTAAAAAAGCAATTGCGACATCTCTCGTTCGAATTATCGTTGTAAAACGATATTCGAAGTTTTTTGTATGCTGGAAAGGATATAACAATAGATGGCGCCAAGCATTGCTTCAAATGCTAAGAAAACAATGTAGAAGAATGCGTTAAGATTTTCGTCGGTGTGGTAATCAGCCGTTTAGCTCAGTGGCTTGAGCGTCAGGCCGCGAATGCCGAAGACGTGGGTTCGATTCCCACAGCGGCGACAATCTTTTCGCACTTTTTCTACATATTTTAATGTTCAATCTTAAGTGCAAAGATTAGCACTATAAACAATTTAAATTTCTATTCATCTTGTATCGGATCTACGCATAAGGTGCTAATAAGTATCTTGTCTTGCAGTAGTGGTAAATATAGTTTCATTAAGTCGTGTGTAGTAGCGTAATTGCGAGAAATTATCCTGTACGGTACTATTAAAATTACCTTGTCTGCGAAAATATGTTTGCGCTTAAACGATAACATTATAATGTGCCTTTCCAGGAGGCGCTAAAGAAGAAGCAGCAGCCGCCGGCGACGACGCCGTCCCCTGTCGCCGCGCCGTTCGTGCCCACGCCCACGCCCACACCAATGCCCACGCCCACGCCGCTCGCGGCCGCTGCGCCCACCGTGCCCAGCCTGCCCGCCCAGCCGCAGACCCACACAGACGTGAGGCCGTTACTCATTAGCTTGTTGCACCGTCCCACTCGTGGGCTGACCGATCGATGCCCATTCATCATGACAGAGAACCGTCCGGTATAAGATATGAGCCCCTCATTGGATTGCCTCTCATTTCTGCAGAGCAGTTAACTAAAGCATGACAGGAGCTTTGTAGTGCTTACGTAATAATTACTGAGTATTTAAATAATCTTTTATGTATAGACTTTTACCGTTATTATCATTAATTAGTTTTATGCCTATGTATATTAAAGATGTAGAAATATGCAATTTGATATTAGCATTTTTCTATGATCGCGGCCGATACGTGAGGTTGTGTCGTAACATATGCACGTTTCGTTACCTCTCGAGAGTTATTATTATATTTATCACGCATGCGAATTCAAGTAGACTATCAATTTTTCCTGTTCTTCAATCGTTTTAATGGAGAAAATTTGACGCTTTCTAACATGAACACATCTCTATCGTTTATTTAATTGGCTCATAAAATTGAAAATTTTCTTCTGGACCGTAAATATTGTGTTACGTAGAACTTAGAACTTTCAGTATTCTTTGTATGTTCTTGCTTCTTTAAGGTCGAAAGATTCCTATTTCGCTTTTTAGAAAAGTTAGAGTACATCATTATACCCGTAGTAAGATAAGATTCCTAATAAACGTTGTTTTATAGCGGTTGTTGGTAATGGCGGCGTCCAGTCATAAATTTCAGATTGGATAAAAATTATCGGTTATCGGATAACCGCTCGCGTCTGGCTTCGCGGACCTAGTGCTCGGCAGGCGGACAACAAAATCGCCTTTTATCCATTTACTAGCTGACCCGGCGAACGTTGCTTTGCCATATAGGTAAATTATTTCTAGGGAATTTGTATGTTTAAAATGTTTGACAGGTAACAGGTAACAGGTAACAGGGTCGATCTAACCTACTGTCCGACGGTCAAAATATTATTTGAAATTTTCAATTATTTGAAATTTTCAAAACAAAAATTAGCCAAATCGGTCCAGCCGTTCTCGAGTTTTAGCACTATTAATTGCTGTTCGCTACTCATTTTAAGAGTTCCGTACCCAAAGGGTAAAACGGATCCCTATTACTAAGATTCCGTTTTCTGTCTTTCCGTCACCAGGCTGTATCTCATGAACCGTGATATAAGAGTTGAAATTTTTACAGATGATGTATTTCTGTTGCCGCTATAACAAAAAAATACAAAAACCGAAGTCAAAGTCAAAGTCAAAGTCAAATATCTTTATTCAATATAGAAGCATTCACTTACTTATTGATAGTCAAAAAACTCTACCACCGGTTCGGAAGGTAAGCCACTGACCTGAGAAGAACCGGCGTAAGAAACTCAGTGGGACATTATTTTTTTTTACTTGCCAAAAAAATTACAAATATGTGTACAATTATTAAACTCCTATTAAACTCCACTTGAAAGAGCCTGGAGCGATCAATGCATTTCCAGAGTGTGTTATCATTCATATAATCACTAATACTATAATAGCCATTAACACACAAACGTTCCTTTACAAGTTTTTGAATTTAGCAACGGATTCATTTTGAACGTTTTCTGGGATTTTGTTGTAAAAGCGTATACATTGTCCCATAAAAGATTTACTTATTCTACGCAATCTAGTTGAGGGTAGAACTAATTTATGCTTGTTCCTAGTATTTACATCATGCACATTACTAAATCTTGAAAAGTCATTCTTATTTTTGTGGACATACATAACATTAGCAAGTATGTACTGAGAAGCTACAGTCAATATTTTTATTTCTTTAAACAGGTTTCTTAGTGAGTCTTTGGGGCCCAGGTTATAAACCGCTCGAATAGCTCTCTTTTGCAGGATGAAAATAGTATTTATGTCGGCTGAATTTCCCCAAAGTAGAATGCCATAAGACATTATACTGTGGAAATAGCTAAAATATACCAGACGAGCCGTATCCAGATCAGTCAACTGTCTAATTTTTTTGACTGCAAAGACTGCTGAGCTAAGTCTACTCGACAGTTTATTAATATGGGGGCCCCACTGCAATTTGGCATCTACGGTTATGCCAAGAAATACAGTCGAGTCAATGAGGTCTAACGCTTCCCCATGTAAAAGTACATCAGTTTTTACACTTTTTACGTCGGGAGTTGTAAATTTAATACATTTCGTTTTTTTACTATTCAACATTAAGTTATTAGCACTAAACCAATGCACTACAGTGGAGAGAGTATTGTTAACGTTGTCATAATTTGAAGAATGTCGTTTAACTTTAAAAATTAAAGACGTATCATCAGCAAACAATACTATCTCATGATCATTATTTACAAGATAGGGCAGGTCATTTATGTAGATGAGGAAGAGAAAAGGCCCCAGAATAGATCCCTCTGGAACCCCATACTTGCCAGGGCCCCGGGTGATCTCTTGCCATTCACGTCAACTCTCTGAACACGATAGCTCAAGTACGATGTCAGAAGATTGAGTGCGGCATCTCTTATACCATAGTGGTGTAGTTTCCTGACCAGAGTGTCATGCTGTACACAATCAAATGCTTTGGTTAAGTCACAGAATATACCTAAGGCATCCTGTGACTCTTCCCAGGCTTCAAAAATATTCTTCACAAGCTGGATACCCGCATCTGTTGTTGAGCGACCCCTAGTAAATCCATATTGCTTGTTATGCAGCAATTTATGTGTACTAAAATGGAGTAACATTTGATTCAAAATAATTTTTTCAAAAATTTTACTAAGAGTCGGTAGTACTGAAATAGGTCTAAAATTGCTGGGGTCAGAAGTACTACCAGATTTGAACACCGGAATAATCTTACTATGTTTCATAAGGTCAGGAAACTCGCCACGTTGAATACAAATATTAAAAATAGTTGCTAAGTAAGGTGAGACTACATCAATTATAGAACTGATCACCTTGACAGAGATCCCCCATAGATCAGCAGTTCTTTTAATATCTAGAGATTTGAATGTTTTTATGATATCGTTCTTATTAACAGTAGTAAACTTAAAGTTTTCTTTACATTCCATAACATTTTTCTTAAGTAATGATTCGGCAATTGTCGGCGAAAAACCGAAAAATACCGAAAAGAAAAGTATTTACGTGGAGTATTATGGGAGATAATACAGACATGATTTTTTTGCCATTTCTAATAGATAATGGTATTTATAGATAATGGTACGGAACCCCCCCTACGCGAGTCCAACTCGCACTTGGCCGGTTTTATATACATAGAAGACTAGCGGACCTGACAGACGTTGTCCTGCTGTACACACGTCTTAAATCCGAAAATTTCAAACTTTTTGAATAAGTTTGTGAATCTGAACCATTCTCGAATCCACCTGAAGACACACAAAATTCGATTAAAATCTGTCCAGCCGTTAAGGAGGGGTTCAGTGACATACACACGTACAGAAGAATCACTACAGAGTATAAAACAAAGACGTCCCGCTGTCTGTCTGTCCCTTTGTATGCTTAGATCTTCAAAACTACCCAACGGATCTAGTAGACGAGTGATTCACGAGGAAGGTTTATATGTATAATACATTGCACCCGTGCGAAGCCGAGGCGGGTCGCTAGTTATGTATATGAAGATAGAAGATACCGCCTTTTGTTACTGCCCGATCAGCGAATATCGACAGAAGCGGTTCATGCGAACGGCCTTGCCTCGAACGGGAACAATATCATGCTGCGACGTTGTGAGTCACCAATCGGTATGTCGCGACCCATTGGACGGTATCTGCGTTGCAATTGGGACTGTTGATTTTTATTCATCGTCATTTCGACTCCGGTTGTTGCTTGGTGCGTGTTTATGGTGTTTGCGGGATGAGAACTGTCTCGCGTGTCAGTCGAGACTGCAGACATTTTTGTTATTAGACTAAACTTCTGAATATGACATGACAGTGGAACTTTGGGTTTTGATTCCGCACGATGTTTATATTTTGGTTAACATGATTGTCTTCCATAAGTTCACCATTTGGTTTCGTTAACTAATGTTACCAAAATGTCACTTAGCTTATCTCCAGTTCTAGCATAGTTTTTATAATATACCGAAAATTCAATCTCGATTTATAATTTGAAGAAGATTACCATTGAATAATTGTAATACAAATACAGCACAAGGAAATAATGGGCGATATTAAAAACAAAATTAAGATGCACAAATTTAATGAATGTTGAGAGACTAGAACATTATTACTTTGAAATTGATTATCATTAATAATAGTTCAATTGAATATTGATGCTTTTAGTTGGCATTTTATAAACCAATTTACATATTAAAAATTTTTGTTAAGCAAGTTAAATAAGATATTTTAAATAAACATGTACATAACTAAAACACTTGCGCAGGTTTTAGTTTTAACTACAAATCTATGTATATGCATATATTCATAGTAACGCAACGGCTCAAACTTCGCAATGTAATTAACTAATGAGAAATGTAGACAAGTCACGCGAATAAGTTATTTTGATACGTGGAAAAGTGAGTGTATTTTTGCACGCTTCGTAAACACGATCATTTGAGTGAATCAACTATGAAAATGAATTAAATGAGAGACAACCTCTTTGCTGTTATTCTACATGAGAATACTGGCAAAGTCTATGACATGTTCTCGGAAAATATAAATGAAATGTCAAGCGGACGGAATTGATACCATAGAGAGTTCAAAACACGTATTTTTATAAAACTATTAATTTTACAATAAAAAAAAAATCAAATTAAACGATGGAACATGTAAGTTCTTACAACCCGACCGATTAGGGGTCAGCGAACCTTATCAGACAATATGTGGTAAAATGGTATTACTAATTTATTTCACTAGTTAGTTTCGAATAACTTTTTAAATTTCGCGAGGCCATCTTAGTGTTACGGGAAACGGTTTGATTGCAGTCAACATGTCAAAACTGACGAAAAAAATCTGGAACAATGGAAAATGACCCCGGCAAGAAGGAGTCGAAAGGGAAGAGGATTTTGAAGAAGGCGTTGCGACGTAACAGCAAAAGTAGTAGCAACAACAGTAACTCGGATGGCAATACGAGCGCTTCTCTGTCGAAAAGCTTCAAGGGCCCAGCCGTCGAAATTAACGATGCCCTGTCCACGTCTGACGCTGCCAAGGCTAGAGTTGCGGACAACCCGGATAAAATGCATAGGGACCCTGCGCAGCCGGAAAAAGTTAACGAAGCTAGGGAGAGCCCCAAGAAAGCATCGGCCGTTAGATTCCTTAAGAGGGACGAACGTTCCTCACTAACTGGCAGTGTTACAAAAAACTTGAAGAGGGTTGGTCCAAATATTTGTTATCTAGTAATCTATGTAACGGAGCATTGTAGCAAAGATTTTAATGGGTACATTCGTTAGCTGACTTCAATTTAATCGTGTGTTTGACACGTTTAATGTCTATTTGTTCGTTCTAGTTACGGTTCTTGCGACCGCACCGATAATTCAATTGGTATTTACTTTGCTTTAAACTGTTTTCTTTTCAAAGTTCACCCTTTAACTAGTAATCAACTTGGATTTTTTCATTTTTACCCGTTTGCTTTGATTTTGGATTAGAAACCTTCGTTGCTAAGACACTTCCTTCCCGCTTCATGTTTTTAATTTCGGCCGTCTTCTCAATTTTCATTCGTATCCTGATTTGCGACGCCTCGTACGCATATTATCGATCTATACAGTTACAATTACTTTTACGCTATTACGGTAGTTTCTTTGTCGTAATTTACTATTTACTTTTAGGGCCGTAGACATTGGCGAATAGGACACGATTTGGCTTTTCGCGGATGACGGACGCGCGTAGTTGGCCGCTGTAAAACTGTCGAATATTACAGCGGCCTGTGTCACCAAAGTATCACATTTAGTTACCGAAGACTTTCGTCTGTTTAGCGAGGCAGACGGGGCTTAATTTTTAAAAGGTTGTCTACGCATCGTAGACATTAGAGTATTCATTTAACATCAGCTGCATCGCCACTAACCACCAGGTGGTTTGGCAGTCGAGCGCTGGCCGGTTTCGAATTTAAAAAAAAAGTAAACAACCGCCTGGCCGCTTGACAGCTTTTCGTCACTTTAAAAAAAAGTCAACATCACGACGGTCGCCTTCCAGAAGTTGGAGGAGGAGAGTGGGGCGGGCACGAGCGGCGCCAGCACCGGCGCCTCGGACACGGACGCCGACGACAAGGACCCCAGCAAGGACAAGAAGAAGAAGAACAGGTGCGCCGTCTGCCGCAAGAAGGTCGGCCTCACAGGTGAGAATGGCACTCAAAGTAAAGTAAAGTAACAGCCTATACGTGTCCCACTGCTGGGCAAAGGCCTCCTCTATACAGAGGGTATCAGGACATAGTCCACCACGCGGATTGGCGGACTTCACATATTTTCGAAATATATTTTTTTTTTGTTATTATTTCGAAAATATCCAGGTTTCCTCACGATGTTTTCCTTCACCGCGTAGCACGTGATAAGTCAGCACTTAAAGTTAAAAACTTCATTGGTGCCGGCACCGGGGATCGAACTCAAGTTGCTCGAGTATATTGAATTAAAGGCGAGCGCCCAGACACTGAGCTATCACGGCTCTATGATGTTTGATAATTTAGATGACGCATATCCATACTGTGAATGTCGTACATAATAAGACATTCAAGTGCATGTGTGACATGGTATAGGACGTATGAGATAGAATGATATAGCTTAGATATTTAAAACTACATAACGGATCTTGATGCGGTTAGGTAGAGTGATGCAAGAGGTAGGTTCATATGTATAATACATTGCACCCTTGCGAAGCCGGAATATTATAATAGGATATTTATTTATTAATAAATAAACATCCTCTATTAATAAAAATTTAATTTCGTGTTTCCGTTTTTTAAAAAAGATACACGTAGATACGAACAGTGGGATCTGATACTATATAAGATTCGTTTTCATTGTAAATGATTAAATTGACCACTCGCTGAGAAAAAATGCTGTATTGCAAAAATATTAATTATTTTTGCTATATTGTTTTAATTATGCAACGTTAACTATAACATTCTCTATATTGTTGTGGCATACATCTAAACGACGCATTTAAATGTTATCACGCTATTCTAATGTGAACCGCGCAATTATCATTCATCGATACGCGTTTAGCTGGTCATTGCGTGCTCCTTAGGCTATAATTTAAACTGCATCGGAATTTGCCGAGCCGTACTGATAATTATAAATTGTTCAACCTCGTCTCTTGAGCTTTGTTGGTGTAATAGGGCGGATTATGGTTGCCATATTAACTTGTTGATTGTTAACTTGTCTTTAGCTTTCTCACATATTAGGGAAACCAGTTATATATGCTTTCGTGGATTATTGTATTAGTAAAGAAAATAACCTATATATGTCCCACTGCTGGACAAAGGCCTTCTCTGTACAGATGGTATTAGCGCATAGGCCTCACAGCGGATTTGTGGACTTCACATCATAAAACTTTGAAAAAATTTTTTTTGTTATTTTTTCGAAAATATGTAGGTTTCAAACAGCCTGAGGTGAGGCAGATGTGATAATTTTTTTCTTTAAAAAAAAAACATTGCCTTTACTTTAGGATAACATTATCTTGTGTTGTTAGCACATATACAAGCACAAATTTCACATGTAGAAATCTTTGAGACACACAAATAGTTTTCGCGTGCGGGAATCGAACTCACGACCCCCGCCGCCGAAGCCAATATACCTTGGCGCCACGGACTCATCCGACTTTCGACCTCGATTAATTTCGAACGCATACATGGAGAACTATTGAGATGTCACAATGTACAAGTTTCACGTTGGCATACGAAAACTACGCTGTGCGGATAATGTTATTGACGCGGTCTATGACGTCATCGCGTGTCGACCCTTATCAGCGGAACGTGAGTGCATAGGAAATGCGCTCGGGCATTGTGCTCGTGGGCATTGGCACGTGCCGTGGCCGCCCTCTGTCCGAACGTTACGCAAGAACACGATGCGATTGATACTTTGTTTGAGGATCGTTTGACATAGTTTTGGCCAATACAACCGACCTCCATGGCCGCCGAGTGATTCGCTTAAAAATCAAACGGGAAGCCGTTTAGGATGCGAGAGAAATCGAGGAATGCAGTTATGTAACGGCCGTTCCGGTTCGTCAATAAATTGCGAAAACTACAGACTTAATACGTCAACGCGTGATTGCTATTTCTGTTATTTACGTCGTGTGCAATCGCAAGCTAGCTATGAAGATGTTTTTAATTTTCATTTGGAAACATTTCGAAGGACGGACCCTTTATGTTAATACCAAATGCAAGCTTTCAGTTCGCGTTTAAAATTATTCCGCCATCCAATACTTATTGTAGCTTTGTTATTGAAATCTAAACCATTAAAAAAAATTAAATGAAAAGAAGAACCGTTTGATGATACATTCAAGAAAACATTAGTACTACTTATTGGTTGTGTAACTGCAGTAAAGTTTTTTCCTAATAGAAAACAAATTTACCACGTGTGTGTTCCAACTTACCTTTCTACGCGTAACGAAGATCTCTACCTACGAGGTCCATCTAACGCGTAGCTGGCAACTGTCGTGTACACGCGGCGGCGCAAGTAACGCACTCTCGCCCTCCGCAGGTTTCGAGTGCCGCTGCGGGGGCCTGTTCTGCGCGGTGCACCGGTACAGCGACAAGCACGAGTGCTCCTTCGACTACCGGGAGCTCGGTGCGCAGGAGATCCGCCGCAACAACCCCGTCGTCGTCTCGCAGAAGATACACAAGATTTGAACCCGCACCCGCTAAATCCGCCCCGCCCCTCCGTGTACCACCCCTGTCCCCCCCCCCATCCCGAAAATCCCTCCCCCTCCCATCCATTACTCTAAATAAACTATAGATCGAGCATGTGTTTCTTTTTGGCGTTTCTTTTTTTTTTTTATATGTATCACGACGACTGACGACCGCCCGCGGCGCTCGGCTTCATCTTTTGCGTTGTAACAGAGACTATTTTTCTGCGTAGTTTATACTAGTTTAGCGATAGATGGAAACGCACACTCGATCTATGTTTCTAGAATTGTTTGTGAGAGTTTTGCTTTTGAAGGAGATCTGGCGATTGGCCGGGTCCCACTGTGGCCATGGAGGAATTTGACCGGTCGCTATTGGAAAATCATCGAGCACTATTGTCTTTGAACACTAGATGTGCTGCTTAAATTCGGACTATAATATAATTTACCTTTAACGCTTTCCGGCGTACTTAAACTAATCACTTTTGTATGTAAATATTGTTAACGTTCTAATTATATTTAATTTTCTATTAAAATTATAAGCAATTAGAAATTAACACACAGAGTTATATATTAACTAAAACGCTACTTTGGAATTGCACTCGTTTGCAGAATAAACTTCTCCATGGTCAACTGCAAGGTACTTAGCAATGCGCCTCATCTCCGCTTTTATTAAAATTGTAGATATTGTTCGTTTCGGGTAGGAATTTCTGGTTTTAATTTTTTTTTGTCAAGATAATAATTAGAGTTTTGAATATTGTCCATTCACCTCCATTGTAAATATTAGATGTAATTAATTATAGAAACAAATCCTATATATTGTAAAAAAACGAAAACTTCAAAAAAAGCTACATTGTTACGATTCCAACGGGGAGCATAGCGTGCTTTTGAACATTATCGTGATAACAATTGTTAGCTGAAGCTCAAAGAGAGCGGGGGCCGCCGCACATAACATTCTTTGCCTAGTTTTAAACGGAAATTGTACAGAGATATTGTGCTCACTTTCATATTGACACGTGTTTGTTGGAACATTCGAGGCGTTTCCGCGGCGCCGTTCGCGGGACGCTCTAAATGATATAACATTAGCACGACACGGCGCAACGGTGCAACCCTGGCCCGGGAAGTTGCCGCTTCCATACAGATGTCTAACGTTCTGCGTGAGGGACACTTGTAGTGTTAGCTAGATTGTCGTCCGGTGGGCTTGGATCGGTGCGGGCGTGGCGACTGGGCCGAGGCGTCGCGACAAGATCAAGCTGTCGCGATAAGACTAAGCTGTCGCGACAAGAAAAAGCTGTCGCGACAAGAAAAAGCTGTCGCGACAAGAAAAAGCTGTCGCGAGAAGAAAAAGCTGTTGCGCCATTGGAATCTGTCTGAATCCGTGGGAAGCGAACATCGCCGCCACCTTATCACATCGGCCGCGGCAACAGCTGTCCGGAACATACGTGCCCCGAGGAACTAGCTTGACTTGTAACGGGTCATTGCAAACTACGAGGTGCAATTTGCTCCCGCCCCGTCGCGTGTTAAATTTTCAAGTGCAAACGAATTGGACTCTTCGCGTATGAACGGTTTGCTCCGGACTGGGCCGCTGACCGCTGCGACGCGACATACTCGAACGACGAGCTTGTCGCGTCAGGCATAGGCCGCGCGTCCGATCCTCCGTACCGCTCTGTGTGAAAATTTTATGTAAGCATATGGATAGTTATACATTTATAAGTAGCCGACACTTTATATTATTACACATTATATAAGTAGGAAAAGAATTATTTAGCTTTTTTTTTTCTTTTTAATCACAATATTATTCAAAATTGTAAGTTGTATTATGTAACTTGTTCGTTTAGTGGTGAAGTTGGAGCTGATGATACCTATGTATTCATTCATTCGGTCGTTGTCCACGTTAGACTAACTGGTTGGTTGGACTTAATTATTTAATGACTTTTGTTGTATATTTTGTTAGGTCATTGATTAATTTTGGTCTTTTGCTTAAACATAATCAGATGAAGATGATGTTAATAATGAATGATTTTTTTTCTTCTATCTTGCTGTTTTAATTTAGTTATTCTTCTATTAAAGTCATTAAATTTCCAGGAACATATACTAGTTGTTTTCATTTTCCTTTCGACTTTTTATTTTTAGATTGTAATTGTTGCGCAAAATAATACTTCAGAAATTATTGGTCTATATTTATTCGAGAATGGTACAACGAAACTAGATATATTACCTAGTTAGTCTCAATTTGATAACAAAACGACGAATAACATCGTCCATAAATTACATATATCGAGTTTTACATACAAAATCTTAGTTAATGATTAACTGACACTTTTAACCCTTAAATTATGAGCTTATTTTATATAACAACTTAAAGAAAGGAAAGGTCGAGAGAGTCTAAGTTGACTAGCATTATTATGTTGTTTCCTAAGATTCCAATTGAATCTTTATATAAAAATATAAAAAATCCTCACTTTTATCCTCAAATTGCTCATATTAATATTTTTTATTCCAAAAGTTGAAAAAGAATGATAGGATATCAGCATTTTAATTGTAACATATTGGTTGTCAACGGGTACACAAGTAACATAACCTTAATCTACTATTTATCGATTTGTATACCGCTTTCAAATTTTGTTATTAAAAATATAAATCATACATAAAAATTAAAGGCGATGGCCTTCATCGACTTTACATTTTCTACTTTTTTTTAAACCTATACATATAGGTATATTGCACTGCTCTGCAATTTTCTTTTATTCTCAGTCGATTATGATATATGCGGATCAGACGTTGGCGACCTCGCGGATCCAGTCCCTTGCCCTGGAGACCCTCGAGAAGTAGACCTTGGCGCCGTTGCGGCATTCTATCGCGTCGTTCTCGACCCAAGAGGCGATGCCCACCAACACTCCGTTCTCGTCCACCAAGCCGCTGCCACTGTCGCCCTGTCCAAAAAAATATTTTATGTTTTTTATTGTGAGAAGGGGCCAGCGAGCTGGCGGTTCACGTGAGGTTAAGTGATAACCGCCGCCCATGGACATTAGAAGACCCGTAGATTTTCAGATGCTTTGCCAGGTTTTAAGCCGAAGCTGTTGCTTGGCCCTACCACAGATATGCATATTGATGTTTTTTATATTTTCATGGGAAGGTATATGCGAGGGTTTGCAGATGCCTTGAAAACCTTTTTGAAAATTTTGCTCCGGCTACCTCACTCAACAGACGAATCGCGAAAGTATTATACTTCCAGTTCACGCCGGTCTTCTGTGAGGTCGTGGTATTTACCCGGACGAGGTTGCCCATTCGTGCAACAACCGAGGCTGCTGCGTGGCCCTACCACAGTAGAAGTGGAGTGCACAATTTTAAGAATTTCATCATTACGAGTTGCCAAGGTATTGTCTTTGGCGTCGGGGGCCGTTGGTTCGATCTCCACACGGAACTACTATTAGTGTGACCCACAGATAGTTTTTCTTCTTCTTTACGTGTCGATGACAAATCATATTCTTCCGGCCCAGAACTTAGCCACTTCGACAGCACAATTTGTGGCATCCATCAAATCCAAAGATAGTTGTTTCGCATCTGGGTGTTTGTCCACGTGAAATTTATGTTTGTAAAAAAATCTTATAACACAGGATAGTGTTATCTCAAAGTAAGGGCAATGTTTTTTAGAATCAACAAGAACGACATACAATAAATAGTTTGTGCGTTTGTTTTGTTCCTGATCTAGTTTTTGCACGCCAGGTGGCGTGCGAGTTGCATCGGATAATTTTCTCTTTGTCCAACGTTCAACTGCTTGAACTTTGTGCAGGTTTTGTAAGCAATTGCTTAAACCGTGTCAAGTATTAACTTATCCAGTGCAGTGTTTAAAGAGTTTTTTTTTCTTCAAAATTCAGTGTATTGCTAATTATAATATTGTGCACGTTTCGTAATTGTAAAAGAGAGAATAGAGAGAAATATCAGTTGTGAAATATCAAATGCCTACATTGTATGAAACATAATGGTCCCGCTGTCTGTCCCTATGTATGCTTAGATCTTTAAAACTGCGCAACGGATCTTGATGCGTTTTTTTCACTAGATACGGTAGAGTGATTCAAGAGGAAGGTTTATATGTATAATACATTGCACCCTTGCGAAGCCGAGACGGGTCGCTAGTCCTAAATATGTCTATCACAACGGCTTATTGGAAAAATATGTCTAATATAACCTACTCCTTTTTTACTACCTATTTATTAAATTTTCAAAACAAATTACTCACATTACAAGCGGAGTCGTAATTAGGCGGACGTCCTTTGGCGCAAATCATGTCTTCACTGTCGTATTCTTCCAAAACGCTGCATTCTTCGTCGTCGAGGATTTCTAGTTTCATTCCATGCATCTCGTGCCTCATCGTTTCCTGTGAGATTTAAAAATGGATTGTTGTAGACACTTCAATAAATTGTGATGAAAGTATTCCTTCATGGCAAATCCTTACCCCGTGGTGTAGTGCACCGTAGCCCGCGTAGCCGACATTCGTTTTGGGTGCGATTGTGGGGTTCTCGTTCAGTTTGGCAGCGGCTATAGTGACGCCATCTAAGGGCAAGGGTTCTGATAGTTCAGCCAGTAGAAAGTCGAACCGCGCGCCCACCTGTAATGGTAGGACTGTTAGTTACCTCTTTACTGTTTTGTGTGCAATTCGTGTTCTGTATCAGGAAACCTCATGCTGATCACTGATTGGCAAGTAAAAAATTAAAGTAAAATGATTGACTGAAACTTAATATTTAAGGTATTCCGCCGTAGACCATGCAAGAGGTGCATAACAATTATTATATTAAGGTTTTTGTGACCGTAACTGCCTATACAGGCTTCGCTGTTTCTTTTTGATTTCAACAGTATGCAGGTTTCCTCACGATGTATATTTGATAAATTGCAATTAATTATATCATTTGTGTGACACCATGATTTTAACTTGGGAAGATTGCGAAAAAAACCAAGCGTCTGATCACTGAACTAACGTTTCAGTTTCGCTACTAGGTAATAACGAGTAAATATATTTTTTTTAATAAAAATAATACTATGTCCTTTTAAATACCTCTAACGATACGTGTACATTGTTTCTTGATAATCGGTTGACTAGTTCTGGCGTGGAAGCGTAACAAACAAACATTAAAATATTAATAGTAGGGATATATAAATTCGCTCTTTAACTAAAGTGTTTAACTAGGGACAAAAAGTATGAAATTTGCAGTGTCCCATGACCACGCTATAACTATAAGTAGCATTTTAAAATTAGCTACCCCATGGATGTCAATGTATTTGTTGGCATAAGTACAAATACAAACTGTAATAAAATAAACGTAGTATTTTTGTTAGTATTCATAATCATATTAGATCAGTTACACGACTCTTTTGACGCAGTTCTTAAGCGACAGGCTGCGACTTCTCGGTCTTTATTTCAGGTCGCGTTTTTAGTTCCGTTCCCGCTCGAGACAAGTTATTTACTAGTTTCTGATCTGGGTGTTTATCTTTGTAAAATTAGAGTTCGAAAGAAACCTGTATAATAGTGGTTTCATCATCAACATCATCTCATTCTACAATGTATTTATAATGCTCATTTTAAATCCGCAAGTAAATAGGTTTGAATACTCAACAAATTATTGTATTTACGCGAACGATACACATTGTCAATTCAATGTAATTTCCGCGCGTTGTCGGGTCCAATGTGATTCCTAACAAAGTATATGGAACATCGAGAGTTGCCATATTAATTCAACGACTGTGAGAGTACACTACATACAATAAAACCCGTCCATTGTATACTCTGTCGAAGGAGTTTTTAACAATGCATATATGTTTTCTTCCTCTCCTTCTTGTTGTTAGTGGTTGACTAGAGTTTTTACGACCAGCCATCTGCCTCACATCAACTTAGTATATCTAGGAACAAATAAGCAGACCCGGCATATTTATCTTTGCGACCACAATGACCTGTTTCATGTGGGAACCAAATCCTCGCCTCCAGCCAATAATTTCTTTAGCCAATTGTTTGATTAATTAATGCTTTTTTATGTGGGTAGATGGCAAACCACCTGGCTGTTCACCTATTGTTATGTGATAACCGCCGCCCGTAACACCCGTAGGGTTGCAAATGTGTTGCCACCTTTAATTGAAGTGGGCCCCGGCTACCTCACTCACCAGACGAAACGCAGAAATGTAACACTTCTATTTTACGCCGGTCCTCTGTGGCGTCGTTGTACTTAACTGGACGGACCTGCCCAATCGTGCAACAGTGAAGACTCTTGCACGAATGAAACCGTAGTGATTCGTATCCCTACCACGGTTGATTCACGGCTATTCGAAATTATCTCACGGTCATCTTCAATTAAATGACAGCTTCCAGTAAATACAAACTAAACTAGTTCATATTCTCCCATAAAATAGAAATCTTCCCGTATTTTACGGCCGCATAAATCACTCTTGCGTGGTCCTACCACAGTCGAAGTGCTTGAAATTAGTATCGAAACAGTACCTGTTTGATGTTGTACCGTCTGGCGTCAACCCAATACGGCCCCACAGTGAACCGAGGGTGGATCACCAACCGTTTCACGCGACGCGTGATGCCGCCACCATCTTCCGAGTTATTCGTACCAGCGAGAACGTACTTGCCCCCAGTGAATAGTGTGCTGGGAATGAATTGATGAATGATTAATTTTTGTACACTCCAAACTTCATTCTTCCTTGCATGCTGCCAGTATCGATAACGTGTGTAAATAAAATATACAATAGAATGCGCTTTAACATTAGATACCATTAAGAAAACGGATAAATTTTGGGTTTTACAAGAACTGGTTAGCGCTTCTGAAAATGTTTAACCAAATACTTTACCAGCTATCAATTACCGCATTGAAAAACTTTTAAAACTGACATCTATGAGTACGGATGTAATAAAATTTTAAATTGTTTTTTAAAAAGTTATGCATTTCTTAAAACTTTGAAACTTGTTCTTTGTTTAGCTTGTTCCTGTTCATTGTTGGGTTTATATCTGCAGAGTGACGGTTTCGTGAACGTAGCCGTGTGGGACTCGCGTGGAGCAAATAACTATTGTTGTCATGTTCAATTATGTTTGTCGTAATTTCTTTGTCGCATTTTGGGTTACGGTTGGGAGCACATTTCAATTTCCAAGATAGATAAAACCGTTAGTCACGGGTTAGTGTTGTATGAATATCGCTTTTTTATTACGTAATACATTTATGTTTATGTAAGATATTTATGACACCTATTTGGGTGTTAATGCTATAATTTAACTTCCTAATGCCCGGTTTCTGTAACACTGATCATGTCCGAATTGATCAGAATGATCCTCTTAATGATCACAATGATCAATTTAAAGAGTTTAACCATCCTTTTGGCAACTCAAATAACACTTGAAAACCCATTTGACAGTTGGTTAGTTGACTGACTTGTTGTTGATCAGTGTTTCAGAAACCGGGCGTTACAGTTGATTTTGGTTATAATTTTTGTTGAAGTTTGATTCGACACCAGTTTTGAGGTAGATATCACCGACATGGGTCGTTACGACGAGGTCACGGCATGTCGTCATTATCTTTTTGTTCTTGCCTGTTGTTTTAAGCTTTTCAAACTGTCGGGTTTTCTTGGTTTCATTTTTGAAGTGAAATCTATAGGCATGTTGGGCAATTTCGAATGGGGGAAAAATTCATAGGGTCGCGTCACTAAATGCTGAACTAACGAGATCGGTGATTGGCATTAAGTTTTGATATCAATTTTTTTCTGGTATTTGATCTCGGTGCAACTAATTTCTAGTTCGATAGTTTTATGTTACTCATTTTAAAATAAAAAGTCACTAAACATAACTGTTCATTGTTTTAAATTGTGCGAATTAAAGTAAGTAGGTCTTTTGCAATTTAAATTTTTTGTAATTTACTGTTTTTTGTTATTTATTTATTTCATTTAAACATTAAAAAACCGGCCAACTACGTGTCGGAAATACGCACGAAGGGTTCCGTATTATTATCTAGAAAAACCGCAAAAATGTCTGTTGTATGGGTACGGAATGCTAAAAACACGGGATTTCGGTTTTAAGTTTTCACTGAAATATTAAATAACAAAAGGACGCAGAACACGATATTGATATTTCTTTAGCGAGGCAATTATCCAACTAATTGCAAAGCGTTCAATAACAAGGAAAACCCAGAATGTTATGCATTGACGTGTGACGTGTCTAGATAAAGAGGGTTTCTTCAGAATACAAAGCGGTATTTATAAAATATGTACTGCGTAGAAAATCTTTGAGACACATGTATGTATAATTAGTAAGATTTATTCATATGATTATTTTATATGAATGTTGACAGTGCTCAATCATAATATAAAATTTTTACTCTGTTCCCTAGTTTTACTCTTAATATTTCGCACTTAACCAAGCAGCGAATAAATTGTTTACATGCCTTGTATAATATAATATCATTACTTTAACAGAGATTTGTAATTGTTGACACAGTTTGACTGCAACCTCATTTTTTCCGCTCTACTTTTACTCTCTTGATGCTCCACACGAACGCGGCAGTGTTGAGACACGACAATTTAAATACGGGCTCGCTTATTAATTCACAACGTACATCTATGAATCACAATAAAGTCTTCGTTTCTTTGTTGCGATGTCCTATGTGGGCTTACATTTGTGTACGTGAAGATTGGAGATGTGACTCGTGCGGTCTTTACAATGTCATTGTTGACAATGTTTTGAGGTCAAGTTGTCGGAATAAAATGCGTGTAGTTTTTATGGACAATATCTTGTAGCAAGATATACACATAACTGAATAATATATTGTGGCATTGCGACGGTGAGGATAGGAAACCGAAAAATCTAGTAAAAAAAATTTCAAAATCAGAAGTCATCTAAAGTCGGTCAATTCCAACCAATTTCTACCTACATACTATTCCTTAATACGCTCTGCCCTGTCCTATGCCCATCAGTGGCACACATTTGAATAAATGAATGATTGAATATACTTTATGCACACCAAAAATAAAACAAACAAAAATTAAAACTTAATGTACAAGTGATGGGTACAATGGGCGGCCTTATTACTAAGAGTAATTAATTTCAGGCAAACTTTTTTTATTGTTTATACTTGTGACTTAAACTTAGGCAAAACTGCTCGCAACATAATTCCCATTTTGTTCGACCCCACCTAAGTGGGATAAGGGCAGGAGGATGATGAATTCGAAAATATAACATTTGCATGACGTATTAAATGCATGTACGTCATAAAATACTTTTATTTCATTCTTATCTTAACACACTCCACTCTAATAAGCACTGTGGAATTGCGAAAAACCTAATTAATCCAGGATTTGGATTTTACGTAAATTAAATGAATAGCCTTGACGACGAAATGACGAGCGTTATCGGTTGCTTCGATTGTAGGAAAGACCCAAATATTTATATTGTGATGAATGACGTATTATGTAGTAAGAGCTTTTCGCAACAAATAAGCAAAATCAGCGCTTGTAGCCAGTTAGCGTGTTTCCTTTACAGCAAACATTGACACACACAAAATAAATTTTCTCAATGAAATTTTACAATGAACATTTTGAAACGAGAGAGATGTCGCTTTTGCTACTAATATTTAATTTAATCTTTAGTGCTATTCTCTGCATTTAAGATGAAACTTAAAATCCGTGGATAATTTTTTCGAAAAATCTGATGTTTTCCTTCCTTCATTGCACAATGAGACGCACTAAAATGAAATAAAATTTAAATATTTATTTATTATTTATGTGAAAAGTTGCCAAACGAGCAGACGATTCTCCTGATGTTAAGTGAATACCGCCGCCTATGGACATCTGCTACTCCCGAGGGTTACAGATGCGTTGACAACCTTTTGAAAATTGGGCTCCGGATACCTCACTCACCAGACGAAACGCGAAAGTACGTACATAAAAGTTTGTACGATAAATCTTCGTACTAAAATATATTTTAAACCCTATTAAGGTAAGTTAAACTATCATTGCAATGCGAACGAAATGATGACCAATTTGATTTATCTAAATAATAAGGTAACAACCGATTTGTAAACCGGTGGTCTTTTTGTTTCATTGTTATCGACGAGCTTTAGTTAGCAATTGACTTGCACAGACTTTAGCACAGGCGCAGAGTTGCCAGATTTTGGTGCTATGTAGGATACTGAAGAGCCTTGGTTCTTTCTAATATTCGAAGTGAGAAATTCGTGTTATCAGTCTTGATGCGAACAATGAATAAGTCTGGTATTTGTTGTTGTACGTTTTTCCGTCCAAATAAGAGTTCCGTTTATTATTGTGTTATTCCGGCTATACTGTCATTTACCATTAAGTGTGTATGTAAAATTGTAATTATTTGTATGTATTTTGAAGTATATTTAGTTTTGCCACATTCTTTATGACTGACACTTAAAATCTTGTATGTCATTTTAATATTATCACGTTACTACCCGTAACTTGCTCTCAACCACCAAAGGTTAACTGGAAGAAAATGCTATTTAGCATTAAGTTCGCCTTTGTACAAACTTTTAGTACAATAAAGAATATAAAAAAAAACAAATGGGATTGTAGTCAAGCACTAGTCCGTTCGTGTTTAAAAAAATATATATTAATTATACGTGAAGTAAAAACTTGTACCCTTTTTTACGACAATTGCGCGGACCGAGGAGTATGAAATTTCCCACACTTGTAGTTTATAGAGAAAAAGAGTGCATGATGCTAATATTTTTTTAATTATGCCTAAAAATACATCAAATCAATAGAAAAAAACATTACACAGATGTATAAGTAATTATGGTCGAATTTCGACGCATAATTACAGAAACCGTAGAAAACGTGTCATACTTTCATCAAAATTTTTAGCAGCATGGATTAAAATGTATATTAATACTTTAAAATACATAATATTAATAACTACTAAATAAATTACTAAAATATTAGTTCCAAATGTTTCGACTTCTTATTGTGATTCGCACTCTAAGTATAAACAATTTAAGATTTCAGTCTAAAAGATCACTTTATTTCAATGAAATAAAGTCCATGTTACTAAACTTAATCTGCAATTAATTAATTAAAATCTAAAGAATTTCAGGTTGTTCCAGTTTAATAGCGCATACGACATCGCTATGACGATGACGTGATGACGTATGGCACTGAGACGGGGTCTCTAAAAGCTGACTTTTTGGAGAAGCTCAGTCACACAACAAGCTATGGAGAAAGCTATGCTCAGAGTTTCTTTGCGCGACAAAATCCGCACCGAGCAAATTCGTCGAAACGGAGTCACCGACATAGCTCTCCGGATTTGCAAGTTGAAGTGGCAGTGGGCAGGCCACATCGCTCGAAGAACTGATAACGGATGGGGAGTAAAAGTTCTCGAGTGGCGACCACGAACCTGAAGACGTAGCGCTGGAAGGCCTCCCTCTAGGTAGACCGACGACGTTAGTGTCGCGGGCAACCGGTGGATGCAAATGGCAAAGTGTCGTTCGTTATGACGATCTAGGGGGAGGCCATATGTTCAACAGTGGACGTCTTGCGGCTGATGATGAATAGCGCATTACACATAAAATAAACATTTAAACCTTTCATAATATTATTACAGTTGAAGCCTAAAGATTAATTCTGTTTTTACTCAAAGAATTCGAATGAAAAATCAACAATAGAGGTAAGTGCCTTGTTGGTTTAGTTATTAGTAATCCAATTAATTGATATAATAAAATAATATGTTAGTAATCCAATGTGAGTTAAGTTTTCGTTATTTATTACAAGATTACAGTATTTCTCATGTAAATTACTGTGGCGATCACGGTTGCACGGATCAATTATTACCATAAGCTTCGATTCGTGCTAGTAACGTTTGTTTCCTTATCCGGCAAGGGTTGAAAACAGTTTTTCTTCATAAGGTCGATGAATAAATATAGGTACATTGTTTTAATACATACACTTAAAAGGTATTTTGTGGCAATGGTGTCGTGTTAACTTACCAGTGAGCAGCTGTGAGTATCCAGTTGGGGCTAATGACGGAGCCACCACATGTGCCACCGAAGAGCACGGCGTGGGGGAACGCCTGGTGCACCGGTTTCTCCTCCTCGACCTCATCCTTCGTGGGTGTGAGGTCAATCCGCCTCACGTTTACGCCCTTCGCGGGATAATTGCGGTATTTCGGCGGATCACCTGCCATTAACGAATATATCTATTTAAGTATGTACTACACGCAACTGTGATGTCTATTTCAAGTCCATTTACCGACATGCCAACATTGTGGTGTTGGTAATTATGTTTATATTACATATGTTAATATGTATATTTATTATTATAAACGACTAGGTCACAGGTAATCTGTCTCTCAAACACGTGATTTGTATGGAATGTTTTTTCAATATGGAACGCTTCAAATTATCACTCGGTGCGACAATGTCTGATACGGGTGAGTGTGATTGGTGTCTATATTGGTATCTAGACCTTGTGTCTATATTAAGTTGTTTATAAATATTATAATAGAATAATAAAACGGGCACCGTTTTAGTATCCCAGACTACAATTATCACTTAACTGATATTAAATTAATTTGTGTTAAGAACTATTAATATGACTAAGCCTGGTTGTCGGAGGAGTGAATGCACTACAAAAGAGAAAATAGTTTTTTCACGATATGTTTTATAACTCGAGACAGATTCCGTTACACGTTCAAACGTCGAACGATAAGCGATATGTGTAAATGTCGTCAACTTGTCCTCAATTCAGCGGTAAACAAGCCGTCGCCGATCGGTCATAAACGACAAATCAATTAGCGCTTTAATAGCCGCGTACATTGAAATAATCGCTTCTTATCTCCGTTTGAATGCAGGTAGTTTTCTTCCATTAGTACCGGTTCTACGTGTTACGCTTGCTGGGTTTGTGTGCATCTTCAGATAAAAGATCGATTACGGACAAAAAGACTCGATTCTAAAGTAAGATGCATAAAAAATATATTCATAATCTTATTGGTGATTCGTTCTTCGATGTTAGATTAGAAACGGTATGGAAAGTTTATAATTCCAACACATTTATCAGTTTTCATTGAAAGGGAACAAATAATTGTTGTCATTACGTACCTGTTATTGCAATTGAGCTTAATGAATTTACTTTCATTATTTTAAAAAGAAGGAAAGACCTGATAATGGATTTTGTCCACTTAATTTGATGTTTTGATTTAATTTTAACTTTTCAGATACCTTATCTCAAATATGGCAGATCGGATCATCTATACAGATTAATAAAATTCGAGTGTCTCTTTATAATATTAAAATAACAACTTTTACTAAATTCATATGGATGTACTTGCCATATACCTATACCAACATTTTTTACAATTTTTGTCTGTCAACAAACAAATAGTTTGTTCGGCTTATCTCTGAAACGGCTGGAATAATTTTACCGGGACTTTGCAGGCACATAGGTGTAATAAGGTGTATCTTTTAACCGACTTCAAAAAAGAATGAGGTTTCTTAATTCGACCGTATATATTGCTTTTGTGTGTTCGCGGATAACTTCGTCGCTTGAACCGATTTTGATGATTCTTTTTTTCTTGGCGAGGAGATATCACAATTGTGGTAATATGATAAGGAAACCCGGATCTGATGATGGCATCCCAGAGAAATCGAGGGCAATCCTCAAATGTTATAGGTATTCACAATGTTTTTAGTTTCCTGTTTGAAGTCGGTTGTTTTTTGTTAAAAAATATTATATTTTAGAAGTTTTATTTATTTTAAATTCCACACGGACGAACTCGCGGGCACAGCTAGTAGTAAATAACTTAAAAAGCTAGCGGCAGCCTGAAGAAGACAAATTGATGTACAAAATGTGGAATATGCTCTTAGATGAGTCCACATAGTGGCCAGCTCGTTGGTACCGACGTTGATTAGCGCGCTTGACATCTTCGCATTTGCCATCATCTTAGTCAAGGCAAAGAAGTCGAAGAAACAGACACAAGCCGGCCAACTCCCAATGTTGGACATAGCCAATGTTATTTCTTCGATTCCTAAGTTACGGGAAATTGGCTGAATTTGGGCCAACTTTGGGGCCAACGTTTGAAGCCGGATACTAGACAAACGTATGCAGTCATCATAATTAAAAGGAATATACGTTAGTAAAACTTTTTGTTCCTTAACGCTTCATTGTTTTTTGTTATATTCTGTCCGTTCTGTTGTGGGGAAGATGACGTTTTTTGAATTTATTTTTTGTTAATATTGGACAAGCGTCTCATACGGCATAATAACCGGTTCCATTATTTGTATATGTGATTCGAGGTCGCTACGATAAAAAGGTTGCGGTCGGGTTTGTTATGCATTCGCTGATAATACGATATATTATTACTTAGAGATAAAGCTTAAAGTCACAGTGAAACTAAGATTAGTACCATTCAGGTACGCTTTGTTAAAGTTGAAAGATTTCGCGACGTTAATTCTCTCCATGCGTAAACACCGAAAGGTCTTTGCATGATTGATCGTTTAAAACAAGTTTGGTCACCAGTTGTTCACGGCGGCAAGATTTAAATGTCAAAACACGTTAGTCGACCCATTATTGTTTTTTTAACATTATCTGTCTGTCTTTCCAGGCTGTTCTGTACACGGTGATAAGAGGTCGAATTGCGATTATTTTAAAAACGATTCTAATCGATTTAGTGCCAATCCAGTAATATATCCGCAATGATAGACAAAGGAGAGATATGTAATCAATTTCAGCATGATAGCATTACTCAGTGAAATTATCACAACGGTATAACGTAGGAAATAAATGAATGGTATTATAACGTATTGTTGAATTACCCTCAACCCTTAGTTTATAGCATGGCTGGTACAACCACTGGTTAAAATTCAACCATAATCCTACTTGAAAAATTAAAAAAAAAATCAAAATAGAAAACACTAAAGCTCGTCAATAGCCACATAGAAAAAAAACCCAGAAACCATTGAGAAACAGACGATAACAAGTTTTTGCTACTGATTTTTAGTTGCTCTGTTATAAATAGATTTTGATTTAATAATAATTATCCAATGCATAATTGGAGCAATCCCCTCAGACAAAGACTGAATCGATTAAATATCGAACTAAAAAAAAAAAACACTCGTCTACACAACAAAAAAAAAACAAAAATATTTTTCGTCTCACTTTAAACACTAAGCCTTAACTTTGTTCTACTCACGGTATTCGAGTTTTTCGACGGGATTCACGTTATTGTCGGCGGGAAGCGCAAGGGCGCTGGCGCACAGCGCGCCAAAACACAAATACAACCTCACTCGCCGTGTCATCGTGGTTAAGTTTCCGACGCGGGCGACGCGCCGCCATTTATATTCAAATCGCCTCGGTTGGAAAATACGCGGTGGGCGATCGTGCTGGTTAATCTTCGTCAATTTGTTTAATCGTTACAACGCTTCGATGCGTAATTATTGCTGAAAAATAATCATATCCGCTTCTACTGACAGATAGCAGAGAAAGAAAAAATCGATACATAAAGATAAGCGTGTAAAAGATGACGTAAAGAACCGCACTTCGGGTGTGAGGCTGAGGTATAATGAAGAAAAGGACAAAAGCAGGCTAAGATTATGAATAATTTAGAATAGAACTGAATAAATATGATCATTGTTTAACTGGTCAATATAACACACAAAAAAATGTGTTACTGTTCGTTTTCAAAGTCTTTACCTATTAAAAAATAGCTATTAAAACAGGTACAATGGTTGTCTTCACCATTACGTTTGTACTTGTTCACTGATTCGTTTTTTTCTTAATAAATCAATGCTTCAAGTTCAGGGAACGGTTATCATAAGGAGAGATAAAAAAATCCTCATTTACAGCATAGAATCCAACACAGAAATACCGCATGTTAAAAATGCTTGTCACTTTTCGAAGTTATTTGGCGTCTCCCCAATTAAGAACAAAACAAACTAATAAGATTAAATTGATGTTCAATTCATTTTGCCAGTGAATTTACATTTACCATAATGTACTTACTAGTTTTTATTAACTTATAAGGAATATTCTACAATTAATTAATAACATTAAAACTTTTAATGATAGAATGGATATTAAATTATTAAGGCCCATTTACACGGTGCCAGTTTCTTGCCTGTTGTATACAATTAAATTGAAGCAATAAATGAATTGCATGGTCTAAACCAGTGATTCTCAACCTTTTTTTTTGTTGCGGCACATATTTAACGATTTCAAAATTTGGCGGCACATAAAGAAAAAGATAAAAATTATTTACTTACTACAACACACTGCATAAATAGTTTATGACAAAAATTTTAAATATACGAAATAAACTACAATAATAACTAAACCTTTATTAAGGGATTAATTACAAGCTAATAATAAAAATATTTTTTATGCGAAATTTGAGCTTGATGTTTTTTGATAATTTCATTTATATTTGGTCGTAAAAATGACAATGCTACTCTCATATCATCTTCTACATTTAACAATCTTGATCTTTTTTTAGTTTTAATGTTGGCTAATGCCAAAAAATATTTTTCATTTTAAATGATATAATTTAATAATATTAACATTTTAAAGTTTTTTATAGTGCTAATCTCTGCACTTAAGATTGAACATTAAAACATGTAGAAAAAGTACGAGCCGTTTAGCTCAGTGGCTAGAGCGTCAGGCCGCGAATGCCGAAGACGTGGGTTCGATTCCCACAGCGGCGACAATCTTTTCGTACTTTTTCTACATGTTTTAATATTAACATTATTATATATTGGCAAAATTTGGCGGCACACTTTTGAAATTTGTGCGGCACATAAGTGTTGCGGCACAGTGGTTGAGAATCACTGGTCTAAACAACAAATGGTCCAAAACAATTATTGCGCGCAATTTATTGCATTCAATTATTGCTCTTGTATGTACAAGAAAATGGCATCGTGTAAATGGGCCTTTATCTTTTAATGCAATTATTAAAGTACAGAATTTTAAAATTTCGATCGATCGTTGATAATAAAACCAATATTGCTCAGCACCATGCCATAAAACTATTATAGTGCAAATATCCTCGTCTATTGTCTATATTATTCATTTTAAAAATCCTTTACTGGTATGTGAGTTTAGGCGCATTAACAACAATTAGCAGTATAGATGATTTAAGTACATCATAAATATGATGTACCCAGTACCTAGTCGGAACATTGTATTGTATTAAACTAACTGACTGCTTTCAGCCCCGAGACTATTAAAGCTTCATCGAACGCAGAACCGCTGGGCTAGCTAGAACCCACGGATTTGAGGCCCCCACAGTGGGTAGGGCCGCGCATGTGCTCATGCGTGTGTTAGCTAAGGAATTCGGTACAAATTTGGGATGTCCTCGAGACGAAATGTAATGCAAAGCCCTCATCACAGTAGTTGTTACATTGAAACGAGTACTTGGTTATAAGATTTTTTTCAGTATTACTTTATGCTGGTCTTCTGTGTTGCCGTGGTACTTCTTTTGACGAGCAAGTTTCATGCAACAGGAGAACCTGGGACGATTTGTAGGAAAATTGCACAAATTCTCAAATTGGAACTTAACAACTTAATACCGTAGTATTTAAGTAATACTCTGAATTAGGGCTGTCTTCCGTCGTTAATTAGTTTTAGTTTTAGCTGGAGTTTCCAAGTTTTCGGATACCTAAATGAATACACAACAAAAGATATCCATAGAGATATAACGGCAAGATAATAATGAAATTATTTTACCATTATTACAATTATGGCATCCTCAAATAAACTGGTAAATTTTTGATTGTGAACAGGTTTTGCCAATAAAAAGTTTTAATCACACAAATGGTATGAAATTGGTATAACTGGTTTTATTTTTAATAACTGTTAACTACGTATTTGAAGGCGCTACTTATCTTATGATGATGTTTTATGACATGACAATATCATTGATATTTATTTTTTTTAAAACTATGTTTTAATGTTCAGAAATACTATAGTCATAATCAAAAATCTAAAACACGACATTTATTCATTGAAAATTTGCCTTTCATACAAATTGTTAGTTTGATTACCTTTATTCGGATTATTTTAACATCAGCTAGAATTATAATTACGTTACGACTAATGGATACATTTCCTATTGTAACAGATATGAATTGCATCTGACCGACACGAAAAAAATTTTCAACCGTGTGTTTCTATCTATGTCTTTGTCTTTGTCTATGTCCGGGCGCTCACTTTTATTTCAATATACTAGAGTAATTCCAATTCTATCCCTGGTGCTGCCACCAATAATTTTTTTAATTTTAAGTGCTAACTTATAACTTGCTCAGCGGTGAATGAAAACATTGTGAGGAAATCTGCATCTTTTCGAAAAAATAACAAAAGCATATGAAGTCCGCCATTCCGCAATGGGGTCGCGTTATGGACTATGCCCTGATACTTTTTATACAGAGGAGGCCTTTGCCCAGCATTGGGTCTTTTATAGGCTGTTCCCGAACTCATCCCACTCATCTTGATAGGACCTCGGATAGGGCCGAAACTAGTCGGTACTTACATCATTAAACGTGTGTTCAACCAGTATTACTTCGTTAAGGCTGATACACACTTGAAAGGTAATGAAAATTATCGTAGCACAGTCGGTTCAAATGTGAGACAACGACCCCTGACTTTTGATAATTGGAAAACTTATTTCTTTAGTGGAATAAATAAGCCAATAAAAGGTAATTGCTGAGAATTAAGTTAACGGTGGTAGGGCCACGCAGCAGCCTCGGCTGTTGCATGAATGGGCAGGCCCGTCCGGTTAAGTATCACGACCTCACAGAAGACCGGCGTCAAGTGGAAGTATGACAAATACTTTCGCGTTTCGTCTGGTGAGTGAGGTAGCCGGAGCCCAAACTTCAAAAGGTTGTCAACACATCTGTAACCCTCGGGGGTGGCAGATGTCCATGGGCGGCGGTATTCACTTAACATCAGGTGAAGCGTCTGCTCGTTTGACAACTTTTCGCATAAAAAAAAAATAAATTAATTTGTTTATAAGTAAACCGCTGGACAGAAGTTTTATTTACAACGGAACATCACTTGTCTGTGAACCCCACCCTCTGGCTCCCTTCTCGCTGAAATGTATGTCAGCAGCTATCTTTGTAAGCTATAACTTATGTGATTCAATATTGATATAAAAAATATTGTAGCTGACGATAGGCTAAGTACGCATCACTACGTAAGTCAGGCATCCTTGACATTACCATCCCGTGACCATGATGACCTATAAAATATTGGCAATGTTTAAAATAAAAATAAATCTCTATAAAATCAATAAATTAGTTTTATCAAAATGTAACCTTGTAAATAAAAGGAGTTATTATAAAAAAATAAAGATTATCATAATGAAGTATTAATATACTTTGATTTCCATGATCTTCTTTATTGGTTTTTGCTGTGTCAGGATCTGCAACTCTTTTTATAGCTACAGACAAATATTTATAGCAAAGACCCAATAGTAAGTCCTCTTAAGCATTGCACATATGCAGATACATTTTCATTTAGAATAGAGTGGTTTTAGGTCGTCTAACCTCTTGTCATGTTTTCCTGATATCTTGGCATTACTGAATTTTTATATCAAATGACGATGAGCGTTATGTTGAATAAAATTAATATTAAACGCATGAGTCAATTGGTTTTTTTATTAACAAACATTATATTAAGGATAATATATACTGTTTAAAAATAATATGTACAAATCCCCAGATGTTTCGGAGAGCTAGCAACCTGTGACACCTATTGCTTTATTGTTTTTGGCGAAATAAATATTTCGATTCTGTCCTCGCTCTACATAATATTTCAGAATATGTAAATACGTCAGGTCTCCATTTCAGATTTCTTTTAGCCGATTGGTGATTGTAGAATTTGTCGTTCGTAACTGTGGTAGGTCCACGTAACAGTCTTCTCTGTTGCACGAATGGGCAGGTCATCCGGGTAAGTACACGACCTCACACAAGACCGGCCTGAAGTGGTAGTGTTACTTCTGCGTTTCGACTGGTGAGTGAGGTAACCGATGCCCACTTTATCAACAATTTTTTCTTGAATTTGTGAACTCTCATCAGCTTTACCGTTCTTCTCACCAATATTCACCGCTTAAGTAAATCCGTTATGTTATGCTTGAAAATTCTATAATCTTTCCCAAATTAATTATTATTAGTATGTAGAGAGTTTATTTGACATATTCACTTTCTGAAAGTTCATGGCCCCGCCGAAGCAAAATATTATGCTTTTATTTCGCCACGCAAAAAGTACTGACTTATATAGGAAAATCTCATCGATGGACGTCACTGAGTCAGTTGGCTCACGTTTATCATGTGGTCCTTTCTTTCGATTGGTTACGCATAATGAAGCTTGCGTCATACAAGCGGAAATTCGTAGTGTAAAGGTATGTCCTTGTATACTGGTAAGATGTGCAGTAGTAATGAGAAACAATTTAATAGGAATTTCATTGTTGGCTCTTTATATCTGCTATGATTCTACAATACAATAAATAATTTCGTCATTGTGTTAAATTGAAAATAATTATATCATGTTTGTACCCACATATATTCCTTAACGAATGACTCATTAACATACACAATGATAGTTCAGATAGTATTAATCGTGCGTACACAAAGTGGTGATAGGAGCTGTTAAACTTATATTTCTTATATAATTCTAACTTAAAATTCCTAAATGTCCCTTTACATTTCACCGTGGTAGGGCCACGTAACACTCTTTGCAGTTGCACGAATGGGCGGGTCCATTCGCGTGTACTCGAAGTGTTATACTTCTGCGTTCCATCTGTTGAGGCAACCTGCCTCAACAGATGGAACGCAGGCAAAAGAGGGCAACGCAACTAAAACCCTATGGGTGTTGCACATGTCCAATGGGCGACGGTTATCACTTAACATCAGGTAAATCGCTAGGTCACTTGCCATCTTCTCGCATAAAAAAAAGCATTTATCTACTCACTATTATTCCTTCTCTAAGGTGTTCAGAGTATTTAGTACTTGTCATGTTCCGACTCCTTCTAAAATAATTTAACGGTATAAATACATAGGTCAGTGCGAACATATTTTAATGACAACATAATGGAGTTTTTATCACACGATCACACTTTCCGTGTGGCATCCACCAGATTTATTAAAACTCCATTAGAATCTTGTTAATGATGAACTAACATTAAATTTTTATTGAAAACATATTTAAAATTTTATTGGATACCCATTCCAACGTACCTATGCAGTAATTGTTTGGTTAAGATTTAATCTGTCTTTTATCTATTCAATTATTTTTGACATTTTATGTGAGAATGTCACGAATGCGATGTCTGTATTACAATACAGATATTTCTCAAATCCCCCATCGCGCTGCTACGACCTCTGGTGCGGCTGAGGTAGTAACGCTTCACTTTCCCGCCAACTCCACTTCGACTGAAGAGTATAGGGTGAGCGGTATCTCCTCTACTACCCTCAGCCCCCACTTTCCCTCCGCGTCCATTCACAGCTGGCTCTATAAGCCCAGTGTGTGTTTCTCCATAATAGGCCCATCCCAGTAGGCTCAATGAAGAATCATTGAGTGTTCTGGGGTTGGCTTTGCAATGGTCGCCACGACTTTTACAGCCCTAACTTAAACAAAGATATAAAATTATTCACATATCTCGTCGATTTAAGGCCAAGAAAATGTAGGGACGTGCCACTTGTACGCCGCGCCAATCACGCCAATTGTAGACCACAATAATTTTGCCAGCAAGTCCTGTCGGCGATGCTGTGGGAGATACGGAGTGCAGGGCCGTAACTTCTTTCTGTGAGATCTTGATGATCTAGATGGAGGCTGCTGAGCGGGGTCAAGAAAGAACAGATCCTACTCGGAGTCGAAGTTACCGACGTTTCCATGTGCCTCGGTACGGACCTACCAACGAAGAACGAAAAAAGAACAGGAACGGGGCCTCAGGGGCATGAGCGATTGGGGCGAAGCCGGTTTTATTCGGTGTAAGACCGACATAACTTGGTGCTTCCCCATACGGAGAGTTGCCAACGGGGGTAAATCTATAATGGATTTATCCAATTTAAAAACCAAGGTCAGACAGAAATTTCCAGGAAGTAATCCGTAGTATTGGGAACAGTTTATTTTAACATACGTTGACACTTGCGTTGTTGGGTTATGTGGTTTTGATTGTGTTGAGCAAATTTATTTTGGCTCACATTTTCCTGTTTCTAATATAGTCATGCACGGAGGTTGGTTGGCGGTCACTGGAAGCGGAAGGTAACTAAGGGCCGAAAAATGACACACCTAAATACATGTATATACAATGACGCGGTACGATGATCATAATTAAATTTACCTACCTGTTATAAAATACGAAAAACATATCAGGCGTATCATTCTTTTACTATGTTTAGAAAAACCAATTGCGCTGGTTGAATTGAATATTGATTGACTTGATGTGATTCTAATCACAGAGCATTTGTCGATTTATATTTACAATGTATGAAATATAATTTCAGCCGATCACCACATAGCTTCTCCACAGAATAAAAGTTGTGTCAACAGTCTAGTTGATGGTATCAAAATTAGCCGACGAGCGCGAGCTCATGTTGCATGCAACGTACACTGGTTTAGGGTACACTAAGCCACGCAGTTCACGCATGCTTCACCTGTTAAATGAATATAGCAGGGGTATTTATACTTTACAGCATTGTAAACGAGGTTTTCGATAGTACTGGCAGGCAATAAAATAATAGAGTAATAAATAAAGTTGTAAAGGTCCTTCGTTTTACGCACATCATGGAAAAATTACTGGATAGATTTCAATTATTTCTAAGTTTTATTTTCGTACTAATCTAAAAACATTGTAATATCTTAATTTAATGTGAAGGTATTAAAGTTTTAAGATTTTTATAAGGACCCAGGTGTTCTGTGATGTGTTTTCTTGTCGCGAAGTGTGGTCGGCGGTGTAGTTGTATATATAATAAGCAACGTAGAAAAATTCGAGGTATCAGCTAAAATTCGAGGACTCCGTGGCGCAGTTGCCAAGGTATTGGCTTCGGCGTTTGGGGTCTTGGGTTCGATTCCCACACGGGACAACTATTTGTGTGACCCTCAAATTATTCTTTCGCATCTGGGTGTTTGTCCACGTGAAAATTTTAGTTATAAAACGTCCGTAGGGTAATGATATCCTAAGTTAAGGGCAGTGTTTAAAAAAAAATGGATATCAAAATTCCCCGATTTTTTAACCGCTCTTGAGTTTCGTATCATTATATAACAAGAAGCGTCTAGACGCGAATCCGGAAGCTGTGGGTTCGATTGCCAATTGTTTCTTGCAAAATTTTAAAGTAAAGTTTTTAAGTGTAAACATGAATATGTTTTACTAAGGAAATATTTAGCTTAGTTTATTTTATTAGTCATGTTACCAGTCCCTCATAATAAGATACACTAAAATGTACATGTGCAAATTTAGTTCAATAATAAAATACTGCGGTTGAATATCAAACTTAAATTTTAATTTTTATATTTTTCATTTATTGCCCAATATGTTTACTTAATAAATAAGGAAAATAATGTTACATTTAATTATGGATATTATCTTAAATTAAATAAAAAATTAAAGTAAATGGCACACCCTTTTTATTGTCTGTTCCCGTAACTCCACAGCAGTAAGGTAATAAAGGTAAGATCAAATTACGGTTTCAATTTTTGGTTAATCTATTAGTTACCTATCGCACCTCCAAATCACGTCTTCTAAACATCATAATTAAATTAAAAGCCAATAATTCTGTGAAACACATCAACTTTTTAAACATAAAATTAATATTTCTGGCTTTCGTCAGAGCAAAATATTTCAAGTTATAAATCTGAATCATTACCTGAAACACGTTATTGGGTACATTATTATTACGGTGCAGTTTTAATTCGAAAATTACGCTGGAAAAAACCTTACTATAGGCTTGACCATAGGTAACAAGTTTTTATAACTCTTCATGGGTTCGCTTTCTGTGAGAGAGTGAAAGAGACCTATTAAAATATATTTCCGTCGCAGGTCATCGGAGGTTCAGACGTTGGCAACTTTTCGGATCCAATCTCGCGCCCCGGCAACATTCGCGAAGTAAACGACGGCGCCTTTGCGGCATTCCAATGTGTCGTCCTCAGCCCACGAGAGGATACCTACCAATACTCCGTTTTCGTCCACGAGGCCACTGCCGCTGTCGCCCTGTGGGATCGTAATACTTTTTGGTTACAGACGCCTTTTTTTTTTGAGCGAAACTTCTTTGCATGAGAGTAAAATTTCAAGGTTGCGTCATTAGAAATCCTCATGAATCATGTTCATACCCAGGACGTTTGCGTATTGCTAGTTGTAAGAATCCAGCTAGATAGAAAGAGATAGAATATTATTTTTTGTATTTCTAACACGCGTACGCTGAACACTTGCTTTTTTGTGGGGGGTGGGAGAGATACCCCGTTTCCTGGGGAAGTAGAGTTTTGTGGGTTTCTTACCCACTAAAACATCTTCGGTGGGTCACCCTCAGTATGTCGTCCCTTAGACTCCCTTAGTCGTGACTTAGATAACTTATTGAATCTTATTAAAATCTCAAACTCGGTGAATGGGCTTTTCTAGAGAATTATGTCTATTATCGAACTGGAATTATTAATTGGAGATTAAAGCAAAATAGACGTACAAAGTCGGTTATCGTACGGCCAGTTTGTTTTAGTAAATGACATGTTGTATGTATTTAACTGTGGTAGGGCCACGCAACAGCTTTCACTGTTGCACGAATGGGCAGGTCCGTCCGGGTATTTACCACGACCTCACAGAAGACTCTCGTAAAGTAGAAGTGTAACACTTCTGCGTTTCGTCTGGTGAGTGAGGTAGCCGGGGCCCACTTTATTTATGGGTGGTAACGCCGCCCATAAATAAAGTGCAAAGGTTTATAACTTTATAGGCGGCGGTTATTACTTAGCATCAGGTGAACCGTCAGCTAGTCTGCCACTTATTCACATAAAAAATGTTAAGGAAGTGATGCGTTTATTTTAGTAGAAGAGATACGTTATAATCTCTTAATAAGTTTATAGCTTACGTTGCAAGCGGAGTCGTAGTTGGGGGGACGTCCTTTGGCGCAGATCATGTCCGTAGTGTTGAATTCTTGTAAAGCGCTGCATTCCTTTTCTGAGAGAAGGTGTAGCTTCCTGGCATGCATCTGGTAGCTCATGGATCCCTGTTAGGCATAAGTGTTTAATTGCTACATTTATCTTATTATTTAAGCGTCGTAAGAAAAGTAAAAAAAAATTGACCTTAAATAATTAATCGACTACACAATACGTATCGAAATTGTTTGTTCGCAAATAGTAGTGCAGATATAATAGTTAATAAATTTTTGATGTACAACAGGAAACCTTTAATACGATATTTTTAAACATTCCTGTCTCGTGGTTCAAGATAGGGTGATGGAAGTTAATTAAGAAGTTGATTAAGTCAAATCAATTGGTGCCGGCACCAATGAAATTGTTATTTGTAATTTTCAGCGATGACGGAAGACACCTTGAGGAAACCTGCATATTTTTGAAATAATAGCAAAAACTAAATATGTTTCTAAGATATCTGAAGATTGATGACGCGCAATTGGTTCGAGTAGTGGACTTAGGGCCCTAGCCTTTGATCTGGGTATAGGGAGATTGTCCTTAAGCGATCTTCAGTCGGTGTTTTCACTTTGCATAAATTGTACTTTACCCAAATGGTAAATAAATAATGATATCCAATTCAATTTATTGGAAACATCAACACTTATTGAATTTAGATTAAATCAAGTAGTATCATTTTGTGTTAATTTCAATTAGTAACTCAATGATAAAATCTGTTAGCTATGTTGTGTTACATAAATAGCTCCAATTATTACATTCCTGCTTCTTCAACATGAACAATGCTCTTATTATATAATTAAATTAGTATTCGTTGTTATTTTCAATCAGTCACTAAATAATAAAATCTGTTTCCTAGTAAACATAAACTGCCTCGTTTCTTTCAAAAGGCGCCATCAAAATTTTATTTTATGTAAATTTTCCGACTGCCACCTTTTCCTGCCTGGCGCTTCGAGCGATTGCTCCAGTTGCTCTACTCCTGGACCGACGCTGAGTTTACCTAATACTACACAGGCGAGGCCTTTGCCTAGGAGTGGCATATACATATGATGTTCCTTTATTTTACTTACATGATGATATTCCGCTCCAAAGCCCGCGTATCCGACATTGGTTTTAGGAGCGATTGCATTATTCTCGTTCAGTTTGGCAGCGGCCATAGTGACTCCGTCCAAAGGCAGGGGTTCTTCCAATTCGGCCAGCAGATAGTCGAAACGCGCGGCCACCTGTGACATGCGTTTTTATTATATCTGATTACTTGAGTAATTACCGCGATTTTGGAAATTTTAATTTACCTCACGTAGAGAACAACAAAGAGGAGGAAAATTGGAGAGGCGTATGCCCGACGATGGGAGAACACACGCTGAAGAAGGAGAAGAAGAGAAGAATAGATTGAAGGTATTGGTCATTTTAGATTTTTAAGGTAAAATATTAAAAAGTGTTACAAAAACAAGTTCTGCATGAAAGTATCACGAGGACAGGAAGAAACGTAGAAATTTTATAATGTTAATTTAATTTTGAACAGTAACTTTTTACATGAATGATTCAAATGCAAATTAGTCTTATGTAAAAGGGCCTAAGCAGTATACTTCGTTTATGTTTTTTTACAGTAAACATTTATTTTCAAAAAAAGTCATTCAGAGTGCTCTAAGAAAAATAAAATATCTGATATTTAACTTTAACATTATAAAAAAATTTTTGAATCCCTCGTTATCAACGTTCTCGTTTCAAATACTTTATCACGGAGACAAAATGCATACATTCATGTAGTATTCAACACGTCGGTAGTTTAACGTAAGTAGGGTTCCATTTAATAAAGCGTGGAGTTTGCGTATGGATGAGAAATCAATGTATTAATAAACACGGTGTCCTTATTTAGTGCTCATCATTTCGATTTACAAGTACCTGTTTGATGTTGTAACTCATTGCGTTCAGCCAATACGGTCCTACCGAAAACCGGGGGTGGATCACCAGCCTTTTCACGCGACGAGTGATGCCGCTGCCATCTAAGGAGTTGTTTGTACCGGCCAGTATGTAGCTTCCCGACGTGAAAATCGTACTGCAATTATTAGATATTATATATTCATTCCTGACGACAAACCGTTTGTAGTTTAACATCTGTTTAACAATGATAAGCTGGTCAGCTCTAATGTTACACTTTTTTTAGAGATCCACCGGGCTTGAGATGGCCGAGCTCTGAGAGGCCTAGCCTGTACCTCATTTGAATTTTACACTTGTACAATATAAATAGCTGGTCCTTAATAATGACGAGTATTATATGACGACAAATAAGCAGGCGTCATGGTAGGTTATTCGTGTTGTTGGAGTTTTAGTGCTGGTGCTGACCGTTCCAAGTCACCTTGCTCAGTAATAAAATGTAGTGGAGTAAGTAATAAATTCTAGTAAGTAACAGCGTATACATGTCCCACTGCTGGACAAAGGCCTTCTCTGTACAGAGGGTATTAGGACAAAAGGGTGGTGGACTAACCACACGACCCCTCTTCGAATTGGCGGACTTCACGAATCATCAAAATATTTTTTTGTTATTATTTCGAAAATATGCACAATATTGGGTGTATTGTTGGAGTGAAAGAAGTAAAGTATTGGACCGATTTTAAGGCAGACGAAGGTTAAGATTAAGATATATTTGCTATATTTGCTTTTTCAGGAAATTATCAATATACTTCATTTTGATTATGTACCTTTATTTCATAGATATTAATGTGGAAAGGATTCGAAATGGACACGCTTGGAATATTGGATTTTTTAAGTTAGAACGTGGCGAGGGAACTGGTTGTTCACCTGATGGTAAGTGATTACCACCGCACATGGACATTTGCAATACCCGTAGGGTTTCAGATGCGTTGCCTCCTGTTAATAAAGTAGGCCCCGGCTACGTCATTCACCTGACGAAACGCAGAAGAATGACATTTTCACTTTACGCCGGTCTTTTGTGAGGTCGCGGTACTTACCCGGACGGACCTGCCCATTCGTGCAACAGCGAAGACATTTGCGCTGCCCTACCACAGTTGAATGCTTGTCGCAATCTTGTCGTTTTTTTTTTTTGGAAAAGTTCGTAGGTGTACACTTACCAGTGGGCAGCGGTGAGGATCCAATTGGGGCTTATGATGGTGCCACCGCAGAGGCGTCCGAAGAGAACCGCATGAGGGTACGCCTCGTTGACCGTCCTCTCTTCGACCTTCGAGGGCGTGACGTCAAGAATCACTTTTACGTCATCGGCTAGATGACTGCGTCTGTTGCATTCTAAAAATATTCACCAAATCAGCGCCGCCATCTACAGTCGGGTTTTACGTTTTAAGCAACCTAAAACGAGTTCCTCGCGTATTCACTTTTGTTTGATATGTGCATCATTTGTTTTTTAAATAAAAAGGCGATTTAAGGTCACAGATCGCCCATCCAAACTTGTCACGAGTTTGGGAATGTTTAGTTAATTTCAAACGATATGAACATACATCTAAAACGTTGTAAGTACTGTGTATACAAGATTTAGATCTATGGCTCATTGGATTTAATTATTCCCTTTATTAAAGAAATTTGTATAAGGTATTAAAATATTCTATCGTACTAATATAAGTATCGTCTTAATTGTAAATGTGGCATCAATTAATGTTGCAATGTCATTAAATTCTTGGTTATTATTTTGTACATTAACTCTCCAATCTATTATTAATTCAGTCGTGTTCATATTATTCTATTTTAATTAGCATATTTCATATTACTTATATCCGTTTTTCTACACAAATACTCACTAATTAGTTATAGATGCAATGTTTAAAATCGAAACAAGTAATATATTTCAGTTAGAGCTAAAGATTTATCGCCCTTGCAAGATTTAATTAATTATAATGCAGTGTACATTACTTTCTAATGATTTACAATTAAATTTTTCTTCTTTTACTCACGGTAAATTCGGATGCTTCGGGTATTTCTGTCGGGATTTGTGCCTTGGGCGGCGGGCAACGACAGAGCGCCGGAGCACAGCGCGCCAATAAACAAAATCAACTTCACTTGTGTCATCGTTACAATGTTGCCGACGCTAGCGACACCGCTATTTATATCGGCAAATATGAGGATAATTATGAGAAAAAAACAATCTTCGTCGATTTATTGATTTCTTGCGTTACGCGTCATAATTGTTGGGCAATAATTATCGAAATAAAACTTTTAGGGTGACTGATATCGAATTGTGTCGAAGAAGCAATTATAATATAAAAATTTAATATATGTACAGCAAATTAATAAATAAATATAGTAACCGAATATGAACCTGTTGTTCTTTAATTTATTACCATTGATTAATACTTATAAAAAAATGTTTATTTCAGGACTGTTATTGTTTCTTTCATAAATGGCTTCTTAGAAGAATCTTGCTAATTTCAGGACTGGCTAACTTATGACTAAGACCGTCGTCTGTTTGAATGATAGTTTTTTTTATAAACCAATATTAATATATTTTTTTTATACAAATTATATATCATGATTAACAAGAAATTATCTAATATCTTTGCATAGATGTTACACGATGTTAATTTCAACTTTAAAATCGGATGAATTCTCGTTCCTTCAGAAAATACTACAATACTTAAGTTTTACTAGTTGCCATAAGATGGCAAAAAATCAAGTGATATATCTGGTGATGGAATAAAAATCGACTAGTATGAGCTGCTTCGAAAGTTGCTGAGGGTCTACAATGTTTCTCATCAAACTTATGATACACGAATAGGCAGGCTTCTAAGTACCACGGTCTTACAGAAGAAGATCGATTTAAGCGGAACTATTTGCACTTTGTATTTCACTTGATGATTGATTAATGAGGGCAGGCGGTTCACCAGATGCTAAGTGATTACCGCCGCCAATGTAGTAAAGTAAAGTAACAGCCTATACATGTCCCACTGCTGGGCAAAGGCCTCCTCTATACAGAGGGTATCAGGGCATAGTCCACCACGCGGCCCCACTGCGGATTGGCGGACTTCACATATCTTCGAAATATATATTTTTTTGTTATTATTTCGATATGCAGGTTTCCTCACGATGTTTTCCTTCACCGCGGAGCACGTAATAAGTCAGCACTTAAAGTTAAAAACTTCATTGGTGCCGGCTCCGGGGATCGAACTCAGGTTGCTGCCGCGCTACTGAGCTATCACGGCTCTTTACCAATGTACTTACATCTAAATGCGTTTCCAACATTGATAAAGTGGGCCCTGGTTCTCTCTAGTCTCACTTAGTAGACGAAACGCAAACGTATAATACATACTTCCACTCCTCTCCAGTCTTCTACGAGGGCGTGATATTATCCGGACGAAGCTGCCCAATGGTGCAACATTTTAGCTGCTGCATGGCCCTACCTCATTGAAAGTCAATCATGGTCAACTTTTTTTTAAAATGAGGAAACTTTACTGAACTAACGCGCATATCATCAAAGGCTGCCACTTACCATCAGGTGGGATGGCAGTCAAGTGCTGGCCAGTTCTAAATAAAAAAGAAAAAAAAAAAACGTTCAAATACATCTAGATTGTTGTTCTATTTTATTCTGATGCATGATTATATAATTAATATCTAATATCTAAACATAGATGGGTTCTCGTATAATTAAGCAGTTTTTGATATATATAAAATTTTATTTTAAAAATATGTTGCAGTGGAGACCCGTGAAAATAAATAATGAATGTTTATTTCATTATTTATCCTCGCTCGCCTCTTCGAAACGAACCTACTACCTGAAATCTCAATTCGATAGTTTGAACTATATGTGATTTTAGAGGATTACGTTTTATTTTTAGTGCTAGTCACTGCACTCAAGATGAAACTTTTAAATTGTGAATTTTTTTATATAAATGAACAAAAAGTGCCGAAAGTTTTTGTTACATCATTTATCTACGAAAATAAGTATAATTTTCCCCGCTTTAACATAGTATAATTTGTTGAAATGGATGTATTAATTATTGTATGTATGTATTTGTACTTATTGACTTTCGCAATGAAAGTGATTACGAGATGTATGGGAAAACCCTATAAATTCTTATCGTTTTTAATTGTTTTTACATAGAGAACGGCGGAGCTGTGTACTGTGCCGTCTCTTACGTTCACGATCTTATCTAAGGAATTCCCAATTGCCTCAGTACTGGTAATACAGCTGTTATCACCACAACTCATATTATTTATAGATGTCTCTGTTGGGCCAAACATCTTTGAGGGGCTTTAAATTTAACCTCTTTTTGATAGAAATATATTAAATACGATTTATAATTTGAATTACTTTTATGGAGAAAAGGAAGAAAATTACTAAATTTTATGGAGAAAACGGGTAAAAGAGCAGGTGAATCACCTGATAGTAAGTGATTACCGCCGTTCATGAATACCTGCAATACCAGAGGGCTTACAAATGCGTTTTCGGTTTTTTAGGAAAGCGTAAGCTCTCTTTTTGAAGGTTCTCAGGTCGTAACGGTTGGAATAGACCGCCGGCGGCAGCCGATCAGAAATACCCTGAACGTCGATAACCCGAGGCGCACTACGATGAATGTGGTCAAATAGGAGAAGCTGGTAATGAGGGGATCCCACCCAGAGATGAGAACAGTATTCCATGTGGGGCCGAATGTACGCCTTATAGAGGCTTAGACGTTGAGCCGACGTCACGTACTGTCTCGCCTTGCTGAGCACACCAAGCTTCTTTGAGGCTAATTTGGCTTTACCTTTCAATTGACCGCGGAACTGGACATTGCTCGAGATTTCTACCTTGGCGTAGTATTCCAATATTAGCTGTGGCAAGTCCCCTAGTGTTCTCGAAATGAGGAGTTACGACAAATGGGGACTTTTTAGCGGTTAACGCGCAACCTGTGTCTTTTTGGGGTTGAATTGGACTAGGTTTAGTCGACCCCAGTCTGAGACTTTGGTTAACAAAGTCTCGACATCAGACACAAGCTTTTCACACACATCAATTCAACGTAGGGCGGCTAGGGTTATCGACGATCAAAGTCTCCGATCGGCTTGATCCTTTGGCTCTGCGTAGAGATGTTGGATCACTCTGCATCTTCTACCGCATTTTGCACGGGGAGAGTTCCGAGGAATTGTTTGGATTGATCCCGGCAGCTGAATTCTACCATCGGAAATCGCGCCAGAACCAAAAATTTCATCCACACCACCTCGCTGTCCAGCGTTCCACAACACCGCGATTTTCAAGGCATTTCCTGCCTCGGACAACCACTCTGTGGAACCAGCTGCCGCCGGCGGTCTTTCCGAACCGTTACGACTTGGGAACCTTCAAGAAGAGAGCATACTCTTTCTTAAAAGGCCGGCAACGCATTTGTGAGCCCTCGGGTGTTGCAGGTGTTCATGGGCGGCGGTAATCACTTACCATCAGGTGAGTTTCCTGCTCGTTTGCCCCTTTTCTCCATAAAAAAAAACTAACTAACTAACGGGCGTCTGTCCGTAGTTTTCGTCGGGTAGATGGAAAACTTCTATATAGATTAAAATTTGTAGAGAAAAATGACGCTGCGGGAATCGAACCCGAATGGGGAATACAAAAAACTTTTCGTCTTTTTTCTAAAAAAAATTATTTCCATCTTAAGAGCACTATAAAAATTAAAAAAATATATCATGCTGAATATATTTCATTTAATTCTTCAATACCGCTTTGTTTCTTAAACACCAAAAGAACACGTCTCATACCACTCATCTAATTTTTAAGAACACTAGGTATTACAAACGACAGTTATGGTTACCAGTATCGATTACTACACGAGACATTATTTGGATCGACTGAACATCATGAAATTCCACCAATTTTTATTTTGGTCTTAGTTTACCCTTTCAATTTTATAGGGGAAAAATAGATAAAAATAAATGTAAATAAAAAGAGTATCAATACGTAAAACAAACATAACATTAGCTTTGCTTAATAAGGGGTTAAAAAAGTTAAAGAATTATTCTAAAATATTTACTATCATTATTTTTTTTGTTAATATCAATAGTGAGTAATATGATTCTGGATGCGAGATGAAAAGGATTGCACAAGTTGGCGTGCAATGGGCGAGGCCTATGTCAAGCAGTGGACTGTAAAGATGAGGATGATGATGGTGTTGACTCTAGAAGTAGGAATCGTGTGGGTAATGTTGCTGTAAAAGTAATGAAAGTTTTCCACTTATGATTAGGAATATTCCGCAGTTGAATCTGCCCGATCTAGAATTTGCTTGGGAGCGATAAATTATAACATTGTTAGAAGTTTTGATTCTTAGATTTCATTACGTTTTGTTTAAATGATCCCCTTTAGATACGTTTTTAACCTCTTCCTTTCGATTTATAATGCTTTGTCATGGTTAAGTTAAAAGTCCATTTAAAGTTTAAGCTTAATTTTTAGTTTTTGACGCAGTGGATATTTTATTCCTTACTAGCGACCCGCCCCGGCTTCGCACGGGTGCAATGCTGATGTTTGTTTTCGACATCGCATTAGATACTTCTGAGTTTCACTACTATATTATGTATGAATTGCTACTTGAATCATCTATTAAAGAAAACCGCATCAAAATCCGTTGCTTACTTTTAAAGATATAAGCATATATAGGGACAGACAGACAGCGGGACGACTTTGTTTTATGTAGTGACAAGCTTGCTTGTGAATGCGCATCAATTAACCTGATGGTTCGCAGTTATTTACTCCAACATACATAATCTAAGGTAAACGAACTAATGTAAGTTCATTCAATTTACACTCGCCTTAAAGACATTGTAATCGGATGCAAAAAACTGATGCTGAATTATTCCAGTGTACAGTTTCCGAATGAGAAGCTTGATTTCTTGAGAATACAAGAATGTAAGTCTGTAAAGCGTCTAGATCTTACAGCTAGTGCAGGGTCCATCGGTGCGTCCCGTAAGAAATCTGGTAGGTCTTCTCAAAATTCTGAGGGTATCTACCGAATAAGCTTTGTGGCCTGTATCCTCTTTCTCCCGTCACCCTGTCTGGGAAGGTTGGAGACAGCATTTGTAAGGCAAGCTCTACTTGGTAAATTGGCTGTACGATAATTTCTCAAGATAACTGTTTTACCAAGATACATTTTTAACAGTGTATAATAACATGTGCTACTTGAGTCTATTCATTAAATCTATTAACATGCATAAAGACATGAATGCATGACGTCACTATGGACTATTGTGAGATTTATAGGTGCATCTTTTGTCTTTGGGAAATACTATGAAAGGAATGTATTTATATTTATACCCTTTACCTATTAAAGAATAAGGGAATTCGGTCGAGATTTGGATAATACACAATGAAAACTGTTACGAATATACTATTGAACTAATTAAAGTTAAACTATTTTTAAATATAGGATGACAACATCGGCAATTATTGCCAAATCGCACTGATTACAAACGAGCCATAATAATTATTTCTCAGCGATTCAGACGTTGGCAACTTTTCTAATCCAGCTGCGAGCTCTCGAAACCTTTGAGAAGTAGACGATGCGTCCATTGCGGCATTCCAGTGCGTCGTTCTGAGCCCACGAGAGGATTCCTACCAAAATTCCGTTTCCGTCCACTAAACCACTCCCGACGTACCTCTGTGGAAAATGTTTCATTTTTGTAATGATAATTGACCTAGTAGATGGAGATTGGAGATGTTAAAAAACACAAACATGTTTACATGTATTATCCCTAATCTGGCACTGTACTCGGACTGGTGTTTATGTTAGTTGTTATATACCTTTGTTTTTAATAATTACGTTCTGGCCTTTGCCCAGCAGTGGGACTTCTATAGGCTGTTACATTATAAGTGTTCCAGATTTTTTATGAATTAAAAAGTAAATAAGCTCACACACATTGCAAGTCGAGATGAAATTAGGCAGACTTCCTATGGCGCAAATCATATCTTCGGGGTCGTAATCCTCCAAAACCCCGCATTGGTTTTCGGATAAAAGTTGAAGTTCATTCACGTGCAACTGTCGGGATCTATTTTTCACCTTTTTCTCCTGCAAAGTTTGGTTATAAATTACTACTCTGTTAGATACAGCAATGTAAATGTAAATATTAAAGTTGTCAAAGATAAATAATACAGTAGCATCAATTATGTATGAATCGATCGTGAATATATTAAATATTTTGCGAAAACGAGCACCTAAGCAAAAAAATAATTTTATTGTTAATAGTAAGTTTGTTTAATAATTGTAAGTCTTTCTAACAATTTTTTTTAATGATAAGCAAGGAATCAGTTTCGTTAGGTTATTAGAATTAGTAAATGTTACTTCTTATTACTTGAAAATAATGAAAAGTAATATTGAAGTTAAAAAAAAGTATTTAAAAAAAATATTATTATTCAAGAATAAAGTAAACGCAGATAAAATTTAGTTTGGAGAGTAATCCCCTCTCGTTGAATCAGAGCTTGATTTGTTTCCGAATGTTATTGAGTATATCGTATCGTATATACAAACGACTCGTATATACCCTCTATGCCTCGAAGTATAGCCTGAAATGTAACCTTTCATGTCTCAAGAAATAAATAATACTTTTGGTGGTGCTGCTAGACAGCATTAACAATACTCTAAAACTGTCGATGAAATGGGACAGGGCAAGATATTTATTTAAAGTCCATATTTTTTTGGGCAACTCGCCTCACAAAATGTATTATAAAGTTTGTATTAATAACCAGCCACGCGAATAAATTAAATTCGAAACATTTTTTCTAAAACTATGCAGTAATTTTACTTTTAAGTCTCATTTTTTGTTGGAGTTGAATGGAATGAAAAATGCATTTCATTTATACTTACATCCGGTACTAGCGCCCCAAAGCCTGCGTATCTAATTTTTATCTTAGGAGCATATGCAGGATTTTCATTTAGTTGGATAGCTGCCATAGTGACGTCATCTAGTGGTAAGGGTTCTTTTAACTCAACCAGTAGAAAATCAAAATGTGCGGCTCCCTGTATGAACAGGACACAAATATGAATTATAATTAGTATAATTATATATAATTAAAATTAACGGTTATCGTAATAATTATCGCGCTTTGATTCAATGAAAGAGAACACTTTTAAGAAAGTGATCATGTTAAACTTTTAAGTTAATAAATTTAAGACCAGTTGAGCTATATCAGTGTTCAACATTTTTACGGCATCAATGGTTGATATGAATAAATCTATAGGTTTGATAACAAAAACAAAGACGTTCTATGAAACGATAAAATTTATATACTCGTTTAAACGGTGGTAGGGCCACGCAGCAGCCTCGGCTGTTGCACGAATGGGCAGGCCCGTCCGGGTAAGCACCACGACCTCACAGAAGACCAGCGTAAAGTGGAAGTATGACAAATACTTTCGGGTTTCGTCTGGTGAGTGAGGTAGCCGGAGCCCAATTTTCAAAATGTTGTCAACGCATCTGTAACCCTCGGGTGTAACAGATGTCCATGGGCGGCGGTAGTCACTTACCATCAGGTGAACCGTCTGCTCGTTTGGCAACTTTTCTCATAAAAAAAAACGTACCCATGAAGAAATTGAAACAAGTAAAGTCTTGTTAGACCACTGTGTGAAATCGGTAGGATAATTTACAATTACTTTATTTCGGGTTATGCTATTCGGGGTAAATAAAGAGACATTGGAACTGCAACGAAGAATTAGATAAAAGTCGTACTTCATAAAGTTATAGCTATGGGCAATGAAAGTTGGATTCATCAAATCCACTAAATTTTACCCGCATTAGTAATCGTCGCCGACGTCTGTTAAGTCACGGTTATACTACCAGCTGTGGTAATAAAATACGTAAAATTTTTGATTTAGATACTGGTAATGATATTCCTAATCGTATTATTCAAATGTACGTCATATGTGTGGAATTCTTATTGAAAAGGACCTGTTTGATGTTGTAGTGCTCAGCATCCAGCCAGTGCGGTCGTACTGAGAACCGGGGATGGATCACAAGCCGTTTCACCCGACGAGTGATGCCTCGGAATTGTGCAGTATCATTAGTTCCGGCAACTACGTCCATGCCTCTAGTTAGTCGGGTGCTGTAAGTAAATTATTGACTTGATGAATTTTTTCACAACAAAATAAAAAAAATCTCCGTCATCGTTGCGTACAAATTGATATGATTTTCTTTTTAATCATGATCGCATTTTCTGACAGATGGATAGTTTGTGAACTTTTGTCGAATTTAATTGGTGCTAAAACTAAACTGCTAAAAACTTTTAAAATGCTTTAAAGCTAATTAATCCTTCTGACAGTTCTTTGGAAAATTAATAAATTGCCTATATCCTAAACGTTCACGGCATTATTATGGGACAGTGTTAGTAAATAATAACCGTTTTTGTGATATAATGTATGCCACATGCGTATTAATGTTTAGATTAAATTTCATAATTCGGGCTATGTATATTTCCAATATAGATTGTATTTATACAAAATTATAGCTTGACCCTATTTGATGCTTGATACTTGTGATAATTCAATATCTTAAAATACAAAAATAAAATAAAAGAAAAATAAAATATAAAATAAAATTTCGAAAATAATTGGCCTTCCAGGTACCTTAAATGACTCAAAATACAGCTAGGTTTAGAGGCTCAGAGACATTATTAGAACATTATAGTAAGCGATGAGTATTATGCCTTTGTTGCAAATAAGAAAAGGGTAAATCAATAATAATAATAAGGGTAATCAAATCAATATTAAGGGTAAAACAATTAATAATCAATGTGTCATTACCGTTTATCAAGCCAAGGCTGAAAAAATCTAAGTGCTTGTTTCATTTTGCTTACGTGTCACCTGATGTCTTTAAGTGTTACACTTAAGCGGTGCTGAAAAAGAAATAAGCACCTAAATTTTTTTAAGTGTCCTTTAAACTTAGGGATCGATGCTGAAAACGGGCATTAGTACCTATCCCAAACTAAGGAAAGCTTGGTACTTTGCGTAATAGGTAACAGATAAATATACTTAAACATATTTTTCTTTTTAAACAAAATACACAATATTTTTCCAGTACTGCTAAATCGAAGCCACACTTTCTAGACTTAGAGACAAGTTCCACATCCACTAGGCCAATCAGGTCCTCAAAAATAAAATGGCGTTATGGCTAAAATTGAGGTTAACGTACTAAATAAATAAATTATTATTCTTACCGATTCATAAATGTGTTAGGATAAAATAAATTCTTTAAATATTCTTCAAACACTCAACACAAAGTTATTTGCTAGTTGTATTTGTGAAGGTAACTACAATGTATCCTGATCATAAACGATATCGATATTCTGTTTTATTTTTCTAAATTTCGTTAAGAAAGAAGTGAATAGACTTTTAGTAGAAGCTGCCTATAAACTAGTCTCTATTCTTGATCTATAAACAAACGTGTGTATAAATGAAATGTAAGTTTCTTATGTCGATGAATAAATGATTTTCATTTTTTGATTTTGATTTTTGTGTAATAGATAATTGCAATTTATCTCAAGAAACCTTTTAACTAACTAAAGCGTAAGCGTTTAAAATGATTCATTCGGCGATATAAAGTGCATATTTTGTGGGGTCGATAATTGGTGCCTGTACTTTAAACAACTGCTGTTATATTCGTGTGTATATGTCGCATCTTGGTCATGAGTACCTATGTGTTTTATGAGTAGAGATGAGACGATGCTAATGACTCGTCTGAAGTTGCACCTATCACGCAACCGAGCGCGTCACTATCCCGCCTACATCAAACTATGTAAGTACTGAAGGGTAGGACATTCCACGGATGCCTACTTAGGAGTTTTCTTTCTCAATTTAGGAAGAGAAAATTTACAATGGAAGTTTTCTAGGAAGTGGAGGAAATGTTCTTTATTTACGAAGTTTTGGTTAAAATGTAGTGAGTTTTACTACTAATTTAGTGGTTAAGGTTTTTGAAATGCTTTCGAGTATTTTTTTAACAGTTGGTAACACCGGGACATTCGTGCTCTGCGAAAGACGCCGACTCTAATGTAAAAATATCTTAGTACATAAATCCGTCACTTAAAATACACAATACGCAATTCAAGCAATATTTGGATTCACAACAAATTAATTATTAATATAAGTAAAGTGGCAAGGTCAAGGTAAAAAACAAGTTAACGATAAAAAGGTCGTATCCAGTTACCAGTGTGCCGAAGTGAGTATCCAATTGGGGCTTATGATTGAACCACCACAACTGCCTCCAAAGAGCACCGCGTGAGGATATGTGTTGCTGTTCTTGACTCGCTTTGTAACTATCACATTGGTGGGGTCATAACCGAATTTCGTTGAACAATCTAGGAAAAATATAAACCAATTCAATCGCGGCATCATTCTTCACGACACTACTTGAAGCATATAATTACGAGCGTTTTACGTTGGTATTTTATTAAAGTTAACATATGAGTAGTTTCTTGAAAAGACTGACTGATTTCACCAACCTATTTTTAATTAACGCTGCTGATAAAATACCAATATTTAAGCTTTAGAACTATGGCAAAGATATCAAGATAAATTTACTGAAGCCGAGAGCCGATGGAATCGTGTAAGCTCAGTGTCTGGGCGCTCGCTTCTAATTACATTTACTTGGCCAACCTGAGTTCGATCCCCGGTGCCGGCAACAATTAAAATGTTAATTTTACGTGCTGACTTATCACGTGCTCAGCGGTGAAGGAATATATCGTGAGGAAACCTGCATATTTTCGAAATAATAACTAAATAAATATTTCGTAAATATGTGAAGTCCGCCAATCCGCAGTGGGGTCGCATGGTGGACTATGTTATGATACCCTCTTTACAGAGGAGGCCTTTGCCTAACAACGGGACATTTATAGGCTGCTACTTTACCTTTTTTTACTGAAGCCGTATATCATAGCCATTTACCGAATGGTTTTACAATTACTGACTTAAGAAAAAAAAAATAAAACGGTTAAAAGAAGATATATTCTTCATACTGAACTAAAAAAAAATGTAGTCCACTCTATGCAATTTAGATACAAAGTTTGTTATATTCGTATGTTTTATAGACTTCCAATAACTAAAATATTATACGTCAAGTCATCGTACAAAACTAATGATCTGTTTTAAATAGACTTGTAGATTAAAGATCTACGGGTGATTTAGAAAATTAATTAACGATTCTTTTTGTTGTGTTTATTGATTACTTACTGTCGTCAACAGCCCGGTAACATATTCAATGAACTAACTGATTATGATATTTTTGCCGACACAACGTCCTCTAATCCCAAAGTGAGCAACGCTTGTATTATGAATTCTAGAAAAAACGTACTATTTTTTGTAAATATTATTTATATCTGTTTTTTCTCGTCTTAATATAATATATATTATACATATATGCACCCAGACAGTGGAAAGACATTATGTTCATCACACATTATTTTTCAGTAGTGGGGTTCGAACCCACACTCTCTGGCGCAAAAGTCAGGTTCACTACTCTCCACGCCAATCGGGTCAAACCTGTAGGTCGCCGATTATCTGTAAGTTTTATTCCTACAAGGTTGAGTTTAAATCATATAAATAACACATATAGCGTGTCGTTACAACCGGAACAATAAATGAACCCACGTCTAATGCTACTTGCTAATAATCATAAAAATATATAAAAAGTTAAAAAATCCATAATTAGAAAAATCGAATAAATTAAATAAAAAAATTGTAACATCCTAAACAACTACAACTGACGAATTCATACATTCAGAGACTTTTTCATTCGTTGCCACAACGTCGCTTTACAAGTCTCTCCTTCTAACAGTATGTTTTCTCCTTTAAATTCATTCAACCCTTTCATATGCTTTGTGACCTTTACAAATGAACTTTACCTTCCGTTTTATACGTAAGGATGTTCTAAAAATGCTTGTTTTGTAAAATTTAATAACTCGGTAAATATTGATGTTTAAAGAATGTAAATGTTTAATACAATTTTAAAAAGTTATCCTCTATATGTGTGTTCATTTTTTGTCGCGGTTGTAACGACACGCTGTATAAAATGATAACCACTCGCTAAATACTACGTGCTAATAAAATGTAATAAAATTTAAAATGTGTACTAACGTGCTAATAAAATGTAATATGTAATTAAGTGTTGTTTGAAAAGGTATTATGTCAAACTATTAAAAAGTATTTTACTACTATACTAACTAACTTATGTCCAATTAATTTATTGTTAATAATTGCATTTATTTATACTTTTTATTTTAGAATATATTTCATGTCGCTTAACTGTAACAAGATAAATTAAAGTAATTGAACAATTCCTTACAGGTAATGAAGTGACGAAAACCGATAAAATTAAATATCAAAAAGTTAAACATAGCATACGCCAACAAAGGTCAAGTCTTTTTCGACTCAACATGATTAATAATATTTTATATGACGTTCGATAATTTATAATCAATCAGTGTTTGTTTTACTTACCGTTTCCGAGTTTTTCGACGCGATGTATTTTATTGTTGGCGGCCAGCGCGAGAACGCTGGAGCAAAGCGCGCCAAAACACAAATACAATCTCTCTGGTGTCATCGTTATTATGTCTGGTGCCCGCGGCGTATCGCTATTTATAGGTCCAAGTTGAGAGGAAAATCCAAACAGGAATATGCTCTGTAACTGGTTGGCGTAATTACTAAATAAATATTAATGAAAATACCGATATCCGAAGACCCAGTGATAGTAAGTAGCAGGAAGGTCAAGTTTAGGTAAAGTACAGAACACTTAAAACTAAAAAAAAAATAATAATTTTTCTTTAAATATGTGAAGGCATAAGTAAAAGTTGAAATTCTAATGTACGAATTGCAACGATTTTTCATGTAACTACCAATAGTTATTGGCTAGGATAAATCCAAATTTATCCTAGCCAATTGATATTCAATTTGTATCGAGTCTTTATTACTTAAACAGAATTTTAAGGAAATTCCGACTAGCTATCTTATCCATACTAATGTTATTAATGCGAAAGTAACTCTGTCTGTCTGTTTGTAATTTGAATGAAATTTGGTACACAGACAGTCTAGAGCCTGACAAACGACATAGGCTATTTTTTAATCGGAAAAAAATGTTTTTAAAAGCTTCAACGCGAGCGCAGCCGCGGCCGAAAAGCTAGTTATTTTATATTATAGCGGTTATTTATCGCATCTAAGCATTACTCCCAGCCATTTGTGTGCACTGTCTCTTAACAATACTTGTGACTGCCCACGCCTGACGCTTTCTGAATAGTCTTAAGTTTTATCGTTTAAACAAGCAGTTAAAATAATCGTTGAAAAGCATTAAAATTACCTTACGTAAATTGTATATCCAATTACACTTGAATATAGTATCATTGTGCGGTATTTAATATTTTTTTTATGTGATAAGATGGCGGAGACGAGTTGGCGGTTGCCCTGGTGTTAAGTAGCCACCCTTTAATAAAGTGGGCTTGGCCACCTTACATATAACAGTTTTTATTATTTATTTTGGCAGCTGACCTTAAACAGATAGAGGTCTTTTCAATCGACTTCAAAGGAGGGTTCTCAATTCGACTGTATTTTTTTTATGTTTCACCTCAGAACTTTCGACTCGGCGTACCGATTTTGATGATTATTTGTTGTCATTTAAAGCAATCGAGGACAAATGCAGCATTTGAGTTGATTTAACTTAAATCAAGATCACAAGATAAATAATCTCACAGCTAGAGTGAAATTGTAATACTAATGACATTTAATTACTCTTGTTATTTTCGGTTTAAATGTATTTCACCTTTTGTAGCTCTGGCTCAAGGAAATTTCGTGTTTTTAAGACCGAATCATTAAAGTAATGTGCCTATTCTACTTTACAAGATCGTTTTGATATGTTTAAGCCAAAAATATGTTTATAAATGCGTGTATTTTGTTTAACCAATCTTAATTTATTTAAACTCGATCTCTATCTCTTTTTTATGTTATTACTCTACTAGAAATTCCTAAACGCAATTTTCACAATTTAGGATTCAAAAACACTGGAAAGAGAGATAAGCAGCTATTACTTGTTAAAAAATTCATAAATACGCGTTTATTTTTTTGTTTCAGATAGATAACACCCTACAAACCAACAAGAAAAAAGTTTAAATGTTTAAATGGGAATTAAGAAATAAAACATGCTTTAATTCGATTTCAAATAAACTTTAATACTTGTAATAACGTGTACAATTTCAGAATCTCAATCGATCGTCAATTGTAAAATCAATGTGGTGCAATAACGCTCAACACTTCGAACAAACATTAAGTTTAAAAATACTGATATATTGCTCTCGAATATCACCAAATTCATTTACTTATTTACTTCCCTTTATTCACATTATTATGAACTGTGAAAAATTATTCGTCCCGTCATCGAAATTCCTTAGACTTTATCTACGGACTCCTAAGTTTTTAACAAATAATAAATATGACATAAATAATTGCGCGTTAAGGGGATTCCCTTCGCATCAAGATACCGTCTGTTTCAAATAATAGCTGTATGGTCGTCGACGTCTATATCAAAATAATTAAAAAGCATTTTTTTTTAAACAAATTTGTACACAGCAATTGTCCTATATATTGTGTCTTAGTATTTGCCTAATACTCTTTTCCGCTTTTAAGCTGCGTGTAAGATTTTCACCAATAAGTTTATGAGAATTTCCTTCGAAACGAATATACAGCGTGTCTTTACAATCGCGACAATAAATGAACACACATATAGAGGATAACTTTTTAAAATTGTATTAAACATTTACATTCTTTAAACATCAATATTTACCGAGTTATAAAATTTTCCAAAACAGGAACACCCTTACGGATAAAACTGTAACGTAAAGTTCATTTGTAAAGGTCACAAAGCATATGAATGGGTTGAATGAATTTAAAAGAGACAAAACACGACGACGACGACGACACGCTGTATAAATATTTGAATAGTGGTACGTATCTAAAGAAATACAAAAGATTATTTGCTGGTTAGTGTAAGATCAAATATAAGTTTTATTTTGAAGGATTAATGTCAATAACGAGGCACCAAAGATTATAAAACTATTTCATCTTAACAATTTATGTCAAATTGTTTTAACCTACTGAAAGAAAAATCGAGGAAAAACTACCTAATGGTTATAGTTATGACTGCATCGCATGAACTTACGAAGCAATTTTCGGGTTATAATATTATTCCAAATTTCTGTTGTGAACAAAGAGTTACAAATTGTTTTATTGCCAAATACATGTTCATCACAAACGTGGTGTCATTTTTTAAAACTTGTTTCAGGTAAAATGACCCACTTTAATTGCTTCGTATCTAGCAGTTATTTATACTTAAATCCGTAAACATAGTTTCATTTAACTTAAATTAAATCCAATATTTTTAATCCTGATCGATTAATAGAACTATCCTTTATTTTTCTGTTGTTTTACAATTCTGAATTTCTATATCATCTCATTAATTAAATTATTACTAAATTTCTTACGACTTAAAAAAAATTCTTGATATTACTAATAATTTAATGAACGAAATATACATACACATACATAAATATATTAAAAAATCTTTAATTATATATGTACTTAAAGAGATGTTATTTAAAGATAAGAATATAGACGATTTTTATAATAATAATCTTTCAATTTTCAACGATATTTTTATGAATAACAAATATGTTCAAGGTCTGTATATTTTATCTCTATTCTTTAATAATAATCAGAGACAAGAGAATGTTCACTATGATATTACATAGAAAAATTGTAGCAGCACAATAATTCTCAGTAATATGAGGTGAGAGAGAGAGTATTTAGAGAGAGAGAGAGAGAGAGTGATAGTGAGAGAGGTGTGAGTATTATTATGCTGTATCAGAAGTTACACGGTATCCTAAGGTATTTAAATGCTCCGAGTTTATTTTCTTCCTGTATCTTCTCATTTTATGCATAAATATCCTTCGTTACACTTGACTGTAGTCGCTAATTATTGAAACAAATTGATAATGAGAGCTAAGTTGGGTTTTTACCAACGAAGAAATTACTCACTTAGTTTAATATCGTTTATCGTATGTTTTTGGTAAATTTAATATTTATGCAGTTATCATTGGAACAAGATGCGTCACGTGCTCGTCGGTGAAGGAAAACATCGTGGGGACACCTGTATATTCTCGAAATAATAATAAAAAAGAAAATATTTTGGAAATATGTGAATTCTGCCAATCCGCAGTAGGGTCGCGTGGTGGTTTATGCCCTGATACCCTCTGTACAGAGGAGGCTTTGCCCAGCAGTGGGATATTTATAGGCTGTTACTTTATTTTTTTCATTGGATGAAACTCTTTTCCTTTAACTTAGAAACATATACTATATTTAACTATGTTAATATATTTCAAAGATCTTAATGAGAAAGATCTATATCACCATTTGCTATTAATATGTCAAATAATAAATTTATGGTTAAAATTATGTTGGTACCTTTGATTATATGCTTATATATAATCAAAGGTTGGTACCCATATTTATAGATGTAATAATAATGTGATACGGGAAGAAATTATTCCTTGTTGTCATTTTGTACGATGTTGAAATTTTAAATTCAGTTAGAACATCTTTAGATTGGCGATAAATAAAAAGATAAACACTGAAATAAAAAGTAAGGGCTCAATTTTCAAGCAACGCAAATAATATACTTTCACTCCCATTTACTTGGCTTATTAATACTATTAAATTTAACATAATTTTTTTTTAATTTAATAATATTACATTTTCCTCAAAATTGACTTAGTTATTATATTATTTTTCTATCCCTTTGGAAACCATTATCTTATCCTTTTTTAACTGTTTCAACTGTATTAATGTATCTATGTTTTACGCGAATACAACTTTTCATTATAACACATTTACAAAATATTTATGTAGGCCAAATATCCAAAAAGAAATTGTACAGAAAATATTTTTTTTCTGTTCATTCATACAATATGAGCCAGTAATGAGGAATTGCTTCAACATCTGCACAGACGACAATGATTTCGTCAAGATAAAGTAATTTATCTTGATATTGATATTTATTAGATACGTAATAAGCAAGTAAATATAAAAAATATTGAATTCATATATTCATATAAATGCAGTTTTAAAACGCCATAATAACTTTATGAGGTACTTTATGAGAGCTAGTTCTGAGGTAAGATAAACGTTCTAAAAATATAATAAACTCTTCGTGGAAGTGCTTACATGTGGGGCCTATGAAGGGGTTTTTAAAATTATTAGATACAAAGCCACGCTTTAGGCTTGCCTAAGCGATCATTGACCTTTAAAAAAATCATAAGTGGCCTAAGAAAACATACGAATTAAATTTTCTTGATATTTGATTAAAATTGAACGTTTGTAGACAAAACTAACAAGCCCTTTAATAGAATTATGTTAAAATCCCAGCCGGTATAAAAATTAATATGCGGAAATTATTTCTAACCTAGATAAGAAGCATAATTAAGAATATATAAGGATAACTGATAAGAAAATCATATAATGAATTCCTATAACTTATAAATACAGTATATCATTACTTTATACCTTTTCTAAACTCTCCTCTATATATTATTGCTTGGAGTCTACTACCTAACTACTGGGAATAATATCTACTTACTAAATGACTAGTTGAGTTCAGTTTTAAAACACGATCTAATAATTATTTAAGACAAATTCCTCTTAGTTACTAATTAGCTTGTGTTCACATCACTAAATTTTATTAACTAAGGTATGTGTTGACAACGCAACAATGTTCGTATTGGGAACATACGTGTTCGGAAAAAAAATTAGCGTTTTGTGTACATTACATCTCAAGCTAATTAATTAAAGAATGTAAAGTATGTAATTTCAAATGGACTGTAGCCGATGGTGTGTTCAAACGATTTTATATGTGATGTGTGAAGGAGGTTGCAACTGGCGAAGGGGTAAAAAGATGGTAAGCAACCGATGGTCTCGACATACGCATCTCCAGAGCAGTCGCAACAGTACACAATTTCATAATAAACCGCCTGAAAGCAGTTTGATCATGTTTGTCGCTGATTGATGGTTCTCGACCCCATACAATGCTATTTTCCAGTTAGCATGTTTGTTAATCAACGTATATTGAAAAAAAAAAAACTGTTAAAATTACTGGCTTATTAAGCAACATCCATAATGTATTAAAATATTACCATGGCGCAAAGAATAGAAACTCCAAATTCAACGCAGTTGGAACTTCCAATTCGGGAAACAACTAATAAAAATAATAACCAAATAATAAAACTAACCACGATGCACTTAATGGCGTGGTTTTCTATTTATATGGGTACGTTCATAAATTACTTACAATAGATTTTCTAGGTCGGCATTAGGACTTACTAGCCAAACCATTCCACACAAAATAAAATGTTAATAGATAAAATTGGTGTTTCATTATATCCCTGGTGAACATTCATCACATGGTCATACCAGACGCACCATTAATACCTTTTTCAGGTTTTAATTTAAATTTTAAGAAATCTGATGAAGAATGTAATTTATAAGAGATATAGTGAATTACGGGAATATTTATGGCGAAGATACAGTATTCTATTCGTATTTATTAAAAGTACTTTTTAAATGCAGACGGTAAATCTTTTCCATAATATAGTTTCTTGCTATGTGACGTGCTTAGTTCAGAAATGTGCCAAAGCCTAAGCAATAATCTCATATAAATGTAGTAATAGATTTCGATATAACTTTTTATGAAACGAAAGCGCTCTACCTTATTTATTGCTCACGTCTCTCAGTGAATTCCGCAACATTCTAAATTTCGTTTCTACCACTAGTAATTTACAAATTCATCTAATGGATAAAGTCTTACTTACAATGGAGAGTAATTATTTAAAAAAATTTTCTATTAAAATCAAGGCTTACTTATATATCTCGCTTTCAATAATCGCTCCTTGGGATTGCTCGTTTTCTTATATCTAATATAATCATAATATCTATTTCGATTGACGCATTTATCGCTATCATACGAATTATCGTCCCGAACGTTTTATTTATACTAACAATGTGTAATACTATGTCGCGTATGTAGGCCGTGATATTGTCGTTTTAAACCATATGTTTCACTCGAATTTCAAAGTTGATTTACTGCTATCTTTTCTACAACGCTATTGACGCTAGGACAGTGATCATCGAAACTAATTATCTCTTACATAATTGTTCCGTTTGTCACTCCACTTATCACGTGGAGTGCAAGTCGTAGTCGCCTCACGATAAACTATAAAGTACTGTGAGCTTAAGTTAGACAGCGATTCACACGAGTCGCGTTCGAATGGATCATCATCGTAACAACAACAGAATTATCGCCACTATCTAATTCGAATGTTCTGGTCAAACTGAATGCTATCGATACTGTCTATTCATCTCGTCTATTGCATTACGCCAGACGGAGGGTTGCGTCAGCGTGCGCTCAGGAGAAACGACTGAGGTGGGAAGGGCGATCGACGTCAGAGCTGGCGCAGCGGGGCGCCGCAGTCCACGCGGGACATCCACGCCAAGTCCAGAGTGGTCACCTGGAATAAAAAAGTAAAAAAAAAAAAAAAAGAAGAAAAATGTAGAGTTAATCATCAACAAATTTAAAGTGTTGCGGTGTAGCTGTTACTTTGCTGCTGGTGAAATCGGAATCAACCGTTGTTTATTGAAATTGCCTAGACGGTGGAAAAGTATATTTGTTTGGTGAGGTCACGATTGTTCCGCGTTTGTAAGGGCTTCTGGTAGCTTAACTTAAACTAATGTTTTGGCGCGTGAAATACATAACTGCGTGATGAATGAGCGAATGCAAAAAAAAAAAAAAAAAAAAAATGTAAAAGGTTTTTGACTTTTTCTATGTTGTAGTCGATATCTTGGTGCGCAAAAGGGATCGCTGTTAATCAGTTATCAAAACTGTGTTGTGTTGTGGCATGGCGTTTTGTAAAACCACAAGCAATTTTTTTTTTCATGTGAAAAGCAGTTAACTAAAACTTCAAATGGGTTGGATGCAGATGCGTTACCAACCTTGAAAAAAAGTGGGCCCTAGTTACCTCACTCGCCAGAGGTACTTCCCCGGATGAGCCGGCCCATTCGTGCCACAGTAGAAGCTGTGATGGATCCACTGTAGTTTATTGTTCAGTTTCGTTACGTCACGTTAGGAAAGGTTAGCAGTTGCACTGACACGGCACCATTTGGCTGCACCGGGAGTCCAACACCCGGGAGAGGTGGCCAGAGAAGGCCAGAGAAGGCCACAGTCGCGCCGGGGTTCGCCGAAGATTGCGTTTTCGTGTTCCCGTGTCCCCGGCAAAAGCGACAGCGCAGGTGCAACGTGGTATTTTAGTAGGTACCCCCATAACTCCCATATACCCCTGCTGCATACCACCAAGGTGGCCGGGGATCCATTAAGGATTTTTGATAATAAAATCACTTTAGATACATCTATCTCTAAAAGAACTAAGCTTATACGAAACACATACATTCTACAGACATCAGTAATTAAAAGAAAAAGGTAAGGTTAGCAGTGTCACGTTACTTGATGCATGGAGTACACAGCCAGCACTACTAGCACGTGCATGATGTTGTGCGAGTTGAGGCAACGGTCCACTGCTCCCGGGAACCACTTCTCCGGGATGTGCATGGCGCCAATAACACCGCCTCCCAGTGATACCGCGTCCTGGAAAATTTTCATACGATCCCATTGGTTGCCTGTTTCGAGTACAAAAACTTGTAGAAAACATTAAAATTTGTAGAAAAAGTACGAAAAGATTGTTACTGCAGTGGGGATCGAACCCACTTCTTCGGCATTTGTGTTCGGTACATTTTTCGAGTAATTTATATCTACTAAAGCCGTGATAGCTCAGTGTCCGGGCGCTCGCCTTTAATTCAATATACTCGAGCAATCTGAGTTCGATCCCCGGTGCCGGCACTAATGAAGTTTTTAACTTTAAGTGCTGTCTTATCACGCGCCCGGCGGTGAAGGAAAACATCGTGAGGAAACCTGCATATTTTCGAAATAATAACAAAAAAAAATATTTCGAAGATATGTGAAGTCCGCCAATCCGCAGTGGGGCCGCGTGGTGGACTATGCCCTGATACCCTCTATATAGAGGAGGCCTGTGCCCAGTAGTGGGACATGTATAGGCTGTTACTTTACTTTTTTTTATATCTACTATGGTTAAGTCTAAAATAACAGCCTATATATGTCCCACTGTTGAACATCCAGACTGCCTTCCACACAGACTGCCACGAAGCACGATCCATCGACTTCCCGCTCATTTTTACAGGTCATTGCTCTAGGGATCGTCCTATACTGCGATAGCCAGTACGAGGTTGACACTCAAAAACCTTTTCTCCCCATCACTTATTAGTTCTACGGGCTATATGGCCGACCCATCTCCACTTCAGTTTACCAATCTTCTGAGCTATGTTAATTATCTTTGTTCTACTGAGGATGTTTTCGTTGCGAACCTTGTCATTATAAAGTACTTTAAAACTACTAAGTCTGACAGTATCTCTAGAGCAATTTTTACTTGCCTTATCTTCCTTAGCAACACTCAATGTCATACTATTTTGTAAAACTGTGTAATCATCACAACATTATAACGGAAATAGCTTATTTCCCCCCATATTACAACGGAGTCGATATTAAACAATATAAAAATAATTAAGGGGCAGACATCCACATTTGTAATAACAGACGGCCACATAAACTACTTGTTTAGGTAATGCGAGTTTGGACGCCGTAGCGTTATTAACATTTGGCAACATGCCAAACTCCCCGCTACGGAAACGGTTCGCGTGAATTTCGCTTACAACATCGCTTTTAATTTTCTTTTACAAATAAAATATCAAATGTTTCAGATACAGATATTATCTTCTAATCTTTGAAAAAAAAAAATCTCTCAGTTACAAAATAGTGTTTCTATCTTGTATCTTGTATCTTGTATTAACTGATGTTTTTGCTTTCAGTCCTGAGACTATTAAAGCTTCATCTGAGGCAGAACCGGTGGGCTAGCCAGAACCCACGGGTTTGGGCAGGGTTTCTATCGCGGAAGGCTTGTGTGAAGGAGAAAATCACGATCGAAAACAAACAAATTGCACCAAAATCGGAACAAGTATTTATGTGTGGCAGTCTGTTAGGGAGGACCCCAAACAGACCGCCACGAAGCACGATCCATCGACTTCCCGCACATTTGTACAGGTTACTCCATCTAGGTGTCGTCCTTTTTTTGTCTTATGTGAGAAGGTGTCAAGCGAGTCGGCGGTTCACCTGATGTTAAGTGATAACCACCGTCCATGGACATTTGCAACACCCATTGCTTTAAATAAAGTGGCCCCGACTGCCACACTCACCAGACGAAACGCAGAAGTGTAACACTTGTACTGCGGTCTTTTGTGACGTCGTGGTACTTACCCGGACGGACCTGCGAACTCGTGCAGCAGTGAACCCTGTTACATGGGCCTACCCTTATCAGAGCAGATGGCGACCACCGTGGGGTTTCAGCCGGTGTGAGACCTAACATAACTTGGTTCTCTATACGAAGAGACAGGTATCCATAACGGATTTACCTACGTTAAAATGACGCCCTGAGGCCAGTGAAGAGATGACTCGATTAACGTAATCTTTTTTTTTTATTTGAATACATTGCCCTTACTTTGGGATAACATTATCCTGTGTTGTAAGGACGTTTTTACAAACATAAATTTCACGCGGACAAACACCCAGATGCAAACAACTATCTGTGGGTCACACAAACAGTTGTCCCGTGTGGGAATCGAACCCACGACCCCCGACATCGAAGCCGATACCTTAGCGACTGCGCCACGGCGTCATCATAGAGATCGAGTCTTTGAAATTTCTTAAGGCAACTTAAAACTGGATATTCATTTTATTTTTAGTGATAGGCACCCCAAGCCGATGGAATTTTTAATCTATGTGTGAAATGAGTCGTGATAGCTCAATGTACGGGCGCTCGCCTTTAATTCATTATACTCGAGTAACCTGAGTTTTATCCCCGGTGCCGGCACCAATGAAGTTTTTAAATTTAAGTGCTGACTTATCACGTGCCCCGCGGTGAAGGGAAACATCATGAGGAAACCTGCATATTTTCGAAATAATAACAAAAAAAAAATGTTTCGAAGATATGTGAAGTCCGCCAATCGGCAGTGGGGCCGCGTGGTTGACTATGCCCTGATACACTCTGTACAGAGGATGCATTAGCCCAGCAGTGGGACATGTATAGGCTGTTACTTTACTTTTTTTACTTTTATGTGTAGAAATCTCAGCCAGTCTCAGTCGTTATGCCATTTGTTATTTCGAACTTCATACAAAATTAGTATAATCACCATTGGTCTGGTTACAGATATATGAAAATAAACAAACGTCGTCATTTCTATTATTTACTCGGTAGATAACATGACGGCTCATTCCGCGAAACGGTTGTAAAAACTCCAAGCTATCAAGTATAAAACCCGGATGACTGGGTTTACCAAACATGTTTAAGTTATGTCATGATTTAATTTTAACTGTAATAATTATATTACTTGTGGTAATAACTTTAGATCAGTGACAGTGTCACTTTATTAGCTCTTTCCCATTTCTCATTATAAAACCTATCTTAATTTTACGGTAAACTGGAAGAAATACTGAAAATTTTACTTCTACATTTGAATTTATCTTCACATTGTATCGATTTCTCTACTTCTTATGTAATGCTTACAGCGCAGCCTTTGATACGTAATGTTTGGCTGCTCGCCAAGACGTGTTCCACGTTCACCCCTTTGTACCAAACATTAAGCACAATTCTGATTTGGGTTCAATAAAAACGATATTCCGTTTCCATTCTTGGCTATTATTCATAACGAAAAGAGAGTTTGGTGTAGATTCAATAGTTGGAATTCCATGATGAATAATATGACTAGTCTTACATTATTAAATACACTTGTTTACTAAACTCAGCATCGGGAAAGTTAAACTGTAAATATGGTAATTAAACTCGTCGCATATTGATGATACTTTACACTGTTCTTTATTTTATTATAGATTTATTTGCGCCTGACCTCATTAAGGATTGAAAAAAATAACACGTCACAATAAATCGTGACGTAAAAATATCACGTTCTGACATAAATGTTCAATAGGGATGGTATACATAATAATTATGTAAATTTTATAATAACGTACTTCAAGACCCACAGGTCTTGAAGTCCGTAATTATTAATTTTTCACTACGCGAACCGCTCACACCTTGACACGTGAAAGTTTAACAAACATCTTAGAAATAGATTTATTGTGACACAAGCGGAAACTATTTTTGTATAACAATCACTGCTCATATCGGAGTTCGATTTGAAATGTTGGCAGAACTGCTACATGTTGTATTTGGATGAGTGCCAATTGGGTTTTCGACCCAGCGACCCTCGGTGCCGCTAACGAACATTGTTTGAGCTAAAAAGTTACATAATTCTTTCTAGTCCTCGCCATTAATTTGGATTGTATTCTTTGTCTTTAACACGTTTTCATAAGCTCCCCCATTATGGTACGGAGGTACAGTAAAATATCAATGAAATTACCAAAGTATTTGATAAAATATTTTTATAATATCTAAATAACGCAAATGTATATGCTTAGGGTTTACAGCTACCTTACTGCACTCGTCATTCTCTTTCAGTTTTACGTAATATTAGCTGGTAGAGAATGCAGTATTGTACAGCTCACCTTTGTATAATTTTTAGCGTAAGAAATATTAAATAAATAAAATAAATATGTATATGTAATGGGATTTTATAATTCAACTTTATCCAAAATCAGACACGCAAATAAATAATGCAAAATTATTAAAAAATATTATATTGCACTAATATTAAGTAGACCAATGAAGATACAATATTTTGAAGACCTGAATGATGATCAGAATACCTTCAAAGCCTTCTACCTTGTGTAAGTGCCAATTGGTACAGGCAGTTTAAGAGCAAAAACTGACGTGTCGAGTCGAGAATAGACATACACCGCTTCACGATATGAGGCGTGAAATTATCCACAAAAATTTATATTTAATCTATAAATAGTTAAAAATGTATTACACCTTTAATATGTTGACTTCATGGACTTTATGGTCTCAGATTGTATTTTTGGTAAAGAATCTAAAATTGCCCCCAAAAACAATCGACAATAATCAAAACTAAATGTATCACTCTCACAAAAGAGCGATGACGTAAAAATCGTATTCAAAATGCTGTTAGCGTTACAACGCCCTCTCATCATTTGGCGCTGCGCCAAGATTCGGACGCACCCCATGTTTTCCTAAAACATGTTACACTCGAATGCGTCGCGTCACGGCCCTAAGTTATATAACCTATTTAAAAGCCTACAAGTATTGCATAGAGCTCCAGTTACACCTTCACCTATTAAATAAAAACATATATGTTGTCAATGCAGTACTAGATAATCTTCTTATATATAAAAATGAATTGCTGTTCGTTAGTCTCGCTAAAACTCGAGAACGGCTGGACCGATTTGGCTAATTTTGGTTTTGAAATATTTGTGGTAGTCCAGGGAAGGTTTAAATTATGGAAAAATTGCATGGAAAATCGAAGTAGCAACAATATTTTTTCCCATACAAACTCTACCTGTCAACCTGTCAACTATGAACGCGTTCCAATTCCTATAGAAAT